ACTCACTGGGCTGCGGAAGAGTAGTACCATATCATAGCCCGCTGCCTCGGAGAGGTACCCTTAGAGTCACGATGGGGACATGAGTCTGCCTGGTTGTCTATGACATCGCAAAGACGCGAATGTTTGTCCGACCGATGCGATGCAACGCGTGCTTGAAATGGAACGCGGTGCCGCAGACAATCAGCAGAATGCGTAAGTGCTGTGGGAGATGGATGTGACCTTCAACTCCCTTACGTGTCCGGTGTTCCCACGCGGCGAAGCTGTGTCAAGTGAACCTAAGATGGGACAAGACTCCCGAAATCATGCGCTCATCATGAAAAGCAATGGACTTGTACACAGACCGCCGGGCTCTGCTGCAAGTTTCTGGACCCATTAGGCTCGCCATGACTCGGCTTCTTGTCGCCCGCTCTCCCCCCTGGCGGCTCTGACGTCCTCTCGTGGCTCCCTACGAAAATAGGGTGGAGGGGGCGGCCTTGCAGCTTCTCTGTTTCTGCCCTGGGTCTGCCGGCGCGGGTGCCCTTGCAGTTTGGTTTGCCGGTGCTGCAGGAAGAAAGATGAAGACTGGGCTGGTCATTTCGCCTTCTAAGGTTTGCAGCTGCTAGGAGGCACATATGACGGGCATCCCACGTTTGCTAAAGTGCACACAAGGTGACTCATTGCGAAGTTATCCCCAGCCCGCGTCGAACAGCAGGGCACGTGAGGACACCTAGGGACGATCGGTGGTATAAATTCTTCTTGCAGACAATTCGCCTCCCTTCCTCCGCCAGCACTCTTCAGGCCGCCGATGGAGTCCTTGTTGAGACCGCCGATAGAGTCTCTGGAGCATGATGAGCTATGTTGGCGACTTGCGTGCTCTGAGAGGCCAACACCTCCGTTCTGCTGGCGAGCTGCTGCTTTCTCTTCGCAGCCCACGAAACTCCAAATTCCGCTGGTCCGGGACCTCACGTTCGCGTGCGTTGCGAAAGAAAAATTAGAAAACAGGGCCGGGTTAGTGGCTTTTAAGGACCGCCATTACGGGAATGGCGAAGGCTCGGTCACGTCGTGTTTGCAGTCGTCGCAGTTACTCACAAAAGACTCATGTTCACCATCGCCAGGCTCAGGCTTGTCTTCCGATGAGGCGGTGGAAGACGTCGTTCACCACGAAGTCGTCTTTGACCTGCGAACGAGGACGAACGTCTGCGTGCACTTCTTGTGCGGCTGCGACTTGTTGGAGATCTCGCCAATGAACTGGATCGCTTTGCAAATCCTGGAGATCGTGCTCATGTACCCTGTGGTTTGATGGCTGAGGGCTCACGAGTCCTTGTAGACCGAGCCCGGAAAATTGATGTTCTTGCCAGGAGTTTGCTAGGGCTAGTAAGCAAAAGCTGCTAGGCAAACAAATGTGTCGCGATGCCCTACGCGCCGATGAGAAGCTCTCATGGGTGTCGCGGCGCGTTAAAGCCCCACCCCACATCGCCGTGTGCATCTACGTTCGTTTGGGCGTCTGCAGCGGCAGTGGATGTGGCTTATGGTGCACATCTGGGCCGGGTCGTAAGCAGAGTAGCCAGAGATGCTCGCCGGTCTGGCTTGTTGAGAGTCTGGTAGCGACGGCGTAAGAGGTTGCGCTTTGATCCGAGTCAACGTCTGGCCACAATCCCGCCTGACTTGCACTGCGGCACCTGCTGATGCTGTGTCAACGATGCTCTATCTTGTTTGCTCAGTGTGTTATTTGCCCAGCCGCCTGCTGCTGCCTTCGCTGTTGAGCCTGCAGCGTGCAGAACCACTTAAAGTATGGCCTAACCAAAAGTTGGCCGTGCAGCTGGCTGCCTCCAAACAGGAAGGAGCGCACGCGAGGGAGAGAGGTGTGGGAGGCGCGGCCGACGAGGCGGGTACTCACAGAGCCTCTCCGAGGGGAAGCGATGCAAGAGGCGGGTAAGGCTTAAGGTCAGTCGTATCGAGTCCGACTAATGGTCAGCGTCGGTACCGCAAGGCATGTCGCCGGTTACCCATCAATGGCAGAGCTGTCCGTTGTAGTGACTCCTCGTGGAGGGAATTGGAGGCATGCGGCACCGAAATAGGGTTGGGTTGCTTGGTCGCGCTGCTAGCGTTTGCGGGCTACGCGATCTATTTCGCGTATGATATGTAGCCATGAGCGTGAATTGTCGTGTGCGCTTCGGTTGCTGCTGATCGTTGCATTCTTTGTAGAAGAGTTCCGAAATTTGTTTGCCGACAGCGCCATGACCTGTGTCTCGAGTACCTCTTCGCGGTCGGTTCGGACGACCAGTTGTCTCCAGTCCAGCCTGCTCTAGGCTGCGGGAAGGGCAGCCGTCGTCCACGGATATTGGGCGACCCGGCTTGTTAAGATGGTGATTGCAGTGCAAGCCGAGGGCACATTCAATATGGCGCCGTGTGAATAGTCACTATCTGTGCCTTGGATACTGAGGCATCTGCTGATATCGCATTGGCGAGGCCGCGTACTGTTGCGCATATTGAGCGGTGACCTGTTGTGGTTGGTACCAATTGCGATGAGAGTTTTGCATTTCTCCTAGTGCGCCAGTAAGACTAAGGCTCTGGTCACCTGTGTTTGCCTCTGGCCGCATGACCACTAACTAGGTGTCCGTGAATGCGTATTGCCTCAGATGTCAGTGCGAGACTATAAAGCGGTGATGTACATGCTGACCCTCGGATGCGGATCGCTGAGTGCCTTGCATTGATGCGATTTGACCGGTATATTGATTTCACGGCGGGTCGTGTACAGGGGCAACGGCGGCATACCCATAATTGCAGTCGTAATACGATTCGGAGCCAGTTGCGTGCTGGATACCGTATAAGGTGTGCGACACACCGTATAGTCCTTCTTAGTAAGGTCCAAAGCCGACGTTCTGGAGTAGCGTCTTGCCACCCGTAATAGTGCTCGGGTCCTGCTACGAATAGCCTAGGCGGTATGGTATAGCTTCGAGACCGTAGATGTCGTCCTCGTAGATATCTCCGAGGCTATTGAAATAAGGCTTTTGCATGTCATTAAGGAGTCCACGTCGTAGTTCCCAGGAGATTGGAAGCGTTTCCGATATACCTCAATGCAGGTATCGGATCTGCGTTGCTTCGAAGCCTCCGGGCTAAGATGTAGAGTTCGCGGATGTGTAGTGGTGTCGGGTTCGGACTGGACTTGAATATCTTACGCAATGCTGACGACGGCTTACGGCGAGTATGTATCAGCGCCGTGAGTTGTTCTTGAACCTCGTTAGCGGTAGCAACGACGCCCAGGACGTCTCGGCGGCGAGCGGCTGGCGGTAGCGCGTCCACAACATGAGATGCAACTCAGGTCCTCAATCTCTGTTGGACAGGTCGACCTCGGGCTCTCGTCATCGGTAAGCTATGGCCACCGAACAAATCCCCATGAACGGCAACTACACTCAGGCCGAAGGCGAGGAAAGCAGGCCCCGGCCATGGTCTTGCTGGAGAAATTGGTTGCACAGCCTGTGTGAGCCGCCTTTGACTGGCTGGCATCCTAATTGTTTGCCACTGCAGGAATGAGTTTCGATCGTCCTCCACCACGATACTCGTGTAGTTGCTCCTGATCGACACGATCGCTTGGTCCGATTTCCATGGCCAAAGCAGAGCACACACGCGCCATGCCGAGCTGGAGAGATCATCAGTTTACCTCTGCGTAAACATTCTGCCAGACCTTCTTCTCCTCCAGCACGCCCCGACGACCATGGCGCCAACTGAGGATGCCCGAGAAACCAAAATCGCCGAAGAATGGGGCCGCACCAAATCCTACTCACACTTGCTGTGATGCTGCGATAGTGCAAACGCCGATGCTCGTGGTGGTGCAGCGCTACTTGTCGGCGGGGGTACCGCGATCGTGGCGGTCGTGTGCGCTTGACTCGTAGACGAGAAGTGTGCCGTGGACGTCCGGAAGGGCGATGTCTGCCCGGCTCGATTGTCGTGTTGAGGAAGGCTCCTCGCCGATTGTGTGCGTATACGGCGGAAGCTGCGTGCCGAACTCATGCACATACGCTATGGCGTCCGCCTCAGGGTTCGACGTCGGGTCTTTGACCAACTGGGCGCAGTCGGCCGACGACGTGCTCACGGCTCGTGGACGAAGGTCGAGGGTCGTGGGCTCTGCTGGCCTAGTGCTGAGCAGACGAGGTAGTCCGGCCGTTGAGACATTCGAACTCCCAAGCTGCGGACATTGAAGCTTAATAATCGTTGCGGTCCTCAGGAAAGTTTGCTAGGAGGCGCACCGTTGAGTAATCCGCAGGCCCGTAGTGAGCCAGCGGAGCAGGCATATAAAAGATCAGAGCTGTACAGCATTCGTATCTCAACAGCCGGAGGAAAAACGTCGTCAAACCGGCCGCCTAGACGCCCGCGGTTTCATGATCCAGGTTGGCGGCGAGATGAAGGCTGCTCACGAGGTCGTCGGTCGTGGTAGCATGGTCGCGCGAAGCAAACAGTGGTCCAGTGCGTTTCGGTAGTCGTCCGCGGTCAATCAGATGCCAAAGTCCAACCCAGCATATCCAAAGCTACGTGTCCTTGCGAAGCCACCACGAAGGCAGTACAGGGCCGGCGACCTCCTGATCCCGAGCACTGCAACGGAGCCATGCGTGCTGTATGCGAACGACGAGAACCACCGTGCCGCCATCGGATACGATCTGGGCAATTCGTGTGCTCCTAATGCGAGATCTCGAGAGGTTTTAGACACCTTGTTGGCAAACGAAAAGTTTGCTAGAGATACACCCGATGAGTAATTTTGTATATGCACAGGTCAATCAGCAGAAGGGTCATAGAGTAGAGTACAAGGTGCAAACCACAGCCGCCCAACTCGTCCATGCACAGGTCACGTGGACTCCCTGGCAAGATGCACAGCAATGTCCCCAGGTCTCCGAGCATCCCCACCAGCATCTCGCTCATCACTGGCTAGCATCCGCCCTCCCCAGTCCACCTCGCTCCGCCTACTCGCCAACCTCCCCTCCAAACGTCCACTTCTTCTTGATACCAGCACCGAAGGGATCCTCACCCTATCTGACCCCTGGCGGTGGTCCTCCCATACCAGCGCCCATACCCTGCAGTCGGCTGGCAAGTTGTGGGTACTTGTCTTGCACCTCCAATTGCGTCCGGGTAGCCTCGGCGTACGATAGTGCGTTAACGATCTCGCCTTCGGTTCGGGAGAGCTCGGCGGCGCGCTCGAAGTACTGCAGAGCTTCTGTGACTTTGCCTTGCTGGAGGAGAAGCTGGGCCATGGTTGCAACGGCGATGTCGCATTCAGGGTCAACTGTAAGCATGGAGTTGTTAGCATGACTAGGTCGAGGATAGAATGAAGTTTGAACTTACTAATCAAAGCCTTCTGACACAACTCCTCCGCAGCACTGAAGTCCTGCTTCCACTGGAACAAAGCCAACGCCTTGTTGATGAGCGGCAGCACATTCATCCCACCTCCCCTCTCACCAACAGTCTTCCGCTCCATCTCCACAGCCGTCTCGAACTTCTCCACAGCCTCCTGATACTTTTGCTGGTCCAGCAACAGCTCGCCATAGTAGTTGTACACGTCGCTCTTGTCACCGAAATTTTTAATACATCTCCTAAAGGTGGCCATCGAGGAAGCGATCGAGCCCATCTTGTACTGCGTCACGCCAAGCTGAATGTGCGAGAAGATGAACTTGGAGTCGAGGTCGATCGATTTCTGGTAGTCGGTTGCGGCGTTTGAGAATTCGGAGAGGATGAAGTGAAGCTGGGCGCGGTGGTAGAAGATATCTGGGTCTTCGGCGTTGTGGGTAGTTGCGAGTTCGAAGTCGCGGGCGGCCTCGTCGCGTTTGCCTGAGAATGAATTGTCAGTACCGTCATCTGCATCAAGCTCAGACGCAAGAGTCGAGCGGAACGAGAACCTACTCTGCTCAAGATGCATGCTGGCGCGCTTCACGTAGCTCTGGACCAAGCTTGGATCGATCTCAAGCGACTTGTTCAAATCCTCCAGCGCCAGCTCATTTTCACCCTTGAGGTATCGGAAGGTGCCACGCATGTTGTAGGCAAAGGCTTCGTGCTTGTCCAAGTTGTTGACCTCAATGGCCTTATCGAAGCTCTGCGCCGCCTCGGCATAGCCCTCGCCGGTCCTGGTCTGGATGGCTTGCAGGCCCTTGCGCATGTACCATTTGCCGCTGCCATCCTCCAGATCTGCCGTCTCCTCAAGACCCTCCGGAAGCGGCTTGGCACGGAAGGACTGCAGGTAGTTGGAGACAAAGGTCGGCGACGGGAGCCTCTTCTCCTTGCCCTCCATGATGCTCTTCGCCTTTGTCTCGGCAACCTTCTTCAGCAGCCTCTCCACAGCCTGCGCAGAGTTCTCGTTGCGGAATTGGTCGATGATGCAGCTAGCAGTGTAATCGAGCAATGCTTCGCTGAAACGAGACTCTTGCTCGTATGCGTTCGCTCTCCGGTTCAGGGCCTTCACATACTCGCTGTCCAGGTTGATAGCGGCAGTAGTGTCCTCAATGACCTTTGACCAGTTGCTCATGGCGTTCCAGCAGGCGGCGCGGTTGGAGTAGAAAACGGGATCAGCCTTGCAGAGGATGGCTTGGCCGTAAAGCTCAATGGCGCGGTTGTAATCTTTCGAGCCATACGCCTTGTTGCCCGCCGCCTTCAGCTTCGCAGCGTAGTCCTTCCGCTGTTGCTCAGACAGCTGCGCGACGGAATCCTCTGTCACATGCGGCAGCTCTTCTGGCTCGGCCTCGACTGAGGGTGCTTTGGGAGCTGCTTTCGCATCCGTCTTAGGCTCCACCTTGCCCTCTTCTGCCGCCTTCTCGCCATCCTTCTTCTTAGCTTTCCGCCTGTCCTTCTTCGAAGTCTTGTCTGAGGCCTGAGGGGGAGGTTGTGAAAGGTAGTAGATTGTACCGCCGGCCGCGACCACTGTGACACCGGCAATGGTCCACGCGACGACCTTGTTCTCGCCGTACCAGCTCGTTAACCGCTCCCATGTCGTTGCAGTGGCTTGTGATGCAGATTCGGCTGCGGCTGCTGTTGCGTTACGCGCCGAAGCCATCGCGGCGGTCGATTAGTATGATGCAGTTCTGGGTCGGCGTCGTAGGAGGATGTTCTATCATGCGCCGATGCTCGTGAGGTCGAAAGGGGCGCAGTGATATGCAAATGATGGGATGGAGTTCGAAATCACGTCAAGCTGCGAAGCTCCAACTTTTGGTGAAGAGCTTGGTCGGACGGCTAAATTTCGGCGAGTTAAAAGGCACTGCACGTCGACCTGAACTTGGCATATGAATCATCTGGCATTTCTAAATTACAGCGTTCAACACCTGTAGACACGGATATAGAAGAGAGACTTGTTAATCCGGATTTTTCCTGCAAGCAGCATGGCGGTATTCCTCCCATCGTCTGCAACCTTCGCTCGATATCATCCGTAACACTTCACCATGGACTCCAACTCTTCCTCCGACGCGGTAACGACATCTCACCATTCAACCAACATCCTAACACCACGCCATCTGAGTGCCGGAGACGACAACGAGGAGCCCTACATCTACGCCTCCATCCGGTACGACCCGGCTCTTCTACGCTCCTCCGCCAACGCCAAAGCCTCCTTCAACCGCCCCTGCCCTTTCTATCTGCTCGAGCACCAATGGACGCGACTGCAAGTAGCCAACTGGTCCAAAGACCGCCCTCCGAATAGTCACGGCAGCCCTTCACGCTTCATGCACGGGTTGCTGTCTGCCGTCGTGCAGTACCAGAAGGAACATCCGGGGTCCAAGGATACGTGTCTTCGCCTCAGGATCCGCTCGTACGCATCTGGCCAGATGACGAGCGAAGTCTCTCCACCCCGTGTCCTGACACCAGTAAATCTGCTGTTCCCGACTACGTTCGGACATCCGGATCATCTGCCAAAGACGGAGTGGACAATCGTGCTCGACAACCAACCAACAGAGACCAACGAAAGCACCATGTACAAGACATCCGACCGGAAGCCGTACGTTCGAGCGCGGATATCTGCATCGCTCACGGATGTTGAGCAACCCAGAGAAGTCCTGATATACAACAGCGATGGCGAAGTCCTGGATGCAACCAAATCAACGCCCTACTTCTTCCGCGGTGGCAAATGGCTCGTCCCTGCTTCAGCATCCGGAGGACTGCAGGGTACGACGAGGCGCTGGACTCTCGAGAACGGCGTTGCCAGCGAAGGAGTGGTGGGCAAGGATAGTCTGGCCGTTGGTGAGACCATTTGGCTGAGCAACGGCGTATGGGGCTTCTATTATGCGAAGTTCGTCGCTCTGGAACAAGGGAAGGCACCACCATCCGAAGCGGAGTGTCGGCAGATCGAGGAGCAGATGCGAGGTTGAGTTTGCGGTTTTGTGATTCGGATTGCTGTGCTGGCTCTTCTCGTAGCAGTTGCCTTGGTCGAAAGAGTTTCCGAGGCAGAATCTGGTCAAGGCTGGCTGAAACCGCCACTCCTCTCCACACCATTCACCCTGAATCCTTTCTCGCCAAGCTCTCGGGCAGCTTGCTTCTGTGCCGTCTTCGTGGTAAGCCTCCTCTCCCTCCTCTGATCTCGCCACATCAAGATATTCTCCAATATCCTACCGCCGGAGAACGCGAGGAATACACTCGCCGCAACGACAGCAGTGGTGACGCAGATCGCTACGGCCCAGAACAACCACTGAGTTTGTGCCATGTCCCGAATATCGCTGAAGTTCATGCCGAAGAACGACGAGACGAAGTTCAGCGGTAGGAAGACGATGGTTACGACTGTGAAGACGAGGATGGCCTTGCCGTGATCTTCAAGGCGGATGTTGACGAGCTGGATAGTGCGGGTGACAAGGCGGTCGGTGTTGTCGCGCAGATCTTGGAGATCAGTGAGCTCGCGGGCGAGATTGTCAAGGACCTGAGCCAGCGGATCGGTGGTGCTCGAAGTCGAGAGATGGCGGAAGTTAGTACGGGCGTTGTAGGTAACGCGATGGTGGAGGCCGGGTGGCTCGGAGAGGTTGCCGTAAGGGTTATAGTTGTTGCCGGAGCTTGGACGGACTGAGGTTGGCGAGGGTGCCGTACTGCCTGAATCCTCCTTGTTCTCGTCGAGCATGTCGCGAAAGTTGTTGATCATATCAATCTGCTGCTGCGTGATCTGTATGACGATATTAAGCTCTTCCTGACAGGCAATGAGATCCATGACCAGTTTCGTGCTAGCTGCTCGGTGCAAACGGTATTGAAGGTGGCCAAGATAGCCAGCATATCGATCGGTACAAGGGAGGACCATGTCTGGCCAAAAGTTTCTGTGAAGCATGCCAACAGCTCCGCTCAGACAAGCAACAGCGTGCGTAAGCGAAGTGTACTCCTGCTTCTCCTCTGAAGAGAAGAAAGCGTTCCTGATGTTCCGGAATGACACGTCCGATATGCGAGATACCAGTTGGAGAGGCGGCCAGCGAGACTTCCACGTCTGGTTGCTGGAGAAAGTCACAATGTGCTCAGGGTCGATCACTAGCACCCACAGCTCGTCGACGTTCAGTGCTGACGGGTAATGGCCATACCATTGCCGCACCTTGAGATCCAACTCGCGGTTGGTGCTCCAAGGCTTGTGCTTGGCAAATACCTGGAACGCTTCCCGGTCAGCAGTATCCTCCAGCCGGAAGAAGTGCTGCAGAACGGATCTCAGCAGATGAGATGCCGTACGAGCACTTTGAAAGCCTTCTCTCTTGTCGATCTGGAAACGAAGAGGCGGCTTCTCGCCCAGAATGCTCCAGTCGAGAAAGGGGACAGACAGTAGCATTGGGTATGTCGATGGAGCATCCTTGCCGTTGCCAGGCTGAAGAGGCTGCGAGAAGGGCGCGAAGCACTTTCCATGCTTCGAGAACCGGGTTTGCTGTTGCAGCGTATTGTTGAGCACTTGGAGATTCGAAGAGATCGTTGTTAGATCTTCCGACAGGGCCCATAAGAAACCACCTACGTACTCCGGGAACTTCGAGGAGCAATGTATCCATCTGCACTTAGCACTCTCCTCCGAGTCGTACACATGTCGCTGATGCTGGTGTAGTCTCAAACGGCGGATCCACCCGTAGTGTTCCTCGAGCTGTGCGAACTTCTGCTGTTCAATTGGATTGCCCGCAGCGTCTGCAGCTCTCACATAGCTAGCTGAAGGTGTCGCCGAGGCATGGACCGGTACTTTAGTTGAGGCAGACCTTTCATGAATTTCCAGCAGAGGTCCATGATCTGGCCGCCATTTCTCCAGGCGAATGTCATTGACCAGAACTTGCGCCGGAGTCAGCGGCTTGTTCGACCATTGCTTGTCTGCTTCGTAGTCATATCCAGGGTGGTCTTTCTCCGGTGTACTCGGGTGGTCCGATGGCATCTCACGGCGTCTTTGTCGGAGGTGTTTGCATCGAGATGGTACATCGTCAAAGTCGCTCGTGATGCCGTCCTCCCACGGAGATGGAAGAGGCTGTGCATTGATTGGGGGCTGAAGTCTGTTCGGAGTCGGGGTTCGTGGAAAACAAGCTTTGCCACGTGCTCAGCCTAAGGCATGCCCCATCCGCCTTGATAACCAGCACTCTTTTCTTTTGCAACAACATCGTCACAACATTCCGTAGTCATGATGAACGCGAGTTTGTGATCGCCGCAGTCGTGCAACACTACTACATCCCCCGTTCCACCGGTGTAAAGAGCGCAATGGCACTTCAAAAGCTGGACGGCCTTGAGCTGCCGGCTGCGGCAGACATGCATGTTCATCTTCGGGATGGAGCAATGACAGAACTTGTGACGTGAGTTTATCTGCATGTCGATGGCGTTCGATAGCATACTGATGTGAGCTACAGGCCAATGATCCGTCAAGGAGGGGTGAACATGGTCTATGTCATGGTATGCTTTTGAGGGACACAACCATGGCGCATACCTAACAAGACACAGCCGAACTTGGTTCCTCCGATCACGACGGTCCGTCATGCTTTTGACTACCAACGACGACTTCAGGAAATCGAACCGAATGTTACATTCTTGATGTCACTCTACCTACACCCAAGCATCACGCCTGAAATCGTCCGCAAGGCCAAGCACGGCGGAGTCACCGGAATCAAGTCATACCCTCACGGAGTCACCACCCATTCAGACCAAGGCGTTATGTCGTACGAAGAGTTCTATCCCGTCTTTGAGGAGATGGAGCGCGAGGACATGGTCCTCAACATCCACGGTGAGCTCCCGCCATCAGCCGGCGAAGACATCACAGTCCTCAGCGCCGAAGAAGCCTTCTTGCCAACCTTCCTTGACCTGCACCGACGCTTTCCTAAACTCAGGATTATTCTCGAACACTGTACCTCCGCGGCAGCAATAGAAGCTGTCAAATCGTGCGGTCCGACGGTAGCTGCCACCATCACCGCACATCATCTGTTCATGATTGTCGACGACTGGGCCGGCGATCCTCACTGCTTCTGCAAGCCTGTGGCGAAGCTACCTTCAGACCGACGAGCACTTCTAAAGGCCGCGGTCAGTGGTGACTCCAGGTTCTTCCTCGGCACAGACTCTGCGCCTCATCCGGCCATCTCTAAGAGGGCGGACAAGTATGCTGCCGGAGTGTTCACACAACCGCATGCTGTTGGCCTCGTCATCGATGCTCTGGAACAAGGGATTGATACTGGCGTGCTGAAGGCGGATGAAGTCACCGAAGAGAAGCTAGAAAGATTCCTGTGCATCAACGGACGGACCTTCTATGGCGTGGAGGATGACCGCAAGGAGAAGATTGTCCTGAGAAAGTCATCTTCCACCATTGAGAACATCCTGACGAGCAAGGACGGGTCTGTGGAAGTTGTGCCTTTCAAACGAGGCAAGCTCACATGGGGGGTGGAGTGGCGATAGCATCACCCACGGCTGAGAGCCTGTTATGAGACCACGGTGCCCAGCGCGCGCCTATGAGACACGCTCATGTCGTTTCCCAATGAGCAAAACATGATAGATGAATCAAAATCTCTTGTGATCACGCTCAAAGCCATCCAGAAGGTGTACCTTCGTCCTTCCCACCTCCATCAAGTCGTCTTCTACCTTTGAAGAATTCTCTATTCTTTCCATAACTTACATGTGATCCGTCTTTCAATTGGTCTTGACTACACTCCTAAGCAAGAACGTCTGCCGGCATTTGTTCTCGCGGGTAGGATTTCGGCCTTGGGTTAGGATTTCAAGATCGCTTGAATTTTGCAAACAGCACCCCAAACGAAAGCACTTAGTTCGCTTAGTTATGTGTGAGAGTCTCAAGCTTATACGATACTCGTAGCGTTAGCAATATTTCGTGGAAGTCGTCGCTATCTCGAAGGAGATACTAAGACCCTTAAGATTGCGACCGAAAAGGGAACTTTAGCTAATAACTAATACTACTACTATTAGCTTAGCTAGAGCTTTACAGCTTACCTAAGCTTATTTACAAATAGAGTACCTTACTAATAGATAAATAGAACCTATAGCCCATAGTATTTCCTATAACATTAAAGTAGAATACGTCTATAAAAGCTTAATAGACTTGAATAGGACATTGAAAAGTATACGTATTACAACTTTCTTCTTTAAGTATATAATTGTAGCATTATAGCTTTAAAGGTAAGTTTCTAAAAGGTTCGGCTCGCTTGGCTAGAGAAATGCTCCGCCGCCTCGTTTAAGCCTCGAAGCCTTATATTCTGGGCCGCAGGGTCCCATGCGTTGCGCAAACCTTGGCCTTCGCAAGCACGGAACGCTAGGCCCACCGTAGAAAGCAGGGTTTAGCTCTCTGCATAGAATCGCTTAGGTGTCTGACTACAGGTACTATGTCGCACACGCGAGACCGCACCAACTAAGATCTCAACTTTTACTCGGCTTCTCGTGCCTCTTACGCCAACAAGCAACTATCGCTTCGGATACGCTACATACATGTAGGCTTACAGTGGGTTTCGTAAAGGATGAGCAGATTTGTCTCGCATTGGTTTGCTACGCCGTAATCCCACAGTTACTTCGAGGACGAGTGCTTGGGTGATGCGACCTCTGCGTGTCCGGGGAGATATCAAGGTTGCAACCTCCAAGGAATTCAGTCCAATCCACCCTCCCTCACCCTCCGCCGTCTGTATAGTGCTCCGCGGTACGGCAGATCTGGGATTCAAGATCCTGATCGTCTTGGGAAGGTGGGCACCGGAAAGGCAGGTGCTCGGATGAAGGGGACCTTGGCGTCGGACAAATAGTCACACTAAGGTAGGTGATGATCAGTACTGGACAGGCCTACCTGCTGCACCTTGGTAAACGTTTCTCCTCCAGAAGACTCTTCAACGGGGCAATCTCCCAGTTTACTGCTACTTACGATATATGCTCCAGCAGGTCCATACAGGCACGACACGCTCCACTGAGTCTCGAGCCCGTCGATAAGCAGTGGCCGGGGTCCTTCGATAGGACGACGGATGTATAGGCTTGCGTTACTTCCACGCAAGGTCCGGAAGATATATCATCATAATCAACCGCCAAGTGAGGATGCTGTTCGACGGAACTGTGTAGGAAGGATAAACGTTGCATCGACAGAAGACAATAAGCTGTGTCCGCGGCCCTGCACTAGGCTAATTGGTGTATAGGTGTACGATCCTTCGACGCAAGAACCCGACCTGTCCGACCAACTCGTCAATATTGATTGCCAAGTGAGGGGGATGCTGTTCGACGGAACTGTGTAGGGAGGTTAAACGTTGCATCGACAGAAGACAATAAGCTGTGTCCGCGGCCCTATACTAGGCTGATTGGTGTATAGGCGCACAATCCTTCGACGCAAGAACCCGACCTATCCGATCAACTCGTCAGTATTGATTGCCAAGTGAGGGGGATGCTGTTCGACGAAACTGTGCAGGAAGGAAAGGCTTTGCATCGACAGGATATAAGATCTGGGTGAGACCAGCTGCATTCTACGTTTCAATCCCGACATATCTTCTCCGTTGTACTTCATCTGCAAAAATATCTCAATCGCCCTTCTTCACCCTCTTGACAGCCACGACCGACCAATCGACACGATGCACACGTTCTCGCTTGTCGCTGCTCTAGTAGCTTCTACTTCGGCCGCCCAAATCCGTCTCTACCCAAATTCCTTCGGCTGTTCGGAAAACACAGTCCTCATATGCCGTAACGTTGGCAACACTTGTTGCGGCCAGGCAACCAGGAAGTAAGATATAGCTGCGACTAGCATCCGGGGCATTGCTGACCGTTTGGATGCCTAGCTTCTCTTCTGGTGTCTTGTTGAATGGCCGTAGCAATCAACGTGGACTTTACTGGGTCCGGGGGGCTGGGGCTAATAATCTGTGTGGAAGCTTCCTCGGAGCGGCTGGCAATGGCGTCTGTTATACCCAGGGGGAGGTCAGTTCCTGTTCCCAGTAAAGTTTCCAACAAGGGCCTAATCTCACATCTTACAGAGAGGAGGCATTACGGGCGGAAGAGTCGGAACCGCACAGCTTAGAGCACGTCGCAATGTCGAAGAGCTTGAAGACACTGCCGATTCCGCCTGCGAGATGGTTCTCCCCGATGTGCTCATGGTCGACGGGCAGGGCTTCTACATCAACCACCATGTGCCCGAGACCGTTAGTAACGCCATGATGGAGAAAGTCGATGCCGGCACCTCAGCGGCTGAATTGATGGTGGAATTCGCTGAGTACTCTTTCTCTGGGGAGGAGAATGCTGCGCTTCTCTAGAGTGCCTCGTGGCTGGATTAATGTTGGACGTGGATGTCGAAGCGAGCCGACACATAGTTTGCCGGTCAGGATGTTGTTTATCCCGAACCGAACGATGCAGCATGCAATTTGTTCGCAACGAAGATGGATTGGTTGCGATGCGCAGTAACAGTTTACGGGTCCCAATGCACGTACATTTGTGTAGCGAAACAGAAAATGTAAGAACGTTGCGTAAGAAGCCATGGTTGCGAAAATTGTCAGAAGCGAGGCGGTAATATGCGAAAGAAATCCAAGGTGACCAGGAATCGGATATCGGAGGAAGGACAGCTGTACCAGCAGTTTTTCAAGGCAACCGGCTAGAAGAAATACATTCCCGTCCGAGTCGAGCGGGCCGACGAAGGGGCAGCGTCAGGCGGTAGACGGCAACGAGACAAACAAGCACAAAATGTTTATTCCCAATATCAAGAAAGCGATCGAGAAGCCAAAGAGCAACGGTCGGTCAAGGATGATTCCAATCGCTTCGTCCCGAATGCATGGTTGTCGTTCACAGGGTGAGCGGGACATTTGTCCCAGTCCCCAAAGAAAGATCAATTCCAAGCATAGATCCAGAAGGCAGGGGCCACCGAGAACGAAGAACGTGGATTGGAGGATGCATGCCGTGGCACACGACGATTAATTCGAGCAGCATTCGCCATATGGAACCCAGAGATAGTTGGCAAAGCAGCGCTAGAGTCCGTCAATCGCCGAGAGACAGGAGCAGACAGCAACAAGCGGCCATTTTGCGCCGGTCAGCAGGCCAAAACCGTCTGAAAGTACAGCGACAGCTCATACTGTGATATTTGTGGCGGACGGCGTAGGAAGCAGAGCGACCCAAGTATCGCCCGACGGAAAACCAGGCCCGGCAGCTGGAAGTCGGCGTTGAACTACACCCCCATTTTATCCGCCATTGTAAGCGTGATGCGGGCATTGGTCGTGCATCGGGCACGACAAATGCGACGGGACAGTATCGCGATGGGAATGGCAGACGGGTAGGCCGAAGCCGGCATTGATCGAGCCGACCTTCCATTTCCACCTCCTCAACAGTGTTTGTACCACCATTCATCATCCATTGGCTTGTATAGAATACATTTGTATCTCTTTGGAGAGGTCTTCCCAGTCATGCCGCGTCTGCATTATCAGCATGAAATCTATCGCTTCATCGCGGGACCGCTTGGTCACATAGAAGGCGTAACAGTATCCGAGCGCGCCAATCCATCGCAACCGCTCCTTCACTATTTTGGAGGCCTTCCGTATGCTCTGCCACCCATTGGGAAACATCGCTTCCGCAGGCCAAGAGCACTGCCAGATCAATACCGATACGGAACAAAAGCCAGCCCCGGCCGCTTCACTCGCGGCACAGTAAGCTGCCGTGTAACTCTGCGCCGCACCAATGGAACATGAGCTGATGAGATCCTCAGGCGTACTGTCCGCAACCTAGAAGGTTCGCGAACCTCGACACTGAGCTGTGGGATGAAGACTGCTTGCAGCTGAACATCTATCTGCCTGCTGGAAAGAAGCGTCCGGCAAACGGATGGCCCGTCTTCTTCTATATCCACGGCGGCTTCCTCCAATGGGGTACTGCCAATGAACCGCCGAGAGCAATTGCTCCGCTCATGAGCGAGACAGCATTCGAGGCAATAATAGTATCACCGTCGTACCGCCTTAACTTGTTTGGCTTCCTATCCAGCAAGGAGTTACAAGCAGAGGCCCAAACATCTGGCGAACATGCTGGCAATATGGGCTTCTGGGACCAGCGCACCGCTTTGGAGTGGACAGCGAAGAGCATAGAGTATTTTGGTGGTAACCCGGGCAACATCACCGTTGGTGGCTACTCCGCTGGAGCTCACAGTGCATTTCACCAGCTAGCTCACGAGCTGTACTTCGTACCGGACGATCAGGCTATCATTAAGCGAACGATATGTTGGTCGAACTCTCCGGGCGTACAGCCGCGGACTGCTTCCGACCACCAGAAGCAGTTTGACGAGCTCTTGGAAGCTCTCAAGATACCACCTTCATTGTCGAGCGAGGTCAAGCTCGAGCGGCTGCGAGCAGTGCCTATCAAGCAGCTGGTCGATATACAGGAGAAGCTTAAAATATCAGAGTTCCGAGCTACTTCGGACGAGTCTTTCGTTTCGAAAACTCTCATTGCAAAGATCAATAGCGGCGACTTCGCAAAGCGGATGAAAGCGCGCAACATCAAACTGATGAACGGCGAGTGTAAGGAGGAGCACAATCTTTACAGGTCTTGGAGGACGCCAGCAAACTCGTACGATGCTGTGCGCACTCGACTCATTGGAGACTACCCAGAAGACGTCGTTGACAAATTGATGCATCACTACTGCCGTGGCACCAAGGCTCTACCACCTGCGCGCAACGACTGGCCAGACCTCTTTGGCCGCATCTATGCTGACATGCAAGTACATCACCTTGAACGTGGATTCCATCGTGCCTTGGAGAATGGCGGCCTTGAGTTCGGCAAGGACGTCTTCCGCTACCGCTTTGACTGGCGCGCCGGCTGCGTGGACTCTTACTTCCCGCCTGAATGGGGCGTGACCCATGCAACGGACATGGCTATTTGGTTCTGGGGCTTGGACTACGGCGACGGCCTCTCAGACCAAGACAAAGAAGTACTCAAGACATGGAATCAAGGTTTCGCCGCTTTTGTGAAAGATGAAGATCCGCAATGGGGCACTCATGGCATCAAAGACATGAAGCGGTTGAGGAGCGACGGCAGGACGGACATTTGGATCGACGAGCAATGGCAGGCCGGCTTGGATGTTTGGGATCTCGTCAATGGTGGCAATGCGGCAGGCGTTGTTGGCTGGATCAGGTCTAAGCTGTAGTGGAAACGGGTAGCTGCATGCCTTGACTGCACTTCTGCACGACATTCGACCGCTAACGATGGACACCGTTGCACGGAAAGTCACAGTGTGCATCAATGAGCGGAGGCATGACCAGCAGTATGCACAACGTGTTGCTGCATACCGCGACGCAGCTCTACGGTAGGTCTCTTCTTATTTTCATTATTCATTGCGGAACACAGTCATGTTTGTCTCATCTGTTGCCTTTCTAGTGTTCTTAGGTACACGTTTGCCTCCACCAAGCAGGAGCTTAATTTGCAGGCCCCAGTCCAACAGCAATTATGTTTGTCTCAGACATGCAGGAGACCTGGATGTTCGACTCCAACACGCAGTGTATATATCAAGTTCCTAACGCATCTTTGGGAAGCCATCAATCTACGTCACAGCAACCGAATTTCCAGCACCACTCAGCAAACCCAGACCAAGATGTACGCCCAAGCACCAGCACCAGAAGCCGCAGGCCCTCAGCCTCGCATCGTATACTACATTGCCCGAAACAACGGTACCATCGTTCCTCTCATCCCAGCCGACGAGCTCCCCTTCAACATCCGTCTGCAAAACGTCCCCCGCGTCCTTGGCGCCGACCAGATCTACGGCATGCAGCACGTTGGCTCTGCCCCCTTCACCGGCTTCACCTTCAAGCTTGAGCACGCCGACCACGTGTACCGTCCCATGTCTCAGCCGCCACCAGGACCACCAGGCCACACTCGCAACTGGAGCGGCTCTGAACCGAAGAACTTCCTCCCTCCTGATGCTCTCGCTCGTCAAGCACTCGCCGGCACTCCCCCGCCCACCTACCAAGCCAAACTCCACTCCTTCCCTCCTCGTCCCGTCTCGGCCCATGAGTCCGCCCCGAACTGGCGCAGTAAGCCCAGTCCAACCTCCGACCCAACCCAATCCGTCATTGACGCCATCATAGCCACCCAAGCTGGCGCCCAGACCGCTGCTCGCTCTGGCTATGTCCCCCGTTCGACAGCCGCCCAAGTCCCACCTGGCAGAGTCCCTGACCCGGAGAAGAAGACATACTGCACCTACTGGATCCGCACTGGCGAATGTGACTTCCAGCAGCAGGGATGTCTGTTCAAGCATGAGATGCCGGATAGTCTGGAGAAGCTAGGTGAGCTGGGGTTCAGGCATTGGCCGTACTGGTGGAAGGAGAGGAACCAGAAGGTTAGGATTGGTGGTGCTGAGGAGAAGGGGCCGGTGAGGCCGTCGGTAAAGCCGGAGCAGTGGCTGAAGCAGAGGAAGGGCAGCGTCAGTGATGGTGATGATGAAGAGAGTGAGAACGAAACTGCGAAGTCGTCGGAGGGGAGTGTTCTTGTGGTTGTGAAGAAGAGTGATTCCGGGAAGGCTCCGGTCCCTACTGCTGCTGCGTCCAAAGCGGCAGACACCAAGTCCAAAGTTCCAGCGGCTCTTGAGGTTAACGCTGGCCAGCCATCCAACACCGCAGACGGCGACCTCATCTCCTTCGGCCCACCAACGCCCTTCGTCGCCTCTTCCGCCACCAACGTCGCCAGCGCCAGTGCCAGTCAGCCTTCCAAGCCCACTACCAGCAACACCGGCAGCTCTTCGCACAAGACCATCTTCGTCCCCGCCGGCGAATCAGTCGCAGCCCACATCGCCGACGCCCAGAAGCGCGAGAAGCGCTCAGCCTCGCAAGCCTCCAAGCGCGCTCGCACGACCAAGAGCCAGCAGACCAACGGCAGCCCACAGAAAGCCTCGTTCGAGGAGCTGAAGCGGAACAGTGGACTGCTGGCTTCGAAGCATGCGCCGGCTGTTGCGACTGCTCGAATCTCAGCTGCTGGCGGAGCGGTCGATCGCAAGGGGTTTAGGCCGCGTGTGCCGAGGCCCAAGGGTGGTGTGCTCGCCGAGAACACTGCGAAAGTCAACGTTTCGGTCGACGCAGCTGCGAAGGCGAAGGCTGCTGGGGCTTCTGAGGTGAAGAAGGGAGGGACTGCTGGCTCTGCGGCTGCAGTGGCGAAGCCAAAGCACTCTGTCGCTTGAGAGACATCTGGAATATGTGGAAGACGAGCAGCAGGACATTGGAGCACTGATACTGACTGACCATTTTGTATACGGTTGAGTTTGCGGGTATCTGGAAGATTGGCATGGATCAGCAGCACTTACATAACATCCAATAGAGCACGGCATGAGGAGGAGTGGACAGAGAAACTTACGAGGAGGACAATGATTTCCTCAGCAGCACGTCAACATAACACATAGACATCATAGTCATAGCAGTATTACATAGCATTCACGACTTACGACCCAACCCAGTTGACCTCAACCCAGTTGACCTCAACCATACACCTCAGTACTCACTCAGACTCCTTGTAGTACTTCCCCCAAAACTCATCAACCAACCCAGCATAATCCGCCGCCAAAACCGGATCGGTCAAATCCCTCCACCAACTCTCCTTACTCCGATGACTGTTCAACCCCAGATCCTCCAGCAAATGATCCGTAAAGCTCACCATCTCATAATCAAGCACATTCCCCTTCCACCCGTCGAGCGGGTACCGCCACGCACACCAGCGGTTCATGAAAGATATTGATTCTTCTATCTCCTCCACCGGCGGCAGGGAGAGCTTGTTGTCTAAGACGGCGATGGCATATAAGGTCTGGGCGAGAGCGGTGTGGTAGTTGTTCGGGACCGTTTGGACGCCAAGGAAAGCGATGGATTGGTCGTTGGGCGGGGTGGTGAGGTTGTAGAGCCTGTATGGAGTGCTATCGATAGAACTGTGGTAGAACTCGGACGTTTGGGCGAGGTAGGGCCATCTTGTGAGGACTTTGCGGTCGGCATCTTCTTCGAGCTTCGCCCAGTGCTGCTTCATTTCTCCCACTACCTCTTTTTCTTCAAGCCTGACTGGCAGACCGAGACCAGCGGCTTCATGGGCATCGAAGCTAGAATACCCTTGCCTCCAACCTGTGGCGCAGAGCAGCATATCCGTCTCTACTCTCGTTCCATCACCGAGCACGACTATGCCGTCCTCCAGCCGTGAGACCTCACCACGATGCACCTGCACCTTCTTCGCCACAACGTCCCAAAAATCATCATTCTGCAGTAATCCAACATGTCCACTCCTCCACCTCATATTCGTCTGCGTTTCCAACTTTTCAAACCCCGGCAACGCTCCCTCCCTTCCGTGGTAATTCGCAGTCGCCTTGCTGCTCTTCTCGCTCGCCCCCCAGATCCGGTCCAGCAACCAATCGCCCACCGCCGTCTTATGGAGGAACCAGCTCCACCAACTCTCCGGGCGAAAAGGGTTTGCCGAGCTGAAGCTTGCCATTGCGCGAATAGATCCAAGCTCGGGCAGGGACTTGTACTTGCCAAAGCCCTGCGCCCTTGACAAAATGAGTGGACCAGATCCAGCGTCGCTGATGACCCAATTGACCTTCCTTGGGACTGCGGTGTCGGATGCCGCAGCGTACACGATGTCAGAGGCTGACTTGGAACCGCCGACCACGGTGATGTCGGTATGGTCATGGGCGTTCTCTTCGTCAGGCGTAAGTATCCTGGAGCGGCCAAAGTCCTTCTGGTGGATGATGGGACCTTTGAAGCTTTCGCGGCCAGGCAGTCGAGGCAGGCTGGGTATGGAGTTCTGGCCGGTGGCGATGATCAGCTTTGTACTGGCGTAGCTGACATCCTGGCCGTGCAGCTTTGCGTGCACTCTCCAGACATTGTCTTCCTTCGAGATCTTGGTGACCCAGCAATTGAAGACGAAACGCTCCCTCAAGCTCGATCCGTTGTATTCATGGTGGGAGATGTAGTCTTCCAGGTAAGTCGTGAGGTGCTTCGCTTCGAACAGGTCATGGTACCTAGGCGCATCCTCCGATACCGTGAAAGGGACGTCTGGGAAGCCGCTCAGTCGTGCACCAGTCTGAGACCAGAACTTTGGGTACAGTCTCGAGCGGCTCCAGACACCGCCTGCGTCGTCATCGCCATCGAGGACCTTGATGCTCGCTGAGGAATGTATTCGAAGATAGGTGTTGGCAGCATAGATGCCGTACAATCCTGCGATCTCGAGTCAATCCCTGGTATTCAGAAGTCTTGGGAAGGTCATACTTGCCCGCGCCAATAATCAGCAGATCTAATGGCCGTTCATCAGTGTGGTCCATCTCGAGACTTTCACGAAGCTCATGCTCTGCTTCGCCGGTTTGAAGCGCTTCGTCGGTGCGGAAGAATTTCGTGGGAAAAGCTAATTGCTACCTCCCATCTACTTGAGCGAGCGAGGCGAGTCTCCGAGCTATATACGATGCTTGAGGGGTATGTCGTATATCTTACCTTAATCATCTTAAGTACGCCCGAGCGTTCCACAATTAGTCACGTGAAGTGTGGTTTTACCACATCGGAGCGAAGTCGAGGTCACGTCCAATAGCATGCCGATATTGCTAAGACACGATCAATCTTTATGAGATGGTGAAGATAAAATAGGTCTGTTATTTGCATGTTGTGTGGCGATGTCTCATACTTATGTAGACGGAGACGCGGGCGATCGCAGACTTTACTTCTGGAGGTTCGATATGTAGTACGAAGGCTTCACCAGCGCCGCCGACGTGGTGAAGAGGGCAATCGGTTCACAACTCACAGCTTCCAGCTATTGTACCGTTGGGAGAAGAACAATTAAATTGGCACAGCAATTCGATGTGTCGGGGTAGGCCGCAGCTGAAGCATCAACAACATAATCATACACAAGCATATCAACCATAGTAATACTGCATGATCCCCTTTCATATCTCATCATCCACTCGCAACCCTCCCATCACATAATCTCAAACTCCCCACTAACCCCCTCGAAAGCCGTAATCCTCCCACTCAACGCCTTCGCATCTCCATAGTACTTGATCCGATACCGTCCAGTCAAGTCACCCTGCCTCTTAGCCAGGAGCTCGCTGTGCGGCATCTTTCCATTCACATCCTTTCCACCGGCAGCTAAAGAAGAGGAAGCAGGAGAGGAAGCGGATGATGGCCTCCAGCTACCATCCTCCCACTTGGTTTCCCAAGAAATCTTGACCTCGCTCGTGCCCACGACGGTGGAAGTGCGAGTCCATTCGTACAGCAGACTCCAGTCGCTGTCATCTCTCAACTGCTTCCAGGTACTCGAAGCTTCATCGAACTTCTCAACAGCCGCAAATGTTCCACCGAGACGGAAGTTATTCCTCGGATTCGCGCCAACGAATGCCACGGAGATGCTGTCACCAGCTTGGTACGTCGATTTGAGCTTCGAGGTCTGCTCGCCGAAGGACTTGAAGATGGGTGCGTTATCCACTACCACACCGGTGATGAATGAGAGGCTTTGGTTGATCAGGATAGGCGGCGAAGGGCCAGGGTCGAGAGTGGGCAAGTTGGCTGAAGTGGAAGGATCGAGGTAAGGCATCAGAGAGACGGATTTGTTGATGTACGCATCCAGTGTCCAGGGACCGTAGAGGGTTGAGGCGCCTTCGTAGCGCTGGACAGCATATTCTTCTGGAGTGGCGATGTAGTGCGTATACGAGTTTGCTGGGGCGCCCAGCACGACGACTGGATCTGTGTCATCGAGATCGTCAAATAGGCCGGCAGCAGTGCTTTGAACAGCTTCTCGCCAACGTCTTCCGGACATTGTGGTAGCTTCGCCGGGCGATACGACGATGAAAAACTGGCCGACACGGAATAGCTGGATGTCGACGATGTTCGGGCTCCACGGGTATGGGGTGTTTGTCTCGCCCACATCCATTAGTATAGGCTTCGGAGCCTGGCATTCTTCTTGCGTCTTGTTCGGATTGTGCAGCAGATTACCTACAACACCCCAGACTGGGCTGGCATTAGGATCGTCTGAGTCGCCTTGCTTGAAGTCGAATGCTCCCGGCCCATCGGTAGTGCCGGCGGCGAAAGAGTACCCAAGCGCTGCTGGGCATGTCTTGACCTCTGTTCCGTTGGAAAGGGTGAAGTGGAAAGTGCTGAAGTCGACGGACTGATGGAGGCTTTTGACGACACCACCAGTCACTTGTGTGAAAGCAGAAGCATCGTTGAACAGGTCTTTAGCACCTTGATACTGGCGGCTACCGATCTCAAACGTCGAAGCTGTACCGGCACCGTTCAGGCCAAAGTATGGCCCTCTTCCGTGGCAAGGCTCGCTGATGTTACCACACAAGCTATGCCTGAAGTCGCACATCTCACCCTCGTGGTCCCCATATTCGCAGTAAGCACCCAAGATGTTGGGAGAAGTGTCGCCAACATTCGCTTGACTGAATCCGGCAACGAAGGTGTCATCAGCCATCGACTTTTCGAAGAGATAGGCCGCTACACCTTTGTTGTCGCCCGTGACGATGGAGTTGTTGCCGAGCATGGACGTGCCGTGGACAGCGAACCAGTTGAGAACGCCAATTTCCTCCTCATCTCCGGAATCGTCAACATGAGTGAACTTCAGTAGTGTCATAGTCTTATCGACGTCATTCGCATATCTCGCTCGCTCATCTGCCGGATTCTGCAGGTACGCATATGGACTTCTGGAGACATTGGCATCCTCAATCTCCGTAGTTCCAACACTCAATCGTCCAGGTGCAAGACTCTCATGGGCGATTTTGATCGATTGGACAGCTCCATCAACGATAGCCTGGTAGCTCGGCCTGTTAAACCCTTTGCTCGTAATCTGCGGCAGCAGGTAGTTCAACCAGGCACCAGGACCGCTGTGAGAGTGCGTTCCAGTAACTGCAACATTCTGCTGTCCGTACATCGCGTAGTCGTCACCTAGATCGGCCAGACCTCGAAGTATACCATCTCTGATGGCGGTGTCGCCAGACTGAGTATCCAAAACCATGTACACGAATCGCTCGTCCTGGTTCTCCAGATCACCGATGATGAATGAGCGGGAACAGAGTCGTTGTCTTAGTCCTTTGCCAACTTGACTCGTATTCGCGTAGCCCATAAAGTTGATCTCGACGACCGGGCCAGTGATGTCTGCCTTGCCAACACCAAGGAGGTATTGCTGAGAAGCGGTGGCATTAACATCGCGTTCGAGCAAAGACTGCTGGCCCCAGATCCAGGTCCATGAGCCGGTCCACCCGGACTGCCCGTTACGGTGGAAGATGTTGATGGTCGACAGGACGATGAGCAGGCCAGCGGCCAAGGCAACAATCAGCGGCGAGCGAGGCATGGTGTTGGACCGTCAGAGTTCAGGTAGAGGATGTTGTCAAGGTTCACGTTGGATGAAGAACGGATGCAGATGGCATCAGCGGTCTTCCTCGTCCCTTCCATGCCATGGTGTCGCAGGATGGCAAGAACAATGTCGCCTGATCACATGTAAGAGTGAGGCGTTGGCGAGGCGTCATTGGTGGAGGCCTCGAGTGAGGTCGAGATGTGCGACCTTTCAACATATGGGCCTCCGTATCGAATTCGACAACTTCAACCTCAATGGAAGATTCCATGCGACTGAACATATCACACGCAAGATGCCGCTCATACAAAGCTCAGCAGAGCACCTCCCCTTCATCGACAACACTCCATCCGACGATGCGCTCTCCTCAGCAAATGCGCTGATACAAGCCGAAATGGCCTCACAAGACGCTTCATCGCTGCACCCGTCAATCCCAGCTTCATACCAACCACGATTCTCCGACCTAGTAGAAGCAGAGCACGCGCGCCTAGCTTCAGGAGCGGAAAAAGAACCAGGCACCGGCATCGACCTCTCCCGCTACGAAGCCCTCGACGCACCCAGCAAAGGCGATACCCAAGCCTGGACCACAACCCTACAAAAAGCCTACGCCAGTGCGGAATACCTGCGTGGTCGTGAAGTTAACCTCAGCTTGCTCGAGACATATGGCAAGAACGCGTGGTTGATCAGCAATAACCAACTCGAGGACATCCTACGTGAGCTGGAGAGGGAGGTGGATGCGATGAAGACGGAGCACGAGAACGTGGAGCGGGAGCGGAGGATGGCGCAGGAAAATGTGGCGGGCGAGATGCAGAGTTTGGAGGAAGGATGGCGGACGGGGGTGGGGAGGATGATTGAGACGCAGGCGGCGGCGGAGAGGGTGCGGATGGAGATTTTGGAGAGGAGGAGGGCGGGGGCACGGTGAGGTGGTGTAGTATGAGTGTGTTCATACTACACAGAGATATGATCCTGCTTGTGGTGTGCTTGAAGTGGTATACACCAATATCAAATGCGTGTCGCTCGAGGTCTTGGGCCGCTCCTTCCTCAGCTGCTCCTTCCTCACGAGCACACGGCAAGAACGACCTCGACAGCGGCCCGACCACGTGCTGCCTTCCACGTGGCCGGCCTAGAACTTCGACTCTTTAGCAACCGACAGATTCCACCAGTGGACAACACCTCCACTCACCGCCGCTCATGTACACGTCCACCATCATCGTTACAATAAACCCAACCACCAATCACTGAGGACAACCCTCACTCTCACGAAGAGAAGAAAGGAGAGAGAAAAATGCAACTCCGCCACCTCCAAACCATCCGCAACATGGCCTTCACCACCACCACCTCCCCCCTCGAACCCCTCCGCCCCTGCCAACAAGCCTACCTCGGCTCCTCCAACGCCCGCCGCATGCTCAAACGCGCCCAACTTTCCCGCAAAACCACCGGCTCCGGCTCCGACGACCCAATCTTCGCCTTACACGAAGAAGCGTCCGCCCAAGACCCCCTCGCCACACCCTTCCACGCCCCGGACGAAAGTCCTGCGAGTCCTCCCAGAACAGGGTATAGCGTGCAATGCTACGCTACGCACATCGAAGACGAAGCGAGGAGGAAAGAAACCGTGGCGGCGGAGAAGGAGGTCATGGGGTTGCTGAACAGCATCAACGTCTCCCGGCGCGTGGAAGGCAGTCTGCCGTTAAAGTTAAAGCCGCTGTTGTGCAAACACGCGCAGGAGCAGGCCGATACGCTGTTTGCGGAGGAGAACTGCTCGATTCCGCCGAGTCCGGGGTCTGCACCTCTGCCGGCGTACGTGCCGAATGTTACGATTCATGAGTCGAGGTCTGGGAGGAGGAGGGCTACGCTCATCAGTCCGCCGGCTATTGGCGCGTTGGCTTGTGGGGAGATGTGGTATGGAGGGAAGTATCGAGCGCATCTCTACGCGGTTCGGGAAGCGAGCTCGAGCGGAGCAAGCGGGAGCAGTGGTGGGAGTATAGCCAGTGAGGAAGGCCCGGTGCATCAAGAGGATTGCCCGTGCAGGCTGAGGATGGTGTTTGAGACGATGGTGGATGAGGGATGGACATGTGTGGGGATTGGGAGGGGCGGTGATGGACGTGGCCGCTGGGTTGTTGAGTTGGGGGAGTAAAAGTGGAAATGCACAACAAGAAGTGAGAATGAGGAGCGTTCAGGGTTGCTGGGTGACTATCGGACGACGCAGTGACTTTGCAAGCGGAAGCAGATCTACGCAGCAGCTTTCGAGATGGTATGGATTCATGGGGAGGCTGCTGCTGAGCAGCGCCATGTAGCGATTTGGGGCACTATTAGTTAGTTGCACAGGCATCAGTGCCCTCAGTCGCTTCGGACGATGAAACGAAGATCACACAAAAGACAGCTTTTGTGTACGACAACTGAAGCGGAAAGCACCATACCACTGTATCTCAGAGCTACCCTACCCGTAGGCACCATCAAGGACACATGCGCGAGCTAGGAAAATTCGACTAATCCCTCTACTCCCGTGAACACCATGCCATCCAACCGCACTTCATCCCCTCCACCACAATCTCAACCATCATTCTTCCTCGGATCATCCCTCCGCATAATACTCTCCACGGGCCCCAACAGCCTCTGGAACCCATCCTTCCCCAGCGTCGCCACCTTGACCTCCGTCGTGCTCGTCACACTCGCAAATCTCGGCTTATCCTCCAACAACGCCAGCTCGCCGAAATAATCCCCCTTGCCGTAATGCTTCAGCGGCTGCGACTCGCCACGCTTCGTGACCTCCGCCTCGCCGGATTCCAGGATGTAGAATTTATCGCCCACGTCTCCTTCGCGGATGATGGGCGTGGAAGCGGGGTATTTGGTCGTTTCCAACGCGTCGGCGATTTTGCTCCGTTCGTAGGGCGTGAGGGAGGAGAGGAGGGGCACTTCTTCGAGGAAGGACTCGTACATGCGTCGGCGCTGGAAGGCCGAGTCCATGAGGATGCGGCGGAAGGTTACGCGGTCGAGCTGCCACAGCACGCTGGGCTCCTGGCTCACGACTGTGGCGGCGCGGGGCGCGTTGTACATCAGCGCCAGCTCGCCGAAGCTCGTGCCGGGGCCGTTGGTCGCGACTTTCGAGCCCATGCCGCCTTCGCCGGCTTCCACGTGCCCGGTCTTGGAGACGTAGATGTCGAATTGGCCGCTCTCGACGACGTAGAAGTAGTCTCCTTCCTCGCCTTGCGTGATCACGCGCATGTCTTTGCTCGGCATTTTGCGTTCCTGAAGCGCACCGAGGACAGTGGCGGTCTGCTCGTCGTCGAGGTGGGAGAAGAGGAAGTTGTGGGAGACAGCAGAGCGGAGGCGGGAGATCTGCTCGGCGGTTTTGGGGTATTGAGGTGCCTTCCAGTTTGTGTCGTCGGAGGAGGTTGGGGCGAGCGATTCGGCGGAGACGGAGGTCCGGCGGTTCACTACAGATTCTGTTAGTAACGCATTGGCTCGAGTGATTGTGTGTACATACTGTTGTAGTTCTGCGGAAAGGACTGCGGGTGGTCCATGGCTCCGCTCGAAGCAGACGGTGGAGGGTTGGAGCGTGTGCCTGATGACGGCGAAAAGCCAAAGTTGCCAAACACACCACCACCACTGCTGCTGCCAGAAGTATTCATATTGCTATTGGCGCTGTTGTCGCGGACATTAGGAGGGAAGGAAGATGCAGTGGGCGAAGCGAAATCGTCATGCTCCTCTTCCTCCGAGACAGGGTTCATCTTTCCGCCTGTCTGGCCCGGCGCCTGCTGCTGCTGCGAGGAAGCTGCCGTGTTACCGAAGGGGTTGCTGAGGAAGGTCTCGCTTCCCGGCTGGCTGGAATGTCGCTGGCCGTGCTCGGCGGAGAGCAGGAACTCCTTGCGCTGCGCTTCCAGGCGGCGCTGGTAGAAGTTGGCCGCGTACTGCAGGTAGTCTTGCGGCTGGTGCTTGAGGATCTCGCGGTCGAGGGCGTTGCGCTCGTTCAGGTAGTTGGAGGGGAGCGATTGGGAGGACATTGGGTCGTCGGTGGTGGAGGGAGGGGTGAAGTGGGTTTCTGAGTCGCCAGGGATGCAGCTTCTTGTGATGCAATCGTGCGCCGCCGATCCTGCGCTGTGTGACGGGCTCTGTTTGCTGGTGGTGTTTGTAGGAGTACGGACGTTTGGAGACTGAAGATAGAGATGCGACCACAGGTGGCTACAAGCTGATTACATGAATGACTGGGAGATGCTGCGTCTTCTGACCGCTCTGCCGCTCTCGACCTCAACACAGGCGAGCCAGAGCAGACCCAAGGGCTGCGGGGTTGACCTTCCAGAACCTTGCCTGAATCGTCACTAGTTTCTCGGCGCTCATTCTTGGCTGTTTACTACTAAGTCACAGATCAATCATCATAATCTATGTACCACTGTCAAAGTCGAATATAACAATCACATGTTCAGCATGACAGTCTGACGTCCAAAAAAGCTCAGGTCATGTGACAGCTAACCAGATTAGGGGCTAGTGGCATGAGCTTAATCCGACTTAGGATCGTTTTCGAGCACTCTTGTGAGAGGGTATGTGAATGCTTGCGAACTCTCGACTTACTGTACGGGCAGTGTAGCTTAAAGCAATAGCATCGAAATCATCTGTACAAATTGATACGAGTTGCAAAGCTACATCATTACACACCTCGCCTGCCGGAAAGGCGCGTAAACAGGCGGCGCAGGACCCCTTCCATCGAACTGGAACGACGGGCCAGACGAGGACCACGGTGGCGGTGCAGCAAAGCTTTGAAACTCCTTTGGCGCATGATATGGCGACTGCGACGGGCTGGTCTGGGTTCCGAAGGGCGTCTGTAAGCTGAACCGGGGGACGTGTGACGGCTGCATATTGTTACCCCCGAATTGCGAAACCGGCACTGAGCCCTCCGGTGCTTGCGGTTGCTGTTGCGGAACAGGCTCGAGGACCCAGCGGTATCTACTCTGATCCTCTTCACCGCGTTGCATCGAGAACCTGTCGCTGTGTGCAGTATTCGCTCTTGCCTGCGCTGCCCACGAAGGAATTGACAGATGTGACCGTTCGAGCGCTGGCATCGAATGCTGCGACTTCTTCGTGTCCTCTTCAGCCTTTGCTTCATTTTCGCGGATTAGCAGCTTTGCTTCCAGCAGTGCGTTCAACATCGTCAGTTTATCGACCATCTCATGAAGCTGCTTGGTGTCTTTGTTTCCTTTCCGCGACCCCTTCTTGGTCTGTGGCGGGTCCGGCTTTGCATCCGGCTTGATCGACGGCTCGAAGTCACTTGATGGTGGTGACCATGGCGGTGTCGAAGAGCGCGAACGTCGATTCTGTGGTCGCGAGTAGGTCCGGGGGGCATGCTCCACCGACCTGCGGCGCCCAGTCTCTCTGCGCGGCTCAATAGGGTATCCAAACGGATCCAGTGGCGGAACATCCCGGTGTCGGTCGGCATACTCTTGTGCTGAGGAGTAAGGGTACTCGCCATAGCTGTAGTATGCTGGGGCAGCGCGTCGATAGTCTTCCGGTCTGTCCGGTGATAGAGGCGGATTTTGAGAAGGGTAATCAGGCGCGCCATAGAGGGGAACAGGCGGCCGGGACGGTGGTCCGTATGTGTTGTCAGAGACTTGCACAAAGGCATTCGGGGGATAACCCTGAGGAGGGCTGGAGCCTCCCAGTAGGTCATTGATGGCATTAGCCTCCCTCTGTCGCCGGGGTGGTCCACCGTACCGATCTTCCCTGCCAATGCTGAAACGATTTGAAGACAGGGAGATCGGCGGCTCCAGGACCAGTTGAGGCGGTGGTGGTGCCGGCGCCGGCACGTTGTAGTGGTTATACCTCGTGTCTGGCCGGTCAACCGCTGGTGGGCTCTGCGCATCATCGCCGTTTCTCGAATCGACTCGCGGTTGGCCCCATGGGTTGGGGACCGAAGGATCAGGAGGGAGGTCTAATACATCCGCACCAAGATCATTCCACAGATCTATGACTATACCAGTCTTCGAGTCTAGCCGGTCTCTCAAGCCAGATACTCTTGCACCACCCGCTTGTACGGATTCCTTGTTTAATACTTCTTCCAGCCGATCGAATGCGCGTTTGCCTTCGCCGTAGATGAGAGGCATAAAGACGTCACATATCCCCAGGAGACAGTATGCTTTGTCTTCTCGTCTCGTCGTGGTCCTTCCAGCCATCAAGTCAAGTCTCTTCTCAATTGGAATGTCCTTCATCATGTAATAATCCAGCAGAATACGCTCAGGCATACCAGTAATCCTGGAGATCCACGGGTTCAAGGGCATCTGAATCTTCGAGGAGCTCATCTGGACTGACGATTCTATCGATCCGGCCTTATGACCGAATACTTCCCAACTTTGATTGAGGAAGACAACCAGCTTTGGTGCGAGCAACTCTTGCAGTGTCCATCCACGTTTGAACCACGAGCTCTTTTCGAAGTCCAGAAGAAGCGTTGACGGAGCATGTTGACGAGGGTGGACGTCTTGCAGGAAAGCCAGGCAAGCATATGAGTCAGCGTAGTATCGGAACATGGAATTGATGGCCTCGTTCAGCTCTGCAGAACTGCTCTTGTCGATACAGCACGTGTCATGCCATATCCACTCGAGATCGGAAACGCCTTCCCGCCGCCTAGAGCTTGGGGCAGTGCTGGGAGCGAGAGGAGTGCCGTAGTCGCACGAAATGCTATGTCGGAGACACCGCTCGCATGCCGGCAGCCCGTTGCTGCACACTCGATTCGCCGTTGCACAAGCCATGCATGACTTGCTCGATAGAGGCACGGCCCCAGGGGGAGGCTCGGGTTTGACATCGCGCTCTGCGTCTTCCGATATGACCGGTAGTGGATCCGCCGGGGAAGGGAGGTCGTACTCGCATGCCAGACCATCGTGCTGGCAGTTGCAACACTTCGGCTTCTTCTTGTTGCATTGGTATTTCCTCGTGAAGCATTTACTGCAGTCTCCTCTCGTGTTTGGTACAGCAGAATCTCTGGAAGGGCAAGACACATCCTTGCCCCATTCGCGCATGAACTCGCAGAACTTTAGGATCTTTTTGTAGCCTGCAGTCTCCGTGACATTGGGAGTCCGTTCGCGGCCACAGAATTGCTGGTAGGTGATCTCCTCGTCGACCCAGCGTGGGATGTAACGACATATGGTGGCCGATCGTCGGCGGTGAACTCACGGAACTCCAGCGTATGTACATTGAGCAGACGCATGATCAATTTTTCCCGGGCAGATCCTGGCAATAGGTCACGTTTAAAAGAGAGTGGACCTACCTCGATCAAATACTATGTAATAAGGCTGCCAAACAGGCGCAGCAGACGCCATACTATCACCTCCCCGCCACCCTCTCCCTCGCAGCTCGGCTGCCAGCCTTTCCTCGATCCCTGCATGGCCATGCGCTGCACGTCAAAAGCTCTCCGTGGTATCTGTTGCTGTTCGATATCATCGTGTCTGTATCGTTCTCCCTCCCAAGAACACCAAGTGCTATCCACGTAGTTCATCTCGGAGATATTGCTCGCGTGCCAAACGCTCGTGTAGCTTCGGCAGATACCGAGAGCCCCACAAGTTCTTCAGAAGCGCCTCGATCCGCTGCACGACGACGTGCATCCCATCCTCCTGCTTGTCAGCATCGAATACCCACCTCGACATCATACCTGCCCTTGAAACCTGCTGCACCTCCGCCGAGCTGTACGCGCAATCTTAGCTTACTTATACCTGCCTTGACCGCCACCATGGACAGTCAGGGGACATACACATTTCGTTGGTACGCGCTGCACCTCAGAGCCCTGCAATACGTGAAAGCAGGCTACCGCATGCGTGTACATCGAGGCTGACTTCGTATACAGGGAACATCCCGAAGCTTCAGAAGTCTTCGTCACGGGTGATTTCGACGGTTGGAGCAAGAGTATACAGCTGGACAAGGCGGACAACGTGTTTGAGAAGACGGTGCCGCTGAAGAAAGAGAGGCATCAGTACAAGGCAAGTAACACCGAGTCGTAGCTGTCTTAAACCTGCAGGCTACGATGTTCAGGTTACATTTGATGCTTGGAGACTGACTGTACTAGTTTGTCGTCGACGGCGTGTGGAAAGAGAACTCCAGCGCAAAAACCCTCACCGACGACGCAGGCAACGTGAACAACGTGATAGATCCGGAAGACGTTAAAGAAGACACGTCTGCAGCCATGATGTCCAGCGTTGGTGCCGGCGCAAGCACGACCGCGATGGCGGGTGCACAGCCGAAAGAAAGCGAAAAGGAGCAGTCGTCTCCCACGCCCGGTGCATTTCCTGAGACTCCTGCTCTGGATTCTGAAGACCGCTCCTTCTCCGTCAACCCCATCCCTGCTTCCTCCGGGAATGCACCAGCTACCAGCAACACCATCGAGTCCACGGTGCACGATGACCAGGAACTAAAGAGCCAGGATCAAGGCGAGCAGACTTTTGGTGTGAATCCTATCCCTGCATCTTCAAGCATGGGAAATCCCATTCAATTAGCACCTGGCGAGAAAGTGCCAGATCTGAGCAAAGGCAGGACTGTAGAAGACACTGCGCGGTCTGATCCAGCGTCCTACGGGAAGAGCGACGCACAGCCACCCTCTTCAGCTCCTGGAACACAGTTCACAGCAGATCAAGCGATACTCAACGGACCTGGGCCCGTCATCCCCGAATCCAGCATGCCCATGGGCAACACCACTAACGCCAGCAACGCAGACATTGGCCCGATGATGTCTTCTGCCGGCGCAGACAGCTCCACTGCTCAGCTTGCAGGACAGGTACCAAAGGAGCCGCGCGGTGTGCCTGAGGTGGTCAGCGACAGCCAGCACGAGGCGCATGTCGATCCGGAAGCATCAGGGAACCCAGAGGCTGTTGAGGAGAAGAAGGAGATGGAGAAAGAGCTGCAGAAGACGGTGTCTCAGTCCGACGAGCAGGGTGAGCCGGCGCCGTCTGCAGAAGACTCCAGCCAGAGTGGAGATGGTGCGGGCGCAAAGGCGGCGGCTGGTGTTGCTGCTGCGGGTGCTGGTGTCGCAGGCGCAGCGGTCGCGGCGAATGAGCTTGTTAAGGACAAGACTGGCAAGGACCCAGAGTCCGCGATGCCGGAGTCTGTACAGGAGACAGTGGATGAGAAGGCCAAGGAGTCCTCCATCCCACAGCAAGCGACCACCACCTCCGACGAACCTGCGCCGACCGACGCCGCACGCGAGACCACCACTACCGTCCCAAGCGGTGTGACAGAATCCCAAGACAAGGCTGGCTTCGAGCACGAGGCTGCCGGAAGTCCTGACGCTGTCAAGGAGAAGGCTGCTATGGAGGACGAGCTGCTGCAGAAGGTCCCTGAGTCTGAAGCGCAGGGCGAGCCGGCGCCAGTCGAAAGCGCTGCTGTCGCTGCCACAGCGCCTACCGCGACGACTGAGTCCTCTGCTGTACCCACAACGGACAGCACTGCTGCCACAGCTTCGCCTATTGGTACTACTCTCCCTTACTACGGCGAGCCACGGGAGACTGCTTCTACCGAGCCCATGACGACGACTACATCGTCTACTGGTGCTCCTCAGCTTGGTGACCCAACCGCTGGTGTAGCTCCAATTTCGATGGAGTCAAAGTCAGCGGGCGATTCAGCGCTCAAAGCCCCAGCTGAACCCGAAACGGCGACCACTACAGATGACTCGGCTCTTAATGCATCTGCCGAGTCGGAAGCCAAAGCACCTACGGACAAGCTCAAGGAGAACGAGCCACCACAAGCCGAGCCACCACAAGCCGAGCCACCACAAGCCGAGCCACCACAGGCCATGGACAGCCGAGATGTTAGCCCCATGTCGAAGCAGCCCACAATGACCCAGAGCCAGCCAGAAGCCACCACCGGCGTTGCATCCGCCGCTGTCCCACGCAAGAACGAGCCATCAGCGAGCACACCGCAGAAGCGACAGTCCTGGTTCGGAGGAAAAGGCACGCCGGAAAGCACCAGGACGACGGAGACGACGGACAGCAAGAAGGACAAGCGACGGAGCTTCTTTGGCAAGATCAAGGACAAGCTCAAGTCATAATCCTCCTTGCCCCCGTCATCGTCTTCTAGTCGCTGCGGCTAATATGACTTGTGCGTATTAGACTGAGCGACAAGAAGACGAACCGCGTCGACAGCACTTCTTCGGGACCGGCTGGCGACGAGAAGAGTTCTCGACCTTTTGATACCCCCTCCCGCAACTCTCACCACATTGTTAATTCACGCCCTCTGGTTTCTGCGTCCGATCTTCTATCTTCTACGTCCGGCTTGCGAGCAAAGCTGCCTTCCGCTACTGGCTCGCAGCTATTCCCGCGCTCCGGCCAATCTTCTCGCCATCCCCTCGCCACTTCACAAACACTACCACGCCCCGCGCACTTGCCCAAAACCCGGCGCTCATCCTTCACCGCCAGTGGCCGCCACAGACCTCCCATCTGGGACGACAGCCATCGCGGCCGAAGCTGTCTGCCGAAATACCTCCCTCCCATCTCTCCCGTCCTCGAAAACGAACGCTTCTCTGTTCCCTTCCGCGACTCCTCCACGACGCCCACACAGCCCGATCAATGGCCGCTCACCGTCTCCGCCAACCCTCACCTCGGCATCACCCTCGGCAAAGGCCACCTCAGCCTGCCTCCACACGCCTTTCAGCACGTCTGCGTGTCCGCCGCCTGCAACTGTCATATCTGTCGACCTGAAGGACCGCAGATCTGTGGTCCTCGGAATCCTAATGTTTTGTGCAGGAAGTGCAAGTGGACGAGGGCGTGGAGGGAGAAGACTAGGAGGACGAATCGGAGGGCCGATGCGTGGGCGCTTAGAGGGAGGGTGGGGTTTAACTGGGTTGGTCATTAGGGTGCTGGTTGTCAGGTGTGTTGTTTTGAAGTGTGATGAAGAGGTGGCTTGTCTCGTTCTTGGATATGTCGCGGGCGGAACACCACTTTCGCGAGTTGGATGCGCGGGATGGTTCTTGTTTTTAATACTTCTGGGGTGGGAGTGTTGATATTGTTTAGTGCTTTGTATCCATCTCATCCCTCGACTTGCCATCTTTCATAGTTCGTTGTGGTGGCAGTGCTCGGTACATACCTCCCATACTTACTCTCTGAATGCGTGCAGTTTGGCCAGACATGGCTCTCGTGAATTCGTCCATTGAGATACTCATCCTACTTCATTTCGGTCCAATACCTGCCCTCTCTTGCCTCCTCTTTCTCAAATTCTGCAGCATTGACTGGAGTACCATCCTCTCAACGGCAATCGGCTCATCGAATTGGGCGTTCGCATACAAGGCTGAATTTAGAAGCGTTTCAGCCCCCAAAAGGTGCACCTCGACGCTCCTCGCCACTCGAGATCGCCAGGTTGTTTTATGGTGTGTAGGCGCCAACGCACCAATGGCACTGCAGCGAGCGCAACCTCGTCGGTAGGAGGCAGGATATATCACCTCTCCCCGATCGTGGAAGTGCGACTACGATGCTACAGAGAAGACTATCTCTCCTCAGTCCACCACTGCCCCTGAGAACGCCATGTCCGAGACGACATATAGGCCCATCGACAGCGACGCCGACTGTGAGGATGCCACCACAGCCCGGGAGCATGAAGCGCGATCGCATACTCCCGAAACTTTGGATCCGAAGGAGGATGCGAGCAGTCAGCACTTAGACTCCACCTCGACTCCAAGGCCATGCAAACGTCCCACCTCGAGCGGCAGCATCTGGACAGCGCTGCTGGACTTCTGCTTGGTTCTGCCTCCGATCTACTTCCTAGTCTTCGCTTTTCTCGTCTACTCAAGAGACCAGACGCCGGTCGATACGACAGATGAAGACAATGCTCTGCTGCAAGCCGCCGCACTGGGCCCTACCCTCTTCCCCATCGCTTTCGCCGCGATCATTGGAAGCTTCCTGAACGCTGTTGCAGCATGGCGGATCGAAAGAGGCGCCAGTGTTGCTACCTTGGAACAGCTACTGGGATCAAAGACGGTCTTCAGTGCGGTCACACTCCCTGCTAAGCTGCAGGTGTTTACCTTTCTTGGGCCGTTGCTCATTGCGCTGTGGGCTATATCGCCTATAGGTGGTCAAGCATCTCGACGCATCGTTGACACGGGACTGCAGTATCGGACATCGTCCATCAACGCCTCGTATCTGGATACCAACAAGCCATACGACCTATGGCGCAATTCTGGCAAGCCAAGCGACTTTGCAAGAAACAGCGCCGCGTATGTCACTGCGCTCCTAAACGCCGGTACTCTCAAACATCGCCGTTGGGATACATTTCGCAACATCAAGATCCCAATGATCGAGTACCTGGACACTCGAGACGGTAGCGGTGGTGGGCATGAGTTCCAAAACGTGCCCACGGAGGGAACCATTGCTTGGTCGTCCTTGATAGGTACGTCGGTGAGGAAAGGCTTTCATGAGTCCCACCCGGCATTGTTGCGAGACGCGAGATAACTTCAAGAAGCCAGCTGACACAATGATTAGGTGTCCCTCACGCGCGGGTTCAGACCCTCCCAAATTCCACGGTCGTTCCCAGTATATTGCCAGCAAACGCCGACACTTCTTTCAATCTGGAATCTAGCTATCTCAACGCCGACTGCTCTGACCCACGTCTTTATGATGTAAATTTCTATTCCGGGAAACCTTGGATTAAGTTGACGAACAGCTCATATCCAGAAGGCATTACGCTACTCAAGAATCCCGGCGAATCCACGCAACTTGGCTTGGAAAAACATTCAAGGAATTCCACCGGTCCACGGATAGTCCACTTCCAATCCATTGGCGGTAATGGCATGACCTATGCGAGATGCGCTCTTACCACAACATATGTGGAATCTAAAGTGCAGTGTGACGGGACCGCTTGCTCTGTGACCGCGATGAGACGGTCCTTGAATCCTTGGACGCCGTCTCATCTGACGCTGCTGGACTTTTCCAATCCCGGTTATCAAGAAGGAGATAGAGACTTCTTCATCAACTGGCTCGAGGCGACGCCAGGGAGCCGGAGCTCGACTTGGGCTAGTCCAAGCGACATATACTTCTCAATGCCGGACAACCCATTCACGGTTGAGGAGGATGTATCCGCATTCAGCCCGGACATCGCGGACCTTGACAAGCAAGCCTTCCAACTTCGGTTTGCTCAACTTCTGAATACGGCGTACATCGCCGGTGTCTCGCCGAGGGGTGCCACGGGAGTCTTCAATCCTGGCTACACCTTAGCACCCGCCAACGTGGGCCAGGCCTACCCTGTCGCGGAAGATGCCACGAGGTACGCGCAAGCCATCGTCCAGCACTCGCGCACAGTACTGCGCTGCCACTACGGCTGGTTCGCGGTGCTGGTGCTCTCGTCACTGCTCATGCTTGCCGCCGCCATCGCCGCAATGACGTTCAACCTGCTCAGGCAAGGGCCAGACATTCTAACTTCCTTCTCATCGCTACTGCGCGACAATTGTCATATTGATCTTCAAGGGCTGGGATCCATGGCGGATGGACTGGAGCTGAGCCGAGCATGGGCGAGGGAGAGAGTCGCCCTTGGCGACGTAGCGCCGGAGAAGGAAGTCGGGCATATTGCGATTACCAGGGTGAATAGTGGCATGACCAGATTGATGAAGGGGCGAATGTATGATTGATCGCTCTAGCAACTTGTTTGAACCACTTACACCTGGCCTCGAGCACGAATCTCACTTCCTTAATATATGATCCTCAAGGTCCTCGAGACTTCCATCCAGAGGTGTCGGTGTTGACTGCAGCACCAACGTCCGCCCTTGAGAAGCTTTTGGCAGCTCATTTACGCCACTTCAAGCATTGGTTATCACCAGGACAGACTCGATACCCATGAACGCCTCTTCTCCCAGCGTGAAATGCCTGGCATGCGCAGTGTGTCACCGCCCCCATGTCCAGACTCCACAACTACACGAGAGGGAGCAAAGGGTAGTCGCAGACCTGGATTGGATACAGAGTACGAAGACAAGCTTTCCTCCAACCGACGTCGAGGCAACAGCGAACGACAGAGAGGTATTGACCTCACTTCACCTGAATCATTGCTTGCTATCTCGCACAGCTTCGATGTTGGAGGCCCGTTTGCTGACTTGTGTCATCGCTTCGTGGCATACTGCTAGGGATATCTACCTCGTCATCGTACAGCCACAGCAGCCTGCAAGTGCGAAGCGTTTTCGTCCAGAACCTTCTCACTAGCACCATTGAAATCAGGATTCGCGCCTTTCTCATCCTCCGGCGTCGCAACCGCCGTACTCTCAGACAGACCCGTGTCCTGCTCCTCCCGTGAACTCTCATCCCGTCGTCGCTCACCCTTACGCTCCAGATCCTCCACCGTCCGCCCATTCGGCAACACCTCCTCCCCCTCATCCACACCCTTCGGTTGCTCCATAACGGGTGCCCGCGGCTGCTCCGCCCGCTCCATCTCCTCCCTCCTCCGCTCAAAAAACTTCTCCAAATCCTTCCCGTCCTTCCTCGCCCTTAACGCTCTACCTGCCGTGTCCACGCTCTCCAACGCCCCGTTGACATCCCACTCCTTCTTCTCCCTCCGCATGCGGTACTTGCCCACCAGATTTCCGCCCAGATGGCCAAACTCCTTCTGCGCCTCTGCCCAGATCTCCTCGTACACGCCCCACCCCTCTTTCACTTCCGCCTTGGCTTGCTCCGCCTTCTCCGCCCCTTCCTTTTCTAACCCCCACAAATCCTGCTCTCCTGCCACGATCCTCGAGCGTCGAATAAAAGCTTTCGAACCCGGCCCCTGCTGCCGGTTCTCCACCCACTTGAAGAACCCCTTCACCACGTAACCCGGCGGCGCTACAATGGCATTCGTATTCTTGATCACAAAACCTCCTACACCTTTGCCCACACCCGTTCCCAACCCCGCCATCTTCCCCACCACGCCCTCGCCGTCCTCCCAGTCCCCGCGCGGTTGACGCACGAGTCCCGTCCAGCCGTCGGAGATGCCGTAGACGAACTCGTTGCGCGCGGCGGTGCAGCCGGATTTGAAGCCGGTGATTTTGGTCGGTTTGCGCACGGTTGAATCGCCGTAGAGGCGGGGCGAGTTGTGCAGGCCTTGCGCGAGCGCGACGTGGAAGTCGTTGGGCATGGTGAGGATAGCGGCGCCGGTGCGGCGGAGACCCCAGCTCAGGTCGTCAATGACTTCGTGCGGGAGGGTCTCGGAAGGATCAGCGGAGAGGGCGGAGGCGGAGGTGTCGTTAGTGAGTTCTCTACGGTTTGGCGGGCGGTCGGTGCTGGGTTCTTGTTTGGTCCGAGTAGCTTCTGCAGCTTTCCTAGACTCGCGTTCCGCCTTTCGTTTTTGCCTCGCTCGTTTTCGCCGTTCATGCTGTTCGCGCTCGTGGATGTGCTTGCTGATTCGCACCGGGACCATGCCAATGCCTTCGCTGATGCCGTAAAGCGAGTCTGATAGAGCACCCACGCCGCCCGTAAACGGCTCACCAGGCCCGTCAAAGTCGTTCCATTCGTGATGTCGTATCAACTTCAAGTCGCCCCATTTCAGCTTCCCCTGCTTATGCAGCATCTGCGCCGCCAGCGCGGAAAGCCGTAACGACGACTTCCGCAATGTCCAGACAGCAACACGATCCTGAAGAATCGAACATCGCATACTGTGCCGTCCAGCCAGTGAAAGACTGCGATGGAATGACTTCACCGCATTCTCAGCCCCATCACCTTCCTTCGCCATCGAATCTGCAATCCGCTGCACGTTCTCCTGCGCTTCGTCCGTCAGACATTGCCTGATGCCCTCCGCCAGCCTCTCCATCGTCAACCGTTTATACGGTATACACTCATGCGCCCCCGCTTTCGCATCGGCGACCATCGCGCCCCAAAACGGTTGATCACCGAAGAACGGCACAATCATAGTTGGCTTCCCGCACTTCAACCCGATGGCCGTCGTTCCCGCACCACCATGATGCACCACCGCTTTCACCCTTGGGAAAAGCCAATCGTGCGGCGTATTATCAAGCATGAAAACATTCTTCGGCGTGTCCTTATTGCTCCTTCCAAAACCACCCCATCCCTTATGCACCAGCGCTCGTACGCCAGCTTTCTCAGCCGCTTGGAAAATCATATCCGTGAACTTGTCGGGGTCATCGACGACAATACTGCCAAACCCAATATAAACAGGCGGTTCCCCGGCGTCCAAGAAATCCGTCAGCTCCTGCGGTGGCTTGAAACTACTCGCCAGATCCATAAACACGAACCCAGCAATATCGATCTCCGGTCCCCAGTCCTGCGGTTTCGGCACTAGCGAAGGGGACCATAGATATGTATAAGGCACCTTCATCCTGTACAACGCCCCAGGCGCCCACAACGAGCTGACTGGCTCCAAGTGCAGCGTGTTCTCGCGGAATTTATTCACGATATCGCCCAAGCCCTGCCACGTCATCATCTCCACCAGCGGGTAGGACATGAAGTTGACGTATCCCGCGTCCACGTTGCTCCGTCGGGGCTTGATGTTCGCCAGCGGATGCGGGAACATGGTCGTGGGGCTGTAGGGGAAGGTGAAGAACATGTGCAGCGGAATCCCCAGACGCTCTGCAACGTGCACATGCGCCATGGAGGGTGGATTGGCAATGATGGCATCCGCGACGAATGGCTCCATCGACTCCATCATCTTCAGATTCCCCTCGTCCGTCTCACCGTCTGTAGTATTAACGCAAGCCCGCCAGAACCCCTCAAACATCTGCGCCATGGCTGCTCTTCGTCTTCCAATCTCTCCTTCCCGTAAAGTCTGCATATTAGGAATGAGACCAGGGTTCTTGACCATAAAGGCCATGAGTTCCGAAGGATCGCCGCCAACGGAGAAGAACTCCAACCCACCGTCTCGTTCGACAAAGTCCCGAAAGACGGGGTGCGAAGCAATCCTCACCCGATGCCCGTGCTCATGCCGTAGGATCTTGCCAATCTTCAAGAACGGCTGGATATCCCCCCTCGACCCAATAACCATGATCACGATATTCAGTCTCGGCCGCGGAACGCTCGTCCTCAGCGACGAAGCGATCGACTCCGCTTCTTCCTCCTGCGCCTGTTCGTGAGGAGACTCGGCATTCGAACTGCGTTTCCGATTGCGATGCGGGATATCGAGGTGATTCCGAATGCTCTGCCCGAGCGCTTTGGCAATGTATCCGCTATTCGCCGTCTCGTTGATGGAGATTTTGAGCCGGCCGTCTTTGCGCGACACGCGACCTTTGGTCTTGAACAGGTCATTGCCGATGGTGAAGCGGGAGTAGGCGTAGCGGCGTTTGGCGACCTTCTGATCGTCTGTAGTTTTGACTTCGGTGGTATCGAGCGGTTGGCTGGGCTGTGGTGCCGTCGCCTGTGGCACCGGGTCCTTTCGGTCTTCTGCTTCCTCGTCTGAACTCGAGTCGCTTGACTCCGAGTCCGACAAGGGCGCATCCTTGAAAGCATACTCGTACGTATCGCTCCTCCCAAGCTGCGACTGGGTTCCCGTCCTCGACCGCTTCATGGATCCAAGCAACGTGCTCTTCCTCTGCCCAACACCCGGCCTCGTCCGCTGCTCCGCCGGCGCTGTCCGACTTTTTGTAGGCGCTACGATGGGTGGTTCCGCATGTCCAAAGTCTTGCGTAGCACTTCTCTGGACTTCGAGCTGTGGCTGTGCGGAGCCGCTCGTTGCGGGCGACGGTAGGCCCATATCAGTCGCGGATCGTTGCATTGTCTGCGATTGCTCTTGTGTTGTATTGACCGCACCCTCTCCTCCACCGGTCGAAGTCCTAGGTTCATCGGAGGTTGTAGTTTGAGTCGCATCGTCGCCAGGAAACAGAAACCCACTGCTCTCGCTCTTGCCCTCCATACCGTCGCTCGTTCTTCCTCAGACCACTTCTCTTCAATCTTACCACCAGACGCCTCCCGCTATGCAGATCCAGCTCTCTTCCAAGTCCCAAGACAATCAATCATGCAAGTACCTCACTGCCACCCTTGGCCATCATCGTCCGAAGTCTCGCTACTCGCTGGCGATATGGACAGGGATCAATCAGATCAATGAAACCAAACCAGAAACCAAAAATGCACCGCGACAGCCAGAGAAGAAAGTATGTACAGTAAATGGCCTAGTACATTGATCTATGATGATGAGGCTCTACCGCTCTCGATACGACTACAGAAGCGATCGAGAAAGTATAATGTTAATTGTCAGCGGAAGCGTGCGAGAAGGTTTAGGGCCAGCGCAAAATGGCTTCCGCGGCGTTCCTAGACGATGATGATCATCGAGCGACACTCATCGGTCGGCCTCACGGTCGAGACCTGAGACGAGATCTTGGGTAGTGCTTGGCCGCGGACGACGAGCTTGGGGTTGACGAGACGAGATGGTGTCTGGTGCAAGCAGATGAGGAGATTTGGAGATTTGGACATTGTAATATCAGTGTACACATTAGCTATGTTCCGCGAGACCCAATTCGCACGCACACGCCTTCGACCCAGATTGCTCGTGAGGCGCTGAAACGCATAGCATAGCTCGTCATAAAATACACGTCCACCCCATCCCTCTCACCATCACCGCGCATAACCCACACAGATTGAGATTACGAAACATGCCGTCCCGGTGACATCACGCCCGATGGACCTGCCATACGCACCATCCTATTAGGCCACCCCGTCACGCATTAGTATTGGCATGAGCTTAGACCTGGCTCATAGCCGGCCCGCGACGGATGCCAGAAGATCCACCGCCCGAGCCACGCGACGCCATGCCGGACAGCGCGGTGCTGACGGCGAAGCAGGCGAAGCCGAACCAGAGGAAGGCAGTGACGGCCTGGGATTCCTGGCAGCGCTGGTGCATGTTGTCGGCACCGTTGGTGATGCGGTTGTTGCGGAGGTAGTGCTGTGTTCATCAATTAGCGATCATAACCCTCATAAATCCATGTTTTGTTTGGGATGTGTTTTGACATACGTTATTACTGCACGAATGCACCCCCAACTCGGCCGCATACGCGACCGCCCCACAGAACCAGAACAGCGTGTTCAGCGCGTCAATCGCCAAGGGCACCATACCGCCAAGCGCGAGCGACGACATGAACGAGGCCGGGATGAGGTAGAAGAGGCAGAGCATGGCGAAGACGGCGCAGAACATGGCGTAGTTGATGATGGACGGGTTGCCGGCGAAGGCGTCGCTGATCATGTCGCCGGTGAGGGCCATGACGAGGAGGGCGAAGAAGAACTGTCGCGTTGTCATTCTATTAGCTGTTTGCTGCGAGTGGTGGTGGAAGGAGGTGGTGGTGTACCTGGAGGCCTCGGAAGACGAGGTTGAGTATTTGCGACATGGCTGCTGTTGTAGTCGTCTGTGTCTCCTTGGTTTTCAAGTATCTAGCGAGTCGTCGTCGTCGTCAGGTGTCGCGATAGTATTTCCTCGTAGAAGTGATGGCGGTCGCGGTAGAGAGAGAAAGAGGAGAGCGTCCCAGTTTTTGACTTCCCAGCGCAGGTCTTACGATGCTCCTCGCTCACAGAGAGCTTCGACCTGACGTCAACGGAGGCGCTCGGAACAAACTCGAAAGCTTGTCCTGGTGCTGTCGTCACTCGCCCAAGATGAGACTTTAGACTTTCTGGCTCAATATTGGACCGTCCCGTGGAATGGCGTGAAGCTTTTGCAGAAGTGGTGATGATGTCGTGGAGTGAGCGAGTGGAACGTGTGAGATTGTCTGAGGTGGAAACGTTTGGTAGGAAGTGCAAAGTGGTGGAAAGATGTCCAGCCAGGAAGAGGCAGATCTGGTTGGCCGCGGTCGCTTCTGGCCGGGCAACCGAGAACCGCAAGGCCGGGATGAAGACGGCAACAGGCGACAGAATTGTACCACCACAGCACGATAAGGAGTAGAATATCATGTGAAGACAGTAGGTATGTTGATTTTGATCCATTTTCACAACAGCCGAGGAATATCCCTCTCTATCGCAGGTAGTAGGCATTGAAGGCATGCAGACAGCAGCCGTAACATTCCACAGCCGCCAGAGCAGAGCGCCAGCATATGCCAATGCCCTCTTCTTTCAATGCTACAGTTATCCATTCATCATGCATCAGTCAATCAATCAATCATTCGCTCGCTCCAGCATTCGCAATTCCGTAGGCTTCGCAGTTTTCTGCGCAGTGCTCCTCGCAGTGCTCTTCGCAGCAAGCAAATAAGCAGATAGTCAGTCGATTTGACCAAGCCTCCCAAAAACCCGTATAACACCCCCATCCCATCCCAGAAAACACCATCAACCATGCGAGCATTCAATTCACACTTCCTTCTTTTCTCAGACACAGCACTCACTCGCCCCCATCGCTTACTCCTCATGCTCCATAACAAACACCCCACTCCCAAAAACAGCGCGCTGCGCATCCGTCAAGTCCTCCTTCCACTCTCCCCTTTCCTCTCCATCTTCACCATCTTCCACCTCGTTCACTTCGACAGCGACGGCCTTCTTGGCCGCAGCCTTCCGCTCCCGCTTCACCATCTCCTCATGCGCCAGCCTCCGCTCTTCAGCAAGCTTCTTCCCTTCTTTGACCTTTTTTTCCTTCTTCGCCTTCTTCCTCTTTCTCCTCTCCTCCTCTCCATCCTCCTTCCCACCATCCCTCCCCTCAACCCCCTTAATCTGCTCAATAAGCCGTCCAATAATCTCCTTCTCCCTAGCATCTTCTTCCTTATCAAACTCCTCCTCTTTCTCAGCTCCTCCTAACCTTCATTCCTGCGCCTCCGCCAACTGGATAATCAACCGACTCGCCACGTCCAAAAACGGAAACGGACTACTAACATCCTTCTCCCCCTCGCTCCGCCCCGCCCCCACCATCTCTTCCCCCCACTCATCCACCGCGCCGTCCCCTTCCTCGTAGCCGGGCTCGGCGTTATCCACGCGCACGACGTCGCTCTCGTTACTCCCCGCGCCGCCGCCGGAGACTTCGGAGGCGAAGCGCCGAACCAGCCGCTCGTAACCCGCGCACTTGAAGTCGACCAGGTAAAAGTCCTTCTCGATGCTGTACAGCTGGATCGTCACGTACACCCACGCGCTGTCGTGTGCGCGCGCCCAGCCGGGGTTCTCGCCGGGGCCGTGTAAGCTCGGAGCAGCGCTGCTGGTGGAAGTCGCGCCGGGGCCGACGGCGGCCATGTTCTCCATACTGCCGGCCGTGGAGTTGGCGCCGGACACCGAAGAGCTGCGACGCGCCTCGCGCTCGTGGAGGTCGACGCGGGAGGAGTGCGTGGAAGAAGGCGGGTTGATGCCGGGCGGGTACATGTTGTCCTTCCGGAAGCGCGCGTAGATGACCCACGGGTCTTCCGGCAGCGTGTAGCCCCAGTCGTTCCACCGCCCGTAGCGCTGCATCCACGGCTTCTTGTGGTCGTTGTTCAAATTCGTCTCGTCCCTGCGATGCAGCCGCCTCTTCTCCTGATCCGAGTGCGTAGCATATTCTGGATCTGTACCAGGCTCGGGGTCCGAGTCGCTGTACTCTGGACTCTGACTCCCATCACGCTGGCCACGCTCAGGACTGCCCTCCCCACTCCCCGTACCCGGATCACGCGGCCGCACCACCTCCCACTCCGCTCCCATCTTCTTCAAAGCTTTGTACAGAGCAAGCATTGCTTCGCATGGCGTATTCCTACTGCGGATGCCGAACTGCCATTTCTGGGGCTTCGTCTTCTTGGAGCCTTTGTCGGGGATCGGAGTCATGGACTCCGGCTTGTTGCCGTTGCGTTGCAGGTTGGTCGTGCTCCTGCTGTGCGGCTTGAGGCGACGCGCGGTAGCTTCCTGTTCTTCCTGCGTGCGCAAACGATTGTCGTCAGGCGCATCGTCCGCTTGTGTCGGCGATGAAGCATGCTGCTGCGCCTGACCCTTCATGTACTGCGCATGGTAGTCCGGCAGTGAAGACGGCAGTACCGCAATTGTAGACGCCGGCGAGCGAGCCTCAACAATCGACGACGACCCAGTCGAGCCATGCCTCGGGTGATCCATCCCAGCCAACGGTGACGGCCCCGGCCGTCCTCCCGGCGGCGACGTTGGCAGACTATGATTGAACGTCGGTGGCGACTGCGCCATGAAAGCCGGCTGGTCCTGCGCCAGCGATGGGTTCGTCTTCATCAACTGGTTCTCCCTCACAATGAGATAGGCATCCTTGATCGCGCTTGGCTCGTCTTTCGCCAGCGCTTCCTGAACATCATCGGGCGCATAACCCATGGTCTTACCAAGCTTGCCCACGACACTCTGATGGAGCTTCTCTTGCACAACGACCGGTTTGCCCTTGGCAAGCGCGTGCGGGTCAATGGCCTTGTTGGGGTCGACTCCGGTGTCGATGAAGTCTTCCACGGGAGGTTGCAGGTATTCGGGTAAATCCTTCATGAACCACGGGTCCTGGCGGATTTCCTGGATGGTGATGCGGTTGACCGGATTGACCTGCAGCATCTTCTTGATGAGCCGCTGCGCTCCGGAGGATACATACGGCGGGATGGAATAGTTGCCCTGCGCAATCTTCCTAAACAGCGAAGGGATGTACTCGTCGTCGAACGGCAGACGCCCGCACAGCAGGACGTAGAGGATGACACCACAGCTCCACACATCCACCTCCGGACCGGCGTAGAGCTTCCCGCTAATAACCTCAGGCGCAGCGTAGTTGGGACTCCCACAGCTCGTCTTGAGAAAGTTCCCGTCGGTCATGATGTTACTCAAGCCAAAATCCGCAATCTTCACATTCAGCTGCTCGTCCAGCAACAGATTCTCCGGCTTCAAATCCCGATGCACGATTTTATGGCGATGACAGTACTCCACAGCGCATGTTATCTGCTGGAAGAACTTCCGCGCCTTGTCCTCGGCCATCTTCCCATTCTTCACAATGTAGTCGAACAGCTCCCCGCCAGCATACTCCAGCACCATGACAATCTCCGTGGGCATGGTGATGACGGTGTAGAGCTTGATGATGTGCGGGTGACGCAGGAGTTGCAGGTACTGGATCTCACGCTCGATGCGGCCGGCCATATCCCTAGTAACCAGCTTCTTACGCGAGATGATCTTGAGAGCTACCTTCTGCCCGGACGAGTTGTGCGTGGCCAGCTTCACCTTGCCGAACGAGCCCTCGCCGAGCGTCTTGACGATGTTGTACTGTCCCAGCCGCTCTGAGCCTTTGCCTGTGCGCTGGCGGGGTGGTGGCATGGCGGGAATGGTGGGGTTGGTCGAGCCGGAGGCCGCGGTTGAGGGGCCAGTGGTGGTGCCATTGGGGGCCTCGTTGCCGCGGCGGGGCTGCGAGCTGGAGATGGAGAGGGCGAGGTCATCGTCGTCGATGGCGGAGGTCATGGTGGAAAGGGTTCGAAGAGTGGCCGGCGGACCGGCTCACTGAGCTGCTGCCACTTGCTGCTTTAGGGTGGGTTGTGGTGATACGAAGCGCGGGTGAGTAACGTCAGTCGCGTCAGTGGCCGGCGGTGCGAAACGGGTTCAATGCGGTGCGATGTGCGGCCTTGACTGATGAGGTTGCAGCCGAGGGTGGTGTTGGTGACTGCTGTCGATTTGCGAAAGGCTGCTCACTGTTGTTAATCGTATCAGCGACATGTGCAAGTCACGTTCATGGTATCAATTGCAATAGCGGCAGCATGGCAGTGTGGTGCTTGGTTGTAGGAGTGAAGCAAAAGTGGAGGGGTCAGGCCAAAGTGCGGGTGCAACAATTTGGGGAAGCAGCGGCTTCGATGGAACCTTCCGAGCCTAGCGTCACTGTCACATGAAAGTCACGTCATTCCAACTATGAAACTTCAATGTACTGACACAGCAAACATTCACATCTCCAGCCTCAGAAGAGCTATAACACACCTCACAACCCAATACATCAATCCAATATACCCTCCCAACATCGCCCCGTTACACAACGGAAGCCTCTGGGGAAGCAGCGAGGCACACCAATCCCAAGCCGCTTTCGGTTTCGACCGCATGCCGCTAATGACGACGTGCATTGAAGATGTCGGGCAGTGGTTCGTCGATCGCTTGACGTGCCGAAAGTTACCAGGACTCATATCATCAATTGCAAATCCCCGTTTCGTTGCTCTGCTATCTTTGGAAGAACTGTTGAGGCAGTGAGCGCCATGCCTCTTGTCACGAGACGCTGTCATCAACGCCTGGTAGTCACCCCCCCCTCCCCTTCCCAGTGAAGCATACAGTATCCGCCGCCTTAGACCCTGCTCCAACCAGCGCCTTCGCTAAATTCATAATGCATGATGCCCGTGAAACGCCGTTCACTCCGTCCTTACTCGTTTGCTGTCCGTCTCTCCTGCTTCTGTCCCCTCGCCCGATGCCGAACGCTTGAGGCCAGCTGCTTGGTGTGCTGTAGGCGCTGTCTGTGCCTGTATCTGAAGAGACCCTTGGGGTGGTGATGTTGCAGCGCCTGCCTGCGCCTGTGGTGGGGCTTGGGTTGAGGGCCGCGGTGGTGCTTGAGGCTGGACTTGTGCCTGGCCTGCTGCTGGCGGAGGCTGAAGCTGCCCTTGACCTGGACCTGCTTGCCCAGCGGTCTGAGGCGGAAGATATGATTGCGCCGGTGGTTGAACTGCCGGCGCAGCCCCTTGGCCGCTGTTAGCCATACCATCTTGCGGACCAGTGGGCTGCGGTTGTCCGTTCGTCGTTGGGATAGCCTGTGTAGGTGCTGATGATGGCCCTGCCGGCATCGACTGAGGCGCCATAGCCTGGGCTGGTGGCGGCGGCGGACCACTCCCACCTTGCCCACCCTGCACCATACCACCCCCCTGCCCATTCTCCACCGCATTCCCCACCGCACTCGTCACGCTCCCTCCCCCCTGCTGACCCTGCCCCATCACCTGCCCCGCCGCACCCCCCTGCGGCCCAAACTCCCCCTTCCCCAAATCCTTATGCTGCCGAAAAATCTCCCGCAAACCTAGCCAAATCTCGCGCTCATCCGCATCCGTCATCTCCTCCGGCGGCACGTTCGGCACCAACCCCACGCCATGGAACTGATTGGACAGCGAGTCCATAACCCGCTTGAACATCTCGGCCTTGGCGGGGTCGGTGACGCCGTCGCGGGTCCAGGGGGCCAGGTGTTTCTGTCGCCATTCGAGGATGTCGCTGACGAGGGTCTGGAAGGGTTGGGGTGGAGGCGGCGGGCGTTGGGGGTTTTGGTTGGCTTGGGCTTGGGCGTGGCGCTGTTGGCTGGGGCGGGGGTAGGTTTGCTGTTGGCCGGGGGGTGGGTAGGCGCCAGGTTGGCCTGGTGGGTATGGCGAGTAGTAGCCCTGTCCGCCTTGGAACTGAGCTGGGCCGGCGCCGTTCTGGGCGTATGGATGGCCGTACGGCGGCTGTCCTGGCGGCGGGTGCAAGAACTGACCATTCGGCATCGGCGCTCGCGCAGGTGGAGGTGTCATCCTTCGCTTCTTCTCCCTCTCCAGAGGTATCTCGGGGTTGATAGCCCAGAACTTGCCCTTGCCTGACTTACCAACTTCCATGAACCTATCGTGCTGCAGTAGGTTGTGCCGGACGCTGCTCTGCCAGCCGTGAGTGCCGACCTGGTACCTGAAGAATGGATACTTCTTCATGATCAGGTCGTAGATCTCCTGCAGATCTGCTTGGCCATCTGGATGTTCACTCAGCAGATCATCGAGAATGTACATATATGTCTTTCCGGGCTTCTTGAGCTGCTCTTCAGTAAAGTGCTCTCTAGGTTTGACCGGTGACGGGCTCTTAGCAGTCCGCTTCGGCTTCGGAGACGACCTGCGGATGGGTTCTGCAGATGCGCTCGCGGTCGCCCCAGTGGCGTCCCCAGGTTTCGCCGTCGACGAACCAGCAGTAGGCTTTGGCAGCAAGTTGGACTCTCCTTCAATGCTAGGAACTACCAAGCTGTCAGCGGACATGGTGCCATTGGCAATCTTTTGCGCATTCTCCTTCATCTTGGTCTCGGCACGGACGAGGTCGATGAGCTGCTTGTACGGAGGCGCCTCTTCACCTCGCTTCTCGAATTCCTTTTGCTTCTTGGCCACCAGTGCCTGGTCGCGCTTGGAGATAAGCCCGTTCTTGGGCGGTCGGCCAGGACCTTTGCGCTTCTCAGGCAGCTCGCCAACAGGGATACTAGCAAGCGCTGATCCAGGCTCGATTTGCAGTGGCTCTTCTGGCGACTTGACACGATCTGCCTCTGGCGGTTGGGCGGACTCCTTGGGTTCTTTCGGCTCCTTGGGCTCCTTCGCGGCGGCCTTTGGTTTTTTGCCTTTCTCAGGCTTCTTTGCAGCCTCAGGAGATGTCTCAACCGGAGTCGGCTTCTTGCTAGGCTTCTTGCCAGTCTCTGCCACCTGCTCTTTGCCTTTGCTCTTCCCGTCACTCTTCTTCGACTTTCCGGCCGCTTTGGACGGCTTACTGACCTTCAGCTTCAGTTTCGGTCGAGCCACAACAGGAGCAGCTTCCTCCTCCGGTACTTCGTCCTCCTCAGACTCAAGGTCGAAGGCGTTGGACAGCCTCCGAACAGGACTAGCCATGCCATCCCTCTCCTCGTCACTCAATTCACTCTCGTTGTCCTCCGCCTCACTTGCGAAGGTACCAAGCGACATCCCAGGTGAGCGGCGGGGGTTATCCGGCAGCTTAAAAAAGATCATCAAACTGCCGAGCAGTATCTCGTCGTTGTGATTGATGGGAACGATGTCGCCACGGAAGTATTGGACGCTGTTGATGAAAACGTTGTTGCCTAGAATTTGCAACTCCCAGTACTGCTCCTGGAAGTTGAATCTAAATGTGAGATGCTCTCTGGAGATCTTTCTGATGTCCTCTGGCTGTGCTGGGTGCACTGGAACAAAGGCAGAGGTACGTGTCAGGGGTTCACCGTTCTCGTCGAAAGCCGTGTCTTCCAGAGAGTTCTGAACCTCCGTATTGTGCAAACTAGCAGGTGCCACAGATGTCGTGGATGAAGATTTGGACACCAGCATCCGTTTCCTGACGCGATCCATCCTCCCAGAATCCATTTCCGGCTCCATTGAATAGTACACCAAGCCACCATGTTCACTGGCGGCGCTGGGAGGGGCGGGACGACCCTCCAACGAACTCGAACTTGCACCATTGCCACGCTGATCCGGGTCTCCAGGTTGAGATGGTTGACTGGGTTCCTTGCGGTAAGACTCTAGTTCGCGTTGAGCTCTCCGCTGGCGGTTGTAGTCATTCCAGGTTTGCGAGTTTCGGCCAAGGGTGACCTCGTGGGTGGTGATATAGTAGTCTCCGTCGGGAAAAACGAGCCTGGCATATGCTGTGTAGTTCTGCCGCTGTTCGGTGGCACCCTCGCCGTCAACGATGGATGACTCTGCAGCAATCTCCCCATCCATGGCAGCTCCGTTCATCTGCTGGAGATTGTCCCCAAGCTCGTGGTCCCCACGTGTCTCCCAGGACGGGCGATCTCCAACGCCGGTAGCCTCATGTTTGAAGGCGCCTCTGAGCAGTATGTTTGCCGCTTCACGTTCCAGATCCACCGCTCCGGCTAAGAATGTATCGTCCTCTTGTGCCGGGTACATCCGTGATAGAGCGTCGTTGACCGGGTTCTCTCGCAACGGGAAGTTGTCGAACCCTTGGCCTAGTTCCACCTCAGGGTCGTAGTAGGCGGTGTTTGGGTCGATGGATGTATCGGGGAGCGGCGCGTATTGGGAGGCAACCGCGCTAACCTGGCTGCTTGCTTCCATCTTTTGATCTGGTGACGACGCATTGCGCTTTCCTGCTGGATGGGCCGGTATCTTTGCTCCGAGCAAGAAGTCCGCAGAGGGCAGGTGCGCGCAGTTCAGGAAGGCGCCGTGCACTCGGCACGAGATGCAACGCGGCGGAGTGAATGTCGTCGGCGAGGATGCGGGGTCCAGGGGATCCTGTGAATGGTCCAAAGGGTCGAAGCCGTCGAGCTCTGGTGAAGGACAAAAAGTTAGTTACACCTTTGCGACGCTCCAATCGAGCCAGCAAGCGGAGTAGGGGTCTGTCGGTGAGTCCCGGTTCATCTCCGGCTAATTGCGGCATTTGGCCCTTCTCTTCACATGCCATCTCTCCTCCAGCCCATCTGCATTCACCTCCAGCCTTCACAGGCAAGAGAACGAAGAACTCACCAAACTCATCGTGCCAGGACCAATCCTGATACACGTATCCATTTCCATACATCGCTGTCATCTTGAACGGCCAACACCTCACTCCAACACTGGTAGATTGATAGAATATACCAATAAAAAAACGTCGCACACGCACTTGAGAAGAATTCGGATATTAGCGGAATACCCTCCATACTTGTACTCATCGAACCCGTACCACGGGACTATCCAACTCTGCGCCACCGCATTCATCCATACAGCACCGGGGAGGGAGTAAGCTGTATCCACTGTTCGTAAAAGGGAGACAACTACTGGCCGAGACTGTAATTATGCCTTCAAAGCCGACGAAGACGAAGAAAGATGCTGCAAAGCCTACCGGTTCCGCGCAGTCGGTACCACCACGCCCAAACTGGCCACCTATCTCTCCTGTTCTACCGGCCGCAGACCTGAGCCTCGCCACTCTCTTAGCGGATCAGGTTCTGACGATCTCGCAGTTATGGACAACTTCTCTCTGCAAGACCTACGTGAACTTCCTCTCCACCTTGCCGTTGACCACTACCCCTGGGAAGCCGAAGCGAGGCGAGGCGGTGCGAGTGAATGATCGATTTCAGGTGGATGATCCCATCTTCGCGGAGAGGTTGTGGAGCTCTACCGCGCTGAAAGAGATAGTGGAGAATCCGGTCATCGATGGAGAAGCGTTGAATGAGCGGCAAAAGAGGGAGTTGTGGGGTGGTGAGGCGTTGGGCTTGAACTCGAATATTCGAGTCTATCGGTATTCGAAGGGGCAGTATTTTGATCAGCACTGTAAGCTTCTCTATCCTGTACCTCTACCTCTACATAGATGGGAGTTAATAACTCGTATAGACGATGACTCGAATAACATCTCCTTCCCCTCCACCTCATCACAATCAGCAGTCCCAGCCAAGACCACCTGGACGCTTCTGCTGTATCTGAGCTCACCAGCGACCGGCTGTAAAGGCGGTGAAACCATTTTCCATCCAGAAGCTCCAAGCAAGCGGGAAGCAGCACCACCACCCATCGTAGCAGAGCTCGAAGTCGGCATGGCCCTCCTCCACCGCCACGGCAAAGACTGCCTCCTCCATGAAGGCCGCGAAGTCACCGAAGGCGAGAAATGGATCATCCGCAGCGACCTCTGCGTCAAGCGCTGATCGTCTCCAGCCGGCTTGAGCAACGGACAGCATTCAATTCGTCCTCTTCGTCGCCTTCACGAAAACCGGCATCATTCCTCCTGTCGGCACCCTGAATTCCCGGTGTCCCGATACCCGCAGCAGACTCGCAATACTTCCCGAATGACTCGTCAAACTCACGAAAGCCTCGCCATCCGCTTCAAACACATCATCCAACAGCTTCCGCGTCCGCAAATCATGCTCCGCGTGCGTCTCGCGGTGGTCGGCTTGCCATAACTCATCTTCCTCACTAAACCCCATCTCGATCGGGAAGTCCGGGAAAGCGTCATGAATGACCGATCTACTACTGCGTCGATCACAAGTATGCTCGCCCATGACTTCTCGCGCCATTTCCATAATCAGAGGACTGAACGGCTTCTCTGACGGCAACGAGATGTTGGCGTATGTGAGCTGAGCGGTTTGGAGACATCGATAAAGCGGGCTGCTGTAATAGTTCTCTGGAAGAGGCATCTTCTGCTCGGAGAACTGGCGTTTCAGGAAATCGTGGTTGGCGAGGGCCTGCTCTCTGCCGGTGGAGGTGAGGTGGGCATCCACCCAGTAGAGCTCGCCGTCGCCGTCGAGTTTGCTCCAGTGGTCGTCCCAGGCTTTTGTGCCGTATTTGGATTCGGCGACGTTGTCTGGGTTGTTGTCAGTGATGAGTGGGATGCGGTGGAAGAGGGGTGATGGACGTACGATATCCCTCGCCATGGCGGCCTACGTAGAAGACCTTGTATGTCGTCCCGGCTTCACTCGCTCCGTTCAGTTCACGAACATACTTCGCATACCTTTGCCACTGCGTCAAGCCCTCATCGCCTGATCCATCGGTCTCGTACTTTCGCTCCAGAAGGCCAAAGTTATGTTTCATCTACACCATCATCAGCACCCATCCACTCCGAGTCCGTTGATTGCCATCTCACATAATCATCCATCTGCCCATCACTCTCCGGCCCACCCTGTGCAAAGAAGCCAGGCACATATTCGAACGAGTGCTTCGACTGCGGAGCGCTGCCCATTCTGCTCAAAGTGGTCTTGTCTGCCAGCAAGTATCCCAGCGTGAGAAGGCTAACGAGGACAGCAGAGCTGGAGAGTAAGGTGTCAGCGAAATATTGGAAGGGACATGAGATGTGGATAGGCGGACGCGATCACGGTGGGTTTGCTTCTGATGAATTGGAGCATCAGTTCGGATCACTGCAGAGGTTGAAGTTGCGATGGAAATTTGACCTGTGCGGACAGAGCATAAGTCATATGTATTTGTGATTGTGAGCGAAGAGGTGAGGTCTAGAATTCTGGTATGATGTTGGCGCTAAATTCTCAAGCGTGCATTGGCGTCGTGTAGCTCTCACGTATAGTCTACCCATCTGCACATGTCTACTCTGCCGCCCTCCAAAATCTGTATCCGTCTCTCTACCACTGCACCTGCCTTTCACTACGCTGCCACCCTCATCCTTACATGTACTCATAGCTATTTCCGGTGAACAACCCATCAAACCGCCTCGGCACAGCCCTCAACAACGACCTTGCCGCCCCCGTCGCCAGCAGCCACAGCTCAAACGCGTCGGAGAAGACAACGCGCTCCATGATGCTGCGCCCACCCATCACGATCGTGCCTTCTCTCAGAACAGTGCCGTCAATCAGTCTCGTACCCTCGAACACGTCCATATAGTTCTCTAAGAGCGAGCCGCCCACCAGCTGGTCGCGGATGGCGGCGTTGAAATATGCCTGACGCAGGACGTCCGCGTCGATGGACGGCAAGGCGGTTCGGCGAGGAGCTCGGGTCAATGGCTCGAAATCATCGAGTGCCCGGTCCAGGTCGTCCAATGTGATCGTGTCTGTTTCCCAATCAAGTTCTTCGTGTGGCATCACGGGGGATCGGACAGCGAGAGATGGTGACTGAGGCGCATATGCCGACACCAACTCTGCGCGATCGTTGTGGGCCCATCGGGAGGACATCAGAGGGTTGGTTACCGGTGCCGCAAGCCACTCCGATGCAATTCCGTCTCGTTGATCCGGCACGGTCTGCGCAGGTTGGACGTGAAGAGATCTGTCCGAAACGTGGCGCGGATTCACGGTCTGCGCTGGTTGCACGTCGAGACGTCTGTCCCAGATGTCGCGCGGATTCACGGTCTGGGCATTCTCGTGAACGGGAAGGTGAAGAATATGTGAGCGATATCCCCACAGCCTCTCCTGAACCCGTGTGCGCTCGGCGAGACGGAGCAAGCGTTGATGGGTCCGCTGAGACTGAGACTAGTACGGAATGGCAGCAGCGGGCACCATACTGTCCGTTGGCCCCGCCCTTGTTCCACCGAGCAAGGGATCAAGACGGGCATTACCATAATTAGATTGGTAGTAGTATCGCACGCAGACACCAGCGAGCCCATCAAGCTCGTAATCCGAGAGGACCTGCCGGACGTCACGGTCAAAAGCTCGCCACAACCACATCTGCTCCGGCGTAACTTGGAAGACCATCACGATCGTATTGTCCGTCTCTGGGTCGGCGACTGCATCTCGTGTACCGACATGGAAGAGGCCGGAGAAGTAGCATGGTGACAAACGATAGGTCCGGTAAATCGCATCCAGGTCCATCTTTATGCCGTCTGCGGAAGTGCGGAAGTAATGCGTCTGTGGCAGCGGCTGGAACGTCGAGTAGGGGGTCGGAGAGAAGTGCGGCAAGACGCTTGGATTGTTGTCGTATGCGTCGGGCTGAGGGCGCTCTGGGGGAGCCATGGCCGCCATTGGGGAGTTCTACTGAATCGTAGCGAGTTCTGTATGATTTTACTGTGTCTGTACAAGGGCCATCTTTTGTTCTGCGTGCAAATTTCTGCATTTTGATGGTGGGCGGTGGCGCTCTGGTGTCGTTGAACCACCGGAGACTTGTAGGTAAGCACCCTGGCGGTGTTACTGACCTTCTCTGCCAATGTGACGTCTGGTAATCAATTGGTGTTCTGGCGTGTCGCTCTTGAGCCTAGTTGGTGAGTCGGAGATGGCACGTGGCCAAAGTCGATGCGAGCATCATGTTCAGCCTTAGATGGCCACAACTTGCGATAGCCTCGTTCTCCGTGATGGGAGCGTACTGGCAATGTCGACGAATTCGATGGCATTAATGGTGCCGCCATCTGTCCTATCCATTCCTCTTTCCCTGCGCCTCCAGCTCCTTCAACTTTTCCACCAACTTCTCCCTCAGATACGGACTAATTCCAAGCATTCCTTCATGCGTCAATACTCTGTACGTGCCACTCCTCTGATACCGTCCCGTCCCGTCCACAAACGCCCCATTCCCATCAACCTCCAAACTCCCCAGAATATCTTCCGGCCACGCAGTCCTTCCCCAATCAGGTGGGTTCCTCTGATCGCTAACGTGAATATATCCACCTCGTCCCGCTCCTCCCATGCCACCTTGTGCGCTTGCCCCACCAGCGCCAGTCCCACCGCCGCCTCCGCCTCCACCCGCCGAGAGGTGCTTTTTGCGCTCGCGGCGCTGGTTGGGGAAGAAGACACCGCCGCTTCCGAGACCGGAGCCAGCTTGGGAGGCGTACATGGTTGCTTGGGCTTGGACTTCGGGGTCGGAGGAGGCTATGGATGCAACGACGTGGTGGAGGATGTCGAGGAAGGATTGGTTCTCTGTGAGGGAGTCGGGGTGAGGTGGGTTGGTTGGGGAGGTGCCGATGGCGAGCGAGGGGATTGGAGGAGTCGTTTTCAGGTAGGAGTAGAGGTAGCCGGTCTGAGGAGGGCTGGACGGCTGCTCGTGGACATAGATGTGCTCGTTTTGCGGGAGAGTTGATACAGCGCGCCTTGTCCAGGTTGGAGCTGTCGTCGCCGCCAACTTCAAGGCACTGAAGCCCCTGGCTGATCTATTTGAGAGTAGTGTGGCCATTATGACACTCAAGTTGGTGTGATGGTGATGGTGAGAAATCTTAAAGACGAAATGACGGAGGTTCTAAAAGTTCGGTATGCATGACGTCCTGCTGCTTCCAACAACCACCCGCAGGTCAATGCACCCATTCCATTTGTATGCAATCGACACGCCAATGTTCCACAGACAATGCCAAAGATGTGTTACCCATGGTATCGTTTCACCAAACCATGCTGTGTTGAAAGCGGACTTCCAATGGAATCGGCATAAGGACCAACTCAGAACACTGAAAGATGAGGAGGAACAGGTCATTGACATTGGGTCCTAATTACATCGCTCCGATCTTGCACCAAGTCGCAAGATATCCCACGCAAAGCACTGAGCATGCAAGCAGCCCACGCAAAGCTCCACAAACACAAGAAGGTATCATATCATCTCATCACTCTCGTATCTATCCACCTCCACACTCTTGTTCAGATCATCGTCCATGGTCTCATAATCGTTCTCGTTGATGCGCTTATGGCTTCGCAACCTCGACAACCATCTCTTGCTGATCCGTCGCGACCTTCGTGGCGGTCTGGAACATGTCCGCGCCCTCCACCTTGCCGCAGATGGTCTCGACGATCATGCCGGTGATCTGGTACGGGTCGGCGTTGGAGGCCGGGCGACGGTCCTCGAAGTATCCCTTGCCCTCGTCCGCGCACGCACGGTTGACACGCACGCTGGATCCACGGTTCGCAATGCCCCAGGTGAACTTGTCGTACGAAGCGGTCTCGTGAGCGCCCGTCATGCGAGCCTCGTTGCCCTCGCCGTACACCTTCATGTGCTCCTTGTGGCGCTTGCCAAGGGATTCCATGGCCTTCTCGATGTGCTTCATGCCGCCATCCTCACGCATCTCCTTTGTGCTGACGTTGGTGTGGAGGCCAGCGCCGTTCCAGTCGCCGGGGATGGGCTTAGGGTTGAGCGTCACCTTGGCGCCGAACTCCTCTGCCACGCGCTGGAGGAGGAAGCGAGACATCCAGAGCTGGTCGCCCACTGCATAATATGTCAGCTGTCTGCTTGGAAGTTTGGAGTAAGAGTAAAAGCCCACAGTCAATGCCAGTGCACGGGCCGACCTGGTACTCCCACTGAGCCGGCATGACCTCAGCGTTGGTGCCGGAGATCTCAATGCCAGCGTACAGACACGCCTTGTAGTGCGCCTCGACAATGTCTCTGCAGACCACCTTGCCGAGTCCGTTCCCGCAGTAGTAAGGGCCCTGAGGAGCAGGGAACCCGTTCTTGGGCCAGCCATACGGCCATCCATTCTCGTCGAGGAAGGTGTACTCCTGCTCCAGACCGAACCAGAACTCATGCTTGGCATTCTTATCCATCAGCACAGAAGCATCGTGGCGGTAGTTGTAGGCGTTCGGCTTGCCGTCAGACATCCAGCACTCGCACATGACCATGATGTTGTCGCCAAGGCGGAAGGGGTCTGGGTACATCGCAACGGGGCGCAGGAAGACATCGGAGTTGTCGCCGGGAGCCTGGCCGGTGGACGAGCCGTCGAAGTTCCATTCCGAGAGTTCCTTCACCGAGCTGGGCTTTTTCTTGAGGGTCTAGGGAGGCGAACTGTCAGTCTCACGTGTGCCAAAGTCGCGCACCCGAATGTAGTCCCAAGTTTGGAAAAGTGGTGTCAAGGAAATGTCAAGCGCCTCCGATAGGCGCCGAAGCGCGCCGCCCAACCTCATTCTCGGCATCTTGGGTTGGAGCCAGAACTTCAATGTTGGGAGACCGCTCGTGTCGCCGCCAGTGGTTCGCATCTCTTGGAACAGCTCGGGAATAGCACTGCTACTCACCTTGCACTTGCTGCGGACTCCGTTCGAGGCGTCAATCTGTGGATAGCACTGTCAGCAGCGTCCTCAACACCTGAAAACACTCGGTTTGAAGCATACCCAGACATACTCTGCAATCACAGAACCTATGAGGGCATGTGAGCGTCAGTTGGTGTCTCAGCAGAGTGGGTAGAGGCCGCGTGCGTACCCTTCTGGTCCAGCTTGAGGTAGCGGTCCAGCTAGAACGTCGTCAGCACGAAGTTGAAAGAGCAGGTGAGAGAGTGCGAGCTGACGTTGTTTGTGTTCGAAACGGCGGTAGATTGGGCCTACTATGCAGTCAGTATATCATGCTGGTGAAGACTGCCCCTCTAGTGGGGTCCTCACCATGTTGAAGTCGTTCGTGTGAGGTATAGGATCGGTGGTGGGGGGTTTTGTGAGGTGTGGAATGAGCAGTCGAAGGTCACGATGTGTGTCTCGTGTTTGAAGAGGTATGGATGTTTGCAGAGGAGTGAGAGTGGGCGATCGCGTGTTTTAAAGACGAGCTGTTGCTCTGAGCCTCTGACGGCAGAAAGTGTGGGCGGGCGCTAAACCCCGGCGGCCCTGTGGCTGTTCACCTCAATCGAATGCAGGTCCCGCTCCCAGCAATTGATGCTATCTTGGCTATCTCCTCCTCGATTCCTTGCCTTTTCTTTGATCCTGATGGGGTGTGAGCGACGGGGGTGTTCATGCACTATGCGCTTCGCTTCTCCTATTGCAAAGCGGCTCTTTGTTCCTGATGGACTTGTGGGGATGTGAAGCGGCGAGATCGGAGGCAGAGCTTCGACCGTATTCACGCCTTGCTATACACCTAACTTCAAGCCGTTCATTCAAGGCTTGTCAGCGCACGCGAGACTGCCCGTGGGGATGCCACAACTATCTACGCTATCGACGATCCGGCATGTACTTTACCGTTCATCCCGTTTTGTCAACTCCAGATCGTTATCCCGTTGACCCGGAGCACTGAAAGCAGAAAGAAACATACAGATAGTACGTCACTGGTGATAAGGTCGCAGCGACCTTCAACAGCCTCGTGTGTATGGGATTGTAGCACGTCTCCATGCGCTGATGCACCACCATTCCTTGGACAAACCGATCCCGCTCCTGCCACGAATTCCCGGTCTTTGTGCGATCCACACCGGTGCCCGCCATGTGTCCTTCAATGTCTCCAGTCTTCGGAGCGCCACATCTGCTATCTCACCGCCTTATGCAGGGCCCTGGTGTCCACGATAAGGGGAGAGGCCGGCCAATCAAAAGTGGTTGCATTTCTGTGCATCTTACTCAAACTGTGGCTGGCGAATTCGGGTCAAGCCGGGCGGTCGGTTGGTACGTGGTTCGACGGGCTTTGGCTGGCTTGGCTAGGCAGAATCTTAGTCTTGTCGCCGCGGACGTCGTGAGAAGATCTCGTAGTAAAGTATGTCTTCGGTGCCAGTATAAGGGATGTTATGGTCATCTTTAGTGTGTACAAGAATGGGAGATTGCTCTTATGATTGTCAAAGTCGTGTGAGGTCACAGTAAGAACGACGCTAATGAGTCAGCAACGCTCGCTAAACGTCGGCGTTTGACTTCCTCCGCTCGACATGTGACATCGCACTTCATTCGCGATATTACTCTTCAAGCTCTTGAACCACCATCATGTTCTGAATCACTGTGAGACTCGCCACTTATAGCTGCGATGGCGACTCCAACCCCTAGCTCCGCCTCTAAGAGAGCGGCAGGAGGCGTGTCAACACCATCGCATCTCGCCCAGCATTCTCCTCCTCGAAGTGTACCCTCTCCTGCCAACGCGCGACACCCCGCCGGCAAGACGCCAGTGAACCACCCTACCACCGGCTCCTCGCAGGGGAGTAAGACTCTCGGCTCGACGCCCATGGTTCAGAACCTCAGCCAGAGCGGTAACACCTCCTCACCGAGCGCGAACATGCTCAGCTTCGGCACACCCAGCGGCCTCAACCTTGACGGCATCACACCATCCGCCTTGAACATACCCACTCCAGCCCTCGGCGGAGCGGCCATGATGCCATCGATGAGCGAACTCGGATTGACCGCAGGCGGCACGAAGCGCAACGAAGACGAAGAGCGACGCGTCCGTATGCGCCGTGTGCTGAAGGCTATCGGCAAGCCCAAGGGTCGAGTCAGTGAAGAAGGCATAGCACGCGTTTTTCGGCGAGTGGGCTTCGCGAATGACATCGACCACGACCCCGAACAGAAGCCGTGGAAGGTTGGAAACAGGATGATCGCGACTGCTGGCAATACGATCATCATCGAGGTGGATTTGAAGAATCATGTTCCGGGACGTGTGAGTGCGATGTACAACGTACAGAGCAAAGCATTGGAGGAGCAAGGTGAGAAGGCAAGCAAGGTGTTGTTGGGTGACTTGAGGGCACCGGGTGATGTCGGGTTGCAGGCGAAGCTGGATCGTTTTGCGGACAATCTGGAGAGGCTCGCGAAGCTGGACAGACTGAGCTCGGGGCGGATTAACTGCTTTGAGGCCATCAGCGGGGTTTACGTCAGTCTGCTAAGGCTGTTTGAGCAGGAGAAGAAGGCAGCAATGGCTATGTTAAGGACTAAAGGGATGGAGGACGAGGAGAAGGCAGCCGAGGAAGTCGCATGCAGGAGAAGTGGCAAGCCGACGGTGCACGAGCATGGACAGCTTGGGGTTGCTATCGAGTATTGGCACGGCAGTAACATGGCAACCAGCGATAATGCTGCGACAAGAAACGACCTTCATGCTCCCGACGACGAGTCTGCCAACTCCGAGGCTGAAGACCAGATCTTTTCACTCAGCATTCAGTCAGAAGCAGCGTCCGCGAACCTCTATCCTTCTCTTCGCGTCTCTGACACCTGGTTGCCCGGACCACTGGAGCTTCCAGAGGGCGAAGAGTCCGTCAACGTACCTTGGCAGGATCCACCACCGACATTCGTCGCTTCAGACTCAAGTGAAATGCAAGTCGATGGCCAGCAGAAGCTTCCAGACTTGCGCTTCATAGCCAAACTCGAGCCTGCTTTGGTTATGCCCTACCAAACCGCAACGAACATCCTCGCAGCTGTTGGCGTGTCCCAAGCACCGATCATGAGTATGCCCTCTCAGTACGCAGCGCTATTGCTGGGTTTGCGGAGTGAAGCGGGAGGGACACAACAGCCATTGACATCTTCCACTATCGCTGAGCGAGAAGTCATCTCACAGCAGCAGGATGACGAGACTACCGTCCGGCACAGCTATACCATGAACAGCGTCAAGCCAGACTGGGGATTCAGGTTGCAGGAGTTGCCATTCTCTCACCCCAGACAGCTGATCGAGCTGCTACCTACACTCCGCCAGTGGGCAGTCATGTCGCAATTACTCAAGGGGTCGTTCAAGACTGCAGCGGCGCTTTTTACGCAGCAAGCGCCGTCGAATCATGTCAATGGAACAGACGACCCTGGCGCCTCTCTTGACGATCTGTTGGATGCACCAGCCGAGAGTGCCGACATTCCTATCACGATTGCTCTTACCACATCGCCAAACCCTACGCTCGACCTCACGTTCCCACCATCAGGCACCGACAGCACTGATAATGTCAGTGTCAGCGTGCAGATTCTGCCGAATGCTCACGTCGCTGTTCCTACGCAGAAAGGTCTCTTCCCTGATGACCACGACGACACGCCCGCAAAGGTACAGAAGCTCGCTCGGGCGCTTGAGATTTGCGGCGACCTGGGAGTCTGGATCGAATGGGTCAGGACGTCCATTGCTCCAAGAGCATGAGTCTCAGTACATTCGCAGGAAAACAAACGAACTCTCGCCACGACCGCATGCATCTCCCACGATTGCCACGACACATGCTGCGCTGCATGATGTGAGGTCGTGACTTTTGAGACTTGTGTCACTTCGACAAAGCAAGCACGACCTCACTACACCCAGTCATCCATTGTCCACAATAAGACTGCGACTTCACTGGTAGGTGTTTCACAATAGTAGTTACTCTTCATCACAATGGTATTGTCGTTATACACATCTATTACCTTCCTCTCTTTCTTCTGCGGTGCTGTGCGCTGACCTTCTGCACGTTCTTGACTGCTTCGCTTTCTTCCTCTTCGTATCAGCTGCTGGTCAGTGAGAGATTATCTTCATCATATCGCTAGTCGATCGTTTGCTACGATACGCACGACAAGAAGAAGTCTGAGTACAGTTTGCTCACGACTCCATTCGCCATATCCACCTCAGTCGCAAGGTCATCCATCTCCGGCGCACGAAGCAAGCACGCAACCCATCGTCGCATACCAGGCCACCTTCGACTCAGTCTTCCGCTCGGAGAAACAGGATGTGCTATACCATCACCCCCTACCATGCCATCTGTGGCTGCTACGGCAACGCCACACTGATAGACGGAGGATGCATCCGCGCAACATCACAAGTCGGATTGAGCAAGGGCTGCTGGGATGTGATTGATCTTGGAGTCGAAGAGAGCAAGGAGGGCATATGCAACAAGTGCATGGGATTGAAGGAACCGGTCAGGCACGACAGCGTTATGAGCATCTCCACCGTCGCAACGACCTCGACGACGATATCGACAACCGCTGCGCTGGGGGCAAGTCCATCTATCACTTCGAGAGGCAGTTCCAGTTCTGCCGACCACGCCCGCTCACTGCTCGCCTGCCTGCCAAGATCAATCCCGCGAGCGCTCCGGAACGACAGCGGAGTGAGCCTAGCGGCGTCTTCTCCGCCGAAGGGAGCTGCGGTAAGGGTCATGGAGGCGACAATAGCAGCAGATCCGGCGCCGGAGAAGGTGCAGAATATTCACTGGCGAGCCTTCAGTGGCCGCGGGTACGTGGAAAGAGGGGAGTCATGGCCTTGAGGCGGTTGGTTCTTGAAGACCGGAAGAGGGTGTTGGGCGGTATGCTGCGGCCATGAGAGAGGGTTCACGGCGCGGAGAAGTTTGAAGTATCCTTCCCGGGACGACGTTCCCCTGAATCGGAAGAGGTACTGCGCAGAGTGACGAGCTTATGAGAAGGGAGCCACTGGCGTGGAGAGGCTTGCATGATTTTGAGATACCCCAAGGGCTGGTCCCACTGCTTCCTCGTCAATACAACCCTGATATACCTGTCATGGCGGCTTCAAACATATCATTCTCATCAATGTGATCCCGTGAAGCCCGATGTGGAGTCTTCACGTCATTACGAGGCGCAGGTAAGATCAAACTGTTTGCTTCGGCGGTACTAGAGCGGTCAACAAAAAGCCGCAACAATCGTGGCAGATCAAAAGATTTGGCCACCAACGGCTGCTTCTCTTTCACTGATTTTGTAGAGGGACGACTTGGAGACAAAAATTTTCCCCTCCCTCCAGCCCTCCAGCCTCCACCCCCAGAAACAGAGGTAGGCCCATGAGGACCACCCTCCACCCTCAGAAATAGGGCTGAGCCAATAAGCCCCAAGGGGCAAGACAGAATGCGGGACCGCCGCGAAGGACGCCCGAAAGCCCCGAAGGGAGAGAGATGGAACGGGACCGCCACGGAGGACGCCCGAAACCCTCAGCGGTTAAGCTGAGAGTGATGATAAAGATTTTTAGAATATTATATGTACCTTTTGTTTCGGTGGAACATCGGAGAAGGCGAGAGGAACATGTGATGCGCACGTGATAGGGGCATGTGACAAGGAAAGCAAAGTCACTTCAAGTAGCACAGAGTTGGTTTGTTATTTCGAAAGTAGAAGTGCAAAAAGCGAACGTATACCACCTGTGGCAGAGCCAACAAAACGTCAGAAGGACCTGTAGAAGGCCAAAAGAGCTAGCCACCGACGTAGTCAGTGACCGGTCTAAGAGTTCACGCCGCGATGCGGGCTACATCTCTCCACTGACTCCCCAGCGGGCCGGTATAAGTTGAATACGGGACCGCCGCGGAGGACGCCCAGAGGTAGTGCACCAGCGTGACTGGGACTAAGTATGTGGCATGGGCGCAACCGCATGCCCTCCAGCGAAACTGAAGAATGTTGCACCGACGCGATCGAATGCGAGCCCAGCGCGACTGGGCTTGGTCCCCGAGGATGGAGGAGTGTTGAGCGGAGGAGAACCCCGAAAGATGGGCCGACGGAACGTGGCTTGGAGAACAATTCTCGGGAACGCAAAATGATACTCCTCTCAGCCATCTGTACCTTCGTACTTCAGCGAGAAAAGGTTAAAAGAGATCACGCCGCGCAGCGGGCTACTTCTCATAGATCGGCTCGAGCGCCCTTCATAAACTGACGGCACCGCCACGAAGGACGCTCGAAGGCAGGTCACCAGTGCGCCCTGGATTCCTTGAATTTTGCAGCCAGGTTGGACACTATAGGGCGGCTTTCCTTCAAAAGCGGCCGTATGTGACAAGCTGGTCCCTCACCCTCAACCTGCCGGCTTAAGGATCGGGAAGTACTTCGCTTTAGGCCGACGGAACGTGGCTTGGGAGACATGTTCCGGGGAAAGCATTATGGAACATGAGCTGGGCGGGCGGCTCCTCGTCATTTCGAACGGCCGGCGGAGAGTGGTTAGAGAGCGCTGGGAATTCTGAAGACGCCATTGAGTGCAGACAGGGTGATTAGAACAAGCATCATTGCCATGGCAGGTCAATCGCAACTTACCTGCAAGCGAACCCTGGCACTGTGCCTCCAAAGTTCAAAATGAACCTATCCCTTTTCCTTCCGCTTCCTTCTATAACGGAGATCTCCAAAAGGAAAGGACAAAAGAGTTCCCCCGAAGGATAATCTCTCTCCAGCCCCTGATTAGGAGGCCGGGCAAATTTGTTGATTCGAATTTGGTTACCAGCGTCCTGGATCCCTCGCATTGCTGTTTGATTTCTGGTTGATTTCTGGTTGATTTCGTCGATTTTTGATTGCTTATTGATTGGTTCTTCATTGATTCCGGATTATTCGTTGAGGCCGTCGCCTCGAAAGCTGAATTTTATCAGCACACTATAACCTCTAGAACATGAAGTGATGACATGACGTCATGAAAGAGATCAGCAAAAAGAGTTCGGCGAGCAAAGGCCTACGTCTCCCCCCATGGTGGCATGGAATCGCTCATAGGCGAACGCCCAAGGACCATGCAGAGCGGTGCTTCGACCGGAGGCACAGAGGCCATACATGCAATCGCTCATAGGCGAACGTCCCTGGGCCATGCAGAGAGGGGTGCTTCGACCGGAGGCACAGAGGCCTCCTCTTGATTTGAACTTATCGGCCATGGAGTACTCCCCAGCGCTTCGGCTGAGGAGGTGACGACAAAGATTATTGGAACGGGATATATACCTTTCTGTCCGGCGGAAGCTCGGGGATGGGAGGGAGTGACATGTGACCAGCATGTGATGGGGATGTGACAGTGGAAGTGAGGCATCTTCCAAGCAGTGAAGAGTCCGAATGTTTCTTAAACAGTGATGCATGGGAAGCAGACACTCACTCTCGTTGCACCGTCCGCCTACCGGCAATTTGACTCTCCGCCACCGCCACTGTACGAGACCACCACGATCGCGAACCGCACTCAACACCATCTGCATCCCTCTCGGAGCCACCTCGCTCCACTGCCTCTCCTCAACTGCTCCATGGCAATACCCCTGCTTCCTGCACCTCGGTGCCTTGTCTTTGGCATGACGGCTACACTCTAAGGAGTTCCTTCACACAGTTCACGGCCGTGGTCGAGCGTGGCACCTTCGGATGAGCAGTGGCTATCGATGAATGGCCGCTTGAGAGCGTCGCTCGACGGAGTAGGTGTGTGTCCGCTGGTACTGAACAATGGCTGTGCCCTCGTGGAGTAGCGATCGGACCATGTTGAAAGGAGACCAAGACCTGGAATTTGGCTCTGCATTTTCCTTCCGAAGCATCGCGGGCGGGTCGATTACTCCAGCAGCGAAGCCGGCAGATCAAACTTCTTGTGCACATGCCCCTTCAGCGTGTCTCCATCTTCCGGCGGCTGTAGACCAGAGGTATTTCCCATATCTGGCGGATTCGTATCAATCTCGATAGTAACCTACCAATCGTCAGCACTGCGTTCTAACATATTTGATACGACCTCCGGTGAGCGAACCGCTTCATCCAAACAGTCGTAGTCGACACCTATTGGACCTAAACTCACTGGACCATCGTTTACCAGTCCTACATCCATCATAGCTTGAAAGATGCCGTCTTTGACTCGGTCCTCGCGGTAGAGCGAGCGGACTTGGTTGAAGAAGGTGTCGTAGAGCTCTTTACCCTTTGATGCGGGAGCGGATTTATGGAAGTCGGGCTTGTTGCCTTTCTTTGTCGATGCAAGAAGGGTAAATTGTGAGACTGGCCAGACGTTAGTATAGCTTACCTTGAGCTTTGAAGGCCAGGGTAGGTGGCGACCTGCTTACCACACAGCACTTCTCCCTCAATGTCCTGGACATTCCTCTTCCACTTCCCGCCCGCATCATCGTCCCACAGCTTCACTTTGAGGATCTTACTCGCCATAGACTCGGCTTCTTTAGCTGTGTCATCTTTACCGATGGCGGCGAATATAAGCAAGCCTCTGCCAATGGTTGATATGAGGTTGCCGTCTACTGTCACTGAAGCGGACTTGACTCTTTGAATGACAGCTGTCCCAAATCAGCCATTGTGACTGTGCATGCATTGGAAAGACATACTTTTCATCGTTGTGCAATCTAGACTCTCTTAGAGTGAGGTTACAGGTTGCGAACCGGGGTATCCTGCAGCACAGCTCGAGTGAGGCGGGTGCTACTCTGCCAGCTCGATCGCGTAACGACCACTTCGTTGTTTGCGTCAGGTATAGAGCCGGTAAAGTCGGACAAAATTCTGTCAACGTCTCCAAAAAGTGTAAGAAGATGCGAACTGCGATGACCTTTCGTCTCGTCGTTGTTGAAGCGCGTAAAGTGAACGGGTAGCGGGAGGGCGCTAAACTAGATTAGAGGCCAGGTGGATCTGCGACCAGGATGGCGACGCAGTGCAGCTTCACCTTGCACGCGACGTCCAACGAGGCTGGCAGGACGACATCTCCCCATTACTATCCGCCCTGTCGCTTGATGCACCCCCTACTCTCCGCCGAGAACGCGATTCCCACCTCGATACCCCGCCGACAACAAGTGCGACGACAGCCGACCGCGGCCTTCCACCTGGGACCCCCACAGCCTGAGCGAGGAGCAAACGTCGCTCCTAGGCAGCACGCACGATGGCGGCTCGGAAGCTCCAGCAAGAGATTGATAAGGTGAGCGATGCGGAAATAAGGGGGGTGAGGGCATGCTAACATACGATCTAGGAGTGCAAGAAGGTCGACGAGGGAATTGTGCAGTTCGATGCCACGCACGAGAAGCTCATCAACAGCACAAATGCATCCCAGAAAGAGAAGCAGGAGGATGCTCTTAAGAAGGAGATCAAGAAGCTGCAGCGATCACGAGACAAGATCAAGACATGGGCGGCCATGGCGGAAATCAAGGATAAGAAGCCGCTGTTCGACAAGAGGAAGCAGATAGAGAGCGTATGTGTTTGAACGGCTGGAGCAGGCAGTGTGAATGAGTGCTAACGATATTGCGCAGCGAATGGAGACGTTCAAGGCAGTGGAGAAGGACATGAAGACCAAGACATACTCCAAGGAGGGCTTACTGGCATCCGCGAAGATGGACCCTGCGGAGATGGAGAAGCAGGAGGTTGTCGATTTTCTGAACGACATGGTGGACAGACTGAATCTGGACATCGAGGCGGTCGAGGCAGAGGCCGAAACCCTGCAAGCTGGGATAAAAAAGAAGAAGAACGATACTGGGAAGGCGGACAGACTGGCGGAGCTCGATCGGCAACTGGAACGACACAAGTGGCACGTTGGCAAGCTGGAGATCTTAAGGCGGGCTCTGGAGAACGGCAACATCGAGACAGAGCAAGTGAAAGGGCCAGTCGAAGAGGACATCAAAGACTACGTAGAACGGCACGGGGATATGGACTTCGAAGAGAACGAGTACATATATGATGACCTCAACCTTGAGGCGGAAGAGGGCACCTACGGGATGGGCAACGAGCTTGAGCCGGGCTCGAGCCAGGATGCTCAAAGCATACAAGACGAGCCGCCTGAGGCGGAAGTCACACGAACCACGAGCATGCCGAACAAAGCGAAGTCACAGTCGATGTCGGAGAAGGATGCGCCCAGACGGCCTAGCGTGCAGTTGAAGTCGCCTCTGCCTGCGTTGTCGACGTTACACTCAAGTTTACCCAATAACAATTCGGGTGGGAAGCCAGTGGAGGGAATGAAACCTGCGCCACTGCCAACAATACCGACGGGACAGCCTCTGAAGTATGCGTCGGCGGCTGCAGCGGCTGCGGCGAGTGACAAGAACGGTGTTGGCATTGCGCCTCTACCACCGCCGCCGGGTGCAGCGAGGACAAGTGAGGTGAATTCGCCAGTAGCAACAGCAGCTCAACCTGCTGCTGCGTCTCCGCCACAGCCGAAGCAGGCAGCGCCGGTGCAAGCATCAAAAGAAGAGTCCAGAGCGGCGGATCCGAGCCAGTCAACAGCTCCACAAGCACCAAAAGCAGCACCGAAGTCAACGCCGCCTCCAGCACAAGCGCAACCGCCTATACAGCCGGAAGCCAGTTCATCGAAAGCGCGACAACAGCCACCATCACCAGACTCGGGCATCGCAGGTATCGCACTGTCAAATGGCGACACAGCACAAGAAGAGGAGGAAGAGGAAGAAGAGTCCATCTACCATCTGCCCTCTTCTCTCACCGACCTCCTGGATTCCTTCGAAGAGACCAAGAGACGCGCCGCATCAGACCAACCTTTCGACACTGCCATGCTCAACGCCTCCCGTCTCACCGCGCCCACGCCCCTCGACGCCGAACGACCCAATCATTACCAGCCTACTCACCGGTACAACTACACCCCAGCACACTACCCGCAGGAACCGCTCGGCATCTTCGACGATCCACGGCTGTACCAACGCATCGATACGGACAGCCTCTTCTATGCGTTCTACTACCGACAAGGGGAGTACCAGCAGTATCTTGCAGCGAAAGCGCTGAAGGGCCAGAGCTGGCGGTTCCACAAGCAGTACCAGACGTGGTTTCAGCGGCACGAGGAGCCGAAGAACATCACCGAGGAGTTTGAGCAGGGGACGTATCGGTTCTTCGACTACGAGAGCACGTGGTGAGTGTCACTTGCTTTCAAAGTTTGAGTTTTTGTGATTGCATTTGCTAACGTGACTGCTCTCACAGGATGAACAGGAGGAAAGGCGACTTCAAATTCGCGTATAAGTTCCTCGAAGACGACCTATAGCCGCCGCTTCTTTTGCTGGCTGGCTGGCTGGGGTCGTCATGAAGTCGTCGTGTATATTTTGGTCTTGAGTTCTTTGGGAGCTCGAGGGCTGGGTTTGTAACAATTCACTAGCTGCCACCGCAGATATCTTCCGTTTCTCTTCGAGAGGCGGTGATGAGAACACGTTGTTCGTCCTTGCTTGGACTTTGAGCTTGGCTGTGCTGACTCTCGTTTCTTTCCACGAGTGTCAAGCTGTTAATAGGTTGGTCTTTCTCGTTGCAATTGGGTGCTCTTGCCGCCCGGCATCCCGTTCGGAGTAGTAGGTGGTATCGCTTGCTCGCTGTCGCGAGTGCCGCTCCTGCTCCTGCCTCGCGGCCAAGCGACGTGTGCCTTCCTCACATGCTGCCGCAGCGCTGCCAGATGTCTTCTCCCCTCTCCTCTTCCACCTCTCTTCATAACACAACATCCGCACATCTGGTACTTGGACTGCTCAGTCAGATTGCTTCACATCACCCTCTCATTGCATCTCACTGCAGCTAATCTTATCGTACCACCTACAATTACCACCACTCAGCTCAACACAATGTCTGGACTCACCGTCCCACAGCAAGGCCAGCAGCAGCCGCTCAACACCTCCAACTCGGCGTCTTCACTCCGCCGCAATACCATCGAGCACAACGATGACCTGGCGCCTGTCTCCCGCTCGAGACGCAACTCGGCCTCCAATGCCAGCATGACGTCTCTGCCACTGACCGCCCCTTCCGCAGGAGCACCTCAGTCCGCGGCTGCTCGTGCAGGCTTCGTTCCACTCCCTTCTGGAGCCATGCAGGCCACGGCCGAGAACTACGCCCTCACTGCTCCTGTCGACTGGAAGGAGTCTGACCAGCTCACTGCCTCGGGAACTCACGAGGGCAAGACCACGCTGTACATCGGGAAGAGCCAGCGACCGGTCCACATTGACACCGCAACGCTCAAGGAGAAGAGCTCATACTTCCAGCGTACACTGGAGGAGGGCAGCGCTCACCCAGAGAACACTTTCGACGACCTGGATGAGTTCGGTATCGGCTTGTTCAATCACTGGCTCAAGACCAAGGGGCAACTTCAAGGCCCGCATGACTTCCACAGCCTTGCTCATTACTTGAGCTTGTACGTCGTGGCACGCAAGTTTGAGGTTGAGCCGCTTCAGAACCAAGGTATGCTTCCTCTCTGTCGTCACCTCTCACCTCGCTGATCGCCTCTCAGTCATGGACCTCGTCCGCCACTACTACTCCAGCCAAAACATGACCGCTCCCGCCTACCGCCTCGAGTACGTCTACCACTACACCCTCGGCCCCAACAAGATGCGCGACTTCCTCGTCAGCACCGCCGCCTTCCGCGCGCTCGAGGACTCCCACGCTCTGGACGACCTCGTCCAAGCCGGACCTCTGATGCACAAGTCCTTCTACCAGCCTGGCAGCTATGTCAGCGACAGCATTAAGGGCGTGCTGAAGAAGTATCCGGAGATGGCGGTTGACTTCATTGAGACACTTGTCAAATTGCACAGGTGTGGGGAGCACGATGCCAGGCATGGGCCGGATTGCGAGTGGCACGAGCATGAGAAGACGTCAAAGTGCAAGGAGGCTGGTCTGGAGCCATGGCAGAGTGATGGTGCGGGCGACGAGAAGGTGAGTACCTGACTTGCCGTTCCTGCGCTTGGCTGACATGGGTGATGCAGCCTGCCGCCAAAGCTGACCCACCGAAGGCTGCTGAGCCGAAGAAGGAGGTGAGTCTTTCTGCCTTCATCCCTTCACACCACTCCTGCTGACCTCTTGCTCCCAGGACCCCAAGCCAGCGGCAGCCCCGCCAGCAAAGCCAGCGGACCCAGCAAAGCCTGCGGACAAGCCCGCCGATGCACGTAAGTCTTCCACCAGCGATGCTGCCGTCGACGATAACCCTCCTCCCACCTCTCATTGGCGGAACGAGACGGAACGCCTGCAATGGGAAATGACTGAACGCGCTTTAGCCAAGAACGACGCCAGCCCGGCGAAGAAGTCGATGGGCGACAGGATGAAGGCCATGAAGGAGAAGTGAGTCTCATCACACCCTCCACTTCTGTTCCTGTATGCTGACATGGTCTTCGCAGGTTGCACTCGAAGAAGGAAAAGCCTGCGGACAAGCCGGCCGACAAACCAGCGGACAAGCCTGCTGATAAGCCAAAGGACGACAAGGCTGCCGCTCCGGCGAAGAAATAGCGGTCTGCGTCCATCTCGAGCGGGCCGATTTTGTGATGAGGTTGTCCTGGACGCTTGGCTGAGTTGGCGTTGGCTGCTGCTAGTTTTCAAGTGCATGGAGGATGTTGGTATTGACCTGAGGGAACCTAATGGCTTTTGTACATACTCGATACGCCTACGCTATGCTGTACTTTCCTCCCATCAGACAACTCGGGTGACACTCAATATCAGATGGCGCACCGTCGTTCTCAACCGTGATCTCAACCATACTGGCACTTCATTCATCATGCGTACATGACCTGCATATCGCTGTCCACCCAACACCAAACACCACCTCCCTTCCCCTTCCCGAGCTCAGATCAAATGCTTGCTCCTAAAGTACGCCCTCAGATACACCACCTGCCACACACCCAACGCAACTAACATCCCCATCGTCCCCACGGCAAACCACTTAACCCGCTCATTCGTACTCTCATTCGTATCCCGCAACCTCATCTCCCTTCCCCTCAAAAACTCCATCTCCTCCACCACCTCCTTCGCCACCTCGCTAATCCGTCGCAGCTCCGCTTCCACCGGCTTCAGCTTCTCCCCCGCCTGTATCGCGCTCCAGTCCTTCGCGTCGGCGCCGATGTCGATGTCGAGTTCGATGTGTTTGGACGAGGACGAGGAAGCGCCGGACAGGATGTTCTCGAAGCAGACGTCGAAGGCGCTGTCGGCGTGCGAGGTGAAGGCGTAGCGGCCCTCGCCCGTGATGTCGCGGGGGTGGGCGTAGTCGTTGCCTACTGCGTCTTTGATCTATACCATTCCCCAGGGTTAGCGTTGCTGAGCGTGGGTAAGGTGGAAGGGGGTTAGGGAGACGTACGTGCATGTTGAGCGTCTGGCCATCCCCTCGGTTCCCGCTCACGGTCGCGGTCACGACTACCAGCTGGTCTTTGGCGACGAAGTTGCGGATGCAGCGTTCTTTTGATGCGGATTCGTGGCCAGGGTGGGCTTGCATGTCGAATTTGAGAGCGGTGGTGAGGGGCAGGAGGAGCGTGAGGAGGGTAAGTAGGAGCTCCATGATTGCGGTGAGCGCGTGGTGGTGCTGTCGCAATGGGTGTGCGATTGACTGTTGATATGAGTGAGGTGTCCCCTGTCACATGCGAGTCGGAGAATCTTCGGCATTCAGAAAATCGTGCCAAGAGTTCGAGCAACGCCGAGGGCAAATCTTCTTCGAAGCAGAAAAGTTTAGACCGCATGCACATCACTCAAACACCTACACCTTCACACCCACGACGATGACTTCGAAGCTATGATGTTCTAGACAGATGTCGGAAGACTATGACTTCATAAGACCGATCCCACACTGGAAGCGCAAGTACTTGTCGAAGAAGCCCGGATTCCCTGCCATGATGTCGGGAGCTCTGCCAACGCCGGAGATGGAGCGAAAGGAGAGACAGCAGGAAGAGATAGAGAAGAAGAAGCTGGCGAAGAAGGAGAATAAGAAGAGGAAGCGCAGCCGGGAAGATGCAGAAGATGGTGCTGTGAAAGAGCCAAAGGCTGCTGCCAAAGAAGATGCGCCTATGGCTAACGCGGTAGATGGAGATGGCGCGAAGGGTGGAGAGGACGAGAGAGCGATGAAGAAAGCTAGGAAGGAACACAAGCGGGAGAAGAAGCAGAAGGCTGCGCTCGAGGCGCAAAAGGCCGAGGAGGCGCGAGAGAAGGATTTCAAGGCAGAGGCAGAGGTCAATGAAGATTTGAAGGAGGCCGCGCCGGAGCAAGTCAATGGTGTCGACCATGATCATGACGCGGAAGATGCGTTTGAAGGGTTCGACGAGGAAGATGAGGATGGATCAGTCGCGAGTGGGCAAGCAGTACCTGGCGCACAACAATCCCCTCCTGCCACGAACGGTGAGGATGCCGGAGATACTTCAGATGCTGCAGATGGCACACCCGCAACGAACGGCGACACTGGCGAACCATCTGATCTCCCTTCAGCTTTAGGCGTCTCGCTTCCCGGAACTACAGCGGAGCCAACCAAATTCGCAGAGCTCAATCTATCTGAACGGACAATGCGCGCAATGAAGGACATGCCATTCGACACCATGACCGAGATCCAACGAAGAGGTATACCGCCCCTTCTTGCTGGTCGCGATGTGCTGGGAGCTGCAAAGACCGGCTCTGGCAAGACTCTGGCTTTCCTCATCCCAGCTATCGAGATGCTGCACTCCCTCCGCTTCAAGCCGCGAAATGGCACTGGCGTGCTGATTGTTTCACCAACCCGCGAGCTAGCATTACAGATCTTCGGGGTGGCGCGCGAGCTCATGGAGCACCACTCCCAAACATTCGGCATTGTCATGGGCGGCGCAAATCGCCGTGCAGAGCAAGAGAAGCTGTCGAAAGGCGTCAACCTCCTCGTCGCTACTCCCGGACGGCTTCTCGATCACCTCCAATCCTGTCCTGGTTTCGTTTTTAAGAACCTGAAAGCACTTGTCATCGACGAAGCCGACCGCATCCTCGAAGTCGGGTTCGAAGATGAAATACGCCAGATTGTCAAGATCCTCCCCAAAGACGAGCGCCAAACCATGCTCTTCTCCGCCACTCAAACCACTAAGGTCGAAGATCTCGCCCGCATCTCCCTCCGCCCCGGACCTCTCTACATCAACGTCGTCAGCCGGATGGAAGATTCAACGGTAGCCGGCCTCGAGCAGGGCTACGTGATCTGCGACGCCGATATGCGATTTCGCTTACTCTTCACATTCCTGAAGAAGCATCCAAAGAAGAAGATCATTGTCTTCTTTTCCAGCTGCAATTGCGTAAAATACTACTCCGAACTCCTCAACTACATCGACCTCCCCGTCCTCGACCTCCACGGCAAACAGAAGCAGCAGAAGCGGACAAACACCTTCTTCGAGTTCTGCAACGCCAAGCACGGTACCCTCATTTGTACAGACGTAGCAGCACGAGGTCTCGACATCCCGGCCGTAGACTGGATCGTGCAATTTGACCCGCCCGACGACCCGAGAGACTACATCCACCGCGTGGGTCGAACCGCCAGAGGCGCGACTGGAACAGGCAAGAGTCTGATGTTCTTGCAGCCGAACGAGGTGGGCTTCTTGAGTCACTTGAAAGAGGCGAGGGTGCCGTTGGTGGAGTTCGAGATGCCGGCGAAGAAGATTGTGGATATCCAGAGTCAGTTGGAGCAATTGATTGGGAAGAATTATTATTTGAATAAGGTATGTCTTACCTCCAGCCTTACGCAAACCATTTGTGAGATCCGAGCACTAACACTCTTGTGCTACAGTCAGCGAAAGACGGCTACCGGTCCTACCTCCAAGCCTACGCCTCCCACTCGCTCCGCAGCGCGTTCAACGTGCAGAAATTGGATCTGGTGAAAGTGGCGAAGAGTTTCGGTTTCCCGACGCCGCCGAGGGTGGATATTAATCTGGGGGCGAGTATGAAGGGGCATGAGGGACGGAGGTCGTATGGGAGTCAGCCGAAGCAGGGCGGGGGACGAGGCGGGTTTGGTGGGAGAGGTGGGAGGGGAGGACGGCGGTGAGAGGAGTTCGAAAGATGTTGCTGTAAAGATTGTTGCATGGCGCTGGTTTGGGAGATTGAAGTGCATGGAAGAGTAATTGTACAGGCATTGACCGCTATATTCAAAGGAGTGAGTGATGCTTTCTCGACCGCTTTGCAAGACACACTTTCTATGCACGTTCTGCGTTTCGAGCTCGACCCCTTATGACTGGGCTAAGTGCGTGAAAGTCTCGTTGCCCTGAGTGGCCGCATGAGCAAAGGCGTTGGCGAACGTCGACATCATTGCTCGTTCCGCATTCGGAAGATCACATGTCAGCGTACCATAATTGGCTGCACGGAAGGAACGCTAGTGCACGTTGCACATCGCTCGTTTTCTCCTGCCACCCGTAAACTTGTCACATGAACAGAGTACAAAGCAGTGTTTGGTTCCAAGCGACTTTTGGTATTCCGAGCGCTGAATGTCTACTCCTGTCCGCTAAATGACAAGATATGCGCACACTGACCAACACCACCTCGAAGACATTGCTTGACACCTGCTGCATTATTCGGTAAAGCTCCTGCAAGTTTGAGCTTCTACGCCCTCATGCACTCATTCGGGGATCAGCACACCACGGTACCGCATCTGCCCGTTGTTCAGCTTCTCCATCGCTTCCGCAATCCCCTTCTCCGTCATTGGGAACTTCTCCATGATCGGCTCGATCTTGTGCAGAGCGGCGAACTCGAGCATCTGCTGATGAACAGCGCGGGCAGCGACGACGGAGCCCTGCACCCTGAGGCCGTTGAGAACGAGTGGCACTGCGATATCGTTAGCTAACTGTCATAGGTACATAGAAAGAGAACAGCAACTCACTGTACGGAATCTCGAAGTTGCCGCCAGCAATGCTGATCGGGTGGATCGTCGCTCTAGGTGCCAGGATGGGGATGAGTTTCTCCCACTCCGGCTGCGCAGAGGTGGTGACCAGAAGACGGTCCAGCTTGCGAGGGACGCTCAGCTCCTTCTTATCTTTAGTGGCGATGAACTCCTTCGCGCCCAGCTTCAGCGCCTCGTCCTTCTTCCTGTCCGAGCCCGAGAGCACGACAACGTCGCAGCCCATCTTGGAAGCGAACTGGATTGCCAAATGCCCGAGACCGCCGACACCCATGATCCCCACCGTCTCCGTCGGCTTGATGCCGTTCGTGTAGAGCGCGTTGAACACCGTAGCACCACCGCACTGCAGTGGCGCGGCCGCCGCATCGCTCAGGCCGTCTGGGATAGGGAAGAGGAAGGCTTCGCGCCAGACTGCACCGTGAGCGAAGCTGCCTTGGTCGAGGTCCGCTTCGCCGTACATCTGGCGATCTGGGCAGTAGGTCTCAGCGCCAGTGAGACATTCCTTGCAGTGGCCGCAGCTGTCGTGCTCGTAGCCCCAGCCGACTCGGTCGCCCTTCTTCATGTATTTGACGTCCGGGCCGACGGCTTCGATGATGCCTACGCCTTCGTGGCCGAGGACCATGTCGCCTATAGATCGGTTAGCCACTTCGCATTGATGTGACTGAAGAGGGTAGCCATACCTTCACGGTAGTGCAGGTCGGTGCCGCAGAGCCCGCTCGCCGTTACCTTGAGTTGAACCTGGTCGCCTTTGAGCTCTGGCTTGGAGGTCTGGGACTTCTTGATGGAGCCATCTTTCGAGCCCTTGAAGACTGTGAAGGAAGGCATGGTGATTGAATTGATTGATCTGTCTGGTAAAGAGGAGGAGTCTGGTGTAGTGATCTCAAACTGACAATGTAACTTGTCTCAAACCTACTTCTGAAGAAAGGAACTCTACACTTTATACTTCCTCACCCACCCTCGTAATTGCTTTCAAAGCTTCCCACACAATCTTCAACAAACGCATGACGATGGCGTCAGGTCAAATCCGCCACCCACCGACAAGCATCACCACATCCCTACACCTACCACGATCCCAGCCGCGGAGCCGAAGGAGAACTTTCCCTGGACCGTTGACACTGACACTGAGCTTATCGATGCGAAGAAGTTTCGTAAGGGTGGATCCCCTACCACGCCATTTACCAGTACCTGCGCAAGCGCGAGGACACGTTCGTAGATGCCTCGGACGCTTGTCGGCAGCATCTTCAGAACGACATGGTAGATTACTAACGCTCAATGGTGTGACCTCATGTATGCTGGCTTTCTCTCGGCGAGGTTCGGGCGCTGTAGGCTATGTGTCTGGAAAGGGCACGAAAGGTTTCTCTCTGATAGGGGAGCAGGGAGGCAAGTCGGCTACAAGGCTCGGTTTTGATGCTTGCCGGCACCATTGTGATCAAGTCCGAGTCGAGATAATGGAGAGAACTCGCTTATATCATCCCTACAGTGCGATACAATGAGGAAGATACATGACGCATGTTCAAGAAGCAGCGATGGAAGTGGCTACTCATCAGACGCCGCATGCAGCTGAAGACCAGACTACACCTATTCGAGCTCGCGGCCCCGAGACAGGTCGATACTGCTGCGCAGCTCTAGAGCTGAGCACAAGGCAATCTCGAGTGACGAGTACAGCATACCTAGCAATGGAACGTCCTTCAGTCGCCCCCAAAGATATGACTGGACGCTTGATAAGCAGAGGGAGACTTGATACAGGCAGGAGGTACCAGAGCTGAGAAGAAACATCAGGCCACGAAGTCGAAGCTTCCTTCCTAGCGCGGTATGTGACACATTTTTCCTCCAGCCCGTTCAATAGTTACACAGTCCAGAAGAGCTCTCCGCGCAACTTTGCTCCCACTATCACAGCACACAGCAGCCCAACGCCTTCCATCTCTCTTTTCCACCCTTCCCCTCTACCCCTTCCCCTTGTACCTCTGACCACCTACCTCCTCCCCGCGACCCCATTAACCCCCACCGCCGCCGCCGGTCCCTGATTAGCAAACAACAACTTAAACCCATTCTTCAACGCGCGCATATCCGGATACGCATGGCCCCGCAACTCAAAAGCATTCGGAATCACCTTCACCGGCCACCCCGACAGCGGCGCGTTCTGCCCGGCTTTGAAGCACAGGTCAAAGTAGCCTGGGTGTTTGGAGTTGAGGCAGAAGGCGTACATGGACCGTTTGGGGTTGGCTTCGGTGTAGGTGGTTAGCCATTGTTCTGTACGCAGACAAATGTTAGTAAAGGGTCGTGAGATGATGGGTAGGTGGGGTGAGGGCAACGTACCGGTCTGTGTCCGCGAACCGCCTTGGTATCGCTCATCCCCCATCATCTCCTCGACTTTCTTCGCCATCGCTTCCACGTGCAGCGCAATCAACTCATCCAGATCCGAGTACGTCCATTTGCCGCCAACCTTCAACACTCTTCCCACAGAAAATTCATTCTCCTTATCCAGCTCCAGCACGTCGAGATGCTGGTACAGCTGATCATGCACCTTCCACGTCACGGCAAGATGATCCGGTCCCTTGCTACTAGGTCGAATAACACAATCACCTCTTCCTTGAGTCGCGAGGAAGTCTTCCGCTTGTCGTGAGTTGAAGGGTCGGAAGAGCGGATGCTTGATCACACGAGGTGCACGCACGGCGCCAGCATCAATCAACTTCTTCGCCTCCTTACGATCGCGGACTTCGAGCTCTTCGTCCCACTCATCCTGAGCATGGTCCAACATCCTGCGGTACGGCTCCCTCATCGGTCCCTCACGAAGCGTAAGTTGCGCGGAGAACTTCTTCCGATCCAAGAATGTCAGCTTCGCGCGTACGATCTGGTGCGGAGCCCAGACGTTCTTGGGGTCGGCGCCACCGTTCGCAATATCCTCTGGGTACTCGCCCTCGCTGATGCCGCCATCGACGCCGCAGTCAAGCTTGACGTCCATGTAGGCGGGGAAGACGCGTTTGACGGAGACGGGGATGATCATGCCTTCCGCTAGAGATTCACGTGTCTCGCCGGTGAGCATGGTGAATGTCTCGTCGGTGGAGAGGAAGCCGAAGTCTGAGCGCAGCTCTTCGTACGGGTTCTGCAATTCCACTCGCACGAGCTCCAGGGTGGCGCGTTTGAGTTGGCCGAAGTTCTGTTCAAGTTGCGTAGCATACTCTTCCAGCACAAGGTCGTTGACGTTGTCGCGCTTGTCCTCCTTGAAGAGCCTGCGCACGACCGCGTTCATGCCATTCTCGTCAGTTTCGGCTTTGATGTCCTCTTCGTCCATGTCCTGCGCATCAGCTGCCATCTTGCGCGCGAGGTCGTAATCTTCGGGATGGATACGTGTGTTGTCCAGATAGTCGTACGTAGGATCGGAGTCATCGTAGGCAATATAAATGAAGCTGGCGCAGTTCTCCCAGACTTTCGGGCTGACTGCCTGACGCTTGTTGTTATCAACGTCACCAATCAGTTCCTCTCGGGTTGCGATTTCGCCGCCATTCTGGTTGATGACCTTGAGCATGTGTGCTGCTTTGCGAGGTCCCAAGCCGCAGACGTAGGGGAGGAGGTTGGCAGTGTAGGGGTCGTTAACTGCTTCGTTGATGTCCACGCCGACCAAATTGACCATGTCCACCATAGCTGACTCAAGGTACTTGAGCAGCTTCTCTTCTGGTACCAATGTCTGGTTGACATCGAAGGAGATGCTGACAATGTCTCGTCCAAGTGCAGCATACTCCTTGAGAGGGTTCTGCATGTACCGCGCCAGTGCAATTGCGTACCGCGTGAGCGGTGGAACACTCGGATGCTCCTTCGCCGCGCGGTCGGAAGTGTGGTAGGGCCTCGCGACCTCATCAGTAACGATAACGACGTCAAGAGGATCTTGCATCTCCTCGTCGCGCTCTTCATCCTGCCAGGGCGTGCCGAGCAGGCGATGCTTCTCGATGATGTCCTGTAGATCCTTGTAAAGCCTGCGCGCCTCGACAGACATACCAGACACAGCAACAACGTCTGGCTTGCGACGCTCCACCAGCTCGACAAAGACGCCAACATCCGCAGGGTCAGGTATGGGTACTGGACGGTCCATATCTCCAAGCCTTAGATCTCCAAACTTGCCGTTTTCGAGAGTGCGTCCATTCTCGTCAGTGTAAGCCCAGCAGATCGCATCATCCCGGTTGCCTCGTCCATTCGTGAGCGCAAGCACCCGCGGCGTCGTGCCCAATACCATGCCCTTCGGCTTGAACGGCGCCTGATCCAGCTTCTGATGGTACGCATCCCTGCACTGGCCTGCAATCTTGTTCTCGCACTCATTCTTGATGTTGTCCTTGACACCCTTCGCAATGACCTTGTGCAGCTTGCCGATCGCGAGATCGACCACTTCGCGTCGGAAGACGTTCCAGGCATCGGCCACCTCAGAGAAGTTGTCGGATTCGATCGCCTTCTGTAGATCTTCCCGTACTTTCCTCTCGCCCTGCAACCGCACGCGGACTTCGATAAGTCCTTCACGCTCTGCCTGCAGCATGCGAAGGAATGTCTCAGGTCGGTCGATGAGGAAATCTTCGACTTTCTGATTGCGGAGGTACTTGAAGTCGTAGTATGGGTGCTCCTCAGTGATTGATTTCAGTCCTTTGTCAGTGCGGTGGACATCGAAGCGGACGGAGACATAGAACAGCTGACGCATGTGTCGTCTCATCCTTGGGTTCATGGCGATCTCCTCCACGAACATCGCTCGCGCGGCGTTGATGACGTCTTGGCCCGTCTTGTAGTCTGGGTCACGAACAAGCGTGTCTGCCATATCATCAGGACGCATGTCTGGGTCATCAGTGTAGGTACGGCGGCCAGACTTGTCCGCATTGACCGCGAGCTGGTCTGCCGTGATACCAAAAGCGCGAACGAGGTGATAGGCTGGGCCTTGTCGGACCTGGTCCCAGCGACTGCGTGCTCCTCTGGCCCTCTTCTGCATGCCGTTCGCTTCCGCTTCGGCAATCGCTGCATCCTTGAGATGGCTGGAGTACTGGAAGTTCAGGTAGTCTTGTATGTCCTGCAAGTCGTCCAGCTGCTCCGCCTTGGGAATGAGATCGTCGAATACTGAGTCGTTGAAATCAGGTATTATCTCCTTCAATGTCTCCACGCTCTTTCGAATGACCTCCCTTCGCTCTTCGAACGCTCTAAACTTGAGGTCGTGCTCGAGCAAGTCCCATAGATCGGACTGGTTGAGCAGCTTCTCTGCTCGCATTTGATAGTCTGGCGCGTCGGGTCTGGAGGGATCGGGGCTCACGGGCACTTGCTCGGAGTGGATGAGGTAGTCTTTGCGATTCTGGAAGATGAATGGCGCCTCGAAATCATTCACGTTCATGAACTGCAGCACTTTCTTGACTGCAGCCTCGAACGGCGCACGAAGACTGCCAGCGAGGCGCTTGCGTGGAAATAGCAGGTTCGAGATCCACTTGGCCTCCTCTGTCGCGCGCTCTGCCATCCCTTCCTCTGGGACATCCGAGAGATCCCTGTATGGCTTGCGAGCGAGCTGGAAGCGTTCGGGAACATCGGTCATCCGGATCTGGTTGTCGTCGTCGGTGAGAAGCTTCTCAATGAGCTGCGACGGCTCGAAGACATCCTTCAACTCCAGTGGCTTCTCCGGGTCGAGCTGGTCCTCGTTATGCTCGGCCTCGACATCGAGCGCCCACATGAACTCTTCTCCGTTTCCAAAAGCGTCGCGCATCAGCTCCATGTCTTCCTCGCTGAGCCCAGAGTCTTTCAGATTCTGCAGATCCGCAAAACCTGGCCGTCTGGGTGCTCTCACTCCCAAGTCATCATCCACTTGCCCGCCCTCTTCATCCGGGAACTCATCCTGCTCAATGAAGTCGTCCAGATCATCACCGAACCCAAACGCGCTCCTTCCCGTCGGACGAGTAGCAGCCGTAGTGTCTGCACCATCCTCCTCGTCAGAGAAGATGTCCTCCACACCTCGCGACACCTTCTCCGGTCGCTCTTCCCTGTGTCCACGCTTGAGTCGCTTAAATTTGCTCTGCGCGGCCTGCCGCCTGTCCGCTTCAGGGTACAGCTCGCCGATCAAGTCCAGATCTTCCTCATCCAGCACCTCGTCTTCCTCCCTCTCCTCGCGTCTCCGCTTTTTCCGCTCCCGCTTACGCTCGAGCGCAGCGTCGTCGTCTTCATCTTCATCGACAATGAAGCCTTCGCGAATCCGCCGCGCCTCTTCCTCGTCATCGTCCTCCTCCTCTTCGGAGCTGTCGTCGAGGTCGCCGTTGGCGTTGCGAGATTTGCGAGGTCTCTCGATAGCTTCACCGGTCTCTTCGTCAAACTCCTCTTCCTCCTCATCATCGTCCACAGCGGCGGCGCGGTCGAAGAGGGCGTCCATGGTGGAAGGTGAAGCTTAGGAAAGGAGTCGGCGGAGTTGAGTGCACCAACAAATCGCAGCCGCAGTGGTCCGGTCGTGGTATTTTCAAAAGACTGAATGCGCTGCAGTGATCCAAGAATGACGGCGCGTTGTCGTATGGCGGTGGAGGTGTGGAGGATGTGGTTGTGGTTCATCGACAACTTTCTGGACGTTTGAAGACGCGCTTGGGCCGCCTTGCTCGGAGGTTTCCCGCAGTCACGTGATATGTGCCTTGATGCCTTACGACCACTACCATTCTATATTGATTCTGGCTATCCAATTGTATTATTCTACACCACCTTACCATTCAGTCTTGTCTACTTACGACCTTCACGTGAAGTCGTGCCGTTAACGAGTTATCTGGCATGCTGTCTCCTGACAATCTGGACACCTTACTCATGTCAGACGCTGCATGACACAGGAGCTGCTTCACCAGGAGTCGGAGGATAACGCAAGCACTTCAAACAGCTACATGATCGAATCTCGAGCGTTTGCGTGTTTCGCGCTTCCAGCGAGTCTACACAGCCAAAGATAGAACCTGAGTCGTGGATGTAGGATTGAAGGAGACTATCGACTGTTCAATAGACCCAAATCCATATCGACCCCACATCGGGCGGCCCTGTCTCGACCTGCAGGTCCTCTGCACCACCTCCCTTCCATATCGACTCCTTTCCCACCCCACTCCACTCCAGCTGTTCAACAGTCACAATACGTCGAGAAAGGATTGCTTGCTGCTTTAATTACACCCTCCAGCCGGTGATTGCGAGCAGGCGCATGCGGGTGTTGGCTCGGAGGCAATCGATTGGCCATAGAGCCGCCCAGGACGGATTGGGCCAGCTGCCTGTGGTAGACTGACGTCGGACTGTCTTCTCCTTGTCACCCACGGACTGAAGAGCGCTGGATTGCCGGGGACGACGACACAGTAACATTCAGTGACCCAGAGACGCTCGCTCACCCACCACCAACCCCTCCCCCTCCGCCACCGCCCACCATGACCGACCCATTCAAGGCGCGCACCATGAAGCGCAAGAACGTGAAAGGCCTCGCCCTATCCGCGCCCGCCAAACCGCCTGTCCCCTCAGAATCCGACGCTCAAGTACCGGGCGGCCTAGCCAACACAGATTCCTCACGCGCCGACACGCTCGAAATCGGCGTCGAGTTCCGCTTCGATCTGCGGAGCGAAGATTTAGAAGTGATCAAGGACTTGGGCGCAGGAAATGGCGGCACAGTGAGCAAAGTCAGACACACCGGCTGGAACGTCGTGATGGCGCGGAAGATCATCCATGTGGAGGCGAAGAAAGAGGTGCGGAAGAGAATTGTGAGGGAGCTGCAGATTATGCATGAGTGTAACAGTCCGTACATCGTCAGCTTCTATGGCGCGTTCATGAACGAGAGCGGGGATGTCACGATGTGTATGGAGTATGCGGACTGTGGGTGAGTTGGACATTCTTCTCCTCACATCTCACAAGCAAGCAACTGATTGGTATGACCACGGCAGATCCCTCGACTCCATCTCCAAGAACTTCGGCCCCGTACGAGTGGATGTCTTAGGCAAGATCGCAGAAGCCGTCCTCGGCGGCCTCAAATACCTCTACCTCGCCCACCGCATCATGCATCGCGACATCAAACCCTCCAACATCCTCGTCAACAGCCGGGGACAGATCAAGCTGTGCGACTTTGGCGTCAGCTCCGAGCTCGTTAACAGCGTGGCGGATACTTTCGTCGGCACCGGCACTTATATGGCCCCTGAGCGGATTCAGGGGAGTCCTTACACTGTGAAGAGTGATGTTTGGAGTGTTGGGCTCACGTTGATGGAGCTCGCGATCGGCAAATTTCCCTTCAGCGTCGATAACGACGACGAGGATGGGGAGGAAGGCGACACAGCGGGCCCGCAAGGTATTCTGGACTTGCTGCAGCAGATTGTGCTGGAGCCTGCACCCAAGCTTCCCAAGTCCGATGCTTTCCCCCAGATCTTGGAGGATGTGATTGCGAAATGTCTGATGAAGATTCCCGAAGAGCGGCCCACGCCACAAGAACTCTACGACACCGACCCATTCTTACAAGCAGCGAAGCGCACCCCTGTCGACCTCGAACAGTGGGCCGTGAACATGATGGAACGACACAACCGCAAATCCCACCTCGCGCCACCCCTATCACCCGCAACCAAAGCACTGCTCCGTGGCGAAGAAGCACCCTCCCAGCGACCACAGCAAAGCCAGAGCCAACCCCAATACCAAAGCCAAAGCGCCTCTCGACCCGAACGCACACCCACAAGCGGCGACATCCCCATCTCCGCCTCCACAACCGCGTCCAATTACCCTTCCAACTACCCTTCCGGCTATCCTTCAGCATCCTCAAATGGCTCGATGCCCCGCTCCACAACGCCTTCGACCGCCTCAACGACAGCTCCGTACTCTGCGTCCAGCTCCGGCTCGACAAGCCGGCCGTACCCGCAGCGAACCAGTAGCGCCCAAACTGCTGTCCCGACGTATGGGCAAGGGCAGATGAACTTGCCGATCCGGCCTTCGCCGCAAGAAAGCGTAGGGAGGGGTTATGGAGGCGGATATGGGAGCGGGTATGGCCCTCCTCCTGGTGCGCCTCCTGCTCATGGATTACCGCCTAACCCGAGTCCGGCGAGGAACTCTCCGAGGCCGGGGACGGCGGGGAGTGCGCAGGGGGATCCGTATCGCAGGGCTGCGCCGCCGAGGACGGGTTATGTGTCGTGAGCTGGTGGGCAGAGAATTGGGAGGAGAGAACGATCGGCGGTGCCTCGTCATGTTCGTGCAGAGACCATCTGGCCGGCTCTTGACACTACGACCGTACCGATAGCCGTGCTGCTCAAGCCGGAAGGAGGTAGTCCTATGACGCGGGTGAGCGATCCTGCAGGGAGTCCGCGTGGCCTGGAGCATGGCCACGGTCCGAGTAAGACAGATGATGTGTGGGTGGTGCCAGGTGTGGGACATGGGTTGAGTGGGACATGTGTGTACATAGCATCGGAGCGTGATCACAGCATGGCAAGGAAAGGGAAGGGCAGGACAGCGTTGTGGATTAGCGGAGCGGCGCGGGAGCTAGATGGACCAAAGGTACTATTACTATGCTGGAACCCACCTCTTCTATACTCGCGAAGACGGAATGAATCCGTTTTTGCGCGGATTGCGTTCCTTCAACTTCGACTCCAGGTCGTGGCAGTCTAACATGTGATCACTCAAGCACGGCAGGAGCAGTGGAGGCAATATGCGCCCCAAACTAGCGCCGTTGCTTTTGCGGCCAATCGCACGCTTCACGACACGTGAACGTCCCAATTCGGCAGGAGCGACTGACGCACACTTTCCACTCCAGCAACACCACCCGAGCGCCCCGACCTCACGTTGTATCTCCCCTTCTCTTGAGCACAACATTATACCTCCGATCCGGCTTCTGGATTGTAAACTCCTTCGCCTTCAACATCAGCCCCTCCTCCTCAAGCTCAACCTCATACCGCAACACCAACTGCGCAATCATCTTCTGAATAAACTGCTTCGCCACGTTGATGCCAATGCAATGCCGACTCCCGTGTCCGAAACCGAGATAGCTCGTCTTCATCGTCCCTAGGTCCGTCGCGTTCTTGCCCCCTTCCCAACGATCCGGGTCCCAGACATCAGGGTTGGGGTAGACGGAGGCGTTTCGCCCGAGGGTAGCGGCGGGGACGCCGACGGCTACGCCCCCGGGGACGTGGACGCCGCAGATCACGGCGCCGGAGCGCGGGGTGTCGCGGGGAGTGGCGTAGCCGATGGGAGGGTGCAAGCGGAGACATTCGGTTTCGATGTGGTCGAGGAGGCGGAGGTGGCGGAGGGTGGTGAAGGGGAGGGGGTGGTGGCCGCTGGGGTTGGAGGGGAATGTGGATTGGAGCTCGCGAAGGAGTTGGGACTTGGTGGTGGGGTTTTTGCAGAGGTAGTATGTCATCCTGAGGGTGCAGCGTCAGAGGTGAGGACAGGAAGGGTGAAGGGGAGAGTGCTTACCAGTTCATCGTTACGCTGCCTGTGGAGGCGCCGGCGACCCTGCCACGATATCGTTAGCATTTTGATAACGAGTCACTAACATGTGGCGATAGAGGCATACATCAGCGAAGACGTCTCAGCCCTCAACTCATCGAAGTCCATCCGATGCCCCGTCTCCGGATCCTGGGCCTCGATGAACCTCTGCATGATATCCTGCCTGACCTTGCCGTTCTCAAGCGTCTGCTGACGGTTCTCCTGGAACCGTCTCTCGAGGGCAGACTTCGCGTAATCCAGATACTCCAGCCTAGCCTTGTACAGCTTCTGAATGTTTGGCAGCGGCACCCAACTCAAGACCTTGACATTCCATTTCCCGAAAGGCAACAGACCAGAATGGTTCGCAAACCGCTGGCTCTGCTCCACGAGACTGGAATACCGAACCGGCTTGCCACCGTCAAGCGCTCCAAACCCCTTTCCCAGAGCAAGCTCGCCCAACAGATCCATGGTAAACAGCTCATACCAGAAGTAAATATCGAACGCCTCTCCCTTCTCAGCAAACTCGTCCATCTTCGCCATGAACTTCTCAAGCGTAGCATCCACGATCGGCTCGAACGTCTGCAGCGACTGCATGCTAAATCCATGCGATACCATCCTTCGCTTCATCGCATGCCTTTTCGTAGACCTGGTGGAGAACAAACTGTCACCTGTCGTGGAGAAAGCATCGTACCATCCCGACTTCCCGAAGCCGTCCGCGGTCTTGCCGTGGCCGTAGATCGCCTTGACGGCTTCAGGAGTGTTGAAGGAGACGGCGTTGGGACCGGTGCGGACTGCTACGGCGCCAGGGTTCTCGTTGAAGAGTTGGGTTACCCACGCTGCTCTGCGGTTCTCTTTGAGAGCGTTGGCTTCGGGGAGAGTGCTGATGCGAGTGAGCCAGGGGCCGAGGATCTTTGCCAATGGAGAGAAGAAGAGACGGTAGAGCAAAGTGGCGATGGCGTAGAGGAGCCCTCCAAGAGCCAGCAGGGGCAAGAGAAGAGGTTTGTCCGTTGCGATAGAGTCTAGGAGAGCCATTGTGATTGTTGTTGGAGAGACCAGATGATACCCTGCGGGCTACTGCCGTGTTGATTAAAATCCTTTCTAGGTCATCAGATGCAAATATCTGGTCCCCTTTGGGTGGTCAAGCAAAGCTTCTTGTCGGACAGTTGAACAACAGATCAGAGGCGATGGTTCCAACAAGCGTTTGGCGTCAGTGTCAAGGAGGGACAAGCTCCCCATCTTCATCTCACTTGGCTCTCTCCACGACTCCTCCACGCGCTTCTCCATACCCCACTGCCTTCTTCCTTTGATGACACGGCTGATTTCTACCGACACCGTGTTGATGAGAGAATGGGATTGGTCGACGGGATCTGATGGAATCCATCTTCAGCCAGCGTGCGGGGATCTCTCATGCGGCAGTTGATGTGCTGTGCAGCCGACAACGGGAGACACGGGATGAGGACGACTTCATCCCGTCGAGATGGAAGTAAAGACGCGTTCTCTGGATGATTGTTCTTTGCTTCCTCCCAACATACACCCCAAGAATCACACCGTCTTCTAGAGACGAGACAACAGGATCATGCCTACGCCAACCTCGCCAGAGGCCAACCATCACGACAAGGAAGGCAAAACAGAACACCAAGAGTTCCTAGGCTACGATGACCCGCACAGAGCAGCACTGGAAGACAACCCCGAACACGCCGACAAATTGACATGGTCCGTCGCGCTCTCGGCCCTCTTCTTGGGAACATCATTCACAGGTCCCATCATATTCGGATTCATCCTGGTGACGCCCATCCTCGTCCAGCTCAGTGGCCTGATTGGAGGCGAGAACATCGACTTCTGGATCCCGTCGGGATGGGGAGCGGCGGCTGCTGTCGGATTCAGTATCGCTGGGAGGCTTTCTGACATTTTTGGGCGCCGACCTGTGATTCTTGTTGGCCAGGCTCTGACCGTAGTGGGAGGCATTGTGGCATGCACGGCCAACGACATGAACCAGTTGATCGCTGGGGAGGTGATTCTTGGTGCCTCGATTGGCACAGTCTCCGTGGCTTATGCTGGTAAGTTTGATATGGACATCGGCCTGGCAATTAGTATAGTCTGACCAAGGGCCACAGGCCTATCCGAGATCCTGCCAAACAAATGGCGAGGCGCCGGTCTGGCATGGACAGAGTTCAACCTAGCAGCCTATGCAGTGCCCGGCACTCTACTTGCTAACACCCTGATCTCCAACGCATCCTGGCGCATCATGTTCTACATCGCCATTGGATACGGCGCCTTCTCCTTCATCGGCACTTTCTGGGTTTACTACCCTCCAAGCCACCCGCGACCTGATGGCAAGACGAAGTGGCAGGAGTTCAAGGAGCTGGACTTCATTGGTGCCTTCATGTTCGTGGCCGGCTTAGCTGTCTTCTTGTTTGGACTCAATTCTGGCGGCAACACTTATCCCTGGAAGAGTGGCGGCACTCTTGCCCCGCTGATCTTGGGGCTGATCGTGTTCGTGGGCGCCTTTGTGTACGACTTCAATATCCCCAGGGACCCGCTGTTTCCGTGGTACCTGTTCAAGAACTTCCGGGAGTTCTCAGCGCTGCCAGTTCTAGTGTTTGTGGTGAGTATTCAACAGTTTCGGCGACGAGGACCATCGGGGCTGACTTTTTGATCAGGCTGGCATGGTCTTTTTCGCAGCATCTGCCCTCAATGCGCAAACAATTCTGTATCTTTTCACCGCAGATCCAATCAAAATCGGACTCTACTCGATCCCATCTGGGTAAGCAAGGACTGTATGCTTCGGTTTGCGAACCTTTACTGATCTCTCATCCAGTGCCGGCCAACTCATCGGAGGCGTCCTCATCCCAGGCCTTGTGCACAAGATCAAATTCGTGCACTACCAACTCACCTTCGCCGTCTTCATGCAGACGCTGTTCTTCGGTCTGGCAGCGTTGATCACGCCACACAACCTCAACTGGCTCATGTGAGTTTCAACGAAACGATGGTACTGTTTTGATCACAAGACTGACCAAGTCTTTCATTCTGCCAGGGCCGTGCAGTTCCTTGCTATGTTACCATTCGGCTGGATCACGCTGAACTGCTACACTGCCGCCAGCCTCAACGTGCCACAGCGAGATCTGGGAGTGGCAATAGGGTTGATAGGAACCTTCAGAAGCGTTGGCGGGAGTGTAGGAAGTGTGATCCTCTCCTCCATCTTCGAGCAGACGGCGACAAAGCAGGTCGCACAACGCATCAGCAACAAAGCCCTCGAAGCTGGTGTGTCCGCTTCGACAATCCCAGACATCATCGGAGCCGTCGAGTTGACGCTGGTCGGAGTGCCTGGACAAGAGGCTACCCTCTCGGGAGTTTCTTCACGGACGTTCGAAACTTGTGTCGCTGCCGCTCGGAACGGGTATGCGTACGGCTTCCGCATGACTTGGTTGGCTTCGATTCCGTTTGGTGTCATTGCATTAATATGTGCGGCTGCTGTTCGCGATCCGTCGAGATATTTCACGAACCACGTCGAGATTCATCTGAACAAGAAGGTCGGTGGGAAATATGAGGAGGATGCTAAAGGGCAGGAAGCGAAGGAGGTGCCTACCTAGATAGCTGGTCCTGATCAAACAGTTCGATGAGAACATGTCTTCATTGAACGCTATTGACCCGTCCTCATCACCTGTTGTATTCCTCGTTGCACAAAGCTGACAATGCAAGCTCAAATTCCAAATTACCGGCAGATAGGCTTCACAATAGCCCCCACCAAAAGCGAAAAAGTGCCGTTTGGTGTGCAGTAGTTTCGGCCGATCAATGCGTGTGATACGTCAGGGTCTGGACTCTGAGGGCAGGAACGAGCTTGAAACGAGGAAATCGTGTAGAAGGTACAAAAGGCAAAAGGCAAGCGTGCTTGCAGCTTCCAAGAGAAAGACTGAAAGTAACTTGCTTCAACTTCATCCAACTTCACACTCACACTCACACTTACTCAAACCACCAACACAACACCAACCACCCAACATGTCGAACCTCATGGACAAAGTCAAGGGCAAGGTCGAAGGCGACAAAAGCAGCGGTGGCAGCACTGGTCCCCTCAAGCAGGGCTCCAAGCTGCCTTCCGTGGGCATGCTCAAGGAGAACCACCCCGTTGAGGCGAACATGGACTTGGGCACGCTGAGCGGGAAGAGTGAGTTTGCAGTGAACCTACTGGCAAGGACTGGCGGTTAAGCTGACTTCACTTTGCAGACATCATCGTCTCCGTGCCAGGTGCCTTCTCACCAACGTGCTCTGACCAGGTCCCGGGGTATCTTGAGAACGCTGAGAAGTTCGCTGCTCATGGTGTGAAGGGCGTACGCCACTCATTCGAAGTCAGGATCGAGACTGGCCAACTCACTGACTGCTACTTCAGATCTACGTCGTGGCCGTCAACGATCAATTCACCGTCGACGCCTGGAAGTCGAAGCTGGGTGGCGCGAAGAGCCCGCTCGTGCACTTCATCGCTGATGATGAGGGCAAGGTGAGTCTCCGCGCCCTCTCAAACCAGATCTCGTACTGACGCTGGTCATGAACAGTTCACCAAAGCCGCCGGCATGGACTTCGACAGCGTTGCGTTCTTCGGGAACCGCCGCTCCAAGCGCTACGCCGCCATCGTGGAGGACGGCGTGGTCAAGTCGATCTGGACTGAGGACGACCCGACCAAGGTTACTGTGACGAGCGCGACGAACGTGCTGCAGGCTCTCGGTTGAGCATGCCTTCTGTGCCACGAAGGATGGGGAGGGGTGTTGATGTCGGTCCATGAGACACAGAAGAGAGTAGCTGCTAGAGTGCATCCATAAGTCAAATGACATGATAACGACTAACATTGACGTGTCTGCAAGAGACCAAGGCTTCTCATTCTCGTCACTGTCTCAATATGTAGCTCGGTACGTCGTGCCCGTCGCCCGAAGGAGGAACTGGAAGGCTTTGTTATTAGAGGCGTTGATCCTTCGATGGATGCAAGCAGCTTCAGCAACCGTCATCGCTGACCTCTCGCAAGCTCGTGATTCGCCATAGAACTAATGTCTACGCCTGCTGTTGAGACGAAGGGCTGTTGGAACGCTGTTTCGTGAGCACTGTAGGCATTGGCAGATACTGTGGCAACTCGCCCCCAAGAGACCTGGAGCGGTCAATAGTGAATCCATGATCGCGAAGAGGACGCGGAAGCGGTGGTCATCGCGAAGTTTATCTGATCCTCGCTGACAACACGCCGCTTTTGGTTGGTTGGCCTGTTGCGCGACCGGCCGGGGTGGTGGCGTCTGTTTCTAGCTCCCAGCAACAAACATCATAGAGCCGGCACATTCCCATACGTTGTCGTAAGTTTGGTTCTGGCGAGCTTCTGCGAGATATGAGCAGCTCGAGCAGCTATTAAGCGATCGGCAGGCTCGGAAGCAGCTTCGTGAACATCGTCGAAGTCCACAGAGGTGCTGCCATATCCAAGCCGAAGAGGACCAGCTTGGAACAGCCATTGCATCCTCTCACAAGACCACGAGGACGGACAGACTTTTCGGACGGCTGAAGCACTGGACGCGGATACTGCGAACGACGCTTCTAGAAGAGCAAGGGCAGCGTGTCCGGTGGGACTGCTTGGACTGTGAGTTGGCGAAGACAGTCCTCGGCATTGCTCGCGGCTCTTGCCTCGATTCGGAAGTCCCCCACCTTGGAGGGGAAGTGCTAGATAATAATGCAGGGCAGGTGCCAGACACACTTTCTTTCCTCACTTCTCTCCTCGAGAACAAGACTCCTTCGACCATCAACACATCACCTTACACACCGCACAATCATCAGAACCATGAGTACTGGAGAGTGCCCCATCCGTGCTGCCAACACTGGCGGTGGCGGGACTCGCAACCGTGACTGGTGGCCCAATGACCTCAGGATCAACATCCTCCGTCAGCACACCGACATCACATACCCCTACGACAAGAACTTCGACTATGGTCAGTCGTTCAAGGACATCGACTACGATGGCCTGAAGAAAGATCTGAACAACCTCATGACCGACTCACAGGAGTGGTGGCCCGCCGACTTCGGTCACTACGGTGGTCTCTTCGTGCGGATGGCATGGCACAATGCGGGCACCTACCGTGTCCAGGACGGCCGTGGTGGTGGTGGCCAGGGTCAGCAGCGTTTCGCACCCCTCAACAGCTGGCCCGACAACGTCAGCTTGGACAAGGCCCGCCGCCTGTTGTGGCCTATCAAGCAGAAGTACGGCAGCAAGCTCTCGTGGGCGGATCTCTTCCTGCTCACTGGCAACGTCGCCCTTGAGTCAATGGGTGTCAAGACCTTTGGTTTTGCTGGTGGCCGTCCCGACACCTACGAGGCTGACGAGTCGGTCTACTGGGGTGGCGAGATGACGTGGCTCGGCAACGACGTCCGCTACTCTGACGGCAAGGCTGGTCTCGCTGCCGGCGGCGTTGTCGACTCCGACCAGTCCAAGCAGGACCACCAGGACCACCACACACAGCACGCGGAGACGCACAAGGACATCCACACCCGCGACCTCGAGCAGCCTTTGGCCGCCGCTCATATGGGTCTCATCTACGTCAACCCAGAGGGTCCAGACGGTGTGCCAGACCCTGTTGCCGCCGCCCGTGACATCCGCACAACCTTCGGCCGCATGGCCATGAACGACTACGAGACTGTTGCTTTGATTGCTGGTGGTCACTCTTTTGGCAAGACCCACGGTGCTGGCCCATCAGAGAACCTTGGCAACGAGCCACAGGGTGCGACCATCCAAGACCAGGGTTTCGGCTGGTCAAACTCGTACGGACAAGGCAAGGGCCCAGACACCATCACCAGTGGTCTTGAGGTCACCTGGACCAAGACTCCTGTCAACTTCAGCAACAGCTACCTTAACTACCTCTTCAAGTACGACTGGGAGCTTGAGAAGAGCCCGGCTGGTGCCAACCAGTGGGTGGCCAAGACCGATGACAAGATCATCCCAGACGCCTATGACTCTGAGAAGAAGCACAAGCCAAGGATGTTGACCACTGACCTTGCGCTCCGTTACGACCCTACGTACGAGAAGATCTCTCGTCACTTCGCCGAGAACTTCGATGAGCTCCACGATGCCTTCTCCCGTGCGTGGTTCAAGCTGCTCCACCGTGACATGGGCCCACGCGCTCGCTGGGTCGGACCCGAGATCCCGAAGGAGGAGCTGATCTGGGAAGACCCCATCGACCAATCCACCGTCTCCAAGATCTCTGACTCTGACATTGACGCCCTGAAGAAGGAGATCCTCAACACCGGCATCTCCAACGAGAAGCTGATTGGTGCGGCGTTCGCTTCGGCTTCGTCATTCCGTGGCAGTGACAAGCGTGGTGGTGCCAACGGCGCCCGCATCCGTCTCGAGCCCATGAAGGACTGGGAGGTCAACAACCCCAAGCAGCTCCAGGAGGTGCTCAAGGCGTTGGAGGGCATCCAGAAGAACAGCGGCAAGAAGGTGTCGATGGCCGACCTGATCGTCCTGGCTGGCTGCGCCGCCCTTGAGAAGGTCGCTGGCCTCCCAGTGCCATTCACCCCAGGCCGTGGTGACGCCAGGCAGGACCAAACCGATGTCGAGTCCTTCAACCACCTCCACCCTTACGCCGACGGCTTCCGCCAGTTCGGCAAGGGCACCAGCCGCATTAGGTCCGAGCAGTTCCTCGTCGACCGCGCCCACCTGCTCAACCTCACCGCACCCGAGATGGCCGTCCTCGTCGGTGGTCTCCGCGTCCTCAACCAGAACTACAACGGCTCCCAGCATGGTGTCCTGACCAAGAGCCCCGGCAAGCTCAGCAACGACTACTTCGTCAACCTGCTCGACTTGAGCACCGCCTGGAAGCCCGTGGAGGGCAGCGAGGTCTTCGAGGGCGTCGAGCGCAAGAGCGGCAACAAGAAGTGGACCGCCACCCGCTTCGACTTGATCTTTGGCTCGCAGCCCGAGCTCCGCGCGTACGCTGAGGTGTTTGCTGCGTCCGACGCGAATGAGAAGTTCTGCAAGGACTTTGTCAACGTGTGGGATAAGGTGATGAACCTTGACCGCTTTGACATTAGGCCTACTACTGGCGCGAAGCCGCGTTTGTAGATGGAGGATGATGCGATACATGCATGGATGGGGTGATATGCGTTATGAAAGCGTATATATGTCGGCTCTTTTAGGAGCTAATCATGGCAATTGGAAGTGTGAATGATAGCTGATAGCTGTAAATTGACGTAGCTGATCAAACCATACAACGAGATTACACTTTCCTTCTCCGTTGTCCTTCTCTGAGATGCACCTGTCTCCGAGAAATGCGGCCACTGGCGGTACACCAGCGCCCTAAAGAGAAGGGCACTTTAGCGTCGTGCAGAAGAACCAGAAAGTGTTGGCTCTCCAGCTCAGCATACGGTTCTATCATGATTCCAGATCCTCCTCGAAGAAGAAAGAAGACTCGGTCGGAAACTCGGACCGGCTCACCAAAATCATGCACTAGGAGATAAGTTTTTGGAGAAGGTACTTAATGGACGGTATCAATGATATGGACATGCATCAGACCGATCCGCTCGGTCTCCAGGAGAGTGAAAAGGCGATGTGCTCACACGATCCATGGTGAAGCTCTGTGGTTGTCTCGAGAAGACGCACCAACCGGCTTAAAAGTCCGCCCATTCTCCCAAGCCGCAACAATCCATAAGCGCTTGACATTCCTCATACTATCACTACAGCAGACCTCTCCCACCTCGAGATGACTTCACCGATGTCCCAGACCCGCCATCGACCATGCGAGTCCGTAATTGATCCACAGCACTTTCAAAAGAGTCCAGAGCACCCAATTGCGTAACGCACATAGGGCGGGATTCGTGAGCGTGTTGAGCACGGTGAGGCGGTTGGTCAGCGACACCACGCCTGCTGCGATGGGCCGTCGTTCGTTTTCATAGCGGTCAAGGTCTGCTGCGGATGTCTCGTCATAGCGCAAGGCGTCGGTGAGAATATTGGCGAGGCGGCAGCCGTCTTGGATGGAGATGTTCATGCCCTGGAAAAAAGTCAGGAGAGTGGCTTCTCGGAGACAAGGGTTGCTCTGAATCACCTGTCCGCCCGTCGGCGGATGCCAGTGTGCAGTATCGCCTGCGAGAAATACTTTTCCCTTCCTGTAGTGTTCCGCCAGGCCGTGGGAGACCTTGAACCGACTCATCCAAAGCACATCGCCGATTTTGATGCCTGGACCCGCCCGTTCGTCCGTCATTCTCTGGAACAGCGCAGCGTCCAGATCCGCACGTGGTGTATCAGCCGTAGTCACGACTCGCCAGATTCCCCGCGGCAGAGGCAGATACAACAACAGTCCCTCCGGCGACAGAAACTCTTGGAAGCAGTCCGGCTGCAGAGAGCCGGTCGAGACGAGCTTAACGTCAGCTAGGATGAAGCTCTGGCTGTTGTCGCCGCCTTCGGTTTTAATGCCGAGCTGTTCTCGGGTGGAGCTGCGGCGGCCGTCGGCTGCTATGGCGTATTGTGCTAGGATTGAGGTTGATTTTTCGTTGGAGACGTTGACATCGACCTGCACTCCATTGGCGGTTTCCGACACCCTGGTGGCAGACACTCCTCGATGAATTCTGCCGCCAAGTGCTTCAAGTCTGTTCTTCAGGATACGTTCCGTGTCTGCCTGCGAGAGGTCAGCGAGCGTCTCCGGGCCCGAGCGTCATAGTTGAGATCTCGAAACGCCGCAGGATGCTTGTACACGTCTCGGAGAACTGCTTCAATGCATCGAAGCTTACCTGAGCGAGTGTCACAGCCATGGGGTACTTCGTTCTAAGCGCCTTGAACACTATCCTGCCCAGCACGCTCGTCCCGCTGCGGACGAGTCCTTCCTCCATGATCATTCCTTCCGAGAGCACAGCCTCCGAGATACCAAGGTCATCCATTACTTCCAGCGTTCGAGAATGGATTACCACGGCTCGAGAGGAAGTTGATGGTTCCGGGGCCGCGTCGATGACTACCACGTCAATGCCGTTGGCGAGAAGGGTGCAAGCTGCTGCCAGACCAGCGGGACCCGCACCGACGACGACTACTTCTGCCGTGCTTGGAAGTGCCATCATGGAAGGTATTGGGAGTAGTCTTCCAAGGTAGTACCGAGCAGAGTGGGAGTGTGGATGGTAGCAACGAAGAGACTCTTACCTTCTTCGCGAAGGGCATATATACTTGCCTGCCCAGCACTGTTCGCCGACATCGCCTTGCTTGCGGCTGAGCGTCAGTACCATTTTCACCTGCCTGATCATGTTTCTATTGGGCGAAGCTGCGAGAAGGGGTGGAACAACTTGGAGTTGTGGTATGCAAAGATCGGACGAAAGCGAAAGCGGACCAAGTTGTCGCTCGTTCTCTTATTCCCGGTGGACGGTAGCAGCGGGCCGTGTTCGAGCTAACCAGGAATCGGAGCGAGATTAGACGACACTCCTTCGACTTCACGATCTTCAACTTCAGCATGGTCCAACATCTGAGACGCAGAGAAAAGAAGAATACATGAGCTGAAACTGGTGAGACTGTTTACCTACTAGATACGGAAGAGAACTGACGACGACTAGTAACCGGCGACGCCGATGTACTCGAGCTGATGCTTGCGCCAGATCTCTGTGCACGAGAACTAATTAGCTTGTGCAACCATGTGAATTGCCCACGGCGACGTACTTTCTTGGTCCTTTTTAGCCTTGACAACAGCTGCTCGACCGCTATTGATGGCAGCTTCCCCTGCTTCGGTGTGGCCATCTATTCCGGTAAATTCAAAGGCATTGCGGTAAATCTTTAGGAAGTCGAGTCGCGCTTGCGCTGTCCTAGTAAGTATGTAGTCTCATGATTAGCTTCAGCACATCAACACGAAGGATTCATAGATCCAGACGCAGGTAAGGGAATCCGCGTACTCTACAGACTTGTCACCCCACACAACGGCAAGATCGGCACGACGAACATGATCCTCAAGATTAAACTCCTTCTCTTTCAGCTCCCAAGCGGCGATGAGAGCTGCTCTCGCGGCAGCCATATTGTCACCGCGTCGCTTGTAAGAACCGTGGGCTTGCAGCATTTCTTCGGTCCAAGGGTCACACTTTTCAATAGCAATTGCGGTCCAGCTGAGCGAGCCACTTTCTCATGTCGACAATTGTACCGTCCAGCTCCTCGGTAAGATCTTTCTCCAGTCTTTCGAGGGCGGTGGAGGCTTTGATGTGTTCAACAGCCGATCGCGCAGAGGCAATCGAGTCCGAGATACTGGCCGAAGCGGAAGGATCAGCCATTATTGCGGACCAACTTACACTAGAAATCCTGTTATGACAATCAAAGTCCCGAGATGTCTTGAAGAGGCTTTAGACGACATCGAGCGTATGTGTGATGGGGAATGCTACACATCTTCACAAAAAATCTGAGGACATATACAGTTGTCGGGCGCACAGTCGAGCCAGCAGGATGTGAGTCGAATGGCATTCACGCTTGACTCCAACGTGTGTGCATGATGCTTATGGCAACTAATCGAGAAAGGTCCTCGATGCTTGCATGTGTGTGTACGGCTCGTCACATTGGGTTACAATCGTTACCGTTGTCCGATGTCTATGGTCCAATGCGACACAGGCGCAGCGCAGGGAAACTTTGGTCGACACCGTCTTCGTGCTCTTCTTGCATTTGAAGACCGGCTTTCTGGTGCCACTGGTGACGATGTCCGTTTGCTTTGGGTTGGCCTTTCTCGGCCGGCCAATCAGATGCCTTGACTTAACGTGCCTCAAACTGACTTGTTTGCCTAACAGCAACCGCGACTCGTGACTTCTATCACAACAAGCTACCTCTGACGGCAGCGCGACGACCCGAGAACAAACATACAGAACGTCCTGTCCTTCGTACATCGTAGTCTCACGCAAGACTTCGTTGCACCTCCGCTCATTCAAGCCACACCACCAACTCCAGAATGGATCAGCCAACAGTCGCGAAGCTGGAGCAGCCTTTGGCTCATTCCACTTCACCAACCAATACTTCAGCAGTGATAACGATTTCAGGAGGCGGATGCCCAAGAGAGAATCAAGTGGCGTCTCCGTCAATGGATGCACAGCAGCCAACAAGAAGCCTTGAGACCCTCCCAGCCGAACTCCGACGCTGTCTACTTTCAAACCTGCATCTCGCTCAACTATCGGCTTTGGTCCACGCCTCGCCTGTCTATCACCAACAGTATCTTGTCGACCGCAAATATCTCCTCTCCCGAAGCATTGAGCAGACATTGGGCAGCGTGGCCGCCGACGCCCTTTTCGTTCACGAGCTCGAGACAAAACCAAAAGTTGAGCGAGTCGATGCTGAGCTTTTGAAGCGATATTCGGAGAACGCCTCACGACGTCGCCTGCCATATGGCAACGACCACTCCCAAGCAGAGAACGTGGACATCGCTGCCTTCCACTTGCGTTACGTGGAGCCGCTTGCTACCCACTACGCCCACTCGCTGTTGGAGAACCTTGCAGGCGAAGCGAATTCTGACAAAGGCAAACATGTGCCTACAGCATCCGAGATGGTGCGACTTACGAGGGCCATGTATCGCTTCCAGCTGCTCTGCCAACTCGCTGGTCCCGCGGGTAGAACTTATCCCAACGACCCAAGAGAGGACAGCTATACAGCTTTGATCAACCTGATGGAGCCGTGGGAAGTCGAAGAGCTCTTATCGTTCTACCAGTTTGCACGAGGGAGCTACGAGAAGATCCTAAATGACGTTCGATGGGATTTCCATGAAGACAATCCCAGGTTTGCGGAAAAATTCGACCCTCAGCCCCGGAAGGGGCCTTTGATTTGAAAGATGGGTCTTGTATTTCCAGCCTTGCTCCGCTCTGGGGTTTCACCATACTAACGCTGATACAGTGGAATTCGACTGCTTCTTGGAGGGCCTGACGCTTAGTGGCATTCCTTTCTTGCACGCGGTTCTCCTCGAGATCCGCAACCATGAGACACTAGTCTCAACTGTACAAGGAAACATGGATCGGTCGTACATTCTGATCGAAGCAGATTCTGGAGTCCTCGGAGAATACCACCAGTCCAGGCGGAACGATGAGAATCCTACCGCGCGTGATCGAATGCAAGGCGACAGGGTTGCGCTCCCATTCCGGGGTGACGGGTCGCCAGATGCACCCTCGAAGGCCTGGACTATAATGTGGAAAGAGACTTACAGCAATCTATACGGATGGGTTGTCCCGAACAAGATGCGCCGTTGGGGTTATATCGTCTGGGACGCGGCAACACTGAAGGCTACGGGTGGATAGGAGGTTCTTCGGCGGCAGTGGAGGCACGAACACGGCGACATTCCCGATTGCGATGAAGACCCCCGAGAACAGTTCATTGCCGTCATAAACTTTGTGCCTCCTTCCTGACAGTGGTTTCTGTTCACCATGCTGGCATCCTATCAACTCTACGTTCTGGCCTGCTACGCCCGCAATCGTACGACGGATATCACCATCGGAGACTACATGCAAGACCTGCCCAGCTGAAATAGAGGGAAATGATAGCGATGTCGTGGACGCAACCAAGATCAGCTCGACCTCTCTGACGAAGAAGTTCCTTCGGCGCCCCAGATTGTCTGGACGAAAAGAAAGCGACAAGCTCGAGATCGAGTTGCACACACAGGACGAGAACGCGAGTTTGGCATGATGAGAAAGATGAGAAAGGCAGTTGTCGTGATGGTCTGCTACTCGACGAGGCTAGACCTCGCAGCTTGGTCAGATGTATCATAGAGAGCAGCATTCCAATCAGCATATCAACCACAATGCATGACTTTTGACCACGATCCACAACCGTATGTATTACATGTAAGTAGAGCGTTTGAAGTAGCTAAGTAGCTTGACGTCCGTGCTCAGTGCTCGACGCGTTCGCGTTAAGTGATTACATCGAGGCAACTTCGACGGGCAACGTTCGTTTTCTAGAAGATAGCAACTTCCAATTTTTCTAGTTTTCGCATAGACTGCCAGAACGTCTTGACAATTGAACCCTTCTCTTCGCTATGCCTGAGGTAAGTGTGCAGAAGCAGTGCAAGTGCATCAGTACTGACGAAACAACCAGATTGGCGAAGTCGCGCGAGTCGTACACTATCTTCGAAAGCGCCTACTGAACCGCACGATCACCACCTGCGAAGCCCTCGAAGATGCCAACGTCTACGGCAAAGTCGGAACCAGCGCGACCGCCTTCCAAAAGCACACCGAAGGCCGCAAAGTCACCGGCGCAGCGCAGCAGGGTAAATACTTCTACGTCACCTTCGATAAGGCTCCGCACGCGGTGATGCACCTGGGCATGACGGGATGGGTGAAGTTCAACACGGAAGACACGGCGTACTACAAGCAGGCGAAGGAGGTCGAAAGAGAGGAAGAGGAATGGCCGCCGAAGTACATGAAGTTTCTGTGGAAGTTTGAGCCCTCAAAGGTGGATGGGGAGGACAAGGAGGCAGTGGAGGTCGCATTTGTGGACTCGCGGCGGTTTGCGAGGATACGGCTTGTTGATTGCGAGGCGGACAAGATCCGGGATACAACACCTTTGAAGGAGAATGGGCCGGATCCGGTGCAGGACAAGGCTGTCGTGACGGTGGAGTGGTTGACGGAGTTGCTGCAGAAGAAGAAAGTACCGGTCAAAGCTCTGCTTCTGGATCAAGCGAATCTATCTGGCGTTGGAAACTGGGTGGCGGACGAAGTGCTGTATCAAGCGCGAATACATCCGGAGCAGTATTGCAACACTTTCGACGACAAACAGATCAAGCAGCTACACGACTCGCTTATTGGTGTCTGCACGACTGCGGTGGAGACACTTGCCGACTCGAAGCAGTTCCCGGAGGACTGGCTGATGAAGTACCGGTGGGATAAAGGCAAGAAAGAGTCCAATGTCCTCCCGAACGGCGAGAAGATCGTTCATTTGACGGTTGGCGGAAGAACGAGTGCGGTTGTACCAAGCAGACAGAAGAAGACAGCTGCTGTAGCAGGAGACGTTAAATCCGACGAGATGCAGAACGGCGATGCGAAGCCTGCGAAAGGTCGCAAACGGAAGCAGAGCGATGAAAACGAAGATGAGGACGAGGCTGCGGAGAAGAGTTCGAAAGCACCCAAGGCCAAGAGAGGCGGACGGGCAGCGAAGAAGGCTGACACGAATGGCGTGAAGGAGGAGAACGAAGATGAAGACGGTGAGGAACCTCAAGCGCAAAGCGAGACGGAAACCAAAGTCAAAGCCAACACTGCAAAGAAGGTGAAGGCAAAAGCGAGCAATGCTGCATCGAAAAAAGCAGAGAAGCCAGCCACGCCCGGTTCGAGAAGGTCAACGCGCAACAAACCGTAGTGAGGAGCCCTACTAAACTTGCGGTCTGTCTACAACATCCTGTACAGCTACACCAAATGTAACAATACAACGACGACCTTCGTCACGAATCTACACAAACACGATCGGCTACCGTCCCGATCTCAAATGCGGCTACTCTGAACTCTGTTCCTGCAGAAGCGCCGATGTGTTTACATCATCACTTGCCCGAACCGTTCTCAATGCATGCACGCTGTACCTGAACCCAAGTAATCTAAATTCCAGCAGATCTTATACATACCTTTACGCTGACACGCCTGGTCCGCTCTCTTCGACTGCTTCCTGAATCCATGAGTCGCAATAATTTTTACGATTCCCAACGCGCAACGCTTAAACCTAAACAGAGTTTCACCACCTTTGCCAACAACAAGATGCCGTCTTCGAAGGGTGAGCCGACGGATCCGGAGTTGAGGGAGAAGATCAAGGAGGAGGTGAAGAATGAGGAGAAGGTAGGTTGATGTTCTAAATGCGTTTCTCTTGCTGTGGTCGCCAACGGCTAAATCCCTCTGCAGGGTGGCGGCAAAGGCAAGTGGTCGGCATGGAAGGCTGGTGAGATGTCGAGACGGTATGAAGCGCAAGGTGGCGACTACAAGGACACTGGCGACAACAAGAACAAGGCGCAGAAGGGTGAGCCGGAGAAGAAAGAAGGCAGGAAATAGACTTTGTCCTGGACACGACGGTATTGGTTGATCTTGTTCTGTTCTGTACAATTTCTTCTGTTCAGTCTTTTGTACACATCGTCCAGCGTACACTGCGTCCAGTAGTCGGTAAAGTCTCCGATGTAGAGGCGAACGAGCAGGGCAAGACGACTCCGTAGGTGGAGAGGCAAGCCCTTGACGCCAGGCCGGTTGCTCGTCACGCTCAGGCTTCATGCAGCTTTCATGCACTGCTTATCGGCCGACTCGACAGCAGAGCAATGGCGGACGCGAGATCAGGCCGCCATGGAGCATTGCCCTGGTGCAACGACTGCACTCTGCGTGGACGCCGCCGAGCCCGAGACAGTTCAAAGACATCGGTGGTGGCAGCGTAGAGACGCACATGTCTTTGGTTGATGGGCCTTCGGCGTTTGATGTCCTTCAATAGTTGCGATAGCTCCGTTGTAAGCGCCTCCGGATGATTTCGAGATCGCCAGTCTTATGAGAGCTGAGCGAGAGCTGCTCAACCATCCACCTTGAGTTCCTTCATCCCCTCCATTGCATCTTCGCCTTCGTCATCGTCGTCAATAGCATTGCCGGCCAGGCCTTGCTGCCAAAGCTGCTTGCCAGTTAACTTCTTCTCCTCCGGCTTGCCGCCCCTCTTCTTCCGCTCCTCCGCTTCCACCTCCGCAGCCCTTCTTGCCTTCTCCTCCTCCATATCTTGCCGGAACTTCTCGCGCCAGGCCAGAAAAGACTCAGCAGTAACCTTCTGGCCTTCGAACTTCCGATTCTCCTCAGCCTCGGCTTGCCGACTTTCGAATTCCTTCTGTGCCTGTACGGCCTGCTGTCGTTCGGCGATCAAGAGCTCAGCAGAGTCTTTCAAAGTGCTAACCAGGGAGAAGACCATGGCGATCCCCATGTTCTCCTCAATAGTGGGTTGCAACGAGTCCAGTAGCCTCGCCTTGTCCTCCTGGACATCCAGGTGCTGGTGCTTCAGTGCATTTGGTGGCGCTGTAACGTCCAAGCTGGGGGCCTCGTCCGGGTACTGTTCCGGATAGCGTACATTTAGAATGATTACAGGTGCCGCAGGCTCCTCTTCAGACTGGGGTTGGACATCGAGCGCTATCGTGATCCGGTACTCGGTGTCGGAGATGTCTTGAATCTCCTCGGGGAAGATGGAGTCGAGGACTTCTCGCTCTTCTTTCTGGTCCTCTCGTCCCATCGTAGCAGTGCCGGTCTCTTATAATGTACTGCTGACGATGAAGTGTGTGTCGACCTAGAGTAAGGACGCTTTCTCACGGTCGCCGGAACAAGCTCAAAGGGCGGTACTCCAAAGCTCGCGTTCAACAAGACCTAAGAGTCTCACCAGGGCCGCGCTCTCGAACACAATCTTCGAAGGCAGTCGTGGGCGTTGAAGACCTGCCGCGAGGCCGTCTGGGCAAAGTGAATTGAAGTCTTCAGCGTCGTTCCAGCGGTACCAGAAATATGGCATTGCGCGTATCTTTAGGCACGACATGGATACCGTCGACAAAATTTCGAGCGACCTCAAAAGCATTTGGCGAAAACACAATCGTGGCAATCACATATCTGAAAGCCTGGCGTGCTGAATCAGTGGATACCCTGGCATGGCGAAGACGAAGACAGCAAATCACCAACAAAAGTCGAAGCAGAAAGCAAATAAAATGGCCAACGGACAGACCGCACCGAAAGAAACTCCGGAGCAACTCTACGAAGCAGCTTTGAATCTCGTAGAGCAAGGCCAGCCCGAGGATGCACTGAAAAAGGCAAAAAAGCTGCTGGCGCAGGTCCAGGACGGCGGGGCTGCTCAATCCCTGCCTGCGCTCACTCTGCTCGGCGAGATCAGTGTCGAAATGGGTGTCATTGACTCTGCGAGAGGCTACTTTGAGCAAGCGGCTACTCTCGATCCAAGCGGTGCCATCCCGGAGGCCATGGGAGGTGGTGCAGAGAAGTTCTTGTGGCTGGCTCAACTGTCTGAGGAAGGTGGCAAGGAGAGTGTTCAATGGTTCGAGAAGGGTGTTGCGGCACTGCAAGCCGAGATCACTGCGCTTGAGACTGGCGAGCACAAACAGAGTCTGGACGAAGAGACCCTCCTTCTCATGCGCATGGAAAAGAAGCGAAAGCTGGCCAATGCGTTGTGCAGCATAGTGGAAGTCTACATGACGGACCTGTCATGGGAAGATGACGCTGAGGCTCGATGCGAGAATCTGATCACTGAAGCTGTCTCTATCGAAGATGAAACCAGTCCGGAAGTCCTGCAGACCCTGGCTTCGGTCCGACTCTCGCAAGAAAGAACACCGGATGCCCAAGCTGCCTTGAAACGATCCATCGATGCCTGGTCTGGTCTCGACCCTGAAGATCCAGCGATACCCGATTTTGCCATCAGAATCTCGCTTTCTAGGCTACTTATGGAGGCAAAAATGGAAGACGAGGCGATGAAAGTGCTGAACAGGCTGGTGCTGGAGGATGATCAAAGTGTTGAAGCCTGGTACCTAGGCGGGTGGTGTCAGCATTTGATCGCGCAGCGAGAGCAGTTGAGCAAGGAGGGTACGGCCGGTGACTCCGGACTGGAAGAGGACGTTGAGGCCGCAATGAAAGGCAGTCGCCACTGGCTGAACACGTCGATCAAGCTCTACGACTTGTTGGACTATGAGGATGAGCGCTTGCTGGAGCATGCTAAAGAACTGGTGGGGGAGATAGACAAGATACTGGGTCCGGAGGACGAGCAAGCTGATGGAGGAGAGGAAGAGTACGACGAATGGGAAGGCATCGAGGAGGACGAAGAAGTGGACGAGGAGATGAAGGATGTTTGATCATTTCATTGTCTTACGGACATATGACTTCTTGCGGTCATTAGGGATGCCAAAGGGTTCCTGACAACTAAGGCTGCGGCACAGCATCCCCATCATTTAGGATTTGGCAGTCACCTGCCCCACGATTCCTGGTTGTTTCTCCACACTCCTTGAACTCAACAATCTCGACCATGGCAATGCTTGTTTCTTCGTCATCCTTCGGGAGGCCCGCTCAACCCATCTTCCTGACGACTGTTCATGACCGCCAGTGAGAGACCGAGCCCTCATTGCTACATCGCGGCGTGGCCGTTGATGTGTGGGGAGAATGACTTTCTGAGGTGGAGTCGAAGCTTTGGGGGAGCCAGAGTTCGCAGCGGGGACGAAACGGCCGTCGGAACTCGATGTCTGGTTGTGGCTGGTGTCAACGATGCTAGCGCGCGAGGAGTTTGACGACCAGTGTTCTGAGGGGATCAGGAATTGTTGTGCTTGTAGAAGTGTCGAGGCTGAAGCTTGGGATGAAATCGAGATTTGATGAACGATACTCAACGGCCTCATTCGCGTTCAAGTAACTCCTGCCGAACAATCGTAGCCATTTCCGTGAATACTGCAACGAGTGCAACTGATTGGAACGTGCGTTCTACTCTGAGACGTGGTGCGGTGGTACAGGCTGCACGCATCAAGTATAGCGTCCATTCCAGCTGGGAGGCACAGGAATCCGCTCGGTAGCAACCGAACCCCCCTGTTCGCAGCGGCAGGCTGCTGTTTGGTCCCAGCAATTCGACCTGCGACAGAATAGCCCTACAATGCTGTTGTTTTGGGTTTGCGGCGCAGAGAAGAGCAAGCTGCACACGCTCCCGCTGGTAGCCGTCGAGCAAATCCCCGAACATGGACGGAGTCGGCGAGGTTGAAATCTCCCCAAGCATGACCATTTGTGAGTGGAGTCGTGGCGTGTTGCGAGTGCTTCAAACGGCGACTTCGACGTCCCAGCACCAAGGTCACAGGCGCACGATCGTCGAGCCATGATGTCTGCAGCTTCCCGACGGGTGCGAGATTGTCACGCTGCGTTCGCAGGCGGGTACGCAGGTTCCTCGCTCTGAAGGCTTCTGCGAACGGTTTCATGGCTGCGAAGAAGGCCCTCGGGGCGTTCGAGTAGGGCTGCCGGATGCAGACCCAGGGCGGCGCTGGGTGAGGAATGTGGCAGGGTTGAGGCATGTGCAACAAATCCACTCCGCACGCACAGTCACGCATGAAGTTAGAGAGTCCACAGACCATGAAACCTTGCCGCTACCAAGCATCCGAGCAGCCTCATATGACTACTGCACGTCAACATCCGCCGCCCAACTAGTGAGAACTCTGATCGTCAGGCACGAACGCCATGAGCGCTCGTCGGACAAGCGAATGGCTGTCGCTATGCCGGGCGGAAGACCCGCGACAGTCCAAGTCCCACACGGAAAGGCTGTGGCGCGGATCGTAGCTTGCACGAGCGACCATGACCGTTCGGGGAAACGATGGGTCTTGGGAGCAGCGCCAGGCGTCTAACGTCCATCACGACCAAGCGCGCCTATATCACTGCCAGCAGCGAGCATTGTAGCAGTGCCTGGCCCTCAGTGCTGCAAAGTGGTCGCGCAGAGCCAAGGACTTTCCGAAAGCGGCCATCTGAGACTCCCAGCAGGGCCTGGGCTCAAGACACACTTTCGTACGCATGCGGTGAACGGTGTTCGCTGCTTCGTCCGGCTTCAGCAATCACGCTCGCCCGTCTGCATTTCTCGTCCCAAGTCAGCAGTCGAGCATTTCGTTGCTTGGTACATATATTCGAGTGCGCACGACTGACACAAAGGGATTCTGTACCACTTCTTCCAGCTGAACGTAGCTTTGCTTTCTCTTCCCCAGTGCCAGACACTCGCCGTTCCGAAACAAAGCAACACCTTCAAACAACGACAGCCTCCAGCAAAGAAGCCCATTCAGCCTTGCGACGCCAGACAAGCAGCTCTTTGCCACAAGCTTGCCGTCTTCGAGGGGCGGAACAACGAACAAGGTGTTGAACTGACAAGGCGGATATACCGTCGCCGCAGCGGGTAGTTGCACGCAAGGTGAGTGCCCCTTTCCGCTCAGAGGCCGGTCCATGCAGCAGAGCGTCGACGGCAAACCTGTCGCAGCGACCGACCGCAAATGATGTCCCATCGCTTAAAAGACATGCAGGTGCCATTGCCAACAAAGCTCGCCAATAGACAGGCATTGGCTTCCAGCCATCTTTCGGCCAGCTACCTTCCGTTCACGTTTCAAAGCGTAGCCGTCGTTGGCACCATCGATCAGCAGAATGGTTTCATCGACCATGATCACGCAGGGTCCCTCACCTGAGGATGACTATGGCTTGGAAGCTATCGCGCAGCACAACGCCATCCACAGCACTGAGCAATTCCCTCCTTACGAAGAAGATGCGAAAGGGCTGGGTATCTACGTCAGTGTCGAACAAGGTCACGGAAAGCCATCGGTACTGACCTCATTGCAGAGTGGCAGCCTCTTCCACGACGATGACCAGATCTACGTCCACAACCCTCCCACTCCACGCTCAGGTACAGCCAGCGAAGGTGTGCGCACCCGAAGCGGCCGGTCCGCCAGAAGAACCGATTCACCTTTCAGCACCAGCAAGTCGCGGGTGTCAAAGTCACCAGCCACCAGGTCAAAGAAGGAGAAGAAGCCCAGCAAGCTCGACAAGTCCAAGACGCCCAAGCTGACCGCACCTCTTTCCATCTTGACCAAGGACATGGATGTGCCGCTCAAAGACATGGACGCCTGGGTGCACCGTCCGGCGGAGACCAGGAGAAAAGAGGTGGAGAAGCGCAATGGATACGTCACTCGTCCCATGAACTCGTTCATGCTTTACCGGTCATGTTACGCTGAGCGCACGAAGCAGTGGTGTCTGCAGAACAACCATCAGGTCGTCTCGTCCGTGTCTGGAGAGAGCTGGCCCATGGAGCCTGAGGAGGTCCGCAACCAGTTCAATGAGTGGGCCAAGATTGAGCGCGCTAACCACGCTGCTGCGCATCCGGAGTACAAGTTTTCACCCAGCAAGGCCAGCAATAAGCGGAAGAAGGGTGACTTCTCTGATGATGAGGACGATGCCAGTGAGCTTGACGGAGATCCAGACGGAGAGTATCGCGGTGGTTCCAGGACTGTGCGTCAGAAGAGGTTGGCGGACAACGCCGCTGCGGTGGCATACCTGCCAAGCAATGTTGGCTTCGAATCGCATCCCTACTATGGTCAGCAGTACGAGCAACCGCAGTATGCTTACACCTCTGAGCCAGGCCGGCCTTTGCCTTCCAACGCTGGCTATGATGGAAGCGGCCTCGTCTTCAACCCACAGACTAGTATTTACGTCCACGCCACCATGAACCCTCATCCGCAATACAACTACATGCCAGCGCAGGACGTGCGCACCGGCGGCATGCGCGTCTCAACGCCCAGCTCGATGAACGGTCACCATCAGTCGCTCGGCGGCTATGGCCTTCCTGGAAACATCAGCACTGACGACCTCTTCGCCTCTAACTCGCGAACAGGCACACCGTCAGTTCAGGCGCAGTACAACTCTTACGGTCAGCCCGTCTACCCTCAGTACCACTCATACACACCTCAGCCTGCATACCAGTCGCTGCCCCAGCATCAGCAGCAGCAGATGTATGAGCATGCGCAGTACCTGCAGCAAGCGTCGCAACCGCAGGCGGCAATAGATCCGGCGCTGGCGAGTGTCTTTGAGGAGTCTGGGAATGTTGGTGGTGGACGAGAGCAGAGCCATTTCGAAGATGCAATGGGCGATCTGGCTGGCGGTGGAGAGTACGCTGGGATGGAGTATTTTGATGAGCCGACCAGCCCGAACGGGTGGCGTCGTCCTGAGCTTGGAGGGCAGTGAGGCGGTGGGTGATGGTGGTTGTTGGGGACAGCGGACCGGTTGTGGCCGCCGCGTAATCATTTTGTCAATGCTTGTTGATATTTGCACACTGCCATTGCCTTCGCAAGAAGGGCCAAGGTCGGCTTTGTATGAAGAATCTGCTGGACATAGCTGGAGCTTCCCACTCCTTTGAGGCATGAGCGTTGTCAATAGAAGTTTAAATAAACGATCAAGGCCAATAGCTCTCAGTCCACTTGTCTCTTCTCGTTAGTCTCATCAGTGAAGCACATGGACGGCGGCAACTCGACGTCCTTAACAATGGCATTGATGTCGGACGTTCCACACGGCGACGTGCATGTCGGGGTGTACAGAGGGCTGTCGCCAGCTCCTTGTCATTGTGCAGCCGACAATCGCGGCCGCAAGCCTAGCGTTGTACCCAACGCACTCGTTCACCGTGTATTCGCCATTCTGCATGTTTGGATGTAGAGGTGGAGTGGAAAGAAGGTTGTACACGATAACGCCGAGCCTCGGCCGAACCACGACCGAACATCTCCGTGAGGCCGCATTGATCAAGGGCAAGAAGGGTTATGGTCATTACGACAGCGCTAAAACGACAATGTTACTAGCACACTTGCCTACCGAAACCTGTAGACGGACGAGTGTGCTTACTCTCTAGATCTATCAGCCCATCTACATCAAAGAACCTCCCCATCAGTCCAAACTCCTTCATAAAGATACCTTGCGAGCATGTACATGCTCCGCTTCCTCTCCATCATGCTTCTTCTCGAGCTCTCCATCCTCCACGCCGACCTCCCGCAGCGCCTTCACCCTCTTGCTTGAGCCCACGACGATCCAAGGACCCGCAAAGACCTCGTTCATCTTCTCGAGGGGAAGACGGGTGGTCTCGGGTAGGAACAGCCAGAAGAACAGTGCGTTGGTGAAGTTGCAGATGATGAAGAGAAAGTAGTATCGATAGCCGATGCGCTCCATGGCGATGGGTGTGACTTGGCCCTGTTGAGCTGGTTAGCGCGTGCTATTATAGAGGTGGGCGGAAGTCTTACAATCATAGTGTTGAAAGCAAAGGTCGTCATAGTCGAGATGGAAACTCCCTTCGCTCTGGTCCTCGTGTCGAAGATCTCAGCCGGAATGATCCAACTTAGTGGGCCTACGGTAGCGGAGAAAGTGTAGTTGTAGATCCAGGTAAATGCAATGAATGCCCATTGCGCAGATTCGTTTTCAGCGGAGCCAGGCGGGAATTTGGCCAACAGGATAGTAGCAATTAAGAAGCAGACCATGTGCACCAGGTTACCGCCAATCAGGACCCAACGACGGCCGAGCTTGTCGATGAAGAGGAAGCAGCACGCTTCGCCGAAGAGAGCGAGCAGGTTGCTGATGCCTTGGTACTTCAATGTGTCGATGGTAGAGATGCCTAGCGTGATGTTAGTCACTTCAAATAGCCACGGGTTCCAGGTGAAAGACGCACCAATTTGCCCGAAGATGGTCGGGGAGTAGTATTGAATGGCCGAAACGCCCGTCATTTGGCCAGAGGCTTGGAGCGCGACACCAATCAACAGACGCTTGAAGGAAGTTTTGCTTTGGAACAGCTCAATGTATGACTTCGCCTCGTACTCGTGCTCCATCTGGATGGAGAGTCTGATCTCCTCAAACTCAGCCTGGACGAAAGCGTCCGAGGTGTTACCGTTGGCGTGGAGTCGAGCGAGGGTATGAAGAGCGTCTTCCTCGCGGCCCTTGTCCATCAGCCAACTATAAGAAGATTAAGTCAGCAACTTGCGCCAATCGAAGTTGAAACAGCTAACATACCGTGGACTTTCAGGGAAGAACCAGATCAGGGTGGCGAGAAAGACAGTCGGGGCGTTCTGGATACCCAAAGGGATACGCCATTGGGCATTGGAACCATCGATGTTGAGAAGAGTACCGTATGTGATCCAAGCTGCAAGAAAGGAGCCAATGCCCAGCATGAACTGCACCAAAGCGTTGATGCGGCCACGAATGTTAGGATGCGCTAGCTCGGCCTGGTAGAGTGGGACGGCCATCACGAGAATGCCCGTCCCCAAGCCTGCGACGAAGCGGCCTCCATAGAGATAGCTGAGGGACATAGCCGCGGTCTGGATGGCACCACCGATGAGGAAGACCACGGAGCCAAGCGCCAGGGTGGCCCTGCGACCAAGATAGTCGCCAAAAGGCCCAGCAAAGGCGGCACCAGGTACACAGCCGACCGTGAAGAGAGAAACGACAAGGCCAGTGTGGACTGCATTCGGCTCGTTGAACTCGTCGATAAACGTCGGCGAAGCGACGACGCCAGCTATAACTCCAAGATCATATCCCAACATGAAGGCGCCCATGGAGGCCTGTAAGGATGGAAAAGTGACATCAGTGTGTGTCCTGAATGATGTGTGGGCGTTGGACTTACGAATACGCCCACCAGGACCTGGTAGACCGAAGGTGAGAGGACCATGGCCGGCAGTATGCACGGGGGTTGGCAGTCGATGGATAGTAGTTCGGCGAGACTCCCGTCAATGAGATGAGGTTCAGAGCCGCGATGGTATCACCTCGGGGTGGTCTTGATGGGAATACTTATAATGTGATGGTAGCAAGACGAGTCATGCGTGGATCCCTCATGGATACACTTTACTCGCGTCTTGACTGGAGATGGAGTTCCTGGAGACCTGGAGACCGCATGGTCGTTGCCCTCGCATTTTAAAATACTACGTTCGCGCTGATCTCGCATGGACGAAATTTCTCCGTTGACTTTTATCCGGTCTTTGTAGACCAATAAGGTATACATCTGCGTTGCATGTATCGATACTTCGGTGTGATGATCAACCAGATACACCAAGAGGTGGAGGTCCGAGAAGTCCAAGAGGCTCGGGAGGTCAAAGTGTCGCCGGCAGATCCCAAAATGAGCGCGTGCGAAGGTCTTGTCGCGACAACGCTCCCATATGGATCTTCAAAGATATTCTGCGGGAAGAAAAGACCGGCAGCGGCAGACCTCCGCAAGCTCCATCCTTTCACCAGACTCACATACGCGGGTTCTGTTGTCTCGAGACGCCTGTTGTTCATGAGCATTGCCACGCGCTTGCGGAACCATAAGCAAGGTAGATCGTTGTTATTTCTCTTCCTCATGTTAAAAAGATGCCTCTGAACGACCTCCCTCATATCGCACGCACCGCGACCGCTGGCCAGCTGATCGTCAATGGACGCCCATTCCTCGTCCGCGGCGCTGAGCTGCAGAATTCCTCCTTCTCCTCCGTCCAGCACATGGCCGGGTTGTGGCAGAAGATGGTCGACATGAGCGTGAACACCGTGCTCGGTAGCGTGTCCTGGGAGATGGTTGAGCCAAGGGAAGGCCACTTTGACTTCTCTGTCATCGACCAGGTCATCCGTGACGCTCGTTCGTACAATCTCAAGCTCATCCTGTTGTGGTTCGGTACTTGGAAGAATGGTGAGTCCCCGTGCCCCTGTCGGTAGGACGTTCAGCAAACCACTCATAATGTAGGCATATCGACGTACGTGCCTCGCTGGGTCAAGATGTCGCCTAAACGGTTCCCGCGAGTTGTCGTACAAACACGAGATGGTAGAGCTGAAGTCACCGAAACCATATCGTGTGTGCACGGCGCCACGGTCGACGCCGATGCGGCGGCTTTCCGTTCGTTCGTGCGGCACCTGAACGAGGTCGACGGAGAGCAGAACACCGTCGTGATGGTGCAAGTGCAGAATGAAGTCGGCGTCTTAGGCGACTCGAGAGACCGCAGCGATGCAGCAAACGAGGTGTACCAGTCAAACGTACCTTCAGACCTGGTCAGATTTCTCCGAGAAGACTGGCACACGCTGCACCCAGATCTAAAGTCGAAATTGGAGGACCGGCACACGCTTGTAGAAGGGTACAACTGGCCACAAACCTTTGGTCAGAGCATCTACACCGACGAGATGTTCATGGCCTACCACTATGCCCGCTATGTCGAGAAGGTAGCTCAAGCCGGCCAGTCCGAACATTCCTTACCGATGTTTGCCAACTTCTGGCTCAACTACGGCGAAGACTCCATGGCAAAGGCGTACCCAACGCTTGCTGGAGGTGGCGATCTACCTGGTGACTATCCAGCTGGTGGTGCCGTGAGCTCCGTGCTCGATATCTGGATGAAATTCGCCCCGTCACTGTCCTTCATCTCACCAGACACCTATCTCAACGACTATCACCGCGTGTGCTCGACGTACCGCCACCGCAAACAGCCACTCTTCATCCCCGAACAGCGGAGAGACGAGTATGGTGCTCGAAGGATCTGGGCCGCCGTTGGGGAGTACAGAGCCATAGGCTCGTGTCCTTTTGCCTTGGATACACTGGAGGTGGACGATTGCGCTTACACGAAACATTACGCACTCATGGCATCTGTAGAGGACCTTGTCATGGCTGCTCAACGAGAAACTAACTCGATTGCCGGGTTCTTCTTTGATGAGCCAGACCACAAGGAGGCCTCTTCTCATCCTGACCCAGTGTTTGAGATGGCCGGGTATGAACTTACAGTCGAGCGTGCCTTTACCACCGGCGCGCAAGGCGCAGGCTATGGTCTCATCATCCATCGCGAGACCAACTCTGATGGCACTGCAAAGTTTCTTCTGGTAGGTGCTGGGTTCCAGGTGAAGTTCCGCTCGCTCGCCACGGGAACTTGCTTCACGGGCATCTTGGATTTCGAAGAGAAGACGCGCGATCAAGAAACGGGAGAGTTCGCAACGCATCGTAGGCTGAATGGCGATGAGACGCGCAGTGGACACCAGGCTATTATGCCGAACGAGGATCCAGATGATGGCGGATTCCCCATCAATATCTGCATTCCGGCGGTCACCAAGATGGCTGAGTGTATTGTGTACGGGTTGTCTGCTGAAGGCTGAATGGTTGCAGTTATGATAGTACCTAGAGAAAAGTCGAAGCCATGTTGTTGTTGCAGATTGAGATTAAGATAGCCAACAACCAAGATATAGGCTATCTGAATGGGACACTCTCCCGAACCTCCCCGTAAGGCCGCATTGAAGGTTTCCACGACCTTCACTGCAACAGTAAAACCACACAACTACGACCTACAATGAAGGCACCATCGCCTGCCTGTCTCCATATACTTCGCCGCCTCGCATATCCAGGAACCAGATATGCGCCCACCATCTCGCAGCGATGCTATGCCTCCTCGCCCAATCCACCACCACCCCCGAAGAAAGCACCATCTCCTCCACCAGTAGCTCGCCAACCGACCCAGCCTGGCTTCCGCCTCCGCCAGAAATCTGACGATGACGAAGACCACACTCCAACACCCCTCTCCCGACCTATCGGCATGCCTAATCCCCCAAGACCAGGCGAGAACACCGGCCTCGACCACCGCTCCCTCAAAACCCGCCGCGACGACTTTGTAGACTACGACAAGCACCTCGAGAAGCGCGCAAAGATGACGAAGCAGATCTCGAAACCTTACTTTCGCGATTGGAGCAATTTGCGGTTCCACAAGGGCAAAGTGTTCGTTGCGCCGGAACGGCTGTTTAGGGCGGAGACGGCGCTGTGGTTTCCGAATTTCTTCGGAAGGACGTTGAGGAAGGGGCTGGAGAAGAGGGATCGGAAGGATGGGTACGGAGGGTTGGGGAGAGGTACGACTGAGGCGATGAAGGGGAGGGTAAGCGTGGTTAGTTTGGTTACCAACGCGTGGGCTGTCAATCAGGTGCGGACGTTTGTTGGACAGGAAGAGAATGCTGCGCTGGAGGAGGTTTTGACGGCGAACGAGGACGTGGCTCAGAGCGTGGAGATCAACTACGAAAACAATGTGTTGAAGTACTGGATTTTGAGGTTGTTCGGGATGGGAAGTCTGCGGAGGGAGAGGAGTCCTGAGCAGCAGGGACGGTACTTCGTTGTCAGGCGAGGTTTCAGCGATGTGCTGAAAGAGGCGCTCGGCGTTGTAAATGAGAAGGCTGGATACGTCTACCTGGTAGACCCGGAGCTGAGGATCAGGTGGGCCGGCAGCGCAATCGCGGAAGAGCACGAGAAGGAGAGCTTAGTAAGAGGCGTCCGAAAGTTGGTGCAGGAGGCCAGAGGACAACGACCGACGAAGAAGGAGAAGCTGGAGCACGCAGTCGCAGACGTGGTAGAAGAAGAGCCGGCGCAGAAGGCCGCTGCTGCCGCATGAGACGTGCTTTGATATGCAAATGCCGAGATACCCTGTACAGATACAATCTTGACCTCCTCTTGCGATCCCCTACAGTATGCACAGACTCATCTCCAAACGCCCCAACACCATGCTCGAAGCAACGACATGCCCAATCTACCACAACCAAAACAGCACCAACACGCAGAAAGCAATAAAGCTTCCCAGTATAATGCCGTCTCTCCTCTTCTTGCTCCCAATCCTCTGCATCAAGCTATTGATCCCCGGTACCTGGGCCGCAGCCCCCGTAATCCTCCTTTGTATACTCGTCAAAGTCTCTCTTTGCAATCCAAAGCTCTCATTCACCGCGTACGCCTGGCTGAGCACGCTGTCCGCGACGTTGTGGCTTCGATCTAGCCTTGCGCGCTCCTCCAGCATATAATCTGCCTCAGCAGCCTCGGGGTTGCTCTGGCGGTAGGCGTTGATGTCGCTCCGGACATTGGAAAGGAGGTTTGCTCGGTCTCGTGCCGTGCTGATGGAGGATTTGAGTCGGGAAAGCTCGGTGCGGTGTTGTGTTAGGATCTCGCGGTGGCGGCTGAGGTTCGTTGTTTTGAGAGCGCTGGGTTGGGAATCGGAGTCGAGGAGTCGGGAAAGTTGGGTGAGGAGTTGTGATCGCTATGGACCTGCCGTCAGTCGCAACATTCAGGTGGCCGGAACGGGAGTCCGTACCTTCTCTAAGATCTCGTTCAATTGCTCCTCCGTCCGCTGCTCATCCTCGCTGGGCTTGGGCGCAATGTCTGTCTGAGAGGCATACTGCGCATATGTGTGGAATAGTGCCTCTGTCTACAAGATCGTTAGCTGAAGCGTTCCCCTATATTGAGCTGTTGGACCTTTACCTGCGTTTCTTGCGCTCTCGCCTGTTGCCGTAGTTGGGCCCAAGTAGACTGGTTTGCCGCCATGCTTAAGGTTTGTCTTGCATTCGCAGAGCATCCACGCAGTTCCAACCCTCAAAGTCGATCACATGTTTCCCGAGGGTAGTTGCCGCATGCGGACTAGCACAGCGGCCACTCCCGCTGGTTTCAACGTCACCTGCTGTCCAGACTGCAACCGACACTCCTTCATCGGTCTCGAACGCTTGGATAGAAGTGTCTGAATTACGCTGCTGGTACCTACCGCTCGAGTGATCGGCTTCAGGCGAATGAGTGAGCCAGACGCCACGATGATTTGGTCAAAACTGGTAGGAGGCTAAAGCCGGCGAGCTGGCCGAGTGCGGCGAGCGATAAGAACGCATTACCTAAACTACTGTGGAGTATGGACAGAACCCATTCTCATTCCGATTTACCTGTGTGAGTCTTCTCGTGGCCGGAAAGAAGACATCATGAGGGCAAAAACAATATGGCTTAGTCTTGCGGCCTTCGCGGCACTGACAGCTGCTCACGAGCATGATGATCATGTTACTTCCCAAGAGCCATTCATCGGCTGGACTCAGGAAGACCTAGATGCTAAATGGGGTACTGATGTAGGTCTATCAAGAAACACTTCAGTTCAACAGGTCTGACCTCTCCAGTGGGGCTTCTCCGGTATATCAACATTCGCCCATCTCCCTCACGTCCGTTGCCTCCAGCACCCGGAGGAAGAATACGACATTGCCATCCTCGGAGCACCCTTCGATACTGCCGTGACATACAGGCCGGGAGCTCGCTTCGGCCCACGGGCCATTCGGGCAGCATCAGCACGACAAACGAGTTTCCGAGGCTACAACCCTCGAGCGAGCATCAACCCGTACCTAGAATGGGCCAAGGTCATCGACTGCGGCGACATTCCAATCACCCCTTTCGATAACGCCCTAGCTCTCCGTCAAATGAGCGAGGCCTACACGAATCTCGCTCACAGCACCGCCCCAGCGTCAAACAGAGATTCGTCAATCGCTTACCGCCGCACGCCCAAGCTGCTGTCTTTGGGCGGGGACCATTCGATTGCCCTTCCAACCCTTCGCGCTCTCAACAGCATATACGGCAATGTCGCTGTGGTGCACTTCGACGCCCACCTCGATACCTGGCATCCAGCGAAATATCCTTCCGCTTGGATTGATCCAGAAGACCCCGCCCAGCAATCCTTCTTCACGCATGGCACTATGTTCTGGCTGGCCCACAACGAGTCTCTGATCATGAAGTCCAAATCAGTACATGCTGGCTTGCGCACACGTCTCAGCGGCATAGGAGACAACGAAGACGACGACACTCAAGGTTGGATCCGGTACTCCGCGGACGACATGGATGACATTGGCTTCGCCGGCATGGCTCGTCAGATCGTCGAGCATGTCGGCACCGAAACACCAGTGTATCTAAGCATTGACATCGACGTGATTGACCCAGGCATGGCACCCGGGACGGGGACACCGGAGCCTGGCGGCTGGACGACGAGAGAGCTAATCCGAGTGCTGAGAGGCATCGAGACTTTGAATGTTGTGGGTGCAGATATCGTCGAAGTCTCACCGAGCTACGACGGAACAGGTGAAGTCACAGCGTTGGCAGCAGCTCAGGTTGGCTTTGAGGTCCTCAGCAGCATGGTCAAAAGAGGAGTGGGGGACAGCGGGAAGGGGAAAGAGAAGAGCGGCGGTTCGAAAGATGAGCTGTAAAGGTCCGTTGACCTTGTCAATATGCGCAATCAAATACCTTTCCAACATTTGATAGCGTCCGCACTGTCCTCCGCGTCTGTGCCATCCACAGCAGTCGGTTCAAACATGAAAGTGTACGTCATTACTTGCCAACAGACGCCGACCTTCGAACGACAACTCTTTTCCTTCTACGTACAACATCAAGAAAATCCACTTAGTGCTCATACTAGTCCCTGGCGACCCGTGCAAAACGCTTTCACTGCTGTTTGGTGCAGACCACAGCTCGCCGAAGACGGAAGGTAGGTTAAAGTGACAGACCTCGTTCCCACGAGGCGACCCCGCCGATGCTGTACGTTGCCGATGCTATTGCCTTCAAATGCTTGTTGCACTTTCTTACAAACATTGTTCAATCCTACAAAAGCCCGTTCTTGTCAATTGTTGCAAATCTTGCTTTCCGCTCAGACCGAACATCAGAAGTCACAACTTCGCCCAAGATGCAGAAGGCCAACAGATTACAGCAGGCCCTCAAGTCGGGCAAGCCTTCGTTTGGAGGATGGCAAGTGAGTGATCGCTAATTCTCAAATATCAATGTTCGTAGCTAACCATCCAACGCTAGGGTCTGCCAGGATCCAACCTTTCCCGCATAATAGCCCGGACGCCAAATCTGGATTGGATTTGTATCGACCAAGAACATGGCAACATGTCCGACGATGCCATGCACGAATCTGTAGCGGCCATTGCAGCTTGCGGTGTCAGTCCAGTTGTGCGTGTTCCAGATGGACAGCATTGGATGATCAAGCGTGCCTTAGACGCTGGAGCTCACGGCATCATCGTGCCGTTGTTGAACTCGGCGGAGGATGCGAAGAATATCGCAAAGTACTCGAAGTTCTCACCTGTGGGCAACAGAGGGCTGGGCAGTGGTTTATCGATGGAGAAGTTTATCTCTGGTAGGACGGGCGATGTGTCTGAGGTGCCAATGTCCGTGATAGAAGACGATGCATCCCTGGTGGTCCTGAGCTGACTGCTGAGATAGGGGCGACTACTTCCGCGACGCCAACTCATCGACGGTAGTCTGTGTTCAGATCGAGACTGCCGGTGCTCTGAAGGACGTCAACGAGATCGCAGCAGTCGAAGGCATCGACGTGCTCTTGATCGGGCCAACCGACCTCGGGAACAATATTGGTCACCCGTCTGTCCTATCCGGTGGCAAGCACGCACCAGAGCTGGACGAAGCCATCGACAAGATCAACAAGGCCGCCCACGACGCCGGCAAGAAGTCTGCGATCTACATGGGCAGCGGCGAGCAGGCCAAGCACTATGCTGAGAAAGGCTTCGACATGATCAACACCGCCAATGACATCCAGGTGGTGAAGAAGTACTTTGCTGAGCATGTTGCGACTGCGACTGGAAAGTGATCTAGTCAAAAGATCGCATGGCAGAAAGAGTGTAGAGCTGAGTTATCTTACAACGAACGTTTGGCGTTCCCCACCCTCAGTCCACACGGCGTGTTGCATTACGCACATCTCTTCACCCGTCTCTCCCTTCGACGGTTCTCGCATATACAATCCTCGCCTCCCTCGAAGTATTCATGCGCCGCGGCATCCAGCTCCTCTTCGATCCGCTCGCGATCCCTGGGATCCTCCTTTCCTACGAACGTAGCAACCCAGTCGCCAGCAAGCGTCAGTATCTTCTCGTACTGTCTTGTCTTCTCCAGCTCGATGTTGGTCCGCTCCCGGCTCTCGGAAGAATCACGTCCTTCAAACGTAGCAGTCCGCTCGCTTGGAATCTTGTTGTGTTCTTTTGCTTGCGAGAGCAGCTCTAGTGCTTGCGAACGCATCTCAACGGCTTGCGAACACATTTCAACTGCTTTCGAACACATCTCAGTTGCTTGAGAGCGCATCTCAATCGCTTGCGAGGGACTCGGACCTGACACTGAGTGGCCTGAACACCATACGCCAACATGGCAAGCAGCCCATCCAACGCCAAAACCAACTATGCACGCCTTCAAGATGGACGTCGGGCTCGTTTTCGGCCGTTGCCCTCGACCATCGCCGTTCGGGTCATACTCCAGCCCCGAGTTCACTTTCCCCAAGGCTTGCCGCTCATCGTCGAGCTCTCGTCGGCTGGGAAAGCGCTGGGCTCTCGTACGGATCGTTCGGGTATGCTGTACCGGACTGCTGACCTGCGAGGGACGAGGATGCCGTGTGGCGGATGACGAGGTCTTTGAGACGAACGCACGGGTATGGTGGAAGGCCGCGATCTGGTGCGTTGGGATGCATCGTGGGAGGTGGTGAGCGATGGTCGCTGTCCTCGAAGCCGTCGTCGATAGCATTCTTGCTTGTCGATGAACGTGTCCGTGTTGCGGAGGGAATTGCTCCGTGGAAATGGTCTGTCGTATGGGTGCTTGTAGGGACGGACCCGTTATCTGATGGTGGACTGTTGTATGAATGCTTGTGCAAATTCGACAGGTTTGATAAAATGTAAAAGAATGATTGCAAGAACACGCCAGATGTACGTCGTACTTGCTTACCTTTCCACACCACAACACTCGCCAGAGAAGCCACGACGCTGGACATTCGAACATCGATAGATACATGTACTTTTTGCTCATTTCCTCGACATGTCGCTCGCATCAAAGCGCGACTGGGTATCATGTTGAATGAAGGTCTTTCAAGCCTCCCATGTACTTTTTGCGCGCACACAAAACCACCACGTGCTCAATAAAAATGACCTCCATCCCGTGGCCGAGGCACACTATGTTGAACAGTCGGCCGGCTGCTCTGCTGTAGCCCGCACGCGTTCGCGTGACAGGTGAAGCGACCTTATTCCTCCGCCCATCGTCGCTCTCGCAAAGGCATCTCCTTCCCTTCTTTCGCGCGAGACCCATCCTCCTCAGCCTTCCATGCGAAGTACTCGCCGAGTCTATCTTCCGCGTAGGTTGTGTAATCGAAGTCTATCTGGCTAATCGTAGCCTGTATCAGCGCCCAGATACCCCAGTAAAAGCCCGGCAATCCTCTAAACTGGTCTATTTGGTCGTAGAGCTGGTCAATGTCTTTCTGGAGATCGATCTCGTAGCTCATCGTCTGTTCAAGATCTATCGCATGGACGCGGAAGGAGCCAATGTAGTTTTTCAAAAAGTCTCTTCGCTGCGATTTCGTGGGTACCGCGCCGTGGTCGCATTCGAAGCCCGCCCATTCCGCGAAGTGGTTTGATATGTCGAATGCCGCTGGACCGGGGGTGGAATATTCGTAGTCAATGAAGCATACTGGTCGCTCTTTGTTGTCGCCGTTGGAGATTTTAGTGCCGGAAGGCTTCTGCATGATCACGTTCCCTGCCAGCAAGTCCGTGTGGCTGAAGATGTAGTCCTTTCCGTCAACCCCAGGCGTGTCTCCAAACCTCGCAGACAGCACAGCAAGCTCGCTGTCCAGCATCTTGTTGCGCTCCCGCTCCTTTGCCGTACCATTAGGCAGCGCATTGATCCAGCTCTGCATCACGCTCCATATATTCGGCATCGGTCGAGTGTGCTTTCCATTCTTCATCCCACAGTGCTTCTGGTCTGCATCTTTGTCGAGATCCGGCGTCCGCGTGATCGCTGAAACTGGCAGACTCCCATGCCATTGCCCGAGTAGCTTCGCAGTCTGCCTGTAGACCTCCGGCCTGCGCAGGTCCTCTGGCGTGCACACATCTCCCTGTACGAATTTATACATCAAGCCATTGTCGAACCGTGCCAGCAGCGGCGGTGCCAAATCCATGCTGGCGAGCAGCGTATGTGCCTTCATCTCTCTTTCCCGGTCTATCAGGACATCCGTCCCCTTCCCATACGCCCGCATGAGGATAGCATCGTCGTCGTTCTGCGACTCTGTCCGGTCCGGCCATCGCTTCGTCGCTTTCGACAACGTATTCGTGATTCCATCCGTGAACCGTACAACCTCTACAGGGCCCTCGGTGTTCTTCCACGAAGGATTCAAAGCATACGCTAGCTCTCGAGCCGACTCGTCTGCGTTCGCATTGTCGAACGTCAACGGGATGTACGGGACAGCCATTGGCGAGTCGACTCTAGACGGGGGCTGGTGGTCGATAGACGAGGACATTCTGCGGAGAAGGGTTGTCTTGTTGGATTGGTAGAACAGTTGGCATTGCAAGGCAGCGCTTTAGAAAAGCGTCCAGTTGACGAAGGGGAGCAGCAGAAAGTGGAGTGGAGAAATACCACAGCACGAGGACAGAGCTCCTTTCAGGAACGGCCGGCAGATTCGAAGAACTGTGTGGACCTACGCTGCTGGCGACGCGGCATGTAAGTCCGCTGCCGTACCAGTGCCATTGATTGGACCCTGCTGGGAGTGACGTCCAGCTGCAGCGCGGAGAAATAGGCTTCTGCGAAACACTTCCCGCGAGGCCGAGGTGCCGGTTTTCGCAGCATGTGATATCCTTGGCTCTTAGGTGTGAAGAAGGCAGTAGTAGAACGTTTTTGAATCTGCTACGAAGGTCACTGCCCCCTGTATATCCTCAGCTCCATGCCATCCCTGCTGTATTCCATGCCCACTCAGCCATGCATTGAAGCGTATGCAAATGGTATCATGCCTCATCTCATCCGTTCCATCGCTCTCTCAGGTGCAAGAACCCCTAAAGCCACCCCTCACAGCCTCTGCAAAACAGCCTTCACAGTCCCCTCAACCTGCACATTCCCCTTGATCATCATCTCATGAATCCCATTCGCTCCGCTACCATCCCGCTCCCACCTCGCCAACAGATTGTTCGATTCGACCGGCTTGACTTTCTCCGAGGCAGTACCTACCGTGACATGCGCTACTGGATTCGCGCTCTGCCACTGCTGGTCGGTGCCTTCGCCCGGGCTGAGGCGGACCACGAAGGCCATGATCCTGTCGTCCCACACCAATCGCTCTAAACGGACTTTCGCATGTCCTAGCTTCGGCTCTGGGATCGAGAAGGCCTGGGTCTCTGTCGGGGCGGAAGCTTTGGTTTGGAGTTCCATAAGCTTGTCCCAGATCTCAGGCTGCCGGTCAGCGACGGCGCGATGGATGAGCGTGACGTGGAACTCGTTCTGGACGCGGCGCTGAGCTTTCAGTGAATTGTACATCTGCGCCTCCTCCGGAGCGGCATCCTTGAACAGTGCTTCGAGGATCCGATTGATGTTGGAGTACGGCATTTGTACCGAGAAATACTCAATCTTTCTCTCCTTTGGTTTTGTCGATCCGTTGGCTTGACCATTCGGACGCTTGTTCTGGCCCTTGCCGGGGTTGTTGTTTCGGTCGTCGCGGCTCTTGATTTCGTGCTTGAGGTCGACGGTGTAGTCTTTCATTGCTGCGTCGATGGCGGCGTCCATGTCGTCAGAGGTTGGCATGTCCTGGTTGCCGAAGAGCTTCGGGTACTCTGCGTACATCTTACTGATAACCGTCTCAAGGTTGTCTCTCGAAGAGGCGCTGACGTCCAGATCAATGACCAAGTCGAACCCCTCATCTGGAGGCGAGTCTTGGTTGACCCGCTCGAAGCGCTGCAGAAAGCCTTCCATGATACCGATGATCTCGTCCGAGCCTTTGCTTGCGTGAATGGTTTGATGGTTGTCGCCTCTGGTCAAGACTCTCTCCCTCGTAACATCTCTGATCTTGTCGTAGTCATCATGCACGAAATGAAGACACACGAGGCGTGCGTTGGGTACCACCTTCGAGACGTCGTCGATGATTTGCTTCCGCTCACGCATTTGGTGGTTGTTCCTGTCCGCCACCATCGCCGGGCACTGGCTCAGAGCGTTGACACAAGCAGTAGCGAATGCCTGCGGCTTGCCCTTTCTAACAGTGATGTTGTCGTTCTGGACGTGACCCCATCCAAACAGCTTGCACAGTCCAAGCGCCACAGTCGTCTTGCCACATCCGATAGTTGCTGCGGGTACAAGAACGACATCCTTTGTCACATCATCATTCGAGACCTCACCCTCCATCTGCTCCTGGCGGATAATATCCGAGCCCTTCAGACCCCGCGATGCCAGGAAGTCGTCCCGCATCTTGATGATGCCGTGGTTCTGCTGGTACAGCTTTCCAAGCTCAGGATTCTTGTGTAGCTGTTGACGAGCATACAGCAGGTACTCCTCTGTGATCTTCTTGTGGTTCTTGTACTTTGGCGGCCTGCCCGAGATGACTGCTTTGGTGCACTCTCGCCATTGCCGGTACATCAAGTATGGCTCGTCGAACTTGTACTTGAAGAACCAGTCATGCCATTCACCGCTGCCTGCTTTGGACTGACACCGGATAACGAAGCCCTCTGTGTCTCGACCGGCATAGTTGCCAGTCTCCGCGATGCCGTCGAGGAAGCCTTTCACGTCGTGGATGTCATCTTTGAGCACGTACATCGTCTTCCTGAAGCCCCATTCCTCGGCGAACTCGTCGATGAGATGGTGAGGATAAGTGGCGAACTCAGGTAGGTTGAGGTTGATACCATGGAGGTAGAGACCAGCGGAGGCAGGATCGTAGGCCAGGACATGCTCTTCGAAGTCATCGTCGCATAGCTCAGCAACAGCGGTGGCGTTCATCTCTCGTAGCCTCATCGCCAGATCCTGCTTGGTCTTGCCCACGGACTTCAGATGTCTCTCCACCCACTTCTCTCCCGCCTTTGCATGGCTGATATCGGTGTCGGAGCGGTCGCCTGTCGAGTGTTTACTGCAGACCAGTAATGTGCCGTCTTCCAGACCAGAGGTGAAGATGATGCAGCCATTCTCCTTCACACTCAACTCGTAAGGTCCACGAGTGTTGGCCTCGACATTTCGCCACTCTGTGTCCTTCACCTCGCCATGGTTGAAGAACTTGTCGTATCCTCTGACAACAATCTCCGGCCGGCCGCTGCTGTCTTTGGTCGTGAACAATCCTCTGGCGTAAGTGGGCAGATTAGGCTTCTTGTAGTCCCAGTCCTGCATTCGCCACGAGTCGACTTTGATGTTGGTGCCGGCGACGTCGAAGGTGTTCTTCTTGACGGAAAAGCCACCTTTGCCCTTGCCTCTGCCTTTGTTCCCCTCCAGTCCACGGAGCATTTCACCGACCTCCTGGCGGTCCTGCGGCCGGTATGGCGCCGACAATCGTTGCGCCATGGTCGTTTGAGTGGGGTGATTTTTTCGGTGTTGTGTCAAGTCCTCCAGGTTGTAGTAAGAACCAGCAGAGATGACGTCTAATCACGTCGACACCGTGAGATTGAGCAGGCGCAAAGCGAGATGATCTTTTAAAAGGTCAAGCTTGCTCGAAGATGTCGCAGTGAATGGCAACTATCAGTCACTTCCAGAAGGCGACACCGCCCGAATGTGACTCTTTGAGCGAAGCGCTGTTGTTACTCAAGAAGAGTCACATTTCGTGGCACAGCAAATCTCACTGATATTGAGGCGAAGTTGGTGTAGCACGCCTGATGCAAGCTTGCCTGAGGTCCGACTTCTCGTTCTCGACGAGTTCCAACTGTTGCACCTTCTAGAAGATCGAGAGAAATAATGCGGAAGTGCAATGATTGAGAAACATTTTGATGCTCGAGAATTTGAACATCCGCTAGCGCGGTTCTCATTGCAGCCAATCAGCGTCGGGGTTCCCAGAGCACTCCTCGCCCCGACACCTTCTTCCACCAGAACTTTGAGGCCAGCCTCGCTGTAGAGCCACATGCAAGTACGCGCTGTGCATGCATGTAGTCTAGCATATCGCTGAGGCAGTGGAGGCACAGCGGCATGACGGCAATCTCACGGCGCTTGCGCGCTTCCTAACATGCATTGCTGTCTCTTCAGCAGACAGACGGAGACTATCTTCCTAGGTCAACTCTCGCAGACTCGGCCGTGACGAGGATACACGCAGGTCCTACACAATCCTATGGCACTATCGACGTTCTGCCACTTCTCTCTTAAGCCAGTTGACTCCAAATGAAAGCCTCAATATGACTGAAGACACAGAACTCATCGCAGAACTCCAGTTGACCAGAGCAGCTCAATTCGAATCAGAGAAGGAAAAGTACTGGAGCATCCCTGCCCATCCTGACTATTGCTGCGTATGCTTCAATCTGGACCCGATCGTTATCCATCACCTCAGCTTCATCGTTGGCGCGGAACGCATCCGATCCAGAAGCGAACTCGACCCTGTGGTCATGAACATGTGGGAGGTCGACTCGTCCGTCAAGGACGTTCTGGAAGCTGCTGCTGATGGCTGCAGCTCATGTCTTCTCCTTCAAGCTTCTGTCGCGGCGTTCGGAGGCAGCGCGGTCCTGGAGGATGCCCAGGACTACTCGATTAGCGTTAGGTGTCAGGTCGAGCGAGCTATGAGGGTAGGGCTGTACCGAGAGGAAAAGACTCTTTCGGAGTACATGCTGTTCGTTGAGGAGGGTGAGTGTCCGCTTTACAGAACGTATCCAGCGTTAACAGTAAGCTGCTTATAGGGCAGACCTCCCCTTGGAACACCATTGCGTCGCTCATTGAAGCTTCGGCGGGGCCAGGTTTGGGTGGCTACCCTGCTCTTGGAGGCGCGGCGAGAGTGGTAGCTGTTGATCCCGCGTCTGGCACTTGCATAGACACGATTAAGAAATGGCTCTCGTCCTGCCAACTCGAACACCCGTGGTGCAGTCCTCACAAAGACTTCGATGGGCGCCGAATCTGCCGGACTGCGTACACGCCAAAACGACTACTATTCCTGGGCAAGCAGAATGAGGACATTCGTCTCGTACACCGCGATGCTCTTGCAATGACCAACCCAGAGTATGCCGCATTGAGCTACTGCTGGGGTCAGGTCAAGAAGCTCACGACTACTACCCAGAACCTTTCCCAGCTGCAAGATTCCGTGTCCTTCCTAGAACTGATCAAGACCTGTCAAGATACAGCCACGCTGGTGCGTCGGCTTGGTATCGGCTATCTCTGGGTTGACTCACTATGTATCGTTCAGGACGACCTGGAGGATTGGAGACAAGAAGCCGCCAACATGGCGTCAGTCTATGCAGGTGCCTCCATCTGCATAGCCGCCAGCGCAGGCGACCATGGCGACTCTGGCCTCTTCAAAAGACGTGAAACAACGAAGGCTATCTTTGTGCGAGACATAGCTGGGAAGGAATCGACGATCTTTGGACGACCCTGGAAATGGCACGCAAGGTTCGATTGGGGTGAGCCTGGAATTTTGGGGTACTTCTCGCAAAAGCGAAGGACGGAAACACTTCCTGTAGTTGGCGAACCATTGCCACTCCTCGGACGCGGGTGGGCTTTCCAGGAACGTCTACTGAGTCCTCGGATACTGCACTTTACAGCGAACGAGCTAGTGTGGGAGTGTCTCGGACACATGAGCTGCGAATGTGGGACTCTCGATCATCATGTCACTTCGCCTACACTTCGGGATCGGCGAAGCGTGGCAGGCATTCCACCAGACGTCGAAGTTCGGTTCAACAAGCTAGAGCGTGCCAAACGCGTGGTACAACGACGAGGAGCCAGCCCAGGCTCCGAACTCGCCGTCGAAAACCTGTTCCGATATGGTCCGGCAATCATGAACGACTATGCTGTTCACCGTGTGATGCTTGCTCCTGGAGTGGAGCTGAAAATGCTGACGGAGGATGAGGACGAAGCCTGGCGCTGGCGCAGTCTATGCGAGGAGTACTCAAGGCGGTCACTGAGTTACAGCACGGATCGGTTGCCAGCAATGGCCGGTCTTGCAGCAACTTGGGCAGACGTGCTGCAAGAACGTCCGGCATACCTCGCTGGCCTTTGGCAGCACTCCCTGCTTCGAGATCTTCTGTGGAAGTACGACGACGCTTTGCCCGTCGACCGACGTGGAAGTGAGTACCTTGCGCCGACCTGGAGCTGGGCAAATTCACAGCGAAGCGTGCAGTTCCTTCGCATCACGCAGCACATGCCTCAGTATCATGCCTCTGTGCTTAACGCACATTGCGAGAAATTCGTCGACAACCCATATGGACAGGTATTTGGCGGATCTCTCACCCTTGTAGGACCATGCTTTACTGGCTACGTCTACGTACTACCCGGCTTCGTCACCCAGGTAGACGTGCTCTCACCGCGAAGCCACCGCGGCGAGACAGCCTCCCGAATTCGCTTGGCCATCCTCATCGCTGACTGCATTCCCGAGTGCCAATCATTAGCTCAAGGCCACGCAGAGATCCTCATCCTACACGTTGCGACCGATGTCAACGACGACCGCACTGGACTCGGATGGGACAGAGCCCTTGCTCTCCAGCTCGTCAATGAGGACACAAATGAATATCGGCGCATAGGTATTGCTGAGGACTTGAAGCTGAAGGACGACTGGTGAGTATCACGTGACTAGAACCCCCTGCCTCATCTGCACTCGAGGCAGAGATAGATCTTATGGCCGGTGAAACAGAGCATCCGCGGTCATGTGGGCCAAGTTTTGCTTGCCGACCAGCCATCAGATCTGTGTCTGACCCTCGAGCGACCCAATCATCCCAATCAGGCGGAAGACGCCCCTTTACGGGCAGTATGATTTATTCTCTGGAACATCTGCTGACGGGTTCTCCTTACGTGCGCACAGGTCTTCTGCCACTAGATCGGAAGTGGAGTGGGAAGAGAAGACGGTGAAACTTGTATGATTGTAGCCATCAAGCTTTGAAGTCGAGCCACGAAGGATTGGTAGTTGCACAATGCAACGGGCCTCTGCTCAATTGACGTATGCGGCAAGAGCTATTTTCGTCACTCCTCAGCTTTTCACATGCCCCAAGAACGATATGTCGAATCGACGACCTTGCGCAATCTGTGACAAGATGGAAGAGAAGTTTCACCTATCAATCGACTTCGAAGCATAATTGATGAACTGCGGTCTTCTCTGGCAGACATCAATGAATTCATGCCTTGCCACTGGCTCGAGCAGTTCGCCGCCTTCTCCAAGATCGACTTTGGCGCTCGAGAATTTGAACATTCACTGGCACGGTCCTGGTTGCAGCCAGCCAGAGTCGGTGGTTCCGCACCACGTCAAACGTCTTTCCCTCGTATTGAACATCCAGCACTGATGAGCTCCAGAGACCGTAAAAGTGGGAGTAATACAAGCATGTCGTGCCTGCACTGAATCCCGTCCTCTCCACGGTGTCGTACACCCCTTCGCCAAAACACCGGCGCTAAATCCAATACCCCAAGCAGAGCAGGCCATGCCCTCCCATATTCCAGCACAATCTCCGTGCTCAAAATGCACACAGTCCAACCCACCACACACCCCTCAAAACCACCCTTCCCCCCTCCCCCTAGGCCCCCCACCCCTCACCTGCTGCCCCAACCTCGCAACCCTCTCCCTCTCAACCCAATACTCCCTCTCCCGCCCCCAAACCTCGACCCAATACCCCACATCCTCCACGGCCCCCTCGGGTCCCCGCGTATACATCCACAGCCCCAAACCCACCAGCCCGCCCCAGAACACCACCCTCCTCGCCATCCGGAACCAGAACATGAACGTCTGCCACAGCATGTTGAGGATCTTGAGCGAGATGAAGAGGATGACTAACAGCAGGGCGATGGTTGCGAGGTCGGGTTTGCGGGAGACTTGGTCGATGAGGGGCAGGGCGTAGGAGCGGGCGAGGGAGAGGTAGGAGTAGGCTGTGCGGGCGTAGGGGTAGTAGGCGCGGAGGTTGTCGTGGTTGGAGAGGGCGTGGGCGGCCCAGTCTGGAGGTTGTTAGCGGAGTGACTTCGAATGTGGATTTGGGAAAGCTCACCTGGGAGGAGGTCCATGTTGGACGTTCACTGTTGGCTTATTTAAAGGTTTGGGCGCGCCGAGGTGTCTTGAGGTCGCTGAAGTGAGGAGGCAAGGATGAGCGCCAGACGAGATAGTTGAAGAGCCAAGGGGTCTTTTGAAGCGTCGTCTCCTGTCTCTCTCTTTTGAGACCCCGAAGTTCACTTCAAGTTTCAGGACACGCGCACTTTCAAGGTTTCCCCGCGTTTGTGGCGCTCAGATCACCTGCGCCACACCTTTAAATCTCACCTCAAATCTCGGCGTTGAAGTCCACCTTCCACGGCACCCTCCTCTTCCACATCCTCTCTTCCCACAACCACCCTCGAAACCCACACAACAGCCATGTCCCGCGAAGCCTACACCCCCCAAATCTCCTCCTCCCAAAACCCCGCCCCCGGCGCCTCCTCCACCACCAACAACACAGGCGGCACCTTCAACATAACCGGCGCCAGCAACACCTTCGAAGACACTTCGCGCCCGGTGGCCTATCTGTGTGGGGACTGCGATGCCAAAGTCACGCTGAAGAGCGGCGATGCGATAAGGTGCAAGGAGTGTGGGTATCGGGTTCTTTATAAGGAGAGGACGAATAGGTGAGTTACCTTACTGGAATGAGGGAGTTGGAGATGGGGGTGGGGGGCTAATGTGGGGGGTGGATAGGATGATTCAGTTTGAGGCGCGATGATCTGAGGAGCGGGACGATGAGATGGGCTTAGAAGGACAAGAACGGTGGACTAAGAAGGAAAGGTGGTGGGCGGGGAGGATGTGACGAATGATGACTTTTGCAGGGCAAGGTTCATGCCGGACCGTCTGTGATAGAGAAGGCTGGAAAGATTCATGACATTTCACGGTGAAGATGACGCTGGGGAATGCAGTCAGGCACCTTCCATTTGAAGTGCGATGCGACCATGCGATAACCATGCAAGCTGCCCCAGCAGCCTTGATTCCACCGTGCACCACTTCAGTCCGGCAAGTCGCCTGCGAAGTCCATGCGAGCCGCATCATGCTTCAAGCACGACCTGTCGTCTGATCCACTTCATCGATTTCCGTACTTCAGTCCAACCATGCCTCATCCTCCTCACGCTCAAAACTGCCCTGTCCACCTGCTGCCCGCCATGCCATGCCAACCACGCCACACGATGTGGTGCGCTGCGATGCAAGACGAAGAAGGAACAACATACCACAATAACCCTTCCAGCCCCACTCCACCCCCATCAAGTCCCTCTAAAAGCATCAAACCGCTTATAAGTATACCCAATAAACGGCAAACTCAGCGTACTCTCATCGCTCCCGCCGCCCTGGATCTCCGCCTCCGTCTGCGCGCGCAGCTGCGCCGAGTTGTCGATCTGCGGGATCTCGTCGATGGGGAAGTACTGCGTGTCGATGTTGCTCTGCAGCTTGGGCTCAAAGGGCGCGCGGATCTTGCGCAGGCCGTCCCACTGCACGCCGTTGAAGAAGGGGTGGCGCTTGATGTCGGCCGCGCCATTGACGCGGCCGAGGCGGTTCGTGGAGTCGCAGATGAGGCTGGATGCGTAAGCTGGGGCTGTTACATGAGAAGTCAGTGTAATGAAAATTTGGACTCACCTCCTGATGAAGTGCTCAGCCTCCGGTCCCAGCTGCTGATCCGGCGGGAAGCTCAGATGACGCTGCCAGTCGACAATCTTGCGGTAGGTGTCGTGCGGCTCCTCAGCACAGAAAGGTGGCCATCCTATAAGACACTCAAACATGATAGTGCCGACACTCCACCAATCGCATCCGAAGTCGTAGCCCTTGCCGCTGAAGATCTCTGGCGCGATGTAGTCGGGTGTTCCTACTGTCGAGTAAGCGAGCTGACGCCGCGACTTGCGCCACGTGTTGATCTGATTGCGGTTGGAGACGGTGAGCTGGATCTGGTCGAGGGATACGGAGTTGCGGTTCTGGTTCATGGACTTGTGCTTCGCTTGCGACATGAGCTGTTGGTAGTAGGATGCCGAGTGCTCCTTGGAAAACCCTGTCGACAAGCCGAAGTCAGTGAGCTTGATGTGTCCGCCACGGTCCAGTAGGATGTTGTCCGGCTTGATGTCACTGCACATTTCGTCAGCACCTTCATCCTATTAGAATGACCATACTCACCGATGTATGAAGCCAAGCTTGTGCACCGCCTCCAGCGCCAGCGTGATCTCCGCCATGTAGAATCGCGTGATGTCCTCCGAGAAGATCTCATACTTGATCAGCATCGTCATCAGATCACCACCGGGCAAGAACTCCATCAGCATGTAGAGGAAAGTCGAGTCTTGGAAGGAGGTATGCAGCTTGACCAGCCACGGACTGTCGGCGTTCGCGAGAATGTCGCGCTCCGCCCTGACGTGCGCCAGTTGGTCTTTCTTGTGCTGTGATGGAGGTCAGTATCACTCAATCAGACAAAACATAGACAGGTTTGGCTATACCATCTCCGCCTTAATCAACGACTTCAACGCATAAATCTTGCCATCATGCTTCCTCTGCACCAGCCTGACCTCACCGAAAGCACCCTTCCCGATGATCTTCAGCGTGTTGTAGTTCTGGGGCCGCTCGCTTGTCCGCAAGAATCGCAAGAAGTTGGCTTCGGACTTGCGCATGTTATTCTTCCTCTGCTCTTTGCGCGAGTCTGACAAGTCCTTCGCCAGCATTGTGCTCTCTAGATCCTTGGCCCTGTAATATTTCCAGTCAGCCACGACTCTCGGTTCAAATAGTTGGACGATCTACCTCTCATTCCGAGCGCGCGCCCTCTCCACGTTCTCCTTAAAGAACTCCTGCGTAAGCATCTTCTGCAGCTTCATCCGCTCGGAAATAGCAGTAGAATACTTCTCCGAGTTCTTCGTCGGCGGCTCATCATCATAGACACTCGGCCCCTGCGGCGGCGCCGCCATGCCCGTGTTGAGGTAATTGCCATACTGCGGCTGCCCACCTGTTCTCGGCCTCGAGCTGGCTGGCGATGGCTGCCTGCCGTAAGGACTCGCTGATCGTGGAGTGTTGCCGCCGAGGTTCTGGTGCTGGAATTGGTGTGCTAGCCCGTTCGTCGCGTCGTTGAAGCCACCTGGGGAACGATACCCGGCGGCAGGACCGGGCGAGGGCATGCCGTGAGCGCCATATTGTTGGTAGGAGTTCGGGTTGTTGTAGAAGTAGCCTTGGTTTGTGATACCGCTCGTCGCCTGTTGTGTACCCCAGACTTCTTGCTGACCATTGCTATTCGGGAAGGGTTGTGGGAATGTCGAGGGAGTGGTGGGGAAGGCACGACCTTGCTCGCCGGCGAAGGCTTGCTGGTTGTTAAAGCCGAAGTTGAGGTGGAGGCGGTTAGGGTTGCGAGGGTCTTGCTGTTGTTGCTGGCCTTGCCCTTGTTGGTACGCCATGGTTGTGGACCGTCGTGGCTATCAAGACTATACACAACAGGTCAGTAAATCGGCTCTGGTCGGTGTAGGTGGGAGGTTGGACTGACCGACAGTTGTACCTTGATCAATGCTGCCTGCTCTGGCTCGATCGAATCAACCTCTCAACAGTGCTGCTTCCAGGTACTACTCTCCACTAGGCAAAGGTGAAGTGGCCGCCAAAGGGGTTCCTCCTCGGTGTGGTGGGAGCGGTGGACTGGCCGAATAAGCGAGAGCTCCTTCCTTTTCCCCAGAAAGAATTCCAATCGACCCCTTCGAATGGGATCTCCCTCACTCCATTGGCGCCGCCGTCAAACGAAGCACGCGAACAACTCCTCCGTGACTGATCGCTCCTGGTTGGCTCGTGTTCGTTAACTTGTCGGGAAGAAGCAAAGGTTCAGGGTCAAGGAGAGTTTCAGCCAAAAGGCAGAAAGCAGAAAGGTCGAACCGCAACCCCACCATCGACTCGGAAAAGGGTCCTTGCCGCAACTCACACCTGCACAAGGGCAGGGATGGCCATGAACCGATGAACCTTCTCCTAAACGACTCACTTTCACATGAAAATATCTACCGTGGACCAAGTGGTCACACTGAAACTATGTATTCGAGCCCAATGGCTTCGTCAAACGCAGCACATGGCAATACTTTCTCCCAATCGGCCACCTGCAGGCACGAGGATGGATGGCTTCTAGAATCCTTACCCCTGATTCTGCATTCTCCTCCGAGCGAATCATCCTCGCGCGGAACAGAAGGCACAGGTACCACCTGCAGCACGACGACGCTGTATCACTGCGGGTTGTATGGTTAACACGACGCCTTTTCAATGTACTACTGACCGAGTGTGGCTTGCGAGACGGAAGGGCGTGCGTGGTAGTAGTGCCACATAACAAAACTAGATCTCCGAACTCATCTAATGTACATCGTTCTAGTCCTATCCCCGTCTCCCATGCAGATGTGCAAATGCCATCCCGATATGCCAAATCAAACCCGAAGCGAAACGCCGCCAACAGAGCACGTATGCCCGACCGCTGCCAATAAACACCATCGAATCCAAAGCCCTGCCAAAGCCCTCACCAAGTGCCAGAGACGCCGCCAATCTTGCTTTCACTCAGGCAGCAGCATCCCTTCAGTCCAAAACCCACTCAAACCCATTCCCCACCCCTTCAGAGTGATAAGAGGTAGCATCAACCCATCAACCCATCAACCCCCCAACCCTCTCCCGCTCCTCACTAATCAACCCCTGCAACTTCCGCATCTGCCCCAACGCCACGTCCCGCTCCGTCTGCAGCTCATTAACCTCCATCTGACTCTGATTCACCCGCTGCACCACCACATGCATGTCCTCCTCCGCCTCGCGCAGCAGACCCTCCATCTCCTTGACTTTCCGCTCCAGCATCTGCGTCCGGCTCATCTCGAGCAGAGACGTCTCGGTCAGTCGCTTGCCCCCGATCTTTGGGCTCTTGGCCATTAGCGGAGATGGGGGAGCGAGTCTCTTGCTCCCGCCGTTAGGGATGGAGATGCGCAGGCGTTGCAGCGATGGGGAAGACGCTTCCTCGATCCGGCGCACTTCGGCCTCGTGGTTGCCGAGCGTGGCTTCCGAGTGCTGTTGCGCCGCGAGCACGGAGTCCTCCATCACGGTCAACCGTTTCTGCATATCAGCAATACGGCCGTTGGACTCGCGCTGTTCTTGCTCGCCTTTGGCGACGGCGGAGGCGAGCCGGTTGCGCAGCTGGACGTTCGATTGGACCTGCTTGTCGAGCTCGGCGGCGAGCTGGTCCATGCGGTTGGCGGAGCGCATCAGCTCGGCGGCGCTGTTGTCGTCGACTTCTTGCGCGCGCGCGCGGTATTGGGCGGCGATGTGGCGGGCTTGGTCGCGTTCGGCTTCCGCGGTGGAAATGCTGAGTTTGAGTCTGTCTTCTTCTGCTTCGATGCTTTCGCCGCTGGTCCGAGTGGGCGTGGTGGGTGCGAGGATGTCGTGGTCTTGCAGGATGATGCGGAGGCCTCTAGTCTCCATCTCGGCGCGGTCGAGGTCCATCTTGATGCCTCCAAGGCCCTTCTCGTACTGCCACTTCTGCTCGAGAGCGTCTTCTGCTCGCTTCCTCAGGGACGCCACTTCTTCCTTCAGGAAAGCCACCTCCTTGTGGTAAGCAGTTCGAGTCGGAGTGACCTGCTCCGCCTTCGTCTTCGCCTTGGTCAGCTTCTTGATGGCACGCTCGTGCTCCCTCTGCTGCTTTTCGCATCTTATGATCAGCAGCTTCAAAGCCTTGTGCAGAGCATCCCGCTGGTCCTCGATCTCCTTGACGGCGTCCCCATTAAGCGAGCCAGACCGATGACGACCACCACCTGCTTCCCTCTCTTTGACCGAGCCAGACCGCGTCAACGAGCCACCACGCTTGCTTTGACTCCTCGCCAGCGATCCGGATCTCGAAAGACCAACACGCGGTCCACCAATCGTCGGCGAAGTGACACCACTGATATCCTCCTCTGCGATACTTCCAAACCGGCCCTGCATCTTCCCTTTCAGCGCCACAAGCTCCTGCTGCATCCTCGTGTTCTCATACACCAACGCCTGAGTATCAGCTGCCTCCGTCTCCAGACCCTCCACCCTCGCTCGCAACCCAGGCACAATCTCATCGCGGAGGTTGTCCCGCTCGTTCCTATGCAGCTCCATTTCCAATCTCGTCGCGCTATACAGATCCTCAAAGCTGCCCTTCGCCTGCCGTTCCTGATTCAGAAGCCTCCTAGTATCTTCCAACGTGGACTCCAGCTCATCTACCCGCTCCTCCGCGTCCCTGTGATCTTCGTCCTCGTCGAACTTCCGCTGTAACTGCTCCTCCATATGCTGCACCATCTGCTCCAGATCCCTTCGCCGACTGAGCTCGGCTTGGAGTCGAGACGCCATATCCACCTTGATCGAAGCCTTCTCTTGCTCCACTTTCCGCAGCGACCGCTCCATCTGGTCCAGCTTCAAGTCCACATCCGACACAGGGTAGCGTGTTGAGGCTCCAGAGTCCGAGTAGTAGTCGCTCGTTCTCCTTCCGGCATCTGAAGGTTGTACAGTGGGTGCTTCCGTTCTTATCCGGTCCAATTCATCTTCCAGCTCCATCTCGCGCTTCACCGAGCTCGCAAGCTCCGACGACACGTGTGCCAGCTCACGCTCCAACTCTTTCACGTGGGCATTCGTCTCTGGTGTGCCGATCAAAATCGGTGTCTCCGGGTTCTCAAAGTAGTCACTCCGCGGACCTGACAGGGCATTCGCCTTGTGAATGTCCAGCCCCGGCGGCGTCAACCGCGGACCCAACGGCGACTGCTCCATCGCAATGGGTGTCTGCAAGTGAGGCGAAGGCCCGGGAGAGACAGAGCGTTCTGAGAACGTAGTGGTAGGGGAGTCTCCATTCACCTTGGGTACACTCCCCTTCCTGCCGAACAGCTTCCACCTGCTGCCACCCGGTGACTTGGACCGGTGAGTGCTCGGAGAGTCAGCGGCTGACCCTATCGACTCATCCGTCAATGTCCTCTGCACGCCATCCATCTCCAGCTTCATCTCGGGAGGTCTCCTGCTTCCGTTCATCGAAGAGACAGCACTCAATCTTTTCGTCGGCGAATATTGTGACGTGTAGTCTATACTCGAGACGGACTGCTTCGGCGCATGTGATATGGTATGCTCCTGAGCATATCTTAAATGTACCGGGATGCTTGAGCGACGCGACTCTCCGCCATAGAGGGACGAGGAGGTCTCGGAGTCGGCGATTCGTGAATCTATAGAGTCGTTACGCGTGTGCGGTCGAGGTGTGTAGGTGTATGATGCACTGCTGCTAATGTGAGAAAAGACGTATAAGGCTCGAACACGGGGCCGACATACCTATGGTCCTGTCTCACGGGAGAGGTCTCACTCCGAGGTGGTGAGACCGCGTTCGTCAACTTTGCCAACCCACTGGGCTGTGGATGTGCTGTGTCCACCGACAGTGGTCGTGCAGCCGGATTGGTAAGGCGTGGTGAGGGTAGTTCAGCTAGCGAGTGTGCTCGAGGAGCATGCGCCGGTAACTGCTTCCGTCTGGTCGCACTGGGCGAGGATACAGGTATACTGGAAACCTGAGATCTGAACGCCGAGAAGGATGGCACCGTGATCTGCGCAAGGGATGGCTGCCTCCTCCCAGACTCCTGTTGATACTGATACTGCTGTCCCGGATCCTGAGTCGAGTGCGATCTGCTATGCAACGCACTGGGATACCGCGAAGAGCCGTCGTCGGAATAGGCAGAGGCAGACCGTGTGTCGTCGTAGTAGTCGAGATCCGCGAGGGACGAGCGTTGCGAGTGCAAAGCGTGCCCGGCCATGGCGTTCGAGGGTGGTGATAGACTAGTGGCCACTGCTGGTATCTGTGGCAGATGGCACGTCCGTCGGTCGGTAGCTGGTAGAGTACGACTACGACAGGCTACGGGCAGATCAGGGCAAGGGTGCGAAAGGCGCCATCATCTGCTTTCCTCGGTCGCCAACCTAATCGATGCACCCGTCGACGCCGCGAAGGATGTGCCTCGAGGCCGAAAGGAGCAAACAGCCGGCAGTCTCCTGCTCTGTGCCGTCTTCTCACGAGGACGAGTGATAGGAGTGCTGTGCCGACGGTGATTGGGGAGGGCTAGTCCAAACGTCTGCGCTCGGGGCGCGTGGGCTAAATTGACGATCGAGGGAGGTGAGGTTGGCGCGTGCGAGTAGAAAGTCGAGACGTGCAACGTGTGGGTGGGATTCCTCGCAGCGAGGAATGAACAATCAACAGCAAATGTCGCTTCTCCCTCTCCCATCCCACTTGCTCTACTCGGACACGCATGCCACTTCTCACACAGTCAGCGACTCTACTCGACAACTCCCTCCCATTGGTGCACTGATAACGTTGCGGGCGGTAAAGGGGCTGACAATGGCAGCGCATCGTACCTGCGTCGTCGGTGAAGCTAATCGCAAAACACCAAAATAGGGGTCTCGTCTGAACTTTGCTCGGTGGGCGCTTCGTCAACACAATCACGCCTACAGTAGCCCCGGAGATCTCTGTGGAGGCGTGACAACCCCGTGACGATCATGATATTGATCCTCTGCGTGGATGCGTATGGTCGAGATGCACACCGCTGCTATACACGGACCTGTCGGACAATTTCGCTTGTTAGCATATCGCTCAACGACCTGTCTAGACTTTGGCATGTGACTGTCGCATTCTACAGTTCTATTCTACAGTATGTCAACATGTCTTCTCCCTTCCACCTCAGTTCGTCTTCCCGTCCAAGTCGGCGTAGAAGTTCCACTTGAAGTTGGCACTCGGGTCGTTGAAGCGGAACTTCTTGTCGATGCTGTCGATCTTCTTCACGTCTTCAGGATCAAGCTTGAAGTCGCCCTCGAGGTTCTGAACGATGCGGTTCTCTGTCTTGCTCTTGGGCAGCACGTTGCGTCTACGACAGGTCAGCGTTTGCGGTAGGAGGACGACACTCATCCTACTCACCCATGTGCGATACCCCAAGCCAATGCGACCTGAGCACCGCTCTTGTTGTACTTCTTCCCAATCTCAGCCAGTGTCGGGTCATCAATCAGCTTGCCCAGATCCTCGCCCTTCGAGTAGATCGGGTTCTGGTTGCCGAAAGGCGAGTACTGCATGATATGAATGCCCTTCTCCTTATGCCAGTCCGCAAACTTCTTCTGCTGCAGCCATGGATGGCATTCTGTCCATTCAGTCAGCACCACTTCCCTCCCCACCCCATCACGAAGTCGACATACCATACTGATGCGCCGCCGGCACAATACTCGCCTCCTTCACCAACCTCTCCATCTCCGACTGCGAAAAGTTGCTCACCCCAATCGCCTTCGCCTTCCCCTTCCTCTGACACTCCTCCATCGCCTTATACGTCTCCACATAATCCGCATCCCCAGGAATCGCCTTCCCATCCTCTCCCTTCGGGAACATGCTCTCCCCATCCTTGAATGGCGACGGCCAATGCATCAGATACAAATCCACATACTCCATCCCGAGATCCTTCAGCGACGCATCCAGCGCCGGCTCCACGGACTTGGGGTCATGCGAGTTGTTCCACAGCTTGGTCGTGATGAAGATCTGGCTGCGCGGGACGCCGGATTTGGCGATGCCGTCGGCGACCATGGGCTCGGTGCCGTAGATGCGCGCGGTGTCGATGTGGCGGTAGCCGGCGCGCAGGGCGGTCTCGACGGCGGAGGCTTGGGCGTCTTTGTCTTGCCATGTGCCGAAGCCCACGGCCGGCATGGTGGCGCCTGGTAGCATCGCACAATGTCAGCTTTGGGATTTCCGTTTGAGGCGGATGAGGACGATATACCCGTGTTGAGCTTGTGTACTGTGTTGGCGGTGGAAGCCATTCTCATCTGCTGCTTGACGGGTGCTTGGGAAGAAAGTTGTTGCGTGACTTGTCCGACTCTGTTGATCGCTGAGGAGATGCTTTTGGAGGACATTGTAGAATGAGTGAAAATGATACAGAGCTCAGTCTTTTGAAGCTTGAGAAAGATTGAAGACGACAATGGTGTCCGAGGATTTAGTCAAGGCACGTCACAATGATGATAAGCTCAACGAAGAGACGACGGAAACTTAGCTGCGATCAATGGGGGACTCCTGTCCTCCGGAGGCATTCAACGCGAGGTAATCGGCTCGGTGGATGCCATTGGTGACGTCGAGAGGCGGACGACGATCGATGTTTGGAGCCGCATTTGCCGTGCACGAGGGGTCGTTGATCGTGAAATCGACAAACTAGCACGGTGCTGCTTCCTCCTTCCCAATCAAGACACCCGGCATCACATGAACTCGAGTGGAGAGACCACTGTCGGGAGTGCATAGTCGCCTAGCGAGAAACGTTCTACTATGAAGAGCTGAACATGCAAATCCGCAAGGTCTGCGCGGTTCCGAACAGGTGAATACAAGCACACGAGAAGAGGAGGGCAGCAGTAAGTGTCTGTTTTGTCAGTCTCGTTGTCCATACACTTTGCATTACATGCTCCCCAAACGACCATACGGTCCAAGATTGTACATGAATCATTATGCCAAATTCAACTTTTCATCCCATCTTCCACCGTCAAAATCCACCCAGCTGATGCCAGATCCCCCTCAATCCTCTCCTCTTCAACAAGATCGAGCCTCTTACAACGCGAAGAGCCCAACGATACCAACGGCACCAGCAAGCCCCGCACCAACCATCGCAGTCGGCAACGCCGCACCACCAGTCGAGCTGCTCGATGCACCCGACCCAGAGCCCGAGCCGGACCCAGAAGTCTGCTGCGATCCACCTCCATTGGTCTGCTGTCCGCCACTGCCGCCCGTCTGCCTGGTCGTCGTGCCACCGACAACCGTCGTCCTGCCCGCCGCGTTCGTGCGAGTGGTGCCGCCGATCACGGTGCTGCTGGAGTTGAAGCCCATGGTCGCGTTGCCGCCTGCGCCTGGGAGAAGCGTGGTGCCGTTGCCGCCGACGGCTGATGCGGCACCGCCGAGGAGGTAGGTCTGCACGCCTGAGGGCAGGGAAGCGAACCAGGCGGGTGTCGAGCCGGCGGAGAGCTGGGAGGCGACGAGTTGCTCGGCAGATTGGGAGTTGGTGAGGTAGAGGCCGGCGAGGGAGGTGGGGACGGCGGTGGCTAGGATGTTGAGGACAGAGGCGCTGGAGTGTTGTTAGGGGAAATTCATGAAGAGGGAGTTTGGAGGGCAGGCTTACGTGTTGACGCCTGTAGAGGATGGGGCAGGGCTGGAGCTGGAGTCGGCAACGATGCTGCTGAAGCTCGACGCATTGGTGATGACTGCTGTGCTGGAGGACTGTGCCGCGACGGTGGCCGCAAGGGCAGAGAGCGTGAGGGCCTTGTACTGCATTTTGGCGTGTAGGATGTGATTAAAACTGTCTTTCTTCGAGTTCGAAATATAGGAAGAAGATATTCAACGCCTGATGAGAGAAATGCTGCAGTAGATATTCAACGAAAGTTCCGTAACAGTACGAGAAGAAGGAAGACGAACAGGCAGTCGAATTAAAAAGATATATATCACAGCCGCATCAAACGAACTATTGCTGAACCCGCCAGCTTATGCGTAGAAGCTTCTGCTTGGCGAGCTAGTGTTACGCGTCTCCTGGCACCACGAATACGGATCGAGGCTCTGGTGGCGGAGGCCTCTGTGCTGAGCATCCTGGTCGGAGCCAATGGCGGAGCTTTGTTGGTCGTGTTCAGCGCGTGGTTGTGGGTTTTCTCGGCTGTCTGATGTGGGCTTTTCGTTTTGTGTCACATTTTTGTTGTTGTAATGGTGGAGCTGGAGCTTTGCGGGCTGGCTGAGGAGGGTCGGTTGCGAGGCGAGAAGCGCTGCAGAACATTCCAGTGGCAATCTTTGGTGCAGCTCTGCTGTCTGCTGTATTGCGTAGAAGTGTGCTCGGAACATCGACCAAACGTTGAGCCGCAAAAAGTAGGTCCGTTCAAGTCCAGGATCACACGAGGCCCAGCTTCCCGATCCGGCGGTGCTTCGTCCAGCTCTCGGCCACCGATCGTTGCACTGCGGCTCTACAAGCTAAAAATACAGCCGTTCTTTCAACGGCAAAGACCCATCCACAGTAATCACCTCAACGCTTCCCACTGCCCAGCTTTGCAGGGCACACAGAGCTGTGTCCAGTCTAAGCAACCTCAATGCGGGGCCAGTTATGATGCTTCAAGGAGGTCGCGTCAGTATCGCGCTCGAATCCTTCATAACCTCAGGCTGCTGCTGCCTCTCAAACGTCCGACCTGTAGCCCGCCGCACCATCGATCCACGTCTCGTCGACGTGATGACTTTGACGGTGTTGCCAAAAGCCACTGCGATGGTCTGGCCGTCTATTGCTACTGCTGGACCGGCGTTGGAGACATATAGCGAGTTGTCTGGCCCGGCATCTGTACTGTCGCTTGCAAGGACTTGGACGGCGTCCAGTGAGCCATCGATGGAGAGTCGGTATGCTTCCCACGCGAGGTCAATCTCTTCGCTCTGCGGCTTCGAGCGCTTCGTTCGCCGGCTTCTGACCGAAGGACGGGGTGGTGCAGCGCCATTGAATTGTTCATGATGCTGCTTGCGCAGGCCAAGGACGGCTTGCGAGTTCACGATGCTCCAGGCACCGGTATTCTCGACTTTTTGTGTGGTGCGTTGAGCAGTTCTGACGGGGTTGCAGGACGCATCGCCGGCCTTGAGGCATAGTGCGGCATCTTTGCCCGTAGTGGCCGAAAGCGTCACGACGCTGCGTTCATATTCGCTGATGCCTTCAGTGACCAATGCCATGCTTCGCAGAGCTGGTGAGCCGCAGGAAGCGCACTGCTTGCCTTGTCCCAGCATGAATCCAGCAAGCGACGGGTCATGGTCGTCCACATTGACCTGACTGAGGGTGGCGAACGTCTGGGCATCAAGGAACAGAACATCTCGCGACGTAATGACGACACAGACCTCGGAGCCCAGCTCGGCAGTCTGCTCCAGTCGGACTCTTCCAGTCAGGCGGCCGTAAGTAGTCCTCACTGGCAGGCTTTGGGTGACGGTCTGCGTCCACCTGCCATCAATCCACGAATAGGCAATGATCTGGGCTTGGTCGGTGAACACCACCAGCCGTCGGCCTTGCGTGGACATCTCCTGCATGGCAGCACCAAGCAACGAGCTGTGCTCCAGACGCTTGACTGCGGACGTGCCGGTATCAACGTTCGTAGTGGCTAATCGCCCACCAGAAGTCAAGGCCAGGAAGTGAAGCTGGCTGCCTTCTAAACTCGGCAAGCGGACGAACTTAAAGAGCACCGGCGGGTTGTCGTCCGGGTAGTCTATGGAAGGGTTGACGAATGATGCTTTGACGCAGCTGTACAGCAGTATCCGGTCGTCTGCGCAGTGACAGGCAATCCACTCGCAGTTGTCATCGACAGCCGTTGAGTAGATGGGCCATTGAATGGTGGAAAGAGCTTCTCCTGAGAAGCACATGATCCTTTGCGCTCGCTGAGATGCGTCCAAGGTCGTGATCGCGATGGTTCTGTCCAGCCCAATGGTCACAAGAGCTCCCTTTTGTGACGTGAACATCTTGATGATGTCGAGCTTGTGTGGAAGCGCAACGCTACCTACTTTGACCGCATCTTGCTCCTCTTCACCATCCATGCGAAGCTCATCCTCTTCGTGGTCCGTGTAGAGCAGGAAATTCATGAGCACCGCCACGAAAGCCACAATGAAAACCACCGCAACAGCGACAGGATAGAAGTGGCCGACCGCGAAGCTGCGGAATGCTGAACTCCAGGCCTCTTCTTCATCGACGTCCGTCCTGTCCGCGCCAGGTAAGACAACAATGAGCGGCGAGAAGACGCGGACGATGAAGCTGTCCGCTCCTGGTTTCGCAAGCCTCATAACCTCTTTCGCGGTGTCAAAGTCTTGCATTCTCATCCACTGTCCAGGAGTGAGCGAAGCATTGATCGGGGGTGGCGCGAAGCTGTCAAACTCGTCCAGCATTGGTGGGCCATTCTTGATGAGCTGAAGCAGGTGCCTGAGACTCGTAGCCTTCTCCTTCTGCTCGAAGAAGTGGTAGTTGAGCGAGAGGATGAAGGTGGTAGTCACTGCTGTCCCAGCCATGCGTGTGCTGAAAGGCAATCGGCCGTGCACCAAAGCGTCGAACCATGTGTGGTGGTGGACAGGGGACGGCTTGCGCCTAGGTCGAGACTGATTCGCTCTTGCCAATGCATCTTGCAGCTCGAAACGGCGGATATCGACGTTCAGCACTGCGATGAAGAAGGTAAGAAGGAAGAAGACGTCGAAGAGAGCGGCGATGCAGGCAAAGACACAGAAGGCTGCCACTCCGGGAGAGACGACTCTCGAAAGCAAAGCAAGCATGATCAGGTTTTGCACTGCTGTCGCCACGATAACTGGTCCAATGTCTCCGAGTGCGTTTGCAAGGCGGAGCTCTGTGGCCATCGTGGGCGGATATGCCACGACGGCGTTGATGAGTCGAAACATGTTCTCGATGCCGAGCACCAAAACGACAAACGGATATGCGTTCTGAGGTATCATTGATAGGTTGATCTTGAGAATACCGCAGATAGTGAAACTGGACATGATCGAGCATGTCATTTGCGTGATAGCAGTGTAAACCAGACCGAATCGACTGTGGAAGGCTTTGATCCGTCGCAAGCTCAGCAAGACGTAAAGAGCCATGCAGCAATATGCGATCGAAAGTGCGAAGTTCTCCTTGAGACTCAGCGGGATGATGCTGAACTCGTACACTTTGTTCCGAGTGACTTGTCCGTCCCGCGGAAAGAGAGTGCAACCTTCGCACGTACTGGATGTCAAAGAAGACATTCTTTTCCGCCATTGAGCGCCAATGCCATCTTGCACCTTGTTCATCAAGGTTATCACAAGAGCATCTGCAGCAATCAACTTCGAACGCTGGAACTTCTTGCCAGCAAAAACAGAAGCCGGTCGAAGAGCCACGTTGAGCAAAGAAGACGTCGAGCGAGCCTTGTCGTTGATCGTCTGCAAGATGTCGCCGTCCTCATCAATGGTCTCGTGCGAGTTGTTCCAATACATCAGCGGAGAATGGTAGCCCCAGTCCAGCGTGCTTGATCGCAGCTTGTCGTGTAGAGAAGGGACTTGATTCGACGTCAAGGGCTCGCCTCCCACAAGCGATTGTTGGATGTCGAGTGCGTTGTTCAGAACCCCCTTGTCCAGAGCCTTCATGTAGCTGCCGTGAACCCAGACTTGCCGCATCTCGACATCCGCTCTGTTGGGATTGCCTTCCAATGGTTTGGCGGTCGTCCAGACATGGTGTGGGAAAGTGGCGAAGCCCGCTGTTGGATTCTCAGCTAGTAGGATGGTTGGATAAGAGAAGCCCATAGCAATAGCCACCGAGACGAGCATGGTGACCAGCCAGTGTTGTGCAGTCGTTCTGCCATGGCGATAAAAGCCTCGACGGATGGGATGGTTGGAAGACAGGCGTGGCGGTTGAGTCGTTCCTCGGAGGGGGTAGAGAAGGTACCAGATCATGTTGGGAAGAGGCCGGTCATTGAACAGTCTAAGCTCTGGACTTCTTCTTATGTTGTCTTAAGTGCTGGTGATGTCGACGTCCAGGAAAGCAGGAGTGTCGGTTCTAAGGGCAGAATCACCATGTTGGCATCAGCTCATCCAGGTTGTAATACTGGTATGGTTCGAGAAGTTGTCTTCAGCTAATTTCAGTTACAGAACGGTTCACTTGTGGCAAGGAGAGCAACATGGAAACGTACGATGGTCTTGATATCGCAAATGGAGTTCAGGCAAACACTTGATGCCTGAGAAAGCGCGACCCCTCCAGTGCGAAGTCCGAAAGTCTTCCACCCACTTCCACCTTCACACTTGCATACCACAACCTCATCTTGCTCGCCACATCCGGCAGAGAGTCCTCAGGTAGGTGTCGCATGTATCGCCAATACTTCACCTCAGCTCCACAGTCCTTTCGCTAGCCATTCATTGCGACCACAAACTTCACCACGACCTCATTCACTGACACGCCTTCACAGCGCCACCGCGAACCTCACTTCACCTCTTCCACCGGTCACGCGCCGCTGTTAGTCAGCTGCCGCAACTCTTCACCACAAAACCGGCGTTCTCACCGGCCAACGCTCTCTCTTCCTTCCACAACAACCTCCATACCAAACCCACACCCACACCCATACCACACACCACACCAACAACCACCAACAATGGCGTCTCCCAATTCCGGCAGCGACAACGGCGCCGCAGACCAGCCCACCGAGCCCCAACAGTCCGAACACTTGAACATTAAAGTAACCGACAACAACAATGAAGTCTTTTTTAAGATCAAGCGCACCACGCAGCTCAAGAAGTTGATGGATGCATTCTGCGAGAGGCAGGGCAAAGCCCCGCAACAGTGCCGGTTCTTGTTCGATGGGCAGAGGGTGAACCCGCCGGACACGCCTGATACGGTGAGTACTTGACATCCCTGCAGCGGACGTGTGAGGTTGAGGACATTGGAGTGAGGATGTGCTAACTGTGATGTAGCTCGACATGGCGGATGGCGATACGTTGGAGGTTCATCAGGAGCAGATTGGTGGGGCTTGCTGATGCGCCTCACTCCGAACGACTCCTACGGAGTGAAGCGATCGAAGACCACGAGTGATGCACCGAGGGAGATCTGCGCGACGATTGCAAGACGAAACGACATCGAATGAAGGTGGCGATGCGGTGACGAGGGTGCATGCTGTTTTTTGCTTGCGCGTTTCGGCGCAACGGAGCTGGATCTAGGCATCAGGCAAGGACATGTCTCATGGATTCGTGCGTGCGAAGGCTTCTGTTATGACTGTACTTGGCATCTGTGGCTGCATCGATCGAAGCGTCTAGATAGCTGAGCCGGAAACCCATTCAAACCACAACAAAACCTCCCAACTATGCATTACCCCAGATCCCCGAATTGCGCCAAATTGCCACCCGTGAATCCATCAACCTCACTGACAAGACCTCACTCACAGAATCCCCCCCATCTCCCCACCCCTTTCTTTACTCCCCTCCGCAATCTCCACCACCCGCCTCGCCGCCTCCTCAAACCCATCAAACGCCTCCAACTCCAGCCCACTCTCCGCAATCACCCGCTGCCCCACCTCCTCATTCGTACCCCTTATCCTCACCACCACCGGCACCCCACGCATATCAACCTCCTTAAACGCCAACAGTACCCCTTCCGCAATCATCCCCCCATCCGTCAGCCCGCCGAAGATATTTACAAAAATCACCTTCACCCTCTCGTCCCGTAAAATGAGCTCGAAGGACTTCTTCACCGTTTCGGATGTAGCTTTGCCGCCCGTGTCGAGGAAGTTCGTCGCGTGCCCGTTTTGCAGGCGTAGAGCGTCGAGGGTGTTCATCGCTAGGCCCGCGCCGTTCACGAGCGTGCCGATGTTGGCTGCCGGGTTGGGGAGGCGGATGAACACGATGCCGGAGTCTTCTGCTTCGACTTCTTCGGGTTGTTCGAGGGTGCGGTCGCGGAGCGTATGGATGTCTGGGTGCCGGGAGCAGGAGCGGTAGGCGGAGTCGTCGAACTGGAGGATTAGAGAAGGTAGGTGGAGGGCGATGGTGCCGGTTGAGGGGTTGGTGGAGATGGAGGTGGAGAGGGTGACGGCTTCTTTTTCGAGGTACACGGTTGATAAGGCGCGGATGAGCGAGGTGAGGGATTGCTTGGTTGATTCGGGCGGGCTGATGTGAGCTATTGAGTCGGCGATGAGAGAGTCGGGAGGTGGAGAGCGTTGGTCGAAGGGAAAGCGGAGGGCGGTTTCTCGGAAGCGGGAGGTGTCTGTTGAAGGGGAGGTGCGGATGCAGGGTTGGCGTTCGCTGCGGTCGACGGTGAGGCCGATGTAGAAGGCGTCGGAGGGGGCGGGTTCGTTGGATAGGGTGATGTTCTTGAGGTCGTCGAGGTAGGGCTTGAGGACATCGGGAGCTTGTTCTGGACGGAGGTGGAGGTTGCGAGATTGGTGCGGTCGCTGAGATGGTGGTGAGGGTCGGTCGGGTCGAACGACAGGACCTCGCCGCATTGTGGTGTGGTAGCCACGTTTCTGGTCTGCTGGGTTGCCTGTGATCTTGCTGACGTCTCGTCCAGACTGCGAGAGGAGCGTCTTCATGACTCCCCCGAACTTCTCTGGATGGTCTACCATTGTAGCACCAGCGTCTTCCAGGATCTTGTACTTCTCCGCCGCGCTGTGCTCGCCTCTTGCTGCCCACGCTCCAGCGTGACCCATGATGCGCCCTGCCGGAGCATGTATTCCGCCTACAAGTGCTGCAATGGGCTTAGGGTTGGGCGAACGTTTCTGGTAGTCCTTGATCCATTCTGCTGCGTCTTCCTCTGACCTTCCGCCAACTTCGCCGATGATGATCATGGCTTGCGTCTCCGGGTCTTGCTCGAAGACTTCCAAGCCATCGACGATGTTTGTGCCTGCAATGATGTCTCCGCCCATGCCAATACATAAGCTCTGCCCAAGACCTGCCCGTGTGACCGAAGCAACCGCCTCATATGACAGCGTGCCAGACTTCGCTACAATTCCAACATGCCCGGGAGAAAAGGTCGGTAGAGGTTGGAAGCCTATCCTGCAAGAGCCAATGGGTGCTATTATGCCTGGAGCATTGGCACCTACTAGTCTGGACTTCGATTGCGTTTTGAGGATGCTCGTTACCTGTACAGCTATACGTCAACTCCAGCACGGCCTAATCTCTCGCATATCTCGACACCTACCCTCATAATATCATGCAAAGGTATGTGCTCGGCCACAGCCACAATCAAAGGAATCTCCGCCTCAATCGCATCCTCAATCGCCCTGCCACATTGGGGCGCCGCGACAAACACAGCAGTGGCATCAGGTTTCAACTGCTCTTTGGCCTTCTTCAGATCAGGAAGCAGAGGCAGCCCCAGATGCTCGCCCTCTTTGCCCGGAGTGACTCCTCCCACAATGTTGGTGCCATATGCGATACTGTCTTTGGCATTTCCAGTGGCGACTCGGCCGGTGAAACCTTGGTAGATCACTCGAGTGTGCTTGCCGATGCGGAGGTTCTGGACTGTGTCTTCATAGTCTCGAGAAGCTGGAGAGGCGGAGAAGTGTCGTCTAGAGTGTCTCGAGAGTCGTGGTAACTTTGCATGTGATTGTCGGATGGCCTGACCGCCACGTACAGGAGCAGCCATGTCTTCTTGAGGACAGTACAAAGGAAAGAGACAGTATATGAGCAAGACAGACAACCTACCAGAATTCTATAGCTATTTGTTCGAACATTGGCAGCGATGACGGAGCGTGGTGGTCCTCGGTATCTGGTACTTCTCCAAGATAGCCGTGCGTCTTATTTCCTGTTCCCGGCGCTAGGCCTGTTCCTGGGGGGAGGAAGTGAATGCGATGCATGTGTCAGTGGGCCTTGGGGCGCTGTACAGCTGTGTTTGAGGCGAGAAGCGGCTCCAGCGGTCGTTGTTGGCCTTGAACGGTTCTTCGTGTGTTCATGTTTTGAACTGAGTGATGTGTAAGCGTCATGTCTCACAGTGAATGTGGTTGCTCTTGCTCCAGGTTTCATGCCCCACATTGCGGGGAGAAGTTCACTTGAAAGATTCTCTAAGGTTGCTTGCTCTTTCACAGCTTTCACAGCTCAACTTCAACATCGAGACAACATCACCTCATATTCATAGGCCCACTCCCACCATGGCACAACCAACCACAAAGTCCCTCCACACCTCCCTCGACAAGCTCCAAATCTCCACCCCCAAGCCCGCCACCACCAAAAAATCCGAGCCCGCCGACTCTTGGGAAGACGAGGCCGAAGCCACCACTCCATCCAGCGAAGACGACACCACACCAATTGGCAGCCCCAACAACGCAGGCCTCGAAGCACCCCCACCAACCCCCTCCTCTCCCAGCCAAATCCCCACCCAATACGCCCCCACCAACTCCCCCATCTACCGCCCAGGCGGCGATCCCCTCTCCATGGTCCCTGCCGAGCTGGCGCCGAGGAAGACCAGTCCCAACACCGAGGACAAGCGCCCCGAGAAGTCCACGGCGGTGGCTTCGCGGTTGATCGCAGCGGGGATCGGACAGAAGGCGCCGAAGCGGACGAAGGAGCAGCGGGAGTATGAGCAGGCGATGAAGGTGCAGGAGAAGAAGAGGCGGGATGCGGTAAAGGCGGAGGAGGAGCGGAAGAGGGTGGAGAGGGAGAGGGCGGTGAGGGATGTTTGGGGGGATTGAGGGGGATGGGGGAAGGAAAGGGAGGCTGCATTGATTTGGAGTATGACTACGACGGCACAGAAGACTGGAGGGAGGGCGAAGTCGTATGGATCGAAACGTGAATACATCTATCAGCATGCTCGGAGGCATCAACGATACGAAAGGCATCCAAGACCAGCAAGCGAAGAGGGCACGAAGCTAGGTGCAAAGACTCGGTGCTTTGCTTCGCGTCGACTGACTGCGGCTGGCCATCCAATCTAACCAGTGTCGAACATTCCTAAGCTGGCGGTCTCCGGCGACGGAGAGTCAACCAGCACTGCGATTTTCGCATATGCGCGCACACTGCATTGGCCTGGAACCAGCTGGAGGGTGATTACCGACGGCGGCCAGAAATGTCTAATGGACTACGAAAAGAGGGCCTCACTCGATGGTTTGTCGCGTACGTGAGAAGCTCTAGCAAATAACAGCAACCAGCAGCGTTGTAGCGCATCGTTGCAGCATAATCCACAGAACTCACTGATCCTCCTCCTCATCCTCATCACCCCCAAAAACCGCCCTAAAAACCGCCTCCCCCGCCCTCATGCCCTCCAACGCCTCATTCCTCTCCACATCCACCTCCCCCCTCCTCGCCCTCGACTCTCTCAACCCTTCGCTCGTCACCAACGCCTCTCCTCTCTCCTTCTCTCCACCTTCCATCCCGCCGGACACGAAAGAAGACGCTTTGAAGCCCCCGTCCCGGATCATGCGGTCGAGGCCGGGCATGCTGCTCTTGCCAGCACTACTACCGCCTGCACCGTTGCCGGCTCCGCTCGCATCCGTCTCACCGCTGACGTGTGCTGGAGGCCGGACGTTGAAGCGTTTACACAGTAAGCGTGTCGGGTAGAAGTCGATTGTGCTCCGTGTCATGGGACCGAACATGCCGAGTTTGGCTGCTTTTTCTGCTGGATCTTCTTCTCTCCCTCCTCCTACACCCTGGCCTGTCGAGGGCGAACTGCCTGCGACGCCGCTGGAAGTGAAGCGCCCGGACATGGCGCTGGAGATGGGGCCGAAGACTTCGGCTGCGCGTTTGAACTCGGTCAACTCTCTACTCCAGTCGTCGAGCGCCATGCTTTCGGGACGAGGCGGGAGTATCGTTTCGGTTCCAGCGCGAAGGGAGAGAAAATACCGATACCGATCTCGCTTCGCCGCGTCTTCCGAGTAGGGCGCCCAGCCGCCTCTACTATCACCATCCAACCTCTGCAACGCAGCTGCCGCAGTCGCCTTATCGAGCTCCGGCACGAGATCCGAGAGAGATTTCTGGCGATCCGCCTCGCTGAGCTCAAAACCTGGCGGAGCTTTCTCACTGAGTGCTGGAGGGAGGTCTTTGCGATTTGTGGCAGTGGCGAGACGGTCGCGGGCGGAGGGGGTGAGGAAGGAGAAGATGGATTTGCCGGGGAGGGGTTGTTCGCCTAGGATTGCGGCGCGCGATTTTGGGTCGAGAGTTTGGAGGTCTGTTGAGGTGTTGGGTCTTGAGGTGACTGTGTTGGAGGTGGTTTGCGAGAGCCGGGATGGTTGCCAGCCTTCTGGGACTGTGGGAGGAGGGTACTTGTTCTCCTGGAGTAAGGTGAGAGGTGCTGTTGTCAAGACGAAGCCGTCAAGTGGCAGGCGACCGTCGTGGCATTTTCGGAAGCCAGCGAGAGAGTTGGTTTGCTTGGTGAGCTTCTTCGACGCGCCGAAGGTCGGTTTCTGCTGGACTGCTGGGTTGGCGTTGGTGGCAAGCAGGCCCTTTTTCTTCTTGTCGCCGCCAATTATGCGGTTGTAGCTGATCTTCGGACCCATATCGTAAGCGTCTTCATCGTCGGAACCTGTGTCATTCAGCACGCCCATACCGAACCCACTCTTCTTCAACTTTTGCTTCGGCTTGACAAGCACCTTCGAGCGGCCCGAAGGCATCATCTTTGCGTCCCTTTCGCTGTCCTCTTCCTCCTCCTTCGCCTCCGCCTCACCACTGCCCAGCTTCTCCTCCCCAGCGAACCCCAGGCCCTTCCGATCCTTCTTCTTCCCCAACCCAATCATCCTCGAGTCCTCCGGCGCAAACAAATGCACCTCCCCCTTCTCATCCCCCTTCGCCTTCCTCCTCACCTTCGGCCCAATGCCCTGTCCAGCCCGCCACCCCATGCGCTGCAACAGCTTCACGCCCATCGTCTCGCCCGTTGCGCGAAACAAATCAGTAAACATCCCTCCCTCTGCCCCCGCCCTCCTCCCACCTCCCAGGCCCGCAAACCCGTCTTGTGTGGAAATCACCTCACCCTCCGCCCGCTCAGCCAAATCCTCCTCATCCATGAAATCCTCCACCCTTTGCCCTTTCGGCTTCTCCTTCCCTGCATCATCATCTCCACCTTTCTTCCCCCTCGAGCTCATAAACGTAGAGGGCGTCCATCCCTCCTTTGAACCAACCGAATTGAAATACCCCGCGCTCCAGCCGCCGGTAAAAGCGCCATGGAGCCGTTTCCGCCCGCGCTCGTCGGTGACTTCTTGTTTCCAGATGGGGACGTAGGAGCCGTCGTCGCGCGCCTCGGGGTCGTAGGCGGGGAGTGGGGTGCCGATGAGGGCGTAGGGGGCGTGGGAAGGGTTGGAGTCGAGGGTGGAGGAGAAGGGGCGCTTCTTTTGGGATGACATGGCGTTTAGCTCTTTTTTCAGAGAGGTGGGACTGATGGACTTGATAGCGAGAGGTTTTGGTACGGAGTCGGGGGTGTAGAAGGGGATGGGAGCTTACTTTGGCGGCCCGAGATGGGTTGTTTACATATTGAGGTTGTAGTATCACTTGCCGTCTTTGCTCATGTAGAGCTGTATGTACAGTAAACAATTATGCGCCGCGTCCGAACGAACAACTCTGCTGTCTTTGGTATTGTTATCCCGCTTTCACCGAACGTCAAGGACGACGCGTTGGTGCGGCATTTTGAGCTCAAGGATTGAAGGTGGATTGCAGGAATCATATGCAAAGCATCGGTAGGATCGACGTGGGCGGCGACAGGGTCCTGCTGGCTGCCGGATGTTGTCTCCTTTGCCCGCCAACTCCCCGACGACACCACCCAAGATCCCCCCAACAACATCACCCTCGCCGCCTCGATGCGGTAGCCATCACCTACGACCGACGGAAGTCATCCGCCAAGGATAGCAGCTGCAACACGTGCCGCAGAAGTGGCATTCACTTGCCTCGCGCGATTAGACTTCAGGGTCCCGCGATCGTCGCCTGAGACATCCACGTCAACATCAATAGCAGCGACAGCAAGCGGTGCAAGCAGGAAGAGGTGAAGAGGCGAAGAGGTGCCGGGCATGTCGGCGGCAGCGCAACCATCCCCCTTACCGCGCACCCCCTCGACCCGACGTCAGCAGCAACCTCCTCCTCAGAGCTACAACTCCCCCGACCGCGACGCGCGACCACACCGCACCCAGAGCGCCACTTCCCGCTCGAACAATGCTGCACCCAGCTCACCGCGCCGCTCAATGTCGTCCTCACAGCAAGGTGCACCTCCACCGCCCTCCAGCGCATCACACAGTCGCACTCCCTCGAGCAACCTGCAGAATGTAGCGCAGCGCGACTTTGAGCAGTCCAACGTTGCCCGGCCGGCTAGCACGCGACGTAGCGAGTCGCATGACCGACCGGTCAATGGATCGCGGAGAGAGAACGATGCTCGAGGGCATGCGCGCACGCATTCGAGGTACTCGGAGCAGCCGACTCCTGCATCCACCATTAGTTCCGCAGATCAGAGCAGTAGACCACCTGCGCCACCTACAAATGTCCGAAGACGCAAGTCGATTGACGCGACAACAGGACATTGGGAGCTTGGTAAGACCATCGGTGCAGGCAGTATGGGCAAAGTGAAGCTCGCCCGTAATAAGGAGACGGGCGAGCATGTAGCGGTCAAGATCGTGCCGCGTCAGAGCACCGACGGCGAGCACCGTACGATCGCTGAGCGAGAACGAGCAGATCATTCGAAGGAGATCCGGACGGCGCGAGAGGCAGCCATTGTCACCCTCGTCGACCACCCGTACATCTGCGGCATGCGGGATGTCGTGCGCACAAACTACCATTGGTACATGCTGTTCGAGTACGTCAACGGCGGACAGATGCTCGACTACATCATCAGCCACGGCCGTCTTAAGGAGAAGCAAGCGCGCAAGTTCGGGCGGCAGATTGCGAGCTCGCTCGACTACTGCCATCGGAACTCGATCGTCCACCGCGATCTGAAGATTGAGAACATCCTGATCAGTAAGAATGGCGATATCAAGATCATCGACTTCGGCTTGTCGAATCTGTTCAGCCCGAGGAACTATCTCAAGACATTCTGTGGGTCGTTGTATTTCGCTGCGCCGGAGCTGTTACAGGCGAAGCAGTATACAGGCCCTGAAGTTGACGTCTGGAGCTTCGGAATTGTGTTGTATGTGCTGGTATGCGGCAAGGTGCCGTTCGATGACCAGAGCATGCCACAGCTGCATGCGAAGATCAAGAAGGGCTTTGTTGAGTACCCGCCGTGGCTTAGTCCTGGTAAGACTACCTCCTCAAAGGCTTCGCGTGGGAAGTATGCTGACAGGACATCCAGAATGCCGGAACCTCATAGCACGAATGCTCACCACGAACCCCAGCGAGCGAGCGACACTGCAGGACATTATGAACCATCCGTGGATGACTAAGGGTTTCAACGGTCCGCCAGACAATTACCTCCCCTCTCGCAAGCCGGTTCAGCTTCCACTTGATCCAGCTATAATCGACAAGATGACGGGCTTTGATTTCGGAGCTGCCGATGTCATTACAGCACAGCTCACCAAGATTATCGAGTCGGAAGACTACCAGCGCGCCATTCGGAATCTCGAGAAGAGAAATGTCCTGCAAACGCCAGAGGTTGAGAAGAAACGAGGCGTCTTTGACTTTTACAAGAGACGCAACTCGATCAATAGCCGGGATACGTTGAACACACCATCCAGTGAAGCGGTGCAGCTGGGCCAGGATCCGGTCAACGCCTTCCATCCTCTCATCTCCATCTACTATCTTGCGCAGGAGAAGCAGGAGCGTGAAGCAAGAGAGAAGAATCCAGGTGCTCTGGCGATGCCACAGGATCCGAACGAGAAGCTGACGAAACTGCCTGACCTACCTGCTGCGCCTGAAGCAGCCTACACGAACGCCCACACAGCTGAGATGGCTGGTGAGAAGCCGACTGGTGGCCGCTCGAGGCCTAGAGCCAGGACCCACGGCGAAGACGAGGTGCAGCAGGGACTGCAGAATTTGAACGTCAATAATGCACCGAACCCCACGATTGTAGAGCCGGAGCAGCCGGCATCGTTACCCGCGAGGAAGGAGAGCGCGGCGGCAGGCCTTTTGCGGAGGCTTAGTACGCGGAGGCACAAGGAACCGCCGGAGCGACTGGAGCGGGAGAAGGAGAGGAGCGAGAAGGTCAGTCATCCGCCTTCGTCGCTCGCGGCATATGGTAGCTCGGACACTCCTAGGAAGAGTTTCTCCGTGCGGCGAACAAGAGATAGGGATGGTCCTAGCACCAGGGAGAGGGAGTCCAGTGCCACGAGACCAGAGAGCTCACAGGGCGCTAAGGGCGAGATGTTGTCTCCTCAGCCGGCTGGCGGTGATGGCTCGGGCGAGAAGAAGCGTACCCATGGCCTTGGACGGAGTGTCAGCGTCAACTCGAGCGATATCCGCCGACGCTTGACCCGTAGAGGTGCCTCGGAGGGTGCGTCAATGCGTCCGCCCATGACGAGCAGCAGCACGCAGTCCTACGGGGCAACAACGGCGCCAGAGCAGGTTCGGAGGGAGGACCCAGCGTCCGATGTAGAGAGTCGTCGGCCCCAAACTACTGGCTTCGCGAACCGCGCTCGTTCGATGGGCCACAACAGACGAGAGAGCATGCAAGCTCGCCGCGCCCAGCGCAACGCCGGTCGCCAGTCCGACGTACCCGAAGAAACGGACGCAGACATCGCCGAAGAGATCGACGGCCCAGGCGCCAGCGGAGGAAGTGCGAGTCCCACCGGCATGAAGCCCGTGTACCTCAAAGGCCTCTTCAGCGTCTCCACGACCAGCAGTCGACCCCTCCCCGTCATCCGAGCAGACATCATCCGCGTCCTCAAACAATTAGGTGTCGAATACCGCGAGATCCGCGGCGGCTTCAGCTGCAAGCACTCCCCGAGTATCGTAGGCGGAGACGAGAACAGCAACCCCCAAGCCACTTCGCCTCCAACAGCGTATAGTGGACACCAGAGGAAAATCTCATTCGGCCGCCTGCAACGCAACACTGATCGTGACGAGTTCCGCGCTCAACAGCGTGCAGTCCCCAAAATGCCCAGCATGACCTCCGAAGACGACGGCGGCCTCCCCTCCGACCCGGACGAACGCAGCGAGTACGAACCCGCTCGTTACGAATCGCGCGGTGAGCGCGACATCAACGCCCTCACCCCGCGCCCAACACAGTCCCGCCCGGCCGGCGAGACGAGCACGCACGTCCAAAGCGACATGGGCAGCGGGATGGCGCTGCGGTTCGAGATTCTGTTGGTGAAAGTGCCGTTGTTGAGTCTGCACGGGGTGCAGTTCAAGAAGGTGGACGGGGGGACGTGGCAGTATAAGAATATGGCGCAGATGATTTTGGGGGAGTTGCGACTTTAGGAGTCTCGTGATGACGAGGGCGTGGTGAGGGGGTGGGGAGGTTGTTGTTGTCGAAAGGGAGGGGGATGGAAGCAATAGTTGCGTGGTTTTGTGGGTGTTTGCTGGGAAGGGCAAGCAACATCGCGGATGTCATGGCGCGATGGCGTCGTTGTGGTTCGAGGCGCCGATTGTTGTTTTGTCGCATGTTGGAGCACGAGCGATTGAGCGGTTAACACTAGATCGATGGTGGGTTTTACCGTCTACGAACGAAGTATTGGAGGTCTCTTTGCATTCTTCCTGCTCTCCCTGAATAGAGAAGCTTCCGACGGTTCGTTCTGTGAGAGCGTCTTCCCTTACGTCCAAATGAGGCAGGATGTCAGCGAGAGCGATGACAGCGCGGTTGCATAATGGTTCGCGAGGCGCCGGAACGTCCAGCTTGGAGCTTGCAGGGCGTCAGAACTGAGGATGTCAAAAGTTAAACGGCGCTGAGCAGCAAGACTGTATACATTGCTCTTGCGCAATCAAATAACTACGAATTCCGACCTCATCAACATCGATATCAAGCAAGAGCAGACAACACACTACCCGACAGACAAGACGACTTCAAGATGGCCACCCAAAACGCAGATACCAACACCAAACACGGCTGGACCCCCGTCCACCGCTCCCTCGACAAACTCGTCGCCAGCAGAACCAACCTCCAACCCTCCAAACCCGTAGCAATCGACGACATCCCCCTCCCATCTGGCGCACTGGCCGAACAAGTCCTCAAATACGCCAAGGAAAACCTCCCCACCGAGACATTGAACCACAGCATGCGAGTATACTACTACGGTTCGTTCGCCACTCACCCCCCCCCCCCCCTTCCTCACCTCTCCCCTACTTACTAACTACATTTACGAACAGGCCAAGCGATAGCCTCCCAACACTTCCCCACCTGGACCTACACGCCCGCGACATACTACTTCGCCTCCCTCCTGCACGACATAGGAACCACTCCCTCAAACCAAAACAGCACCCACCTCTCCTTCGAATTCCAAGGCGGCGTCCTCGCGCTCGACTTACTCAAGAACCAGCTCAAAGCCGAAGTCGCGCAGGCGGAATCTGTCTGTGAGACGATAATCCGGCATCAGGACCTCGGGAGCGAGGGGAATATCACGACGCTCACGGCGGTGATTCATTTCGCCACGGTGTTGGATAATGCTGGGTTGTATCCGGAGCTGGTGCATGAGGAGACGATTAGGAATGTGACGCAAGCGTATCCGAGGAATGGGTGGACGGGGTGTTTTGCGGGTGTGGTGAGGAGGGAGTGTGATTTGAAGCCGTGGGCGAACACGACAAGGATTGAAGGGTTCGCTGAGATGGTCGAGGCGAATGATTTGATGAGGCCGTTTGATTAGGAATCTGTGATCTTCTGTGGTGTTTGCAAGTTTGGAGTGTTAGCGGCGACGTGAGCAGTAATGTCAGCCTTAGGCGTTTGTGCTAAAGATTGCAGTTGAGTTCCATTAAACTTTGCTTAGCCGTAAAGGGAGACGAGCATTGAGAAAATCTTGAACTTTGCAATGCCTTTCCGATTGAGCTACGGGACCGCTGCATCATGTCCGACTGAGCTCATGGTCAGAACTGCTTAACATCGCTCCATCAATGCCATAGCCTCGCCTATGCCTCCGTGTCGATGTTGGTGCGCTCGCTCACATAGAGACCGTCCAAGAACTTTCGAATATCCTTGTTCTTCACTCTGCACGCTTGCTGGATGTCTGCCGCGCTCTGCGACACCTTCTCGAGGTCGTTGCCGGTGAGCTCCAGTTGGTCCTTGACGTTCTTCGAGGCCTCGACATCCACACCCTCCTGCATCCGTACGCGGCGGACGATCTTCTCGCCCAGGAAGTTTCTGCATTGACATTGTCAGTAGCCCGCTTCTCGATATTCTCTTCTATGTCTCTCCATATTGCATCCACCTACCTGATCTCAACCTCCCACAGCCCAGTCTCGTCGCTCTTCTCCAGGTTCACGTTGATCGGGAAATGGGCGTAGACGTATCGCATCTTATACCGGAAGCCCTTGGTCACGCCGGTGATGAGGTTGTTGATGATGGTGCGGACTGTGCGGATCGTCGCGACATTCTTGCGGGTGCCGTGGTGAAGCTCGATGTTGATCACGTTCTTCTTGGGGTGCGAGAAGGAGACGGCGATATGGCCTAGGTCCTTTGAGAGCTTGCCGCGAGGGCCTTCGACGGTGATGATGCGGGTCTTGATGTGGACTTTGACTGTGTCGCGGCAGGTATGGATTAGTGGTTGTTCGTGCGGTCCGCGCTGGACGGTGTTCACATACCACCCTCTGGGATCTCCAGCTCTTCCTTGGAGTGAATGTACCGCATGTTGGGCAACGGTGGGCGGTGGTGCGTGGAGGTGTCGTCGCTGGTCAATCTCAAAAGTTCAATGTGGTCGATTTCTCTCGCAAGTGTGGGTTCCGACCTCCGGGGGCTTGGCAATGATAAACCCTAAACCTAAGGTACCTGAAGTTCACCACATCACCACATCTTCCTTCCTTCCTCCCTCTTCCTCCTCCTATATCTACACCATGCACTTCTTCCTGGAGCTGGTGTAGCACTGATGAGAGACATGTCTCTACATGTGTCGTCGCACTTTGAAAGAATCTTCCGCTTTCACAAGCCAGCCTGGACGCTGAAGTCTCGGTACCGCTATCTCAAGGCACTTCTGCTTCTTCCAGGTCAGAGCACAACTATGACGCGCAGCCTAACGCTGTTGTCCGGCCATATCCAGGCGGCAGTCGTCAAGAGTGGCTTTAGATACGACGGCGACTTACTCAACTTCAAGAGTGGTCAATGGTACACTCAGGGGGCTTTGTTCGACATCCAGTGGTATTCATCCCCTCAGGTAATTATAGAGCTCTCCTCCACCTGACGAAGGGCGCTCGACATGCATATACTGGCTTTCTCTCGCAATGAGAGACGCATATGTTAGCCATTACCCTATGAGTCGTTCTGCGTTTCTTATGCACCCCGGAATGCTTCTCGAGCTTAAAAAATGGCCCAAGTCAATAGCACCGTGTTGGCGCTGGAGTCGCCTCAAAACGCCTGCGCGGCTATACATACGCCAGTCAGGGAAGGTGATACTGCTGTCGACGAGAAGAACGGTAATCAAAGCGAGCACACAGAAGCAACTCCGTCCCAAGCACGAAGCATTGTTGAAACTGGGCATGCAGTAATCAATGAAGCGATCGCGCAGGGCGTAGCAGCCAATATCGACGATTCTATGGTGAGTATGAACCTGCTTTCGGCTGGCCTGACTGATCATGCGGTCTCCAACAGACCCTGTTTCATGAAGCAGACGAGGCCAACTCTCGAGAGCGCGGCATGAAGTTGAGGGAAGCCTTTCGCATCTACCCCAAGGCCATCACATGGAGCATCATCTTGTCCTCTACCATCATCATGGAAGGTTAGAACACAGCCATCCTCGGCCCCTTCTACGCCTTTCCACCATTTCTTCGCACCTTTTGGATTCTTGCAACGGATGTCACTCTCACGATCCCAACCAACTGGCAGAATGGTCTGTGAGTCGCTACAAACATCGGTGAAGTACTAATATTGCAGGTCGCTTGCTTCCTGGGCGAGAGGGTGGGCTATCGATGGACCTTGATCACGGCCTTGACCCTCCTCATTGGCTTTATTCTCGTCCCATTCTTCTCGGATAGTCTGTGAATGTTGCTGGCCGGCGAGCTCCTGTGCGGCATCCCGTGGGGAGTCTTCCAGACGATGACAATTGCCTACGCTGCTGATGTGTGTCTGGTACCTCTGCGCCACTACCTCAACGCCTACGTAAACCTTTGTTGGACTCTTGGTCAGTTCATCAGTGCTGGAGTCATCAAAGGCCAGTATGAGCTCGCACGGCATTCTCTTGACCGTCTCACCCGCAAGATCGGTTTCGACAGCCGGCGCCGATCGCTCGATCTACACCACCGAGATGGAGGAAGCAGGCTACAAAGGGCACACGCTACTGGGAATGCTTCAAGGGTACAGACCGCCGGAGGACAGAGCTCGTGTGCATGACCTGGATTGCACAGACGCTCTCTGGAACGGTTGTCGGGGGCCTGAGCTCCTTCTTCTATACATCAGCCGAGATCTCGACGCCAGACGCATACAGCCTAGTGTTGTTGCCAACCAAGATATCAATCGCGAGCGCAGCTGAGACGAAAGGTCGAACATACGCCCAGCTGGACATTCTGTTCGCCAACAAGACAAGTTCGGGCAACTTCGCGAAGACGCGCATAGACAATCTCGTTGCTGGTACCGAGACGGTGCAGAAGGAGCAAGTGCTTCGTACAGAGAACCCGAAAGAGATAGCAGTGGTCTAGGCAGGGCAGCAGTCGGCCGCGGCCGAAATAAGCACCTTAGAATAACTGTTTACCAAATACCCTCTGTCGAACAGCCTACTCCAAGATCAATCGTGCTGATGATAGTATTTGCTGCTTCGAGTATCCGCTCATAGTCGCTTTGGTGCTTAGAATAACTGCTGTAGTTGATCGAAGTGTTCGTAGTCTGCCCCAAGCACTTCATTCGGAGTATTTTGAATAATCCTTGCAGCCTGGGCAAGCCTCGCATCTCTTCCCAAATTGGCCAACACTTCGAGCTTTCAGCTTCTTCCTTCACAAGTTCACAACCATCAGCCCTAGTCCTCCCCTGCTTCTGACGCCTCACCAACATCCGGCCTCCTGCTGCCATTTGCATTGCGGCGCCCTATCAAGCCTCGTTTGTACGCTGGACCGCGCTGGAGATTGGTGATCATCCTTGCACGCCTGTTGTAGGTCTGGACAGTGGCGCCCGTCAGCAGCTGTAGTAAGCGTGTTATTTTCGTCTCCCCTGCAGTTGTTATAATGTCAAGAATGTCGCGTTCCCTTCTTCTCAGTCTCGCAGTCGAGTCGCGCAATCGCAAAGGAAGAAGGAAAGTCACTCGTTGCAAGCAAACATGTTCGGGTTCGGTCCAGCAGCTGCGCTGCTCCTCGCAGTGTCAGTCTTCACGGTAGCCGCAGACGACACTTGCTATCTTCGCCGAAAGGACCAGATCATCACGAAGAATGACTGGGTCTCTTGTCCGAACACTGGTTCTTCGTCCGGAGACTCGCTGTGCTGTCGGAAGGGAGATGTGTGTGGTCCCGACTCTCTCTGCCACACGCCGACTGTCAAGGACGGCAACGAGTGGTATCTGGGTGGCTGCACGAACAAGGACTACAAGGGCTCGGTCTGCAACAAGGCCTGCTGTAAGTAAATGCTTGAGGTTATCGCTCAGCGATTCGGCCAGCGGCTGACAAGGCTTCCAGCGTCGTACCATCAAACGTGGGCCGTCTACAACAACACCGGAAAGGGCTACTGGACCTGTTGTGGCGACTTTGACTGCGATGATGCTAAGCATACCACAAAGATGTTCGACGGCGTTTCTCCCTCCTCGTGGAAGCCGGTCTCAACGGCTGGCAGCAAAATGGGTCCCGTCAGCAGCGGCAGCAGTGGACTGTCCAGGACCGCGAAGATCGGCATCGCCGTTGGTGTAGCCGTCGCAGTGGTTATTGCGATCGTCGGTGGTATCGTTGGCTTCTGCCTCCGAAAGAAGCGCGCCGTGAAGAAACAGCCCGCTTTCGGCAGGTCAGCGAAGAAGCAGTACGAGCAGATTGATCGCTCCCAGGGAGACATACAGATGGCAGCGCCTTTCGTGGCCGGGGAAAACCAGCCCTACTCGCGTCCACCATCTCCGCCGGGTGGCCTTGCTCCTCGATACTCGGACGACCGCATACGTACACGGAGCACCTCCAACCCACCTCCGTTCCAGCCTCCGAGGGATTGAGCGGTCATGGCTGATGGGACGGGTCGCGTGGTTTGTTGGAGTTGAGGAGTTGGGGATACTGTACGGGGGTGTGGATGTGATGTTGGGAAAGGCGCGATTGGAGATGCAAGAGCAGGCTTTCGTTGTCTGGATCTAGCAAATGTGTATCAAATAGGCGCTGCTCATGGGATACCTCGCTGTATCACTGTCCACGTTCCTCTTTTGACCAGATCGCAAGCGCATCTCATAGAACGGCTCGCGGCAGCCAAAGTCTTGCCATGGTCCGTACGAAGAAGCTCTGAGGCCCTGCTGCGGTTGACAAGCTCGCCCTCGTTCTTGCACGCATTCCTCGTTCAGTTTAAACCGTCTCGTATTCCCGGGAGCAGATCATCTGCAACGACCCGAGTCACCCGACCAGCCGACCCCGGGTTTCGGCCGAGGGGCACGCTGCAAAGGACGCCATTGACACATTAGCTCCACCGTTGACGGCGATGCACCTTTGGCAGGGCGCTGGACTGAGCAGTTAATAAGATGACTCGAGGTAGCAGAGGTCTTAGAACGTTTGTTGGAGATGGAGAAGGTGTTGTTCGTGACCGACACCGACAGCAACCACGAAACCGAACCGACGCTGCGCAGTATTCTCGAGCCCGCGGTAGCCTAAGAGACACACGATGAACGGGAACGATGCGAAAGAGTGGGTAGAGGGAGGAGAGAGAGGGAATGAGGATGCAATATCGCATGGACGCAGACCGTACAACAATGGCGTGCTACCGCCGAAGGAAGATGCAGAATCTGAGAAGCAGCCTACGGCAGGCAACACGAGACCCAAAGTGCCGCCACCACCAAAGTGAGTTGAAGAAAGGGGAGCATGAGGTATGCTCTCGACTGACAACGTACAGCGGCGGATACGGCTGGGTGATTACCATCTGTTCAGCTCTGATAAATGGACATACCTGGGGCCTGAACTCATCATACGGTGTCTTCCTCGCGCATTATCTAGCTAACGACACATTCCCTGGTGCAACACCACTCGAATACGCCTTCGTCGGGTCATTGTCCATCTCATGCGCCTTGCTCATCTCGCCAATCGCCACCACAACAACACGATTCTTCGGCACTCATGTCACGCTCTTTACTGGTGTAATACTAGAGGCCGTCAGTCTCATTGGAGCATCGTTTGCGAAGACCATATGGCAGTTGTTCCTTTCCCAAGGTACCAAACCCATGGGCGAAACCTTACCGTGTCTGAGACATTCGCTAACCCTTTTGCCGTTCTGTTTGCAGGCATCTGCTTCGGCTTAGGGATGGGCTTCTTGTTCATCGGTTCTGTGCCCATCGTGCCGCAGTGGTTCACCACGAAGCGCTCGCTCGCCAGCGGCATTGCTACTTGCGGCTCAGGTATTGGCGGCCTTGTCTACTCCCTGGCCGCGGGTGCTATGATCAGAACGATTGGTCTTGCGTGGGCATTTCGCGTTCTTGGGATCTTGGCTTTTGCCGTAAACAGTACGTGACCCCAACGCACGATTGATTGCTTCGATACGACCTCGATCGAATAGTCAGGATAAAGCAGCCCTCAATCACGACCTGGAGACCCATGCTAACCCTTCCATCCAGGCATATGCTCCGCCTTAATGCGTGACCGCAACAAGATCATCGGCAGCTCTCAGCTCGCATTCGACACCAACATACTCAAGCGACTCGAGTACCTCCTGCTTGGCGGCTGGGGTTGGTTCAGTATGCTGGCCTACGTCGTACTCATCTTCTCCCTGGCCAACTACGCCAACGAGGTTGGCTTGACCGACTCACAAGCAGCGACAATCTCTGCGCTCTTCAATTTTGGGCAGGCACTGGGGCGCCCAATAATCGGCTACTGGAGCGATTCGGTCGGACGGATCAACATGTCTATGGGAACGACATTTGCCGGAGGGATCTTTGCTCTGGTCATCTGGGTTTTTGCGAAGAGCTATGGGGTCCTGATCTTCTACGCAATCATTGGTGGTACTGTGGCAGGGACCTTCTGGTGCACGATAGCTCCGGTGACGGCTGAGATTGTTGGTCTTCGACATGTAAGTCAAGAATGGTTCACCGAGACAGACTCGGGCGTGATACAGCGCTCTGGGTTCAATCGGTTTTCGGAGGGCTGACACTTCTACCCAACATTCAGGTACCCTCAGGTTTAAACTTGATGTGGTTGACGATCGCCTTGCCGTGCACATTCAGCGAACCGATAGCACTGGAGATTGTGGATGGGACGGGCAGCTACCTAGGCACTCAGCTGTTCACGGGCTTTATGTATATCGCGGGAGCTTTGTGCTTGGTCTTCCTGCGAGGCTGGAAGATCGGAGAGCTGGAGGAACTGGCAAAGATGAAGGAGGAAGATCCAGAAGAACTGGACGCCGTTGAGGCTGAGAGTCCGGAGCGAGCGCTGAAGGCTGGTCGAGTGACCATGTACAAGCATATATGGAAGTGGCGGAAAGTATAGCATGCTCTACCATACATCAAGCCGCTGGCGACCATGCTCCTCATCCCTTCCTTGTCGTCCTCCCTCACGTTCGAAAAGTGCCAAGCTCATTTTCACGCTAGTGCTGCGCTCGGACCCCCGAAATTTTGCTACTTCTCGCTTTCGAGATCTCAGCAACTCTTCTCTTTCTTCCCCCATCAGTAGGTGACTACAAGTCACATCGCGGCTTCGCTACATGCGACTTGCTGAGGGTCATACTTTCTCATATGCCATGAGTGATCCTCCGTTCCCGGCCTCGTAGAACAAGCTGGCGTTTTCACCTCAAGATATCAACTGCGCGTCGAGTTTGACCGGCGGAGTTGTGAGGTGGACGCTACAGACTTTTCGCAGGATCAAGAGCCCTTTTGAGATTGGGCGAAGATGGCGATGAAGGGTTAGCATGAGGATCAGGAGAGGGTGATGGTCATACTGGACTGTGGGCGAAAGAGTGGTACCGGCTCCAGCGAGATATGGCTGCGACCACTGTCGCCGAACGATACCTATTTCAAGCTGCAATTCCATCTGCAAACGAATGGAGAGAGGATTCGCTAGTTGTACACTGGTATAGGGTCTATGTATCACGTCCATCTCGCCTGTCATCGCGCTTCATCATTGCTCTGCCTCTTCCGCCAGTCATTCAGCGCCTGGTCGGCGTCCACACCTTCATTATCACACCGCTCGCCCACTAATCCCCATGTCCTCGAACGTATAATATTCTCCACCATCCGCTCGTTCCGTACGAGCCTAGCGAGTGCCTCTGTCCGCAGGTCTCTTGGGAAGTACCTCCCCGAATACGGATCGAGCCTCTCATCCACTATGCGCTCCCTTGCCCTTGCGTCTTCTGTGTCTCGCAACACATGCTGCGGGTCATCCGAATCTGGTGAGGTCGCTACTCCGGCGCAGTAGTTCAGGACATCTGATCTCATCTGCCAGTTCGGGTACAACACCTTCTCTTTGAACTGATCACATGCTGCTGGATCTATAGCTCTTCGCCCAATGGGCCGCGGCTGGCGTGTGATAGTGATCGAGGGATCGAAGGGTTGTGCGCCTGGCGTCACCAAAGCATTCAGGTTTTGTGAGATGGTGTCGTCCACTGCACCTCTCGATACCCGGAGGAAGTCTGGTGGGCTTTGGTATGAGCGTGAGCTTGGAGCTGTACTATTTCCCATGCGCTGACTTACCTCGGAGGGCGGTCTGGTTGAAGCAGAACTGTGGTGTCAATCTAGGAGCATCGGGCGTTCGCGACATGATCGCGCCTGGTGGTGGACTGGATTGCCCAGTTGGAGCTTCTTCGGCCGACGGTGGTGGAAGAGATGGCGCTGCCTTCCAAAATGTGCCTGCCAGCTTGTCGGTGGGCTCTAGAGCATGACTATGGGCTCTTGTATAGGATATACCGAAGGCTATTGTGGAAGTGATGACGAGCTTGAGTTGTGAAAGATACATGTGGCAATCGCCTGCAGGCGTCTAGACTTACCTAAGCAATTCTCGTAGCCAGGAGCTCGCGCGTTTTCCTATGTTACATTACACTGCTCTACGCATCTTGAACTTGTCGTAGAGATGCCCAAGTATCTTATGAAACATCGCATAGCTCGTGCCGATACCATCCGCATCAATGAACGGTAGTAAAGAGCTCGTGCGATCTGGACGAGTCCTCAAAGCTAGTTGGAACAATCCTCACCAATTGAGCTGAGTAAACAACGCAACCGATGACTGACGCGTTCCTAGCCACACTAAAGGACTACAGTTCCGGGATTGAGAAAGGCCCAATCTCAACACTTCCTTCATTAATAGGGCGAGGCCGAGGCACCGAGATTTGTTAAGTCCACCGCGAGGATACCTTACCGTCGCCTTCCAGGGGCTGAGATCGGAGCCGAACGACGACCGGTCCGACCTTCACGATACTTTACGTGCGTTTGCGAAACCGACTTGTTAATCTGGTGGATCCTTCAAGTGATTTCTTTGCCACACAAGAAAGTTGGACTTCGATTGTAACATTACCTCCGTACTGCATAGGACTCGGACTGCCTCTTCAAGGTCATCATATTGAGCGAACGATTACTTTGCACCCCGGAGTCCAGCATTTGCAGCACACCCGACACACCAATTGTTCCAAGACCTTACAGCAGCAGATCTGAGCGAAGATGAACGAAGAAGACCGCCGGATGGAGGCGGAAGAACGAGATGCGAGTCCAACACGCTTCTCATCACAAGCAACCAGAACGGAACCAGTCGAAGAAGTCGAGCCATCACCAGTCAACGGAAAGGAGAAGAGAGAGCGGCTGTCTCGTCAAGTCACGGCCAGCTCTACGTCCCATTCTTCAACCGGATCGATACGACGACCCAGCAATGCCGTCTCGCGCATGACTACGCAGCATGAATTTGGTGACCTTGAAAGACATCCAACTGCGCTTTCACGGATACAGACCGGTCGGAGCCAGCACAGCCATACCATCGGGACAGGCATTAGAAGTCGGACTTCGACCAGGCAGAGTAAGAAGCCTATGCCAAATTTTGGTGCGGGGAAGCCTTTTCCGCCACCATTGCCGGAGCGTGAGGAATATGTGGTGGAATTTGATGGCCCTGATGGTACGTTGCGACCACGGGTCGAAGAATTGTTCTAAAACATACTGACTCAATGGCAGACCCGATGCACGCACAGAACTGGCCCCTGAAGAAGAAGCTCGTAGTAGCGATCGTCTTGGGCTATGTCACTCTCACTGCTGCCTTCGGCTCCAGTATCTTCTCTGCTGCGATCCTGTCGGTAGCTGAGAAGTTCGAAGTTGGGCGTGAAGTGGGAGTCCTTGGTGTCTCTCTGTAAGTTCGCAATTGTTCCATTTTCTCCGAGAGCGACCGTTGACATTGCGTCTTCAGATACGTCCTTGGGTTCGCGACTGGTCCACTCGTCTGGGCACCTGCGTCAGAACTATACGGCCGCAAGTGGCCCATCATCATCTCGTCTTTCGCCTTCAGCATATTCAATCTGGCTGTTGCAGTCGCCAAGGACGTTCAGACAGTCTTCATCTGCCGCTTCTTTGGTGGCTTCGCCGGCGCCTGTCCCCTGACTGTCGTAGGCGCGGTCTTCGCTGACATGTTTAATAATAAGCAACGGTAAGGCCTGCCTCGCTCGTATCGTGTCGACAAGCTGACCCAGAGTAGTGGACTCGCAGTCACCGTGTTTTCCATGGCGGTCTTCGCTGGACCCTTGCTCGCACCATTTATTGGCGGCTTCATCAACATGTCCTATCTCGGATGGCGATGGACAGAGTACATCGCTGCCATTATGGGCTTTTTCGGGCTAGCGCTGGTCCTTCTATTCCTCGAGGAGACGTACCCACCCATCATCCTCGTAGAAAAAGCTGCGGACCTTCGCAGACGGACGAAGAACTGGGGCATCCACGCCAAGCAGGAGGAGATTGAAATCGACTTCCGTGAACTCGTTGAGAAGAACCTGAGCCGGCCGATGAGGATGCTGATATCAGAGCCCATTGTTCTCGCGCTTTCCATCTACATGGCCTTCGTGTATGGCTTGCTGTACTTGTTCCTCTCGTTCTACCCCATCGTCTTCCAAGGCATCCATGGCTTCAACCAGGGCGTCGGAGGGCTTCCATTCTTCGGCATGATCTGTGGAGAGTTCCTTAGCGGGGTCTACATCGTTATCCTCCAGCCCTCATACAACCGCAAGCTAGCGGCCAACAACAACATCCCAATCCCCGAGTGGCGTCTTCCTCCGGCCATCGTTGGCGGCGTGTCCTTTGCGATTGGTCTTTTCTGGTTTGGCTGGACGGGCTACAGGCAGGACATCCATTGGATCGCTCCTACTCTGTCAGGGCTCTGCACTGGCTTCGGCATCATGAGCATATTCCTGCAATGCCTGAACTACCTGATTGATGCGTATCTGATGTAAGTACATCTCCGAGCGCCATAGCGAAGTATGCTGACAACACCCTCCTTCAGGTTTGCCGCCTCCGCTATCGCAGCCAACACCTTCCTGAGATCGCTCGCCGGAGCCGGGTTCCCGTTATTTGCCACGCAAATGATTGAAGGCATGGGTGTCCAATGGGCAGGGACTCTGTTGGGGTGCGTGGGCATATGCCTGGTTCCGTTGCCCATCATTTTCTACCTCAAAGGCGCAAAGATCAGAGAGCGCAGTAGTTTTGCTCCAACGTTCAGCACAGCGAACGAAGCGCATGCGCCTGTGGGGTCGGAAGTGGATGAGGAGAAGGATCTCTGAGCCCTCGTAACTGATGTCCGGCGCGAGGATTACTTTCTCTAAGATAGATCTTTAATTGAGAAGTCAGAAATGCCTTATTTTCAAGACATCGTAGGCCCTCACAGGCCGTGACTTTGGTGTACAGTGCGACTTCGGCCATGTCGACTTCCTTTCACAAATTGCGCACATGTGCACAGGTGGTGGGACGGTCACCGCTTCGATCGATCATCGATGCCACATGGTTGGTAATGCAAGGTCCACCACGGTTCCCCATCCCGAGTCCTGCATTGCCGTGCCTCCGATGCTATGTCGACAGTGTTCTACGCAGCGGATGCAGCTTGACTTGTTCTCCGGAAGGCCAGAGAAGTCAAGGACGGGCCTTGCGGATCGGAGCCACAGTATAGACGTAAGGAAGACTAGGCTAGCAAGATCGAGTCGTGCGGGAGGATCCAGATTCCGAGATGAAAGCTCACTTTGCGGTCTTCAAAGCACCATCCATAGCCGACTCGACTTCCTCTTCCGTGATCCTGTGCTTGAGCTTACGCGCAGCCGTGGTCGTCTCGAAGCTGTAGTTGTTCTCTTCGGTAGCATCGAAATGAATCTGGCGAAAGTCAGTTTTATCAAAAGATCCAGTGAAGGCCACCACAAACCACAGGAGTGTCCAACGCATAAAGGCCCCTCCATTTCTTGTACTGTTTTTCCATCACGTTGATCTCGTCGTACTCGAACGGCCTTCGATCCCACACCTTGGACAGTACCTCCTTTGCATCGTCACATAGCCCGCATTGGGGTCGCGTGAAGAACGTCAGTCGCACGCACTGGCGGTAGAGGATAGATGTCGCTCTCATCTTGTGAAAAGCTCTTGATATTGATCGTTGATGGAAGAGGGAGGAAGCATTTCTGGCCGCTTTCGGTCGGCACGTGCACGCTGTCATTCTTAGTCAGCTTCGCATCACATGTCAAACACTTTTTTGACCTCAGACAACCCAGACTACAACCCCAAATACCTCAGCATGTTTTCAGCAAAGTGCGTGCACAAAGGCTGCGGCAAGGTCTTTACTGATCCCGAGGAGCCGTGTCAATATCACCCTGGTAGGTGTTCTGTGCAATGCTCTCAGGTAGCACCAACCGCTAACAAGCACATTAGGACCGCCTGAGTTTCACGAAGGACAGAAGGGTAGGTCTGCCTCGCCGAATGCTCTTGATAAAGATACGTTTACTGACGATGTCTAGGCTGGAAATGCTGCAAGCCACGAGTCCTCACATTCGACGAGTTCATGGCCATTCCCCCGTGTACGACTGGAAAGCACAGTACGGTTGACGACACGCCTGCACCCGAGCCAAAGCCAAACGATGAGGAGGTAGAAGCGAAGATCAGGGAGCAAAAGGAGAAAGCGGAGAATGTTCAGCCCGCAGTAGCGCGAGTAGCCGTGTCTGCGCAACCACCGAGAGCCACACCCAGTCCGGCGCCGCCTGAAGACGAAGACGATGATCCAAATATTCCTGTGCCGGATGGTGCTAGCTGCAAACGGCGAGGATGTGACGCAGTCTACAAAGCGGGGCAGAGCAGAGAAGGGGAGGAGTGCGTTCATCATCCAGGTCAAGCGCTCTTCCATGAGGGCAGCAAAGGGTGGACATGCTGCAAGAAGCGGGTGCTTGAGTTCGACGAGTTCATGAAGATCGCGGGCTGCAGTACGAAGGATCGCCATCTTTTCGTCGGCAAGAAGAAGGATCCGGCAGCGGAGGAGAAGTTGACCGAAGTGCGCAACGACTTTTACCAGACTGCAACGACTGTCATCGCTTCGCTCTACCTGAAAAAGATCGACAAGGAGCGGTCCACGGTCAATTTCGCCGACGCAAACACCGCCGATCTGGATTTGCACACGACCGACGGCAAGCACTACCAGACGCAAATGACGCTGTTTGGCCCGATCAAGCCAGCAGACAGCGCATTCAAGATCATGGGCACCAAGCTGGAGCTAACTTTGGCGAAGGCGGACGGTTCGGGCTGGCCTGTGCTACGAGCTGACGACCCTCATACCGGCGAGATTATCCAAGCAGGCAGAGCTGGACGTGTGTAAAGGCGACGCGGATCGTTGAATGAGAGAGCTTGCGGTTGAGTTGAATCTGTGGGTAAGCGAAGGTGTTCAGGTGGCCATGAGATCTATGATCGCCGTAACACGAGGGATGGACCCGGCAAACATAGCGTACGTTGCCAGCAATGACTGCGGTTCAAAATACATGATTAGATGACTTACACATACCTTACTCTGACCTCATTGTATACGATATTTGAGGCTCAGCCAGCGAGCCAGCCTACTACGAGAGCTCTACACTGCATGTTCCACGACCTACAACCCCTCTTGAATCAGGACTCAGTACTACAATGTGCATCTACGACCTCACACACTTTGCCTGTAGCGCAGAAGCATACCACCTCTATTGGCGATGCCATAGGGACTCCCTCTGCCTACCGCATGTACGCTGGATACGCACTACAACATCATTCTGCCGACTTTGCACCTGGGACGTGCTGGAAGGCAATATATATCTTCCAGGATTCGGCCCTCCACCTGGTCCACCTACATACTACTACTTCAACGGATATTGTTGGGGCACCGAGTACGGCTATCACTTGATGTATCCGTATCAGAACACCTACCTGAGCTACGGCTACGAGCAGCAATGGTACCCTAACTCGCAGGGAAGATGGGCAGCAGACCAACACCAAGCTCCTATGGCGACAAAGTATCCGACCACTTGCACTGACACTGACGCTCCAGGTGGCCACAGTGACCACCGCAGCCATGCTGATGAAGACGACAGTCCGCCTCGGTCGTTGTACTTCACCACAGAACTCGAGACAGATCAAGAACCGGTGGCCGTAGAGCAGGCTGACAGTCACGACTGCTCAGACGACGGGGACGAGCAGCAGGGCCCTCAATTCACCTACTACGATCCTCTCCTTGCCCGCATCCCGGCGGGAGTGAAAGCTTCACCTCGTCACCATACGTACAGAAGCTTCTCACCGCCGCTGGACGCTGTCTCCCCTACTGACGGCCCCGACGAGCAGCCACGACCTCGATTCATCTACGACTCCCGTTCTGCTGCTGGCACAAGGTTCCAGGAGAATGACTCTCCAAGGTACCTTCGGGAGGAGAGCGCTATACCACAGGACAATCCGTATTTCGGTGACGGCCTTGACGAACAGTCGAGCCCCAAATTCCTCTACAACTCTCCCTTTGCTGCCGATGCCGAAGCGGTAGAGCGTAAGTCGCCACATTATCATCTGTACGAACGCTACTCGCAACAGCGAGACGCCGAGTCTCTCCACATCCATCGCGACAACCGATATCGCCGCCGCTATATCGACAACTATGCTGCTGCTCCGGGGACACCGGTACGCCGTGGCAAGGAAAGAGAACAGTCCTCAAGCGAAGACTCCTTGGGGCCCATCACAGCATCATCGGTCCACTCTCGACAGAGCAACGACGACCCATTCGTCAGTGAGCCATCGACTGCTCCCGAACGTCAGCCGATTAAGCCAACGCGGCGCCCCAAGAGATTCCAGGGCACAAGTCCTCCATCCTGGGGCAGGCGGGCAGACACGGACCGCTTGCACAAGGTGGCGGATAAGCTCCAAGGTGTCGTGGACGAACTACGTTGCTTTGCGAATGGCGAACCTGCTGAGGGCTACTCACCATCGGCGATCAACCGATCGTATGGAAGTCCGTCACCTCGGCCGAGAGCGTCAAAGCGAGGGCACATGAGGTCTCGTTCACCGAGTCGTTCTGGAAAGCATCATTCCAGAGACTATCACTCTTACCATGACCGTGACACTGGCAGGCGAAGGCCGGAGCGAAGATTGGGCAAATACCTCTCCAATTTCACAGTCTGTTTGGGAGGCGACACGATCCGCTTGGGCGGCGACACGATCCGCTTGGGCGCCAGCAACTCGCCACAATGCAAACTTGTACAAGAGGAGAGCGCGCTTACAAAGCTACGATGACTGGGCAGGCAAGCGAATCAGGGCTTACGAGGGGACCTAAGCTGGGGGAGGTCTGCAGTTTGAAGGTCTTGCATAATCTTGATTTGTATCTAGCGAAGCGTCTGCGAGCGAGTCTGATGGGTGGGCAATGGGGTTCTGCTGGTTTGTGTCCACAGTGGGTTCCGTAAGTGGAAATCCGGACCATTACTCGTGGCCAGGTCAGGCCCGGAGACTGGGTGCTTCTTCTTGACAGGAAGGCGACTAGCGTTAGATGGTATGCAGTGTCGTATGCTTCTGCTGTCATTGCACGAGAAGTTTTCCTCAAGAGAATGCAGTCATGATGCATTGATGGCGCCAACAATGCCAGCAACCTCAGCAGGGCTTGGAATGACGTCGAAGCCTGAGTATTGGACTTCAAGTCTCAACCCCAGCAAGACCCTCAAGCACCTCCTGCCCAACCCCACCCTTCTCCGTGACCATCTTGATCATCTTCGCGATCATAGCCCTCTTCACCCCTCCTCGCGGCGGCCGCCACACAGTCTGGCCCTGATCCTTCTCGCGTAGAGCAAGCGCCTCAGCAGCTGAAAGCGACGTCCCACCAGCCGTAGTGTTGAGAGCAGTAGGTACGCCGGCGCCGGTAAGTCGTGAGGGCGGATCGACGGTTCGAAGTGCCACAGTCTTGTACGCGGATTCGGCATTCAATCCAGTGGTCGGCGCGACACTGATCGCCACGACAGCATCAGCAACAGCAAGCTCCTCTCTGCTTGGGTCTGCAATGACGTTCTCGCTTACACTCAACATGAGCAGCGTGACCGGTGGTTTTCGGTGTCCTCCCGAGGCCGTCTTCGACTGCGGGTACAAAAACCGCGAAGCCTCCCAGTCGTCATTGAACAGCGGATCCTCATCCTTCTCCGAGATCAAAGCCGGTATCCTTGTCGAAAGCAGCGCGAGATGCGTAGTCAAAGACAGAAGCGGAAGCGGATACGACAGTGGTTGAGAGAGCAACAGAATCTAGACATGGACTTACCGTCAGCATTGGCAAAACTTACTGCATTCGTGTCCACACATACGTCAATATACAACCTCCAGTGAAACCTCCTATTAATCCACAACCGATCTTTCAGCTCACCGTCCGCTAGCAGCGCTTCCGTAAGCATAGCAGACAAGAACACTGGCAGCGCATCATCATCCCGCATCCCAGGTATCTCGATCGCAACCTCCACCCACCCCTCCTCGCCCTTCCCAGCCCTCGTAGCCTCCTCATCTCCATCCTCCTCATCCATATCCACATCTCCAACCCCACCAGTACCTAACCCAAGCACGCCCTCACTCTCCACCTGCCCCGTCGCAGCGCCGGAAACCCTGCTCTGCTCGACTTCAGCTTTCACGCCAACGATCGCTTCCGTGCCATCGGCGAAGCAGATGCGCGCGCTGCCGTTGGCGGAGGGGAGGATGTCGGTCTCGGCTACGAGAGGGCGGAATTGGGTGGGTGCGCGGCCATCGGGGCGGATGGGTGGGGTTTGGGAGAGGGAGGTGTAGAGGTAGGAGAGTTCGGCAGGGGAGAGCGGGATGTTGGTGTAGGGTGCCATGGTCGCTGTTATTGCGATGGTGTGGTCATCTGGACATGCCGGGTGGTCCGTTGGTGTGGAACGGTGGTGAATTGAGTTTTCTTAAAGAGGTGAGGTCAAAGGTCGAAAGATTGGCCGAGCTTCAGCGCAAGGCGAACGACGTTCACATGTATCTGCTCCAAACACCACATATTCGTGGCAGCAGCTATTGCAACACTGATCGGCAACATCGTCTCGAATTACTACTCAAAACCAACGTTGGAAACGGAGACCTGAAGATTAGGTAGAGGTCGAGCCAGCGATAGATAGATGAATAGACGGGCACCTATATACATAGCCCATCCATTCCCTCCCCTCCAACCTATCCTACCGCCTCCTCCAGCCCTTCCCATCTTCGCCAGTAGAAAGCCAAACGAAAAAACAACAGCGCCCCATGATTCCCGGGTCACGCTCTGGGTATCCGACAGCAACAGTGCTGGCCAAACAAGCCCCTCTCAAAAACCGCCAATAATTTTTTGTACATGTTGAGACGCGCCGTTTGCGCCTCTTCCTGTTCCTTCTATGCACAGATATGTCGATGTTGTAGATGCTGCAAAGGAAATGCTGAGTTGCTCGTGGAGAGCGATGGTGTAAAAATGTCCGGAAAGATGGGAGCCAGTGACTGTACACACATGTACAAGGTAGGTCGCTCGTAAGAAGCTGGGTTGAGCGAGTGTGCCGTATCGCGCCGTAATTAGAGATGCCGTCCAGTGAAACTTTTTGGGCGGTCGAGAGTAACGAGAGATGGGTGGTCAACGGACCATGGGCGTGTGCCGCATACCAGATTCTGGCAACGCCGTCCGTATGCAATAGTCGACAAAAGAAAAAGCGGGCCCGAAGTAAGGTCCCGACTAGGAAAACACCAGCGCCATGCAAGAATAAAAACACAATGATAGTTCGGTGAGTGACTACCGGTAGGCCGCCTGCGTTGCGAAGATACTGGCGGCTGCCATGGAAGCCCAGTCGTTATCATCGTAGGGCGGTGTCGGCCACTGCGAATTGTGTTGCTCCTTCGGAGGCGGCCTGGGTGGGATGTTCATGGGCTTGGTCGGAGTGTAGTCGTGCGCACCGAAGCTAACGCCATTCGCGTCTTTCGATGGCGATGGCGTCAAGTACGGCGCTGGGTAGACTGGGTCGGAAGTGACCTGATGGATCTGTGGCCGGTTGTGCTGGTAAGCCGCAGCGCTATGCGACTGATGGTCCAGCCGTCTCGCAGCTGTGTGCGCAGAGGTCAGGGCTTCATCCAGCAGCTCGTCTTCCTCGTCTGGCGTCTCGTAGTGGTTCGTGTTCGTGTTAGGATACCGAAGCGATCGACGAGTCCTGCCGCCAGTCGGTCCGGGCGATGATCTTCCCTCGGTGCCCGGTAACGAATGGTGTCGCTTGAGGCTAGGGTTGCTGTGCATCTTCGTCGGCTGCTTAGGCGCTTGCTGCATCACCTGTTGATTCATTGACGATTGAGCCGCAGCGTCAATGCTGTACCGCACGTTTTGCAACGCGCGGTCAAGGTCCGCGAAGTTCGGGTCGGCAGAAGGATCGGCCGCTGAAGGCGCAATACTCTGGGTGCCGGGTACTGATTGACGGTTCGAAGTCCATGGCGTGCAGCCCACATTGGCCTCAAGATCGTCTGGGTTTGGTGAGATGGGTCCTTGTTGTCGGCCAGACAGCCGCCTAGCACGTTTGCGAAGGTGCGAGAAGAAGCTTTCCTTCTGGCTGCCGGTAGGTGACTTCAAGCCATTGCCGTTAAGCATACGCTCAGCTTCTTGCCGGTGTATATCAGCATAGTGGTTGCCTTGCGAGTTGACCGACAACTGGCGACCGATTTTCTTGTGGTTCTCATCGGGCTGGTCCATGTATCGCGTGTTCGCCTGCGCTGTGACTTCATTGGGCAGAGGCGATACTGGTCGTATTGACGGGAGTATGGGTATAGGCGCAGCATTGTTCGACGCGCCATTTGTCCATGTGGCGCGCTTGGTGTTTGTAGGCCTGCCCTTGTGAGCGGGGGGTGGCGCTTCTGTTGTGTTCGCATGAACAGGCTGAGGCCTGGCGGAGTGCGTTGAGTGCGTGTGCTCTGGTACGGTGGGTGCCGACGCCTCGCGAGCTGGCAGCGATCGTCTGAACCATGACGAAGTCTTTGTTGACAGGACGTGCCCCGGCTCACCCGACTCACTCAACCCAGCCTGACTCGAGCCTTTCCGCGAGAGGACACGCGTAGTAGCACTGCTCTTCGGTCGAAGCGGATCTACCGCATCTGTGAAGAACTCGTGTTCGAGCGCCTGGCGGGAGGTAGGCCGGGCCTTCGGGTCCCACATCAGACACCACGTCACGAATTGTGCTAGGCTCGCCGGCCATTGCGGTGCAGGAAGTATCGAGTCCAAAGAGTGAGGTGCCATCTTCGGGAAGGAGAACCCGAGCTTCTGTGCAAGTTTCGTGCCCTCCCTCCACTCGCCTCCTCCAACGCGCTGACCATGCTTGTTCACCCAAGCTCCAGGACTTCCCATGATCTCGCACACTCTCCACACCTGGTCCACTTCATTCCCTCCCGGAAACAACGGCTTCAGAGTCGCGATCTCCACTGCCATTGCACCAATAGCCCAAATGTCTACTGGAGCCGAGTATTCGCCCGCTCTCAGCAGAACCTCTGGCGCGCGGTACCATCGCGTTGACACGTATGTCGTGTACGGTACGCGCGATTGTGTCTCTCTTGCCAGTCCGAAATCTGCGATCTTAATCGTGTAGGTGGGTGGTGTAGAGGGAGGGGTGACGAGGGCGGAGTATCGCTTGAAGCTGTGTCCATTGTCTGAAGCAGAGCTAGAGACGAGGATGTTCTCCGGCTTGATATCTCGGTGGAAGAAGTTGAAGTCGTGCACATGCTCCAGTCCAGACAGTATCTGGAAGAGTATGCTCTTCACACTGCCGCTGTCAAGGGGCCTATGATCTCGAGACTTCATCAGCTGGTACAGGTTTCCCTCCATGTACTCCATCGCGATGTGGAGTTTCCGACTGAGCGGGTCCAAGAATATGTCGTAAGCTGGCACCAGGTGAGGGTGATTGGGCAGGGTCTTCAGGAAGACCACTTCTCGAAGCTCCATGCACTGCGAGAAGTTGTCGAAAGTCTTCTTCATCGTCTTGATGGCGACCTGGAAACACATTAGAAGCGCCCAGTGGCTGGAGTGATGCTGCTCACCATCGTCCCTCTCCGCACAACATGAGCGCCAGCGCTCCGTGTCCTGCCGAGAGCGACACTGCCGAAACTTCCATCACCTATGTCCTTGAGGATTTCAAACTTATCCTCAAGGCATAAGGGTGGCTGTTGTGAGGCCGAGGAGTACCCACGGTGCGATTCATATGCTACCGTCATTGTGCTTTCGGCTGCTCAAGGAATGAGCACGATTAGTTGATATTGTAGAGCGCTACCTCGACATGAATGAGGGCAGAACGCAGGGTGTCTGGATCTTGGGTTAGCGATGCTTACACTCGGGACGACACGGGATGAGAACATACCTTGTATGATGACTTGGTGCAAAGATGGAGTGAGGTGCTCTTCCAGGTGAGATGATCGGAATTACTATTAGCCTTCGTGGTAGCTGCTCGGTCTGTGGTCACACAGTAATGATAGTGATGCTTGATGGCTGAGTCGCGTCAGGGTCCTGCACAGGCGTCGAGTTGGATGTTAAAGAAAGTGAACGGATGATGGAAAGGGTCGACGATGAGGTGTGGTCTTGCGAGCTTGGATGTTGGAGGTCCAGGACTACGGCATGCGGGAGGGCTGCCGAACGGTCGGTGTGCTTCTAGCACTTGATCAACAGGAACAGTGCCGAAGTAGCGCGGAGGCAAGTGGCCTGACTCGAAAGCCTGTGGGTCTCTCGAGAAGGTGATGAGACAAGCGACGCGGTGTGTCCCTCTGCGAAAAGGAGGCGAGGGAGGTCAGCGGGAAGTGCCTTTCCACGTAGAAATCCCGGTCCGGAGCGACGCGATCGTGTTCGAATCAAGGTTACGGCTGCGGGAGCAGTCTATCTCGAACCCAAAAACTTGCTGTGTCCTTTTCGATGCTGTCGACAAGCAGGAACCCGTCTGTTAAATGGATTGCTGGGACGCGCTGCGGTTTTGCGCGCAGATCAGGTCCTCTCGACTGAGACACAGTCTCCAGGATGGGAAATCACGGTAAGAATAGGGAGCTGGGGACAGGCTCTAGTCGAGATTCCAGAAAGACACTCGGACGGCAAATCCCAGCGTACGGCCTGGCGGCGGGCGAGGGGTTGGTTCTGATTAAGGTGATCAAGGGACGGAGCGCTGTTGGTGCGGCGGAGGAGGGCCCCCTTTGGAGTGACACGTCCTGACAGCGCTAGTCCACGCCGCTCGCACGGTGATGATGATGTTGTCGCAAGCGAGTGGTCGAAGTTGGGTGTCACTCGCGCATGGTGAGGTGCTTGTGTTTATCCATTGGCGAGTGCATGGCAGACAAATGGAGGGTGTGATACGGAGGCACGGACGATGGATGAGATGAAAGTGAGCGGTGATAGCGGCGTGTGGTGAGAGATGACGGCACAATCCCGTCGCGAGAGGTTGGCGTTGGAAGGCGCGGTTTTCCCGCCCCTGCCTTCCGTGTTCCTGGCTCTTGCTCGGCTGCTGCCACGCTTTCGAGGCTTTCTCTATTTTTGCACCTCCGCTTCATCAGCCTACGTCTTTGATATTCTCCGCCGTGCTTACGACCGCACGCGACCAATGCCAGCGCATCGTGCACTTCACGCGACTCGCACAGCAACGCGAGGTCGACTTCGCGACAGTACCGCGATCCCGGGCGCAAATGCGGTCGCAACCGAATCGAAGGTCGGGCATCCAAGCAGGTTTTGCCTTTGCAACGGCGCATTTCGGCTGTGAGATCCCCGTTGCAGTAGCGTGCGCTGAAACTAGGCTCGCCCCTGATGTGACTGCAGCCCTATTGGTTGTGAATATGTCCATGACAGCCCAATGATCAAAGCCGATATTTGGAAAACTGCCGGCACGCACGACGCCGGAAGTAGACGAGCTGGTGCTGCTGCATCCTTCGGCTGAGAAGGACAGTCGAAAGGCCGAGCGGTGATATGGAGTCACGGCTGAGCATGACGGTGGACTTCATCTGCAGAACAGACGAACAGACTGGATGTCATCGCAACGAACCGTGCTTCGGGGCCCGACAACAGCACCTCGAGAATGGTGACTTCATCCAATGCCGCTCTCGCGCGCGATACACAGCACACAAAGTCTTGGAAGTCTGATGAACCTCTTGATCGAATTGCTGCAGTTGATCCCTCCAGCGATCCTGCTTCCGTATCCAAAGAACGGGTACTGGATCGTTGCACCACGTGCGTGGGATCACTACAATTCAAGCCACCAGCGACGAGAGACAGCAGCGCCAGAGGCTCGCGCAGCCTACACTTCACCACCGCGGAGCTGACTGCAGTATGTGGTTTTCAGTGACGCCGGAAAGACGGCCCAAGCTCGACCAGCCAGCAAATGACTTGATTTAAGTACAGCCAATACTGTAGAGCCCGAGCGACTTACCACAGATCTCAGGACCCATGTGGGATCGTGCTGGCCGTCGTGCAACATGTCGTGCATCTAGCGATCTTGGATCCCGAAGATCATATGGGGCCTTGGGCAGCCACATGCTGTATGCTGTACTACGACAACCATGTGCGCACTCGGAGCATGATCCCTGTGGAGCACGAGCGTGTGACGACAGCAGCTTCTCTAGAAGACTTATACCTCCGCTCTATATCACTGTCGCTGCTCGATGCGAAATCGTATCAACGTTGGAGAATATCCTGTTCTCAACTTAGCCAACGCCTCCAAGTCCTCTGCAAGTCCTGTCTTTTCTAAGTCATCATGCCTTCTCCATACCGAATCTCAGCAAATCCGATGCTCAGGCGGCCTCCACGGCACCCCAAGCACCTCAAAAATCCTCCTCTCATCCTTCCCCTCCACCAAGGTCCCCTCGCTCAGCTTCTCCCGGCCCTTGCCTCTTATGACGTCCTTGTAGAGCCCTCGCTGGTTGAGTCGCATACCCTTCGTTCCGGCTAGCAGTCTCATGCTTCGATTGAAGATGTCGTTCCCGGTGAAGTAGATGAGAGCTGCTCCGAGCTCATCAGAAGGCACGAGCAGGAAGTCTATGCGACGCCAGGGAAGCGGTGTGGCATCTGGGGTTGAGGGAGGGAGTTGCGAGGCACCGTGCCATTTGCTCCCGTCGTCTCTGGATGTGATTGCCAACTCTGCCACGAGGAAATTCTGTGCGAGAAGCTTCGGGATTAGTTGACCTAGGATGACTTCGCGGATGCGGCCAGCTCCTGTGTTGGGCCGGGTGATGATGCAGTCGATGTCTCCGGAAGTAGCTGATCCACGCCGGTATGAGCCGCCGACAATGACCTCGAACGCTGGATCAATCTTGTGGAGAGTCTTCTTCACCACGGCACCATGACGCTCGACTTCTGCCCTTGGTATGCGCGTGTTAAAGTCCTCATAGTGCTCGATGCCAATCCATTGGTTAGTCGTCAACTCAGCCTTAGCAAGCACTTCGTCGACGGTCTTGTATCCTGCATCCACCCACTTGCTTGCCTGAGCATACCCTACGCCGTAGATCTGCGTGAACGCCTGCAGTGTCTGATCGCTTGGCTCGGCTTTGGCATTCTCCAGGCGCCGGAGACGGTTGGTGTATGCAATCTCCTCAATCTTGGTCGCAAGTCGCTCACCGATCTGTGGGAGGGCCAACGCCTCTGCTCGTGTCCACACTTTGGCTGGATGGTTCCGCAACGTCCCCATTGCTTTGCGGTAAGCTCTTGTCCGCCACTCGTCACCAATTTTTCCATAGTAGTCTGCCATTTGTTGTAGGATTGCTATCGTGGTGGCGTTGGGATTTTCGGCCTTCCCACTAGTGTGCTTCTGCATGCATTGGAACTTGTCTTGTATGCCGCGATATTTGCTCTTCGGTTTTGTCGGGGTCACAGCGTCCTCATCGTCGGTGTCCGGACCTCCAGAGCTTGCAGGTCGGCTGGAGGCTTCTTCATCCTGGTCGAGTGGGACATGTTGTAACTCTCGGGCTTGCGAAATGGCTGCATCGAGCTCGTCTGTGCTGACGATGTTGCTGGTGGTGGGTTTACTCGTCTGAGCCGCGACAGCTGGAGGTTCTGCTTGGAGGTCACCTCGTGTGCCTTGCTCGTTGGCCGAAGGGGATACTGGAACTGCGTCCGAATGGCCAGAGGCAGATGGCGTCTCTGGTTCACGAGCCGTAACAGACTTCCCAGCACTCTTCAGCTCCAAGGACTTCTCTGAGCTTGCCGATACTGGCCGGGCTTCTACTGCCGTGGGATGTCCTTTGATCCTGAAGCGAGGCTGCTGTGGATCCAGCAATATCTTGTAAGCTATGCACTCTGCAGTATAGTCCTCCGATACCACGGCAATGTGTGAAGGAATGGTTTCGCGCTTCAAGAACTTTAAAAGGAATTTGTACTCCATGCCTTTGTCGACAATGATGCGAGAGACACTCTCATCAAAATCCTTCGCCCAAACTGCGCCAAACTCGGCAGCTTTCGCTATACGGATCTTGCGAGCAGGGTGTTTGTCATTGTTGGGAAAGAAGAAGAAACTCAATCCTTTGAAGATCTGCTGATTCTCTGGGACTTTAGAAGCGTCTTCCTTCCTCTTCCGCTTCGTGCCAGCCATCGACGGAACTGCAGCTTTGGAGGCATTGACAGCCGGTGCATCACCAGAAACACCGGAGAAGGTATGGCGACTAGTCAGCTTCGCATGCGCCTGGGATGCAGTTGGTGGTATGCCGGACAGGCTTCGCTCTCCTGGCCTGCCAGCAGCGCGGTTGCCGTTCGTGCTGTCCGATGTGGAGCGCTGTAGGCCTTGCGCACTTTTCTGGGTCGTAGGCTTTGGGCGGACGGCCCTTGCCATGGCTTCCATGGAGGACTTGCGGCCAGGATCGGGTTCATCATCGTCGCTGTGGGCGAGCGAGTCCAATGTTCGATAGAGTTCGCGCTTCCGCTGTAATGCTTCGTCGTCTTCTTTTCCCATTGCGCATGTGTTGAAGATTTCTCGAGGATATCCAAATTTCCATTAAGGAGACCAATGTGAAGAGCTAGAATGTCAGTTTGTGCAGGCGGTGGACCTTTGAGCAGCCCACGAACGTATATCCTAGCCTCCAAGGCAGCAACTACGATGCCATCTAATCACACCGGTCAGCGGTGTAGTACTGACTGAAGCTAGGGTTGCTGTGGTGTAGGACCAGTGGTGCAAGAAAGGGCACACGAACACGCCTCTTCCGCGTCGAGCCCCACTAGCCCACTTGCTGTTGACTTCACGTCTTCACATGATCGCGACTTTCAATCAGAAATTGCAAAAATGTACGCAGAACAAGGCAACAAACTGGTCACCGACGCCAAACGCATCTCATCTCTTCAGCATCTCCCGCCATACGCGACATCAACCGTCCGAGCAGTGACAAAGGAAGTCCGGGACCTGGACCGCGAAGTTACCAATCTCCTTGCCCCTTACGGCAGCACACAAGGCAGCGATGGCACACAGATCAAAAGCTCCTTCAACCCGGCGGACGATCCGGCTACCGCATGCGCTCTACTGGTGAATCATCTCAGCATGCGGAGGAACAAGCGCTGCCTGCTCGCCTACCACCGCATGAGGACCGGGAAACTGGAGCAGATGTGCTGGAATGGTGTCGATGTAGCCGACTTACAAAACGCCTCTGTTTCTACGTCTTCTGCTGGAGGATCACGACATTCCACTACCGCCAGCAGTTTGAGCGCTGAAGAGGAGCAATATGCTCATCAATACAGCGACCTTCTGGCGGCGTATAAAGGCCAGTGGACTGACATTGATCTGACTGGAAGTCTGGAGCCGCCGAGAGACATCTTCATCGACGTGCGCGTGCTCAAGGATGCTGGAGAGATACAGACGGAGTACGGGTCGATTACGCTCACGAAGAACAGCCAGTTTTATGTTAGGCAAGGGGATGTGGAGCGGTTGATACAGCAAGGCTACTTACAGAAGCTGAGCTGAACGGAGCGAAATGGCCAACGATATGCCTTCAATCTGCTACCCACCCCGAGGACCTCGCCCCTGACCAGAAGCCAAACGCTTCACTTAAGCGCCAACGCCACGAGCTCGAGAAAAGCAAAAATCATCGACCACCATCTCAACATTCGCGCTGCTGTCCAAATGGCTGCCCTTTTCTGCTAGATGATGTCGAAATGTCATGGCGTTTTACCCAGCTCTGCTCTATCTTCTGAAACCCAAGGAAGTCAGCAGTGCTTCCACAAACTCAGGAACGATTCGGTAACATACCGTTCAGGATCAAGCCTCCGCTGTTACCTCATGGAGCTTCCTTCCCGGCTTCCGACTTGCTTCCGGATCGCTTGGACTTTGTTCCCGGCTCAGCATCCGTCTCTGGCACTCCAAGCAAGGATGTCCGCACTGCTGCTTATGCATGGTGGTGGCTTCGCATCTGCCCTCGTTGAGCTTGCTGGGACAGGCGCAGGCGGTGTGCGATGAGGTGTGCTGGCATGTGAAAGTGCACGTTTCGATGACGCACATGGTTGCGGTTGTGGACTGTAGCTTCGAGAGTGGAAGAGGCTGGAAGGTGGTGGAAGGTGTTGCGCAGTGGTTGTGTTCAGTGGTGAAAGGCGTTGTGTAGAGGTTGTGCTCAGTGGTGGAGATGTTTGAACTCAAACATTATAAAACTACTGCTGCGGTTCTATCACAATGAATTCCAATCTCATTGTAGGTATCTGAAACTTGCATTCACCACACTCACCTCTCGCAAGCAAAACAATTGGGAGCGCCGATTCACGTGCTGATACTGTACAAGTTTTCACTCAACCTCACGTGTCGTCACATGTCCCACCACCCGCAGTGTCGCTCAGCGCCCGTAAATGCTCCAGCGCTATGCGACCTCTATCCAGCCAGAGCCCAATCCCATCGTACATTAGCTCGCCGTTGACGTGTCGCACACAAGCAACATCCCGCTCACTCGTCCTCAGTCTCAGCGACCGCAGAACCGTTCGTATGCTCTCCAGCTCCCTCACGACACACCTTCCACATGCTCTTCTCATCCTCAATCCCCTTCACGACCATCTCACAGTCCTTCGGTATCATCTCATGCTTCAGTTCCCAGCCCGCACGCCTCGCCAGCTCCACCACCACATCATCACAATTCCCCAGCAGCTGAATATCAAAGTTCACATGCGTGACCGGCTCTCGTGAGATGTAAATATGCGGAACTTCCTTCGGGAGGAAGTTCGGCATCTCGCTTACCGGCGACACCTTCAGCGACGTCCCGATCACTAACACCAGGTCGACGTTCTTAGCGTCGCGGTCGGTGAAAGTGTCGAAGAAGTGGTTCGGGAGCTGTTCTCCGAAGAAGGTGATGTCTGGTTTCATGACGCCGGGTTGTGGGATGTCGTCGTCCTCATCGTCGTCGTCGTCTGAAGAATCGTAGCGGCGCGCTGCGGGCTTGCGTTTGTTCTGTTTGGGAGCAGCCTGCTCGTTGGCGATCTCGATCTTGCATCGCACGCAGTAGGAGATTTGCTTCGCGCGGATGTCGTCAAAGATTTCTGTGCCAGCGACTTTGTGGCCGCACTTCCGGCAGGTGGCTGTTGCGAAGCTGCCGTGGCACTGGATGAGACGGCTCTTCTCGACACCAGCCAGCTCTTCGAGGTTGTCGATGTTCTGGGTGTAGTTCGTCTGCAGCTTGCCTTTGTCCTGCAGCAGGCGGATGAAACCATGCGTAGGTGAGTATTGCTTGAAGCCAGGCAAGATGTCTGCAGCGAGGCTGTAGAAGAGGCCTGGGTTTGACTCGAATTCGTGGATGTCGAACACCATTTCCGGATCAGTGTACCCTATGGTAAGCAGCTTGTCGTAGAATCCAGTGTCCTTCGAGCGGAAGTCAGGTATGCCCAGTGAGGTCGAAATGCCAGCGCCCGTGATGACCATGATGTTCTTCCTCTCCCGAAGCAATTTGGCAGCGTCATCGATGGTATTGTACTGCAGCAGCTTCTGACGCTTGTAGCATGCTCTCGCGATCGCCTTCGCCAGCAGTCCGAGGTAGAACTCCTCACCCAAAGCCTCCCATAGATGAGGACCCAAGCCGAATGCAGTCCCCAAGATCGGAGCTGGTATCATGCCCCGAACGAGAAATTCGTTGATGAATGCTTCAGGCCCAGTCCTTCTAAGACGGAGCATCAATTTAGCAACGATCTCTGGGTCAAGGCACTCCTCTGTGCCCACGTCAGCAGGTAGTCTCTCTCAACAAGGTGAATATTCGCGGCCACTTGCCACCTTGATAAGGCTTTGCCTCCGCAACGTCGAGGATACCCTCCACCATTCCCTTTTCAAGACCTACACTATCATCGTCGTCCTCGTCCTCGGAGTCGTCTTCTATTCTACGTCCAGGTTTCGACACGGTCAAGATGTCAGTGTCATCAGACTTCCCCGTGTGCGCTTTGGCATCGCACTTTGGTGGCGCTGATCCCACAATACCACTTCCACCATTAGAACGATTCGCGTCTCTGTCGATAGCTGAATGCCTTCGTTTGCGGTTCTCGAGTGGCGTAAACCCCTTCGGCGACAATGGTGCAGGCAACACCATAGCGACTTCTTCTCGTTTGCTCAATATCGCATATGGTGCAAAGGTTATACACGTGGAAGTGCTCAAGCTGCTAAGAAGTCCACTGATTGTTGATCGGAAAGAAGTGGTAGGAATCGGATCAAATGTTATGAATTTATAAGATTTCGGACCAGGATTGAGTTTGGCGGGGGATCGCAAAGGGCAGGACCCTGCATTCACTCGTTTGAAGACGTCGAGACACCTCAGATTCATGGAACAAGACATAGTCATGGGGCTTTGATTCGATAGCGTGGTAGGTTCATTTTGAAGCATACCAATTTGGCCTGTAAGCTAAGAGCTATAGTTGACTTGTCCATGTGACGACAGCCCCCTCGAAGACATGATATGCTACTGGCTGTTTCAAAGGGTGAGATTCTGTTTCCACCGAAGACGTGCCCTGGAGTTCACTTACAGTGCTGTTCCAGTAGTCGAACTTCCACAACCGGAACGTGCTGTGCTGCCACCTCAATCATTACGGTGGAGCGCACGTCTCGGCCTTGGTGTCGACGGTGCAGCTCTGTGCATCGGATTGGTATCCACAAAGCCTTTCCCAGCATTATTCGGAGACCGCTGCTGCCTCATCCATTCTTCTTCACCTTCTTGTTAGGCAGCGCAGGCACCTTGAACCCTCCAGCGTCAACCTTCCCAGGAGCAGCACCAGCAGGACTTCCACCGCCACCACCACCCACATTCGTGAATGTGCCTTTACTGAACCACCTGTCCTCCTCAGCAGCCCTCTTCCTCCCCATTTCAGCCCTGACCTTCGGATCTACAAGCTCCAGACCCTGCACAGGCGTGAAAGCGATCGTACTCGCGGTGCCACCAGTATTACCCACATTCGTCTTCAAACCTGAACCCACACCGGACGCTCTTAGACCAGCACCCTTCAGCGACGACGAAGTGCCCAAAGCACCACCACCAAACCCTCGCAGAGAGGTAGCAGTGCCGCCAGCAGGCGTCGCGCCACCCCAGCCAGGATTCTTCTTGGAGAGCTTCGCGCGAGTGCGGTTGTCGATTTGTTGCGAGCGGATGCGGCCATCTTCCTTCTGGCCGATCATGCCCATGCCCTTTGTTGAGTCGCCGAAGCCGATTTCTTCCTCTTCCTTGCCGAAAGCCATCCGGTTCTGGGCCTTGCGGAGGTCGGTCATGGCGGTCGCTTCCTTCGCCTTTCGTGCTCGGCGACCACCTCGCTTGCGTGCAGGCTTGTCGTCTGGCGCTGGGAGAGCGCGGACACCTTTGTTAGGCGGTGCTTCAGAGAGCTTGCCGATCCGCTTCTCGACCTGGTCGTAGAAGGCCAGGCCTTGCTCGCCCGCCGGAGCTTCGTGTGCCTGGTCTACTCGTGCGGCGAGGACAATCTTGGCGGACAGGATGCGCATCGCTTGAACCTTGAGATCCTGCGCCACGTCCCGAATGATCTCGTTGTTGAAGAGGAAACCTTGATGACGAATACCAGTGTTTGTCGCAAGACCAACCGTGGCATTGCTCTTCTTGCTTCCTAGCGGTGCGAGGTTGCATGCGGGAGTCTTGGCCAAGCCAGTAATTCCACCAGTATAGTTCAGCAGCTGGGCAGCAGTGAGGGAACCGATGAGGGTTGTGAGGTTAGGAGCGAACATGGACATGCGGGATTGGACATATTCAGTCAGCATGGTCTTCGCGCGATCCAGCTTGACCGTCATTTCACACGCCCGCCTGATGGACGCCAGGTCCTCCTCTGAAAGAGGCTCGCCACTTGTTCGTGTCGCTTCCAGAGTGACGACCATCAACGAAGGGCGATCCAGAATTTGTCTGAGTGACTGCTCAAGAATGTTGTCTTTGCTTTCACTGAGTGCTTCGATCTTCTCCATCGGGCCATTTCCAATGATCGCCACCGTCTTCGCATACTCCAGCGGGTTCTGAATCAGCGTCTCCAGCTCCGGAAATCGCACCGAGTAGTGGTCTCGGATGAACTTGTGGACAAGTATGATCTCGCCATCAATACTGGTAGACAGCGTATTCGACTGCGTCAAAAGCTTGTACTCCGGGTTATCCTCGATACTGCCGATATTCTTCGTCTGCTTTTCCGGCGGCAAGTTCTTGTAATACTCGATTTTCTGCACGACGACCGATAAGTCAGGAGGGCTGTTCACACGAGATGTAAATGCTGTGACGACGAGTGCAACCGCATCTTGGGGGTTGGGGATGGCTTACCTCCATGACTGGCTCCAGCTGCTTCATCAAGCCTGCTACGTTGCGCACGTCGCTGACGGTCTTGAGCTCCATCTTCTCCACTCTCGCCTTAGTCTCCTCCTCGTCCTCTTCAGCCTCCATCTTAACATTCGTAGGCGCCCCATCTTCTAAGTCTCCATCCTCCGATTCCTCGTCGTTGTTCGCTTCGAGCTCCATTCCCTCGGTGCTCTGCTTAGCAGTTGCTGTTCCATTCGCACCCTGATCTGCATCGCCATACTCTGCATCGGCGTAGAACCCTTCATTTTGTTGCTCCTCTTCGTTCTCAGATCCGTCGTCTTCGAAGTCGTTCAGAAGCTCGTCGGCGATAGTCGTCATTTTGTTGGCGGATGCGCCGCGGCGGGCGAGTGTTTTGTTGTTCGACTACCCCTGCGTTGGGGTGGGAGATCCGTTCCACTAAAGGGAGAATACGCGACGACAGGTGGTGTGGCCAGAAAGTGAAATGTAAAGTCGATATCGCAAAGCTCGAGGCAACTTCCAGCTTTGAAAGGTAAGTCGCGAGTCATGTAGCCGATAGTCAGCACAGTCACGTGATAACATACGATGCCAACGACCTGAGCTGTGGTATGAAATGCGACAGAGACTGGAGGGTAGGAGAGGAGGCTGACAAGGCATAACTCATATTATCATCAACTATGTGCCGGTGCTGGCCTATCCGTTGCTTCGTCTGCCTAAAAGCATACCACTTACAGATCGTAATTCTTCTCTTCGAGCCAACCCATGCTTTCTCTGAGATGCCCTCATTCGAAAGTCTCTCATTTCAATCCATGCCCTCATGACCAATAGTGCCTGATTCCTTGTCCTGAGCTCCCGGAAGGCACTTCGAAGCCGCTCCGCCACTAGCCGTCCCAACATACCAAGCCCAGACCGTACACCATCCCACAAGAACTCCACTCACAGATCCTCCAACGCCTCGGAAAACTTGCTCAAGAAACACCGTTAACAGTCACCACAGGCGCCTGAGAGTTCTCCTTCTGCGCGCCGGCGGTAGCTTGTGGAGTCTGCGGTTTCGGCTGCGATGGTGCTTCCGTTGACGTCGGTTGGGTCGTGGCTGGCTTTGCGACGTCTTCGCTCGCTTCCTGAGCATCCGCGGGCTTTGGTGTGTTCTCCTTCTTCAGCTGACTCTCCGGCTTAGGCGTCTCCTCTCTCTTCGGAATACTGCCCAACTCCGCTCCTTGCCCCGACTGACCCCTCTTCCTGCCGCCGAAATGATGCCATGCGGAACTTTTACTTGTACCGTCGTGACTGCTGGGCCTCTCAGAATGTGAATCCGAATCCATGATCCGGCTCAACATCCCTCGCTTCTTCTGCGGCGCCGGCTTCGGCTCATCCAGAGCGACCTCCTCCAGATCTCCTTCTTCCTCCTTCTGGGTGCGGGGTACCTGCAGAGGTCTGTGAAAGCTACTCGAGCTCCTCGGCGCCGGTTGCTGGAACGTCCTCGAGTCAAGTGAAGCCCGTGGACGTTGCTCTGTGGGTTGTATGACAGGCGAGCGCGCGGAGATGTCGAAGGAGCGGCGGTAGGAGTCGAAGGATTCGCGGGAGATGTTGAAGGGTTCGTTTTCATTAAAGACGCTGCGGTGGGCGCTGCTGAGAGTCGTGGTGCTGCGGGAGGAAGAAGTCGTCCAGAATGACTTGCGCTCTGGCGGTGAAGGAGGGACGAAGACGCCGCTGTCGTTGATCTCTGTGTGGTCCTAAGTGAGCAAAAGGGCCGCGGGCAGTTGGGGTAAATGAGACGAACCACTTAGTTTATATTCCGTCGGCTGCCCTTCCTTCTCTTTGATATCGACTGGTTTCGTCGCAGCACCGTTGACAGGCCTCTCTGCTCCTCCCGTCGTCGGCCGCGCATTCTCATCTTGTTTGCGAAACGGGTTCCGCATGATGTTGATCGGCATCTTGGCCTTCGCGCCTCGATCAATCCAACTCGATGCTCCCGGATATCGTTGTCGTCTGAAGCAATACCCCGCAGTGAATGCTATACCATACAACACCCTTGATCTGTCGTCCAACCAATGTCGCCGATGTAGAAGTGTGAGCTAAGAAGTGGTAACGCAATGTTGAATGGAAGTTATGAACGGGATAAATGGGCCACTGGGCAACCACTTCCGAGCAAGACGGGGATTCGGGTTGCGGGAGCGTCGATGACGAGACCCCAAGCAAGAAGGTGCGGCGCCAACAGCGATTGGACTTGGAGTAAGATCCGCCCTTCGCCGGAAATTCCAACAGCATCAGTCAGGAAAGACTCGCCGTCTTACTCATGCACTCTTGTAACCAACTGGTTGGAGGCTGCTGAAGTGCAGATGGCAACGTGCGTAACGTGGGCGGCATGCTTATCCGCTTTCGCTTGCGCTTGGGTCGGTATCGCATCAGACACGTGACTTGCACATGTGAAGATGGCTGTAACGATTCGCTAGGTCTGGATGTTAAGATGTCTTGCACTTGTCGCTTTCGTTGCCATTGTGCGACGTGGGAGCTCTGTCCATAGCATTGCTATATACAGTATACGTTCGATCAGAACTGATACTTGAACTCAGGCACCCTGTCCGTCCACACCTCCCCTGGCTGCAGATTCCACCCCTGCCCCCTCAGCTCCTCCTTCTGCTTCTCCCTCCGCTTATACATGGTCCGCAGCACCCAGAAGCCGCACCATCCGAACGCCAGACTGCCCAACGACCACGCCTGGCCGAGGGTATACTTCGGCGCAGCGTCCGTCTGATAGATCTGCCCTGAGATGATACCACCTAAATTGGTGAAAGTGAGCAAGATTCCCATACTCGCTGCTCGCTTCCCATCCGGAGCGCGGTTCATTCCGAGCCAGGAGATGTTGGTGCCAGTGCAGAGGTAGCAGGCGGTGGAGATGAGGAACGTGGCGAAGTACCGTACGCCGGACGGGACGTCTTCGATGCGAAGAAGGATGGCGTAGCCTGCCATTCCGATGGGGGCGCAAATGATGACGGACCAGAAGCGAGCGTTGTATCTGTCCGCTAGGATTGCGCCGACGAAGTAGACGATCGCACCCCACAGGCACACTGGCACTACCAGGTATTGCGCCTGCAGCGTCGAAAAGTTGAAACTGAACTTCAGGATGATAGGCAGGAAGGTGCCAAAGCCATATAAGATGGTGACCATGGCGACTTGAGTTGGGGCGTGGACCCAGGTGGTGGGGTCCTTCGCTGCGAGCTTAATGTCTGCCATGGTGTAATGGCCGTTGCCGCCAGAGTAGGCTTCCATCTCTTCTTCGCGCACTTTCATGATGGCTTTGTCGGATGGGGTGAGGAAGTATGCTGTTCTCCAGTTTGCGGGGACGAGGAATATGGTCATGAATGCCCAGATAATTGTGATGAGGCCTTCGATGATGTAGAGCCTGGAAAAGTGCCATTAGCGAGGTGTCAATATGGGACAGAAGATCTAACATACCATCTCCAACCAGGATATCCACCAACGCCGTCCATATACAAGATTCCCAGTGCAATTAACCCGCCAACTGCCCCGGAGAGCGCTGAGCCGACTGTAGTGATAATTAGTATCATAAGCAGCAAGAGAGAGCATTGGTAGGCTACTGACTGAACAAGAATGAGATCCTGAAGCCCAGCTCCTCTCGCTTGTACCAGTTCGCAAGGAACTGCAAAGATTAGCGTGATTTTGCAAGTTTTGGACCTGGGTATACTCACCAAAGTCATCGCAGGGAACAAACATCCTTCAAAGAGTCCCAACAACAGCCGCAACGCGTACAACGAACCTGGTCCTTGGATGAAACCAGTGCACATACACATGAGACCCCAGCCGAAGGTGATGGCGGGTATGACGCGGTTGAACTGCAAACGCTTCACGTAGAAAGACGCGGGAAACTGCGTGATGTCAGCATGAGAATGTATGCGTAGACAGGAAGAAGACACTCGCCTCCGCGAGAATGTATGTGATGTAGAAGATCGACACGGCTATCTGTAGTCTCGTCAGTATTTCGTTGAACTGAAAAACGTCCAATGGGTACCTACGTTCAGGTCTGATCCTTGAAGGTTGATATCCTCAATCATGCCTTGAGTTGCTGCAAAACCGATGTTGCTACTCTAGTCAGTGCAGTTCGCAAACCCAACGGTATCGCTGCTCTCACCCTCGATCAAGATACGAGATCAGCATCAGGAGGAACATCACTGGTGCGATAAAAATGTCCAACTTCCTAACAACCTTTCGTTCTTGTTTCTTGTATTCCAAGACATCCTGAGGTGGCTGCTCATTGCCAGCAGCGACTTCGCGATACTCATCGTTGCCGACCTTCTCCTTCTCGAGAGAAGAGGCCTCTCGGTCCGGGCTCGGGCTTGCCATGGTTGAGAGGTTGGATGAGACGGAAAATGCTCAAGTTGACGAAAGAATGAGAGACGGCATGAGATGATAAGTAAGACTTCTCTACCCTCGGGAATCTCCAGCTTGGTATCGTGACGCCGGCAGTTCAGAACCGCGAGAACGTGGCCAAGTGACGATCTCCGCATCCTCGCGAGCCTCGTGGCGTGCACGAGTAATGTCCCGCCTTGTCGGTCTTGCCATGGTGGGACGAAAGCGTGGGGACACCCATATCGTGGGTCTTGTTTGTGGGTGAGGATGACGTGAAGAGTTGGCACTTCCCGTGCGTTTGGTGAGAGGATTCGTGAGGAAGTTGGAGACCTCCAATATCTCCACGCTTCGTCGGGGTCTCCTCGGCTGCAGTCTTGACTCGGTGAGGAGTGTTCTTATTTTCTCGTCTTCCTCATTGATCCGCTACTCCCGGACGAGGACTTCATGATTCTTCATTGCTTTTCCGTTGGATAACTTGTATCAGTACAAGTACACAGTCTGCAGATACTCATGTCTTCAACGTGATGTTGAGAGAAAGGGCTCGAAATGTGGGCTCGCAAATTAGGTTGGAGAAGCAGAGGCGACTGGAGTCAACCGCATTTATTGGTCGTGGTCCAACCAAACCCCCCTCCCTTCATCTCATCATCCGGATACTCGGAGCATGCATCTGGCGGCTGGACAGCTCATCATGCAACAAGATGTCACAAGCAAATCTTCCACGCGTCAAGCTTTGAGATAAGGCCCATTACAAGCATCTGATGGTGTCAGATGAGGCGTCGGCATTGTGAAACCTATTCCTTATGCGCGGTCCTTGCAATAGCATCCTGCATGTTCAACCAGGTAAGGCCATGCTCTTCGAGTGCGCTTCCGTGTTTCCGTTGTCACTCCACTCCGTCTTTTTCTTCTGAACCCGATCATGAAGACACAAGGACACTCTCCCTCGCAAATCCAACATGAGCCTCTCCCCCAACATATCAGCAGCAGGAAGGTTTATAGGCCATCGCCGCGGCCGTAGCTCTGCTGTTGACATCCAGATTAACGGCTTGGACGAGCCGCAGGAGAAGACCAGTGAGGGTTTACAGCCTCTTCTCGAGCACGAAAAATATGACCGGCTACCAGAGCGTCGACCACGAAATAACGCTTTTCTGGCCGCGCTGTGGGCTGCATCTCTTATTTTCACCTGTCTCATAACATGGTTACTCACCAGGCTTTACTACGACCGGGCGAGTGAAGGGTTTGCAGCAGGCTTTCCCACAGAACTCCGTAAGTCCATTACGAGCAACGCGATTCCAGCGTCTCCAGCGACGGACACTCACATTCAAATTAGGAGCGGCTCGATCAGCCATCTCGACATCCATTCAACAATTCACCGGCTCCCTCGACTTCAACGGCCATCACGGCTTCGTGCCCCCTGATTCCCCCAGCCTAGCATACATGGGCTCCGGCCCCTCCATCGACGCCGCCTGGGACACCCTCACCGCTGACCGCTACTTCCTCCTCACCGACGACGAAGCGCGAGAAGCCTACGGCGCCGACCCAGCCCAGTACTGGAACGTCCACCACGGCGGCTACGTAGCGGGCCTGGACGTGCTGCATTCGCTGCACTGCGTGAATCATCTACGAATGTCGCTGTATCCGGACGTGTATCCGCAGGATCCCGTTGATGGGGTGATGCAGTAGGTCCCCTTAGAACTCCCAGGCCAAAAATCCAGCCTTCTGCATCGCTGGTCTCAAGCGGACGTAGGCTAATGGTGGTCTAGCAAAGCACACTGTATCGACCACATGCGCCAACTCCTAATGTGCAACGCCGACCTCACGCCGGTGCCAACGCAGTATTTCGAGGGGCTGCAGCGGAACTACATCAACTCCTCGCGGCCGCATACTTGTCGGGATTTCGGGAAAGTGAGGCGTTGGGCGACGGAGAGGTTTAATGGTAGTACGGCTGTTCAGCCCAGAAATCGTGATGGTAGGTGTAGCAGTGAGAGATCACTGACGAGGACAAGACTGATGATGTTGATAGGTACGCCTAGGCATGACTTCTACGCTCCATGGTCACCTTGATAGGCTGGTAAACTGCTGTGCGCTTATACTGTACACTGTCTTCCGGTCTTCCGTACTGTACATCAAAGCCACCTCTTATATCTATCTACAAGTCAAAGCCCATCAGACATCGAAAGCACAAACTCCCCAAGCTCCTCGCTTCCCGCTCAAATATCCAACAATCATCTTCGCGTACGTAGAGCAACATCATCTCCACCCATCACGGCATATCCAAATACGTAGTCCTCCGCCTCCCCCGCATCAGCCCAAAAAAACCCCCCTTCTTCTTCTTCTCCCCCTTCTCCTTCCCATTCATCCTCCCAACATTCGGCGCCGGCGCGCTCTCCGGATCTCCCCCCTCCCCCTCGCTGGGCCCGGAATTCTTAAAGAAATCCGCGAGTTCCTGCGTATTGCTCGTCGCGGCGATATCCTTCGCCCCTCCACGAGGCATAGCCTTGACACCTGAGCCGGCGGGGCGGGCGGAGGAGGCGGACTGCGCCGTTGGAGAAGCGTAGCCGGACCTTGAAACTGCTCTTCCAGCACCGGCGCGTGCGGAGGAGACGGATCCTTGTGTTGGGCTCGCGTACCCCGACCGCGGAACCGCACCAGCACCAGCACCAGCACCCGCGCGTGCGCTGGACGCTTGCTGCCCCCCGTTCCCACCGCTCGAAGCGTACCGCCTCAACGCCTCTCTCGCCTGTGTGCTCTTCGGGTCAAGAAGCGGTTGCGGCGCAGTGGTCTGCGGCGGTTCGTTGCTGTTGAGGAAATCCAACAGACTCTCTTCCCCTCCCCCTCCCGCCCCGCCGCCTGCGCGGCTGGATCCGGGGGCAGGGCCGAACCAGTCGTCCTCGTCGTCGTTGTCGAGGAAGTCCATGGAGTAGGGGTCTTTGTTGCGCACGCGCTTGCGGACGGGCGCGTTTTCTTCCGCGACGTGGCTGGTGGTGGTGGGGTTGCTGAGCGGTGGTTGGCGGTTCCTCACAGGTTGGACGGCTGGGGCTGGGGCTCGGTTGCTGGCGCCGTGGAGTAGAGCAGACCTCGAGTTCTCCGACGTCCGTTGCGAGGAGCGGACGAAAGGGCTCTGTACGCTCGGCGCGCTCGCGCTAGCAGCAGCTTTGCCATTGCCGTTACCGAATTGCTCAACCCCATTCCCATTCCGATCAGCAAGGTCATGGAACTGATCCGAGTCCATCGTCGTCCTGAAAGGCGCTACCGAGCGGGAAATACGATGTTGACCCTCCTCCTCAGGTCCAGAGCGGATGAAATCGATAAGATCCGAGGAGCCATATGTAGTCGCTTTAGCTGGCCGCGGCTGTTTAGGTTGTTTAGGCTGCTTGGGCTGCCTAGGCTGTGTTGCCATGGGAGGTAGTGCGGTCATGGGAGGGACGGGCGGAACATCAGGCGCGTCAACGGATTTGAGGGTGTTGCTTCTCGACCTCTCGCCATTCGGCGACGACGAGCGCGAAGCTGATGCGCCGTGGATGTGCGCTGAACGGAGGGAATGCAATGACGTTTGCGAAGCATTGGACAAGAGAGGGTAAACAGGCTTCTCCTTCTGCGGTCCCGTCGAGCGAATGAAATCCGCGAAGTCGCGGGTGGTCTCTGTCTGTACTCGCGGCTCGCGAGCCATGAGCCCGCTCTTGCGGTGCGCGCTAGTGTTGCGCGGTGAAGGCTTGCTGACTGAGCGACGCTTTGACAGCGTGGACTCGTTCTCTGCCGCGCCGGCTGTGGTGTGGGCGGACGTCGCTTGTTTCGCCGTTTGGCTTCTTCCCACACGGCTGTCGGAGTTGGTTAAGATGGAAGTCGCGTCCATTTCGACGGGTGCTTGCCGCGGTTTGGGGAGTGGAGCTGGTGCATTTGGAGTCTGCGTCTTGTTAGCTTCATACTCATATCACATGCACGAACAAAATGCACTCACCGAATCATCCCGAACATTATCCGGCGTCAACGTATACTTCACCGTATCCGCCCCCTGCAAGAACATATCAAAGTCCTCCGGCCCCCTTATCGACGCACTCGTCATCGCATGCAAACTCTCCGGATCGCCAACGAGTCGTGGAGACTTGTTCGACGCCTTGGGAGACCTCGCCTCCCCTCCCTTGGGAGCCGCCATCTTCTGACCCGTCCCCTTCAAGCTACGTGGTCGTTGAGGATCACTCGCGTCCTTGTCAACGTCCGCACTCATCGATTGTCGATGCAGCGGCTTCTCGACCGTTGGAGACTGCTGCGCGCCATCTGCCAGGCTTGCACGGTTGGAGTACTTGGTCGGTGATCTTTGCAGAGTGGCTGGCGACTGATCGGGCTGCGAAGTCAGATCGTAGAACTGCCGTTGTGAAGCCATCGAGCCCGGCCGCTTGACCGTCGGACTCTCTGGCGCAGCGGGTGGCGCTCCGTTCACGATTCCGGTAGGCTTGGGCGACTCCCTTGCTTCGGTATGCTCTTCGCTCATGCGAGGGGGTACGGGAGAGGATACGTCTGACGTTCGCGCAACGCCAATGGCGTCTTCTGGTCCTTCGTGCTCCGAGACTTCTTCGTCACTTGCTCTGGATGCTGGCCGCAAGTAGGACGTCTCCTCATTTCTCGGTGACTCCTGGCCGGATGCTGGACCCGAGGAGCCGTTGACGAACATCATGGCTTTGATGTCGATGAGGCTCTTTCGTCTGTCAAGTTCTTCAATCTCCTGGTCGGAGAAGGAGCGTTGCGATGGATGCTTCTCTACATCTCTTAGTGGGTGCTGCTCTTCTGCTAGAGCGCTCCCCGGCGCTGTGACGTCCTCCGGTATGGCTAGACCTTGCGATGTACTATCTCCAGGCAATGGTTTCCGCGGAATCGACCGCTGCGGTGCTTCTCTCTGGCCATTTGCTTCCCGATCACTGGAGGAGGCAGCACCTGCAACCCCCGCAGCAGCAGCAGCAGCAGCAGTGGTGATAGCAGCACCACCGACCATCCAGGGAAAGGCTTCATTTCCTCCCTTCCGGTCCGCTTCCTGGCTCTGAGATTGCGCATCGTCATCTGCAACAGCCTGCTCTGCAAGAGGTGCTTCGGTCGCAGTAGCAGCCTCGACAGGCTTTTGATCTCGCTCCGGCATGGGCGTCCGAGACGGCGTTGGCAAGGAGGACGATCTCTGCCTAGAGACCGCTGGCATATCAGTCGCGGTAGGCGAGCTGGTGAAGGAATCCACCGGCTTTGGTTGATGGAGCAGCGGTTCCATGAGACTGGACCTCTGTCTCGGCACTTCCGACCTGCTGGCCTCATCATCCGCAACCGCTCCATCCGGTTCCCTAGCAAGTCCTGGCACCTCAATCTCATCCACGTCCCTCTTCTCCTCGCCCATCGGCAACGCCACCAGCCTCCCGAGCAGCTCATCGGGATACTGCCCCTCCGTCCCCTCAACCCCATCCACCAAACCCGGCACCAAAATCTCATCCACATCCCTCCCCACATCCCCCATCGGCAGCGGAATATTCGCCGCAAGCACCCACTCCGGAAACTCCATCTCCCCTCCCCCATCCCTGGTCTGCGGTCTTGACTCTCCGACCACTGACCCTTCATTCGCAGTCCCGAAACTGCTGCGTCGATGGCTCAGAGCGCTGACCATGTTCTCTCGACTCCAGGTCGCCGGGGAGCGATACGTCGGTGTCGCGTTGCCGGCGTTGTTGTTGTTGCGCAGGGCCTTGCGCCACGTGCGCCAGAGACGGCCGAGCGTGGCGTTGAGGGCGACTTTTTCGACATCATACTCTTCGACGGTCAGGACGGAGGATCTGTCTGCTGGAGCAAAGCCGGAGATGCGTTGCGTGCGGCTCTGGCGGCGTGCGCGGGTATATGAAGCTTGGCCTGCGACTTGCAGCGTCTGCTCTGCGACAAACTCTAGGATCGAGGTGAGGAAGATCGCTGCAGCCCACGACACCAGACCGCTGGACTGAGAGAACCGGCGCTCATTGCCGTGAAACAACTCTTCTTCATTGACATAGCGCTGCTCATCTTCATCCTCCATCTCGCCGAGGCGCATGTACACCATCACCCTTAACCGCGTACGCTTCCACACGAGCTCCAGATCCCAACGCCTGCTGTCTTCGGCAGTTTTGTGCTTCTTGTCCTCGTCATCGTCGTCTCCACCAGCGAGGAGTTCGGCTAGCTCTTCCTCGGCGCTGGTGATGGCTTCGCGGGCTAGGCGGTGCTTCAGCACTTCGGTCACGGCAGGGCGCAGGGCGGACAAGCTCGTGGATCGGGCGGTGGAGAGGAAGCTGTAGAGCAGCTGGTCGAGAAAGGCGTTGACGAGGCCCAATGCGCCGTCGGTGAAGCGCACGTCGTCTTTGTTTAGTTTGTCCTCGTCGTCGTCGCTGGATGTGCTCCTCTTAACGGACAAGCTCTCGCTGACCACCTGCGACGCACCGAACGACGCAACATACTGCGCTTTTGGGTTGACGTTCGCCGGATTACTCGGAAAGTACGCTGTCAATCCGGACACGGTGCTGAAGCGATCGCTCTCAAAGCTCGTTCTCCTCGACATCGTGGGCGAAACAGGTGTCGTCGGATCTCGCTGCTGCTCATCACCACTTTTGCGCCTCAGCTCTTGTAGACTGGAAGTGGTGAGTTTGGCGGGCGAGCGCCATGGTTGAGGATTGGGCGACGAGGATGAGGCCGGCGGAGGATGGCGAAGTGGATGGGCATCGTCATGGATGTACTGGGTCGTCTCGGCCATGGTCCGCAGTCAATCAGCGGCTTCCCTGGCGGCCTGCAGTAGTCGCTGAGAATAGCGACAAGGATGTCTGCATTAATTCATAGACTCTGTTGGGCAGGATGCGATGACTGTCTAGGGATGGTATGTAGTTGTTCCTTCAAGTCATGGTAGTATGTATGCGGTTCCTGTTCGTCAGTAGGGACTATCAACGGTGCGAGTAATGATACGCTTCCACTGCCTAGTTCTATCCTTTTCGGCGCAGTCAGCTCGGACCAGGGCCATTGACGGTCTCTCACATCACGCACACACGCAAACGACTGCTCCGTCGCTGAATCGTGAAACATGCGGAGATTGCGAAAGTAACGTGATCCCGGCACTTCTCCTACTGACCGTTGACCTGGCCATCGACCTACAAACTCTCCTTGGTGCATAGAGCAAGAAATAGTCGTGCAAACTCACTCCACGAGGATGCTCGTTTCGGGAGTGACAGCAGAGTCGATCCAGCTGCATCCGGCTCCCCATCCCGCTGGACTGGTTGACTTCGGCATGGCGCAACTGCACGATTTCTCTCTAGACCTTCCGGCTGCCGACGCCGGACAACCACGGGAATCCCTTCCATCTCACCACCTGCTGGGGCACATGTATTCGCAGAGCAAGCACACCAAGTACCTCATAGGATACAAACGACAATACCATCCTTGAAGACCGATGTCTTCCCTCGAAAACTCTCCTGTTCCTAGCAATCCCCCTTTTCTTTCCCGAGACGCAGCTAGCAATCGCCGAGCGCTGCTTGACTCGCCCTCCTGTAGCTTGACGCCTCGTGGTCGTACCTGTCCATACTGTCGGCGAGGCACGACTCCGGTCGCAGCCGTGTGCTTCAAAGATCGGATGTTTTGTGTCCGTACGGAAGATAGAAGTGGAAGAGCACCATCGCTACCACGTGAAAGTCGCGACGCGCTAAGATAAGCGAAACGCGGGGCGCGTATTCGGGTTGGGAAGTCACGAGTGATTGATTGAAGACCTCACATAGACTACAGACTTGTAAAACCATCTCAAATGGCTCCTCTTGTACCATACAGCTCGACTCCACCAACGAGCTCATTCCCGCAAGCCAAGCAGAGAGATGTCCAATATCGCAAAGCACGACCACTGCCAACAACACTGCTCGATTCCTGCACCATCTGGTTCGAAGAACTGCTGTTATCGCAAGCATTCGCTCTCCTCACCAGCGCACTCACATCTGGCACTGGAACCGAAGTAGAAGCCTTCATACCGCCGCCTCAACATCTGGCGCTTGCGGCGACTCTGGTTGTGCATTCGAATCTCACGACAAGGACGACATCTGAGGACAAACATGCCGCGGCCGACGAAGCGTTGCGGTATCTACGGCATGCCAACAGTCTGCTCGGTCCACAGGAAGCTGGACTTGACAAGGCGTTCAAGTTCAGTGAGGGATCAACTCCGACCCGCGGCAAGCGATCCAGAGCAAGGGTGTCTGATATAGGTGACGAGCTTGACGACCAACCTGGCCTATTGAACTTCTCATACACAGAGAAGGAATCCTTATGGTCCAGCGCAGAAGACTTCTGGGGTGTTGTGGGCTGGGCCTTCAACTGCTCAGTAGCCCATGCCCACCGATGGGCAAGATGGAAGCTATGGCTGGAACTCATGATTGATGTCTTACAAGACGACTTCGAGAACAGGTTGCGAGAGGCTGAAAAAGTCTGGGCTGCGACGCAGAGTACCGCCGCCATTGAAGAAACGCTCAGAGACAGCATGCTGGCACAGTATCTACGCCCACTCGGTGAAGGCCGCAACAACAAGCGCCGACTAATGCGCGCTATCCTCGCCGACGGCCGGCAGAAGAGCCTCGCGGAGTTTGGCGAGGTATGGAAGAACGAGACCAAACCCCCCAAGCAGAAGAAAGACAACCGAACGGCGAAGCGTCGCAGACTCGATCTCGAAAACGGCGAATACGGCGACTACTTCGACGACTCCGAAGACGAAAGCTTCACCAGCTCCGTCCGGCGCTCACGATCCGGCACCGCGCCCGCAACCGCCCAACAGAACCGCGCAGCTTCCGGAGACGACAGCGAAGCCGAAGACGTCCTGAGCACCGCAAGCAAAGCAACCACCTCGTTCACCACCACCACCCTCGGCGCCCCCTCCTCCCTCCACCTCCGCCAACGCCTCCTCTCCCTCCTCACCATGTTCTCCACCAAAAACCCCTCCGCCTTCCTCGACACCGAAGACCTCTTCGACCTGTTCACCGAGTTCCTGCGCCCGTTACCCCTACCCATCTTCCAAACCTTCGTGCTCCCCGCGAAACCCTGGCTTGGGCCTAATAGCCACGCTTCGCTGTGCCAGATGCTGTTACGGCCTTTGCTAAGCACGACAGCGCCGGCGTATAATAAAAATGCGTTGACGCAGTCCGAGTTCGAAGCTTACTACGCCCCTTACGCGGCGAATAGTTCGGGGGTGGGGGATAATGCGAAAGTTGGACTGTTGGTGGAGGGGTTGCTTAGGTTGCTGTGGGGGTCGGGGTCGCTGGAGGTTTCGCCGGCTTTAAAGGAGGCGGTGGAGGAGGGAATTGCTGCGAGGAGGGAGAAGGCGGTTTGGGATGGGCGGAAGAAGGTGGGGGGGAAAGTGAAGGCGGATGCGGAGGCGGTAAGGGTGTTGGCGTGTTCTGCTGACCGGATGCTCGCGGTCCTGGACATGGCGAGATGAAGGTCTGTATGGTATTGTACAAGTTCTACACGCAGAGGGTTGAGGTCTACCAACTATACCACTGCTGCTTCGTCTGAATCGGCCGATCGGGCAGATGCACCCACACCTTCTCCATCCGCTGCCTCCTCCGTTTCGCCTCTCGCTCCTCGTACTCCCGCACTCGCGTGCTCTCCTCCTTCAACAAAAGACTAATACTCGTCCACGGCGTGCGCATGACAAACACCCTCCCCCTCGCACGGTAATCGGGTAGTTGTCCGTACGGCCCCCGACCGACCCACGCTTGGTCGATGTAGATGTCGCTCCGGTTCTCAATAGTATGCCTCTTGCCGTCCTTCAACTGGATCTCGACCGGCTCATCGCGCTTCTTCGTCTGCGCCGCCGTCTCCGTCGCGCCAGCAACTTCCTCCCCACTCGCATTCAACGTCTCCGCTTCCTGCGCCACTTCCACCCCACCCAACCCCATCCCCCGCATCACCACCGCCTCGTCCCGCGCAAACTCCAACTGCCGCAGCACCTCCGCCGCGACTTTCTTCCGACTAAACCGCATCTGCGCGATGGCGTCGTCAATCCTCTTCCCCTGAATCTGTCTCGCCAGCGCACCCAACTTCTTCACCGACGTCTTGAAATTCTCGCTCTTGACCAAATGCTCCCGCTCCGTCTTCTTCACAAACTCCTGCTTGCTCAGCCGTCCCCCCTTCCGCACCATCTGGATCACCTTCTTCCGCTCGAACCGCTCCCGCGCGTTGGGGTTCGGGTCGGTGACGCGCAGCATATTCTGCGCGTTGCGGCCGGCCATGCCGTGTTTCATCTCCTTCGCTCCGCCGCTGGCGTCGCGGGCGGAGATGGCGGCGGCTTGTTGGGCGGCGCGGCGGTCGTCTTCGAAGATGGAGGTTGCGGGGAGGTCGCCGAGGGTGTCTTCTTGTCGTGGGGGGGCGGGGGTGGAGGGGGCGGAAGGGTTGTTGCGGAGATATTCGGCGAGGAAGGGGTTGGGGCGGGAAGAGGGAGGGGGTTGGGTGTCATTGTCGGCGAGGCGGTGGGGGTGGGAGGTGAAGGCGCGGGTTTGGGTGCGGATGGGGAGGGAGGTGAGGAGGCCTATGGCGGGTTAGATGTCTTGTTTTTTGTATTGCCAATGGACATGGAGGTACCTCGAGGCGCCATGCGCCGTGATGGAGCTGATATGCTCATCTGGATGGCGCTGGTGTTGCTGTAGGCATTGGCTGGTATAGATGGATTGGTGATGTCTTGAGGTGTAGTTCTACAAGCGCACGGTGCCGGCAAAACCCCCGAGATCCCGAGAAGTTCAAATGTGAAGCGAGTTTAGTAACAACCATCCCCATCTTCCTACTTACGGTGCGGTGCCATGCAGGGACATAGAACTGGCTTTTCTATGACACCGCGCAACAATCATGCCCTCGTCTTGGCGGGATCTTGAAGATAGCCGCAGTGGTATAGAGACTTGTCGTCGCCGCCGAAAGCGTTAGAGGCAGCATCCGGCCCATCTAGGCTCGAGCCCTGGTGGAGCACGAGCGGCGTCTCCTCCGGCGAGGACACACACTCCTGTTGGCCTGTGTGCTCGTGTCCATAGCGCCTACCCTCATGCCCACTGCCTCATCTGCGCTTCATCGTGATCACCTAATAGAACCGCCGTTCGACACCCTTGTTGGCGGCAAACAGCGTCCGTTGTAGCCTGAGTCGCGCGCAGAGCCTCAGGGAGTTCAGACCCTGAGACGGAAGCAGGCCGCCGCAGCGCAGCAGGCCATGAGCAGCGGCCGTCTGGCCATCGCGAGCTCGAGATGAACATCAACTCCCTCCTCTCGCCCAGCGAGTCGCCCGCAACGCCTGAAGAGCCACCGTCCAACCCACCTCCAAGGGCACGGCCAGCGGGTGGCAAACGAACGACGTCCGGCTTGAGCCAGGAAGTTCGACGCTCGCCTGAAGGCGCAACATCGACGCCATCTTCGCGCCCATCGTCAGCGTACGACTCGCCCAGCAAGAATCAACGCGCCTTTCCACGGCAGTCTGCGCCTGTGCCTGCGGCGCCGGGCTTTCGACCTGCTGCGCGAGCGACACCGACCAGCAATCCAGCACCTGCGCAAGACTCTCCCTCATACCATGGGCATTCATCAAGCCAGCAGCGGCCTGTAGTTGCGCATCGGGTCTCGTCGACCCCGCAGATGGAGACATTGGCTGGTATGTACAGAGAAGTTCTTAGGTGAGGTTTGCTTCTACATGAACTGACATCGCTCCTTCCAGACTTGGCATCTATGCAAAATCGCCACCAAGCGACTCGCGCATCCTCTTTGAACGGCATACCACGATCTACTACCAAGCAGGACTCACGCTCACCATCTCTCATCAACCCCAATCAGGGCGGCCGTCCTGCTCCTTTCCGCAACTCCTCTGGCCAGTCACTTGCAGATATCACCATGGCGGAAGCCCCATCCTCCACGCCGCCACCGCGCACCTTCGAGTCCGCGGCTCTATCAGAAACAGAGTCGGCCACCGTCACTGAGCTCCTCCAACATCTGAATGAGAACTCCTGGGCCTACGACTCGCATGTCCAACTCATCGCCCTACTCCACAAAGGCTTTCTCGCGCACGTCTATCCGCCTGCCGATAGCAATGGGACCACGCCACGAGATCCCAAAGCTTACAGCTTTCTTACCGAACTACGTCAGGCGCGCGAGGCGATGAAAAGTCGTTTTGCGCTTGGCGAAGATCTGTGGGTTGAATGGCTTTCTGATGAGATGCTACTGGCTTCTTCATGGGAGGAGCGCACCACTTTGACTGAGCTCTTCGAGAAAGCGGTGGAGAGCGAGCCGGCTTCAGTGAAGCTGTGGCGCATGTGGGTTGACTATGTCTCCTCGAACTACGCCGATTGCAACAATCTGGATGGCGCCGACCAAAGCGGTTGGACTGAGGAGGACAAGGAGGTCTGCCGCGAGCTCTTCACCCGCGATATGATGCTGGGCATTCTCGAAAAGGGACAAGCTGCAACTCAGTGGCGAATGGACGAAAGCCAGCTTCTGTGGGACCCTTTCGCACAGCTCGTTCAGGAAAGTTTCCCTGATACGGCAGCACCGAAAGATGTGGACCAGCTGTTCACTCTGTTTGTACAGCGGCTGCAGACACCGCATATCGTGTGGGAGGATACTGCGCAAGCGTTCTGGCCACTGGTTTCACGCCATCGAAGCAATGATTGGGAATCAGTAATGCGAGATGTCACTGAGTTGGCTGGCCCTGCAAAGCGCGCAATGGGTCTGCGTGAAGAACAGGAACTCAACCTCAGAAGAGCGGTTGAAGGTGACAACCGCATGGAAGCTTTCAATGCATTCGCGCAATACCTGGAATTGGAGAAGAAGATCTCAAAGAAGCCCAAGCAGCAAGGCCCGTTCGATGGCCACCTCAGGTGTGCCGTGTATGAACGAGCTTTGCTCCGCTTTCCGACCTACGTGGATTGGTGGTTGGACTATGTGGACTACATCATCACCGCCAAAGCGCCAACATCGGTCGTAGCACTGATTGAGCGAGCAGTTAATCATTGTCCATGGTCCGGAGATCTGTGGGCAAGGTGGATCCTGCAATCAGATGTGGAGGGCATGTCTCGCGAAGACATCGAGAAGATCAAACATCGTGCGACCAACTCTGGACTGCTTGATATTGGCGGTATGGAGGAGCTGGTCAAAGTGCTGATACAGTGGTGCAGCTATCTACGCCGGCATGCGTTCCGACCGAACTGCTCAGAGGATGATCTCGACACAGCAGAAGTCGGCATCACCATGGCGCTGGAGGACATCCAACAAGCTGGTACCAGGATCTATGGCAAAGACTTCCACGGCGATCCATTGTACCGACTCGAGCGCATCCAGATCAAGTTTCTATCGGAAGCACGCCGCTTCGAAGACGCCCGCGGAATCTACAGAGCGCTCGCAGACAAGCAGAAGAACGTCGCTGAGTTCTGGCTGACATATTACAATTGGGAACTGTGGCTGTGGGGCTTTGACCGGATGGCTGACAAGCATCGGGTTGAGACGGCGAATAACGGACCTGACAAAGCTACTGCTGTGGCGCAACAAGCGCTGAGCCAGCGAAGCCTGGATGAGCCGGAGAAAATCTTGAGCACGTACTTGAACCACTTTCAGCAGCACGAGTCAGGCGAGAAGTTGCGTGCGGCCCTTGTGCAATCGAGAGAGTTTTCGAGAGGACTGGCGATTCGAAGGGCTAAGGAAGCTGAAGAAGCCGCGGCGCAGCCAGCAGTGTACCAAGCTCCTGCGACCGATGCTGCAAACGCAAGCGCAGTACAAGGAAGAGAGAAGAGGAAACGAGAAGACGATGCCTTGACAAACGGCACCAGCGACAAAAAGGCCAAGATTACCAACGGAGAAGAGCCGGCATCGGGCTTTGGAGAGCCTTCTGGATCTGCTTCTGCCCAGGTCAAGCGCGATCGCGAGAACAACACGATCACGGTGAAGAATCTGCCGGCTGATGTACAGGAGCTTGACGTCAGGAAGTTCTTCAAGGATGTTGGTACGATAGTTTCTGTCACGTGGTTGGAAGACAGGGCGACTACCACCGCCATGGCCATTGTCGAGTTCGAGAGCCATGAAGATGTACTCGCCGCAAAGACGCGGAATGGCAGAGACCTGAACGGCAGTGAGGTGCGCATCCAGGGCGGCAGCCAGAGCACGCTCTACGTCACCAACTACCCGCCCGAGTACGATGAAGCTGCCATCCGCAAGCTGTTTGCGAGCTACGGCGAGATCATCAGCGTTCGTCTGCCATCACTCAAGTACGAGAACAGGCGACGCTTCTGCTACGTGCAATTCCTCACCACAGAAATGGCGAAAGCCGCCGAGGCAGCGATGGACAACAAAATGCTGGATGGCAGCCACAAACTCCTCGCAAAGATCTCCGACCCAGACGCCAAAAAACAGCGCTCCGGCGCACAAGCAGAAGGCCGCGAACTCTTCGTCAAGAACCTCCACCGCGAAGCCTCCGACGACGACATCAAAACCTTCTTCGAGCAGTACGGCTCCGTCGTGCACATGAACATGGTCAAGCTCGTCAACGGCAAACGCACCGGCACCGGCTTCATCGTCTTCTCCAGCACCACGGAAGCCAATGCCGCGCTTGAAGCGGACAATAAACCCTTCCGCGACCGCATCTTGCACGTCGAGCTCTCGTCCGCCAAAGGCCGGGCGGACCCTCGCGAACGCGCAAGGAAAGAGGACGTCATCATCAAACAAGGCGGCGCCTCCTTATCCCCAGAACCTGCCGACGCAGCGAACGGCCGCCGTGGCTCAGACGTCTCAATGGCCTCAGCCCAACAAGACGACGCCTGGAAAACGGCCAAAGAGCGCAAGATCGCCGTCCTCAACCTCCCGGACACCGTCAACGACGCCCGCGTGCGCGCGGCGATGGAAGCGTACGGTCCGCTGGTGAAGATCCAAATGCGCCGGGGCGACGCGGGCGCGATCGTGGAGTTTGCGAATGTGAAGGATGCGTTTCACGTGCGGCAGGGGGTGGATTGTGCTTCGCTTGGGGACGGGGTGCGAACGGGGGATGTGGGGGATTTGCTTGCGAAGGTGAGGAAGAGGCAGGCTGCTGAGGGGAAGGAGGGGGCTGGGGTGGTAGGTGGGAAGGTGAGTAAGGATGGGTTTGGCGGGATGGCGCCGGCTGGGGTTGCGAGACCGGGGCAGCGTGGGGGGAGGAGGGGGGGTTTGGGATTTAAGAGGGGGGCTGGGTTTGGGGCCGGGAAGAGTGGTGGTGGGGGTGAGGCGGAGGGGGTGGAGAAGGTGGGGGCGAAGAGTAACGCGGACTTCAGGTCGATGTTTGTGAAGGGGAAGGAGGCTGTGGAGTAGGACGTTAAAGTGTAATGTTGTGGATAGATATGCGTCCTGCAGTGTGTGCGATTACAGGCCCAACCACGTCTACCAAGTCTGTTCTTGTGTCTCGTCAATAATCTACTCCGACTTTCCCTCTCACCATCCATCATTCATCACAGACGCGGCACATACGGTATATCCAGTGAAAGTGACATCGAATTAACATGGGCCAAGCATTTCTCTTCGTCGCCTCAAGGTTGTCTGCCGAAGCTTGGTCCCGAACGATCGACTTTCAGCCGACATCTTGACCTCATCTCGAAGATTTGTTCCCTGTCGACGATCGTACTGGACGCCCGGCAACGTCGTGTGCGGGTTGTGTGGCATGGTATCATGGGTACGTTGCTGTAGTTCGGTTTCGCGTCTACGACAGTCACTCGTGGTCCCCCAGTACGTACAGAAGATGTTTCGAAAAAGGTTGGAATGGCGTCGACAACGCATAAAACCGCGCAACTGTACAGCCTACGACAGCTCGAGGACAGTTATTACAATAGCACCAACCAGACGACAACTGCCCGGGACAAAGTTTTATCTCCGACCGTTGTCGACAGATCCACAAGATTGTCCTGGAGGCGGATGTTGCAGATGAGATCCACTTCATGCATACCGGGTTCCTGAACGATCGACATCTGCCTTCTGAGCTTCTGTCGTCAGCCTTCACGGCAATGAACGAAAGAAAACCTACCGCTGCTACTCGCGGTCCTTTCCATGCATCGGCAACGGCGGAGAAGGAGCGCGACATGGCGATGCTGTCCAGTCCATGCAAAAAGCCAAGAAGCAGAGAGCAACCGCCTAAAGATGGAGGACCATGCGCGAGATTTTATCGATGAGTTGACGTCAACATATCGTGGCTTTTTCGTTACGTCCATGCGGACGTCAACACCGGCACATTGACAGATTGACCTACGCAACACGCAACAGCCGCGACGAAAGTACCTCCAGCAGGTGGCGGCATCTGCACTCTCCAGGCCGTCGTAGCTCCTAGGTCATAGATCGCATCCTGGGTCGGTAGATCGCAGAGCACCTGGGTTGTTTATAAGACTTCATCTCGCCGCTTGCACAGTAGGTCGTAACTTTTCGACAGCTTATAACCTCTCTTTGCCCTTGTCATCTTCTCGTTGTCGGTGCAAAGATGCTTACCCACTTCCTCGCAGCAGCGGCACTCCTGTCGCAGGCTCTGGCAGGTCCAGTCCCCAACCGCGTCGACAAGCGTGCCGCCGATGTACCTACCCAAACTCCAATCGGCCCCGCGGGATCGAGCGGCCAGCTGCGCGGCTCCAAGTCCCTCGCTGGCTACGACTCTGCAAATCCAGTAGACTACGAAGACTCCACCGTCATCCCACAAGACGAGTTCGAGCTCGCGTCAGCCCAGAAGCAAGATCCGGATTTAGGCCTCTACCTGGACCTTGCTGATGTCGAGAATCCGCAACCCATCCGCGGAGGCAGCCAAGCGCCTACAGATCCCGGTCCACGAGATCGAGAGATCGAGCGTCAGAACCCTGATCTCTATGCTCCTCCTGGTACAGACATGGGCGGTCTGCCGAATGCAAAGTGGCCAATGGGTCTTTCGCACAACCGACATGGTCTGAAGAACAGCGGGTATACGAGACAGCAGAACACCGACGAACTGCCCGTGGCCAAGGCGATGGCGGGTGTGGACATGCGGCTTGAGCCGAATGCATATCGGGAGTTGCACTGGCATTCTGCGAATGAGGTGAGTCGTGCAGGACACTTCTAGCCTCTCGCAGGCGCTAACAGAGCACCAGTGGTCCTACATCATGAACGGTTCCGTTCGCGTTCAAGCGATGGACGAAGCTGGCCGTGTCTTCGTCGATGACCTCCAAGCCGGCGACGTCTGGTTCTTCCCCTCCGGCAAGCCGCACAGCATCCAAGCCTTGGAGTCCGGTGTCGAGTTCCTGCTCGTCTTCGACGAGGGAGACTTCAGCGAGGACGCAACCTTCCTAGTCAGCGAGCTCTTCCAGCGCAACCCCAAGTCCGTCCTCGCGAAGGACTTGCGGGTGAACACAAGCGCTTTCGATAACATCCCTGAAGGCGAGCTGTACATCTTCCCCGGCACGCCAGCCCCGAAGAACATCTCCGAGCAGAACAGCACTGGTCCAGCTGGCATCATCCCGAAGGCGAATACTTACTCCTACCACCTGAGCCAACAGCAAGCCTACGAAGTCCCAGGCGGAAGCGTCAAGATCATCGATCCCGTTACGTTCCCTTCGGCGTACAACTTCGCATCCGCGCTGTTCACCATCAAGCCTGGCGCCATGCGTGAACTGCACTGGCATACGACTTCCGATGAGTGGAGCTTTTTCTTGGCTGGCCAGGGTCGTTTGACGGTGTACATGGCGCCAGACAGCGGACAGACATTTGATTTCCAGGCGGGTGATGTTGGATATGTGCCCGTGCCCAACGCGCATTATATCGAGAATACAGGGACGGAGGATCTGGTGTATCTTGGTAAGTCTGAATTTAGCTGTGTAGAGCCATGGCTGGTACTAACGCGTTGCTGCAGAGGTTCTTCAAGCGGACGTCTACAACGACATCTCCGTCGCACAGTGGCTGGGCTTGACACCGAAGCAGGTTGTTCAGGATCATCTTGGCTTCTCCGAGGATACGCTGAATCGGCTACCGAAAATCAAGCCGTTCATCATGCCTGGAGATGAGGATTTGTTGCAGACCGACTTCCGGGAGGAGAGGGAGTGAATGCGTGCGCTCTTAGAGTGGTCCTGGATGCAGTGACGGATTCCTCGAGGAGAGAATGATTGTACATGATACCCTTTGTTCATAGAATAATCTGTACGTCGAGCACAGAATCCATATTACCTACGCAGACAGCCGTTTTGTCCACAGATTGTACATTGGCGTTGGCATCGCGCTCCATGGGATTCCTTCGTCTCCGCGTGATCTATCGCGAATCGGGCATCCAAGGGGTGTTGTAGTATCGTCTTCTACAGGAGTGTGCGCAGTGGCGGCGCCAGACCTCCCGATACACTCGTGGCTTTGATGCCTTCCTGTTATCTTATTCAAACCCATTCGGCCTGCCCTTCAGTCGACGCCTTTTTTTCGTCGTCTTGGTCTGGAGGTCCTTGTCACCTCAGCATCGCCAGCGCCAGCAGCAGTATCACTGCCACCTCCAAACAGCGCCATCGTCCTTGCCAACATCCCGTCCTCCTCATGTCCGTCATCCAGCAGCTCGATCACCCTCTGTCCAACTTGCTCTTCTTCCTTTTCCGCCACTCTCCTCCGCTTCTTCGCAGGCGCACCTCCGGTAACCTGCTTCTGCCCACTCTTGGCTTGTTGCTTCACCTCCGCTTCTTCAGCCTCCCACTTCCTTAGTACAGCATCCTCGGCCGGGTTCTCCAGCGAGTGAAAGCTGGCATGGTGGTTGCATCCATCGCACTCGAAGCTCGTCGCGGCTTTGACCGGGTGTAGCATGAAGCGTAAGCATGGACAGGCGGGCGACATGAGCGATGTCTTGTAGTTGCAGCGGCCACGTGGAGGCACGTAGGTCATTGCTGACCAGACTGAGTTCGCGGGTATTTGAGTGGCCATGGTGATCTTGGGTATGCTATGGCCTTCTCCTGGATCGCTTGCGCATGGTGGTTGTGTACAGCAGATGTATTTGAGATTGAAGTTGGAGATGCGAATCGCGAAACCCCGCCATCAGCACAAAGTCCGCGCTAGCACGCGCTAGCTCGCCAAATCACGTGTCTGAGTCCCCGAAAGCTCTCTGGAAGATCTTCGAACCTCTTCCTCTTCACATCCCCCAACAACACCATAACCATGCCGAAATTCTTCTGCGACTACTGCGACGTCTACCTGACGCACGACTCGATGAGCGTGCGCAAGGCGCACAACACCGGGCGCAACCACCTCCGCAACGTCGTCGAATACTACCAGCAAATCGGGCACGAGAAGGCGCAGAGTGTCATTGACTCGATCACAAACTCATACAACGACGCTGGACAGAGCACAAGCAATCCGATGCTGCAGAACGCGCCGGGTATGCCAGGAATGGGAGGGCCACCGGGAATGGGAGGGCCTCCTGGAGGACCGCCTGGGTATGGGGGGCCGCCGATGCCTGGAGGGCCGCCAGGGTTTGCAGGGATGCCGCAGGGTGAGTACTATGCGCGGGAATAGAGCAATGACGTAGTAGCTAACGATGGTATGAACAGGCATGCCACCACTTCCACCAGGATTTCCAGCACTACCACAAGGCATGCCTCCAGGCTTCGGTCCTCCTGGCCAAGCTGGCTCGCCTGGCCAAGGCAACATGCCACCCTTCCCACCGCCGAATATGCCCCAAGGGATGCCGCCGGGAATGCCACCTATGCCTCCGCATTTTCAGCCAGGCATGTATCCTCCCCAGCAGAGCCCCGCGCCAGGACCAGGGTCACGTGGAGGAGGTCCGCCAGGGTATCCACCGCAGATGAGTCCGCCTCCGCATATGCAGGGGAGGTAAGAAGAGACTACAAAGTGAGATAGGTACAGAAAAGCGTGAGAGAGTCTTATATACGAAGGGGAGCTTGTTCTGGAGGCGGGCAACGTGCTATTAGCGAGGAGTCATGGGCATCAGTAGGTCTTCTCCTACAGCGGAGATCCGAAACTGAGCGGTCACTAAGCCTTCTACGTGTTTCAGCGTCCGTTCACAGCAGTGTTCCCGCTGTTCATCACATCGTCCTGTTCACAGATGCCATAGCCGATGAGGAAGTTCGGTCCGGGGTTTCAATCTTGGCACCAATTCGCTCCGCACCTTCAATTTGTAACACCAGACCAGCACGGCACACCTCTTCACAACCCGCAACTCTTCCACCACCGAACTTCACCACTCACACACCGACCTTTCACCAGCTCAACCCACCACCGCGATCATGTCTGAGCAACTTGTCCTCCGCGGCACCCTCGAGGGCCACTCCGGCTGGGTCACCAGCTTGGCTACCTCGCTGGAGAAGTGAGCAGGATCTGCATTCATGTGCAGTCGTTCACCTGGCTAATTGTTTCGCAGCCCCAACATGCTCCTATCGGGCTCCCGCGACAAGTCCCTCATCATCTGGAACCTCACCCGCGACGACACCTCGTACGGCTACCCGAAGCGCAGCCTTCACGGTCACTCGCACATCGTCTCCGACTGCGTCATCTCCTCCGACGGTGCCTACGCCCTGAGCTCGTCCTGGGACAAGACCCTTCGCCTGTGGGAGCTGAGCACCGGCCAGACCACTCGTCGCTTCGTGGGCCACACAAACGACGTCCTCTCCGTCTCCTTCTCTGCCGACAACCGCCAGATCGTCAGCGGCTCCCGCGACCGCACCATCAAGCTGTGGAACACTCTCGGCGACTGCAAGTTCACCATCACCGACAAGGGTCACACCGAGTGGGTCAGCTGTGTGCGCTTCAGCCCGAACCCGCAGAACCCGGTCATCGTCTCTGCCGGCTGGGACAAGTACGTCAAGGTATGTTTGCGGTTTTCCTCCACCTTCATGACTTGATATGATGCCGTACTTTAAGTATTTGCTACTTCAGAAGCTGGCCTTTGAGTCAGCTCATGAGACACATTTTTTTGCCTTCACCGGCGCACTGATTTTGCACCACTGCACCTTCTTCAGCGGCATGATAGCCAAAGAACCAACGCTGACTTTAATACGTCAGGTCTGGGAGCTCGCCACCTGCCGCATCCAAACCGACCACGTCGGCCACACCGGCTATATCAACACCGTCACTATCTCTCCCGACGGCTCGCTCTGCGCCAGCGGCGGCAAGGACGGCACCACCATGCTCTGGGACCTCAACGAGTCCAAGCACCTCTACTCTCTCACTGCCGGTGACGAGATCCACGCCCTCGGCTTCTCCCCGAACCGCTACTGGCTCTGCGCCGCCACCTCGAGCTCCATCATCATCTTCGACCTCGAGAAGAAGAGCAAGGTTGACGAGTTGAAGCCTGACTACATGGACGTGGGCAAGAAGGCTCGTGACCCGGAGTGCATCAGCTTGGCGTGGAGTGCGGACGGCCAGACGCTTTTCGCTGGGTACACCGACAACAAGATTCGGGCCTGGGGTGTCATGAGCCGCGCTTAAGCGTGTGGCTTGCTATGCACATGCTCGAGAGATCTCTCAAGAGTGAAGAAGCGAGAAGACGTGGGAACAGTATGGCACGATGATAGCTCGATACGAGGATCGCTGGCTTTGCGAGCGTGAAGGGCTGGAGTACAGCGACTTCCGAGGAAAGGTCGATGCGGTGCACGTGCTGAAATGGTTTTGTAGCACGTACATGGCTAGCTTCGAAACAAGAAAGATGTTCATTCTCAAAACTGCAGCTGCTTAATCAACCCAGATTGCGTGACCCATGCTGGAGAAATGAAGGAATTGAGAGGCCTTACTACTAACACACCGATCGTAGGCTTTATAAAGACGGCGGCGTGATATCATTGTAGGTATTGATTGAAAGGAAGCCATTGCATCGTCAACACGCACGTCCTTGACCTGAACGGGAACGAAAACGAGACGACTCAACGGGAAAGTTAGTGCGCGTGGAAATCCACAAGCAGACACGGAACGAGAACGAGAACAACCTCACTGGAGATACACCTACCGTTAGAGCGATGTCTTCACCACGAGCCTCTTTCACCATTCGATAGTGGAGAAGCACTGCCTGGATAATGCGGTAGCAGAGTAGATATATGAGCCGGCCAATACAGGCGTACCTAAAGGCGATTACTCTCGACTTGTCAAGACTACTACCCAAACACCATTTCTCCTGCTATGGCTCCAGTCATAACGGCTCTTGCGACGTTCTGCAGCATCGCTGTGACGCTCGCCCATCCACCGCCTCGTCAACCTCCATGGCATGATCATGACGACGGACATGGCGGCGACCCTCTGGGCCATGAGTGGTCTCCCCCAGGACCTTTCGACAGTAAGTAACACAACCCAGCTCCAACTTCAGTCCCGGCACGAGAGCTCACCCATTGCTTAGGTCGCTCACCCTGCCCCGGCCTCAACGCCCTAGCCAACCACGGCTGGCTCCCTCGCTCCGGCAAAGACATCAGCTACGAGCAGATCCAGTCCGCCGCAACCAACGCCTACAACTTCGGCCCCAACGTCTACCTCGACGCCTTCCTCATGGCGAACGAGACGTTCAAGCTCTCGACAACCGGCTCATCCCTGACGATCAACCTCCAAGACCTCGCCCGACACGACGCGATCGAGGCTGATGGGAGCCAGTCGAGGAATGACTTTTATTTCGGAGATGATCTGCACTACGATGCTAGTGTGTTCGCTCCTGTCGCCGCGGATCTGGGTCTTGATGATTACGGTGAAGACGATGCTTATGTGACTGTCGAGACTGCGGCCAAAGCGCGTGCGGCGCGGCAGGTTGCTGCCAAAGCTGTAAATCCCACTTTCAATGCTTCGGAAGCGCAGGTCGTGGGCTCGATTGGTACGACTGCATTGTACCTGACGACGTTGTGGGATTTTGATGCGGAGGCTGCGCCGAAGGCTTGGGTGAAGGCGTTCTTTGGTAAGTCTTTCTGCTGCTAGCCATGTCCTAGTGATATGTAGTCTGGCTGACACAAAGCAGAGGAGGATCGTATTGCGTACTCGGACGGGTACGTGGCACTCAAGAGGAAGACCTTCAAGTTTCTTTCCGAAATGAACCAGGCTGTTGCGAGCGTGCCTGTGTAGTCATGGTGCTGAGGGACTGGACGCTGCGGCCAGCGCTGGGGTTCGGGACAGCGAGCGATGATCCAGAACTCGGGAATCAGCTCATGGTAGTCGAAGGGCAGCATACAAATGGAGACGGCATTGTAATGCCATCAGCGCAACAGTATCTTGCCAGCCTCCACGTGCCCATTTTGCCATTCCTCGATGACCTCGCAGTGCATAATGTCGTGGACATAGATCTCACCAATCACTCTTTTACCTGGAGAGCCAGCCTCCTCAGTGCGCATCACTATCGGCGCAGAAACACCGAACAAGACCGCAATACGATCACTCGGCCGGACATTCGAGGGGCCAAGGCCAAAGTAACCTTTCTTCGTAATGAAGAACTTTCGCCTGAGTGCGTATTTCTCCAGTCCTTGGGCTAGGGTACCCTGTGGGCTCATGTATGTGCTGGTCTGCCTGAGCTCGAAGTAGTGCTTCGTGGTTAGTATCCAGTGAGTCCACTGTTCAGATCTGCCCTGTCCAGGAAAAGTCGAAGTAAACCCTTGCCCGCTCTTGCGGGACTTACGTCTGGCTGGTTCGTCTCGTTCTTTGCGGACGTCCCAGTACAGGTCGGGGACGATGTTAAGGAGGCTGAAGGGGCGATGGTAGAGATCGTATGGCTGTTTGTGCCAAAGTGAAGCCAGGCGCTCGAACTCGCTCCTATACATCTCATTTTCATCGTCTGTCCAGTCACTTGGCGCCATTGAAGGCATGGAGAAGCTATTGCCATCAAAATAAACAGCTTCCAGACCTTCATGGGGATTGATACTGTCCAGCTGTCCTCTTGTGAGATACAGACGGCGTCAACGAATATCGGTGACTCTGGCTTCTGTTTACGGAACTGACATAGGAAGGCTGCCAAGTTCTGCCGGACGGAAAGCGTATGGCCGTGCACCGTGATATCCTCATGCACAGTATTGCTTCCCCAGGTGTAGGAGAGTGCCAGGAATGGCTCGAAAGCGAACGTTTCATCGAAAGATATGTCACGAACTCGAAGATTACAGCTCAGTGGCGAGCTGGGATCATCACTGTGCTCGACGTACAGCAGTCGAAACTCGGCCTGCGGGTTCAGGAGCCGGCAGGACTCGTAGATAGCTGCCATGACTGTCAGCGAGGATGATTAGAAGGTACAGGTTTTGGAAGAGGAAGAGGAAGAAAGTAAAGCAGATATAATGAGTCTTGCTGTGCCGCTGCATGTGGCGATTAGACGAGCCAGTGAGAAGCGATATTACGGCAGGCAGCAGCAGCGCCTCTCCTTGCGGCAGAACTGCTCGCTGCCATCCAAGATGCACATGATCAAGGCCATGTAGATTCTTCCTGAGAAGCCTGCTCTGCGATGGGATAACACAGCAGGCGCCCTGCGATGATGAATCGCTGATCGAGGATCGAGTGTGAAGGCTTGCCCATGATATACCACGGCCGGCTCGGAGCCAAACAGTCGCGACCCGATCGTGTCTCCAGAGATGTTTGTGTTTACATGAAGGAGGATGGAACAGGAGGAGTCGGAAGCAGAGAAGACTTCATTCACTTCAGAGGCACGGACCACACCAAAGTTCTAGCTCGACTCGCTGCACCGCGCTGACACTTCCTCCTCAGAAATCAACGCAACATTTTCTAGACATGCATTCTACATCCACGGCATTTTTTCAGTAACGAATGCACTGCCGGTCTCTGCTACAAGATCCGATCCATAGTTGGGCATGATTCATGCACCAAAGGCTTCCCCGCCTTCGAACCGGCTCCAGGTTGAATGCTTTTCCATCAATCCATACAAGATGGAGCGAATGGACACAATTCGTTATGGAACACTCGCTCGTAACTGCAGCCCAACGCACCAATCTAGCGTCGCGTGCCCACGATGCGCCCCTCCAGCTCTTTAGTAACACCGCTCTTCGCAGTGGCAGCAATTGCAGCTGCTGTGCCGCATGAGCATTGTCCCTTGGCGCAAACGCGAAATGGCACGTACGAGGGCGTCTACTCCCCGGAATATGACCAAGACTTCTTCCTCGGGATGCCGTTCGCTCAACCGCCGGTAAACGACCTACGCTTTCGCAATCCACAATCGCTGAACACATCATGGCACGGATCGCAGCCTGCGGTGGAATACTCCCCAGCTTGTGTTGGGTACGGGTCTTCCCAGATGGGCTACGAGATCTCCGAGGACTGCCTCTACTTGAACGTTATCCGACCGGCGGGCGTTGGGCCAAAGCAAAAGCTCCCAATTCTGGTCTGGATACACGGCGGCGGCTTCGTGCAGGGCTCGGGTGTTGATCTGCGATACAACATGAGCTTCATTGTCCAGCAGAGCCAGCAGATGGGACAGCCCATCATGGCGGTGACACTGAACTACCGTCTCAGTGCTTTCGGATTCTTGCAAGGCTACGATGAGCAGGACGCATCCGCAGGTGGCAATTGGGGGGTTAGAGATCAGAGACTTGCGTTGCACTGGATCCAGGAGAATGTAGACGCGTTCGGAGGTATGCCGTTGTTAGCAGCCTATTAGCGAAGACACGAATTGACTCTGAACTGCAGGCGACCCGGACAAGGTCACGATCTGGGGACAAAGCGCTGGGGCTGGATCTGTAGGCCTGCAAATTACAGCATACGACGGCCGAGATGATGGACTCTTTAGGTCTGCAATCATGGACTCTGGTAATCCAATCTTTTATGGCGACATGAAGCAGAACTATGAACCGATCTATCAGAACTTCACCCGTCAAGCTGGCTGCGGCAATTCGACGGATGGCCTGCAGTGCCTGAGAGATCTCCCGTTTGATGCTCTGAACGACGTACTCAACACTACCGAGTTTTCGGGTGCATGGACTCCTCAGATCGATGGTGATATCATTGCCAGGTACTCAAGCGATCAAGTCGCTGATGGGGCTTTTGTGAAAGTCCCGATCATTGACGGGACGAACTCGGATGAAGGAACCAGCTTTGCCCCCGAAGGTCTCAACACAACCAAGCAGTTTCGAGAGGCGTTGATTTGTTAGTATCGACTTCCTACATGACGTACACTTTCACTAACCCAGACGTAGCTGACGAGGGTATGAATGCCACCTTTGCTCGAGCTATTCTCAACGCTTACCCTCTTTTCTCGCCCGACAACGACCTCGCCAATCTGGGACCCATCGACTTCGTTCCTCTCGCGTACCCGTACGGCACGCAGTGGCGACGGACGACGACGTACTATACTGACAGTAGATTCGAAGCCAACCGGCGGCTGACGTGTCAAACATGGACGTTTTATGGCATCCCAGCATACTGCTACAGATTCAACGCCATTCCGTCCTGGGCCGGTCCATACGACGGTGCTACACATTTTGTTGAAGTCGCCTTCGCCATGAAGAATCTTCTGGGCGTCGGGTATCCGCCTGTGCGCAGCCCGCCTTTCCAAGGCCTTTCGAAAGGGTACTTTGAGCTCGCAACGCTTATGAGTGGCGACTGGGTGAGTTTCGTTGCTCACGGAAACCCGAACAAGTGGGATCGCGCTGGTGTCATGGCCAGTCTGCAGAAGCGTGTACCGCACTGGGACAAGTACGCGGACGCGGTCTTTCAGTACGAGGGGAACAGCACGCTACGGATGAGGAAGGACGATTGGAGGCAGGAGGGTATTGATTTGATCAACAGCGCCAACAAGGAAGTGTATGGCAGATAGTGAGACGTCAGGAAGACGCAAAGTGGTCGGAATTTTACCTCTCGTTCTCTTCGAAGCATTTCAACACTCTCTACTGGTGTGGCTAAACTAGTATTGTTGCCTGCATGAAACGCCCTCTCTAACAAGATAGGGGCAGTTGATGTGGGGCGGTCGAAGACAAGGCTGCAAGCCATCGGCCTCTTGTCAAGCAGTGCAAGTTGTCAGTGCATCAAGACGGGATGAAACCGGACGTTCTGTGGTTTCGAAGGGCCGTTTAGATCAATTCACGCTGTACGTCGTCCACACAAACGTCCCCTCACCGATTGTGTCTACATGTAGTTTGTGCGGCGATGGAAAAGTGTTCTTCCTGGTAGCGTTTGAATCATTCAACACCTCCGCACTTGATCTCCCCTCCACATCTCCAGCATCCGCCCCGGACATCTCGTACGTATGAGCGCTGGTAGGAGGCCCCCTGGGCAAGCCTGTCTACTTCGTTCTCGGTATACGGCTATGCCTTCATCTCGTTGCCTCGTTCCATCTAGTTTGTCAATCGTTCACATGTGGGGAGGAGGATAGAGAGGAGGAGGAGTGAGAAGACAAGAGGTTACTGAACTTTGCAACGCACGGACCCCACCACGAGTCGACCTGCTGACGCACCTCTTGTCAAACATCAACACAACATCTTCTGTACAGCCGGGTGCTTGCGTCTTACATTCACAGCGCTGCATCAGTAACTACGGCGTGCCTCTCGTTCTGCACGGTGTAAACAGATCCTGTCCGCCCCGTAGTACTCTGTTCGATTATCTTTGTTTCTTATTCTCAAATTCTAGAAGATATTACTGGTACATTCACGCAATGACCAGGACTACGACCTTTTAAAAACAGAACGCACTGGCAGCATTGGCATCTACGACCACATCATGGCCCTCCGCCAACACCTCCGCTCCATAACCGCCCACAATGTCCGAACCCTCAAAACCTCTCCGCTGGCGGAACTCTCTGGCTCCCTCGGCGACCTTGGGACCCTCCTCCCACTCATGATAGCGATGGCACTCAACGGGTCTGTCGATCTCGCCAGCACACTCGTATTCTCCGGCCTCACAAACGTCTTCACTGGAGCTTTCTACGGCCTACCCTTGCCAGTTCAGCCAATGAAGGCCATAGCAAGTGTGGCAATCAGCCAGCACTTCAGCAAACAGGAAACTGCGGCTGCTGGACTGACTATGGGCGCTGCGGTGCTGGTGTTGAGTGCTACTGGATTATTAAGATGGCTCAACAGGGTTGTGCCAATCCCGGTGGTGAAGGGGATCCAGGTTGGGGCTGGGTTGGCACTTGTGATCAGTGCTGGGACGAGTCTGGTCATGCCGCTTGGGTGGGTGCAGCCGGCGTACGACAATCGGATATGGGCTATAGCAGCTTTCGTTCTGCTGGTTGTTGCGAGTCTGGTGCCGAGACTGCCTTACGCATTGCTGGTGTTTGCTTTTGGCATTATCATTGCGGCCGGCGTGGTCCCTGGCTCTGAGAGCGACAGCGGACTACATGCCGGGATATGGCGTCCATCACCTTTCGTGCCACGAGGGAACGCTTGGAAGACAGGAGCAGTGGACGCAGCCATCCCACAACTACCTCTGACTACCCTTAATAGCATTCTAGCGGTCACATCACTATCGGCTACTCTATTTCCGGACTACCCACCGACGCCTTCTACTACATCTATCGGCATGTCAGTCGCCATTGCCAATCTGGTGGGATGTTGGTTCGGAGCGATGCCTGTCTGCCATGGATCCGGAGGCCTGGCTGGTCAATACCGCTTTGGAGCAAGAAGCGGAGCGAGCATCATCGTTCTTGGTTCGGTAAAGCTGGTATTGGGCCTGTTTGTTGGAGACGGCATCGTACCGCTATTACAACGCTTCCCGAAGAGCCTGCTAGGCATTATGGTATTCGCGGCGGGTGTAGAACTGGCCAAGGTCGGGCAGACTGTTAACGATGGGCGTGGAGTGTGGGAGCTCGCAGAAGAGGACAACGAAGACCGTCGAGTCGGTGGCAAGACTCGAAAGAGTCGAGACGATGAAATCAAAGACAGATACATGGTGATGCTGATCACTGCTGCTGGATGCCTTGCGTTCAAAAATGACGCCGTGGGCTTCTTTGCTGGCTTGCTCTGGCATTGGGGTCTGAAAGCACCTGAGTTATACGAGCGATTGAAAAACGGCCGTGGCTCGATAAAGCTACGGCACGACACTCACCGTGCTGAGCAAGGAGAGGGGTTGTTAGACCTGCGGCAAGATGACGCTTGAATAGTGCTTGTATTTTCCCTATGCGCTGCCTAGACTCTCTATAAATTATTCTCGAAGGCTTCGAGAAGCCCAGCGCCTCTCATGCGAATCTTGTGACCATCTCTCCCGACACAGCGGTTATCGTCGCCTGTTCCATCAACATGAGCGCGCCCTATTGGAGCCACGAGGTTTACGAGGTTCGCCCGTTAGTTCGCCAGCTCGCGTGACAACTTACACGGAGGTCTCGCGCTCCAGCAGTCCGATTGGCGGCAACAGACTTTCAGTAGCTGGCCTCCGAGGCTGAGACCACCTAATTTGAGAAATAGGAAGACCGGCTCTCCGTATGACATCGGTGGACCATGGCCGTTACATAGGAGCTCGTGAGAGCACAAAGGTAGGTGCGCCTCGTCAGCTTCTTAATGATCCTTTGTTCCTGCTTCCTTCCAAAGTGTGGTTTCGTTTTCAAGAGCGGGGAGATATCCATGGACCAGGAAGCAACAGAGCGTTGCCATCGGTAGCAGGTAACAGCATTCCACAACGTCAACGAGCCAGCCTTGCGCCGACATTCCCGGAAGGAGACCTCACGAGATCCATTCGACGGCAAAGAATACAATCCTCTACGACCACGTACGAATATCTGCCAGCTACAACATAATAACACCACCACAATGCCATCCTCAACCACCGCCATGCTCTCCCTCCTCGCCTTCGCCTTCTCAGCGAACGCCGCCCTCCAAAACGCCATCATAATCGTCTCCGCCTCCCACGGCGGCGCCGGCCAAGACATAACAAACACCACCATCACTGTCCCAATGTCCCAAACCTACACCAACCCCAAAGTCCTCGACGAAGTCAGCACCCTCTACATCGCCAACAGCACCGGCGTCCCCGCCGCCAGCGTCACCTGCACGCCCTACCGAAACCCCGACGGCACGGGAGATGCGGGGTTGGCGTTCACAGTGGAGGATCCGAGCGAGTTGAGCACGAACACGGTGCAGGTGGGGAGCATTGTGTGTATAACGACAGACATCTCTCTCGCGCCGCCGAGTGGGCCGCCCGGGGGCCCGGTGCCGTTGAGCTCGAGTAGTGCGGTCGCGAGCAGTATTTTGACCAAGACGTTGAGCTCGAAGCATGCGACGAAGACAACTGGAGGAGGGGGAGGTGCTGTGACGAGTACATCGGTCAAGACGAGGAGTGCGGGTGGGACGGCGGAGACGAGCGAGTCGACGGTCACCAGCATGGTGTCGGCGAGTGGAAGTCCTTCGAGAGCAACGGGTGCGGCGGGAGGAGCTTCGAATACCGCGTCGGCGTCGACGTCGTCGACTTCGGGGAATGCAGCGAGTGGGATCGGGCTGGGAAGTGAGTTTTACGGTGGGCTGGCATTGGCTGGGTTCGGGTTGGCATTTGTGTTATGATGAAGGCCTCTCGAGGCGGAGTTCGCAGGCGACATGGTAGCATGGAGCTGGTCGGGGTATCACTACGGTCAGAGAAGGCTATCTCGTATCAGGCGTCATGACTATCTAGTTGTCCTTGGGACCAGGTTATGTAGACCCACCTACAAACATGTGCATTGTTGCACTGATGAATGAATGCAATCAGTATACTTACTACCCTTCGAGATTCAAGCTGGGGGTGGAGAGAGTTGCACGTGGTGCCAGGAGAAGAGCCAAACCAGTGGCAATGATGATCTATTCAGCTTCCAGGCACCTCTCTCGAGAAGAGAAGTTGTCACTTGAGCCCGTGTGCAGCCTTGATAATATCCGCCGCCTTCTCAGCAACAGCATACACCGTCGACGAAGTATGCGACCCTATAATCATAGGCATGACCGACGCATCCACGATCCGCAAACCCTTCACACCATATACCAGCAGCGACGGATCCACCACACCGCCTAGCTCCCGCTTCATCATCGAACAGCTGCAAGTCGGGTGCGCCCACGTGCTTGTTGCGAACGTCCGGATGGAAGCCGCAATTTGCGCATCGGTGGTCACGTTTGTGCCAGGGAACGTTTCCACGGCGCCGATCTCTTGCATCGGACCGGAAGCCATCCACTCGCGAGTCTTCTTCAGTGCCGCGACGGCAGTGTCGAGGTCGGTGGGGTGCGAGAAGGTGCCATAGTCGAAGACGGGAGGTGCCGTTGGATCGGTGGTGTTGATCACGATGGTGCCTCTGCTGAGTGGTTTGAGCATGGCTATGGGGACAGTGTTGCCTCCAGCCCAGGCGACCTCTTGCACGGTGGCGTGGGCTGAGGCGTAGAGGTCGAGCGTCAGGTCGCTTTGGGCTTTATAGCCAGCGAGGATGGTCGGGTCGATGTCTGCTGGAAACAATGACTTCGCATCTACTGCGGATGCAGAGTCGATCAATGACTGGTAGTTGGCGGTCATGTTCTGCAGCGGCAGGTAAGATACGATGCTCCCGCTGTTGTATGTGATCGTCAGAGGGCCTGCTACTGTCAGCGTTGCATGTAACACTCTTCCGTCAAAACTTACCGGTACGATTCTTGTAGTAGATGTCTAGCTGATCATCAACCCAACTCTGGTTCGTGTACTGCCAGTCGGGAGATGGGAAGGGGTAGTTGCTGTCTGTTACCGCATGAGTGTTGGAAACAGAATCATGACCCGACAGATTGATCACTCACAGGTGAACTGCATAAACATCGAAGGCTGGTCTTGGAAGTTCTGGCCAACACCCGGGAGATCAACAATGGTCTCAATTCCGAGCCCAGAGAGCAGCTTCTTCGGTCCAATGCCAGACAGCTGCAAGATTTGTGGGCTGTGAGGCGCTCCAGCTGCGAGGATGATCTCGCAACTAGCCTTGGCTGTTCGAGGGGCTTTCCCATTGCCGTTCTTACGCGACGTAAACTAACACGCAGTGGGTTAGAACAGCTGATGTGGACGGTCGAGCTCACTTACGCTGACAAAAGTCGCTTTTTTCTGCTTGTTGAAGTTGATCTTCGTGACCGTCTGACCTGTAATCAAATGGAAGTTGTCTCTGGTATCCGCGATAGGGCGGTAGTAAGCATCCGATGCATCCGACCGGGACTGGTTCTTTGCGGTCAACGAGAGAGGGCCATAGAAAGCGCCATTCGCATCTCCGTCGCTGGGCTGAGGCTGCGTGGAGACTCCGATGGCATTCCAGCCTCGGAAAAAATGTTCTGGGACCAAGTTAGGATGAAATGATCTTGACACTCGCTCGAGGGCGGAGAATGATATGGACAAGAGGGTGAGTTGAGGCTTACTCATGACCGGGTACTGGAAATTGGAGAAGCTGGATCCCACAGGACCATCGACCCCGTGAGGAGCAAGATCGGTCGAGATGACACCTGGGTACTCTTCGAGAATCTCCTCGATTGGTGGAGTGAATGTCTCGCTCTAGTGTGAGAGCAGCAGCTGTCAACGTGGGAACTTCATAACATGCAAAGCGTGTGGGCCAACCTTCTTGAAGTATGGTAGCAGGTCGCTCCAGCCCCAACCAGGGTTGCCGAGTTTAACCCAGGCATCTGTGGAACAATCAGATAATCAGCAGTGCTCGAGCATGAGTCCCTCCAGAGAAGAGACCTACCGTAGTCGCCAGCTGAGCCACGAGTAAAGAACATGCCATTGACCACAGTGCCACCACCCACAACAGCACCAGTGTAGACTGGGCTTGTCCGGCCATCGAGCCCGGGTTGAGGCACACTCTCGTAGTTGCGTAGATACTTGTCTGGGACTGGGAGGCCCGGCACTGATGTTCCTCCATCTTGAGCGTCTCTGGTTTCACGTCAGCTTCAGACAGCTCAGTCTGATAGATCTGCACGTACACATAGCCGTATTCGATCACAAGGACATTGACTGTCGTTAGAACATATCAGCAAAAAGACCCATTGAGTTTGATGAAGATATAGGTACGTACCTTCAGGGTCTTCCGTGAGGCGATTGGCGACGACCAAGCCACTTGTGCCGCCTCCAACGACTACGAAGTCGTACTCCGGTTTCAATTTCGAGACGTCGTCAACGACGACAGCACGGGGAGCGGCTGGCACGACCCGGGAGGCATTGGAGGCAGAGATCAAGGCCAGGCATGCCAACCACTGTGAAACGAGGGACTGCATGACGGCTGTGATGGATGTGTGACTGATGAGATGGAAGAAGGGAAGAAGGAAAGTCCCTCCCCACGCCAACGCCTACCACGCCTGTCAAGGGGAGGGGCCGGACCTGGAACTCACTTGGCCTCGCGTGGAGGTCCTCGAGGGCTTGGGACCTGCATGTTCGCAATCCCCGCACGTGCTGCGGATGTAACATGCAGCTAGGGCTTCTCCACGTGTCCGGCGGGAACTCATTGTACCACCAGCACATCCATACAGTCAACTGACCAGTTGTTGTGGTCGAGATGGTGCAAGACCTGTTCTGGATTTAATGGGAACCTGAATACTTGTGAAGCTCAAGGGTCATTGTCCTGCGGTACTTCAGACTGCCATGCTTCTTCTACGGTGCCGGGGGTGCTGTCTTAGCGAGGTTTGCTCGCATTGCCCGCGAGGATGCATGTTCAACAAGGGCAGCTTGCTGGTGGTATTAAAGCAGTTCCGGCTCCTTCTGCCGCCACCCGACCCGACAACCGCAAGCGCTACCAGAGCCTAGCGCATTCACTTGCTGTGGAGATTCTTGGATGGTTTAGTTTACGGTGTCTTGCCTTTGCCTTCCCATTTGAATCCCTTCGACCTGCCGAGTCCGACTTTTTGCCACGGCGGGGTGTGTAGCGTCTCAGATGGATACACGAGTCTGCAAACAAAAGACAGCGAGCCGTTACCGCAGGAGCGCCCGCTCACCGCTCTGTTTCGTAGACTCACCGGGATGCGGGCTGGTTAGCGTTCGGTATAAACGACCTGGACGAGCTGGGATAGCGACAAGGATACTCGACCCTGCACGATAGCGAAGCGTACGCGAATAAGCAGGATGAGTTAATCAGAAATCCCTAGACGATGCACCAAGCAATGTCATGCTCCTTGTCTCCTCTACGCATGGCCGGTCGCCGGTCAAAGGGGGGCCGCATGCCCAGCTGGAACTACATGCTGCTGTACTCTTCATCGGCGGCGGAAATCCCACGGCCACTGACACTAGATTAGCAACGTGCACGACAATGGGCTCAGACAACCCCCAGGACTACGGCATCACCCTGCCCATTGCCATGACCATATCGGCGTTCTGTGCTATTGCCTGGGTCAACACCATAGAGCTACAGGCCAGGATATGGCTGACGTCCAAACGATATAGCGGACTTTACTTCTGGAGTCTGGTCCTGTCTTCCTGGGGGTGCGCCAGTAAGTGCAGTGGCAGAGGGCCACGTTATTATCGCTGATACTAATATGACCGACAGTTCATCCACTCTTTTTCCTTTCCTGGACTTCTCCATCATCCGACAAGCCAATGCTGTTGGCGTGACCATTGGTGTGTCTTGGTGGTGCATGGTGACCGGGCAAGCGTTGGTCCTGTACTCAAGACTCCATCTTGTTGTGCGAGATACGACCAGAATCCGATGGGTTCTTATCATGATCATCACCAACTTCTTCATCCTACACTTGCCGATCATGATCTTGAGCCAGGTGGTGAGCGTTACCCCCTCGCAATCAATCCCGTTGACAACTAACCGTTCCACTACAGGGCTATTCTCCTGTCCCCAACGCGGGAAGATGGCTCGATGTTTACAACATCTACGAGAAGGTCCAGATGACTGGCTTCACCATCCAGGAAACCATCATCTCTGGACTCTACCTTTACGAAGCCCGCAATGTACTTCGCCCAGGCCAAGCGTTCCAAAAAAGAAGAGTGAACAAAGTTTTGAAGCATCTCATCTGGGTCAACATCTTCATCATATGTCTGGACGCTGCACTCCTCGCCACAGAGTTCGCAAACCTTTTCACAATACAGACAGTCTTCAAGGCGGCGATATACTCTGTGAAGCTGCGATTCGAGTTCTTCGTGCTGAACCAGCTGATAGAGGTGGTTGGTGCACGTGCTGGTGTATTTTCTCTCAGCGCGTCTGGCACGCACGATACCTCGCGCTCTGGCCACAACCATAGCCATCAGCTCGGCACCATGAACAGTCGACACACCTACTCAGCCCACGCTTCTCATGGCAAGAGCCAAGCAGCAGACGATCAAAAGATGGACGGCGTGTTGCGAACGACCGAAGTCCGCGTTCATGGGCTCTCGGAACAGGCAGAGGGAGAGGTGGAGGCCGAAAGATACCACGGCGTCACCCACAACAACTGGACCGGCGAGAGTTTCGCGAGGCCAGATCGTAGGCGTCCCTCGTCCCCAACGTCTTCGGAGGTGGAATTTGCGGCGGATGGCGCGTATCCCTCGTAGCAGTGGGAAACGTGTTGGTGGCCATTTGTTTCGTGTACATCACTGGACATCGACCTGGTATGTGTCGGATAACTGTAGTAGACAGTCAACTCATCCGTACCAAGCTCAGCAATTTGCAGAAGCCCAAACAGCCTTGAGCCAAGACGATGCGACCAACGACGCCGTTGCGGCAGCATCGCTGGAGTTGAGTTACTTAGGTGCGAGTGAATGAAGAGCACAGTTGACAGCCAACGTTTTGCGTCAATGGAAGACGATTGCATTATGAAGGCTTGCAATACAGTATGGTCTGTCTTAACGACACATTCGACTCCGCTCTCAATGACCAAACGACGGTTGCCCCTTTTTCTATCATGTCACGGCCTCCTACTCAAACCGCCCAGCGAGACCACGGCTAAGCGCATTGCTGTTCCTCCTCATCTGCGCGATCCTCGCCGTATTCTCCTCCCTTCTCTTCGTGCTGGCCTCCACAATCGCCTTCCGCTCCTCAGCCCTCGCCTGATACGCAAGCGACGACTTCTTGCTTCCTCCCATCTTGACACCACTGTTCTCCCTTGACAAGTTCGGCGTACTGACGCCCCTGTCGTTCGCCATCGACGTCGTGTTCGTTGTGGCTCGTCGGAGCAGGGACGGGACCTTGAAACCTCCCGACGATGGATTGGCAGCCCATGCTGTACGACTGTGAGCACTGTCGGAGCCGCTGCTAGCGCCTCGTTTCAGCGAAAGACGGTCGACCACTGCGGGCTTGGCTGGGGCGGCTGTACGACGCTGTGAGGCCGGCAGACGAGGCGGTGGCATTGCCTTCGCGTCGAAGCTTGCTGTGTTCGGTGCAAAGCCTCCATCGTTCTGACGCGATTGCTCGGCTTCAACCTCAGCATCGTCGTCGTCTTCACCGAAATCTGCTTCGCCATATTCGTTCTCGGAGTCGGAGCCAATGTCCAGGACTGAGGGCCCGACCGTTGTTCCACCGTGCGACTCTTCAAGCAAGAAACTGACAGACTCCTTGACTTCCAGCAGGCTTGTAGGCTTCTTGAAGGCGGAGGCCTCCGTCCTTCTCTGCTTGACGGGAGGCCTCTCGACATTTTCAGGGCCTTCGCCAGCTTTGCGCTTGTTGCCGCTTGTCTCCTGCAGAGCACCAGAAGCGGCCTGCTGCGACTGTGACTGCGTGCTGTCGTCTTGTGTGGCAGGACCAGTATCTTCGTCGTCGTCGCCAACATCAAGCAGGTCATCACCGCCATCATCGTCTGCGATCGCTTTCAAGAACGCCTCCTTGCCCTTGCTGCGCTTGCCGTCCGCCAAACTAGCGATGTTCTCGTCCTTGAGCAATGCCCTTCGCTTCTTCGCTTCTTCCTGCTGCCTCATCTGCCGCCTGCGAAGAGCAATCTCACCCTCATCTTCGTCCAAGTCGAAGGCATTGGCTGCTCGATTGCGTCGCATCATGCCCGTAGTCAAGTCCTTGTACAACTTGCTGGTCTCCTCTTCCTCGCGCAAACGTTGCTTTTCTGCAAAGTGCGCAGCAATGGCGCGTTCGTCAACCTCAACGTGAGACGAATCGATCATTTCACGATCCTGCTCGGTTTCTGGCGCGACAAAGTCGTCTCCACCAAGACCAGCATACTCGTCCTCGGATTCTTCGGCGGCTTCGTCCATCATCTGCCGCATCTCCTTGTCCACATCAGCTTTTTCCACCGCGGTCAAGGCCTTCCTTCGACGCTCGGCCATCTCACGGAAAGCGTCTTTCTTCTCAGGTCGGATCGATGTAGGCACTGTCGGAGAGTCGTCGTCGCTGTCATCAGCCTGAACTATCCGCCTTCTCCCCAGCCGGCCTCTGCGAGGCGCATGTTGCGAAGGCGCCGGTGACTCGCTCACCCTCAGCCGCACAGTAGACTGCGTGTCGTGGTCTGCCATAGAGTCGAGCGTGTCTTCACGGTTTATCTTGGGCACAACATCCCATGGCGAGATGAGGCCTTGGTCTTGCGTAGGCTCCCATCCAGGAGTCTCCCACAGCGACGAAGCATCTCTGGTCATGCCTGCTGTTGCAGGTGTCTCGGGCATTTGTGTTTCCCAGTTCAGGCTGACTCTCTGGCTTTCCGGAACCTGGCTACCTGCGACGAAGCCAGATTGGGTGTCATCGTCGTCTTGTGTGTCGAAGTCTGGTAGAGTTGGAGGCAAGGACACTGTAGAGGGTGGTGCTTCCCGCTGAAATCTGCCAAATTTTCCCTCTTGTGTGGCTTGCGATGGAGTTTGCATAGTCGCATTGAAGGCTTGCGTTGGGCTCATGAGGGCCGTCGGGTTTGCAGCTCCGAAACCGAATGCAGCAAACGGGTCCTGGCTCTCTTGCGACTCTTCTGCGGTAGTGCCGTCCATGGCTTCTCCTTGAGCAATGTTCTGATCGTTCTGATCGTTCTCGTCGTCCTCGTCCACAACGATTCGAGACTTCCTGCCCTTTCGCACGACCTGTGCGGGCGTCGAGGATCCAGCCCGGTGGCTTTCATCGTCGTTTTCAGCGATGTCCACCGGTTCTTCACCAGGGTACCGCTCGTCTACGGCAGCCTCCTCACCTTCGCCTTCACTGCCGGCTTCCAGATCTTCGTCTTCGTCCTCCCCGGTCTCATTGGCAGCATCGTCGACTAGGCCTGTCGCTTCATCATCTTCCTCATGTTCTGCTTCCTCTCTGCCTTCATCCTCACTTCCAGAGCCCAGGTAGTCTTCATCTTCATCCTCATCATCACTAATCTCAACAGCACCTTCGCCCCCAGCCTCCTTGACCGCAGCCCTTTCCGCCTTCCTTAACGCCACCGCGTCCTGGCGAGCCTTTTCAAGCAAGTTCTCGAAGGCTTCGGCTTCTCTCTCGCGCTCCTCCCCAGTCTGAACGTCGATCCCCTTTGCTTTGAGCTCTTCGATACGTTCGAGCTGTTCCATTCGAGCTTGCTCCTTGGCTCGCCTCCGCAGCTGTAACTCGAGTGCCGTCGGATTCAGAGATGGACGTGTGCCCTTCTTCTGCGGCTGTGCATCTCTGTTGTGGATATGCGAGAGATGCTTGAGATTGTGAATTGCTTTGGACTCCGCCGGTCTGCTCCCACGCTTCGATCCCACTGCGTTGTCGAACATGCGCAAGTGATGTGGAAGCGCTGGGAGGATATCCAGCTCGTCGTCGCTGTCCGTCGTCTTCGGCAAAGCAGCCTTCTTGCCCAGCCGAGCAAGCTTGAGTCCTTTCGTTTCATTCTGGTATTCTACACGCACTGGCTCAAGCGTGGCATTTGGCATTTGGGATGACCTCATGATCTCGGCCAAGTCCGGCAACTCCTCATCGTCGTCCACTTCGGTAAGTGCTGTAAGACTGTCCTGTCTGACAGGCTGCAATTTGCTGAGTGCTCCTCGCTCGACCAGCGCCTTCTGTCTGTCCAGCGGCGTAGGAGGGCTGGTTGGAGGCGTGCTGACTGGTTCTTTGCTCCGCTCCTCGGGTCCGTCACTGCTTGGTGCAGAAGACGACGTTGTCTGCGCTGCGGCTGCCGGCTGTTTCGCAAGTCCCTCATTCGTGCCAGTCTTCCGGAAGTTGAATTTGGCAAAGAGGTCACTCGTGGTGAACTTCTTCTTGACTCGCATCTGATGCGCAAGTGCCTGTTGACGAGCCATTCGTTGAGTCTCTCGTTCCATTTCGAGCAAAGCCTTCTTGCTGGCCTTGCGAGCCGGCCGGCTGGCATCTGACATGATCTTCTCGACCTCCAGGTCCGCAGGTGTATCTTGAGAGTTATCGAAGGCCTCATCTGGCGAGTCAGACGATGTTGCATTGCGTACCTCGTCCGCACCGGCCTTGCCGGCCAGTCGTTTTTCTCGATGTTGAGCTACCAGATCCAGCTTCCGCATACGGCCGACTGGATTTGTCGGAAGCTCGTTCTCGCTGTCATCATCGGCAGATTTAGCCGGGCTGGCGAAGAGTCCGTTGCTTTGTCGGTCACTTAAAGGCGATCGTACTGGAGAGATGGTGTGGCGGCGTGTTGCCGCCAGAGGTGTGGTCGAGTAGAGCTCATCTCCGCTCTCATGCGCGGCATCGGGCTGGGCGTGAACTGGTGGCGAGCTTTTGAGTTGTCCAAGCATTCGCCGCGCAGCCCTGCCCTGTGGTCTCCTGATGTCGTTTGAGTCGTCGCTGTCGGCTTCAGATTGCTCCTCAAATGGTCCTATTCTGTCTCCTGCGGGCCTAGCGGAAATGCTGGGAGAGTCTGCGCGTGTGGCATCAGAAGGCTGCACCTGTGGTGGTGATGGCGTCGGTGCAGCGTCGATGTCAGCCAGCATCTTCGCCACTTTGGTTCGCGGAGTCAGTACATCGTCCAGCTGAGGGCTTGACCTGCCAGGAGGTGAAGAAGGCTCCATTGCGTTTGAGATTGCTGGCGATGCCGTAACAATGCAGCTTTCCGTGTTTACTGCGTCATATCCTGGATACTGTGCAGCATTTACCGTAGCAATTCGAGGTTAGTGTTGATATTACTGAGCGTATGAATGTTGAGGTCAATGGATTGATGTTGGAGACGCGCTTTCACGCGTCGCGCTTATCGATAAGATATCTCTTGGCAAACTAAACTCAATCTGCGGCGCTTCGGGAGTGTCCTCTGACAACATCTCGTCAACCGCATTCTTCTGGTGTATTGGCGTATGCTATGTACCCTTCTTCCTCGGAGGTCGCTGGCTCGATGGCCTCGCCTGGCTCCTTTCCGGCACCATGGACGATCAGACGAAAGGTGTCATACCAGCAGAGGGCACCCAGAAGACGCAGGAGATGAGGACTCGAAGACTGACGGCGGGCCTCATGCGCCCATTCGCAAGCATGACACGAAGCGGTTGCGCATACACCAATGCATGATTGGTTCGAGGGAGGATGCTCCCACGAAAGACAGCCAGAGCAGAGAGCAAGAGAGCCTATCGGGGCGTGGCCGCCATACGTTTAGGAAGCTCTCAGTGGGAGTAGACGATACGAATTCAACCACGAGCGCACCGCAAGGGAAGGCGGGAATGACGGCGGAGGACGCTACCGAGTTCGTGGAACTGCATGGGTCATTGCTCGATCCTGTTCCGAGTACTCTGCGCGTCAGGCGACTCCCTACGCGAGACGGTTGTCCTCTAGTGCGAACGTTCCTTGCTTCGCATAATCCCCACGAGGTTCGGTTGAAGATACCAGCTGTCTCCTTGCAAGGACGGACTCATCCCACGAGCGATGGCCACACCTCCACGTTCCAACGAGTTCTTCAAACACTGGAAACTCACACACCTTCATCAAACATAATTGTGCATTCATCCACACCAAACAACATATCAGACGATGACGACGACTTCCAGCTTCAGGAGCTTGAACAAACGATGGGAGATGTCACGTATGCACCGCATCCCAAAGCGCAAGGGCTTCGTCTGTCTCTCCATGGACGGCCGCCCTTGGTGGCCCCCCGCTATCCGCCACAGCGCTTCACAGCAGTCACGTTCACCGCGCATATCAGTGATTTGACAAGGCGAACACATCGGCGGGCTCTCAACGCTACAGCCCTTTCGCAACCCGTGCAGTCCAAGTTCCCGATGCCAGACGTGATCGGGGATGAGCTGCTTGAACTCTTCACGGCCAGCGATTTCAGACACCTTATCTCCAGCGACTCACTGGATGCTTGCTTGCGATTCCTTCTTCGTTTCAAGAGACACAGCCACATCCATCGTATTGCGACCGTGCTAAAGAACAATGCTTACAGTCTTTCTCCCTCTAACCTCGAAGCTCTTTTGGAAGTTGCTGCGCAGCAGAGATCATTCGCGACTTTCTTCCATTGGCTGAGCGTCATGATTGAGAGCGGCATGGGCCCAACCGATTATGTCTGGGTATCTGCACATCGCCTCGCCTGCAAAGAAGCTCCTGACCAAGTTGAACTTCTCGAACAAGCCATGCGGAAGAAGGGTGTTTTTGAAACCCCATCCATCGTGGCGGAGGTGGCCAAGAACAGCGTTGTACTTAGCCTGAGCGCGGCCTTGGAGAACGGAGATCGAATAGAGTCTTTGCTCGGCGATTACGACGTGCGATACGGTCCGCACAGATCCTGGCTTACCGAGGGTATAGTCAACATGATTGTCGGGATCCTGCTCCAGCACGGGAGAAAGGATGAGGCAATGAAGTTGTTGAGCGAAGTTCGGACTGATGATGGTCCGCGAAGAGAACGCTTTGCTAGTCCCAGCACTTTGAATGTCTTTGTTGCCGATGCTCTGCGGAATCAGGACATGGGGGCAGCGGTCGCTTGGCTTCGTCAGTTGACGACTCAACCCCTTGAGCCCGCAGAGGCATACGGACCGAAATCAGGGCATGCTTCCCCTGGATGTGATGAGATGATGCTGCTACCAATCGAAGACCGACCCGTCGCTCCACCCAAGCTAGGGCATCTCACGCATGGCATATTGTTTCAGCTCGCATGGAAGACCAGACACCTGAACTGCCTACGAATAATCTGGCAGTATGCTTGCATGACTGGATGCGTGACCCAAACGATGCAGACGCGGATGCAGTATAGCGTGCACATGGGATCGCCGCGTCATACGGCGGACACAGAAGCATCCGTGGTTTTATCTCGTCATACTCGTGTGTTTCCAGAGGCTCGGTACAAAAGAGCGGAATGGACGATGAGGAGGGACTTGTGGCACTTCTGGGCTGCCAGATTTGCCATTGGCATTCGCAATGGTGTGGCATCTGATAGCGAGCGGACTGAAACGACATTCCGGCCATTTTTCACGAATGTCGAGCAGCCTGTGCGTCCGATCCCTCTGGACCAGCGGCAACAAGCACTTCGGGACAGTGTGTCAAGCTCTAATGCCGCGTGCCAACCTTACTCGTCCAAGGAAGATCGGCAGGAGACACAACGTGCGGAATCACATCACAGCAACACAGGTTCTGCTGCACCTCATCCGGTCGAACCAATACGTATCCTGGCGACCAAGGACTTGAGGATGTTACTCGAACAAGACATCTCGCAAGTTCGTCGTTCGCATGCCACGCAGCCTTTTCTGGACATGTTGGAACGAGCATACAAGACGGACTGCGAATGGAAAGAAGGCGGTCTTAGTCTTGCGAGGGGCGTGCTTGATCGCAAGGTTTTCATACAGATGCTGGAGCGTGGTATCGATGTTCCTACCGAACGGAGGCCGTGAAGTACTGGTTGAGCGGTTGTGGTGGTACCACACGGCAATGGCAGACAGTCACAGCCGGTCCGCAATATCCGCCGTTGTACAACCACAAGCCGTTCACTGTCGGTACACAAGAGATAACAACACCGCAAAAGTTTATCGGCTACTGGAAGCAACCCGATATCGGGCGGATTTTGACTATTCGGGAAGGTGGGAAATAAAAGTGTCAAGAACCGCTCGTCAATGCTACAACGCTACGTAATCACTACAACTGCCAGCTGCTTGCTAGGTAGGTATTCTCTTAGATCCACTATCCTCCCCATTCAATATTCCTCTCGATCTTCGAGCGTTGAAGCATTGAATCTCGATTTGAATCACTCCATTCACTCACGCTGGTCAAGACGTTGCCTGTACCTTGTTGGAGCTTCTTTCGACATAGCAAACACACTTCCTCATTCTACCACACTCTTGACCGCACCACAACAATGCCTCTCTCCACCTCCGCCTTCTCTCCTGAGGACACTCCTCGATTCGATCACTTCCCCTCCCGCCGCTCCGTCGTCCACAGCACGAAAGGCATCGTATCTTCCACACAACCACTGGCGTCACAATGCGGTCTCGCAGTGCTTCGCATAGGCGGGAACTGCGCCGATGCTGCCGTCGCGGTAGCAGCTGGACTCAACATGACTGAGCCGGGCAGCACAGGCATTGGCGGAGACATGTTCTGCTTGTTCTACGAAGCGAAGACCAAGAAGGTGCATGCGCTCAACGGCAGCGGGAGGTCGGGCAAGAACTGCACACTGGAAGCTGTGAGGAAGAGTCTTGGGATTAAGGAGGGGGAGAAAGGCGGTATACCCATGGACAGCGCGCATGCGGTCACTGTTCCCGGAGCGCCTGCTGGATGGGTGGACACGGTTGAGCGGTTCGGGAGCGGCAAGGTTAGCATGGAGGAGATACTGGCGCCGGCGATAGAGTTGGGTGAGGAGGGGTTCCCGGTCAGCGAGCTCATGGGGTATCAGGTTTGCTTCTCCCTTGCATAAACACGTCGGCTGACGCTAACAGGTCGAAGTGGAGCGCTTCTGAGGCGATGATCAAGAGAGCGTCGCCGAATGGCGCGGAGATGCTGAAGCGTGATCCCGATGCGAAGGATGGGTGTCGAGCACCGCGCCCGGGCGAGATCATGAAGAACCCGAACTTGGCCAAGACGTTTCGAACAGTTGCGAAGGAGGGCAAGGCTGGCTTCTACAGTGGCAGGATTGCGGAGGAGCTTGTTAAAGTTGTGTCGGACCTTGGTTCGCATCTGACGCTGGATGACTTGAAGCACCATATGGAGGTTGGGACGGAGACGACTGAACCGATCAGCTTCAAGTTCAATGCCCAAGATGTTGGCAAGTCGCATGGCAAGCACATGGACGGCTCGAGCTCAGAAGGAGTCGAGCTTTGGGAGCACCCACCCAACGGCCAGGGCATCGTTGCGCTGATGGCGTTGGGCATAATCGAGCAGCTGGAAAAGAGCGGCAAGATCCCCAAGTTCGGCCCACAAGACCACAACTCCGCAGAATACCTCCACATCGTCGTCGAAGCCCTCCGCATAGCCTTCGCAGACGGCAACTGGTGGATCGCCGACCCCAACGTCTCCAAAGTGCCCACAAAAGGCATGCTGAGCCCCGAATACCTCGCCGAGCGCGCAAAACTCTTCAACCCAGCCCAAGCCTCCGAACCCCCTTCCCACGGTAGCCCCGCGCACAACCACAGCGACACCGTCTACTTCGCCTGCACGGACAATGAAGGCAACGGCATCAGCTTCATCAACAGCAACTACGCCGGCTTCGGCACGTGCATCATCCCGAAGGGCTGCGGTTTCACGCTGCAGAACCGCGGAGCCAATTTCAACTTACAACCGTCTGACCACCCGAACATTCTGGCCCCGAGGAAGAGGCCTTACCACACTATCATCCCCGCCCTGGTGACGAATGCGAGTGATCAGAGCTTACACTCCGTCTACGGCGTCATGGGCGGTTTCATGCAGCCGCAGGGCCACGTGCAGGTGCTGCTCAACCAGCTCGTGTTCAAACACACGCCGCAAGCGGCTCTCGACGCCCCGCGCGTGTGTATCGGAGCCGGGATGCCGGATGAAGGGGACGTGATGGATAGGACGGTGTATCTTGAGGCTGGTATGCCGGAGGAGACGGTCAAGGGGATGGAGAAGCTGGGGCATCAGGTGAAGGTTGTGAGTGGGATGGGTAGGGCGTTGTTTGGACGCGGGCAGGTTATTAGGTGGCATGTTGATCCGGTTGAAAAGGCTGGGGTGTGGAGTGGTGGGAGCGATCAGAGGGGTGATGGGGCTGCGGTGCCGCAGTAGATTTGGAAGGTTGTACCAGCGTTGTAGATGGCTTCCTGGTAAATGGCATCGGCATTGGCTACGATGCTTCGGTCGTGCTTTGCCGAACTTGTCGAGATATAGTGAAGAATCGACGGGAATCTCTCAAGTCTGGCAGGATAGTTGAAGTATTAATTTCATGTGCAGCAACAACCCTCAGATATTCGCCAGACACCATGCTAAATCCAACAACAAGCCTTCCGCACCATTATCGTAGGTAGTACAGTATCATCTCAGTCCGCCATAAGCCTATCTTAAGAGCCTGCCGCGCGCTCTGGTGGATGTGGAGAGCTTCCACCAGCCGCTGCACTCTGCCCCTGGCCCGCCGAGCCTTCCGTCTGCGTCGCAGAATAGTCTGGCGGCTTCAATCCCGCTCCCTCTCTCGACAACGTTTGCATCGGCACAGCTGGTCCTCCACCCGCACCCCTACCTTCCCTCTCCTCCAGGCTCGTCTTCGGCACATAAGCCGGCGGTGCCTCTCCATATTCATTCAACCCTTCCTCCCTACTCGCATCCGCATGTCCCCATCTCCCACCCCACTCATGTCTTCGCTCTGGATTCCAGTTCGTCCACCCGCCATCCGGCCTTTCCCCACCAAAATTCCCCTGTGGCCCTGCTTGCTGCCTGCCCAGATACAGCGCTCTCATTCTGTACCGTCTCCGGAGTATGAGGAAGATGCACAGACCGACTGCGCAGAGTATGAGGGCAAGAAAGCCGAAATAGTAGTTCACAAGGCCGCCGGAGTTGTCGGTGTTGGTGTTGTTGGAGGAGCCGCCAGGGGCACTGTCGTTGGCGGTCGGGGTGGACGAGCTGGAGACGTAGAAGAGGGAGCTTTGCCGTTTGAGGAGGGTGTGGGTGGCGTATGGGTTGGTTGTGGTGGTGGCCATGCTATTGGCTAAGGAGCTTGGGATGAGGCACAGCAGGAGTGTGAGGATGGCGTGTGGTGGTCGGAACATATTGATGGTTGTGCTGGTGATGGTCCAAGACGCTCGTTGGAGAGGCCTGACAAGGTTCTCGTCCTCGAAGAGTGCACCGGGTACTGGTGAGTAGGAAAGTGCAAGGTGGTGAATCGGAGACAAGGCCTCGGAGGGGTCGGTTACACAGCAGTAGTGTTGTGAGGCCGCATGTCGTAGCTGAGATGCTGTAACTCTAAGGTAGAGGACGCTTGTATCTCCAGTGACCCGATCAGCTCCGCTCGATGAGAAGAATGAAGTCGAGGTCCAGTCGGAAGGTGATGGTGGTGTTGGTGAATGTTTGCCTCCCTTCAAGAGGGCTCGGGAGGCGCGAGCCGGACGCGTGGTGGAAGCTTATATGGAAAGGCACGTGCACGCGCCTAGATTGCCTTCAGATCGATCGCTTTCCCTTCTTCTCATAACCTCGCCTCCGTAACACGAATAAGACTGCACGATGCCTCGCGCCGTTGGAGGTATGCTTGTGCCAACGAGAATATCGTGATGTGCCGCTGACAGCATCCGCAGGAGTCTTGGTGGAGTGCGATCCCTCGATCAAAGCCATCATCAGCCGCATCAACGAGCAGCACAACCACGACATCATCATCGAAGACATCGACGACGAGCATGTCCTCATCAAGAAGGATAAGCACGAGGAGCTGAAAGCACTCCTTAAAGACGTACGTTGCAGCCAACCCTCAAGGAGCGACTACAGCCTATGGGCTTACTAACGGGCATCATTCTAGGCTCTACGAGATACCGTCAAGGAAGCTGAAGAGACATCAGAGTCCGAATGAGATGGCCCTGGCCTCTTCTTTCCGAATTGTGTTCATCGGCGCCGAAGTACGATCCCGAATGCGGCGCTCCGTGCTGGTTACTCATCATCACGCCTTACCTGACAGGGGTGGTGGTGAACTTCATTTGCTCACAACTCGCTTTCCAGCTGCTCCTCAGTACTGATCTTTCATTGAAAGAGTGACTACTCTGTCTACCGGCCTTTCGTCTGCAGGACGTTCATCTTTTACCGCCTGATTTGTTCACTGGCCTACACGCTGTCGGAGCCAGGCATGTTCTTCTTCTGGTCCGCACCTCCAATCGCAGCAACCCACGAAGGCCTCAAAGGCGCATAGAGCTCTACAGCTGGCTTAGCATCCTCCAAAGCATTGTTGTCGTCCAAAACGCCGGCCTTGACCACCTTGGAATTCCCAAAGGTCGCTCCGTCGCGGTAGAGAGTCGTGCCGCAGTCACCGCAGAAATAGGATGTCACAGTATTTCCGGTGTCGTCGCCCTTCTTCCCAATGGACTTTGGGCTGCCTTTGACCGAGAAGCCTTCGCCGTCGACGATGTAGTTGGTGCTGTAGGTCGAGCCGGTGATCTTCCTACAATCTTTGCAGTGGCACAATGCCTAGCGCGCGCGAGTCAGCCGGGCTACGACTTATCGAGACTCCCTTCACCTCCAGGACGACCAGAGGGATGACATACCTTCGCCTGGACGTCACCAGTGTACTCGATGCTGCACGCACCACAGAAGCAGCTTCCCTTGGCCATGATGTCTGATTCGGTCTTCGGAAAGGTTTCGACGGTCTTCAAAGGATTGATTGGCTGGATCGAAGAACTGTGTGTCTAGGTAAATGACATTAATGGTTTTGCGCAACAAGGAATATATATACCCATCAGCCGGTCTTCCGCGAAAGCAACAGCTTACAACCCCGCCAAAACAACGCCTATCTCGACGTCACTCAGGGACGGGCCTGGCCCACCGCGGGGCGTCCTCCTCATACCCGAATTTGACAAATACTTCCGAGTGCGCCGGCGAATAATCGTCTTGTCGAACGTCCAGGATACTGCTACTGAACGGCTGGAGCAGCGCTGCATCAATCCTTGTCGGTCAAGGAGCCCGTATCTGGGCTGTGGATGGAATCTCGAAACCTATGACATCTAGGCGAGCCTGCGGAAGGCGCTGAAGGATGGATCTCTTTCGTGGGGCAAGCTCCACGGCGATTGACGACCTCGGACGGTGAATTGCAGCTCTTGGCACGTTATCTTATACACAAATACTTGATACCACGTACTTCCGGATCCCCTTCCCATCCAGTCTCCGGGACAGAATTCTGTCGTGCGATACACGGCGATTGAGAGGACCGGCGAGATGTGACTTCGACCTCCAGCCTGCTCATGCAGACTCTCTCGGCGATGAATGAAAGGAACAGCTTCCTACAGCTAGCAATTTCGCCATGGCGCCGATCGAGCAACGAACAGGCGGCATGATACACTGACGTTTGGCGAGCCTGCAGGAACACCAACTTGGCAAGCGCAGGATGATTCTGCAGTCGAGACTCCGGAATCACCTGTATCCGTATCATACGTGGCTTCATCCTCACGTCGCGAACAGCATTTGAATCACTTCTCTCTTCAATGTCTATTCTTCGCTCGTCTCGTCCGTTACCTCTCACCGCCCCTTCGACGTCTATTGAGCTGGCTAGCGACGATGCTGTGCGCGAAGTCGGGTATATTCTGGACGCAGCCACGAAGCCTCCATCGCCAAGTACGCTAAGCGGCGGTGTCGAGTCTTCATCTGACGGTAGGCGCTTGTGAGTTTTCCAGATACAATCACACACGGAGCAGCTCTGTTTGCTATCTGTACTACACTGTGGAGCGATCTCCTATGGAGCGCCTCTCTGGATAATGCCGCAAGTCTCCTCTCACCTCGTCCCTTTCCCTCCATCACAACTCTATAGCATTCCCGACACCACTCCCGCTCTCCTGCATACTATCCTTCACCTCCCTCTTCTTCTGCAGGTAGCGATGCTCCGCTTTCTTCACTTCCCATGCCAATTTACATTCTGCCAGCTCCTGTAGATCATCGTGGTAATTACGTCGTGTCCCGGGTCCGCCGGCCTGGAAGTCGTAAGGTGAGGCGGTGGCTGCTCGCCCTTCTTCCTTGATTGCACGGTGGTCGTCCAAGGGCTGCGGATCGGCAGTTCTCCGCACTATCGTTGCTCTTGTCCGCAGGCCTGTCCTTCTCTTCGCAACGGGTGGCGTGACATCAGTATCTTGCCCCTCGTCCGCAGCTCCATCTTCAGCTGCAGACGATGGAGGCGCAGACGACCGAGACGCAGGAGTCCCCTGCTCACACATCTCAGTCACGTACTCAATATCGGAGTAGAGCAGTTGCTTCCCCTGATCCCTCTTCGCCCTCCTCTGTCTCGCATCCTCAAACAACGCATACGCCTGCTCCGGCTCTCCCTTTGTCAACCCAGAAATATACGCAAGGTCCCTCAAAGCCGGCGTCGCCCAGTCCTTCAGCTCCAGCGGCTGCGTCTTGGAGCTTCCTGGCTCGACGAACTTGAAGGGGATCAGAGCGGCGGGCAGCCAGCGCTTGGGGTCGGCGCCGCCCCAGCACTCGTGGATGCGTTTGAGCTGTTTGTCTCGCTGTTGGCGGGCCAGGTGAGCGCAGGCGTTGTACTCTGAATGATGAGGCCCTCTTGTTTTTCGTGCGCTGGAAGGTTGGGGTTCCGGCTTTGGCGCAGGTTCCGATTTTGGTGCGGCCCGTTTACGCTTCCTCAGGTTGGGCCGTCGGACGGGTGGTGAGTCGGGTACTGGAAGACCGTGGATTTGTTGGTCGAGATCTGGTTGTGGTCCGTGGGTGGCCAGTGAGTTTCGGATTGTTTCTAGTGTTGGCAAGCCGGCTTCGGCTTGTGTTGGCGGAGGTGGTGTTGCTGGATGATACATGGTGGCGGTCGGGGCTGCGAAGGGCTCTGGGGCAGAGTGCTCAGTTGACTCGAACAGCTCCCGGTAGAGCTTTGCGTCTGAGAGATAGTGGCCCGGGCTGTGGCTCGCCTCGGACGGTCTGGCTGCAGGCATCATCTTCGTGTCAGCCTGATAGGTGAAGCAGCTCGGTGAGAAGGCGAGGTAGACCTCCAGTGTTTGTTGCGATGCACCGCACGGCGGGAAATGTTCTTGTGAGGTCTAGGAATTTGGCTCGAGCTCTGTAGACAGCTTTGCCGTTCTTTATGGTGCTGGGATGCCGCCCTTATGTAGTGCTTCTCGAGATGGCGACTTCCAGTTTGCTGATGGTACGAAGCGAGACATAGTTTGTGCATCGCATCAAAGAGCGACGCAAATACCCGGCCGGCGAGCTGCACGCTGTGCATGTTGTTTGCCCAGAACCATTACAGTATGCATGAACACCTGCTCGTATCTTAGTTGTCTGTTTATGCCGTAATTACTAGTATGAACTGAGTACGGCTGATAGCACGCACCTTCTGAATCACGTCGTGTTGTCTCACAGCGGAATGGCTCCTCCAGGGCGATTTGCATGCTCCTGCACCCGCTGGCGTTCGCGCATACGTTTGCGAATGCGACAGTTCTGTAGGTGGAAATCGAGTGCAGCCTTCGTTGCATCCCGCCGCAGTTCATACTCCCTCAGCTTGTCTTCCTCGTCGTCGATATTCCAGGTGTTAGCCGGAACATTGACGTCGGCTTCCTGTTTGATTGTAGGGTCGTTGCCTGTAGGAGGTGGAGCAGTTACTGGCTCGGATAGGGCATTGCCAACTTCACTGCGCCGACGGTTGGTGTTCGAAGGAGTTGTTGGGCTGCGTGACTGCACCCTGGCCTGTTCTTGCTCGTGAACTTGGATGGCATAGCGGACGTCGGTCTGCAATGGCTCTGGGATTTCGTCAACTCTCTCGCTTCGCGCCATGGAGGCTTGCAACGTTGCAAGTGCTTGGGCCGGTCGGTTCTGTGTCACGCCGGAGAAGTAAGCCAATTCTTCCAGTAAAGCATTACTCCAGTCTCTAGGCTCGAGCAGCCGACGATCCGGTCCACCCTTTGCGCCTTTAACCTTCCGGGTAGGTATCATGTCTGGAGGCATCCAAAGTCCGACTGACACTCCCCAGTTCTCGCGGATACGCCTCAGGTGCCGATCGCGAGTCTGCTGAGTCACAGCTCCACATTTGCTATAGAGGACGTGATTTTGTCGCGTAGCCCTTGGTCTTTTGGAAGGTGCCGTCTGTTCCTGGTCTTGCGCAAAGCCGGTGCTTGTTCGCTTTCTTTTCTCACTGTTTCTGCTCGTATAAGGGCCTGAGGCATCACAGTCCGGATCACGGCGGTCACGGTTCTGCTCTACCCGGTCAACTTCGGCCCATAAGTCTGCATCTTCGCGCGGGGGGCGAGATGATGATGGTCCAGCATCTACCGCTCGATCTTTCTCTTTGGGCGTGGTCTTCGAGGTGTATTGGCCCTCGGGACGGCTCAGTCTGGACGACGTCGCGGTAGGACTGAACATTTGTGCTGTCGGTGCAGCATAATGCTCTCCGTTGAGTGGCGCTTCCATGCCAAGACAAGGCTGCACAAGAGCGAGCGGCTAATGAGACAGAAGGTAGATCGAGCCTGGTATCCGTACGGCACTCGTGCGAGCGACCTTCCCAGGATGATCGCTGAGTGAGCGGCCTCCAAACGGGCAAGGGTGTGATATCTCGCAGATTTTTCGCACTGAAACAATATCAATTGTCTTCTTTGTCAGATTCTGTTGGTGATCTAGGACAGGCCAGCAGAGGATAGCATGTTGGAGCAAGAAGCTGGCTTTGCAGCGCGTAGTAGCCACCTTTTATAGGGCATGTAGCCGCCCCTGAGGCTGCCAACCGTGCCGCAATACTGCGTCGAGCCTCTGGCTGAGCAAGACGGTTCAGTGAAGCAGCAATGCTTGTTTTCGATGTTGTTCCTATATTGGAAGACTGGATGTTCGAAAGCGTGCAAGTCGATATTCTGTATGGTCGAGAGCGAAGCGGCGGTGAAGCTGTGCCTCCTGATATTGAACGCGCGGCGGAGTATGCAAGTTCGCTTGGTGACGACAGCATGCGATGAGATGGATGCTTCGGTTGCTTTCCATTGTTGTCTTAATGGCAGGTTGGCATTCGGCGTAGAAAGGCTAGATGAATGTCCACTCGCTTGCGGTATCGAGTAGCAGGGTAATGGGTACTTTCTGTAGGAAAGGACTGCAACGCGCGTCAGGCTTTTGTCCAATATCGTCGTCGCGAGGTGCATATGAATGAGCAGTACGGAGGTGTCTGTTCCCATCTGCTCCCCTCGAGCCTTCGCCATGGTTGGACTCTTCCCTCTCCATCGCAGCGGCATCAGCCTTGCGTTTCTGCCGCGCTTCCCATTTGGCTTATTACTTCTGGCGCTTGACTTGAGGATCTTACGGCTTTGGTGGCGGCGGCGGTGGTTCACTCAGCGCCTTGTATGCTCTGCGTGTCTTTCTGGCGCGCTCCTCACCTGACTCCTTTTGAAACATTGTTCAGTACGTAGGATGGTACATGCGCGGCCCATAAAGCAGGTGAAGGTAAAGTGCACTGTGAAAAGAACAGAAAGGAGGCCATAAGAGTGAGAAAATGCCGTACTTGCCTCTCGCACCTTCCTCGTCGCTGTTCATTCTTGCCTCAACTCTGCGTCCACGGTGCTCGACATGAGTATCTCCATCGAATCTCCAATATACCTATATCATCAAAGAAAGAGGTCCCGGCGTTTTCAAGAGTTCATGATGCCTTGCAGAAGCCAGGAAGCTGGCCGCCCGGAGAAGGTTGTCGGTTCGGCAGCTCTGTGCGGGAGCGCTTCTCTCACCAGTCTGTCTTGCACTCGCCTTCCCGTCTGGAGGAAGCCTCCTAGACATGCCCAAGCTGCAAGACACCCGCCAGTTCTGCTGGACCACGCTAGGACTCTCTCACACTGTCTCTCGTGGGCATTCTGTACGCACCCGCCATCTCGAAGCGTGAGCCTAGTAACATCTGCCTCTGCTTGAAAAATGCTCGCAGACGTTGATAAGATCGGTGTCCTGGTCGAGCAGATCGCTTCGCCTTGTGCCGGGTGTTCAGCTTGCCTTTCTCCCGTGGAGGCTCCTTGATTAGCATGCGCCGTCTGGGTATACGAATGCGACATGATAGTCCCAGCTGGATACAGTCCAAAGACGGCCGTGTAGCTGCTTGGTAGTCCTGCCCAGAGTCCTTCGGAGGAATACTCACGCTCGTCACGGGATTCCGGGCTTTCGAGCAGTCGATGTCCCCGAACCAGCACTCAGCCTCATCGAGCTTCTAGGAGCAACATTGAAAGCTTCTGTACTGACCACGACACTGCCTTGACTATGGAGAGTATATTCCGCCGCCTCGATCGTCCGAACCAAGCCTACGCTGCGGTCAAGACGACGAGGCAGTATTGCCATGGACTGATATAAAGCCACGGTAAGTGCCTTTCCAATGCACACAGCATAACCCATCTCTTCTTGCAACTCTTCCTACAAATCTCCACCATCATTCAAAGCACTTCAAGCGCAGCAAAATGAAATTCCCATCTCTTCTTCTTGGACTTCACCTGGCAGAAGCGGCTACGCTCGGGTCTCGAACAGCCCACAAACCCAAAACCAGCCAAGGGAGCTGGACAAGACAGAGCCTCATCGGACAAGGACCACGTCAAGAGCATTCTGTGACGAGCATCGGCAGTGACATCTATCTCGTCGGCGGTGTTGCGTACGACAGCCTCTCCGTCCCGGAAACGCTCAACCGAGTCGAATATTACAACACTGAGGACAAAAGCTGGCATGTTGCCGCACCCCTACCAGTACCGCTCAATCACGGCAACACAGCGACTGTCGATGGCAAGATATACTTGCTGGGCTCACTGTCTGGCGCAATGGACTGGGTCGCCATGAACAGTTCATACGTCTACCAGCCCTTCAATGATACGTGGGCAGCGCAAGTGAAAAGCTTTGCACACCTTGAGTAGTGGCTGACCACACGCACAGCATCACGCCCATGCCCAACGGCACCGCCAGAGGTTCCAGCGCTATGGGAGTGCGCGACAGTAAAATCTACGTGGCCGGCGGCATGACCATCCTCCAAGCATACGAAGGCGGTCATCAAGACAGCGTCTCCATGGTATCATCCTATGACACCCTCACAGACAGCTGGGATATCGACTACCCACCTCTCCCGGAGCCACGCCAGCACGTCGGCGGTGCAGTCATCAGCTCAACCTTCTACGTCATTGGCGGTCGCGAGAATGGCATCCATCAGTACCACAATACCACCTACGCTCTTGACCTCGACAACCCCGTGGAGTGGAAGGAGCTCTCGCCGATGCCGACAGCTCGCGGTAGCCTAGCTTGTGCTGCGGTTGGGAAAAAGATTTATTGCTTTGGCGGAGAAGGCGACCGCTCGAACCCACAGCAGATTTTCCATGAAACGGAGGTGTATGATACGACGACGGATAGCTGGGAGACGCTACTGCCGATGGAGGTTCCGAGACATGGCACCGGGGCTACGGCGGTGGGCAATAAGGTGTATATTCCTGGAGGTGGTGTGACGAGCGCGTTCTATCCAGTAGGAATTATGGATGCTTTTGTCGTTGATGGGGAGGCTTGAGGGTGTATGGTATTGTGGGGATGGAATTGTTTGTCGGTGAGCCTGTCACTATGGAACTGTTTTTATCGAGGAGTCTAGTCATTTTTCGAACGTTGCTTAGTACCACCATCCAACTCTCCCAGTCCAAAGCCGGAGTCGACTTTCTTATCTTGACGTCCTCGAAACTCTAGTATGCCGGATCTGGTAAGGAGCAAAGGTAATGTCGGAGGTTTAATTAGCGCGATGCCACCTCCTTCCTTTGTGGGACTCTCCGCGGTCGACTCCATCAACTCTCTTTAGAAACTATGTAGGTATGCGCCTGCTTCTTGCTTGGTCTCAGGAAGATATTGCTACTCGCATACCTGGTACAGCGGTACACAAAGCGACTTGTCGGTGATAAACCTGCCATGCGCGCTTGAGCTGGCCAAAAGCAAATAACGTGGTACCAATAGCGGCATCCGATAGCTGCACGTTCAACGGCACCTAGAGTAAGGTACCGCTACCGCGCCTAATTTGCCCTGTGGGCTAGACTGCCTTCTTCCGCCCTTCCGGTCAAGAAGGTCGTGATGGTAAGCGAACGGTGGGTGAAGTGGTCAGGCGTCTCCCTCGTGGCGCCTTTTGAATTTCTTCTGGACGTACTCGCTATGTCACGATCTTCCTTTCGTATACAACATAACCATATCAGCTCATGAATGTGAGAGGATTCCATCCACGAGAAGCAGACATCTGCGATCAGGCCAAAAAAGGAAGGACACGATTGCAGTACATTACACCCGGCACCATTGACTGTCGCCATGGCAGGGACGTCGGTGACGACGCCATGCACACCCTCACAGAGTCCATCCGGGCATACCAGCACACTACCTTCAAGACGACCACTACCGCTCCGGACTCTCAGTCAAAGCGAATCGATCTCGGCTTCAAGTCCATCTAGTGACACTGGCAGCCACTGGCGTCGCAAATCCGCCCACTTATACTCAGGAAGGACACGCCTGCACGCAGCCGGACCAAGGACATCAGCCTCGAAGCTGTCGAGCCTGCCCGAGTCGCAAATAAGCAGTCCTTCGTCTCCCGGATACAGTGCGCTCAATAGCGAGCTTCCTACATCACCGGTCACACCACAAATGACGACCGCTGAAGAGACCGGCAGCCCGCCCCCTCAGTCGACAGCAAGTCCAGAACTTCTCTCTTTCGACTTTACCAAGATCGACTACGAGCTCGATCGAGCCCGAACAATCGGCACAGGACTTTGGAGCACAGTCTACTATGCGCAACCCACAGTGAAATCGCCACAACGGACACGACATGATGTACCATCACCGCCCGCTACGCCTCAATCGAAAGTCGATTTACCTCCTTGTGGTCTTTTCGCAGTCAAAACAGCTTCCCGGCCTGACGCGAAACCTATCTTCCGACAAGAAGCCAAAACTCTGACAAAGCTCCAGCAATCAGAAGCAGCCGACAACTTCATCGTCCCCTTCCACGGCCTCGACGAGCGAGTCGACTCCCTAATCTTCGAAGGCGTCCTCGGCGGCTCACTCGAATCCCTGGTGCGTCGAGTCTCAGTCATGACCGAACTGGAACGCCACCTACAACTCCGCAGCCAATTCCCCAAAATCGCCAACGACCTCATCAGCGGACTGGAGTTCATCCACGGCGCTGGGATCGTGCACGCCGATATCAAACCAGCGAACATACTACTAGACGTCTCTCACCACGACCAGGACTTACTGATCGTTCGAGCGCGGTATATCGACTTCTCCGCCTCCTTTGCCGCCGGTGAAGACTCCACGTCGAACGCGGGAGGGACGTGGGATTACATGGCCCCCGAACAGCTCTCGATCCAAAAAGACATCAGCACTCCTACCTTCGCTAGCGACGTCTGGAGTCTCGGCATCAGCCTCCTCTTCCTCATCGTCGGCGACTCGCCATACCGCGCTACCTGCGGCGACAACCTCTTCCGCCTCCGCGACTCCATCAAGCGCGGTGATCCGCTCGGTTTCGCGCGGAGAGATCCCGTGGTGAAGAAGCGCATGGCAGCTGCTCAGGACTTTGTCGACTGCTGTCGGCTTGCTTTGCAGAAGGATCGGGAGAGGAGATTGAGCGCGGGCGCATGGATGCGGTGGTTGGGGACGGAGGAGCTGGTGTGAAATGATACAGGGTATACGTAGGTATGTAGTGACAGTGCAAACGATGCTTCAAAACTCGCAAACCCGCAGCCACACAGTCTACACCTTCCAGAACCTCACCATCCCATCCCCGTCCAGCGTAATCACCGTCTGTGAAAGAGCGGCAAACACGACATCAATCCCACCCTTCAACTCCGTCGCCTTCGGCCGCTGAAACCGCCATTTCACATGCTTCTCTTTATCCCAGACAAAAGTCGTCGCCTCGCTATCCTGCACAATCAGCTTCTCCCCACTATCAACCCACCTCACCTCATGCAAGTCGTTGAAGCGCGTGAGCATCGAGTCGCCCGTCTCCAGTCGAAAAACGACCTGCACGTCGCCTTCGAACGGTTTCCAGAGTATCACGCGTTTATCGCTTAGAACAGCAACTTCGCGACTATTCGGGTTCCAGACCATACTGCGCACCCAGTCTTTGAGCTCGAGACCGGGTTTCATGAGTTTGGCGACGTCTTCGCCGGTGGCGCAGTTGTAGATGGCGACTTTTGTTGGGTGGCCGCCGCTTAGGCAGACGTATTTCCCGTCGGGCGAGAAGCGGCCGGACCAGTTCTGGCCGTCTGTCGGGCCGATGGTGTGGTTGCAGGCGCCGGTTTTGGCGTCCCAGATCCGGTAGTGTTCGTCCCAAGATGCGGTGGCGATGACTGTGTCGTCGGGGGACCAGCCTGCCCACATTATGGCGTCCGTGTGGCCTTTGAGGCGAAAGCGCTCGGTTTTGGTCACCATGTCCACAACGACGAGCTGGGGCAGTTCATCAGCTGGGCGCATACCGCTTTGTGTGCTGTCGCCGTGGGCGATGTAGAAGAAGCTCTTGCCGTCGTGGCTGATGGGTTCGGTGCCGAAGGAGGGGAAGTGGCCTTCCCAGACTGAGAGATCTTTGACGCGGTTGGCGGTGTCGGCTTCTTTCAGCTTCTCGACGAAGCCGCCGCGGACGGGCTCGATGTCGCTGCCTACAAGGCCGTGATGGTCAGCTAGCTCTGGCATGATGGCCTCGATCGCAGTGTCCGCCATGGTCTGTACGGCGAACGGCATCTGGCGACCTATCTGACGGCCTTGATCATCGATATGCCACAGGACCATCTGCCCGTCTCGGCCTCCGACTTCTGAGCCCTCTGAGAGCAACAAATACTCGGCGTTTCGAGCGTGCGCGGGATGGTCATCAGTCAGGCAGTAGGATCCCGCCTCGTTAGCTGAGAAGAACATCTCGCGCACATTCGATGCATGGCCGATAAGCTCCGCCAGCTTCTGTTTTGTCTCGACGTCGTAGATTCGAATCACGGCGTTGGTCGCTACGGCTAGAAATCTCTCGTCCCAGGTCAGAGCTATGGTTGCGGTGTCATCGTTGCCCTTGTCCGGGTCGTCTTTGCTCAAAGCGATGGAGGCGTCTTCCGAGCCCCAGATACGAGGCCCGCCATGCCCTGGTGCCCATGCGGCTGGTTTGCCTTTGAGCTCGAATTCCTGGTCCAGGTCGAGTTCGTACTCCTGGAGGAAGCACTCGCGGGACATGCTCTCAACGGGCATGATGGTAGTCTTTTGACAGCTGCCACTCGAAAGGACAATAGGGATTGAGAAGCTGTATCAGTACCATACAACAGTATCTGTTATTCTTGAATTGGATAGATGTGGTCGAAGAGAGATGAGCAAGCAAGTTTGAAAGGACGATAACCAGATCGCAACCAAGACTTATGCTCGTGCTGCTGCCTACCTCTGTTAGCGAATGGAGGTACTTGTGAGAAGTACACTGCACTCAAGTGTTGTAGCTCGATGTCAGATGAGGTTGAGTCATTGGACCAGTTGGAGCCTGCGATTTGAGAGCTTCGAGGTGAGGACGCCACGTTTCGGGGAGCCACAGCGCACAGCCGCTCCTTCCGCTCTTCTTGGCGGCCGAGTACTGCCTTCGAACGTCACCCATTCTTGATCACCTCAGCACCCACCGTCCTGCTTCGGAGGACCCTCACCCATCATCTAACACCGCATACTTACACCATCACACCCCGGGGACCCTGAGATGAAAAGGCGACGGACTCCGAACCCGCGTTGCGCTTCCGCCTAACCCCCGCCCATCTCCTTGCAGGAAGTTGCCTTGCGCCTCCGACTCGTACTTATGCGTGCGGCCGGGAGAGCCAACTTCTGACCGCTCTGCCATCGCGCATATATCGAAAATGGCTGCCGGAAGGACGCTGAAGTCGCTGGTCAGTCGCAGGAGGCGCGCCGAGGACGAGGGAGAGGATGAGGAGGGTCCGGTGTTCGTGGAGGATTCGCAGAGTGAGGGCTCGGTCGTGACGGAGCGGGATGATGATGAAGAAGCGGAGGTTGGAAGTGTTGTCGCGAATGGGGCTGTGCAGGCTGGCGCTGTGGAGACTCCTGCTGGCGAGGTGGATACGGTGAATGGCGTAAACTCGAAGAAGGCACGGAAGCAGAGCGGAGAGAATGGCAGCAAGGCTACAGAGGGAAACGACGCAGTTCCCGCCGCGCAGTCGAAAGCTGGATTCAAAACTGTTGCGGACACGGAAGCGATGATGAACGGCTTGAAGATTAGTGCTCAGGGTGAATCTGGAGACGCAGCCGTCGACTTCGAAGAAATGGCTCCGAGCGCATCGAGTACTGCCCCTGTTCGAACCAACGGCCAAGGTCTACCGGCTGCTGAACGACAAAGGCGCGAGCACGAGGAGTATCGAAAGAAAAGAGACTCCAACCCGGCTTTTATTCCGAATCGGGGCAATTTCTTCATGCACGATACGAGAGGCCAGAATCTTGGTCCCGCTCCTCCACAGCGCGGTGGTTTCGCTGGAAGAGGTCGCGGCAGGGTTGAGCCAGATGTCGGCGGACCGTTCTCGCCTGCGAACCAAATGGCACTGGCGGAAAGGGCTTCTCAGCAGACATGGAAGCATGACCTCCACGATACCATCAACGAGGAAGTAACTGCACCGCCAGCTCAAGCAGCCAATTCAATACCCACAGCTCCAAGACAGCAGTCGAACTACTCTGCCCATCTCTTCCCGAAGGCTCCGATGCACCCAAACCATGCCCAGCCAGCTGGTGGTCAGACGACTACCAGCTCGTTCGACAGCACGACTCTACTCGGCACGTTGCAGGTTCGAGTGAAGTTACCAGGCATGAAGGCACCTGCGGCTCTTGCCGAAGCCAAAGCACGAAGATATGTCCGTCTACCGAACCATCGGCCTCCGCTACGCAGAGACAAGCCGGTGCGCGTCTTCGTGCCAGGCCATACGCAGCGATACATCTTCCCATCTGCCGAGCGCTCGTTCGTGTTCATTCCTAGGCAGATGCGGCCGAACCAGCAAGGCTACCATCGCGGCTACCAGCGAAGCATGGGTGGCTATGGCTATTCAAGTCGACGAACGAGCATGCACGGAAGCGTGTACTCTAATAGTGTTGCAGCTAGCAGGCGATCGTCGTTGGCTGGAGTCTCTCGGGACCGTGCTTTCTCGCCCGCTGGCTCCTTCGTGGGAATGCCTCCTGGTCGACCTGTTGTCCGACTGCCTCACGGCTCGGCCACTTCAACGCCTGTGGGTCACATGTCAGGCTACCACACGCCAACAGGACCAACGCAACTGCACACATATCCTCTTCCGCAGATGCCACAATTTCAGGGTACACCGACAACAGCGTTGCATCAGCCACGGCCGCAGAAGGCGATCTCTGTTACTGGCATTGAATCTCCAGCAATCTTAGGACAGTCGGCTGGCGATGCGCAACCCTTCCACAACCAGCTTCCTGCGCACATGAACGAGCAGCCGGCATACCAACAGCCTCCGCCGTCGCAGCCGTACTTCTCGCCCCAGCAGTACCAATACCCGCCGCAGCCGCAAGCTGGGACGCCACTGTCCGGCATTCCAGAGCAAGCTATGCACGCACCGAACTTCCAGCCTCCGGCGTACGGACAACAGCCTTACTATTCTCCTTATCCGCCCCAGCAGGGCTATTACTACCCGCCACCAGGACCTAATGGCTACCCGCAGATGCCGATGTACATGATGCCGCCACCTCATCAGGGCTACATGCTGCCAGCTCCCGGCCCGCCAATGCACTCACAGCCGCCGCCGCCACCACCTCCGCAGCAAGATCGACCTGTGTCCTCAACAAGCGAGCAGCAAGCGCAGCAGTCCCAGTCCGGCATGGTGGCCCACGAAAGCAACGGCATGGTCTTCTACGTTCCCGCCTCCGAAGCCCAATCATCGGAGCAGCACTACCAACCCGCTGAGGGCTTCGTGCCAGCATACGCAATGCCCGGCTTACCCCCACCAACTCCAGCGCCGGAGAACCAAATGCCGTATTACTACAACCCGATGCCGCACGGCGATCCGGGGCAGGGGATGTGTTATCCGACGCAGTAGTGATGCGAAGCACCAGACCTACGGCTCTACCGGAGACACACCCGCTTTTTTCTGTTTTGTATTATCGTTTTGTCGTTCCTGCTTTTTTTGGGTTGGGGGTTGGATCACAGCAAGCAAGGCGTTACATTGGATACAGGCCTGAGCGGGAGACTATCTTGAGTTTTAGCGCAACGCGGCACACATTCCTTTACACATCTCTCTAGTTATTCTTTCAGCGTTCTTGGACAGCAGCACTGGCGTTGGGCGGTGAATGAGACTAGGCAGCAGTCTATCTACTACTGGGAGCGGAAGGCAGTCGGTTGGACAGACAATGGCAGGAAGAGAGTAGCTATCTTTTGAGTACCGTGTTAGTATTGATACCCCTAGCGGACGTTTTCATCGCGCGTCGGTGTCCTTTCTTTTCCGTGTTTCCTACAAGATCAACGTCGCTCAAAGAGGGCACGTGGGTGGAAGCGGGATCAACGAGCAGGAGAGAGTATGAGGTGATGCAACCGACTCTTGAGTCCCGACGCCGAGCGTTTACGTTTTGACCTTTTCACACCCGTGGTACGCAGAGGTGAGATCAACGATTGCCATCCATAGAACGAGCCGTTCGCTATGTGCACACAAAACGCCTTGTGCACCAATCCCGCTCAACGCTACACAACCCCCTCCCACCTCCCTCAACTCCCCGTCATCCATCCCATCATGCCCCTCCCCACCCAAACCCCTAATACCCCTCCCCCCTAACCGGCTTCCTCCTCACCGTCCCACTCCCCCCACCCCCACCCCCACCCGTCTCGACCAACTTCGCCCCGCCCATAGGCCTCGGCCCGGTAATCTTGCGCGCGGGATTCCGCATATCGACAGCCTGTGCCGAAGCCACCGTGGGCTCGGGGGACTGGCGCTCGAAGGAGGCTATGCTTTCGACCTGCTCATATATCACGAGTTAGTCACTGGAACCAGATGAACATGGTTGGAAGAGGGGGGTGCGACTGGGACGTACCTCTTCAATAGGCTCAAGCAAATGCCCCGACCCAAACGGACTGGCGTAGTATCCACCGCCGCTCCCGGCAGGTGCTCCGCGGGAGAAACCAGAGTTACTGTACGTCGGCTCCTCGTACTCGTACTCCTCTTCCTCCTGCTGGGGCTCCGGACTCCGCGCGTAGCTCTGCCTGCCCTGCTGCTGAGACGCCGGCTTCTGCGGGATCAACGAGTCGCTGTCGCGATACCGCCCACCATACGCCGCACTACTCCCCATACTCTCCGGACTAATCGGCCCGTTGTCACTCTGCTGAGTCAAGCGATGCTTCGCCAGCCCCGCCGTCCCGCTACTGCCCCACGTCGCGGGGTCAAAGTCCGAGACGCTGCGCTGCGAAACATCCGAGCTGGTGGCCGCGTCAAAAGCGTAGTCGTTCGCGTGCGTCTCGAGGGTGTTCTGATGCCTCGCGGTCGGGCCTTGTCTTGGCTGCGGGTGCTGCAGCAGGAGCGAGTTGCGGTGGGCCTGGTACTTGGGGTCGTCGAGCTCGTGGTCGAGATCTTCTTGTATTGGGGAGGACTCGTCCTCGTCATCGTAGCGGTGCATACTCGCTTCGGAGGGAATGAGCGGCGAAGGCGTGCGTGAGATCTTGCTCGCTTGGCTGCGCACGCTCCTCGTCTCCTCCATACCCATCCCTCTCTCCCGCTCACTCCGCAAACTCTGCGTCGAACGCGTCCGGTCATCCTCATACCGCTCATCCCCATACTCCCCCGTCGACGACCGTGTCGAAGCCTCCGAAACCGGCCTCTGCTGCCGCAAATTCGGACTATCCAACATCTCCACATCCGGCGCGGCCGACGAACTCGTCGTCTTGCTCCAGCGCGAAACCTTCGGCACGCCGCCGCCGAACTGGCTGGACCCGCTGCTCTTGTGCTTGCGCTGCTTGTCCGTCGAGCGGGGCGTAATCTCGTCCGCCTGTAAACCACCATACGGCACGCCGTTGTGTGGTGAAGCCGCCTCCAGCGAGCCCCTCGATCGCACAGTCTCTTGCGTGGGGGTGGAGAAACGGTCGTTCTGCTCGAACTGGTGGTCCAGCACATGGCTCTCGTGCGGTTCGAGTTCTTCGTCTTCGTCGCCCTCCACGACCGTGCTCACACGATTCACCGAGCCGCGACGTCCGTCGTAGCCGGAATGGTACTGCGACTTCTCCCCTCTAGGCGTCAGCGACAGACCGCCGGAATGACTCGCATTCGTACTGCTCGTCCCCGCCTGTCCTTCCGGCTCATACCCGGGATCCGGCGCGTTGCGCAGCCGCTCGTAAGTATCCAGACTATCGTTCGTGTACGTGGACCCAACAGTATCGCGCTGCCCACTCCCCAAACCACCGCCTTGATGCTTGAGGTCCTCGACATTGTCCAGAATCTGCATCAACATGCCCTCCACCTTGGCCAGATCACTGGCGCTCTTACTCCCCGTCAACCCCTTGAGCGCGCGTCGCAAGACGCCTTTCCGCTTCATCTGCACATCCTCCTGGGACTGCTGGCGCGGCGTGCGCGGCGACTCACTGCTGGGCAACGGCCTGGGACCGCCGAGCGCTTTCTGCACCGTCTGATCCACACTCCGGTCGGTATTCTGCATAATCATGCGGTCCTGCTCGACGATGAACTTCTTGATCTCGTTGAAGTTCTCGCGCATCTCGGCCGCACTCCGAACAAGCGTGACTAGGATCTCGGTATCTCTGGCGTTGCGCTGGGCGTCGCGGACGGTGAGGTGGTCCATCAAGGCGACAATGTCCTTGGACTCGATGCCTTTGATGTTCTGGCCAGTAGAGGAGTCGAAATGCTGCTCCGAGACACCGTGGGAGTTGCCGCTGACGTTGCGGGAGTGCTCTCCGCTGGCGCCGACAAAGGGGTCTTCTTTCCCACCTCCAAGCCCGCCATCATAATTGGCCATGGCGCGGTTGTACTCGTCCACTTCCCGCTTGCTGTAAGCTCTCTGGTGAGCCTCAGGCGTGAGAGCACCAGCCGATCGCGCCTGCGCATCAGTAGCATATCCCTCATCTCTGAAAGCCGCTGGACTGGTTGGAGTAGCTTCGCGATCAATATACCGCCCACTCCGCCCAACATCAGGCGTCAGCCTGTCCTCCTCCTCATCCTCCACACTCGCCTGCCTCATCGCATGCGCCCCCGCAAGCGCCGCCGCCCCACCAGCAGCAGCAGCAGCCATCGCGCCCTTCCCATAACTCGCCCCGCTCTTCAAACTCCGACTCTCGCTCCCCCGCAAACCCCTCTGCTCCTGCATAGCAGGGTCAGGAGAAGGATACGGCCAACTGCTCTTCCCCGTCGCATCCCCACCCAGCGTCTCCCGCACAATCGAAGCGTTCGTGCTGACTTCACTCTTCGAGTCGTCGAAATGCCCAATCTCCGGCATCGGATCCTCGGCCAACGGTAAGCCACTCGAGCTCATAATCGGCTGCTGCTCCATCGAACGCTCTTCGCGGACACTCTTTAGAGGCTGCGGGGAGAGAGCTTCCCGCGACGAAGACATGTCCCTCGCGCGGCCCTTGATCGCCTGCCAGCGGTCTTGACTCGGCATGCTCTGGCTGAGCGTCGAGCCTTGGTACAGCGGCGGGCTGTCCTTGCCCAGCTCGCGCAGGCGGGCGGAGAAGGAGTTGTTGGTCTGCTGTTGTTGTTTGACGGGGCTGCCTTTGCTTTGGGTGGAGAGGCGGCTCTGGCCGCTGCTGAGGGTCGAGGGCTCCATGACGAGCGAGGCGACTGCTGATTCCACGCCGACGGGTGTGTGGACGTATTGAGGATTGCCTGCTCCGACGCCGCGGAGGTCTTGCTCTTCCTGCAGATCGTCGAGCGAGCGGTCGCCTTCCTGGCCGTCTTCGGAGTAGAAGGTGAATCGCTTCTCGTCCTGTGGGTACGGGTTCGTTTGGTAGGAGTCGCGATTTGAAGACCTGGCGAACGAAGGGTCCTCAACATCCAGCGAATGCCGGTACTCGTCTCTCTGATGCTCTTCAGCGTCCAGAGAATGCCGGTACTCATCATTCAGCTGATGCTGCCGCTCATACCAATCATCCACACTCTCCCCATAAGTCGGCGTGCCCGGCGTGCTCCCCCGTCCAAACTCCTCCGCAGGCGTGGCGTACTCCGTAGCATAACCCTCGCCAATACTGCGCGAAGACTGCTGTCTCGAGCCCGCAAGCTTCGTGCTCTGCTTCGAGCTCGGGGACGTCGCACCAGAGCGCAGACTACTCCTCGAGGCCGTCCTCCCAGCAGAAGACCTTGACGCCGCACTCCTCAGACGAAGCTCCTGCGGCTTCAGCGACTCTTCTTCGAAACTCTGCTTCAAGCTGGAAACACTCTGCATCGGGCTCGAAGTTTTTCGGTACGTGATTGGCGAGGCGCTGCCGTCGCCGTATCCATCATTGTCGACATGGCGATCGTACACCTCCTCTGACCCTTTCGCGGCAGCCGCACCACCGACGCCAGCTGCACCCAGAGCAGCGATACGTTCTTTGGTCGACATTCCAGACGGGCTCTTCGGACTGTCGTAAGATCGTGTGGTTGTACGACTTGCGCTCAGACCCCTCGATCCGGGTGTGCGTGGTGGTGTGCCGACCGAGACGTTCTCCCGCAACGACCCGCGCGAGACTTCATGCACAGGCGTATGCGTCTCCGCATGCGGCGTCGCAGTAGCATCAGACACTAGACTCGACCTCGTAACCTCCGAGTCATTGATATGGCTCGCCATCGGCATCGGCGGGACGTCTTCGCTGAGGTAACTCTCCTCTTCCACCGCCCTCGAGCCGCTGCTGCGCCGACTGCTCTTGGACTTGCTCCGCCGCTTGCGCTGGTCCGGAGAGTCGCGACTAGACTCCAGACTCTTCAGCGCGGCGCCCGTGAGCAGCCCACCCACAACGCCAGTCGCGGCAGCATCGCGGAGCTTGCTGCTGCTGCTCTTGCTCGACTTTGCCTTAATCGTATCGCCATCATCATAACCACGAGAAGACCTGCCGCCAGAAGACCGCCGACTCGAAGGCCGCTCTTCAGTATACCTCCTCTCCTCAGTATAACTCCCCTTGCTCGACTTCCGAGACGACTTCTTCCTCTCCGAATCACCCCTCGAAAGCACCACACCCGGATCCTCGCCGTCGCGATTCAGCACAACCTTCGGCTTGCTCGAAATATTCGGCGAGCTGGAAGACTTGCTCAAATTCCGACTGAGGCCGTTGCGCGTGTACATTTCCTCCAGAATAGAGCCCTGTCTGCTGCTAGATCTGTTCTCGAAGGAGCGAACGTTCCGATCGGTGCGCTGGTCCTCCTTGATAGCGTTGATTTCGGGCAAGATGATGCGGCGGATCGTATCCTCGACCATTCCGAGAAGCTTGGGGTTATTCGAGACGTCGGAGCCAGAGCGGTAGGAATGGCCGGTATTCGAAGACAGAACGCTGCTCTCCACTCCACTAACGGTGTCGCTGTCGAATTGCCGGCTCTTCGAAGCATACTCGCTCAAATTCCGATCGCTCTTCGACCGACTCCCTTTCTTTGGCATAGACGTCTGCGTCTGGCTCAACTTCTCCATGACCTTCTGCGTCAGGCGCTCGTGACTCGCGTTGCGATCTCGCGACCCTTGGGGCGCGTTCAGATACACCCCTTCCTTCACCGTCACATCGTCGTCCCCGCGCTCGCTCTCCGTGACGTTGCTGCCTTCCAACATGCTGTCCGGCGGCATGGACGACACGTTCGAGTCTTGCGGCCCGTACATCAGTCCCCGCGATTGCGTCGAAAGATCACTGTTGTTATGATCCAATACCTCGACCTCAATCGGCGGGCGCGCAGAAACGTTGCTGTCGGTACTCTGGCTCACGTCCGTCGCACTCGGCAGCCCCGGCAGTCCCACTTCCGCGCTGCGCCCGCTGTCAAAATTTATCCGCCGCGTGTACGAAGTCTTGCGATCCTTCCCAATGCCAGTAATCTGAATCGCATCCGGCCCTCCACTTCCACTCTTCTTCCTCGCGCTCGGCGTGACCTTGACCCTCACACTTGGCTTGGACCTCGTCTTATCGCCCTTCGTCTTGCTGCCCTCAAAATACTCAATCAACAAACTCGTCTGGCTCTGCTCGCGCCCGTGCTTGAACTCCTTCCCTCTCTCCGTGTGAATCTTAATCGGCTGGCCGTTCTCGGGCACTTCGTAGCTCGTCTTGTCCGTGGCGGCGGTGAGGTTGGTCGCTACATCGGTCTCGAGGCCGGAGGTGGTGTTGTCGCCTTCGTCGTTGCTCTCGGTGGGGGCGGGGAGGGGTGGGCGGATGTTGTCGCGGAAGCGCGAGGTGACACCCATTTGGATCAGAGTGTGTTTGGCGCTGTGGTGGTGGTGATGGGGCGATACATCACGGGCTCGGGGTGCAAACGAGGGTGTTGGGGGTGAAGCGGCGCAAACGGGCGTGGGTTACACAGCTCGGATGCGGCGTTGCACCGGTGGGAGCCAGTGAAAGAGGTCGGCAATGTAAGCAGACCCGGTCCTTTGTCGCTGACCCAACGAAAGTTTCGCAGAGGTGGGTGGTGGAAGCTGTGTACCGCAGAACGGGCGGGAAGAAAGTCAAGATCTCGCTGTCGGGTGTGGTGATGCGTTGGCAAAGTAATGTCGGCGGCGGGGATCCTTGTTCCTCTCTCCAACTCCTCCACTCGCGCACGCAAACGAATATGCACAGCAGCAGGAATATGCACAAGAAGATAACAATCTTGGAAAACCGACTCGCTTCACCGGTCAAAGAACCCAAAGATCGCGAATCGAAGCTGCGGTGGTAAAGAAACAGGCTGCTTCCCTGTTCCTCACAGCCGCCACCAAGATTTTAGTTTCGGCTCGCGGCTCCCACAGCAACGACATCCGTTCTATCAACATCAATCTATTCATTCGCCATATCCACCCTCCTGATCACCCTCACCGCCCATCACTCCGTTCAGCCCTATGCACCATATCCATACCATCACAGCCCCCCAGCCTCGCAAATCCCCATCCTCAGTACCTGAAGCGAGCCAGCACACTCCCACGCCGCCGCCAGGCCGCCCGCGAAACGTGGGCAGCGCGACCAATGAGACGCCGCGCACGCTTCAAGCCTTATTCTCGGGGCTTTCAACAAGCTGCTGGACAGACGTTGGAAACGGCACGGCGAGCACGGCTGACGGATGACGGCTGACGGATGACGGCTGACGGATGACGGCTGATGGATGACGGCAACGCGATTGATGGTGGATGCGAGGGCTGGTCCGGGCCTGAAGTTTGATCGTATTTACCGAGTACAGTACTCCGAGTATGACGGTTGAGTTTGTGGGTTCCGTTTGCGAGAGTTCGACTGTAGAGGACGAATTGCGTGTTGCGGCAGCCGACATGTCACTACCACGAATGCATGGACAGGTAGGGAGAATTGCACTAGTTCACGTTTCATGATATGATGATGATACGGAAGAACTTTCATTCCCTAAACAAACCACCACCGCCCACACATATCCAACCGCTAACAACATCTACACCCCGCTGCTCCTCCTATCCCTCACCTCATAGCATCCAACCCGCCCTGCAACTCCCTCTCCAAATCCGCCCCCCTCCCCAGCATGTTCTCCTGCGGCCGCGGGTCCTCATAACTCCCCGGATCATACCCCTGCGGGATGGGCACCTGCTGCTGTCCACCCCCGGGCTGATTCGAGAAGGGCACCTGCTGCGGCGCTCGCACCGACTGCCGGAAAGCCTTCACCTCTGCTAGAATCATCTGGCGCATTTCGGGCACCTCTTCGACGGTCTCGAAGCCGAAGTCGAAGGGTTTGGGGCACGCGGGCTCGTCGGAGGCGTCGTGCCAGATGGCCAGGTAGCGGTGTTCGAGCGCCTCTTCCACGCCCACGCGTTGCGAGGGGTCGAACGCGAGCATGCGGTCCAGCAAGTCCAGCGCGTCCGGGTTGGCGCGCGGGAAGAGCTGGTGGAAGGGCACTTTGCTCATGTATGGCAGGTTGCGCACATACTCCTGGGCGCGCGGGGAGCCGATGCGCGAGAGCGTCGACTCGGACGGCGTGCCGAGGAAGTGCAGGATCTGGTTGAGCTGGTCGACGTAGTCGCGGCCTTTGAAGAAGGGTTTGCCGCCGAGCAGCTCGGCGAGGATGCAGCCGACGGACCAGACGTCGACTACAAACATGAATGTCAGCAAGGCAAACAAACGCGTGTAGGTAGGTAGGGAGGAGTGAAGGACGCACTAGCTTTGGTATAGCTCTGAAAGCTCAGCATAATCTCCGGCGCCCTGTACCACCGCGTCGCGACGTATTCAGTCATGTACCCGGCATTCTCCTCCGGGTCTATGCTGAAGCCGCGCGCCAGCCCGAAATCGGCAATCTTGAGCTCGCAGTCGGCGTTGACGAGCAGGTTGCCCGGCTTGAGGTCGCGGTGCAGCACGTTGGCGCTGTGGATGTACTTGAGGCCGCAGAGGATCTGGTAGATGAAGGATTGGAAGTGGGCGTCGGTGAGCGGTTGGCCGGAGCGGATGATGGCTGCGAGGTCGCATTCCATGAGTTCTGCGATAGCAAACACATACAGTCAGCACGGTATCACTCCCTATGGACAGGCCCCTAGTTGTATATAACTGTGTGCTGCCTCCCTCACTCACCCTCATACAAGTACGTCTCATTAAAGCTCTCCGGCCTGGGAATATCCATATCGTACAAGCAGGTGATATTCCGGTGCCCGCGGAAATGCTGCAGCAGCTTGATCTCGCGCAGGGCCCGCTTGGCGAGGATCTTCTTGCTGAAGACATTGGTGATTTTCTTGATCGCGACGCCCTCGCCGGTCGTGTTGTTGGTGGCCGCGCAGACGATGCCGTAGGCGCCCTGCCCGAGCTCTTTGGTGACGGTGTAGCGCTCGTCGACGACGAAGTCTTGGTTGAAGACTTTGAAGACTTTGCGGCCTTGGAGGTCGGCCATGGTGGTGGATGGAGGAGAGGTGGGGTTCGGTGGGTTTAGGTGTATCGCGGGGTGGGTTCGACGAGGGTTGGACGCGGACGATGTTTGCTACACTGGCGAGTGTCTGGGTGATTTGGATTGATATTAAACTTGACGACCAAAGTCCCTGCAGAAGGCAGCGCGCGCTGATGCTGTTCCGGTGAAGTCGAGATTGACCCCGCTGCTTGCTGGCGTCGATTGACTGGGCTGGCTGTGACGAAGCGAGCGTGTCTTTTGGGCAGCAGAAGGACAAACAGACGCGAATGAAGAATCAGTGAGCGGCGAGTGGTGGTATCATCAATCAGTGATCGAGGCTACGTGTTTGGAAAAAGGCTGATCGTCCGTGTCAGCATAGAAATCGCGGTGGGCTGACATGCCACCAGGAGGGGTCACTGGGCTGCCGCTATCTTTACGCTCTCACCAGCGCACGTGAAGATGCGATGATTGGAGGAATGCGGACAATGGCCTTGTTGTGGAGCTGCCGCCCACCGCCTTCCCTCCTGTCCCTCTGAACCTTGAGGTGGGCACGGCGTCACCGCAGGCTAAAGGATTGTGTGCAGCTGGTGACGCTGGATCATCCCTGTCACACCAGCCCTAGGGAGAATGCTGGGCGGACGACGTGGGGGCGGAAACTCTGACTTCATCTGTGGGCGATGGCACCATCTCCGTTGAGGGGGAGTATAGGTCGATGTAGGTACGGTAGGTGAGAGCCTTGGTAAACCGTCTCGTCGCTTGGAGAATAGCAGGTTCAGGTGTACCAGCCTTATCGACGTCGCACATGCTTCGCTAACACCACTGCCTCGGCTCGTGTGATGGTATAGAAGATACAGCTCTCCTCTGCAGGAAGCAGAGCCGGTTCGACGCACAAACTCTAACCTCCAGTACCGCGTGACACGATCGACAGGCCATGATCGAGCTCACAATGGACGACATCCCGCCCTTTACTCCCGTCTCCATCGACGACGTCCCCTCCATCCACCAGCGCGTCGTCAACAAATTCCACACCCACACCACCCGCCCCATCGAGTACCGCCTAAGACAACTCCGCTCATTCTACTGGGGTCTCAAAGATGCCGAGTCCGCGCTGCTGGAAGCCTGCAAGCTCGATTTGGGGAAGAGCGCCTACGAGGCGTATCTTACGGAAGTGGGGTGGGTGTTGAACGATATCCTCTTCATGAGCAAGAACTTGGCGCGATTTGCGAAGGATGAGAGTGCTGAGGACATGGATTTGACGAATAAATTCATGCGGCCCAAGATTAGAAAGGATCCGTTGGGCGCTGTGTTGATTATTGGAGCGTACAACTTTCCCATACAGTTGAGTCTGGGCCCGCTGGTGGGAGCCATCGCGGCGGGATGTACTGCGGTGTTGAAGCCGAGTGAGAGCGCACCGAATGCGGCCAGAATCATGCAGCATGTCGTTGCGGAGAGTCTGGATCATGAGGCGTATCAGGTGCTGCAGGGAGCTGTACCGGAGACCACAGCTCTCCTCGACTGCAAGTGGGACAAGATCTTCTATACCGGCTCAGCGAACGTCGGCAGAATCATCGCGAAGAAGGCCGCCGAAACACTAACACCAGTCGCACTAGAACTCGGCGGCCGCAACCCAGCCATCATCACCAAGAACGCCGACCCCCGTCTCGCAGCACGAAGACTCTTATGGGCAAAGCTTCTAAACGTCGGCCAAGTCTGCGTCTCACAAAACTATATCCTGATCGACCACGACGTCCTCCCCGAATTCATCCGCCAACTCGAACTCGCCCTCGTCGAATTCCAACCCAAAGGCGCTCAAGGCAACTCCGACTACGGCAAAATCATCAACGAGCGGCAATGGCTGCGCCTCAAAGAAATGCTCGACTCCACCAGCGGCAAAATCCTGCTAGGCGGCAACACAGACCGCTCCACCCTCTTCTTCGAACCCACCGTCGTTCAAGTCTCCTCCCCCGACGACTCTCTACTAAAAGACGAGTCCTTCGGCCCCCTCATCCCCATCCTCCCCGTTGCCGACCTCGACGAAGCCATCCGCATCTCCAACAAAGTCCACCCCACACCCCTCGGCCTCTACCCCTTCGGCAGCAAATCCGAAACCGACCGCATCCTCTCCGAGACCCGCTCCGGCGGCGCTTCGGTCAACGACGCTTTCTTCCACGCTTCCATCCCTACTCTCCCCTTTGGCGGCGTCGGCGACAGCGGCTCAGGCAGTTATCGGGGGCGAGCGAGTTTCGAGTGCTTCACGCATCGAAGGAGTGTGACGACGACGCCGAGTTGGATTGAGGGCATGCTGAATGTGAGATATCCGCCTTTTACCGAGGCGAAGTTGAGGAAGTTGAAGAAGATGACGGAGGGGAAGCCGGATTTTGATCGGGAGGGGCGGGTCAAGAAGGGGTGGGTGTGGTGGCTATTGGGGTTGGGAGGGAGCGGGATGGGTGAGGGCGTGACGAGATGGGCTATCATTGCCGTTGTGGCTGTCGCGGTCAAGGTTTTAAGGGCGAGGATATGAGGTGAGGGTCGAGGTTGGTTAGACTGCTGGGCTCGGGAGCTGACATGGACACAGGTCTGTCGCTTATGTTTCTCATCTATGAACTGGGCTTTCGAGTCATCAGGCAGGTACTTCGACCCATTCCCTTTTGAGGCACAGTGTATCGGGGACAGGACCGGCGCACACTTCTGGACCTTTCACGTGATATTGTGGAGAAGTGAATATGGCCCGTGCCGCCAAGGCATGGCTGCCTTCCTTCGAGTCAAACGGTGAGTATATAAAGAGGTCATTCCTTCTCTGGTGTTCTATTTACTTTCTCTTCACCTATCCTTTCCTTTCGCCGCCTACGTACCACAAAAGAAGACGCCAAGGCCTAGGACCTCACAGCAGCCACGCCGTCCAGCCCAATTCAAGGACTTCTGTTCCTTTCGACAAGTAAGGCTCTTACACTGCTGCGCCTAGTAGTATCACCATCATGTCCACTCCCTTCATCCTCACCGTAACCGGCGAGTCCACCATCCCCCACCCCGCCGAGCGCGCCCTCCTCAACATCTCCGTCGAAACCTCCGGCCCCAACAAAGCCTCCGTCTCCGACTCCGTCCTCACCACAGCCAAACACCTCGAATCCCTGCTCCGCTCGCTCTCCCCGGCTTCTGAGTCAGACGAAGACAAAGCCGCCTCCCCGCTCGCCCACTGGAGCAAGACTGGTCTGACAGCGACAAGCCACATCCCCTACAAAGACGACGGGACCGCGGAGCCTCGCCAGTTCGACGGGAGTATCACCTTCGATATCCGCTTCAAAGACTTCGCCGCCCTGGGAGCTTTCGGCGAAAAACTCTCCGCCCTCCCGCACGTCGAAGTGAAAGGCGTACACTGGATCCTCACTCCCGCGACCGAGAAATCCTTCCGTTCCCGGCTTCGGCGGGAAGCTGCGCAGGATGCTTTGGAGAAAGCGAAGGACTACGCCGAGGTGCTCGGATGCTTTGACGTGCGCGCGGTGGAGTTGACGGAAGGGGGAGAGGGGATGAGTGGGATGGGGAGGGCGACGCAGTCGCTCGGGCCGCGGACGAGGCAGTTGGCGAGGAAGGGAGGGAGGGATGAGAGTCCGTTGGAGTTTCAGCCTGAGGAGGTGCGGATGGGGATGGAGGTGGAGGTGAAGTTTCATGCGACGTGAGATGCAGCTTCGGTGGTTGTGGGGGAGGATTAGGGTGCGTGGAGGTTCTCATGATGGTGGAGGTGTGGACGATGGGGTGCTCATGGAGAGTCCAACGGGGGTACAAATTGGCTGGACTAAGAAATAGAATGGCTTTGGGTGTGATCTGGGTGTAGGGAGTCTCGAAGATTGATGTATGTGTAGCTTTGAATCATAAGGCTGGCTCCCACGGCTGTAACCGCCGCACAGACACTCTTTGCATCACTTCAGTCATGGGCATATCTCCCTTATTGGATTTCTCCATCTGCTCAACCCCAACCGTTCGCCGTCTATCCCACCGCATCAAGGTTCCTCAACCTCAAGCTGCATCACCCGTTAGCTCACACATCTCACCACCCCCTCGAACCACGCAGTGAGGGAAGACCTACGCCCAAAACACTTAATCTGCGTAAAGCACGTCGCCGTACAAGTCGTCACAGGCTCACAACTCGCTTTACACACCCCACCCTTATTATCCCCCTCTGCTTCTTCTCGGCCGTAGCAATCTGCTTCGCATGCGTTGCCGGCTTCACGCGTGTCAGCATACGTTGCTACGTCGCTGAAGAGTGGGAGGACGCGGTTGGCTTACACCCATAGACTCTCCCGGGTAAGCCCGAGCTGTCGACGCACATTGGAACGTCGTTCTGGCGCGCCTCGAGGGGCATGGCGATGGCTGTTGTGGCCGCGAGGACGAGGGTTAGGAGGGTCGGGTTCATGGTGCTGTAGGTGTGCTGACGAGGGATGGGGGATGTTTGGTATGTGGCTGGACTTCAAGGTGACTTGCTATAAGATCGAGAGGGTAATGGCTGCTCTTTTGGGTTTTCCATCGGTCTGTTTCCTTTCCTTTATATGAAATACATCAGGCGCTTCGTCGGTCTGGTCGTGCTCTGCGGGACAGCACGGCATCTTGCAAAGGCTTCAAAGATGCCATGCGGAGGCTTCACGGACGATGTAACGACCCAAGGATCAACTCAATGGGACGGAGAATATCAGATCACGAGAAGCCGCTCAAAGCCGCTCAGTCTCGCGTTCGCACTTGTTCGTTGCACCAGATGAGGGCGATCAGCATGGTTTTGTAGAATGCCGACTACGATGGTTACATAGAGAATCACGACCCAAGCCCGACCAGCATGGTGTGTGGCCGACTTCCGCTCAACGATCGTCCCGGGATCTTGGTACGCTGCATGTCGGACTGATGAGTTTTTGAGCCGCCATTACAGATCGTTTCCATATACAACAACGAGCAACAACCTTGCGAAAGATGAAAGCTTGGCGCTTCGATATAGCCGAATCTTTTCCAGGTTAGTTCTATGGCCAAGGTGGAGCCGAATGCAGGGAAAAGGCACGAGCTGGAGCGCCAAGCAGCTCGACTTCACCCCGGATCTGAGTAACTTACGTCTCGTGGGGTACCTCTGGTTTGTCACTCGCGCGGACGGGATGAACGGAATGAAGGCAATGCAATGCTTGTCCGCAAAGCAATGAGGCCCACGTTACAAATGTACATGGAGATGTGGAGAGCGTGCCCACATGGACAGCATGGGCGACATTCATCCCATAGTGCTACCTTCTAGCATGTCGTCGGGAAGGCCGTTGTTTCCGGGAAGCCTTTGCAAGCGAATGAGATGCTGAAACTGTCTCGCTCACATCACCTACGCTCACATGCATGGATGAGTTGAGCCTCTACTGGAACTTGGCACATGCGACGGGCGCGACGGTCCATGCCAGCTACCCTGGATGCTTCTACTGTGGATACACCTCCTGCGCCAGATACGTCAAAGAAATATTCGATTGCCCGTTTCCATCATCCCTCGAGCAAAGTTCATGCTGTTGTTTGATCTCCTTCGGAGCGATCGGTGTTGCAATGCAACGTACCAAGCAACTGTGTTTCGATATCGTCACGATGGTACCCGGCAATACCGACACACCCACAAGGATCCGGGCTCTTTGAAGGTGCTCAAGATGACAATGCAACATCACGAAGGATGAGAGTTCAACGGCGACATAGGTCGTGCATGGGTCATATCAACCGGGAGCCTCGAGAAAGCATATAAGACGTGCCATGGCAAGTGAAGGGAACGACACACTTGTTCAATCACAATCCTCCCTCCCACAACGACCTTTGAAACCTCTTTACAACTCTATTACCTTGCCTCTTGGGCTCCAACATGGCAGGAGCAGTCATCGACAGCATCGGCCTCATCAGCGGTGGTCTCACCATCGCATCGTTTTTTATGGACAACCTGCCCGGCGGCGGCTCGTCTCCAGTAGGCGCACACGTCCAGATCAAATCTGGTTTGGGAGACGACAGCATCAGCAACTTGGTAAGCAAAGACCTCTTCTTCGATCATCGCTGTCGATTCTGGCTGACAATCGTCGCAGAAAGGCTTCACCGACAGCGTGTATGCGTACGACTACAACAACAACTACCTAGGTCAAAGCGGCTACGGCTGTGGTGAAGGCGCTGATGGCGGCTCTTGCGAGCTTACCGTGGACCAGGTATGTAGACGACTGCCGCTCTGATTGATGGGAGCTCCGATCTGACGTCCGCACAGGGAAGCTTCGGAACCGTCCAGGCCGATTATGTTTCCGTTGCGAATGGTGATGATGCGACTTGCATCTCTTGGATCTCTGTGACGCAATCTGATGGGTCTCCTGGTTCGTTGAACTTCCCTTTCGGAGAGCATTAAGCAGTGCTAATGGACTTGTCCGGTATCAGGTGGGGCGTGGACAGGCGATATAGGAGATCACTGTGGAGTCAGGACGTATTACGGCAACCAGCAAGCGGGTACATACCCAGATGGGTCGACATGGCGACCTTTGTGTGCGTAAGTATCCAGCCTCTATACACACCGCGCCCTGCGCCAACCCACCGCAAGCAAATTGCTGACTTTGCTCGCAGCTGGTTTGACAGTGACGGCACAGATGGTATTTGCGACGTTCGCTTCAACTGTCGGACTTTTACTGACCACAACCAGGCATCAAATACGCCGCGCTAAAGTTCACCGTCCGCGCGTACGGAGAACTCTCGTCCGACACCATCACCAAGAATCAAGGCTGCTCAGCGACACTTTTCGCGCCAGACAACGGCCCGATCAACGGTAAGATCCTCCTGCGCTAGTCTCCGCCCTGTCCCCTCGACCAGCACTAAGGCAATCTCAACCAGGCCTCCCAGCATCCCCAGCATCCAAACGTTCCCTCTCGCGCACCCGGCGATCCCAGCCCGACCGTCTCCCCTGGATGAAGCAGCGCCTCATCAAGTCCTCCTTCCCCGAACAGACCGCCGAGCGTCTGTGCAACTCCGAGACGAGCTATGGGCCGGACTTTGTAGGATCGGATGGGTTGTTCTGCGATATGGAGTCGAAGACGCTGTCGCCGCTGTGCTCGGTGGCGGATGTTGATGGGTGTGTTGTTGCGCATCAGAACGGCACGTTGACGAGTCGGGGGGCTGGTGGTGGTGGGGAGGGCCATCAGGTTGTTAGGACTTATGGTGTTGTGTCCTCTTGGGAGTGAGTGGTCGTGCGGTTGAATGATGACCATGATGGCATCGTGCGACGACAATCGCAGTGGGAATTCAGAGAGTCTAAAAGCGGAACATCGACAGAGGAGAGTCTGAAAGCGTTGAAACATCGATAGATTAGACTACCTCTACTCCAAACACTAAGACCCATGCACCGCCTTCCCCAACTCACACCTCTCCCCCTTCCGATGCAACCACCCCTTCCCATTCGGCAAATACCCTCTTGCCTCCATACTCGCCACCTCATTCCTGCTCTCCCTCCAGAACCCCAGCACATCCTCCCTTCGCAAGAACTTCTCCATAGCCTCCCTGCTCTCGAATCTCGAGTAAATCCTCGCCCCTGTGTCATTGTCCAGACACGAGAACGTCATAAACGACAGCACTCCGGACGGGTTGACCTTCTCGCTTTCCTGTACCTTCGTCGCAAGAGCCGAGAGACGGTCGAGGAGCGCTTCGCGATCAGAAGGGCTTTTGGCAGTGATGCGTGTATCTTGCATGATCGCGCATTCCTTCTTATCGCCGTCACGGTCGAGGAAGGAGTTGGGAAGGGCGGTGTAGTGATTCAAATCCAAATCGGTGGTTGAGTGGTCCGGGATGGTGGCGAGGAATTTTTGCATTGGGTTGGAGTTGAGGTGGGTTTCGTACAGGTCCTAGGGCAGAGTGGCGTGAGTGATGTGATAGAGGGTGTGGAAGGATGGGCTGAGGGAATGGAGCTCACTTCTCTGCAGCCGTAGACTTCGAAGGCGAACATGGAAGTTGTTCTGGAGAATTCGTCGGCGTAGTCGAGAGGGATGCCGAAGTACTGGGAGGGTACGGGGGTAAACGTTGGTTGCAGCGATATAGTCTTGCTATCGGACTTACGTAGGACATGGTTGTTGGTTCGTTCTCCCAGACATGCTCAGCCAGGTCGTCGTACGCTGCTTGCCACTGCGCAGAGATATTAGCCGTTGTTTAACCTGACGGTAGGGTCAACCATACTCACAGCATCGTAGTGGTCTGGTATGAAGTTGCAATTGGCGAAGAGAAAGAACATTGTGCTGGTGGTGGTTGTTCTGATCAATCCGACGTTGTTTGTTCAGTGCTCCCCCACGATGGTCGCTGTTGCTCAAAGTCAATATATTGAAGCTACTACACTCCCGTTTCCCAGTTATAATCAAGCCGGACAGCTTCATTTTATGTGCACCTCTCGTCTGCTCCATGTTGTACTTCGTCTGTTCGGTCCAGGTGGCTGATGAGTCTTGGAGAGGGGGTGCCGGAGAATGTCATCCGCAACACTTCACAACCACCATGGGATATGAAAAGCTCGCTTCTATCAGTGTCCCGTAGTCTTGGGTAACAAATAGACTACAGCGGGCATGTTTGCAAAGCCATTTCTACTGTAACCAAGAGACGTTGTTGGCCTGCAGCTTATCACTCAACACCGCGAAAATTGAAGCCAGGGATGCGTGACCGTTGGCCCAAGACATGTTGGATTGATCCGCATAGAATACCGAAATTTAGGAGCGTTTGCAGCCAGTTCATCGTATGGAAAGGGGAGTGATGCGCCCCGTTGTATGCATCGGCCACCGACGCTCGCGGGAAGAAGAAGTCGTGAACAACCTGCAATCGGCATCTATGCAGGATGTCAAATGTCGCGCGAGCTGTTGGCTCATTTCATGTTTTCAGCGATCTGCAAAAGGATCATTCTTGATCAGTGGGTGGCTTAACAATTCCTGCGCGGAAGGCCGGTCGGATGGCCTATACTTGAGCATCGAGAGGATGAGGCCCCCAATCTCTTCGATATCGTTCTCTGTGAAGAAAGGTTGCTTGTCATCGTCATAGTAGGTTTCTCTTAACCACTCAGAGAGGTCGTTCGTGTCGAGTTCGGCGGGAGCTTTAATATATGGTGAGTGCAGGCCTTCAGAAATCAGTCGGGATGAATACCTACATATGTTCTTGAAGGCCCTGGCCACACCATCCCGCTCTTGGGGCAGCGGGCCAAGCGATGCAAGCCAATCTGAAATGAGGACGTCTTCGTTGCTCAGCAATGAGTCAAAAGGAGGATAGCCGATAACGAGTGAGAATATCGTGCATCCTAGGCTCCAGATATCCGCCGGGCTGTCCCAATTAGAGGTCAATATAGCTTCTGGTGCTCGGAACGGCAAAGGGCAGCGCATTCGGGGCGCTTGTTGGCCAGAGGAAAAGGAAGAGCCGAAGTCGATCAAATTGAATGTGCACGACTTGCTTGAGCTGGAAGGTATAGAAAGCGAAGTGGGCTCCACCATGTACTTTGGCAAGTGCGAGCTCCAGTACACAGCGTGTACATTTCCTCGTCGAGGAGTTCTCGGTGTCTGCAAGGTTTCGGCGTGAGGGAACTTCAGGCTTGCATCGCAGGTGAATAGAATGTTCCCCGGATGCAAATCTGAGAATCGTATTAGCAAGTTGAACGAGGGGGAGAGATTCAGGCCGAGCATACCGCCGTGGACAACTCCTTGCTGATGCAAGTACGCAACTGCTTGTGTGACTTGACGAACTGCTTGCCATGAAGCACGTCCTGGCAGTCTGGCGCTGCGGTACCTGTCCGCGGCGGAAGACGCAGAAGGCCCAAGTAGCTCGCTCACAAGGCAGCTATGCATACCGTTTGGGCCCTCGACTGTGAAGCTATGTAGCGATTTTTGGATGTGATACCGACCAGTGCCATGCTCCGGTCCTGCTGCTAGACGGCCGTACACTTCAACCTCGTCTGGTTTGCGTGAGAGTTCAGCAACACCAACCTTTAGCGCCACATATTGATCTGAGCTGTGTAAATCGACATCGACAGTATTAGTTTCGTAGTGACTAGGACTGTGGCACTGGGGTCCAATTACCTTCTATCAGATGCCAGCCAGACGGTAGCATACCCGCCACAACCCAATTTGTGTACGACGGTGTAGCGCCCATCATCAAGCCGGTCTCCAAGATGCACTGGATGGTACCCGCCGACCTTGTAGCGATGTAAAGGCTCTCCTTCAACTTTGCACCATATGTCCTTCTGGGTGCTCGACGACGCCCGCCTGCACGTTCGCTGCTGTGTCTGTCGCGCACAGAGACACTGTGCGATCGGAGGGAGCCATCGTCTCACAGTCATACGCTCCAAGTCCTTAGGCAGTGTCGTGGATGAGTGAGAGCAGGGCAATTCTTGTTGAAGGTATTGAGGTAGACTATGGGATGATCCGCACTAGTGAGCTGCATCGACGTCGCCGTATAAAAAACAACAAGACAATGTTTAATTTCCATGAATATTGAGGACGACCGGACACTGTATGACCCGGACCGGAGACTTTTGATTAAAAATCTCCTTCTAGCAACCTGGTTAAAGAGTAAATGTGAGGAAAGTGGCGCCAGTTCGTGGTTGCTCCATCCCTTGTGCGATCCATCTGCGTGACACTTCCCTTCCACTCAACGCCGTTGTGCTCAGTCCTGCGCCTCATAACATGCCCTCTTGATCACCCGATACCTGCACGCACATTCGCTCGCTCGCACAGTATGCTGCTTTCATCCCTAACCTTCCTATTCATCTCACTGGTCAACCTCTCCCGCAGCGCATCCGTCAACCCTGACACTCTCGCGACCTTTGAGAGAATCGCTGGATACGCCGGAGCAGCATATTGTTCCTCCAACCATGTCACTGGAGTCAATGGACCGACGATCTTCCCGCCCAACATCTATGATTCTAATGGCGCCACGACAATAGCCTACTCCTTCCTGAAGGTCGACGAACGCAAAACCACAGGCTTGATCATGCTGGACCATGCCCACAAAGCCCTCGTCATCACCTTCCGAGGCACCATCAGCGACGCCGACTGGGAAACGAATCTCGAGTTCGTCCTTGAGGACGCCAGCGATGTCTGCGGCAAAGGCTGTAAAGCGCACGCCGGCTTCTTCGCATCGTGGCGTGGCGTAAGCGACATCGTGACAACCAAGTGGAGAGCCCTGAGCCAGCAGTACCCGCAGTATAGCACCATCATCACCGGCCACTCGCTCGGAGGCGCCATAGCCCATCTCTGCGCCGCCGGCCTGAAGACTGTAGGCCCCAATGCAGCGATGTCTCTGTACTCGTACGCCTCGCCACGAGTCGGCAACGAAGTCTTCGCCAGCTTCATCAACCAAAGGTTTGGAGCCAACATCTATCGCTTCACGCATCTCGACGATCCGATACCGCGCCTGCCAGGCCGGCTGCTGGGGTTCGTCCATACGTCGCCAGAGTATTTCATCACCAGTCCGCATATCCGGAAAGTGCTCAGTGCAGGCAAGAAGACCCTGGCGAAGCCCGAGAATGTTGTGGTCCAGGCTGGTGACATACATGTGCTGGCCGGGCCGGAGAATGAGGCAGGCAACGTCGGGTACCAAACCCAGGGGCAAAAGCCTACCATATTTGACACACTCGCTGACCTTTTCACGCTTCTGTTTACAGGTACGGTTGCACCAACGTGGCCATGCATGACGAGTATTTCATCAATATTGCTGGCTGTGTCGTCGATACGAAGACGCCGTTGCTGACCAGTGAGTCGAGAGATCCAGGAGACAGTGACAGAACATCAAAACTGACGCTGCGTAGACTTTGCTGAGGACGTATGCCACATCCTCCTAATGTGTTGCAATTAGGGACTGAACTTTGCGACCATGTGGCATGTTGATATTGGCCATAGCCCTTCCTGAGCAAGAAGACCCGTCCTAGCGCCAATGAAGTGACATCACTAGCTCGTCCACGTTTGTGACAGCGGCCGGCCCAATCTCGAATGGTCTTCTTTGCCATTTTGAAGTCTGGTGAGGATGATGCTAGTGGCAAGGTCCTTCACATCATTTGCTGCGTCGTATGTTTCTTTTCACAGTCTCGTGTGGCATACAGTTGGCTGCTGGACCCCTAGATTTCTTTTGCATCCTTGGGAAGTCTTCTTGTGGCACTTCATCTCGATAAGAAGTACATTTGGACGTTCGTGATCCTTCAAATTGCCTTTTCCGTTCAAGTCTCATTCTGCGGATCCAAAAGCAAGCCAGACACAGACACCACATCATACCCTCTCTTCTTCATCTCCGGCAAAACTTTCTTCAACATGGGGACAGTCCATGACCGCCTGTCATGGCAAATGATCACCGCCCCTGGCCGCAGACTGCTGAGAATGTGCCATGCATTGACTCTCCAGTACGGTATGAATGGATCGTGTGGGAAAATGCTGCCCAAAATCGTCCGGTAGCCGGCATCCTTCGCCACGTCAAGCACTCGGTCGCTGAAGATGCCGGACCCAGGTCGAAATAAATGCATAGTTCGGTTCTGGCCAGATGTTTCGTATGCATGGTTGATCATGCTGTCGACTTCATCGATCTCTTCCCGTAGCCTTGGGGTTGGAACGTTGAGACTAGGCTCATCGTGCATTCCGTGGTTTCCGAGCTCGCTTCCGGCGAGGAGGATGTCTTTCAAAATCAACTCTCGTCCTGATACTTGGCCGCCAATAACGAAGAAGGTGGCTGTGGCATTGTTCGCTTTCAGTATGGCCAGGATGGAATTCGTATAGTCCGAAGGAGAGTCGTCGATAGTGAGCGCCACCACTTTACGGGTCGTTGGGACATGGAACAGAACCGAGGGAGAGTGTCGTTGAAGTTGATTGATGAAGAAGACAGGAGGCTTGTAGATGATGTACAGAGGCAATACCACGAGCAGTACCACCGCTATAGCGGCTGCTTGGATCGCCATACGGATCTGTCTTGCTCGTCTTCTCCTCCACGGAAGGCAGAAGAAGGAGGTGAGCAGAGGCATGGAAGAAGATGTCCGGTCATGTCGTGTTCTTCATTGACGGGGCTTCTCGCAGCAAGGCATCCCCATTCCATCGAGATGGAAGCGAAAGGAGGTTGACCACAAAATTGTCAGGCATCAAGGCACACACTCTCAAGTCTTGGCATGTCGGATAGCAATTTGGGCTACAATCGACGCCACCAACACTACATGTATCTTGCAGGTATCCTGCAGCACTTCACCGGTCGAGGCCTTATGTGTGTACTATGATAAGGTAGGACTCACCAGCTCGCGATGTCTCAAGTAGTGGAAGGCTCTCGACCTACAAGACATCAACACACCGCGGCGCACTGCTAGACTTGACAAGATGTTGTCTTTTGCATCTCCTGGCCATGAGAAATGCGGCCTCATGAATTGGATGTCCTCCTCAGACCCGGGTTTCTGGAGCACAATGCATTGCGTTCGTGAAGATGAGTATCCGCGAGTGATTCGAGACTCCGCTGTCACAATAGACATCAACCAGATCCAGCCCATCTGCTCATTGTGTGAAGCTTTTGAGCATGCCACAGGCCAGTATGAGGACGATAACCCCACGGCATCAACGTCACTCCGGTATCAGCACTTCAAAGAGCTTGGAGAGCTGGCTCACAGAGGATGTTTATCGTGCAACGTCTTCCGTTCAGCGATCCTGCATCATCATCCTTCGAAAGACTCATATGAATTGCTAATGGCTGACGACGACCTAGTCAGTGTCTCTTTGTCTGTGGGAGGTGGCGGGCCTGATGCTCTCACCGTCCATTATCCTTACAACGCAAGCTTTGCTGACTTCAACAGCTACGATCCCGAGTGGCCCTACGGACGCCTACGGACGTCCTGACGCGGACTTGCTGGACGTCGTAGGACCGGATTTCTACGGCCCGCGAGAGAGGTTCAAGCGTATATCGACAGCTTCCATGAACGTACTTCTGATGCCAGCGAAAGCCGCCCAACAACCTGCACATCCTGTGCCCCCTCTCGCGCTGGCGTCCACCTCGGTCAGGAAGCGCTTCGCGCGGCGCTTTCATGCTGCTAAGAAGCGCCTCAAAGATATCTCCGGATCATCAGCAGCCGCAATAGTGGGCCCTTCTAGTCTGGATTCTCTGTCATCGGAAGAACTGGATCGTGTGCATCTCGGCGACTTCAATGGAGTGCGAGAGCAACTGCAGCTATGGACTGAATATGGTGATGCCGAAGGAGTCCAGGATGCTAGGAGGCTTAATGCGGAAGCGCTCAAGTCACGAGGTAAGTCGGTGACGAACGCATGCGACTTGAAAGCTCGATGAGGACGTCCAGATTCATAAAGGGACTGACTACTTCTCTAAAGAAGACATGCGGCCTGTCAGGGCTGAGATCAGCCCTCATGCAACATCTCCAATTTCAAGACTAACAGTCGCATGTTGGCTTCGAGACTGTTTGACCGCACATGAGCAGTGTGGCTCTAGAACCGGGCCGTCGACAATGCCGAAACGCCTCCTCAAGTTGGGCACTCCCCAAGAAGGTACTGGGACTCCTTATGTGTATGATACTGACGGCTCACCTGTCAGCTACGCCTGCTTGTCCTACTGCTGGGGTGGAAATTCCAACAATCGATGTCGACTGCTCACATCCAATCTAGACCAATTTCGGGAGGCAGTTTCCACATCCGAAATGCCAGCGACAATCAGAGATGCCGTTGAAGTTGCTCGTGCTCTGGGTATCTGGTACCTGTGGATAGACGCCCTGTGCATTATACAAGACGACGAGCAAGACTGGAGAGAGGAGAGCCCGAGAATGGGCGATATTTACAGCAACGCACTGCTAACGATCGCTGCGACCTCTTCAGAACATGCTGACTATGGCTTGTTGGGGAGGAGAATCGCGGAATATCCCAGCTCTTCTCGACCATGCCTCTTCCGCGGGAATCGACTGCTACAGCCAACGCCACAGCTGTCTCGGTACTTGCACGAGGCGCCCATCCTGCATAGAGCCTGGACAATGCAAGAGCTGTACCTTTCCCGCAGAATCCTGCATGCGACCGACGACTCTTTGCATGGGAGTGCCGGTGCCTGCACAGCACTGAGCACTTCCCATATGGCTTTCCCCATCATGATAATCCAAGCATTGCCGCTCACGGCATCTTTCCAGACTTCGCGGCCAAAGAATTCTTCCGGACCACCGATTCGCGGTCGCACACTGCGCAGCAGATATGGAGAGATCTCGTACGTGGGTACTCATCCAAGATGATGACCAACAAAGGGGACGTTCTGGTGGCGATAGCGGGTCTGGCTGCATTCATGCGAAAAGCGACTGGCGACCAATATCTTGCAGGACTGTGGCGTGAAATGTTGAGGTCTGACCTCTTGTGGCAGACTAATGAGTCGCGATACCGACCCAGTCGCTACGTTGCTCCGACTTGGTCCGGGGCCAGCACAACACTGGGCAAAAATGATGTAAGCCTAGGTGCTGGACAGACCTCCATCGACTTCCGGGAAGTAAAAGCCAAAGACCAGTATGTCGCTATCATCGACTCTTGCTCTGTCACTTACCGCGAAGGAACTTCTGAGTCACAGGTTCTGTCTGGTGAGTTGAACATCACCGGCAAGCTGGCACTACTGGAGTTTTTCCTCGAGAATGTGTGGGCTTCGAGCAGCGGAGCAGATCTCTTCGTTCGCATACCGGCTTTCAACGCGGTAGGCGACCCGATCTTCGACACAAACGATATGGTATTAACCAAAGAGCGGCGGCGCGGCATCTACAGAGTCCGAACAACAGAAAGCCAGCTGTACTTTCTAGCGATCACTCGCTCCGACGAGGAGCCATCTTATGAAGACAGGCCTTGGAAGGCGCCTACCATTGACGAGGAGCTTCGGGATCGTGAGCAAGCCACAAGACGTTTTGATCGCTCGAGCAATTTCTCTCTTGTATCCAGAAAAGAGCGCCGACCATTGTTCGCCCGCGGCAGGCGTTTCTCGATGAGTGACTTCGGGAACCCTGATGTTGATTTGTGGGAAACCTCTCCGGCGATGTTCCGCGGATCGTGCCCGGCATACCAGGACATGGGAACAGGCATACCAGGACATGGGAACAGGCATACCTCCGTTGCCTGGAGTAGAAGCCAATCAGGTTTCTATCGATGAAGCATCCAAACTACCGGGTGAGAGCTCTGGTGCTGGTGAGCCATTGGATGAAGGGGACGACAAGATACCGTCTAATGCGCCAGACGACGCCAAAGGGCTGGAAAGTGAGCCCATATAGTTGCAGCAAACACAGCTGAGGCCAACGGAGGAGCCGAGAGAAGCCCCTACCCCTCGTTCAACGCGCAGGAGATGTAGGAGGCTGCAGAGGAAGGGGCAGCGAGCATGAATCTGGCTACGGAGCAGTTAAGGCAAGAAACAGAACAAAAGCAAAAGGCCTACGACGAGGCCTCGATCACGAGCAGTAGACGTACACTACATGCCTACGGCCGCATCCCGCAACGCACAAGCAGCCTTGATCGGGACAGCTTCCGGTACTGGTCGAAGCGCTTCGAGAAGAAACATTACGCTCCGTCGTCCGCGAAAGACAGGGCTAAGGAAAGGCAGGAGGCTCTGAAGACTCATGTTCATGGTCTGATGCTGGAGCGTGTCGGCGAAGGAGAGCAGGAGGTGAAGGAAGGCCGCGTGGTTTATCGCCGTTTCGGTATCGCTACACTTGAGATTCGAGAGGGTAGAACGGCGCAGTTCGAGGATGTGGTTGAGACGAGCATCGTGATTGTATGATGCCGTTGATATGTCCAGACGCAGCAATCCTTACCATTCTCCAAGTCCAAAACAACAACACAGTGATGCAATGTTCTCTTGGTTTGCCTCGATGCTCATGATTTGTGTAGCAATAAACTCAACTCAAGGGGAAGATGAAGGTGAAAGCATGTGATTGTCAGGCATCAAGGCACGTGATCCCAAAACACCCCACCAACACGCAGCTCTGGCCATATCAGCGACCCAACGGCTAGCAACGGTGTTACATTCAATGCAACCCTGTGCCCGTATCATTCCTCCGACCTCACACTTACCACTCTCACGTCATACACTGAGGCAGGCTTGGAGCTGTAGACTCAATCGCGTCCAGCAGCAATCTCATTTACACCCTCGACACTACTCGACCACCCCACCTTGGCCATACCTATACCGCACCGCACCATCCGCCAACATGGCACCCAACCTCAAATCCTTCTTCCAGAATGTGGACGATAACGCCGAGACCTTCATCGAGCGTCTGCGAAAAGCGGTGGCCATCCCCTCAATCAGCGCCGAAGATGAGCGCAGAGCAGACGTTGTTCGGATGGGCATGTTCCTCAAAGGAGAGCTGGACAGATTAGGAGCATCTACAGAGGCGCGCCCATTAGGCAAGCAGCCCGGCAAGGAACACCTTGAACTACCACCTGCGATCATCGGAAGGTACCCGGCAAAGAAGGACGACAGCAAGAGGACGATATTGGTATATGGACACTACGATGTCCAGCCGGCTAACAAGTCAGATGGCTGGGAGACCGAGCCCTTCAAGTTGAGCGTGGATGACAAGGGGCGGATGTACGGACGGGGCAGCACAGATGACAAGGGCCCAGTGCTTGGATGGGTGAATGTCATCGAGTCACACCAAAAAGCCGAGATCGACTTCCCAGTCAACCTGCTTATGTGCTTCGAGGGTATGGAGGAGTATGGCTCGGAGGGATTGGACGACTTCATCATCGCTGAGTGCAAGCCCGGAAAGTACTTCGCGGACGTCGACGCAACTTGTATCAGCGACAACTACTGGCTCGGGACGGAGAAGCCGTGCTTGACGTACGGCCTGCGAGGTTGCAGCTACTACAGCATCCAGGTCTCGGGGCCTGGTCAGGACCTCCACTCGGGTGTCTTCGGTGGTACTGCGCAGGAGCCCATGACTGATCTCGTCCGAGTCATGGCAAGCTTGGTGGACGGCGATGGCAACATTTTGATCCCGGGCATCATGGACGATGTAGCAAAAGTTACGCCGGACGAAGAGAGCCGGTACAAAGACATCGCCTTCACTATGGACAACCTATACGAGAGTCTAGGAAGCAAGACCGGCATCTTCCCAGACAAGGAGCGCACACTCATGGGCCGATGGCGCTATCCTTCCCTCTCACTCCACGGTGTCGAAGGCGCCTTCTCGGCACCTGGTGCGAAGACCGTCATCCCTGCCAAAGTCATCGGCAAATTCTCTATCCGCACCGTCCCAGACATGAAACCTGAAAAGGTCGACGAGCTCGTCTACGCACACGTCGACAAAGTCTTCGAATCCCTCAAGTCCAAGAATACCATGAAGTGCCACCTCCAGCACAGCGGAAAATGGTGGGTTGCGAGCCCAGACCACTGGAACTTCACCGCTGCCGCGAAGGCTGTGGAGGATGTATGGAAGGTGAAGCCGGATCTGACGAGAGAGGGAGGGTCCATCCCGGTCACCTTGACGTTTGAGCAAGCGACAGGGAAAAATGTGCTGCTGCTGCCCATGGGGAGTAGTACAGATGCAGCGCACTCAGTGAACGAGAAGCTGGATCGGAAGAACTACATTGAGGGGATCAAGCTGCTGGGAGCGTATTTGCATTATGTGGCGGAAGAGCCTATGAAGGAATGAATGGTATCCTCTTACCATCGGCTTGGTGGGATGGCATGTGATTCCCTGAAAGGAGGGTCATGCGTCACAGTTCAGCCAACAGTTGCGTCCTACCGAGACCTACATAGATAGCTGCTATCCCACATTTACGCACCTCTGTACCAGATGCCCATGTCCCATTACACATGTTCGTATCTTGTATGTTCGACGAAAGTGGGAGTCGTCCTGCGAACTTTGCGTCCGTACAGCTAACAAGCGGCTCGTCATGACGACATGCACCACGCTTCACACTGCAAGTGCTTCGCCTCAACCTTTCCGCGGCCACTCACTTGTTCTGCAGAGATGGCTATAATTTGAAGCAAACGGACTGCAATACCCCACTCAAAACCATCTGCACCGGTTTCTCACGTTTTTGATTGCCTCCACTGACATGGCCGACACTTCTGCTCAACGGAGCAACCTGAAGGACTTTCTAAGTGTAAGTTAATCATCTACAGGATGAATTGGTTCAAAGAGTATGTCTTTCTAATGTTCAATAGTCTATAGCAACCATCAAAGGCGATCTCAGGTGTGCTCACGTCAATGCTGTTCAAAATCAATCCATCACTAACAGGCACCAGCAACATCACCGCACCACCATTCGTGCTCGCCGACAAGTCCACAACAGAGTTCCCACGCTACTGGGTCGAACACCCAGAACTATTCTGCGCACCCGCCAAGGAACAGAGCCCCGAACGCCGCCTCCTCGCCGTAGTGAAATGGTTCCTCTCCAGTCTCAAAGGCCAGCAGTACGCCGGTCGAGACCCCTCTGACGGCGTCAAGAAGCCCCTCAACGCCTTCCTCGGAGAGATCTTCGCGGGCTCCTGTGGAACGGAAGACGACAAGACCGTTCTCGTCAGTGAACAAGTGAGCCATCATCCACCAGTCACGGCCTGCTATCTCTGGAACGACAAAGCTGGTGTCCGAGCAGAGGGGTTCACTAGGCAGGAGATTACGTTCAGCGGGAGCGTGAATATTCAGCAGATCGGGCATGCGGTGTTGCATATCGATCAGTATGACGAGGACTACCTCATCCCGTTGCCGAATGTGAAGGTGAAGGGAATCTTGACTGGTGGGCCTTACCCTGAGTTAACGGAGCCGTGCACGATTGTCTCTTCTGCTGGATTTGTGGCGGATGTGGACTTCAGTGGCAAGAAGTTGCTTGGGATGTCAGGGGACAAGAACCACGTCCATGCTACGATCCACAGCACGGATGACAAGAAAGGGAAGGACCCGATCTTCACTGTGGATGGTAATTGGACTGAGACTTTGACGTTCAAAGACGGCAAAGACAACACTGTCGATACATACCAAGTGGGCTCCTCGCCAGCCACGGACTTCCAGACCCTACCAGTAGACAAACAAGACCCCTGGGAATCTCGCAAAGCCTGGGATGGCGTGATCTCATCCATCCATTCGGGGAACATGCAGGGCGTGGCTGACAACAAGAACGAGCTGGAGAACGCGCAGCGGGAGTTGAGGAAGAAGCCTGAGACTAGTGAGGAGAACTGGAAAGCATTGTTCTTCCGGAAGGAGGATGGTGACCAGGTGGCGCAGAGACTGTTGGATGTGACCGGCGAGAAGATGGATGTGAATGCCACTTGCGGTGTGTGGAAGTTTGATCGGGAGAGGTGGGAGAAGGCTGAGCGGCCTTGGAGGGAGGGGGTGACGCCGTATGGTTAGTGGTATCTGGCTGTAGAGATAGAGATAGATGTTCCTCGTCTCACAGGAGACAAGAGCCATTCAATTCATCGTTTCCTTTCAGTTCGGAGGAGAATGTACCTATTTTGACATGAATACAGTAACTGGGACTGGACGAGCCTTTGGACGAATCTATTGGTCTTCTGGACGAGACATAATGGCCGTATGTTTGACTTGGTTCAGATGAGAATGCTTTCGAGCTGTGTTGTGGTCGTGAAGGCATGGTGCAGGGGCCGGAGATTGATCATAGCGCGGCACTTCTCGAGAGACGTCTGCTTTTCGCCTCCTGTCTTTCTTCCTTTCTGTCACATCAACGCCAACGAGGATACATACGCATTCAGACGATCGACAAGACACATGGGTTAACCTCACATCGGACGGTCGACATGCAACTGCCGAGTTCCGACCGAGTTCACGACGTCGTCGTCGGCTTGCCACTTCATCCACCTGCACCGCCCTGTTCTTGGCCATATGATGACGGGAACAAGACTTCACCCGACGCGCAAGACATGTCCTAGGCGATGCGAATACGGCCCACCCAATGTACTATCTCTGGCTTGCTGGCGACTGTAATCGCCTCAAAGTCTCCACCAGCGATGCACCCTGGGCTAAGTAGGAGATATCGAAGTCTGAGCCTTTCATACCATCGACCGGCAGCGGTTAGCAACTATGGTGGACACGTACACTGGCTATGATCTGAAACACCCAACGGTGCACACAGCCTGGACTTCACGGCGAGCTCATTGACACTGGGTGAGTGCTCAGGCGTGCGTCGAACGCAATGTCGACGGTATGTATCGAATTCTCTGCTGCAGTACACGTAGGGTGGCCAATTTGCATCAGCTCAGGTAGTATTCATATCGGTTTTCCATCGCTTCACTACATGATTCTCCTTGGTGCTGTGTGCTTTTCTTTCTGTTTATTTCGTGCTGCAAGAGGCTCTCGAGCTACGAATCACAGCGAAGTCCTTCTCGAGGGAATTTGGACTCTGTTCGTAGGACAACCTACTTGGGTAGCGTATCATGAGCATCGGACAGTGGGACAGCCTCCCTCCGTTCGATGGATCGATGGCCTCCAACGAAAATGTCGAAATCTACCCTCAAAACTTCCAGCATGTGGCCTTGGACCGGACCCAGAGCCCATCCTCTATCCTCAAGGCAATCCCATGTACAACAGCCCCATCTTACGCACCGATGGTAACATTGTCGGCTCTTCTGTCTTCCTCCATCGGTCCATGGCCAGTACTGCAACTACAGCTTGCCTACACCAAATGCTGGAAAGCACTTCCTGAAGATGCAAAAGCCGGCAGAGCAGCTCCACACGAACAGCAACTGATTGACCGGACTTTGATCGAGTGCAAGCAGTCATACACATCCCTCCTCGACCTACTACATGCTTCCTCAGCTGCCCAAGCGATCGTCGATCCAGGATCAGGACGCTCCATACACCACAATGCTCTCGCTGCTTCCATCCAGAGCTTCGGAAGATATCTGCCTTCGCACAATGGCCCTCGAAAACCTGTTGTCGCCATCTCCCTGCCCAACGGACCTCTGCTTGCCCTCACAGTCCTGGCCACAGCCACATATTGCACAGCAGCTCCTCTCGCACACGGCAGTGGTGTAGGGGCAGAGCAGTTCAAGAGTGATGCGCTGCAATCTGCAGCCAGCTTCATCATGGCATCGGCGGCAGATGTGGAAAGGCTGGGACTTCGGAGTTCATGGCTGGTTGAGGCCAACGTTGAGGTAATTTTGGTGGAATTGACGCCCGATATGTGCATCGAGGTCAGGTCCTTGGACGGTACAGCAGCGCCAACAAGTCCGACTACAAGCCTCACACCGAACGGTGCAGACGATACCGGTGTACTGCTCTTCACTTCCGGCACCTCTGGCACGAAGAAGCTCGTACCATTGACCATACACTCCATGGTCTGCGGTGTCGCCATGGTAGTCGAGTCGTGGGGTCTGTCGCCTTCAATGCGCTGCTTGAACCAGATGCCTCTGAACCACGTCGGTGGGCTGGTTCGGAACCTCTTCGCACCACTTCTCTCCGGCGGCTCAGTCATGTGCTGCAGTGCGTTCGACGCGAATCTGTTCTGGGATTGTGTGGAGGACTACGCACCGACTTGGTACTATGCCTCGCCGAGTATGCATCAATGCATTCTCGAGGCTGCAGAAGATAGGCCTGAGGCTTTGTCTAAGAGCCAGATCCGACTGGTCTGCAACGCGGCCGGAGGACTTCTGCCCAGTCTGGCGTGTCGCTTGCGGGATACATTCGACTGTACTGTCCTGCCCAGCTATGGCATGACGGAGTGCATGCCGATCTCCACGCCACCGCAAGACTATCTTCTGGACAAGCCTGGAACTTCCGGCATCGGCATTGGTCCCGAAATCGCCGTACTTGATGGCAACGAGAAGAAGATCGGTCCTGGCTCTATTGGCCGTATCGCTGTTCGTGGTCAGCCAGTGTTCGCCGGCTACCTCAGAGGCGACGTGCTCGACAAGTCCTGCTTCACCGCCGACGGCTGGTTTGACACAGGCGACATGGGCTACTTGGATAACGAAGGATATCTGTACATCACAGGCCGAAGCAAGGAAGTCATCAACCGTGGCGGCGAGCTCATCAGCCCCTTCGAGGTCGAGGAAGCCGTCGTCGCTACGAGTGCGGACCCGTCATCGCCGACCCACGGCAGGGTCGGCAAGGCATTGGCGTTCTCTGTGCCCCACGATGTTCTCCAGGAAGTCGTGGGCATCTGCATCGTTACACCTGCTGGAGCGGAACGTACATCCCTACGGGGAATTCAAGCGGCTCTAAAGAACGTTCTTGCGCAGGTGAAGATACCTTCGGCTGTGGTGTTCATGGATAATGGACTGCCTGTGAATAATAACAAGGTTCTTCGCATCAGGCTTGCTGAGCGGTTGGGTTTGCCTGAGTTGTCGGATGCTACGCCCTTCCGGGAACGACACTTCGAAGCAGCCGGTCCTCCTGCAAACACACCACTCTCCGAGACTATTGAATGTCGGCGAATTGACGTCGAAGATGATGATGCGACTGGAGACGAGCTCCTTGAGCCTGGCCTGGCGGATGGTACGACTTCGAGCTTGACGCTGACTGAGCGCGCGATAGCAAAGATGTTCGCACAAGTGTTGAGCGTACCGGAGCAGAGTCTCGCTCCTGAGGCAGACTTCTTCCATCTGGGCGGCGACAGCATGCGAGCAGGTCGCCTCTTGTCCTTGCTCAGGAAGGAATTCAAGTCAAGGCTCACGATCGATCAGCTGTTTGCTAACTCAACTATTGGCGCACTGGCTTCGCTGCTTGGTGACATGACGCCGGAGCCTACTAAGCCGACCATGAACACACCCAGTGACGCACCATTCATGGATACCCTGCTTCCTGGTTGCGAGAAGACCTACAGCTCCACCAACCCGCTCGTGCTCATGCTGCAATTATTTCCGCTCTGCCTGTTCTACCCAATGAAACGAGCCTTCACCTGGACCGTCTTCATCTACTGCCTCTCATGGTCGCTCGGCTTGAACACAAGCGCCACGATTCCTGGCCGTCTTCTCGTTCTGGTCGTCTCCATGTTCATCGCTCGCACCATTACCAGAATCTTGGCTCCTCTCCTTGCTATCGCCTTCAAATGGTTGGTCATCGGACGCTACAAAGAAGGCTTGTATCCCATGTGGGGACGATACCACACTCGCTGGTGGCTCTGTCAGAAAGCGATCCAAACCACCGGTATGGGCGTCTGGGGTTCTTTCAACTGGAGCAGATGTTTCTTCTATCGTGCGCTTGGTGCGAAGATTGGCAAGAATGTCACGTTGAACAAGGGTGCGACACTTGGAGAGTACGATCTTTTGACGATTCAAGACAGCGTGAATCTTGAGCGATGCACTGTGCGACCTTTCGCTGCTGAGCGCAACACTTCGATGTATCTTGGTCGGATCACGCTTGGTCGCAAATCATCAGTCGGTCTCGGATCCGTCGTCGCTGCTGGCACCAACGTGCCCGCAAACGCTTGCATCGGCCCCAACTCATCAAGCTGGGAGGTCGAGGACGCCAGCGAGGCAAACAGAGACCTGGCCTCGAGCAAGATTCCAGGCGCGCACTGGGCTCTCAACCTCTTCCTTGGCCTTCCTTTGCAGTTCGCCTCAATGTTCATCGGTTCTATCCTCTGGCTCGGTTGCCTGGCTGCGCTGGTATACAACGACCTCAATTTCTCCATCGCTGATCCGCTCCGCTCCATCATCTTATGGTTCGCCACACCAGAGCGGGTTGGACTGCATTACGCTGCAATGGCAGCGAATGCCGCGCTAGGGCCGCTCTTCTTCTTCGCCGCTGTACTCGTTATAAAGAAGGCATTCGACCTCTGCTGTGGATCAGCGCAGCGCGGCCATGCCAGTTCCTTCTCTCAGATGACGAAGTTCCGCCGTCAATTGATCCGAACGTTGCTGCCAGCGCCTCGCTTTCGTAAGCTAACTGAGCTATTCGGGACCCATTACGAGGCTACCTCGATCTTCATGCGAGCGATGGGTGCAAAGGTCGGCAAGCAGGTGTACTGGCCAGGCACTGGGCCTTCGATCCAGGACTACGACCTTGTGGAGGTCGGTGACGATGTCGTTTTCGGCTCGAGGTCTCATCTTGTTACTTCTGATGCCACTGGAAGCGAGCCCATTCGCATCAAGTCTTTTGCCACGGTCGCTGATCGTGTTGTGCTTTTACCTGGTATCGAGCTTGGGGAGAAGACTATCATGGGCAGTGGCGCTCTGACGAGGCGGAACGCGCAGTACGCTGATGAGACGACTTGGGTCGGGAGCAAGAAGGGCGAGTGCATCTGCTTGTCCGCACCAGCCGGTCGAAAGGAGTCGCAGGCCTCATCAGCTTCATCTCCTGTTATCGCAAGCTTCAACTCGAGCAGCACCACACTCGCAGCCAGGAACAACGAGTACGAGCCGAAAGCAAGCCAGCTACCGCGTTTGGAACCAGCTCGAGATCTTCCTGTATTCAACCCTCATCACCATCGCCACAGCAATCTACTGGAACATCGGCTCCATCTCCGGGACCCAAATCATCGCACACCTCATGACACACAACCCAGCCTCCTTGTCCGCCCTCTCCCTCACCCCATCCTCCCCAGCTCGCCCCGTAGCCTTCTACGGCCTCTTCCTTCTCTGGACCATCCTCATCACAACCCTCCAATCCCTGCTCGTCCTCGTCTTCCTCATTGCCGCCAAGTGGATCTTGATGGGCCGACGCAAGCCAGGGAATTACTCCTGGGACACCTCACCGTACTGCCAGCGCTGGCAGCTGTACCTCAAACTCGAATCTCTGCGCCGGAACTGCTACGGCGGCAATGGCATTCTGGGCTTACTGACTGGGACGCATTACATCGTGCTCTACTTCCGCGCTCTCGGCGGAAGCATCGGGAAAGACTGCTCGCTCTTCGCTGGCGGACTGCCGAGTTTGCTCTTCACTGAACCCGACTTACTTACTCTCGGAGAAAGGGTGAGCGTGGATGATGCTAGTCTGGTGGCACATATCAATACCCGTGGGAAATTCGATCTCAATCCGCTGTCGGTCGGAGACAGGAGCGTTTTGCGGTCTGGGTCGCGGTTGTTGAGCGGTGCGCGGATGGAGGAGGATTCCTGTTTGCTGGAGCATACGCTTGTGATGGCGGGGGATGTGGTGGAGGCTGGGGAGACGATGCAGGGGTGGCCGGCAGAGGAGTTTCGGGGGGAGACGATGCCGACGTTGAGGAAGAGGATGGGGTGGTCGGTGTAGGTGGAAGCGCAGCTTTTCACTCGCTGCATGCTCGTTTCTGGCTGGCATGACCCTCGTCTTGTTGCTTGGATCAATCTGTCGGTCGTTTCAGGTCTCTTTTGTTTGCAGCATCTGCCTTTGGAGTAAGACTCTACCTTCTCACAGCACCCGGGAAGCGATGTGGGTAGTTTTAGAATAGAGATACCCAACTTGGTTCATATCCAAATACGAGACTTTGGCACTGAAGGCTTTTGATCCAGACCATGATGAGATGTAATGCTGTAAGACTGTTCTCTATACTGCAATGGCTTCCACGTTTTACTTATCAATGGTGACAGTACGCGCCAGCGCAAAGGAAGGCCTTTTGACAACGCTCCAGGCGATGCATGGCGTATCTTGGTCTTAACCCCTGGCCTCATCAATTGCTCCAACGGTCCCAGTCACACCCTCGACGGCATCGCCTCGCAAGCATTCTTCACCCGCTGTCTCAGCTCCTCCGACCCGACCTTGCCGCTCTTCGTGATTACGACGCCCGTGACAGCGCCATTCTTCACCAACCCAACAAATCCTGGCGTGATCTCAGTCGCCATAAGATCGAAACACCGCTCGATCTCCTCCTTGCTGATTGGGTTCCGCAAGCTTTGTCGAACCTGCTGGCTCAGTCCCTGCATGCTGAAAGAGCAGCGTGGCCGGCCAGCGGCGAGAAGCTCGAGTACGCGCGCCACGTCTTCGATGCGTTGGAGTGCTGCTTTGCGCTCGAGTTGGTCTCGCGTGGGGCCTGCTGGGAGGGTTGATGTGAGGGCTTGCTTTGCAAGAATGCGGTCTAGAAGGCTCGTGCCACGGTTCTGGACGGCGGCAGTGGATTTCTGCTCGGTGCTGACGGATGTGGTGCTGCTTGTGTCTGAGGTGGTGGGTGCTTGGCTGGCTTTCAAGTCTGCGAGTCTTTGCTGGCCACGAGCGAACATTGGCGCTGCTTTCTCCACAGACGCGGCCTTTTCGACTTCAGCAAGAGGGAGCTGGTCCAGAAATGTGCTGGCTCGGCAGCTCTCCTTGGGTGCACCAGCTAACCAACTGGACCACCTGTCCTGAAGAGCATTCTCAAACCGTGCGTTCGTGTCCACTTCGTCGATATAACTCGCAGAGCGCTTGATAGCTCTCCCACGAGGAGCAGACTTCACCAAGCGGATGCCAGCTCGCCCAAAATCCTTCAACAGAAACTCAGGTTCCACTTGTTGCTCCACTGCCAGCAGCGTCCGCAAATCATCCATAGACACCGCCCGCTTCTTCCAGTGCTTGGTGATGTTCGGGAGAAGTGCTTTGACTTCTGCAGGTGACGAAGTCCCGTTGTGTGCATAGTACATCGACAGCGCAGAGAGGAATGCTGAATGTAGTGATACAAGATCCATGAGCTCCGGCGGTAGTTGGCTGGAGTCGTCCATGTTTGGCTCTGGCGTTTTTGGTGGAGTGCCATACGCAAGTTGTCCAGCGTTGAGTGCGAATGGAATGGGAGCTGAAGGCTTCTCCAGCTTCATGTTGCGGAACAGATCTGCTGTGCTTTTGCTAGGTGTTTCCTTGGAAGATGGTGGCTGCACGTTCTTGAACCGTTTATTGCGTGGTGTAGAGGCCGTCGGCAAACTACTTTGCTTGGAGTCGATAGGCTGAACCGTGAATGCGCTCCCTGCCGCGGAATCGTCCTCGTCCTGATCCAGAGCGCGCTTCCGCTTGTTCTTAGGTAGCTTTGCCTCCTGTTGTAAAATTGCCTTCTTGTCATCAGGTACATGCGCTGTCTTCCTCTTCTTCTGTACGTCGTTCGCGTCATGCGCCTTTCCAATGGTCCCGAACGCTTTGATGCCGTGTTGGTGGTTGGGAGGTTGTTCTTCCGCAACGTGCTTTCGCTTCCTCTGAGCTGCCATGATGGTGATAGTCTATGTATGTCGATGTGTATGATAGAGGGTTGAGATGTGTCGTGAGCGATATCGAGGAGTTGAGGAGATATGTCTTGAAGTTGTGGAAGAGATGTTGGAGCGAGGCTGGGGTTACGCGACTCACACGCGCCACGCGTAAATTAGCTCAGTCACGTGATCCGTGCCGATCTTTACATTCACTTTGCTCCACTCACGCATCTCTTCTCTCAAACTCTCAAACACGCAGAACACATGCAAGACATATCAGCTTATCTTCGTGTCATGATTTGGCTACGATTGTATTGCGACCTTTGCACGCATACGCTATTTTTTGGAGCTGCAGCCCACCGTCTTTCCCCCTCTTCCGCCAGCCCTCCAGCACAATTCAAGCCCGCAGAGCCCCCAGAACTCACCTCATCTGGCTCCACCTGCCCAAACGTGCACTCTCACGAGATTCAGCCTCCAATCTAGAGGCATCGTCGCGCACGAATCACGTTGCGCAGTAAGCGACGGGGATCTCGCCCAGGAGTGGGGTACGGCAGTGAGATCTTCTCACGATTGGCTCATGCTGAGTATACCGCAAGGGCGGCATCGTTCGCCGGCAGCGGTGTCGGGATGATCAGTCGAGGTAGGCGAGGTAGGCGAGTATGGATGATTATATATCCGCTTGCCAGCGCCATTGAGTAATCTCTCATTCCTCCAACTTGTCTCCCTTGTGTGCAAGATCACTCTCGTACATACCTTCAGAATGTCAGAAGAGGAGAAGGGCACCAAAGGTGTCGAGGACGTGAGCTTGAACGACGAGAAGCCTACATCGACGGATAGCGGCGACCTCGACATTGATCTGGAAGCCTGGGGCGAAGAACATGGCTACGTACTGGACGTCGAAGTGTTAAAGACCATCACCCCAAAGTGGAGGAACTACCAACTGGCCAGCGATGGTAAGACCGTTCTGATCCCGCAGCCTTCGTCGGATCCCAATGATGTCTTGAACTGGAGCTGGAGCAAGAAGCATACAATCCTGTTTGTGATCGCAGCAACAGCGTTCTTACCCGATTATGGCAGTGCCACTGGAGCTGTCACCCTTATCCCGCAGTCTATCGAATGGGACATCTCGCAGGATACCGTGAATCACAGCCAGGTTGGGAATGTGTTCATGCTGGGCGCTGGCGGTATATTCGTAGTTGCACTAGCAGCATACTTCGGCCGTCTACCTGTCCTCTTCTGGTTCACCTTCACGGCTGTCTGGACTGCGGCAGGCTGTGCGGGCTCTGGGACCTTCGACTCCTTCATGGCCTTCCGCATTCTCAACGGCTTCTTCTCGACTGTGGCTCAGGGAGGCGGTGTCATGTTCATCAAAGACCTCTTCTTCATCCACGAGCGAGCACGGAAGATCAACATCTGGGCGTCTTTCGTTATCCTTTCGCCATACTTCGGCCCGCTTTTCACTGCTTTCATCACGGAAACCCAGAAATGGCAGTGGGCATTTGGGGTGTACACCATCATGACTGGACTCTGCTTGATCGCGCAGATCGCATTCGGCGAAGAAACCTACTTCAACCGCAAGATACCCATCGATGAGCGTCCCGTACGACAACCCGGCGTAGGAGGCCAGATGAAACGACTCATCGGGATCGAACAGTGGCGCGACAGGAAGCAGCGCAGCACCTTCAGCCAAGCCGCAATGCGACCCATCCTCGTTCTCATCAAGCCCACGGTCTTCCTATCCACCGTCTACTACCTCCTCACCTTCGCGTGGGTCGTGGGCATTAACACGACTCTCAGCATCTTCGTCACGCCTCTCTACGGCTTCGGTCTGAACCAGATTGGCTACTTCTACTTCACGCCCATCGTTGCCGCGACGCTGGGCGAGATCGCCGGGCACTGGCTGCACGATGCTATTGCCAACGCTCTGACCCGACGAAGTAAGGAGAAGAAACTGGAGCCCGAGTACCGTCTCATGGCTATTGCGATTAGCACGCCGTTCATCCTTACTGGGTTGGTGGTTCTGGGATTCGCGTTGGAGAACGGGTGGCATTACATGATCGCTGCCGTGGGCTGGGGTCTTTACGTCTTCGTGAGTCGTGCGGCGCCGCATGGATATTCAGGTTCTGACGGCTTCTAGGGCATCATGATCACCACAGTCGCCATAACAGCGTACTGCCTCGACAGCTATCCCGAGGGAAGCGGCGAAGTTGTGAGTCCCATTGTCCCCTTGCTAATTAGTGAAACCCATTCACTAACACGAAACACAGGCTGCCTGGATCAACTTCGCACGAACGACAGGCGGCTTCATCGTCTCCTACTTCCAGATCACATGGGCCAACGCAATGGGTACGAAGAAGAGCTTTGGCATTCAAGCTGCTATTTGCGTGTTCGCGTATATGATTATTGTCTTCCTGCAATCCTATGGGAAGAGGATACGAGAAAAGTCTGGACCGCTTAAGTTCAAGACTGATTAGTGAAGCATTCTGATAGCTTGCTCAATCCTGTCTCCATGCTCGGCTTTTCGCTGCTTGCTACCCTGTCCCCATCCAACCTGAATGTGCCAGCGGTGCCTTGTGCAAGCATGCAGTGGCCGGAGCCCCCGTCTCGCGCCTCTCGCATCCCAACTCGCATGTCGTTGTGTGCACGGTTCTGCTGCTCTCTGCAGATCCTGGCTGCTGAAGGTATAGATGGCGTTATGAATCGTGAGTTCGTCCAAGAGGTGTTTGAGAATTGAGAATGGTCTTTCATCAGACGTGGATATCATGTGACCACTCTGTGGCGCACTTTTCGAGGCCGTCCAAGTGTATCTTCAGCTTCCACTGCTCATATGATGGCGCAATATGTCGGAACGCGTTGCTCCACCTCGTAGGTAACGCACTGGACAGCGTACTCTCGTCCTATCTTTCTTCCAACGTAGCAATGCACTTCACTCCGTCCTCGCATCACTGTTCCTCCTCTTCTTCGGCGACTCGCCGGTAAAGATCGCTTTTATCCCCTCCCCAATCGTCACCATAATGATCGCAATCAGGTACTGGATCATCTGCACCACCCATCTCGCGGGAGCCCAGAGGCGTTGGTTTGGATCTTCGCGTACATCGCCGGCGCTGCGGATGAAGCGTTCGGATGTGCTGGGATGCTGGGTGTCTGCCATTGTGCTTCTCGTCTGGCTTGTCTGAAGGAGAAATGGGAAGTTGGTGAAGGAAGATAATAAAGTAGACGTCGGTTCTCGCGAACTCAATTCCTGTGGCTGAGCTCGATGCAAGAAAGCATCATACTTACGGGTCGCCGCGGACAAATCTGCACGTGGCAAGGAACTGCGGTTTGCATGTGATAGCGGTGTGGTCTTCAGATCAGTGCCCTGAGCCGTCGAGGCTTGTACGACTGCACGTAGACCACGCCTACCACATGGATTCGTCGTGTTGGCAGTCGACCGTACCGTGGCATCAACGAAGAGAGATGGTGTCGCCGTTCTTCAAGCGCTTGCCTAGGCAGGAACACGGACCTCGGCTGCCCTGGACCTCACCTCGATCACTGAGCGAGACGTTACTCTAGCATTGCAACATGTAAGATACTATTCTTCAGCATCTGCTCTTCCACTCTTCCACGTACGTTAACATCAGTCAAAATGCCGCAAGACTACAACGGCTTCGAGTACTTCAACGTCACCTTTCCATCCGAATATGTCGCCCAGGTCGAAGTCGACAGGCCCAAAAAGCTCAATGCCTTTACAGAGGCCATGTTCCACAGCATAGGAAGCATCTTCGATCGCTTATCCCATGACCCGGACGTTCGCGTGATCATCTTGTCTGGCAACGGCGACCGGGCATTCACCGCTGGCCTGGACGTCCAAGCCGCATCCGAGGGCGGCAACATCTCGAACAAGGACATCACAGACGTAGCACGCAAGGCTACTCGGATACGGCGACATATTCAGGAGATCCAGGACTGCGTGACCGCGATCGAGAAGTGCGAGAAGCCGGTCATTGTGGTGATGCATGGCATTTCCTACGGCCTTGGGATTGACATGGCGAGTTGTTGCGACATCCGGATCTGTGCGAAGGACACTCGCTTTTCCGTACGAGAGGTGGAGATAGGACTGGCTGCGGATGTTGGGACGCTGAGTCGCCTACCCAACTCTGGTGTCTCGATGTCGTTCGTGAAGGACGTGGCGCTTACGGCTCGAGACTTCAGCGCACAGGAAGCGCTGCAAGTGGGCTTTGTGTCAGGCGTGTACGATGATAAGAAGGCAGCGGTGGGACGTGCGTTGGAGTTGGGAACGTTGATCGCGAAGAAGAGCCCGGTAGCTGTGCAGGCGACGAAGGATGTGATCAACTTTTCAAGAGACCACACTGTCGCGGACGGTATGATTCTACGCAAGTTTACGTCCAAACACATCTCAAATACTGACGATATTTCGCAGGACTCACGTATGTCAAGGTACTGAATTCGTCAATGGTGCAGACGAAGGACGTCGAAGACTCCATGTTGGCTGGTATCAAGAAGACGAAACCCACTTTTGCAAAGCTCTAGCAGATATTACCATTGACGAACATTACATTGGTCGACCACGGCATCCAATCGTGAGAGACGTTCCTTCTCATTGATCAAACATGTTCGACGCCACATGTAGAGTTCGAGCAACGAACTTTAAAGATTGAAGGCACATTACATGCACCCAAAATCTATAAGTACTTTTCTCCCCCTACCTGTTCCATTAAAGATTCGCAAGGGTTGTCGAAGAACTTCTCTCCGTTATTCGACACTTTCGACATCCTCAAGTCTTTCAAAATTGTCTTTACGCAGCCTTTACACAACAGTATGCTTGACCCAGAACAGACTTTGCCGATGCACCTTTGCTAATTGCCCACACAGACCAGATATACACAGCAGACCAGCGGCCCAACATGGCGACCCTCACCACACAACCTTCTGCCCTCACTACTCCACCACAATCTCCGCATCCCTGGCAAGCCTACCTCGCCCGTCCACCCGTCATCTGGGCCCACGTCAGACCCGAGTACGACGTGCAGAGCGAAGGCGTCAGATTGAAGGGATGGCAGGTCGGCATGATGAAACCGCATAGGCTAACATATTGGTACGGGTCAGGTTCGTCTCCATTAACAATCTTTGTTTCCAAACATCCTGTTGATCAAACTTTCTATAGAATACCGACTTAGCTTCGTCACAAAGCCCCTCCAGCCTGGCCAGTTGGAAGTTGATCTCTACAAGCGGAATCTCGGTCTGAATATGGATGCGGAGGGCAATCTCATCCCGGTAGACCAGAAGGAGGTGCCGTGGAGACTGTTTCTGGGCTTTGAATACCGGGGCCACGAGCAGAGGTACATTCATATCACGTTCTTCACTCACCCGAGGACGTGGTAGATGAGCTAGCCGTCGGTGGTGCTGCGCAGAAAGAGGGAAAGGTGGGAGATGTTCTATCAGCTGCGTCGATCAGGTCTCGGAGGAGTGGTCAGTGAATTACTCTGGATTAATCGATAAGGGACTATTAATACCAAGCTTTGTTCTACAGTACATTCACTGCTGAGACATGAGGGTGCGACGTATTTCACCTCCTTGCTCACATTTCTTTCCACAAAACATAAGACCCACAACAATAGAACCAACGTCACATCACTCCCTAGAGCCGGACACAACTTCTTGACAGCAACACAAACGACCGCATTTCTCCACCTCCACCAACTCCGTCGTCACCCACCACAATGGACGGCGAACGCCTCATGCTGGTATACGGGCACAAAACCAACGGCCTCAAACTCGTCGATAACGGCGTCAGCATCCTCGACGAACTCGCTCTCGTCACCATCCTATCCGAATGTTGGTTTGCCATGTGGAAACCATCCATTCTGCCCTATACTAACAAATTCGCAGACCCCGAGATCCAAATGGTCACCAAAGCAATCACGCCAGGCAAGACTTCTTTCCCGATCTACAAGGCAGACCTCGACGTCGAGAAGACTAGTAAGCAGACGAAGGAGGAGGTGAAGGATGAGGTGCCGTGGATGGGGTTCTTGGGGCTTCATTGGGCGGGTCATAGTTTTGAGGAGGTGACGATTCTGTCTCCGAATCCTGCTTTTGCTGGTGTGAAGGCGGATGAGGCTAAGGGGAAGGACGCCGCGACCGAAGGGGGAGGTTGCTGAGGCCGTTGGTCAGGAAGCGAGTGCCTAGAGGATGACCGGGGGAGCGATGCTGTCTTCCGTCAATGTGTAGGGCGGGAAATACACGAGAGCTAGATCGCGCCTGAGTGAGTGGTCGGCAGAATTTTCCGTCGGCATCGACGTCTCAAGGCTGCTTGAACGCTTTTCACCTCCTTCGCGCTCCTAAAGAATGCTAATCCCTCCACCGTCCGCCCCAACCACACTTCCGGTAATCCACCTACTCTCCTCCCTGCACAACAGCCCAACCACATCCGCCACATCCTCCGGCCATCCCACCCTCGGAATCCCCTGGTGCGGTACGAACTCGTCCTCAAAAGTCTTGACCACCTCCTCCGGGATACCGTTATTGTAGACAGCGTCTGTTCGCGTGAGTCCGACCATTACAGTATTCGCCGTGGTCCCAGCCATGAAGGCAAACTCGGGGTTCTTGCCACCGAATGCATCAGCCCAGCTGCGTGTCGCGGCTTCGAGGGCGGATTTTGTGGCCATGTACATGATTCTAGAGTGCTAAAATCAGTTCAACAGGCCAGAGAAGGGACGGCAGGGTGATTACTGCTGGCTCCATCCTTTCCTCGCCCGCACAGACGAGATTGAAACGATCCTGGAGTTGGGGCGAAAGAGCTGCCTCTTGACACATTCTTCGATCATCTTGACAGGCGTCTCAATATTCGCTTTCAAGTTGTCTGCGATGTGCTCGTCCGTCAACTTTCCTATCCCCATCGCAGACGCGAAACAGGCATTGTTGATGAAGACATCCAGATGGCCAACAAAATGCCGCTGCAACGTATTTGCTATCAGAGCTGGTGTCTCATTATCCAGTAGATTAGCTGCTATGCCCACAATTTTCGGCTTTGCGTGCTTGTGAGGGTTGTTTCGATATATCTCCTCAACGGAGTGAGATATGGTATCGATGTGGTGTAAGGACTCTGGGCTGGAACAGGTGGCCACTACACAACACCCGCGACTGGCCAGATTCAGCACTATGGCTCGTCCGATGCCTCGACTGCCGCCCGTTACTACAGCCACGTGGTCTGCTAGGTCTTGTTCGCGGAGGCGGAGAGGTGCTGGGGGGCGGGCTGGATGGGAGGCCATCGTTGGTGGTTGTTGAAAGTAGTCTTACGTTACGCGCATTCTACCAGGCTTCTGTTATAGACATAGATCCTCGCCGCCGCCGAGAAGCCACTGTATGCACCAACGATGAGTGTTCATGAGTCAAGAACATGAAGTCAGCCGCCCTCTCCGCAAGCAAGCCACGTCCCAAAGAGGAAGCTACACACAGCTCCACATTCACTTCCATCTTCCAACGCGTCCCAAGAAACAACCACCGGGATCCTCTACTCCACCCTCACCATGGCCTCTCCATCTTCCTCCCCTCCCGAAACCCGAACGACACCTACCCCCGACCTCCCCTCCTCCCCGGCCCTCCACACCTCCCTCGCCCACCAAAACGCCCAATACAACGACTGCACCTCCTGCCGCATCATGGGCAGCGCCGCGTTCACGGGTCTGGGCTTCTACACCTACTACAGCGGCCGTAAACAATTACGCGAGCGGGAAGCGGAGTTCTTGAAAGCGGGGAGTCGGTTTGGGGTGAGGGTGAGGAAGATGATGATTTTGGGGATGAGTATGGGACTTGTGGGGTTGGGAGCTTGGAGGTTGGTTGATTGAGGGATCGAAGATGAGGGGCATGATTTCAGATGGTTGACATGGGAGCTGGCGGTATTGGTGCTAGGAGAATCCAGGCTGATGGAGGGCAAGACGAGGGAAGCTTTGATTCGTACTCGGACACCGACGACGGGGAGGGTACCACGAAGAGTGCTGTGTAGCGTCATGGTTGAGGCTGTCGCGAGTTGTACAGCTGGAAAGGGTGCCATCGTCACGAATGAGGCCTGCCTGGGGAGAAAGCGCCACGAGAACACCACAGTCTTGCCCATGCTGGTGCTATGCTCAAGAGCCTACAAAGGTGGTTCACAAGACGCGAGATAGAAGGAGGAGCTTGGGAATGCGAGGGTGGTTTGCTCGGATATCATTAACATCGTCTCCTCTCAACCGTAGACATAAAGACATGGGGTATCAGCGAATCGGCCGTCCAACAATTCCCTGCTCCAACGAATGCCATGATCCTCCTTGGTGTCCCTTGTCCCTCGCTATGCTGGCAGTTGATGCAATGCGGCCTTTCCGTCGCGCGCGTACAGACTCCTTCGAAACTCCTCAAATCCCTTAAACATGCCGCCCTCTCTTCCCTCCCCTTCCGTTCCCATTATCCTTCCCGCCTTGCTGGTCGAAGTTCATGCCAGATATGTCGAAGAAGTCCGGGTACGGTATCTTCCGCTTACTGCCTGCTCCGCTGCCCAAATTAAGGTTGATGGTGGCGGTATTCGCAGCAGCGGTATTCGAGCGTCGATTGTGTCTGCTCCCTCGAGTGGGTCGCTGAGTGATTCGTACAGCTGCCGAGTCGGGCGTGGTCGTAGACATGCTTGATGGTGTTCCTGGCGCGGTGGAAGTGGCGTCTAAGTCCATGTGGCTTTCTCTGTCGTGGTTCGTCGGGTATGCGTGAGATGACCGAAAAGTGAAGGCGTCGGAAGTAGGTACTGCTGCGGGTTGATATCGAGGTGGCTCCGAGGCTGCCTGCCGCCGTGCTGTCGAGCGGTCGTCCTCTTGCACCTCGCTGCTCTGCGTCGGCATAGGTGGAGCCTTCCTTCCCGCCTCCGGTGAACTGCTCCTTGACCCTGCCCGAGTACCACCATCTTTCCGCTCCTCCTCGGCCTCGTCGTCGCTTCCTCCATGCCTTAATCCTCCATCGTCGGTCAAGTTATGAGTCGCCCACTGCCGCACCCTCCAACCCTCCCCATCCATCAAGCCCAGATTCTCGGCATCCATGAACGCCAATAGATCCTCCACCGCATCTTGATAACCCGCCGCCCTCGCCTTGTCCTGCTGAGACGCCGCAGTCTTGTACAGGTTAGTCACAGATAACGCAGCCGCCTTGAAGTCGGACAGTAGCTCGGGTTGGTCCAGTCGGCGCCGGGTGCGAGGAAGCGAAGTCGAAAGGTTGTGTATCGAGTCCATGTTGTTCCCCTGCAAGCGAAATGCGTGGTGTGATGGCTTTGTCACGAGGTCGCAGGTTGTGTGCAGAGGTGAGGATGCAGGAAATGCGGGCTTCTTTGTTGACGTCGGCCCTTTGATATCCGAGCGAGTGCCAAGAGAACTGAAGTGGGATGTTATGATGGTGATTCGAAGGTGACTTGTGATGGCAATTGCGACCGACTCAGCCACACGAAACTCGCAGTCACGAGGAAACGGTTTATCAGGAACACAACGACACGTCAATGTAATCCGCGAACAGTCTGTAGACGCTTCAGAGCACCACCTTTCCACCACCTCCACCATGGCATCAGTCAGCTCCCTCGACCAGGACATGCGCAACTTGCGCCTCTCGCGCTACACTCCTCAAGCCGCGAACCAGGTCCGTACCTGGATCGAGACCACACTCGGCTCTTCTCTCCCACCCGGCGACCTGCTGGAAGTGCTGAAGGACGGCGTGGCCCTCTGTAAACTGGCGAATCTGCTTCTACGACCGTCCCATGGCGGGATCAAATTCAAAGCCTCGTCGATGCCTTTCATCCAGATGGAGAACATCAGCCACTTCCTGAAAGCGTGCGAGATGCCGCCGCTGAACATGCCGGCGCACGATCGCTTCTTGACTGTCGATCTGTACGAGAGCAAGGACCCGGCGCAAGTGCTGCAATGTTTGGGTGCTTTCTCGCGGATGGCGAATAGTCTCAAGCCGGATGTCTTTCAAACGACTATAGGGGGCAAGAAGGCTGGGGCGGGGGGAGCAATGTCACCAACGACTACAGGAGGTGCGAATGGAGCAAGCGGGACGTGGAGGCAAAGTAGCAATGCGAGCACATCCAGCTACGGAGGGAGGACCAGTCCGACGAAAGCGTCCGCTGCAATGCCTGGCACAGGTGCGCGAGCCATGAGTCCTGCACTTACTGGTGGTTCGACCGGGTCGCAGAAGACGGATGGAGGCTCGAAGGGTCCAGTCAGTAGTTGGAGCAGAAAGACCGATGAAGGCAATACGGCACCCGCATGGAACATCCACCAGTATGGCTACATGGGCGGAGCGAGTCAAGGAAATCAAGGTATCAGCTTCGGCGCACGGCGGCAGATTACTAGTCAAGCCCCCAGCGTGCCGAGCTTGGCCGAGAAGGAGAAAGCGCGCAAAGAGAAGGCTGCTGAGGAGGAGAGGCTACGTCAACAGGCCGAAGAGGCCGAGCACAGACGGCGAGTGGAGCGCGAGGCGGAGGAGGAGCAAGCAAGAATCGAGGAGCAGCAAAGATGGGAGGACGAGACCAGGCGAACGCGGGACGAAGAGCGGAGACGGATGGAAGAGCAGAAACGGCAGTGGGAAGAGCAGGAACGGAGGTGGAAAGAAGAGGAGGAGGCGAGGCGGAAGGAGGCTGCGGAATTTTCGCGAAAGCTGCCACCACCGAAGCCTAGAGTGCCGAGCTCTGGAATATTACGAGGGCAGACGCTTTCGCAGTATCAGAAAGAGCAGACCAGCAACGGTAGCGAAGCTGCTGAAACACCAGAGCAGAAGCGTGTGCGGGAGCTTGAGCAGCAACTCGAGGAGGCTCGAGAACGAGAAAGGCAGTATCAAGCCGAGCGTGAGGAACGTGTAAGGCAAGGCTCGGATCGTGGATCAAGACCTACCACGGCTCGAACAGAGACGCCGACAGAGAGCTCCTGGGCGGGTGACGAGCGCGAATATCTTCGGCAGCAATGGCAAAGCAACCAGAACGATTCTGCCGCAAAATCGGCAACAGAATCAGGCGCGCAACAAACGAGACCGCTCCCAACACCTGAGCCACCCACGCGATCATTACCACAACAGTCTCCTCCGCCCGATGAGCAAGACGATGCCCTGCCTCTCCCTCAGCGCCTAAAACCCTCCGAGTCTGCATCCTCCCTACCTCACAACCTACCTCCTTCGACATCCACCTCTTCAATTCCACAAGTCGACCCAGATTCTGCCATAAACTCTTCACCCCTGGGCAGCTCGAACCGGCCCCTCCCAACCCCGGACAAAGAATTCCAACCCTATACGCCCTCGCCTTTGCAACCAAATAAGTCCCGCACAGCCAACTTCCTCTCGAGCAACCCCGCGCCCTCCCCCACACCTCCGCGGGTGTCCTCCACCCTCGAAACCGGCTCAACGGCCCTCGATCAGTCTTCTCTCCGCGATTCCCGCCTTGCCTCCCAGAGTACAACCAAAGCTGGCGGCTGGGCGAGCAAATCCCTCCTTGAGCGCGAAATGGAACGTGAGCGCGAGAGGCAACGAGAGTGGGAAGCGGCTCAGGCTGAGGTCAAAGCGGCACCGAGGGATGAATCGCAGGGTGTGAAGCCGGGCGAGAGCTGGGATGTCAATCAGTACGGGTTTACGGGTGGGGATGGGCAGAACCGCGGGAGTAGTTCGGGTAGTGGGATTGATTTCGGAGGGAGGAGGCAGATTCTGGGGCCGAGAGCGCTGCCGAAGCGATAGGCTAAGGATGGAGAAGTAGTGCTGGAGGCTTGGATGCTATATTTATGTCAGCGTACGCTCTTTATGACAGAGACGAATATCGAGGAACGGTCCTTCGAATCACAATAATTCCGATCGTTTGTCACGTGATTGTCTGGCTAAGCCCGAAATGGAAATGTGCGGATCTCGACTTTGACTTCACTTCATCTCACATGCCTTTCACATGCTCTGTAGCACAATCTGGACAATCTTGGAAGCAACGCAGGAAGCGCCGACAATAAAAAGCGACGGTCCTTTGATTCTGGAACCAAGAAGATAAATGGATGTACGGCGGAACGACCTCGAATGCGATACTGCCGTCTTCAGATCAGGAGCCTCCGATAATGGATGGACTGGCGTAGCATGCCACCGAATACCTTCGTCAGCTCTTCTCCCACACTGTTGGTGTCCGGCGAAAGACTACAAAGCCCTATCGCTGACAGCATGCTCATATTGCGCAGCCGTCTTCCGGTTTCTGTCCCGCGTTTGCCCTCACGCAGACCAAGGTGAGCCAATGGCAGCCCGGTGGCTCAACGATGCGACATCATGAGCGACCTCACTGCCAGCTGGCAGACATGCGACCATTGTGCAAACTTGGGCCTATTCAATGCGGGCTATTTGCGGACGGTCATCGGTCTAAAAATGTCACTTCATGGGTTGCCATTGGGTCTAGCTCATCGTCTGGACCAATACCAGCACGGCTATCAAGCTCATGCGACTTGAAACGCAAGCTCACACTGCCATGTGCAATCTCAAACGTGTGGGGCATTGTAGGTGTTCACACTTCACCATTGTCGTCTGATCTATCTTTGGTTTGCTATTCTACCGGACGGGATGGTGAATAGACGACCTCGTGCACCCATTGTGGCTCGGTTTGACAATAGCACATTCTTTCACAGCGACTGTCAAAACCAGCTCGTTTTCCAGTCTGGTTTCTTCCTTCTTACATCCACTTTCTTCATCTGATCTCGTTCGACACGTCCAACCACAGACCCAACCAACCATCAGCAGCAGCAGCAGCAGCAGCAAGATGTCTTCCGTGTCTGTTCGCCGTGCCTCCTCCGCCGGTATGTATCCCCCACATCCGCCTCCTTCGCTGCGTGACCATGCAACCTGTTCCTCACTTCGAGAAGCATTGCTGACCTCTTCTGTAGCCCCCACCCTCACCACCGCTGCCGCTGGTCCGGCAGCTGTTGGTCGCCCGGCTTCCGGTACGTGCCTCCCATGGTCACATCCCTCCCCTCGTAACCATGTAATCTGTTTCGCTCTTCGAGAAGATGCTGACATCCCGTCTCAGCCCCCCCACCCATCTCCACCAATGGTACGTCTCTCTCATGGCCATATCCCCTCCCTTGTGGCCATGAGCCTTGTTTCGTTCTTCGAGAAGATGTGCTGACCCGGCTGCTACAGACAAGAAGCGCAAGCGAGAGCGCAGCGACCTGTACGCGTCCCTGAGCGCTGTGCGCTCCACACACTACATGAACGGGGCCTGGCTGGCCGACAAGCCAGCGCTTCTCGAAGAGCGCATCGAGCAAGGGGGCACCCGCAACGTGCTCAGCCCCCTCTCCGACGCCGCCTGGGAGAGAATCAAGGCGGCGCCGAAGAGGGGCGGCAAGGGCGGCAAGAAGAAGAAGGCAGCACCAAAGAAGAAGGCTGCGCCCAAGAAGAAGGCTGCGCCGGCTCTCTCCACCATTCTCGAAGAGAGCGAGGAAGTTGCTGCTGCTCCGAGCCGCAAGAGGGCACGAGTTGCTGCCCCAGTCGTCGAGAGCAACTACGGCACCCGCTCGAAGGGTAGCGCTCCGGCCCCTGTTCTCCCAGGCAGCAACACCACCGTCAATCCCACGAGCGCCGCCACAGCAGCACCACCATGCGTCGAGAAGCCGGCCCCCTCCGCCCGCGTCACGCGCGCCAAGAGCAAAGGCAAGGGCCGTGCCACCGCCGCTTCCGCCCCCCCACCTCCCCCAACTCTCCCAGCTCCTCTTCCGGCCCCGCCACAGCCCTTCGTTGCACCCCCACCTCCACAACCAACAACCGCCGTCCAGCCTATGACCATGGCCACCCTCCAAGCCAACCAAGGCACCACCACCACGCGCCCAGCCGACGCCACACTCACCACCCCATGGCAATGCGCCACCCGCTCCTGCCAAAGCGGCCAAACCTGGCACTCGCGCGACGGGCCCGCCAACATCTCCCAAGGCCGCAAGGTCATCAGCAACTTCTTCGGCCGCAACAAGAAAGAAACCAACACCATCCCCGCCGACGTCTGGCACACGCACTGCCGCAAGCACTACCAGCGCGGCACGTATCTCTACAAGAAGGTCGGCGTGAACGCCCAGCTGCAGTACTACATCGACAACGTCAACATGCAGCTCACACGGCTCGAACTCTGGCGCCCGAACGCCACGTTCAAGGTCCAGCTGATCAGAGGCGCTGTCAACCGTCTCCACACCTACCGCGGTCTCCTCCTCCAGGGCAATTCCGTTGACGCCGCCGAAACATCCATGCTCGTCACCCCGAAACCCGGCAAGCACGGCCCCCTCCCTCTCAAACTCGAAGACGCCTTCCCACCCCACCTCATCGACCACTTCGACACGACCTTCGTTCCAACCGCCACCGGCTACACATCCACCTACGCCGATCTCCACCGCATCATGGCATGGGTCCAAGGTCTGGCGCGCAGAGACGAGATCACGACAATGCCGCCGATGGAATTCCTTATCAGCCCCGAAGGCAACAACGAGGCGGGTGTCACAAGGCCCGAAGAGAATTACATGCGTTGGTTGGCGGCTGAAGATGCGGCGGTGCTTGCTACGGCTGCGAATGCTGTTGCTGGGGCGTCTGGGCCGGCTGCGCAAGGGCAGGGTGTCAAAGAAGAAGATGAATATGAAGATGATGATGATGATGATGGGCAGAGCAGTGGGCATGAGAGCGAGTGAGCGACGAAAGAAAGACGAAGGGGTGTGAACATGATGTCTGAAGAGCGATGGGTGATATGAATGTTTGGTCGAGAGAAGAGAAGATGCGGCGTCGTTGTTCATTCATTCATCCGTGCCCATACCCAGACTAATGCACGAAGGGGTAGGGGCACGACACGACATCGACTTCTCTTGGGCTGTGCGCAGGCGCCGGCTTTCTCAACGACAGCGATGGTTCACATGAGGGTATGGGCATTGGTATGGTCACGGTCACGAGACGACACCTGGTCTCTGGGCGTTGCGTGCTTGGTTTTCACTCCTGACGGTGGCTACGATCTCTGCTCTGGTATGCCTGCTTATGCTTATGATACTTACGATACTGATGACTGCGACGATGCGATGCGAAGCGAATCTCACGATTAGGCTATGCTATGCTATGCAGACAATGAATACGATATGACATGGTACAAATGATCCTGCTTCTTCTACAACTCTTTGATTCTTGAATGTTCAAAAAAACGCCTGCTCCACCCAGCTCTTCGGCGCCTTCATAGCTTTCCCGCTCTCAGTCGTGCGTGTACTGCGCAAACTATCTCTACTTTGACTCCAGCTCCTTGGTCTACCCTTCAGCAACGTGCTCCACCATCCCCTCCCTTTCGAAGCAGAGCCGGCAGTACCTTCGTTACTCTGTTGCCGTGCGCGCTTCGAAGGCGACGCCTCCCCCTGCCCCGCCTTTCCCGCCTCATCAGAAGCAGCGGCAGAGGAAGCAGCAGGTAGTCAGCTCCGCCCAATCGCCGGACTGGGCAGATCGTCCACCTCAAGCACCGGCTCCGGCTCAACCATCTGCACACTCTGTTTCCGTCCCAAACCCTTCCCACCACCAGGCGTTTTCGGCGCAGCGGACGCGGCGCTCATCGCTCTCTCGGGAGGAGTCATGAAAGGGAGGCCGGATTCGGGATCGAGTTCTTCGTCTTCGGTCTGCGCGGAGGCGTCGACTTGCTCCGTGTCGGACGACTCGAGAACGCCGTCGAGATTTGTGCGGTTTCGGGCTGGCGCCTTGCCTTTGGCGATGCTGCGCGGGCGGCTGATTTGGGAAGCAGATTCGGCGGCAGTGGAGTAAGCGCCTTGGGTATCTTCGCTGCTGTCCTTTGTCGTCTGGGTTTTGGCGTCGTAGAAGAGGGAGTTCTCTCTCGCTTTCATCTGTCGGACTTCATCCTCGCTTTCGTGCTCCGGGTGGGAGTGGAGGGTGTGCATTCCATCGCTGGCCGCTTGTTTGCTAGCAAACGAGCCGTGAGGATGGTCTTGCGTGCTGGTTGGGCTAGGCAAACCCTGCCATTTGTCGCCGTCCCAGTGGCCGCCTTCGCTGTCTGATAAGGTGTCGCCGCGCTGAGACATGCCTTTGATATCGCTCCAGTATTCGAGCTTCTTGACTTGCTCGTCCGCAGCTTGAACGGCTTTCATCAGGTTCTCAGCTCGGCGCGTTGCTCTGACGTGGTCCTTTTGCGTCGATTCGTTGTCGTGAGAATGAGAGGTGAGACTCTGCTTCCGCTTGCTCGTCTCGTCGTAGCGCTGTAGCAGCTCCGTGAGAAGTTGTCGCCGGGAAGACTGGAAGACGAACAGGCTCATAATCTCCGGCATGCGGTCGGATAGGTAGAACAACTCATCGCCGCCTTCTTTCACGAATTTACGCACCGCGACAAGCTTCTCGCGATCAACAGCCGCGTGCTTCAAAGCTGAAGTCAACGACCCAATATCCGCAATCTCCATCTTCTCCACATCCATGACCTCTTCCTCCTTCTCCCGTAGCATCCTCGCCAACTCCGCTTCCCCCATCTTCGTCAAATCGTCCTGCGGCCCTGCCCTCAACGTCTTCGGATGAATCGTAAAATACTCCGACGTCATCTCATGCCCCTTCTCCCGCGTCCGATGCACCACCGTCTTCCGTCTTCTCAACCGCAACCACCGTCTCCTGCGCACAAAGGAGTGAAACCACGGATGATTCCCGTGCCACGCAAACCCCGCGTTGAACTGAAAACTGTACTCCCACCCTTCCTCATCCACATCCCGACTCATGTCCACATACCAGCTCTTCCACGCCCACTCCCAGCTCGGATCCGGCACCTGCGCGTTGCGGATATCGACAGGCGAAGTGCGAAACTGCGCGTTCTGCCATGGTTTGGGGTCGGATGGTAGTAAAGTGGAGGCGCTGTAGCGCGGCAGGCCGAAGAGAAAGAAGCCGCGCTGGTTCTCGTAGAGAATGTCGATGACTTGATCTTGGGCGTGGATGCCGGCGCCGAGGGTGCGTTTGCGTTTGAGGAGGGTTTTGGCTTTCGCGCGGCCGCGCTCGAGGTAGGATGTCTGTTGCGCGGTGGCCGGTTCGCCGATGGAGGCCGGTTCGCCGATGGAGGCCGCGGCGTCTTCGGGAGGGTCGGGGGCGTCATCGTCGTCTTCGGCGGTGGTGGTAGTGGCGGTGTCTTCCTCGTTGATTTTGTAGCGGCCGCGGTCGTACTTGGCGTATTTCCGTCTGGTCCATTCGCGCTTGAGGGATTGTTGGAGTTGGATGGAGTTGGAGGTCAGACGCTTCGTCAATGGCGAGGGGCCAGGGGTGGAGGGGGCGGTGGGAGGTTCGCTGCCGCTTGTGAGTTCATTGTCTGCTCGTTCTCGCTGTCTTTCCTGGTCGACGAGGGAGATCTGGTTGTTGACGATAGGGACTTGGCGGATGGAGGATGCTCGGGAGGACATGATGCGGGATAGGAGGTGGGAGATGGGTAGGTATGTACGCTACCTATCATGCAAGACGATAGGCGTCACCACCACCTCGTCCTCTGGTCCAGATCGATGTCGAAAGATGTGCGGGATGCTCATGCGGAGGTGGCTCGAGTGCTGTGGATCGTCGCTGGGTTCTGCCATCATACGTTCATACTCCCAATCATATTCAACAAGCTGTACATGTATCCAAGTGTACGCAATGGCTGACTCTTCAGGACTTGCTCATCAGGCAATACTGCGGTCGTCTGTACCTGTAGCCAACCATCGCGCTTGCCTCTCTCAAGGTTCAAGAGGCGCCACACTTTCGTCGCTGCCGCCACTGATGCGGCGTGCACCGTGCATTAAATCTGGGGAAGGAACGACGCACGATGGCATCACAGCGTGGCAGGTGCAAGGCAGGCTGATTGGCTCCACCGAGCTTGCTTTACCTCGCCTCCTCTCCTGCTTGAAAGGCATTGTATACATTGAACCTCGTCTCTCACCTGACACGACCTATCTCACTACTCACTACTCCCCTTAACAACCCTATCAACGAATCCAGTAATCATGTCGAGAAGAGCCATCCAGGTCGGTGGAGGTGCCCTCGCCGCCGGCGTGGGCTACTACTTCTACAAAGCAGGCGGCGACCCTCAAGCCGCGCAGAAGCGGATGGAAGGTAGACATCCCTCCTCCCCTCCCCCAGCTCTGCTCTCGCTGACCACATTTCCAGCCGACGCGACCAAAGCCTCCAACGAAGTGAAGTCCCACCTGCCCGGCAGCCCCAAGGAAGCCAAAAAGGACACCGAAGTAGTCGGCGCCGACGTCTCTGCCAAAGCGAACCAGATGGCCAAGGATGCGCGTAAAGAGGTCGACAAGGTCGACGGCCGCCTCGACCAGTACCGCGCGAACGCCGAGGTACAGATGGATCAGGCGGCGAAGAAGACGGGGAATGAGTTGAATAAGGCGGTGGATAAGTTTGACAAGGGGGTTACTGAGGTGAGTGATGCGTTGTGAGATGGGTGAGGAGTGGTGATGGTGTGCTAATGACGGGTTTAGGGCGCGGACAAGGCGAAGTCGGGCATTTCAAGCTGGTTTGGTGGAAGCAAGTAGGGCGGCCGATCCAAGTGAGGAAGCGCAGCGACAGAACCCAAGGAGGCATGTAGGACTAGGGTATCCTTAGCGAAGAGCTGAATGCAAGGGAGGTGTGACCATTTGTGTCGTTGATACGGAGCGGTATACTCTACACTTCTGTGTTCGCGTGGTACTTAAAGGTGGTATCTCTCTGCTATCTCATTGCACTTTCCTTTCTCACACGCTATCACATGAAAAGACTACTGCAACTCCCGATGGCATATGCCTTCACCTTGGTGTGCTTTACCGGAATTTCTCCACGTCTGGTTTGCTTACCTTCTGTCCTTGACTGGAACCCGACCACTCTGGCCGTTATCCTCTCCTCGGACCTCGCGTCAAGCCGCCTCGAGGCGCGAACGAACATGCACATCATCGCTGCGTTGCCATTGCTGGCCAGGCTCGTGACATCAGAACAGTCGGCCACACTCGTCAACCAGACCAGCAAGGCCCCGTTCACCACCACCTCTTCGACACCGAGCAACCATGCTCGACATCACCACAACTCCTCGTCCACGAACAGTACCAGCTTCTCCTCGTCAATGGCCGCCTCAGCCGCCTCAACAACCAAGCAAAGTCCGTCGACGTCAACAACGTCAAGTGCTACGCCTACACCAGCCATCGCAATCACAGCAACAATAACCGGCCCCAACCTCTACACAACCCCCTCCTCGGCCTCCCTGCCAGCTGCCTCTTCCACAACCGCCTCTACCACAACCTCGCCCACGTCATCAACCGCCAGCGCCATCGCCCCAGCCGCCATCACCACAGCAAGCGACGTCGCCACCATCTCCATCCCCCCACCCACCAACCTCATCCCCTTCTCTTCCCTCCCGTCCACCTCCACTTCCACGTTGCCCTCCGTACAGGACTGCTACACCTCCCCTTCCGCCTGCGCACCCTTCCTTGCCCGCCTGGAAACTTGCATCGAAGCCGGCGGCCAGTGGGACGACCCCTACAATACCGCGCAGAGCGAGGCGTTTCACAGCTGCTTCTGTCAATCTCCGTTCAGCACGGAGGGGACGTTGTATACGAACTGGACCGCTTGCGCTGGCTGTCTTGTGAAGGTTTACGGTGAGGTTGAGGGGAGGATGGTGAATGGAGGGCGTTTGGTGTCGGGGTACTGTTGGGATCGGGAGGAGGAGGAGGAGGAGGAGGAGGAGGAGGAGGAGGAGCCGTTGGCTTTTCTGTTTTTGCGGAGTTTCAACAGTTGGCTCGATGCTGTGGCTTCCGCTGCGGGAGTGGACGAGAGCACGATGCCGCGGCCGGTCGCTGCGCTGCCGGTGGTAGTCTCGAGGATGAGCCCGCGCTGGAGCACGTATGCCTCCACAGAGGTGGAGGCTAAAGCTACGCCCTTCACTCCGACCGAAGACAGCACGAGCGGAGCCACCACAGTAACGAAAACGGCTTCCTGGACCCGGACGCCTACGACGACTACAACGGGCACAGTGACGCGCTTCACTTCGTCCCAGGCTTCGGTTGGTGGGGTGGGAGGCGGGGCGGGAGGTTTTGTGAGTCAGGTTGAGGGTGGGGGGAAGGCGAGTCTGTGTTTTGGACGGGGGCCTTGTGGGGGTGTGGTGACGGGGCGGGGGGAGAGCGTGGAGGTGGTGTCGGTGTTGAGGGCGATGCTGTGGTTGGCGGGTGGATGTTTGTTTACGTACGTGGTGGGGAGGGCGATGGAGTGGTTGGTTGGGTATGGGGAGCTGCGATAGAACGGGGTGGGAGATGGTGGTGAGTTTCTAGATACATGCCTAATTTCGAGTGAACAACGATCGATCTTGCTTTTCCACGTGTTATTCGACACGGATCTAGAACCTCACAAGTCTCGTCCTTGTACACACACATGGGTGCGAAATACCAACAACAACAATCAATCAAGCAAGCTGGGAAGAGATGAAGTTCGCATCGCCGCCAATGCTTCTAGATGGCTGCAAGCGCCACCACCCTCCAACCTCCGCATTCGCGTTTTCGTCCGCTGCGGCCGCCGAAGAAACTGTTTCACTTGGCCCAGACCAGACGCCCAGATGAACCTCTTGCCGTGTCGCATCCACTTCAGAAAGAAGAGTGATCCTTTTCGTGCGACGGTACCTGCATGCAATGACAGCTGCTAACCATGTCGGCGGCGATAGCGAACGGCGAGAACGGTGATCATGAAGAGGGGGCGCCGGCGAGTAAGAGGAGGAGGATTGCTCTTGCTTGTAGGTACTTGCTATGAATCTTGGTCGATTATGAGGTACTGATGTGTGTGGGTGACAGGCAATGCCTGTCGGATCCGGAAGAGCAGATGTGAGTTATGTGGTTACGTGGACGAAGGCAAACTCACGACTGACTGATTCGGCACGAAGGCAACGGTGTCCGGCCGAAGTGCTCACTGTGCGCGAACTTGGGCTTTGATTGCCAGTATGAGCCTACGGACTCATCGACGAATGTGATCGTTAAGAAGGGTATGCTCGACCAAAGCATCGTCTGATCAGTCCTGACCTCCACCAACAGAGTACGTCTCCGACGTCGACACACGCCTCAAAGTCGTAGAGGACCTCCTCAGACGACACGATGACCTCCTCCGAGGCCATCTCTCCCAATGTCTACCGGACGGCGGTTCACAAGCCGAACCATCACCGGACAAATCCGCACTACCACCAAGGCCCACCATGACCACCCGCGACAGCATCCAAATCGACGCCACCGAGCTAGAGCAGGACCAAGTCCAAGAAGAAGCTCTGACCGATGGCATGGCTCTCTCGTTCGTCGACGAGATGAACACGGCTTTCTTCGGCCCTTCGTCTAACATCGCGTTCACGCGCCATATTCTGCGGGCGATGGCGAGGAGTATCAACCAGCCTAAGCCGCCGCCTACGCATCGCTCGAGTATGAGTGGAGGGATTCTGGACTATTCGAGGGCTCCGTCGCCCACGAGTCCGGGTGAAGCGGCGGCGTCGAAGCAGAAGATCAATGTTTATGAGCTGCCGCCGGTCGCTGAGATGTGAGTACTCACTTCATATCTGGACCCAAACCCCTTCCCACGGTGACATCCGCCGTACTGATATATCGACAGGGAAGAGCACATCGAAATCTACTTCCTCAACACCGGCATCCTCTTCCCCTTCATCCACCAGCCCTCCTTCATGCGCACCTACCACGAGTTCAAAGCGTCCTCCTTCACGCGCATCCGACAAGCCTGGCTCGGTCTGCTCAACATCGTTATGGCGATGGGCTGCGCGCTGGGGCCGAGCGAGGATGGTAGTGTGAGAGGGCCGAGGGCTTTTAGCTTTTACGAGCGAGCGGTGGCGTTGGCGGCGAAGCCGAGTGTGAGGGGCCCGAATTTGGATGTGGTGCAGTATTTGTTGTTGGCTAGTCAGTATTTGCAGGGGACGCAGAAGAGTAGTGAGTTTTGTTCTGGTGCTGGAGGAGTACAGAGCGGAAGCTGATTTGTCTCTGCTTGTAGGTCAGACCTGGACATTACATGGATTGGCGGTAAAAGGCGCCTTCGCTTTGGGCTTGCACTCGCATCAAGCCTCTCAGCAATTCTCAGCGCTCGAGAACGAGATCAGGAAGCGGACGTGGTTCGGTTGTGTGCTGCTTGACAGAGTGCTGAGTATGACCTTCGGACGTCCGCCGTGTACGCTGCAACAAATCAACTTCCTACTTGTAGCACTGCTGACAGGTCACGATCTCTAGCCATCCCAGAAGACTTCATCAAATCCCCTCCAGCCGCCCCTTGGCCCGACCTCTCCCCCTCCTTCCCCATGTACGACCTCCAACAACCCAGCATCAACTTCTTCAACGCCTCGTTAAGCCTACACCGCCTAATCGGCAAAGCCATCAGCCAACTCTACGACCAAAATCTCGGCTATGACGACCTGCTCTCCGAACCAGAGTCCATCCCTCGCATTATTGGGATGGACCAGGAAATGGACAACTGGCGCTCCGCTCTCACCTCAGAACTAGCCGTCGTGTGGTCGCACGACCTACCTGCCTCTGGCTCCTACCACGATCGCACGCTCGGTCGTTTTAGGGTTATGCTGACGTTACGATTCCACAACTTGTCTATCCTGGTCCACAGGCCTCTGCTCTGCAAAGCGCTCGACCAGCTCTCCAAATCTACAGGCGACGCCGTGATAAGCATGGTCTCCGAAATGACCAACCGCTCCATCTCCATCTGTCTCCGCAGCGCCGAAGAAACCATCGACATCGTGCACGGCGTCGTCATCGATCCCGACCGCAGCTGGCCGATGCTTGGAGCGTGGTGGTTCAGTACGTCTCCCACCTCCCCCATCCAAAACCCCTGCCAATGCTAATCAGCTGAAAACAGCTGTCTACTACCTCTTCAACGCCGCCCTAGTCGTCTTCTCCAACGCCCTCATCCAACGCGCCCTCCCTTCTCGTCAAGACGCCTCGCCGGCCCAGAACCTGGACCACCTCAACCGCGCTATCGCGGCTTTTCGCCTGCTGGACCGCAACAATCGCGTCGTGGAGCGGTGTACGGAGTACATCGAGTACCTGGCGCTCGTCATGGAAAGGCAACTTGCTGTTAAGCCTTGGCTTCAGCAGCAACAGCAACAGCAGCAAAGTGCTGCTGGGGAGGTGGGTCAGGCTGTTGATGCGCTGGGTGGGGATGTGTACGCTGGACTACCGGACTTGAATGACTTTTTGAAGGATGAGATGGAGCTGGCGCAGTTTTTCGCGAGTGGGATCTTTGATGTGCAGAATTCTTATGATGGTTTGGTTGGGGGGTTTCAATAACACATGACACGTGATATCATTAAGTACTACATATCCACTTCAACCCTGTCCCTAGGGCCTACTTTATCTTTCATCCGAGCTCCGCGCGACGTGCTTAGCAAGCTATATAAGCAGTGCAAAATCACAGATCTGACACGAGAGATCCCAAGTGGTGCAGTGGTAGCATTGTACGTCCCCCCATCCGGGCCATCCGCTTATGGCTTGCACGTGATCACGAAGCTGACAAGCAAAGCAGTCCGCTCGTCTTGCTAAGGCCGGCACGCGGGAGACCGAGATTCGAATTCTCGCCTGGGAGATGTCTTTTTCTTTTTGCATCGCCGTACTCTGTCTGGCATTTTGCTTTGCGTCTTCACCAGGAACTCAATGGTGCAGCAGCTGCGCGGTCAACCAACGCTGTCTGTCTACCACGAGAATCAGGTTACTGGTTGAGACCGAGATCCAGACTCGTAATCGGATCCAGCATCGACGGCTCCAAACCAGCTGGCGGTCCACCCACGAGCGACTCTGCTGCAAGTCGTAGCGCGTCGGCTGTCGTGATGGAAGGGCCGTATGCGGAGCCCATGGCTTTGCAGATCGAGGCTTTGATTTTTCTCGACGGGACGCCTCGCACCGTGTCGTAGTCCTCCAGTAATCCCCAGACGCAGACGATGGTGTGGGTGATGATGTTTTTTCGACTGACGGACCACTGGCCGACGCAGCCGCAGCAATCCCAGGACATCATGACGTTTGAGAAAGTCGTTTCGGCTGTCTTGCGCAGCGCGTCTGTTTCAGCGTCGAAGGTGGCAAGGCCCATCCGGATGAGTCGTAAGCAGATTCGCAGGACTGCGATGCGGGCGCCCCAGTAGAGCATGGCGGTGGCGAACTCGGAGAACTGCTCGAAGCGGAAGATGCAGGGCATGCTGAATCTGTCTACGCCCTTTTCTATGCGCACGCGGTGGAGTATGGCGCTTTCGCCGGAGTCGTCTTTGCAGGCGAGGAGTTCGGTTGCGAGGGTGACTACTTCGGCAACTTGGTCGTCTGATGAAGAAGGATTCTGCCGCAGTGCTCGCATGGCTGCGACGAGTCGCGGAAGACGGATGAGGAGTCTGTTGGAGAGCTTTGCTAACTGCTTGATAGGAGCTGGCAGTTTGTAGTGGGTAGGCGGCTCCAAGTCGAGTAGCTCAGGGTGGTCAAATGCGGAGGGGTCGCCGCGCACACATGGGCCTTTGAAAGAGGCAATCCAGACCTCATACACCATCGTCCGTAGCATCTCCGACTGCTCTCGGCTGGTGGTCCCTGAGGCCTGCGATCTGAGGAGTGTGGCGAGGCCTTTGCCGTGCATTTCTGCCTGCCGCGTCGGGAGGCCTGTCCTCGAGCTCAAGAGCAAATCGTGGAAAACCAGCAGTTCGACTGCGACCAGCGCACGCTCCGAACTGCTCCATTCTGGCAAGTGCAGGGAGGTCCTGAGCGCAGCGACGGCTTGATTGTACTGGTTGCTGCACACGCTCAACTCCCGCCGCCCTCGCTGGTCGAAGAACAAGAACATGAGAGCCGAAGCCGCCAGCTCCACTGTACGGTCCTTGCCAATCCGTGCCGGGACGAAGGCGATACTTGTATCTTTGAGGTGGGAAGTTTCGATCATCCGGACGCATCGTCGGACGACGTACGACTCGCCGAACCTGGTCTCGGTCGCATATTTGCTGTACTGTGGCCATGCGTAGAGCGCTGCGAGTCGTCTGACTCTGTCATCCTCGGAGGTGGCCTGGCGATGTTGGGCGCAATGAAGACAGTTTCGCCGTCGGCAGCGATGTCTGTATCGCCACGGTTGTGGTTTATAGTCATCCTTAGGGCGTTCGGCGGCGAACACCGTGGTCATTGATTCTGGTGGTAGCATTGAAGAAGGTGTGCGGCATGTACCCGTCGTCCGATAGGGCTGCTCATGGCGGTCGTTGACGACACATATGGCGTCTTCCTGACAGCTCGTCACCGCCGCCCTGCCTTAGCGGATGGAGCTGAAGTTTTGGTGCTGCGTGAGTCGTTGTAGTGCAGTTTCTAAGCATTCGCTTGCTCCCGCTTGACGTAGGATGATTACGCTAGCAAGATCTGAACTGTCGTTGATGACCAGGGAGCCATGTTCAGAGAAAACCGGACACACCGATTGTTTGTAGACCTGGTGGCCCAGAGAGTTGTCGTTGTTTGAGGGTTTTCGCGGCTGCGCGAAAAGGGCGGAGATAAGGTTGGCCTGCATTTTTAGCACGAGCCGCCTGGCCAGATGAGGAAGGTGTAACGTCAGGCTAACGGCTTCCTGGGTTTGCACTTTTCCACTTTCTGTTTCGGAGACTTGTTGGTCGCCAACGACTCGAGTCGAGACAACAGCTGACGCTGCACAACAGACATTTGGGGACATATCTTACTAATGGAGCTGACCCAACCCGCCAGCATCTGTCTGGGGGGGCTTCAGGGGGCCCAGGACACACCGCCATCCCGTCGTCCACCCAGGAGAGTCTTACTCACAGCGTCATGTCGGCCTGGTTTGCTTGCCCTGCGACCGATTCATTCTGCATATGACATATTTGCTTTTGCCATTCATGGGGATGTGTCCTCAGCGGCATCGAGGATCCTCCCACTCTGGGGCTGTGATGTCCCCATCTCACCGAACCCGCATAGTAGCCCTGAGTGGGAGTGGACAGCCCGTCAGGATCTTCGCATGGCCAGCAGATGTTCAGTCGAAATGCCAATGTCAGAAGCAGCATGGAAGAATTGTCTCTATCCAGGTCAAGCGGAGCTTCAGTCTCCACGCCATGCTCATGCGACCTAGCTCCTAGCTTCTGAGCAGCAGTTGCACCTATCCAACGACTAGATGGAAGCAGGAGCAGTTCGCAAAGGACCTCAAGTCGCTGCGTTGGTGTACGCATGGTCTGGCCCATCAGCGGCGTCAAGTTGCGTCTGCCTGCAAACAGTAAGCATGATGCGCACGTAAGTACCAGGTGATTAACCTGGGCTGTTTCAACCAGCAGACATTCTGCGTTGTTGCGTTTCTGGCGTACCTCTCAATGCTTCTGTTTCCTGAATTTCTTACTTCCTCATAGTTGGTAGTTGTCATCTGCATGCTGGTAGCAATGCAGTAAGTGAGGACAAGGTTGTCCACAGCCGACTTCTCAACACTCCTGCAATACCTACCTACATTTTGTACTGGCGGATTGTATGTACGGCTGGACTACTCATTTTCCGAGAGCACTGTCAGCTTCGCCTCCAGACATCGGTGGATCGATTACTTGGACTATGGTCTGCTTCGAAAAGGTAGAGCTCGGTGCGTTGCTAGTAGTCGGGAGCGAGTGACAGCAGCCATCTTCTTTTGGAGCAGCACCACATTTCGCTGACATGCCTGTTGGCAACGAGCACCTGCCTAATCTAGAAGAACGCCTTGCGAGCGGCAGCCGGCAAGCAGGCTCCCAGATTGCCGTTCCTCAGCCGTCTATCGCCAAAACTTACTGCTACAACACTGCATGTTTCATGGCATCCTCCGCGCAACGAATGAGCGAATGAACGGCGACGGGCGTAGAACTACCAACATTCTTGCTGTCCAAATCGGCACCGATTCGTGGAACAGTACTCCAAAACCGCAGCAATGCTCCAGAGTCACAGCATTGCATTACTAATTCGAGGTTGAGGATCATCGCATGGCCGTTTGGACCCTGCCACCACCACGTGCAGTGACCGCTCTATTAATAGTCGAGTGCAACGGTCAACGTGGCTGTAAGAACGTCGGAAGGACATGGAGCAACACCACACCGTCTGGTAGACACTGGAAGTCTGCGATTCAATGCAGAATCGTACGGAGAGAAGCGGTGACAATTGGATCACGTTGAACGCTCGAACCGCCTGAGGTCGACCGGTGAAGCTGCAATCTCCCCTGCATTACGTCTGTAACTCTGCGCCGAACCTCCGGACGCCACGGCTGCATGATCTACGGCTGCTAATCTACACGCCGCCATTGTAGTCAGTTAGGGCAGAACAATCGAAGAATCGACGAACACAAATCACCTCCAGTGGGAGAGATCAAGTCCAACGCGGTATACGACGGGTAGAACGCGCAAGAGCGGCAAAAGCTGCTTCTCATACCTCTGAGCGAAAAGCGCTTGCGCCAGCCAATCTGTACCCCGGCCTTCACATGCATACCAACCTGTACGACTTCACGACCATACGGCTGATCTTGCTCCGCCTGGGTGGGAGGGGTGTCGATCGGGGGCATGCGGTGGTGCCTGAGCTTGCGCGGTCGAACCGCCGGAGGATCATTTACACATGCAGCACCAGCGACCATCAGCCTCAGCTCTAATTTCTGCCGATCGCAAACTGTGTCGCCGGCCTGTCCACTCGCCGCTCTTCGCTATCCATCGTCGGTCAGACAGCTGTGCGGTTCCAGCCTTTGCTTCCTCCCGTCGAGTCTGCCCTATGTCCACTCCACCAGCCAACGATTGCTCGCTGCTGCTGCGGGTGCTGCGCTTCCGCCTGGCCTCAGCTGTTGGTTTCTAACTATACTCGCATCCCCCCTCTTGTCTTTCTTAACGGCGTCTACTTTCTTTATGTCCATGCCGTGGCTGTCCCGGCACTCAAGCCTTTGCCCAAGCCCGGGCTGTTGTCGTCCTTGGTCCCATTCTCCTACGAGGGTTTCCTCTACGTTATTGGCTACCTTGCGAGGCGGAGGGAAATGCTGCGGTCGAGGTCCGTTGGGTGCTCCTGAATTCATAACTATAGCTATACGTGGACCACTCCGCCATGCAGTCCCACACTCCTGGTCATCAACAACAACATCTATCTAGCGACGACTCTGCACCTCGCAGCAGCAAACGACGGCGCACTTCCAACCGCGCTGAGCTCGTCGAACAACTGCCGACTTCTTCTAATGCGTTGTCTACCGGACACTCGGGCGTTATGACAAGCAGCCCCCAACCGGGATCCTCCCGCGACATGTCGCCGCCTGGAGACACCGGTTCGGTCAAGTATACGAGGACGGGGCGTGTGAGCAAGGCAACGAAAGGCCAGAGGGTTCATCAGTGCGATGAATGTGGAAAGGTACTTCTCAGAGATGTGTTGCCTTCATGGCTCGCTTTCGCGCACGAGGCTGGGTGGTGTTGCATGTCGAGTGTCGAGACAACTCTCTACGTTTCACTGTTAGAGATTGGATCGATACGAACAGACCGGCACTCACATCAACATCAAACGGCATGAAGTGCATTTGACTGATCGTCTGACTAACATTATGCTAGGTCTATACTCGAGCTGAACATCTCAGGTAATCCAACACACCGAAAGACTGCTAGCGACCACAGTACATCAAACTAACTCCAACAGACGGCATCAGCAGAACCACAAACCGGGTGCGTTTCCTTGCGACGTACCTGGTTGCAGCAGATCATTCTACCGCGAAGACCTTCTGATCCGCCACAAAGCACGACAGTAAGGTCGTCTGTTGGAGGACTATGTTGCGACTAATATGCTGATTCTTGTACAGCGATGATCCTCTCGACCCTCCCAGTCGCCAGGGCTCGCCGGACAGTCAGCCTTCCTCAACACCTGCTGGTCGAGCTACCAGCCAAAGCCTACCGCAACGGCCGGCGGTGAGGTCGAACGCTACATCCTACGATGCGCATGCCAATGCGACCAGTGCACCACCCGAGGGGTCTCAAGAAGGACAACAGAGTGGCAGCTTCAGGTAATCACATCCATCTTTTCCTGCACTAGGCTTAATGAGAAGGGTTGGTTGCGGCTCTGTGTTGGTACCAACGCTACCACATACGTCAATACTGCGCTTTCGTGCTGTCAACACAACATTCCATTCTTTGTGCCACTCATGTCAGACATATCACTCATCAACTCGTGCTGACTCAATCGCTAGCTCCAAAATTGGGTATCCGACTTTCCACGACCAAGGCCAACCGGCCGGCGCAGTGCCCGTCGACATGCAAGGCGCATGGTCAGCGTTCTCGTTCGGACCACAATGGGATCCATCACCACCATATTCACCGGCCGGCTACGATTCACCCACCAACCCAAATAACGGCTTATACTGCGCCGGCCTACCTTACTTTCAGCCGCACGCCGAGCTGGCACGGCACGACTCTCACGCATCCTTCTTCGCGACTTACCCACCACCGCATACGTCACGCTCGCCAGTCTCTGCAGGCTCATCAACTATACATCTACCTCAATGGGGCCGAAACGCGCCCTACGCGCAAGTGAATACCTCTTCTGGATCAAAGGTTTCTTTCGGAGAGAACGCGGGATTGTATAATAGCCATCTGGCAGTGCAGGAGGCTTTTCCCGGAACGTACAGCGCTGCGCTTTGGACCCCGGATCAGCGAGATTTCATGGAGCAGGATGATTTGTTCAAGGGCATGGATGTGTCGCAGAGCTCATCGCTGGACCTGAGCTTTGATGAGCCGGCGTTGTCGAACGAAGGGAAATATTTGCAAGCATATTGGAACTGGGTGCATCCCTTGTATGCAGTGATACATCGGCCATCATTTCATGTTCAACACGCGCCGCCTTTGCTGAAGGCTGCAATCCTGGCTTTGGGTGCACAAGCGTGCAATGATGTCAAGGACAAGAATGCTGCGAGGTTCATTCATGAGCGGTGCATTAAGGTGTTGCAGAAGGTATGAAAACTGTCTTGCTTGGACTTGAGGGCACACACTGATCCAGACTGCAGCGGAAACTCAACGAATGGCACTCGCTCCGAACAGTGGACTTGCAAGCGGTGTGTCTGATTGAGATCTACACGATATTCAAGTCTCGACGCCCACCCTTAGAGTTTTCCAGTGCATTTCATGATGCCTACAACCATGTAAGCCCTTCTGGCGTGCACGGGTGACAATACGGGCGTTACTGACTTCGCACAGCTTGCCAACGACCCTTCTGTCGTGGACGACCACACTATGCACGATTCTTTTATGGCATCACTCGGAGCTGGCGGCTACATAGACGACTTTTCAAGAGCTACGATCTTGGACATCCACATAAGGAAGCGTCTTCTCGCGCTCTGCGTTATGCTTGACGTACATCATGCAACACTCTTTGGTCGAAAAAAGACCAACTGCTACACTGGCGGCGGAATATACCTCCCATTTCCGGTAGAACAGAGCATATGGGATACGCCGGTGGACCACAACTTCTGCAGTATACCACACAGACAAGTCTGGGAGGCAGTGAGGGACAGCGACCTAAACACAACCAATCCTCCAAGCTACGACATCTTCCAATCGACAGTCTTGATGACCGCGTTAAGCGATTCCGACAAAGGCACAAATCTTCCATCCCTCCAATGCCAGGACCCGGAAGCAGACCCCTGCGCCTCCATCTTCGCCACAATAGAGCAATCACCTCGATCGAAACTAGCCTACCACACCCTCAAACTCTGCACGCTCACCCCAATACGAGACCTCTTCGCCGTAGCCGGCGAGTCCTGGATCATCGGCGAAAAAATCCCTACCTCGAAAGAATACTCCTCCGCCCAACGCCGCTGCTACGAATGGGTTAGCTCCTCCACTCCCGACGCTGCAGTCCACAAAGCCATCCGTCACGCCCGAAAGGCTCTAGATATCTGCCACCGAACCCCACGAACCGGGCTCCTCTTCCAGGAATGGGCTATCTACGTCTCCGCTATCCTGCTCTGGGCACGCGCGTACACGACTTCCAGCTCTGCGCCCCGAATGCCACGGCTGTCCGTACCGCAGCCCACAGAGCCTAGGCTGGGGCTGGGGGAGTTGGAGAGAGGGGTGGAGAAGATCTTTCTGGACGGAGGAGGGGAGGGGCTGGGGTTGACGAGCGAGCAGGCGAAGTTGGTGTTGGTGTGGACGAGGGGAAGAATTGAGAGGGTGGATGTACCCGGGTGCTGTGGGCAGACGAATGGGGCGTTGGATGTGCTTGGGAAGTTGATTAGGAGGGGTGGGGAGGAGGGGTGGTTTGGCGGGTGATTTGTTAGACATCTACCGTTTCACGGCAGAGCGTTCTAGTGGTGCCGGTCGAGTAGATGGATCCTAGCCGATACTCCGTCAAAGAAGCCAGAATATTGTATATTCACGATGGCTTGGGTTCATTTAGCTGTCAGACGTACCTCCTTGAGACAGCAAAGCACGATGAAGCCAAATTCTCAGTCACCGCGCAAACCCCCTCAACTTCACCCCAATCATGCCTATCGCTATTGCACCAGTGGTCTGTATTCTCCTCCACATCACTATCCCGGCTTTGCTGGCCATCAGGGACAGTCAGCTTCACGGCGAAGACAAGAAAAGTGTCTCTGACCGGCCAATACCCGCCTGGCTCATCAAATCCATCGGTATCTTAACATGCAGTCTGACTTTGGCCTTGCCATACCGCTTCCCATATATCAAAGGATTGAGTCAATGCGGTCTCCGAGTGGTCTGCTTCTTCTACGGCTGTAAGACACTGGATCTCGCGCTGTGTAAATCGGATGCGCCGCCTCGCCTTGTCAAGCCCCGGCCAGACCACAATGAGAGAAAACTCTCTGCAACGGTCCAGCACCGGTCGACGTACGTCTGGCTTCTACTCTCTGAGATGCGCTACTACAGTTTCGACATCGCGGTCCAACAGAAAGATCGTCCGCCGCCATCACAGCAGACCCGTCCGATAGCCACCCCTTTGGCCGCAGTCCTGCTCCTGTGGATGGTCGACTATCTGTACCCTCTCGCAGAACTAAAATGCCTCTGCCTACTTCTCCTACTCCAGGTGAGCTTCGAAGCTCTCCATGCTGTTCTCCATCCAAGATGCCACCGACCGCTGTTCTATCGGCCTTTCTCCGCGGCTTCAGTGGGAGCCTTCTGGAGCACGCACTGGCATGCTTGCGCCTCCCCTTTCCTCTACAGTCTAGGCTACAAGCCAGGCAAGAGGCTTGCGGGGCAGTGGCTCGGGGTGCTGGCTACGTTCAATTCAAGCGGTATATGGCATGCGTGGGCCGCAGCGGCGCTTGTGGGGGATGGATACTATGGACTTGTGCTTGGGGCGCAGGTCTGGGGGCTGTTCATGCTGTTTGGGGTGTCATGTCTTGTTGAGCGGGTGGTATGGGGGAAGGAGCAGGGTGGTGTTGTGCAGAGAGTCGTGGTTTGGAGCATGCCAGTGTTGGTGGCCGGGCAGTGTTTTCGGACGTTGGAAAGGCATACTGATATACCCTGGCTCAAGCGGCCTGATTGATATCTCTAATGATCTCGAATTCATCTTTGCATCACCTTGTCTACGGCATCACACCAGTAATAGCCCTCGCCCCCAGTGGCCCTCCCACCAACATCTCAGCCGCCTCATCCATATCTGTCTCGCCAAACGCCACATGGAGTCTATGGAGGAGGTTGTACTTCTGTAGGAGAAACGGCCTGAGCCTCTCGCTCCAGAGCGTCCGACTTCCGCGCTGTATGCACTCAACATCTTGCACAGCGCCCCAAACAGTGATCCATCCGAGGCATATAGCCCAGGCGCCAACCAACCCGACGGAGAGTCCGTATTGAAAAGACATCATCTGGTTCATTACCAGCCGGACGTTCTCGTCTTGGAGGGATTGGATGCGGGTTGTGGTGGTTTCGTCTCCGGAAAGGCTGAGGAGTAAGGCCAAGAGTCTGTTGGCCATGATGCGTGTTTGCCAGTAGTACATTGCTCCCTCATATTGTGGTGTGTCTTCGAATTCGTACGAGAACGGAATGATCTTCGTCTCGTTCATTGTCTGCGCTTGAGTTTTGGCAACCTTGAGGCCATGCAGTACAACGTTCTCCGCCTTGTCGTCTCGATCGACAGCTAGTACTTCGGCCAGCTTCATTGCCTCGTCGACTGAAGCACCACCGCCCATCTTCGCCTCCCTCACAAGAGCAATGAGGCGCGGAAGCCTTACGAACAGCTTCTGCGCCAGCCACCTCAACGTCTCGACCTCCTTCCCCACTCTTCCACAGCTTGCGGGTCGCATGCCAAGCCAATACTCGTTGTCAAACGGAGACACCTGTCCAAGCACGACCGGCCGGTTGAAGACTCCCTTCCAGTGAAAGTAAAGCAAACTCCGCGGCAATTCGTCTTTCATACACGACCGTCCACTCGACGCGAGGATGATGGCTGAAAGACCTCTGTTATGCGCCGAGCCTGAAGCCACTTTAGGGTCGAGGGTGGTTTCGAAACAGAAGAGTAGGGCGGCTGTTAGCATGGCGTCGTGGAGGGATCTGTCGGGGCCACCATTGTTTTTGGCCAGGTCAATCCTGAGCGCGGTGACCGCTTGGGCATAATGTCGTAGAGCGTTGGTCTGGAGGCGTACGTCACCGCCGATGAAGTACTTGTGGGCTCCAATTACTGCTATGGAGGCGTGGTCGATTGCTTGAGAATGGCCTATGCGGGAAGGAACGAAACCGAGAAAGGACTTTCCGAGATGAAACGAGTCGAGCGAGTCGGAGAGCTCGAGCATGAGGGCATCGTCCGCGCTATATGGCCGGTGATATAAGGTGGCAGCGTTATCGTTGTTTCCGCTGGCCAGTTGTTTGTTCTTGGTCTGGGCGTCTTGAGCCTGCTTCAGTTCCCTAGCTGTGGGCTGCGGTGAAGTTCTCTTTAATCGCCTTGTAGACTTCGGCATGGGTGTGACGTCCGGCGATCATGTTGTCATCTTTTGTGCAGATAGAGAGTGTATCCAACTCGCCATTTGATCCTTCGAGAACGATTCACGCGACTCATGCACGCGCCACAAGCCAAGATGGCAAAGATGAGCCCAGGAGCTGATGTCGTCCTGTTCGATCTGATAAAATTTTGAAACGTGCCCTCGGACGTACTACACGGAGATGTAGGTATATCTATATCGTAACCTCGCTTAGCCTTTGCCCACTGGTGGCGTCCTGATGGGAACTCCGTGTATGTCGAGGTGCATCACTTCCTGCGGCACGACACGTCTTCCAAGTCTCCAGGTGGCCATTAGTGTCACGGTCCTGTACTTGTTTGGTGATGAAATGTTGCATTTGCTACGAGAGGACGCTCCACGACATACAGATCAAAGCCTGACTGACTGCTTTAGACGTATCGGCTCGAAGGGAAGGATGGACGCGGAGACTCAACGACCTCATGTCTCGCGAAGCCTTTGGCTCCAAACAACGTGACGGATGATGTACTTATTTCTCGAGGACTAGCAGGTCTGTTTAAATAAGACTGATTCAGCTCAAGAGCTGGACCCAACTCGAGCGTCAGCCGTACACGTTCTTCACCCCATGGCCGCCATCGGTAACTCCTTCTCGAGGACGCTGTAGAAATGATGCACGAATTGCGGAGCTGCAATGACAGTCACGCAAGCATGAAAAGGAGATGGCCTTAGACAGACTGTTGGCCTGAAGCTGGTATGCAGGTACTCGTTCGAGCAATGGTACTCCAGGAACATGGGCTGAGTGGGAGAGATCGAAGCCACAGGGACTGATAGCCGAGCAGACGATGACCTTTGCTGTCTTTACTGTCAGCTCGTCGACATTGGCATCACGGCAGCTGTTGGGATGGCAGCGCTTGAATCGAGACTTGCACGTTCTGAAGCCAGTAGCCGAGAAATTCACACGACATCAGGTTCTGCAGGCGTGTCAGTGGCCACCATGCATCAGGTCAGAGTTGCGCTGACAGACAGGCTCGGCTTTCGCGATGTCAAGAACAAAGTCCCGCCAGATGAAGACACGATCTACTACCTGGCTTCTCTGAGCAAGTCCTTCACTGCTGCCGGGACAGCCCATCTCGTTCAAGAGACGCCTAGACTGGACTGGAGCACGGCTGCGTCTGAAGTGTATCCACCGCTCTCACACGAAGATCACGTTGTCAGAGGGCAAGCAAGAATTTAGGATCTCCTGTCTCACAGAACCGGCCTGGCGCCGAAGAACCATATCTTGGAACTAGGAGTATGGTTATTTCATCATGAAGCGAGGTGAGAACATCTGGACTGTAACGTATCTGGAGAAAATCGCTGACAGCTGACATGCGAACCCGATGGATATATGACAACTGGGGCTGCGGTGTAGCCGATGAGCTGATAGAAACACGTCGGCGGGAATTCTTGGGGACATTCGATCAAGGCTCGTATCTTCGACCTCTTTCGGTGAAGAGCTGTGTACGGGACCCGCTGAAGTACTACCTTACATTCATGCAGGCGGTCAAGTACGAGGATGGAGATAAGTCCTTCACCTCCAGCCCAGCCTTTGTGGACCTGAGTGCGCTTACCTTCCATTCTTGGAGCCCTCGGCATGAACCATGAATATATGGGGAAGACGCCGACCGTTGGGAAGGGAATGCAGACCAGAGCCACGTGCTTCTATCAGCAGGGGAATCCAAACTCTTTCTTGACAGCGGTATGTCTGTTGCCAGATACCGAAAGTGGAATCGTGGTCTTCACGAATTCTATGGCTCAAAATGATATTGCAGACTAGGTGGGCGAGCTGCACCTGGAGACATTGCTCAATAATCCTCCGAGGAACGACTACGTCCAACTCGCGAGAAATAGTGCTGAAGGTGCCCTAGCCTTGTGGCCCAAGATGCGTGAAGATCTCGCTCGCGACCAGATGCCGAATACACCACACCGCCCTCTCCGGGAGTACATTGGGCTGTACTACAATAGAATAGGCAACTACCACCTCGTCTTCGTAAAGAACGACGGCAGGCTCCTCCTGCGGTTTCAATGGGAGAAGAAGATTGCGTACGAGCTGACGCATTGCCATGACGACACTTTTTTCGTGGCTTATAACACACGATCGTGATGCAAAGTTGGGTGGATTTCCCATAACGCGGGCTTCATTCTACCTCATCAAATTCGACTCGCACAGCTCAAATGATACGCTCATTGACTCTTTGACATGGATACACGATGACGAGGTCCCGGAACGCGAACGGTTTTACAAAAAGGGCGGCCAGTGCGACAGCATGATTGAGACTTCGCTGTCAGACTACCCAAGGACACCTGATACGGACTCGGGGAATGCGTCTACACTGGTTACAACCGAACTTGAAGACTCTTCAAAGGACTCGCCGGACAAAGCCCATAGGTCCGGGACCGGTAGACTCTAGCAAGAATTGCACTCGAAAGCCGATGTCGAATGTGCTCGTCCCGGTGCTTGCGATGACTAAAGGTTCTAGAGAGCGTGTCTTGCCTGTCCTTGTGCGCCTGCATTCTTTCAAGGAGCAGAGGGTTCGGCCATTGGTTCGGTCATTAGAGCTCGCGGATCAAAAACGGCTACCAAGTTCGCAAGCCATAGACTCATGCATTGCGCTCAATTTGCAAGACTCTGCAGGTGGTACTTCGATGGTGGAATGTTTCAAGGCTCTGAGCTCGCGACTGCATCTGGAAGGTACATGAGGCCGGTACAGCTCCGACCTGACGCTGCTTCTGCAGAGCTCAGTACGTCGGGAGCTGTGGCGAAGCAATTGATTTGCCGGCCTTCACACGTCGTGCCGGCGAGCTGGACTGAATACGCCAACATCAAGGTGGCCGATGCTCGTGGGAACAAACAGCCTCCATCGACCCTGGATACCCAACATTGAGTGGGCATGGCAACGAATAAGAAACGCCTGCAAGTATCGTCCGTATAGGTCTGCAGTTATCTAGTGAGGTTTGATCAAATTTGGGACCAGCTAATCGCTTTGATGTCTCCGATTCCACCAAAGCATGGACTGACCATATGGCTTCTGTCTACGAAGAAACACTGCGCGATCTGCCTGCAGCGTCAGGGGTATAAATACGTCAAGTGAGAATCATCAGCGGTTTCCTAGCTTTGTAGGCTGATATCAAGACCGTAGTTTCTGGAAGCCGATCACAGGGCCGGTCAAGAGGTGGCCATTGATGCTGTGTGATTGGAACACTTACGATCCCGAGACAGACATTACCGCGCGGGATCTTGTCTACGGAGACGGACAGGTGGAATATACTGTGGCATTCTACAGCCCAACCCATCAATGTTACTACACAAGCGATCAAGGACAGCATGATGCTTGGGTCATGGTTCAGTGTGATTCGGCAAACGGCAAAGGTACCATCACTCCGATACTGGAGAGCAATAAACGCTGATCAGTCGAGCTGTGCCGGTGCGCCGCTTATTAGACTTGTTTGAATGCGAGCAGCTTTGCCAGTACCTGTCATGTTCAGTAGGTACCGACCGCCTAATGTGGCTCCCAAACAAGCCATGCTCAGCCATGTCAGTACAAGTATCATTGGTATACCGGCTCAAAAGTACATCTGCCGCTCGGAGACATTCCATGGGTACCACCATTGCCCAATGTCGACACTGCCACGGGCACCCAGAACGGAAGTACCAGACCTGGCTCGATCCTGCTCCACCATTAACAGCTGGGTGTGCATGCCTTCTTCGCCAACGGGAGTAAGAGATTCCACAATGCACGCCTGTCTTCTCATACGGCCTACCTCCGTAGAATCGACGAGTTCTCGCTTGCGGTACAGCACATCCTTCCGGCATAAATACTCAGAACACGAAGGGCGAGCACATGGTTACCAAGTTGCTCGAAAAAACTAGTCGGACCGCTGTTCATCCGATATTGACGTGATGCGCGCCGTATGCTTCTCGGACAATGCTACTACCCGCTGGTAAGGATGAGCGAGTACATGCAGTGCCATGAAGTTGGGTCCCACAACGCAACGGGGGGGAAGAAGACGTCGTCCCAATGGTGTGTCTTGGCATTCTGGTCGAGCATAAGGTACAAAAGAACTTCCCAAAAATGTAACTGGTTGCCTCCACTCACCAGACATTATCACACCATCTCCCTCTGCGACCCAACATCCTGAAAACACCGTTCTTTAATGCAGCACGACCAGCCAGAACAAACGAAAAACGCCATCTACCACGTAAACCGCATCAACCCCGGATTGAGCAAAATCGGCAAGGCAAAATGCCCAAACACAATCGTCCCTAACGGCCACACCGACACAAACGTATCAATCCGCCACAGCGGCGGCGCAAACTGCGCCATATAGATCATCATCCCGGCGCACCCAAAGCAGAACAAGAAAGTCATCTTGAAGCTCCGAGCAATCTTCGGCACCTCCTGGAAGAACGTCGTGTTCTCCATCTCCTTGCTCGTCGCGCCCCAGCTCATGTCGACGCTCAGCATGTGCGAGATGATGGCCTGCGAGACGTGGAGCGAGATGCCGCCGAGGAAGACGGAGAGGAGCGGCACCCACATGAGGTTCTCGAGGAGGCTGGGGACGAAACCTTTCTCGCCTGTGCGATAGCGGAGAGCGGCGAGGGAGACGTTTCCGAGAGCGGAGAAGACGAGGATGATGGAGAAGTAGACTTTGAAGCTGTCCAGGTAAAAGTGGTCGAGGTAGCCGATGTACCATCCCATGAGGAAGTAGTTGGCCAATGTCAGGATCCAGGCGGAGGCGAGGGCGTAGTAGGTGCCGATATAGGCCATGATGGTGATCTTAGACGGAAGCGGCATCTTGGAGGTGAGGAAGTTGCGGAAGAGCTTGGTGAAGGGGCCGCGGGTGAACCAGTAACGGAGTGGGTGGAAGATGAGTTCCGAGCAGCCATAGGCGTATTTCTCCCAGCGAGCAAGCTCGTCGTAGACGGTGAGGGAGACGCCCTCTTTGAAGCCGTCGCCGGTGTAGGCGCCGAGGCGGACGAGGTAGCCGGCGGTTTGGAGACGGAGGGCCATGTCGAAGTCTTCGGACACGGTGTCTTCGGACCAGTACTTCTCGCGGCCGTCGAGCTTGCAGTCGTAGGCGATCTCTTGCATGGCAGACCAGCGCAGGACTGCGTTGTGGCCGACGAACGGAGCTACGTCGCCGGAGGCAACCGAGTAGCGGATCTGGGTGTAGATGAGGTTGGTGAAGAACGTGATGCCCTTCTCAAAGAAAGAGGTCGTAACGTTCATGACCCCGGACGAGTACTGGATGATGGCGACCTGTGGCGACTGCTCCATCTCCGACACACAGTCAAGGAAGCAGCCCTCCGGGACACGAGTGTCAGAGTCGATGATGAGGATGTAGTCACCCATGCGTATGTTGCCATCAGCCCAAGTGCGGCCTGCATCCTCCTCGATAACCTCATCCAACATCCGCTTGTATACAGCAGCATGCTCCTCCGAGCTCCCCGCCTTCTCGCGTTCCAGAGCATTGATCTTGTCTTCCACACGCGCACTGCACCACATGGCATAATTCATGTTCGAAGCCTTCTTGAACTTGCCGCGACGCAGGTAGAGCTCCTCGCCTTCCTTCGGCTTCTTGTTCTCCTTCGGTCTGGCGACCCAGCCGATGTTGTGCTCGTCGTAGAACTCCTGGCGGGCTTCGCGCTCCTCTTTAGAGACCACCTGCATGCCGTCCTCGTTGACGAAGATGTTGGCAGTGCCGCCTTGCATCTCATACGTCGAGATGGCGGCTTTGATCGACACCACCGTGGGGGCAATGACAGCCTTCAAGCTCTCTTTGTACACAGGCAGCTGGACAGTCAGATGTGGCAAACGTCCTGCGTCGCGACGTAAACGCTTCGGCTTGATCCCAGAGTAGGACTTCCAGTTCCCGTGCGTCTGGCCCACTGGTCCAAAAGTCTGAGAAATGCTTCCGATCATGGCCTGGAAGAAGAACAGAGCGAGCCAGATCTGGGCAGGCAAGGCGAGGATGAACAGCGCGCGGGGGTAGAAGTGGTCCGTCGCAAGCTCCTGAGCGATTTGACCCCAGCCGGCACCGAGAGCAGAGCAGACGAGGATGATACACACGGCAGACTGAAATGACATGAGCTTGTTCTTCCGTCGAGGAGGCTCCACGGCGCCGCGCTCGGCGTTGTCATCATCGCCGACAATCGTGGTGCTGGCTGCATCGGTCTCGTCTTCGCCCTTGGGTTCGATGTCGGTATCGATGATCATCTCCACGAGCGCCTTCTCGATCTTCTGAGCACGATCGAGCACGTGGCGAGGCTCGTCGTCCCACACCACCATGATCTGGCGGTCTGCGATGAAGGCGGCGAAGTGATGCTTCTGACATCGCGGCAGGAAGGAGATGTTCGGCAGCACTTGCAGCCTCAGACCATTTTTGAGAGGCACATAGTGCTTCGTATTGAGGCCGAGGAACATCTTGATGACCCTGGTCTTGACCGTCATGGCAGCACGGACATTGAGCGCTTGGACGGCATTGTGCAGCCCGTCATCAATGTCTGCAAGATCGTCCGGGGCACAAACAAAATCGTTGCGGGTTTTTTTGACCACAACACCCTCGTCGAACGAACCATCAGTCCACAGACGCTCACACTGTTGCTGGTAGAGCCACGTAGCCATGACGTCCGATTTGATATCGAGCATGCTTTGAGCGTTCTTATAAGCGGCGTCGGGGTAGAGAGATGCTGGCCGGGAAAGTGCTGCTTGCCCTCCATTGCCAGGGGCCAGGAAGGACGTTGGCTCGACTGGAGAGTAATTGGAACTAGCAGTTGATGGGACGGTTGGTGGCAAGCCCACATCGTCCATTCGCGCCAAATTCGCATCGTCCTCCGATGACTTGTTGGACTGGCCACTTGTGGAAGGATCCAGGCCGGCCGTCGAACCCTTGGTCGCCGGTCTCCCATCTTTCTCGTTGCATTCCTTGGACTTTCCAGCCTTGGGTGGCTTGAGGTACGAGAGGAAGCCCATTGGTGCTGGTCGTCGATGTTGGTCTGCGATGTTGATGGCGGATGATGCAGACGCAGGAATGATTACCTAGGAAGCAAGCTGTTGAACAGCAACAAGATGACCTGAAGGAACCGAACAAGAAGTAGGAGCAAGGCAAGAAGTCAAAGACCCAACCTCGATGTACAGTGATGTTGAAAGGAGAACACAGCAAAATTGATCGGCTTACACAGTGTGTGTCATACTGGAGACGGAGGTGCGTTGAATCGTGAGGTCTCAAATGCGCTCCATTTTAGGCAAAGGCAGCGAACACTCAGTACCAAAGGTGTCGATTGAATTGCCTGTCAACGGTCTCGATCCGATAGATACTCGCAAGTTGTGACGACCGGCTGACACCATCGCCATGTACTCTGAGGTGAGGTGTTGATGCTTTCGATTTGACCCAAAGGTGGGAGGCCCGTTTCGAGCGGCTGAAAACCCTCAACGCAGACAACGTCTCACTCGAACCAGACCCACAATCGTATCGACTGTTTGCTCTACCATCGTGCTTCGAGCCTACTTCTGATCGATGCTGGTGGCTGCTGGTCGAAGAGTCTCCTGGAGCTTGTTCTGAACAAGCAAGGTCGGGTTTCGCCGCCAGAGTCGTCAATGCAGTGGTGGGCATTTGTCTTGCACCGAGACACCAAGTCTAGATCGTCTGGAACAGGCCGTCACTGTAGCGTTTGCATCACTGATGCTCCACGTATAGATCGGTGTGGTGTCGTCTGCTCTGAGTGCCCGGACGCTCGCTCCCCCAGAGACGTCGACCGTCATCCAAGTCCACGGACAAGACAGGCGTCGCTCTTCCTCACTTCGCCAAGAACTTCTGGAACGCCTCGTTCTCAATGCTCACCGCGCCGACAGCCCTCAGCCTCTTCTTGCCCTCCTTCTGTTTCTCCAAGAGCTTCCGCCTCCGACTCACATCCGCCGCATGCAGCTTCTGCAGCACGTCTTTTCGGAAAGGCTTCAGTGTCTCTCTTGCCACAATCTTCTTCCCGGCCACGGCCTGGATCACCACTTCGAACATCTGCCGTTGTACGTGCTCTTTGAACTTGCTGACCCACTCCTTGCCAAGGCGTTCGCATTGGGAGGTGTGGACCACACGGGCGACGGCATCCACGGGGATGTGGTTCACGACCAACTGTAGCTTTTGTAATGGAGAGGGGCGGTAGCCCGCGTCTTCGTAGTCAAGCGAGGCGTAGCCTTTGGTAGTGGATTTGAGTTTGCCGAAGAAGTCGTCGACGAGGCGCTCAAGAGGGAGCAGGTACTTCAGTATGACCTGTGTGGCTGTGAAGAAGGACAAGCTCTCTTGTGTCCCACGGTTTCCCTCGCAGAGCTCGATGATTTTACCAAGGTACTCTTCCGGAAAGGTGATGGTGGCGGTTATGTAGGGTTCTTCGACGCTCGAGACGTTGGTGTGCATGTCGTGGTGAGAAGGGAAGAGGTTCGGGTTGGAGATGATTGAGGTGTTGCCGTCTTTATTGGTGATCTTGAAAGGCACGCTGGGCGGTGTGATTATACTGTAACAGAGAAATGGTCAGTACAATCCTCCGTGCAAAGGACAAGAATGGAAATAAAACGCACATGCTCGCACCATGCTCTGCTTTGAGCCTATCTTCGAAGACGGAGCAGTGCAGGGTTCCAAGAAAGCCTAATCGCCAACCAGCACCAAGCGCATCAGAAGACTCCTTCATGACAGTCACGGATCGGTCGTTCAGCATCACTTGGTTGATACTGTCCTCCAGATGCGCATAGTCGCCTTGATCGGTCGGGAACGCAGCCACGAACACCATGCTCTGCGGCTCCTCAAAACCTGGCAACGGCTCGACGAGCTTCTTCGACCCGACTGTAGTGTATGTGTCGCCAATCTTTGCTTCCTTGCTCCGCTTCATGCCTGGGTTAAAGTAGATGTATCCGACCTGTCCAGCTCTGAGGCGTGTCTGCGGCGTCTCAAGCGGATACATGATCCCGACCTCACCGACGATGTACTCGTTGTTCGTGGCGAATGAGACGAGACGCTCGCCAGCCCTTACGGAACCGGAAAATATGCGGACAAGGCATATGACGCCGCGGTAGTTGTCGTACCAACTGTCCACCAGTAGCAGCTTCAACGGATCGCTCTCGCGACCTTCCGGAGCTGGGATCTGTTCGACGATGTTCGGCAGCAGTCGCTCGACATTCAAGCCGGTCTTTGCAGATACCATGACCGCGTTTGAGCCGTCCAGCTCAAAGCTGTCTTTTAACTGCTCGACCGTCCGCTTGGTGTCTGACGACGGCAAGTCGATCTTGTTCAGCACCGGCACCAATGTCAATCCTTGCGCAAATGCGAGGTAGAAGTTCGACACTGTCTGCGCCTGCACACCCTGCGAAGCGTCCACCAGCAGCAACGCGCCTCCGCAGCTGGCATAACTTCTACTGACCTCTGCCCTGAAGTCGACATGGCCAGGTGTGTCCACGAGATGTAGGAGATAGTCTTCGCCGTTGTGATTGTAGATCATCGAGCATGTCTGCGCCTTGACCGTGATGCCGCGCTCGCGCTCAACGTCGAGTTTATCCAGGATCTGCTTCTTGCCACCTTTCTCGATGGTGCCCGTGAGCTCGAGCAGACGGTCGCTGAGCGTGCTCTTGCCATGGTCGACGTGAGCGACAATGCAGAAGTTGCGGAAGCGTTCGATTGGAATGGCTGCGATGCGTTTCTCTAGTTCGCCCTGGACCTTCAATGGGGCTGCTAGTCGCGCCGCGGTCGTGGAGAACGTTCGGTAGCCATTGACTCGATGGATCGCCGTAGCATAGGTGGCCGATGTGCCGCTACGGAATGCGTTATGGAACCGGCCAAGGCATCGTCGCATGACCGAGTCGTTACGGTCTTCAACAAGATGGTGTCTCGAATGTTTCGAAGTCGTCGATGCTTAGGTAAGCCGTTGCTGGGCCACTCCTTCCTTATTGGGACCAAAACACCCTCGTGACTTCCTCAACTTCACTCACGATATCACATGCTAGATATAGGACAGCGACTGATCGGAACGACGACGCACTACTACCAAACGAAGGCATCGTTAACAATTGAAGCTGCGGACAATTGGATACAAACGCTCGCAACACCATACACCAATCGCCGCCACCATGCCATCAGCAACAGCACCTTCGAGTTCGGACAAGTCCAAAGTCCACAAACTACAGATAAAGGGCTCAGCAAAGGTACGCAAAATTTCCAGGAAAGACCAACACCAACGAGCACAGAGCACTAACATCCAATCCAGCTCGTGACCGAATTCTTCGAATACGGCATCAACACCATCCTCTTCCAACGCGGCGTCTATCCTCCAGAGGACTTCTCAGCGTACGTCCCTGTCCACCCCTCTACTTCCACATCTCCTCTCGATCAACCCTCGTTGAGACCGTGCTAATGTGATGTGCAGAGTCAAGAAATACGGCCTAACAATCATGACCACCATCGACGACCAAGTGAAAGCCTACATCAAGAAGATAATGTCGCAACTCAGCAAATGGATGTCGCGCTCCAAAATCTCCAAACTCGTCGTCGTCATCACCTCAAAGGAAACCGGGGAGCACGTCGAGCGCTGGCAATTCGACGTCAATCACACCCCTACCTCCACCAGCAGCAAATCCACCTCCGGCAGTGGGGAAAAGGAGAACTCCGACCCTGTGCCCCCTAATTCAGCGGCGGCGGCGGCGGAGAAGACGGATGCGGAGATTCAGCAGGATATCCAATCTTTGTTCCGGCAAATCACCGCCTCCGTTACGTTTCTGCCGGTGTTAGACGGGAACTGCACGTTCAACGTGCTCGTCTACGCCGACGCAGACTCTGAAGTTCCGCTCGAATGGGGCGACAGCGATGCGAAGGAGGTGAAGAATGCGGAGAAGGTGATGCTAAGGAGCTTTTCGACCAACTCGCATCGGATTGATACTGTGGTTTCGTATCGGCTTGCGGAGTAGGGGTTGATTTTTCATAGGGGATGTGGAGGTTTTAATGTTGGCGGGGAGTCGGGGGCGCTCTTGGGCTAAGAAGGACGTTGTGAGAGGAGTTGGACTACAGGCGGTCTTTCGTATCAAACTCTAGAAGTATATGTAGCCATGCATGCTTCCATTACATTCATACTACCACAACACCTGCAACCCACACTCTACTACTACCCACTCTCCCTCCCCAACCTCCCCAGTACACCCAAAAAGCTCTCCGCACTCATAATCTCCGTACTCCCATACACCACCCTCTTCCTCCCGGCAGCACCCGCCTGTCCAGCGCTCGCTCCACCACTCGTCCGCTGCGCCCAGTCCTGCAAATTACCGTACTCGTCCATACTCCCTCCGCCGACAGAAAATACGATCGCCTCGCTAAAGCCTTGCCTCCTCTGCCCAAAACTCGCTTCAATGCCCCGACTCTGTGCTGTCCCGCTGCGAGCGTCTTTGGCAGAAGGCGGCATAGTCCCGCGAGCGTTGGCGGAGCGTGGGTCGAAGTAGAGGAATCCTTCGGTTTTCTGCAGAGCGCTGGTAGAGGCGTTTGAGGGATCCATGAGCGATTCGGTGATCTTGGTGAGGGTGAGATCTTTGTTAGCGGGCAGAAAGTTCTTGACGCCGGATATTAGGTTGTCGAAGTTGGCACCAAGGCCAGCGTCCTTAAAGCGATCGGTGAGGCGAGAGGAGATGGAGGAGAAGCCGCGGAAGAGGTCGGCAGAGGCTGAGGTTTGCTGTGGTTGCTGTTGGGTCGGGGCGGAGGATATCATGGTCATGCGGGTGATTTCACGGACGCGGCGGATGTAGGTTAGGGGTAGGGTATCTACCTCCGCCTTCTTGAGCAGCTCCTCGAAGCGGTCCATGTCCGCTCGCGAGACTTCTTGTTCAGTGCTGAGAAACCAGATAATGAAGATGCGGAGTTTATCTCGTGGCTCGTTGCCTTTGTCGGAGTCAGACAGCAGGTCGAACATTTGTTGCTTGGTCTGCTTTTTGATGTCCTCCTCGAGCTGGAAGAAGTTGTCGAGCTGGCGGTCTTTAATGCCTTTGAGGAGAGCAGTGGCGATGTTCATATGCATATCCAGGAGTGCTTTGCGTTCACGGAGTTCGGGTAGTAAGGTGATGGCTGCTTTGAGGTGTTGAGCGGATGCGCTCGTGTCGTTCTGGAGGTCTTCAATCGAGTTGGCGCCGGTCTTCTTGGTGATGTCTGCGGCGTCGTCCTTGTAGCGAGTGAGTTCGGCGTCGATGTCTTCTGCCACTTGTGGGAAGGGTACGCTGGCGTTCTTGGTCCAGAAGAAGTCGTTCGAGGTGAGGTCGTACGATCGCTTGACGTTGCCTTTCGCGGGATTGCCTTCTTCTGCTGGTGTCTCCACGGTAATCCGATTGAGGTGCATGTTGAGTACATCGTGGATGAGGGATTGATATGTCCATGAGTGTGAGAGCATTGGTACTAGGTCGACATTCCGGTCCACAATGATTAGGACTGGACGTGAAGAAGCCGGGTTCTGCCCGCCTGCGGATTTGCTTCCAGAAAAGAGATTGTCTTTGGCGTTCAAAATGTGGTCTCTCAGTTTCCGGTCCAGCTTGGCCGCGATCATCTCAGCAGCGCCGCCTTTTGGACATCGAATGATGGGTATTGTGCCTGTAGCGGTTAGCCTGGATATTGACGATTGACGAGTTTCGAGACCAACCCATCGTCACCGAAACGCTGAACAGACCACTGACGATCCGATCAACATTCGTGTCAATGTCTTCGTCACTTGTCTGTGCGCTATTCATCGTCCAGTACGTCTCCTTGCCCGTGCCCAGACTGAACAGGTTCGGTTCGCTGACGATGAAGTTCAGGTACTGGTCGTACACCTGGCTGATGCTCTCTGACGTCCCCGCCTGTGCTGTTTGGGCCGCAAAGTCTTCTAGCAGCGGCCTAGATATCGAGGACAGAAAGTTGATGTACGCCGGAGAATACAGCCCCTTCTGAAGGTCCTGTGTGATGTACTCCAGATTCGCCGCCGTGGGCTCGACGAGGTATACGACGGGCACATCGGGTATGGCATGCCGTTGGCCGTTGATGTTTCTGACATGGAGCTGTCAGCGCTCGCTGCTTGAGTCTCAGCATCCACTGCGACCACGCTAGCCCTCCTGTTTGCTGTAGACAACGTACAGATGTATTGTGATTCCCCAACCTCGCAAGTCATTGACTCTGAGCACACTGCTGATAACATCTCGCCCAAGGTTGTCGAAGACGAGCACTTTCCATATCGGCTCGCCGTCCGAGCTCAGGATGGGTGTGGATTGCGGTATCAGGCCATTTGCGGAGGAGTGGTCATGTTGGAGGTCGGAGGACTCTTGAGGGACGTGGTTGAGACTGAGTATGCGTTCGATTGACGCTGTAGCTGTTAGAGCTGCCCACAACCACGGCCTTTTGCGGAAGACATACCTACTTGCCGGTCTCGAAGCGTTTGGTACGAGGATGCCATGTTGGGGGGATGGTGGCCGTCAAGGCAGCCTAAGCGGCTTTTCAGCGCATATGATAGCGTCTCTGTATGAGATTTTGCACGCGCATTCACTATGGGTTCAGTTTCTTTGCGCCTTGGTTGCTTGCTATCCTTACACACACTTGTCCTCGACATTCAATGTTGGCCGATCGGTGCCAAGCCCAGCGCGGCATTATCCGCTGCCGCTCTTAGTCCTTAGTGATGTCGCTGCTCTCTCTCCTCTTCTTCCTTTCCATCAACCACCACCTTCCACCTGCACATGAACGCGGCCCACAACACCCGCTCATCACCATAATTACTTTCTACACTCTCTGAAGTACTAACTGAGTGAAAGCTGGGAGTTTTGGGGCGTTTTGAATGTGATTGTGCCAGTAGCAAAGGTACTCCTACTGCAGGCTGCCTGCCAGATTGCGACGGGGAGCACTTCGAGGGCTGCTCGCACGTACTGAAGCGTCCTCATCATCGCAAATCTGCTGCTGCTACTGCTGCCATCGTGCTGGCTCACTGTCTCCTACTTTAAGCATCTGACTGGCGTGGGCGTACTCTTAAGCCCGCGCTGTGAAACGACCTTACGGTTCAGATCTTGGTGAAGGCAAGGCAAGGGTGGCCACGTCAGGCAGACTCGTGCTGAGAGGCAGTCTCTCACGCAGAGATCGTATTGCCAGAGTCTTCCCAGGACGTACGCAGGCTGGAATCGAGCTACCACGGCATACCACCACACACCACAACATCCAGCAACGGCACACTTCTACACCATCGCCTTCACCTCGTAAACTCACTTTCTACGAACCGATTTCTGTGGCTCGAAGGATGCTGCTCACCCCGCTTTGAGCAATCACGTGATCGCAGCCTTCCCGCGAATCAGGGCGCAGCAAACTCGAACGCCTCACCCGACTTCCGCAAACCCCAGCCGTCACCATGGATCACCACCAGATGCCCCGCGGGAACGAGGGCTTCTCCAACAATAATCTGTTCGGCGATAGTCAGCAGTACAATGCATATGACAATCTCTTCCAGACTGGAAACGAGCAGAGTCCGTATGATGCTAGCTGGGGCGTAAACGCCAGCAACTTCCCGGCCGTGTCACGCACCCAACCCCAACACCTGTCTGCGCCAAGCTGGCCGCAGAATGCGAATCATCTTTCGTCCTCCCACATCAGCGGCCAGCAGTCACCGTACTCACGCCCTCTCTCCCACAGTCCAGCCCCGTATCCGCAGAACGCATTCAATAGTTACGGCGCGCAGCAGGGGTTCCACTACCGTCAACCACAGTACGACCCGTCTGTCGTCACACCCCAGAGTCTGAATCAGAACTTCAGTCCCTACTCGACAGCAAACTATGCAACCAACAATGGCGCCACAATCGCACCACACGCATTGCAGCACGAGAACCGCTCGCCAGCCTACGGTCACAACCCTTATGGAACACCGACATTCCCTGCGAACAATGCCCGTCCACCCAGTGCTGTCCAGCCGGCAACTGTCGACCAGCACAAGCTTGTCGCCTCTATCCCGGCAGCAAACAATGCTGGCTTCTTCTCCATCGTCAACTTCGATGACCTGTCTCGGGCCACGAAGTCCGAGCGCATGGGCAGTTTTCTAAATATCGGTACCGAAGCACAGAACTGGGAAGTCAATCGCGCTGCACTACCGGCGTACGTTCCACGTAAGTCTCGCAAGGAGTTGTGCAAGGCCGCTGGCAGCGACCCAAAGCTTCTGGCCAAGCTCCGGAAGAAGGTGGTGAAGCGAGAGAAGCCTTCAATCATCGCTCCCCGCACCGCCTTGCCCACTTCCACGGCTGGCCAGCCTTTCAACGGCAACATCAAATACGAAGGCGACTCCTCAAGTGCTGAAGAGTCTTCTTCTGAAGATGATGATGACGACTCCTCCTACTCCTCTGATGACAATGTTGAGTCCGCTCCACTGCCCGCCAAGCGCCCAGACTCCCCGAAAGCTGCAACCGAGTACGACACCATCAAAGCTCTCTGGCGCAGCAAGCGCCGCTCACCAACGTCCGAGAGCATCAGGAAGGGTCTTGTTGACTTCTGGGAGATCGCAAAGACCGTCCGAGATCGGTGGAAGGCCGACACTGCAGCAGTCACTGACGCCGAGGAGAAGAAGCGGGTGAATGAGATCCCGCTGCTGAAAAGCCGAGTCAAGGATCAGCGTGACATGATGGAGACGGCCTTCACGGCTGCTTTGCAGCACGGTCACCGCGACATTGTTGAGCTGTACGTATATCCTCCCTCACCCCTTCCTTCCAGTGTGCACTGCATCATGACTGTATTATCTTACATACCTCCGTCGACACCATCAATGTCGCGAAGCACAAGCAAGTGCCAAAGCGTCCTGGTGTGCTCAATGCCATCATACGCGTAGTCGGCGTTCTGAATATAGATTTTGCCAAGACATGAAGTCGCTTTAGCCCTTGGCTGGCGTCCGCACGTGCAGTGTCTCAAAGTCTCACTATACTCAAGACTACACAAGACTACACAAGAATGCTCCACTTAATGGATTATTTCCAGGTCGCGTTGATATCATAAGCTAATTCATGTGTTCTTAGATTCTCGCAGAACCAAGCCTTGATGTTTCTCTGCTACCAATTCCTACTCGACCGCCAAAAGGAAGAAGATTTCAATGGCCCGCTCTCACGCGCGATACTGGAGGTCGTGTCGATGTCCACAACGATGAAAGCGGAGACGTTCGAGAAAGTCCATCTTGCCAAAGTCGTGCCTCGCTTTGTCAGGCGAGGGGACGTGAAGACGCAGTACTTTGCGAAGAAGATCGTTGCGAACGCGTCTGCCCCAGATGCCGACAATGGTGCTGCGACGGATGCGAAGAAGGTGGCTGCCAAGGTCGGTGCTGGTTCGCCACCCGGGAAGCGCGCGGAGCCAGAATCTGTCGCTGGAGTCAAGCGTGCTGCAGCCGCAGCTGGAGAAGGGTCTGCGCCCAAGAAGGCCGCAACAGTAGCTAGCAAACTGAATGGCGGTCTTACGGCAAGCAAGCTGAACTCGGCGTCCAAGAAGCCGTCTTCATCTGTAGATGCAGCGAAAGGCACAGCGCCGGCGCCGGCAGCAGCTGTCAAAGCGAAGCAAGTCACCGCGAAGCCATCGAATTTCTTTGCGAGCCTCCAGTCAGCGTCTAAAAAGCCGAATGCATCCAATGCGAGCAGGCCCACGGCCGGCGCGATGTCGGGACCACGATCAGTATCGGCAACGCAATCAAGCGCGCCCAAGTCGACTTTCTCTTTCACCGAGACCATGGCCAACCTGTCCAAGCCGAAGGAAGAGAAGCCTGCCGCCAAGCCAGTACAACAGGCCATCAAGGAGACACCGGAGGAGAAGACGAAGCGCCTTAGGAAAGAGTCACGTCGCCATCTCCACGTCCGGTTCAAGAAGGACGACGAGCTAACCGAAGTACGTCTTTTCTCTCACGATCCAGATGAGGAGCGTGGCCACAACGCCAGCGAAATGCGCGACGTGGACGATGTCGGTGGAGAGGGCCGCATGTTCAAGCAACAGCACAACCTGATGGAAGTCGATGAAGAAGAGGAGGCGCCTGTCGAGACGGAGGAGAAGCTGGTCGAGTACAAGGCGCCTAGCGAGATCGACTTCATGGAAGTCGACGAGGGATCACGCGAGCTCAACTACAAGCCATATGGCGGTGGCGTGCTCGAGCCGGAATCCGAGGAGCGTGCGAAGCGTAAAGATTATGAGGATAACAATCTCATGGTCTTCTACGCGAATCCAAGCGACATCCCTCCGAATCCACGTGAGCCGTATGATCCGTACAACGGCGAGACGGTCACCATGAAGCAGATCGCCCCGCCGGAGGAGAAGTGGGCTATCCGGGCCAGGCAGACGAAGGTTGCGCAGAAACAGCGGCAGTACGGCAGCGCGCCACAGCCGACGATGGGCCAGAACACAGCACAGCCGTTCGATCTATCGAAGCTCTACCTCGGGAACCAGCAGTACGGCCAGCCCGCACAGCAACAGCAAGCTCCCACCGGGGTTAGCCCCGACCTCGCGGCCCTGCTCGCCCAATTCAACCAACCAGCCGCCAACCAAGCCGCACCTCCGCAGCCAGCAATGGGTGGTCACACACCTCAGTTCCAACCCTCTGTCCCACCCATGCAACAGCAGGCCCCTCAACAGACCCAACCGACCATCGACCTCGCGGCCATCCTCGCCTCTATCAACAACAATAATCAGCAACAAAACACCGTCCAGACAGCCTACAACTACAACAACGCCGCTGCACCGAGCATGCCAGGCTCCTCAGGGGTCTACGAGAACCCAGACCGCAAGCAGTGGCGTGAAGGAGGGGCAAAGAAGCCGAATGGGGGTAATGCGGAGCAGAGGAACTACAAGACGAAGGTGTGCAAGTATTGGTTGGAGGGGAAGTGTCAGAAGGGGAGTGGGTGTACTTTCAAGCACGAGAGTTGAGAAGGGTCAGAGAAGGAAGCGGGGTTGAGACGGGGTGGATGGTAGTGTTGCTTAGTGTGCAGAGGCGTTGAGATGGGGTTGATTGAGAAATGGGAGAGGTACAGCATGGAAGGGAGACTTCCTTCAAGACACACTACAGGGTGTCTACACAGACGGCACCATTCGCTGCTGTCGGCGATGCGAGCGCTTAGCTTCTAGCATACCGTAGCTACAAACTTGCATTGAATCATTCAGGATACTCCCAACGTCCCATCAAGCTCTCTCTGCTTCTCCTCTTTGTTCGAACATACCTTTATCGTCCTGCCTTAACGCACTAAGCCATATCGTTATAGTTCTTCCTGCGCCTGCGCATCAAAAACGTCACCGAACAAATCTGAGAAATCTGCTGGATCGAACTGCGGCCAGTTCTCCCAATGCGCGAATAGGTCCTCGCTGACCGACTCTGCCCCCTTCTCTGCACTCGCGCCCGTCCCACCCACAACTTCAACACTCGTCGTAGTCGCGGGCACTACGCTCGTCTTCCCACTCCTACTCCCGCTGAATCCCACACCTGTCCCTGCGCCCGGAGACCGTTTCTGCATCATCGTCACCGTCATCTTGAACCCCATCAAAATCCCATGCAAACTCTTTATCAGCTTCGCAGTAGCCGTGAGGATGCACCCCTGACTCATCGCAGCAGCAGTGCCGGCCGTGGCGCTCATGGCCTCGAGGCTGCGGGCCAGTTGGAGGAAGAGGATCGTTTGGATGTCTATGCGGTCGTGGAGGCCGCCTGCACGGATGTGAGTAAGGAGGAGCTTGGGGTTGGATAGTTGGCGTACCCCATCCTTTCAACCGCGCCGCCTGCTGTTCAGTGATATCCTTGCACGTATACAACATCCTCGTCGTCCACTGATGCAGTGGAGCAACGAACGGTATCCCGTTCAGTGTCAGAGTGTCAGCGGCAGTGACGAAGTTGGCGAGATCGAGTTCCAATTCGTCGATCCGCGTGCGGCCGTACTGTTCTAGGAATTTGCGGTGGCAAGGTCGGTCGGGGTCGTCTTCGGTGTGGGCCGTGAGTTGATGGATGATGTCGTTGCTGACGCCCATTGCTTGGTCGGCCTGGATGGGCAAGTGGTGGGAGGCGGAGTGGGCGCCGTTCATGACTGCGAAGAAGCTAGACAGCAGAGCGCAATCAGCGAGGTTATAGGTTCTGGGGGTGCCAGACTTCGTACAGTGCACAGCCCTTCACTCCCTGCATCATAAGTTCGGACGTTAGCAGATATCTCATAAGCGGCATCGAGAGACGAACGTTGTGTTGGAGACGCAAATCCGCTGCTGCCAGATGCATCACGGCGTAACCCATCTCAGGCGAGCAATACTGAGCCTCCAATGCATTCTGTATCGCAGCCTGCTCTTGGTTTATGAATGCTTCGTGAGCATTGATGATTTGACCTAGCCGTCTCAGGTCTCTCCAACTGTCCGATAGCTCAGTCAGCATGTGCAGCACTTGCATTTGACCATAGTTAGTGCTATGTGGTAGTATAAGCTCTACCGGCATGCGGCCAAGTACCATTGCTAGAACCAGTGCCTCTACTGCCTCCTGTGCGGATGCATCAGCATGTTGGAACTCGAAGGCTCGTTGCATCAGCGAATTGGATATCGTTTCGTGAGCGATACTCAGCCGTATCCAATGCAGACACTGGAACATAGGCTTTCTGAGAACTTCATCATCAGTCCCGAATCTGTGTAGAGCTTCCGTCAAGCGAGCCGCAGCGGTATCGTAGCCCAGCTCGACGCAGACTTGCTTGGCGAGGAGGGAGCATGTGACGGATTTCACAGCTGGAGCAGCTGCTGTCTGACTGCTAGTAAACACCAGTGGTCGATACTGGCTTGCCAGAACCAAAGCCAGGACAGTCCAATTGGTACGCGAGAGCGAGAATAGTACTTGTTGGCCTGTATGGAAAAGCAGCGCCCTTACGGCTGGTTGCAATGTCCGGTGTGATGTGAGCTGAGCGGATGGGACATCCAACGCTAGGTCGTAGAGGAGGTTAAGGAGGAACAGGGCAGATGGTCGCTCTACTCGGCCGCGTTCAAGGCTTTCCACTTCATTCCGTAGATCAATCAAGTTGGGAATGTCCGGATAATACAGTCTATGCCAAACAAGACTACGGTCACGGCATTAGTGTATCCAATTTCGTTGACGTCTCGGGATCACTTACTGCCGATCCAACAAACCGGTCGAACCTTCGTCAACTAGCTCCAGAGCAGAACTGCGAACAAGCGGCTGCGATCCAATCGAGGCTGCAAACGAGCTGTCCCTCGCAAGCAACGCAGGGAGCAAGTGGAATGGCGAAAAGCTGGCTTCGATCATCTCACTTCTCGTAGGCTTTGATCCGGCATGTGCATCGCCAACAGCTTCCTGCCGAGATAGAAGAAAGTTTCCGACATCGTGCGGGTTGTCCAACTCGACATCGTTGCTTGTTCGGCTGTCCAGGGTGTTATGAGTTGTTATTCCATCTTGATCTCCAGTTCTGTTGCGCTTTACGGCTGGTCGTCCTAGGCTGAACGAGATTCCGTCAGCTAGTGATGACACGGAGAAGCGTTCCGGCAGCGTACTGACGTGGTATAGTCGACAACACAGCTGAGACCATTCTGTCTACAGCGTGTACAGGCCTTATCAGGCGGCTGTGGTTCGCTTGACGGTAGGATGCTCGTGTCCGGTAGAGCACATCGAATCCGTCTCGAACGGCATCCCAGGCATATCAGTCGGCTATACTTCTCTCGTCGCCGCTTGCTGAGTGGCTCGGCCATGATTTGTCTAGGAAGAGGAAGGAAGAGGAACAACGAAACGCGGGGGAGGGAAGCAGGAAAGGCATCGAAGGCAGAAGCAGAGCAACCAACTTGGCGGGACAGGTCCAATCAACGCGTCGATTGACCCGGCGGTGGTGTGACCGGATGAGAAGCTTGGTATGAAGCTGAAGAGCAACGCTCGAAGTTTCAATGTTGGGTCCGTGACGGCAGCTTCGATAGCTCTTGTCCCTCCGTGAGGACTGTGTATTTAAAGCCCCGAGAAGATATTCGATATGGCGAACATACTTGAGCAGGTCAGGAAAGCCAGCGACAATGGTCCAATTCCTACTGTTGTTGTTGCTTGCTGCAACCGTGCACAGCATCTGCGTGCCATCGCACGATAACCACGTCGTTCAACTTCCCACAGGAAGGTAATGCTCATTGCCCATCGATGGTCCATGTGGCCAAGCTGACCGATGTCCAGATACCATGGAAGGCATGACCCTAGTTCATCGACAACGACCTACTTCTCCATCCCATATGCATTCGCAACTCGCTTCGAGAAATCCAAGCCGATCGAAGAGAAGCCAGACGTTTCTAGAAGCGCAGTCGTAGATGCCAGTAAACATGGCCCGGCTTGTCCAATCTTCAACCTGCCTCCTCCATACGACAAAGGGTTCGGAGCGCTGCTCGGCGACCAGCCTATCAAGCCGCAATCCGAGGAATGCCTGACGATGGACATATACGTTCCCGATGGCGACCACAAGGACCTGCCGGTGTCCCTCTTCACTCACGGAGGAGCTTTCCTGGTCGGGTCCTCCTTCACATACGACATGAGTCCGCTCGTCGCAAAATCTATGGAGCTTGGGTTGCCGATGATTGCGATATCGATCCAGTATCGGCTGGGACCGCTCGGCTTTCTGAATCCAAGCAGCTTGGGGTCGCAGAGCATGGACCTGGGTATTCTTGACCAGGTCGAAGCGCTCAGATGGGTGAGTTGTCGTCCGGGCTATCCACAGCTAAATCTGGTCCAAGAACAGACTAAACTATGGAGGTCTAGTGTCCCACGAGCTGACGAGCACCTCCGATCCAGGTCAGGAGAAACATCCAAGCGTTCGGAGGAAGTCACAAAAGAGTTACCATCAGTAAGAATGTCAGATCTCCGGGGCCAAGAATATATTCCTGACTATACAAAGGTGGCGAGAGCGCTGGTGGTGAATCGACGCTCTATCAGCTCCTGTGGACAGACGAAAACTTATTCCGCTCGGCCTGGTTGATGAGCGTGCCGTCATCCGGCCAGCCATTCCTGGCGCCTCAGCCCAGCTTCAAAGACGACTTGGTCAAGTCGTACGCCAAGGCTTGTGGTTGCTCTGGGACCAAGTCGATCCATGCGGCAGTTGCATGTCTTAAGTCCACGGGGCCGAAAGTCATGGTGAACCGGTCAGCGGCATGGGAAGGCAGTCAAACTAGTCTCGGAGGGTTGATCCGCCACAACATGTTCGACACCATTCGAAAGCATAAGTTCCCGAAGATACCTGTCGTCTTCTCAGTCACCCGGGACGAGGGCACGGTTCTAGCTCTGGGCTTCGAACCAGATAGTACCGAAGCCACGAAGAGAAGTCTTGCCGGTGGGTCACCTCTGCGCTGTAGTGTTTGCTGCCATTCAGCTGAGCGTCGTGATTAGGTTACATCGCCGGAGCCGGATTATCAGGACGCAAAGCCGCAAACTTCGTCCAGCAGCTGTTGAAAGCATACCCAAACGATCCGGTTTTGGGCAGTCCGTTCGACGCAGCAGACACCGACTATGGCTTCGGCTCTCATTACAAGCGGGCTGCCGCTATGGCGACTGACGGAACATTCGTGGAGCCTTGGTACGAATATCTCCAGACCTTCTCGGAGCGCACCAAGACCTTTGGACTGCTTTGGAACCAGCCTGCGCCAAAGACGCCTCGATCGTTAGGAGTCAATCACGGGGCAGACCTCAGCTTCTATTTCCCTTTACTCGCCGGCGAAGATAGAGATCCACGCAAGACAACTGAAGGGCGACGTTTCGTGAACGCTCTCCAATCCGCGCTGGTCAACTTCGTGCATTATGGCGATCCCAATGGCTGCGTGGCAACTGGCCAGGGAGAGAAGTACACCTGGCCTGAGTACTCGAAGAATGGTCAGGTCACAGTAATGTCAGCTTCGAACATTACTTCTGAGCCACAACCACGTCGGCCTGGGTTCGACGTCTTTCGTCGCTTCTTGAGGCCAGGATCCCTGTGATCTGTAGCCGAGAAAGGTAGAAGTGTGGGGACTGGTTGGCTTGTGTGCTTGCGGCTGAAAATCATAAGCGCCGAGATTGCAAATATGAGTCGTGTTGCAGGGAGTCTTTGTCTGAGTCGATCAGAAGGGCAATGGGCCTGTGATTTGGAAAGATGTTCAGCATAATTGACCTTCTGGTACGCAGCTATATCGAGCCTTCAGAGCTGCTCGACGCAACGCTATCTGTGCTTCTTGCAGGCTGGTCAGCGTCTTTCTTACTTAGCACCACTCGATCACACCATGAGCACCAGCTCCTGTTCAGACGATCTTGTTCCCGCTGTAGAAACTTTGACGTCGCTCGCTCGTCTTCGTACTCCTTCACAATGGCTCCAACCAAGATACTCTTTTTGATCTTTCGCTGTACTGTGCCACCGATCCCGACCACCTCGCAGGTCAAGAAACTATTGCCTGTGAAAGTCCTTGCATCAAGACCAGTCTTCTCCATCTCGACCTCCAGTGCCGCGAGCTCTTTGGGGTCTAACTCGACTTCCTTCTCAACAATCCTGGCATTGAGGCAAGCGCCGCCGCGGCCGCACTCCACACCCTCATTGCCTTCACCAAGACCAGCTCCGATGCCCCCGCAAGCCCCGTACCTCGTGCGCCATGCCCACCCGCGCATGTATGTTGTATCTGTGGTTCGAAGAGTCTGACCACATGGTCGGCAGATCCACGGGATCTCGTCGCAGGTACATGGAGATCGGACGAGCTTCTCGTGACTATCCACATCCTCGCTAGAGACTTGATCAGCAACAAAAGGATGACTGATAGTCCGCTGAGCGTACTCTGCAGGCTTGGCAGCCAGTGTATGAGGCTCGATGTTGCTTTTCATGCACTTGCGGCACAGCCTCCTAAATCGGCCTTTGAGGACGTTCGGGGTCGGCTGCTTCATCACGCAGTTCTGCTTGGGTTAGTTGAGGTCTTGGGTTTTCAAGGTTGTCGTTCGTACTCGGCAGACAGTCCGGCCACATCTGCGACAGTCTCCTACCATATCTCGAGCGCAAGCGCCTACCCTGCCACCAGAGACACGATCAATCGTCTCGCCCGTTCGCGCGTAGCTCGTCCATTGCTGATAGCTGGCTTGCAGAGCATCGCCGAGACGTGCAGCTGGATGGGCGTTCTCGTTCGCACATCTCAGTGTCTGTTCTTTGAGGGTCGTCCGATATTGAAGCAGATTTGCTCGAGCCTGGCGACAAGTTCGCGAGAGCTCGTGGAGTGTTGTCAAGTCCACATTACTGGCGATTGATGATATCACACTGCTTCAACGTCAGTATCGCTCCCACTGGCCAGACACTCAGACTAATGTAATCCTCTTGCATCCTTCACTTACGGATAGCATGACAAGGCAGCCGAGAAGAGAAGGTCATAGTTCGGATTTGGTCTACTGCTGGCGGCGTCTTGGTAGGATGATGTCGCCACCGTGCCGTCGCTTCGATCCTGTGTTTCATCTTCACAGCCATCTTCATCAAGATTGACGACTCTCACCATGATGTCGAGCGAAAGGCTCCTAATGAGGGCATTGAAGCAGTCTCCAGCTGCTCAGCTTTCAACGAGTGTGGTTTTATGAAGGTGGATGTTGATGCTGATGTTGGTCACGGTCAAGGAACGGAAGGATCCCGAGGTCGACTCTTGGCAAACCAACTTCACTTCACGCTGTGCTCCCATCTCATTGCGCCATCCCGATCTACACAACCAGGCTGCTTCACGGACGAAAAGAAGTGTCAACGACGGAATACTGCCAAAGAAACAAGACTTGGCCCATGTCTCCACATCTGATCGTGAGTAAGTTCTGGTGGTGCTATTCTGAGACATGCGGCCGCACTGCCTTGCGGATTGGGGCCAGTATCTGGGGCTGTTGCTTAATCGCTGGATGGCTATATTTACAGGACGGCAGTGTCTGCCTTGGCATATTAGCTTGTCCTGCCACCTGCTGCTTGCATATTGACTGCATGTCAGCGGGAGGATGTAAGAAAGCGACCCTGCCGTTGCAACGCCTCAACTTTGCTTCCCGCTTCGTTCTTCGTAACAGTCTTCTGCCTCCGCCCGACCGTCAGCGTTTCCTGTTCCTGTCTCATCACATCGAGCCCGCTTGCCCAGCATGTACAGCGAAAAGACGTGGAACAGCTGGGTGCTGATTCCACTATGGATCGCCCACCTGACGTTCCTGCTCATCTTCATCGGCGTACTCGCTGTGTCCATGATGGAGTACGCTGGCGATCACGAAGGGCAGAACAACGGGTAAGCGCAGTCCCTCAGACTGCTCGAGAAACGGCCCCATCCAGCTTGCTGACCGCCCGTGTAGCACCCTCACCGCATTCATGGTCTTCTTCTTCATCGCACTCATCATGTCGCCGCTCGAGATGGTGCTGCAGTCCTATCGAATGCTCCAGCCATGGCTATACTTGAGCTTCCAGGTGTACAAGCTGGTGATCGCGATCATATTCACGATCGTCGAGATTATAGAATACACAAACCAAGACTGGACGTCGATTGCAGGGTGGATCCGAATTCTGATGATTTCGTTGATTGCGGTTACTGTGGTTGTGGGGTAAGTCAGCCTGTCGCGCCGTCTGCCATGGGGAAGAAATTGACTGACCTTGCTGTTCAGAGCGACGTTCGTCCCATCGGTAGTCTATGGCGCCATTGTGGTGCACCGCCGCCGGAAATCGCCAGATTACGACTACGTGAAAGAGCGGAACAGCGAATACGAGATGGCAGTGGAGTCCCGTCGGCCAAGGACCACTCTCGCCAGTGGTGGATTGAGGTAGTTGCAGGTATGGCAGCAAAGGTCCACTGCCATTCATCCTGCTTTTCTCAGGCTGTTGTAATGCTCTCCAAGTCCAAAGCCATGCTTGTAATACCCTAGCCAGATGGCTTTCTCGCCGCTCCCTCCCTCGATCTTCTCTACCCGGCCGAAGTCTTGAAGCACATTGATGACGGTCCCGTAAGTCTTCGCCAGCGCGAGAAGCTCCAATTGCCCTCCCCATTCTCCAGTATCCCGGATCTTGTGGAGATAGTCCGGCAATGGCTCCTCAAGGAATGGCACAAAATCGTCCGAGTTCTTCTCGATGTATTCTGCCGCGGCAGACCGTACGAGCTTGTACCCTGCAACATCAGGCATGTCTCCTGGCGTTGCGCCCAGTGGTATTCTCAAGTGGTCAAGTTGGTCTGCGACAGCGGAGTAGAGACAATGCCCGTCTGCTCGGATCTCCTTCTCCTGCAGACCTCGTGCCTTCATGGCCTCCAGCATTCTGCTTCGCTCCTGCTCCTTAAGATCCGGCAGATTCTTCGCCTCTTCTGCTGCTTTTCTGGCTGCCTCCTCTTGTTCAGCTGCTCGACGTGCAAGGCGTGCTTTCTGTCGGTTGCCCTTCTTCGGCCCTTGCGCTTCACCGTTTGGCTCGGATACTCCGGTGCCGGCATCGCCGGCTTCTGCTGTAGCGCTGCTGGCTGTCTCATCGGCGACCGCAGTCTCCGTGGTTTGGGTGGTGTCCAGCGTCAGATCGTCCAGAGCTTCGACTGTCACAGCCGTATCCTCGCCGTTCAACGCAGCAACCTCGCCCGCTTGCTTCTCTTTCAAATCTGCCTCCAGTCGATCACATTCGTCGTTCACGCCTTTCCGTGTCTTCTTGCTGGCCTGCTTCTTCTTCTGCGTGATCCGGCTTTGGAGATCTCGCTGCTCCTTCCTATGGCGGGCTTGAAGCTCCTCCATGTTGCTTCCAGTACTCCAGCATTAGAGTAGTTCTGCGATAGGTACAGTAAAAGAGCAAAAGATCATACAACTTCTGCCCGTAGAGGGAGTCATGTGAAGCAGATATCCACGCTAGTGAAACTTTCCCAATTGGGCAGTTACGCATCACTTCACTCCCCACCTTCCACATCCTCTGCAAAATGGCAGACCTCAAGACATGTCCACCGTTGACGCGCTCATCGGTGCAAACCGCACACAAATGTATAAAGCAGTACATCCACGAGACACCAGTCGCGACCTGCTCAACGCTGAACTCGCTCGCGTCAACACCTCAAAGCGAACGATGTCCAAGTAGTGGACCAAATGTGGCCGCCGAACCTGCACCGCACTCGTCAGCGACAACAGAAAGGGCTTCTGCGTATACTGCCAGCCCTAATGTTCGTCTGTTCTTCAAATGCGAGAACCAGCAGCGAATAGGAGCTTTCAAGGCCCGAGGCGCATTTCATGCCCTGGGCAGGTTGATCGAGGAGGAAGGGATTGATAATGTTAGAAGGAAGGGCGTGTGTACACACAGCAGTGGTACGGCGCATCCCCATAGAGTCTTCACTCAGGACTAACAGCTGACCAGATCTACTGAACAGGTAACCATGCCCAAGCCCTCGCCCTGGCAGCAAAGACACACAATGTCCCCGCCCATATCGTAATGCCTAAGATCAGCACGCCGTCGAAGATCGCTGGTACGCAGAGTCTAGGAGCCAATGTCATATTTTCAGGCTCAACAAGCGAGGAACGCGAGGCCGTGATACAAGAAGTGATTCAGAAGACTGGTGCTACACTAGTCCCTCCATACGACCATCCGGATATCATGCTAGGTGCAGGTACACAGGCATTGGAACTCGAGCAGCAGGTCGTGAACTTGCTCGTTCAACAGCCGGGCCTTGGTATATCTGGCAAGAAGGCGTTGGATGCTGTCGTTGCCCCCATTGGAGGTGGAGGCATGCTGAGCGGGATAGCTACAACATTGGAGGGCACAGGTATCAAGGTCTTTGGCGCCGAGCCGAACTTCCAAGGCGCAAATGACGCAGAACGAGGCCTCAAACAAGGCGAGCGGATTGAGAAAGTCAAGACATTAACGATAGCGGACGGCTTGAGAACGCCTGTGGGCAAAATTCCTTGGAGCATATTGAGCGACAAATCAAAGCTTGAAGATATCTACTCGGTCGATGAAGACCAGATCAAGGCTGCTTTGAAGCTGTTGATGGAACGTGCGAAGCTGTTCGTTGAGCCATCTGCTGCGGTTCCGTTGGCTGTGGTGTTGTACAATGAAGACTTTCGAAAGATGGTTGAACGAGAGGCTGGTGAAGCTGGGTGGAATATTGCCTTGGTCTTGTCGGGAGGCAATACTACGGTCGAGGCTATTGCAAAATTGTACCAACCACCATCGGCCACTGCAGAAAGGGCGGAGGCAACTGTTTCGATGGACGGAGACAAGAAGGCAGAGAACGTTGCCGGTTAGACGATGTTAGAAATTGATCCTGCTGGTTACCTCTCATTCGCGATGCGAGACACACCCTCTTCATCGACACTGCTTCCGTTGACACGTCGACAGTCCCTCCTTCCTTCCCCTAAGTTGCCTTGGCTTTCGGATACGCGGCCTACCTGGCCACCTCCGTCGGCGTGTGATCCGTCAGTCGTTTGATACAGAGCAGGCGCAACGAAGGCACGCGCTCCTCACTTCACTTTGCTCTGCCATCTCCTTCTCCTCCATCTCCTTCTCCTCCATCTCCTCTACATCATCATCCCTCAGAAGCCATCCCATCACTCAGCATCTTTTCTTGTTGTCTTTCATTGAGTCAAACTTGCAGCGGGCACCAGGAAAGAAGCAGCAAACGGCACCATGTCCAAGCCAGCAGAAATTGCAAGCCCCGGCCACCGTGTACGTTCGGCATGCCCATGAGCTCCTACCTTCACTCGCTGACCTTTCAACCGAACTGCAGGTCAAGCTGGTCAAGAACACGAACTTCGCCCGCAATGGAGTCATGGCCTACGCAAAGGCTCTCCGCAAGTGTGAGCCTCACCCTCACAGCCGGCTTTCACCTCACTCTGCTGACCAGACTGCAGTCGACATCAAGCCAACCCTCGCCGGGCCCTTCGACATGATCGACCAAGTCGCCCAACCCGCAGTCCAGCCTGATTCTCGCAGTGGCAAACCAAAGAGAGTCGCACCTCGCAAACTCGTCACCAAAGACGCCGATGGCAAGATCGGAGAGGTCAAGGCAACAGACGTCCAAAACGACAGCGAGTACATTGCACAGGTGGAGATTGGGACACCACCACAGCCCATGGACGTCATCTTCGATACCGGCTCGGCTGATCTATAGGTCTGGTCGGGCGAGCTGCCGAAGAACGTGAGGCTGGCGGGCAAGACGGACCACAATATCTTCGACTATTCGAAGAGCTCGACTTTCAAGTGGTCGGCAGGGCAGAACTGGCAGATTACCGTGAGCATGCCTGTCATCTCAGCAATTGCCTCCGGCTAACAGGTCCCGTCATCGTAGTACGGAGACTCATCATCTGCTGGTGGCAGCGTTGGAAAGGATGTCATGCAGCTCGGTGGGTTGACTATCAAGAACCAGTGAGTTTGCGTTTGACTTCTCTGCGAGATGCATGGCTGACCGGTCCTTTCCAGAGCCATCGAACTGGCAGAGAACTTGTCTGCATCCTTCGTGACCAACCCTTCCGACGGACTTCTCGGCCTGGCATGGGTAAGTGCAAACCCACCGGTTCAGTCTACACAGTGATTGACGTACGAGCAGGGCTCCATCAACACCGTCACACCAATCCGAGTCCGAACTCCAGTCGAGAACCTCGTTGCACAGTCTGCCATTCCTCCCGCCGCGGAGCTTTTCACGGCATATCTGGGCAGCTACAAGGATGCCAACGACCCAGACCATGGCCAATCCTTCTACACATTCGGCTTCATCGACAAGGACGTCGTCAAGTCGACTGGCAGTGATGTCTACTACACGCCCATCGACAATTCGGCGGGTTTCTGGCAGTTCCCTTCGTCCTCTTACACCATCAACGGGACTGTTACAAAGACCGCCGGACGGACCGCAATCGCGGATACTGGCACCACTTTGGCGCTTGTTGACGATGCGACGTGCAAGGCCGTCTACGACGCCATCCCGGGCAGCAAGCTGTCGAAGGAAGTTGGTGTAAGTCGACCTTGTTGGATCATCATCGAGACTGTCTACTGACACTTCACTGCAGGGCTACATCTTCCCCAAAGACACCGCGGCGGACAAGCTGCCAGTCATCGGCTTCGACATTGGTGGCAAGACTTTCAGGCTGAACAAGGAGGACCTTGCTTACGCTCCGGTCGGGAGTGGTATGGTGTATGGTGGTGTCCAGTCCGCTGGCGACTTGCCTTTCAACATTCTCGGAGACGTGTTTTTGAAGGCGGTGTACGCTGTGTTTGACTGCGTGAGTGCCGAACTCTGTGCGAAGACTCTTGGTACTGTACTGACATTGTCAACAGGGCCGCCAACGCTTCGGCTGCGTGCAACGTGTGGAGCCAGACAAGCCCAAGCCGGCCGAGAAGAAGGACGCGCCTGTCCAGAAGGATGCAACCCCAGCACCTCCGGCCGCGAAGCCTGCAGTACCCGCGCCGGCGACCCTTGTTCCTCCACCAGCGACTCCGGCACCTGCTCCTACGAAGCCAGCGGCCCCGCCTGCACCAACCACAGCCCCTCCACCTGTCGCTCCGCCAAACCCGGCGCCTCCCAAGCCAGCTCCGACCCCGAGCCATGCGCAAGCGCCTACCGCTCCTCATCCAGCGCCAGCGCCAGCGCCAGCGCCAACCGCTCCCCCTTCCGCTCCAAACGCCAACGCCCCAGCACCTATGCCTGCCCCGGCAGCTGCGCCGCCATCCGAGCCCGCTTCGGTGCCTCAACCGCCTCCTCCACCTCCACCTCCTGCAGACCCCGCGCCTGATGCCGGTGCAGCGTAGAACTATGTTGATGTTGGAGACCTAGGGCTGTGAAGCGAGTGGGACTTGAGGGAGAGGCGCTGGGGTGTTTGGTTCATCCTGAGTGTACCTAGAAATCTCGATAGAGCATATAATGTCATGACCTATGATCACATACACGTTCGACAGTCTGTGCATTTGCCCCCGAGGTCAGCGGATGAAGTACGAACGAAGGGTCGGGATTCGTAGCAAAAGAAGTGACAGTCAGGTTCTGGCTTCTCCGTGACACAATTACCTGCTACGAAGCCTCATAATAGGCGATGCTGTTCCTCCTGTCTCGGAGAACCATACTATCCGCTTACCACTCCACACTTGTCCGGCAAGCACTCTCCTACCGGCTGGAGCTTCTGACACGTCGCCTGTCGGTCTAGATAGTTTTTGGTTCGGCTGATTCATGATCATTGTTCTCGTGCCATGTCTATCTCGCTAATGCATCAAACCACTCAAGAGACCTCCGCCGTTCGTGTTGGGATGAACGCTTATTGCCATGTCCAAGCCGACGACCAGTCGACCCCACTCCACCTCCCTCCCTACTCTCATCCACCACCACACGAGGCCTCATATAAGCAGTCTCCCTCTGCCCCCTACTTCTTCTTCGGCCCCAACATCGGCTGCCCAATACTCGCCTTATCCCCCGTCAACTTGACATTCGCCGCCTTCTGCAACTTCTGCACCACATCCATGCTCGGGAACTCTGCTCCCGTTCTTTCAAGATCCGCCACATACTTCACATCCACCGCCGCTTTATTCGCGAGGTCCTTTTGCGTCATCGTCGCGCCTTTCTGGTTCTTGAGCTGGTTGCGCGCTTGCGCGAGCGCTTTGGCGACGTCTTCGGGGACTTTCTTTGTGGCGACGGGGCCGTCGGCGCGGTCGACTTTGGTTAGGCGTTGGCCTTCGGGGTTGGCGCCGGCCTAGGAATGGGGTGTTAGTGATGTGTAGGAGGGTTGTCGCCAGGGTTATAAGGGACGTACGTTTGCTGTTGAGTACTTCTTCTCTGTACCTAAGACTGCTCCGCTCCGTTGTGCGGCGTTGAGTGCGCTTTTGCCTTTGATGGTGGTTTCGCGCTGGGCGGTGCCGGGTCCTCGTACTTTGCTGCCGATCTTGGTGACGGACTCCCAGTCGTCGCTCATGTTGGCGGTGTCGCTGATGTGTTGATTCGGTAGGTGATTGAGTGGTGCGGTTGATCGGTCTGCTGGAGGGGTGGGTATGTTGTGTGGAAAGAATAAGAAACAGCTGAGAAGATAAAGTGTTTGGTGAGGTGACTCTGGTGAGCAATCGACACCGCGTTTGCCCGATGACGCTTAGCTTCTATGAGTTTCGAGGAGCACGTGACTTTTGATCCAGTGGCAATATTCACATGCCTAGTGGTACAGGAAGGGTTTAGCAGAGCGGACTGGCACTTCATTCCATAGTGAACAGCATACAGTGAAGCCTGGTGAATAATGCCCAGGACAGCTGTAATGAACATTGAACTTGTAGTATGTACTCCAGGAAGAAGCATAGCAGCATGAATAGCTCATTCACGTTAGGTCTGGTATCTTAAAGTAGGCAGTGGCAAGGCCTTGGGTGCCAATACAGCAGTCTGAACGACGCAACCCCTTTATCTGAGCGCTCCAACACATCAACATCACAACACCACTCCATCTTTACCCCAAGCGCTTCACGGCCATCACAGCTCCCTTCCCGTGAAAATGGATACCCGCATCTCAACCCCGTGACGCAGCGTGCAACGGCCCGGACATCTTCGGTCAGGCATGTCGTGTAACCTGGACATGTGCCGGGCCGACCGATCGATCAGCTCGTCTGTGTTCATGTAAATTATGCTGTGCGGTCGATTGGCTGTAACGGCGTACTGTACTTGGGGGAGACACAACCGGCGCTTCGATGCGCCTTCACACGTGGTAGGCAACCGCCGTGATGCTTAATCGATGGACTGGGCTACGCGAGGTGTTTGACCGGGAGGCGTCTTTTGGTGTTTGAGTCTTTCAGATGATCGGGGAGTGGAGTCCCCGGCGAAGAGCAAGTCATCCGAGAGTAGGCTGTCCGACCCGTGTCTTGTTCGAAGGCAGGTTTCCAACACATTATCTTTCTCACTTCAGATGCAGCACATCAAACCCCTCCCTATAGATCGACTCCCATGCAATACTCGTCGCCGCGTTCTCCTTCCCAAAGGCCTTCACCAACCGTTCGCTCTGCTCAGCATCCCCGTTGACCACCACCTTAGCACTCTCCTTATCCTTCGCTGTAGCCCCTTGACCCCAAATCCTGCTCGAATCGGCGTTCAGGAATGTCGCGATGTTCCGGAACGTCAGTGAAATCCGCTGACCTCCGAAAGCCGTCTCGGCTGGGGCGAGTTCGCAGTCCGGGCGTTTGTCGGCGGTGATGCCGTGGAGGTACTCTGCGTTGGTCGGGAGGGACATGGTAATCATGGAGTTGTGGGGCATGGGGATGCGGTAGGTTGTTCTGACTGGCGGTGGGGAGGATGTTTGAGACGAGCGCCCTGCGCTCCGCTTCGTACGCAGGCGCATCTTCCGCAAGGCGCCGAAGGAGATGTTGACGATTGAGCTGCCTTTGGCGATGTCGAGGGTCTTGTCCGAGTGTTCGGAGATGTAGTCGGTGCCGCCGCGGTAGAGCTGGATGAGGGCGTGGTTTAATGCGTGGCCTACGACCTGCTCTGCGGCTCTGCGGACTTGGTCGACGGCGAGAGTCCAGCGCTCGGTGGGCAAGGTCTGATCAGAAGGGTGGCGGTAGACCGGCATGCTGCCGTCTTCGCCAATGCTTCCTTGACAGCAGACTAGGCGTGGCACTTCGCCTGTTTGGTGATGCATCTTTTGCCATGTGATCTCGTTGTTGAGAGCGTCGAAGATCGTCTCCGCCAGCTCTGGTGGTAGCAAGTCGTAGAGGATACGTGAGCCAGCACTCTCCTTTTGCTTGTCTTCACCTAGGAGGGGCTTGCTTGCTTGAGTGTGTGGAGTCGGATCACTGTCTCTCGGCTTCGCTTGCTCCATCGCTTGTTCGTGCTGGTCAGATGTGTCCTGGTCTAGCACCGACGTGGGAGAGTCTGTTGAATTACCTTGCTGCGCCGATTGCTTGCGCGAAATTTCCGTGTCCGTTGCTTTGGTTTTGTCTTCCTCAACCATTCGCTCGTATGCGGTGACTCCCTCTAATGACTCAGACACTCCCTCTATGCTGCTACGACGGGCTGTTGCTCGCCCGATCCAGCCGCCGAAATAGGGCGTTTCTGCTCGACGGCTGCCGGGTGCTCGGCTCGTGGCGGCGGCGCTTCGTTGGCCGTCGCTTGTACCACGGCTTGCGTCTGCAGCTCCAGTGCTAGGAGGTTCTCGACGTTCAGTGCCAGGCGCTGACCTGGTTTGGGATGCTGCAGCTGGAAGTGAGCTTAGGCTCGAAGACGGCGCCGGCGCAAATGTGCTGCCGTGTAGGTGAGGCATACGTACTGGAGCTGCGAGCAGGTCGTCCTGCTGGTCCTCGTCATCGCTATCCACTGCAAGCGCGTCGATAGCGGCCTTCCCAGCCTCTTCACCAACGGCAACCTCCGACTCTTCATCTTCGTCTTCTTCATCAGATTCAGCAGCCGGGTTCTTCAGCCTCTTGATAATTTCCTTGCTGGTGATGACACGAGCGCCCATGATTTCACGCAACTGCTTGATCGCTTCGTCATGTCTGTCCTTCTTACGATACCCAAGACAGTCCTCCACGAGCGTGATGCTGATACCGTGGCGTGCTGCGTCCATCGCGGTTGCGAAGAGGGACAGGTTGGTAGTACATCCACAGATGTAGAGTTCCGTAACGAACTTGATGCGCAGAGTCATCAGTAGTGATGTCCCAGAGAAGGCCGAGTAGTACGTCTTGATCAGCTGCAGATCCTTCCGTGGGTCGACCAGGTCCTTGATCTGGATTGCGTATTCTGCGCCGAATGAGCCCGGGATGCAGCATGGGGTTCTGTTGGCTGTCCGTGTAAGGAAGAGTTCTTCGTCCGGCTCGCTGTACTCCTCTGAACCCGCCGTGACGTCGTCGGTCTCGGATGAGGCAGGTGATCCAGCCGTCTCGGTTGACAATCGAGCCTTCTTTGACGGCGACGGCGGATCATCTTTGGTGTTACTTTTCGATCGAGCAGGGCTGGCTCGAGAAGATGTAGACCGACGATCTACTTGCGATATGTCTCGCACACCATTGCCGACCACCACGGTATCACCAGACTCGTCGTCCTGGTTGACAGCGCGGTTCTCCACAAAGTGCGAGCGAACCCAGATTACGTCGCCATGCTCGCGGAATTCCTTAACGAGCTCGGTCAGCCGGTCGAGGAAGCCAGTGGAGGTGCTGACCGGCAGCTTGCCCTCCGGTGATAAGAAGTCGTTCTGGAGTCCAGTGAGGATGAGGCCTTTCCTGGTCTGGACAGCTCGTGATTGGGACAGCAGCTCGGCAAATGCGGACGCCATTGGTGACCACTTGGGCAGCTATGCCTCGAAGTACCTGCAGATGTGTCTTGTCAGCGTTTGATGGGAAACTGATGCGGCAGTAGTGGCAGCGGAAGCAGAAGGCAGCCGAACCTGTGTGTCTATCAACAGCCCGAGCTAAGCTGGATGTTTTGATGGATTATTGACTCGAATATTGATGTATCGATGAGCAAACAACGAAATGCTTGCTCCGCTCGAGTGCATGTGAGAGAAGCAAAAAGGAAGAAGACCGCGTGTACACAGCATCACATTTTAGCAAATGAGTTGTCGATACCGACACCGTGGTTCGCTAGAGAGCAATGAGGAGGCACACCGCAGGAAATTGCTAGCACGCGACTCATCCATCCGAGCGGTTACAGGGTGTTGGGGACGCTGTTCTCTAATCGGGTCGGTCGAAGGGGGAGTCTCGTCGTCAAAGGACTCCGGTCCGGCTCACACGAGGTCCTGTCCTGGTGGTGATAGCTCCAGTGCAAATAGACGCTGTGAGGCTGTCTGCCTGTCTGTACGCGGCGATGTCCGCAGAAAGGGCCCGGCGAGGAAGAGGTCTAGGCTCTCGCCATCCTTGTTCAGGCTGGAGGGAATGAAGTGGGTATCGACGTGAGGTTGGCCTGCAAAGACAGACGGCTCGGCAAGGTGCGCCGAGAAAGGCTATACCAGTCCTGCCGGTGAGGCACAGTCGAGACAGTCGACGCCGGATGATGCCGGTAGACAAACGCGGCGAGGGAGCTGTGGCGGGCTCGGCCAATGGGAGGGGTGGTCGAGGTGGTGTTGGAGAAGGATGGAGAAGTTCTCGTTCGGACGGAACGTTTGATTCGGCGATTTGAAGAAACGATGCCTTCTCCTTCTAGGATCTGCGCAGGAGAATGTAACCTTTGACCGACGATGCCATGTGAAAGACGCCGAATGCGGGCTTTGCAAAAATCGTCGGCGATATCCTAGATTGCGTGGAATACCCGGTCCGCTCGAGATGGCGTCTGTGGTTCCCACGTTTTGTGGCACGGGATGTTGAGGTACGTCGTTCTTCTGTGCAACGAGAACGTATTCTTGCCTTCGTCGTCGTGAACAGCATAATTCATTCATAGCAGGTGACAAAGCATCGGTTGGTAGCCGACATCAACCAACATGGATTGTCCCTCCGGCACTGCAACGCCGCCGTTGCTTAACTCGAGACACTACCGTTGAAGCGATCGACAGATCGACATCGAAGACGTTCTCGAACTCCCGTCGTCACATGGCCTTCCTTCCACGCTGACATGTGGTTTAGATTGGCCCGCGCTTATCTGTACTACCTAGCCTAACAAGGCGTTGTCGTGGTTGGACAGGAGGTGTACGACCTGCCCTTGTTGGAATAGCATGGTTAGAGATTGTGAGCGAAGTTGTAGCAATGCAGTCATTGTAAGGTAGGTTTCTTTCAAACAACTCTTCGGCCAACGAGGCCCGTCGCTGATCGTTCGCAAGCTGAAGCAACCTCACCTCCTACTACTCGTCGATCTCTGCTTCGAACAGCAACTGCGAATCTGCTTACAGGACTCGGGAATTGCCTGTTCGCGCGTTGTGTCGCCGAAGACTTCGCATGCGGTGGAAAAAAACCGCAGAAAAAACTCAAGGTCAAGTTCAGCCTACACTTTCTACCTACCGAGTCTGCTCACCGGAAGATACACCGAGAATCCGTGTCGCCTGGATGCAGGCATTCGGAGGCTGGCCTTCGTTCGGATGTCTGAGAGCGTGTCTCTGAAACAACCGTACTGACCGCCGAAAGGATCTCGACTGATCAACATACCATGCCTCCGGCCTATGTGCCTGCAGGGAAAGTTCTCTGCGCAGGCTACCACACCATCCTCATCCGACCCTCCACGACGCCGGACCAACCAGGCAGCCCTATCCATGTGCCGACTCCAACCACCCTAGACATTCACTCTCAGGCCTAGCCCTCCCCTCGAACATGCATGGATGACATGCTGACATCGATGTGGGCGCACGTTATGCTCGCGTGGCAAGCGAGCCGTTTCGCCATGCCGGGGTCGAAGCGTCTGTGGTGCCATACCAAGGCAGGGGTAGCAGGTCGTTACATGGACGGCAGCTTTTCGGTCATTCTCAAGCACCAGTGCCCTTCAGTTCCCTTCGACCTCGCAGGTCTGGTCTCCACCCCTTCCTCAGTCGTGGTGGCATTTTGGTAATGCATTCAGTACTGCTGAAGTTGATTTGAGTTTTGCTTTTGCTTTTGTGGAGGGTCGACGGAGTTCTGCGAGACTGGTGATGCGATCGCGTAGGTGTCTGCGCCATGTGAGAACCGCTGTCATAGGATCAGACCGCTCGTGGTGAACCGCCTCAGCCTCCTGTACTCTTCAATTCCCTCAACCTTTCCGAACTAGTCTCCACCCCCTCCTGAAAACCCACCGCCCTCGCCAGGCCGACAGCCTCCTGATACTTCTTCATCGCTCCCTGCGTGTCCCCAAGCATCTCCGCTAGCTCACCCAGATTATGCGTAGCAACCACACACCCAACATCACATTCCTCCGTCCTAAGCGGTGGCTTGATCTCCCGCGCGGCACTCAGCGCCTTTTGCGCCCAGATCTGCGCATTCTGCACCATCGACTCCCTGGTCGCCATCGGTCCGGAGGGCGCATCAGGATCCTGAATATTCCTACTCTGTGCGAAAGCCTGCGCAGCCCTCGCAGCCTTCGGAGACTGCTGCGCAAGACTCGACGCCAGATTCGACATCAACGTCACCGAATGACAGTCCTTCTCCCCCTTCAAGTTCAAACACTGCAAGAACAACGGCACAGCGAGATAATGCTGCCCCTTCTCCACGTAATTTCCCGCCAGTGCCTCCGTCGCGGCCCCAATCTCGTCGTCGCTCATCCACTGCCCTTCCTGCTCATCCAGCTCCTCCGGCTTCAACCCCAGTGCATCTCTCCGTTGCTTCTCCCTAAAAACCGTCTCGACAGCCCACACCAACCGCTCCTCCGCCCTCGCCCGATCCCATATCGCAGGGTTAGAATAATGCTCCGCCAACTTGACACAAACCGCCACCGTCTTGCCCAACACCCTCGTCCGCTTCACCTCCATCCCCTCCCTATCCCCATACAACTCCAGAAACTTCAGATTATCCCCCCTCATCCGCTCCAGCACCTCAATCGCCTTCTCCCAGTTCCCGATCCGCTCCATCAACCCCGCAACCTCAATCTTCACCCCCATCACCTCGTCCCCCATCGGATCCATCCCGACTTCCTCCGCGACCTGCAGAGCCTGCCGATAGTACTTGACCGCTTCATTCGGCTGTAGATCCGTTTTGGTGAAGTAGATCGCCCGCCGGAGCTTCTTCGCCACGGGCTCTGGGAAGTTGTGGTAGGCGCCGATGATGTAGGTGCGGTAGAGGTGGTTGATGTAGACCAAGGTGCCGGCGCCGCAGAGGATTACGGTGATGGCGAGGGTGAATTGGATGGGGTGGGCGTGGTAGAGGATGCGGGCGTTGCCGAGGACGGTGCGGGTGGAGTCTTTGGCAAAGGTGCGGCGGGGTTGTTGGAAGGGGGCGTGGGGGCGGATGAGAGGGCGACGAGGGAGGGTGTGGAGGGGTCTGGATGAGGTGGGAGGGATGGTGCGGGGGCGGAGTGCTAGCCGGAGGCATGGTGCCAGGAGGGGTCGTCCGAACATGGTGGTGGTGGTGTTGTACAATGAGAGGATACTGAAGGTCAAGATGAACATTGACATTCACATGCTTAGCGCTGGTTTTAGCGCCGGCATGGCGTCATATTGAAGGCTTCCCCGAAGCTCCAGCTCCCCCGTCTTGCTCTCTCCACTGCATACACCACCTCACCTCCCACCATCCCCGTGGAGAAGACACCACCGCCACCATGTGCGGCCGCTACGCCCTCTCCCTCCGTCCGTCGGTGGTGCGGCAAAGGCTGAACGACCAGAACATGCCCTCTGACACCGCTCCCTCCGACGACGATCCCCAGATCCGCCAAAGCTACAACTTCGCGCCAGGCTATCACGGCCTGATCTACCGCGCCGCCACAAACGATCGCGGATCCGACGCTACCCCTCTCGACGAGAACAATACCTCCGCCTCTGAGCAGGACGGAGAGCCCTCCCCCAAGAAAGCCAAACTCTCCCACTCCACCACCTCCGACACCAGCACCACCTCCTCCAGAACCTTCGACCACGAACCCGCCTCTGCACGGGAGACGAGGTACCAGATCCAGAGCGCAAAATGGGGCCTCATACCCTTCTGGACGAAGCGACAGCCCGACTACGGCAGTATGATGCGCACCATCAACTGCCGGGACGACTCTCTAGCACAGAACGGCGGGATGTGGAATACGATGAAGCAGCGCAAGCGATGCGTCGTCGTGGCGGAAGGGTTCTACGAGTGGTTGAAGAAGAACGGCGGGAAGGAGAAGGTGCCGCATTTTGTGAAGCGGAAAGATGGGGGGTTGATGTGTTTTGCTGGGTTGTGGGATTGTGTGCGGTATGAGACGGATGACGAACAGAAAGACGGAGGAGAGGGCGGGGAGGATGGGAAAGGCGAGAAGTTGTACACGTATACGATTATCACGACGGACTCGAATAAGCAGCTGCAATTCCTGCACGATCGGATGCCGGTGATTCTGGAGCCTGGGTCGGAGGAGATGAAGCGCTGGTTGGATCCGGGCAATGCGGGCTGGAACAAGGACTTGCAGAGTATGCTGAGACCTTTCAAGGGGGACCTGGAGTGTTATCCCGTCGATCGCGCGGTGGGAAAGGTCGGGAACAACAGCCCGAACTTCATCGTTCCCATCGACAGCAAGGAGAACCCCAATAACATTGCGAATTTCTTCGGCAAGCAGAAGCAATCGCCGACAAAGCCCGCCGCGAAAGGTGCTCCCAACAACAAGGAAACACCAAACCACAAAGACGAAACCCGGCCAACCTCAATCAAAAAGGAAGATCCGGAGTCCAACGCTCCCCTCCCAATCCCCAGTTCTCAACCCTGCTCCAATGAGGACGTCCCTGACGCCACCCTCATCGCCGCAGCAAACGAAGGCACCGACCGTAACATCAAGCGCGAAGCCGACGAACTCGGCGACGAAGACCTGCTTGACGCTGAGAAAAGCCCACCGCGCCACATCTACCAATCCCCCTCCAAACCAAAATCAAAGCCCGTTTACAGCCAAAACGGCCTCACGGACAGCCAGGGCGAAGGTCTCGGAGACGAGGACCTGTTGGAAGCGGAGAAGAGTCCACCCTCTCATGTCTTCAGCTCGCCTTCCAAAGTCAAGGTTAAGATGGAGGCAGAGGTGAAAGACGAGCCAGTAACGCCTAGTAAACCCCGTCCAACCCGCAGCGCGACGAGTAATCTACCCAGGACGCCGGCTAGCGCGAAGAGTGCAGGTGGTGGGGAGGGGAATAAGAAGATCACTGCTTTCTTTGGGAAATAGAGGGAGAGGGAGGAGGGAGTTGGTGGAATTTTGTGTGTTTTGAGATACCCCTTGTGTATGCTGCTGCGACTGTGCATTTCTGTCGCAGGATTTCTTGTTCAGGAGTTGTTCTGTGGGAGCTGTGAACTCCGCTGCGTATGCACACGAATCGCTTGCGATGGCGAGGATCGTTCGCGTCCGCATCGACGTACCCATGCCCATTCCATGCTTCCAGATACCATTCAAGGTCCGTCGGTCCGCTTGCTGCCATGCCATCGCTCAGTCCATGCCATGGTCTACCCCATTCCATTCCGTCTCCCGCACGCCTATGTCATGCATCACGCAAGCACACCCACTCATCGCCACCACGCTCCATCCCTCCAGCTCAATCCCTCCCATCATCCAACAACCCCACCTGCCACGCCTGCCGCCCATACGACGAAGAAGGATTCACGCGATTCGCACCGTACTCACCCATCACCCCCACACCAGCATCATCATCACCGCCCTCCTCAAAAGTAAACGCCCTCGCCCACTCCCCACACCACGGCGGCCGCCCCTTCGACTCCGCCAGAAACCGCGGTAAATCCGGACAATCGCCCCCAAAATGCCCGGCCATACCACAGTTGAAGCACGCCCGCACCATCTCGTGGCTCGGGATCTTCTTCACCGTCGCTGGATCAGGGGCATAGCTCCGCCATAACGACGAACATACTTCTTCGACGTGGCCGTACCCGCCGCAATAGTCGCAAGGGTCGTTGGGCCCGCCCGGAGCGATGGAGGTCAAGGACTTGCAGTCGCGGGCTTTGTGGCCGCGCCGTCGGCAGCGGGCGCATTTGATGTGGGTCGGGCAAGCGGAGGAGAAGTGGGTGTCGGATTGGCAGTGCGCGCAGACTCGGGCTGGGCAGAAGTCCGCGAGGTGGCCGAGGGCGGCACAGCAGAGGCAGTGGACGTCGGACTCGGGGGAGGCGTTGAAGTAGCGTTCTTGGAGGTCGCGGTCGTGGGGGGAGAGTTCGTGGACTTTGAGGGTTGGGGTGAAGGAGGCTGCGCTGCTGAATTTGGGGTCTGACGGAGCGGAGGTGGCCGGGCGGGTGACAGCGGTGAACGCTGCTGGTGGATCGTAAGATGCCTCAGTCTCCGCCTCGTCGTCTTCTGCCATACCAGCGTCGCTATCGCCGTCATCTTCGTCATCAGCTGATGGGGATGAGAAGCGTGTTTCTGCCTGGGGCGGAGGATCGGCGTAATACCGTCCATTTTCTGCCCTCCTGGCATACTTGGTCAAGTACTTCTTGGCGGGCTTCATGTGTTCTGATTCCTTGATTGCCGCTTCCAATACCAGCTCTACAGTGGAGAGGTGTCTCCCCTCGAACTTCTCACGCTTCTCGATTGCTTTACGCAGCTTGCCCTTTAGACCGATACGAGCTTGGTCGGGTGAGGAACGATGGAGCTCGTTGAGCTTCAAAGCCAGCATTCGGTATTCGAGGCCGTTTGGGAAGATTCTTAAGTTGCCAATGATGTTGTCTGGCGATTGCGCGAGGAGGTGCAGAGCATTGTCCTCAGAGAGAAATGGCTTCCCTGCCTTTGCCTTCGTGTTGGAAGCTGCGGTGGTGGATTCGGGGTGTGGGGCTGGTGGCGGGGCGCGCGAGGCGGAGGCTTTGGGGTACGATGACAGTGGTGGGAGATTGGATGTCGAGCTGTTGTTAGCAGCTGCAGTCTGATTAATAGAGTTGAATGCTGGTGGTGGGTCGTAAGATGCTTCGCTTGCCGAGCCGTCGTCTTGTACCATGCCACTGTCATACGTAGGAATGGCCGTCCGAGAAGAGAGTCGATTTTCTGGGCGGACTCTACCGTTGTATGACCAAGCAGTCTCTGCCCTGCCAACGTACGCGGCCAAGACTGCCTTAGCATGCTCCCTGTGACGTGGTCCGTTGATCGCCACAAAACTTGATCCATTGGTCGCAATATTGAGTAGCACTTCGCGAGGGGACAGAGTTGGGGTAAGGTCCTGCTGAAGTTGGAGCTCCTGCCGTAAGCCATCGTTCATCTCTCGATCGATGACTTCCTTCCAGATGGATTGCGAGGAGTTATGATACAGAGTATCAAGCCTCGGTGCCATGTCGCGGACGCCTGTCGGATTCCTCGACAACCTTTCCAAGGTCTTAATTGGATTCTTGCCAAGGAGAAGTGTGGTCGGATAGACTGCTGCGGGTTCTTCCGCTTGCTCGCGCGCCTCTGCTTGTTCCTGCGAGCGCTTCGTTTCCGCTGCCCTCTGTTCTTTCTGTTCTTGCCTCCTCACTTGGGTGATGTTAGGCTTCCACGGACGGAGAGACATCTAGGGTCAAGTTAGTCACGGCCTCGTAACGATAGTCGATCAGCAAGTGCCAGAGCCGTGACTGATTGTTTTCATGCCATGTTGAGTGGCGTAAGACTGCATATCCATCCTTGATCACAAAATGGAATGAGAATTATTCAGACTTACCACACTCGACCTGTCACTAGCAGGCGAGTCCGACAGAACCTCGCCGTCCTCTGGGCTGTATTCTTCTGTGTCAGGGTCATCGAGCTTCGCACGTTTGTACTTGGAATCGCTGTTCTCTTGGGCAGCCGCCCGTTTGCGCTTGTTCGCTTTGCTGCGCGCCATGATGGCGGTGCGAGAGTCAATCTCTGGGGACGGCACCATCACATGCTGACTTTGGCTGTCGTGTGTGTACTGAAGGCAGAAGGTGTGAAGCAGAAGTTGAATTTAGAAAAGTTTTGAGACTGAAGCCCTGCTCCTTCCTCATTCGTCGACCGGCAGCACCCGGCCGAGGATCACGAGCGATCAAGAGGTGAGGTTGGAAAGCGAAGAGAATCGTAAGGTACCCGGTACCTCGCCATTGCTTGTGTCAAGCTTCGACTCTCAGGAGCTTTTCTTGACCCTGCTGTCATATCACTACCCATTCACTCCGCCCAGTCCACCGCTTTCTACCCCCTCGCCCATCTAGAAGAGAGGAGGTGGTCTCCAGAGTCTCGGCCGCGTGTCTCATTCCGAGACAGCTTGCCCCAACTCGTCACCCCCGAGCCCGCCGGACAGAGGACCAAACAACGACACCCACCTCAACACATTCTTCGTATCTGGCATCTGGACAAACTGGCTATCCTGGACTTCTTTCCCGTCCGTGGCTTCGCCTGGCGTTCCAAACAGCCACAACAACAACCCCTCAGTCGCCGCCGAAGCAGCATCACCACCGCCGCCGCCGCCTCTGCCAATACCGCCAAACTGACGTCCACACTCCTGCAGAGGACTGGTCTGACCTTTGCTGACAACGTCAAGACCAGTCCCAACTCGCGCCCTTCCTCCTCCGGCTCCCCGTACCAGCAAGGCAGCAGCAGAGCGCAAATGCGGAGAACATCCCCCTCAGCAGGTCAGCCAGCGGAAGTGATACTGGAGAATCCGACGGTGGTGCAGAATGCGGAGCGCAAGATGAGCTTCCCGGCAAACGTGACGGCGGGCAAAGAGAAGGTCAAGGGCAGTCGGCGGAGAAGGAGTAGCAGTCTGATGTACCAGGAGCCGCCTGAGAGTCTTGAGCAGCAGAGCGATCAGGCGGTGCTGCCCAACCTGAATGCGCAGTGGGTGAATGCGAAGGGTAAGAACACATCTTTCTACAGAACAACAAGAGAGAGGAGCGCATGCTGACACTACTGGATATTCCAGGCGCCTGGCTCATCCACATCATCTGCATCCTCCTCCTCAAAATCCTCTACGACATCATCCCCTCCATCTCGCAAGAGACCAGCTGGACGCTCGTCAACACCACCTACATGTTCGCCACCTACCTCATGTTCCACTACGTGCGCGGCATCCCTTTCGAGTTCAACGCCGGCGCCTACGACAACCTCAACATGTGGGAGCAGATCGACAACGAGGACCAGTACACCCCCGCGAAGAAGTTCCTGCTGGCCGTACCGATATGTCTGTTCTTGGTGAGCACGCATTATACGCGGTATGATTTGGTGCTGTTTGTGGTGAATCTGTTGGCCACGGCCGCGGTGGTGGTACCGAAGTTGCCTGCGGTATGTCTACTCCACCCTCCTACCGATATCCGACCATACTAATGGAATAATACAGCTCCACCGCATGCGCTTCTCCTTCTTCAACCCGGACCTCGAGCACTCCGAGTCCGACCACCGATGACCTCCCCCCCAACCACAGCATTTCCACCGGCGTTCTTGGGATAAGAGAGAGGGACCACCACAGACTCTCGTCAAAAGGGAAAGGGAGGAAGGGTAAGGGATGAGCGGAAAAGGGCTGTTTGATTGATTTGCACTGATACCCAACTATTCCTGCACTCCTTTTGTTGAAGATACCACTGCCGCCGCCTCTGCCGGCCTTTTTGCGCTCTTGCGTTTCACTTGCGGGTTGGGGTTGTATTGATAGTGAGGGGAGATAGATCGTGGTAGTTTGTATGGATTGTGCTGACTACTGCATGATCTTTACACGAGTTCACACATTTCTTTTTGCTTCTTTGTAGACTGTCTATTAAGCAATGACTGACAACGCAGGAGATCCGCTCACCGCTTTCAACGGACGGGACGCCAGGAGCTCGATACCCATCGCTTCAGAACCTGATCGTTTCTTCGCTGCTGTTCGACTCCATCCTCGCCGCTAAGCTGCCTCTTCCGGATTTCCATCCCGACCTCGACTGCCCGAAGGCAGACCGCGAGCACACCAGCCGTCTTGCCGTCTCGCCACCTTCGGACCTCACGCCAACAGTTCAAGGACCTGCCACCGGTGTTGGCTTCCGCTCTCTTACTGCTGCGTAGCACGCGCAAAGCCAGTGTGAGGTATAGCACAAAGCCGACACTGCTCTGGCGGGAGACGACAGTCGCCGCGAGTCTTTCCCAAGCAATCGTACTTTGCAAACTCAGAGCACCACCGCAGTCGACGGCTTCCAAGAAAACTCCCTCAAAGCTTCCTCATCTTCTCCAACAACCCCCCCATACTCCCCGCATAAACATCAAACTCCCCAAACACCTCCGTCGCCGGATCCCCCTCCTCAAAACCCAACCACGCCGTCTTGAAACCCGCCTTCCTCGCCGCGATCAGGTCCCACGCGTGCGCCGCCACGAACCACCGCTCCCCTCCCCCCTTCCCAGCACCGAGAGCGTCCAAATGCCTGTTCGCGTTCTCATACACCCGCACGTCCGGTTTCGCCACCTTCATATCGTCGCAGGAGAGGAGGTGCTGCGCATCCAACTCCACGCCCGCCTTGCGATAGTAATCCAAACTCGTCTCCATCCCCCCATTAGTCACGGCGAGCACCTCCCACCCCCCCCCTTTCAGCCCATCAAAACACGCCTTCAACCCCTCCCGCGCCTCCAAAGCCGTCACCGCCTGCATCACAGCTGCGACGTCCTCGTCCGTCGGCGCCTGGTCAGCGGGTAAATCGACGATCAAGCAGGCGCGCCGGAGCGTGTGTTTGAGCACCTGCGCGATGGGCGTGTAGGAGCCGACGAGGGAGAGGTAGGTGAAGTCGCGCTGGGCGGCGTAGAACCAGGAGAAGAAGAGGGTTTTGGGGTCGACGTTGATTGCTTTGAGGCGAGGGCCGAGGCGGTCCGTTAGAGCGGCGATGGCTGCGTCGAAAGCGAAGCAGGTCCCTAGGACGTCGAAGGAGATGGATTTGGACATTGTTGCGTTTTGTGTTTGTATTCGGGGGTGATTGAATTTAAAAGGTCTTTTTCTTCCTGGCTGAGGATTTTGTCTTGGTTAAGGTACTATCAGATGGATTGATGCCTCAGCAAGGATTGATATTGTATGTCTGTGTTGTTGTTATCGTCGGAAGGAGAATCAGAGTACGTCAGGGTGACTGGAGGTGGAGTTGATCTGACGCAGTTGACGGATAGGCGGAACCTTGTTTGTTCAGGCAGCTTTTGTACGGACGAGCTTGAATGTTGATTTGACCTGAATGTATGCGTCAGGTATGTACGAGGGAAAGCCATGAGAAAAGCGATCTGTCGTCCGTGAACATTGACAGTTGTCTCAATTGTCAAGACCAGCCAGCGATATCTACAGCAGCTACTTTTCGACATTCTTCGAAGAACTTGCAGCGCTCTTCTTGCTCTTCTTGCCCTTGCCCACAATGACCTCCTCAGGCTGAACCAACGTCGGTTCAACGGGGTCAATTGACCCGTACCCATTGTAGTCCGATCCAATGAGCAACCCCTCCTCCAAGGTCGACGCTACACTCTCTGGCGTCATCATGGGTTCTCGTGTAGGCAAGAATGGCCTAGCACTCTCGGCGTCGTAAAAGCCATGCGACGCCTGAGCTGCTTGTGCTATGGACTCTGTATGCCCGCATTGCGAGCAAGGCGTCCTCTCCAACTCAGCAAGCCACTTCTTCTTATACCGCGCCGTAATTTCTTTCCAAAGACACCATGCATGAAGTAGTCTGCATCCAGGTCAGTCCGCACCCCCGGGACCAGGTTCGAAGAACGTACGAGCACAGCAAAGCCCCCAAAACACCATAAGCAGCCACCACAATATCATCCCCGCTATACGACAGATCACTCGCAGCCGCCCAGAACGTAAACTGCAACACCACCGCCAGGACCCCATCCGCAAGCATCCATTTCCGCTGCGGCCAGAGAGGGTCTTGGTCCGGGTTCTCGACCTTCTTGATGGCGTATCGCAAAAGATCTGCAGCACAACAGAGTGCTGAGATGGCGAGGATAAGGGCGGCGCCAACGAGACTTCCGTCGCTCCAAGGCTTGAAGGAACAGACACAGAGGAAGATCCCGATGAGAGCGATGATGATGCTGGCTCTTCGGAGTTTGAAGAGGGGGTGGGAGGAGAAGGGGAGGGACATGATTTCCAGTCGGTGGATCGGTTGATGGAGAGACGCGGATGTTGTGCTCTTCTTTCTGGTGTGGGTGGGTGGTTGCTTCGTCATGGGGAGGGAGATGGTGATCGAGGGGACGTCTGGATGAAAAAGGCGGGGTTGTAACTACCTTTTGTGACTCCGCAGTGCCTCGAACAGGTGTTGCCTTGCTGTAGACACATATCCTTGTTCAGTCCAAGGATCGTCGTGGGGGCGACTTGTGCCGCAGGTGTTGGTAGATACACTCAACTCCAGGCCAGGCACTTCGTCCTAACACCAGCAATGTTCAGTCGATCTGAGGCATAGACTGGCCTGGAGAGTCATCACCAGCCACCCAATCGTCGAGTTTATGTCCGTGTCTACCACAGCCACTCTCGACGGTGTTGGTGGTCTGTGGGTGTCTCCATGGCCGCCTCAGCCATGCTGCGCTGCAGGCATATAAATATGGACACATCACCGTGCCGCAGACCTAGATGAACGAGTATTTGAGGTTCGCCACCTTCTTATGACGATCTCTCGGGTGGTGGATGGTCTCCTGAGAGGTGCTGTGAGAGAGTGTATGTGAGGTGAAGTCCAAGTCCACGACCGACAGGACTCTCAGCGCCAGCACCCACCGCCAATGGAAACGACCGGATATGGTACCGCGGGCACTTGCATCCACGACCATCTCTCGAGCGCGTCTCGTCCACCACCAAACACACAAAGGTTATCGCGATCCACAGAATCGAAGGCGCAGCAGAGAGTCTCGTCGTCGGCCTAGACCAAATCTCCGGACTCGTTCTTGGCACTGCTCCAACCTCATCTCATCCTGCCACACCATACACCTTCCCCTCCTCACCACAAGAATCGGCCTACCAAAGCCGTATAACACACCAAGGCCCAGCGCGCCAAAGTCCGCCGAAACACTGCGCAGACAGAGATTCGCCTCCCACCCGTCTGGCTTGCGTGGACTTTCTGCTGCCACGCTCTTGGCCCAGCTGGGCGCGTCTTGGTCGAGCTCCGTAAGGGATGGGAAGGGTTCAATAATGAGTTCAACATTTCTTGACACGCGGTCGACCTTTCCATTCACACTTGCCTCCTGCTTTCTTCCTTCTTCATCTTCAGTTCGGGTTGTGACGGTCACTCGCTCTTTCCTTCCAGTCACTTCCTCAGTTTTAAGAACCATAATACTTCCTGCAGCAATTTCTACATTCCATTGAGAGCCCACAAGAAATGGCACGGCTTTACAGCACGCTCCTCGCTGGAGCATGTCTCTGCGCAGGTGCGCTCGGAAAGGTGTTCCCGCGCCAGTCTGGAAATCTGCCTACAGTCACCAGCGAGGGCAACGCGTTCTGGGCGAACGGAGAGCGATTCTACATCCGTGGTGTGGCCTACCAGCCAGGTGGCGCTGCAGACGCACAAGACCCTCTTCTCGACATGTCTTCTCTGCGACGTGACATTCAGCGTGTGAGTACACATCCACCATTACAAGAGCAGCAGAATGCTGACAATGTGTCAAGTTCACCGAACTCGGCATCAATACCATCCGCGTGTACACCATCGACAACAGCAAGAACCACGACGAAGCCATGTCCATGCTCGACGAAGCCGGCATCTACCTCGCCCTGGACGCCAACACGCCCGAGTTCTCCCTGAACCGCGAGAGCCTCGACACCCTCCACCAGTCCTACAACGACGTCTACCTCCAATCCGTCTTCGCGACCATCGACGCCTTCGCCGGCTACAACAACCTCCTCCTCTTCTTCTCCGGCAACGAGGTCATCAACGCCCGCAACAACACCCAAGCGGCCCCCTACATCAAAGCCGTCACCCGCGACATGAAGCGCTACATCTCCGCGCAGGCCGACCGCAGCATCCCCGTCGGCTACTCCTCCGCCGACGTCGCCGAGAACATCGAATCGCAAGCCCTCTACTTCGCCTGCGGCGATGACCAGTGGGCCCGCAGCGACTTCTTCGCCTTCAACGACTACTCCTGGTGCTCGCCCAGCAGCTTCACGCAGTCCGGCTGGGACCAGAAGGTCGAGACGTACCGCGACTACAGCCTGCCGCTCTTCCTGTCCGAGTTCGGGTGCATCGAGAACACGCGCACCTGGGAGGAAATCGAATCCCTCTACTCGCAAAACATGAGCGTCGCCTACTCCGGCGGTCTCGCTTACGAGTACACCCTCGAAGCCAACGGCTACGGCCTCGTCGAGCAGAGCGGGAACGGCATCGTCCCGAACGAGGACTTCCGCCGCCTCAAAGCCGCGTACGCCGCTACCTCCAACCCGACCGGCGACGGCGGCGCCTCCCGCCAACGCTCCAACGTCCCCGCCTGCCCTCCCCGCACGAGCGAGTGGAACGTCCGCACGGAGAACCTGCCGGAGATCCCTGCCAAGGCGGAGAACTACATTAGCAACGGCGTCAGCAACGGGCCGGGGCTCAATGCGGAGAGCTCGCAGTGGCGCGGACAGCCGAGCGAGACGGAGCCGGATCTGAGCGATGGGACGCAGGAGAGCGAGGACGTGAGTAATGGGGATAACAGCGGGAGTAGTGATGGCAGCTCCGGGGGAAGCAGCGGTGGGAGTGACAGCGACAGTGACAACGATGAGAATGGCGCGGCTGCGCTGGGATTCTCGACTGTGCTGTTGGGATTGGCTGGTGCGGCGGCAGCGTTTGCTGCTATGTAAGAGGTTCGATGGGAAGGTTAGAGACGGAGTGTGTTCTGCTCTTGCATATAGCTCGGAGCGGGTGTGGTTCTGTTTGTTTAGTAGTGTCTGTACATCATCATCATCATATGCAAATTCTCACCGTCCTCGCCAACCATCAGCGTGACTGTATCGAGCGTTGGAATGCTTTTGCCACTGTGCGTGCGGAAGGAGCTGTGAAAGGTTCGTTTATTTGCATTGCATGCTATCCTCTCCTCGCGACCCCAGGCGTCCAACTCGCCGGCTGCCAATCCTCCCCCGGCGCCCCCTGCGGCGGCCTCTGCCACGGGTTCTCCTTCCTGCCTCCCTTCCTCTTCGCCTCCCTCCCCACATCCTGTCCCTTCCCCTCCCATTCCCCTTGTGCCTCCCCCTGCCCGCCGACCGCGCTCATCACCCCCTCACTCTCCACCGCCTCCCCCGGATCCGCGGGCTTCGAATCCGTCACCCCAATCGCCGGCCCCGCCTGCTGCCGCTGCGGCGCGTCAAGGAAACTCGGGACGCTCTTCCAGCGCTCGTCGGCTTTGGCGGCGAGTTGTTTCATCTGCTCTTGGCGGGAGAGGTCGAGGTGTTGTTCTTCAATTGAAGGGGGTTGGGGGCGGGTGTGGCGGAGCCATTGGTGCCATTGCGCTGGTGCTCTCGTCAGTAACCGGTGGCGGAAGGAGGTGTGCTGGTAGGGGGTGGACGTACGGCTTATCTTCACATCAGCATAATGCGGCGCGTTGGAGTATCTGACGATCCTCCGCCATTTCCCAGCGTTCAAGGCATCGCGAAACTCCCAGAAAGTGTTGCCAGACAGGTCGGCGCCTGCGAGGAACTGGCGGCGCCAGGGGAGGCGGAGGGATTTGTATTTATACCATAGTTGCTTGAGGTAGCCGGGTCCGCGTGAGGGCATAGCAGGTGTAGGCTGGTCAGCAGCTAGAAGGTGTCATTGTAAATGGCACGGGGGTGAGGATGGAATGGAGATGGTAGGGTTCATATGATGTCCGGATCGGGTCACTGCAAATCGTCCAAGCGCGTGACGTAGGTGCACATGCGCCCCGCCAAAGTTGAAGCAGCAGATGGAAAACAAGATGTTCTCCTTTTGATTACTGCCAGACTGTCATATCTGTCCTCTTCTTCCACCTTGCTACCGCTTCTAGAGTACCGGGAAATACTACCTACCAACTACTACAACAACACCACCCCCTCTAAGACACACGCAAACATGGCCGACGACAGCGAAATGGAAGCCTCCCTCAAACCCATCCTCGACCAAACATCCCTCAAATGGGTCTTCGTCGGCGGCAAAGGAGGCGTCGGCAAGACCACCACCTCCTGCTCCCTCGCCGTCCAAATGGCCAAGGTCCGCAAATCCGTCCTCCTCATCTCCACCGACCCGGCACACAACCTCAGCGACGCCTTTGGCATGAAATTCGGCAAGGACGCGCGGCCTGTGGAGGGCGTGCCCGGCTTAGCGGCTATGGAGATTGATCCGAACGGGTCGATAAACGATTTGATCGCTGCGGGAGGGGATGATGCGCAGGACGCGATGCAAGGGTTGGGGGGTGTAGGGAATATGTTCCAGGATATGGCGTTCTCGATTCCGGGTGTGGACGAGGCGATGAGTTTTGCGGAAGTGCTGAAGCAGGTGAAGGGGATGGAGTATGAGTTGATCATCTTCGACACCGCGCCGACGGGGCATACGCTGCGCTTCCTGCAGTTCCCGACGGTGATGGAGAAGGCGCTGGAGAAGTTGAGTGCGCTCAGTCAACAGTTTGGTGGCATGATCAACAATCTCGTTAATGCGAGAGGTGGGTTGCCGAATGGACAGAGTTTTGAAGACGTGTTGGCGAGGATGGAGGATTTGAGGAATACGATTGGGGATGTGAACAAGCAGTTCAAGAACCCGGATCTCACGACTTTCGTGCCGGTGTTAATACCCGAGTTCCTGTCGCTGTACGAGACGGAGCGCATGATTCAGGAGCTGGGGGGTTATGAGATCGACACGCACGCGATGGTGGTGAATCAGCTGCTGTTCCCGAAGAAAGACAATCCGTGCGAGCAGTGCAATTCGAGACGGAAGATGCAGAAGAAGTACTTGGAGCAGATTGACGATCTGTATGGGGAGGACTTTCATGTGGTCAAGATGCCGTTGTTGGTGGAGGAGGTGAGGGGCGTGCCGGCGATAACGAGGTATGTTCATTTCTGATCCCTTTGGCGAATTGGGATATGCTAACGGTGTGCTCTGCAGTTTCAGCGAGATGCTGGTCAAGCCGTTCGATGCGCCGGAATAGACGAGTTCGATCTGATGGGCATAGATTGACGGTACGCATGGTATACATGAGCGATGAGAGATCACTGCAGGCTAGCGGTTTTCGTTTCTAGAAGAATACCCAGTATGCTTCATGCAGCATACCTTCATCTTTCATCAAAACCTTCACATGCACTAATACCGAGGTTTGTGCAATTTGTGAACAAGCACAACTTTCACAACAAACCTCACCTCTACTCCACCTTCTCCACTCCGTCTTTGCGTGTTTACGAATACCAACATTCAACGACTTGCTTTCTAATCAGCCCTCCATTCGGGTGCGGTGTAACGTGAATACCGCTCAGGCTTGTATACCATTTCTTTCAACTGCCTATGCGAATGCGGCGCCTGCACCAACGCCGCCGGGACAATATTCCAAGACAGTCAATCATTGGAGTCGGATGTAAGGTTGCCTTGTCGGCCGAGCTCAAGAAGTATTAAAGTGTGTTGCGAAGGACATTCCTGAGCACCATTGGAACAAGAAAGAACTTCTCGTCTGCTCCATTCGTTCTCGAAACAACAACAACCATCACAATGGCACGAACAAAAGTCGGTCTCGTTGGAGCGTCCGGCGAAACAGGAGCATCGATCCTAAACGGCCTGCTCGAAGATGGCAGCTTCGTACACCATCCCCAGCCCAATGCCCTCAAAAGACAATCTAACTGACAGTCCCTAGGAAATCATCGCCCTGGTCCGGCCCTCCTCAATGTCCCGCCCGTCCAACGTCGCTTTGAAGGATTCGGGCATCGAGCTGCGCGCTCTGGACCTCGACAACGACTCCCAGGACAAGATCGTCGCTGCTCTGGAGGGGATAGAGATCCTTCTCTCCGCCGTTGGCGCCCCAGGGCAGCTGTCCCAGCTCCCGCTCGCCACTGCCGCCAAAACCGCCGGTGTCAAACGCTTCGTGCCCTGCGGCTACGTCACGGTAATTCCACCAGGTGGTGTGCACATCCTCCGCGACCAGAAGGAAGAAGTCTACAACCTAACCAGACGCCTCAACCTCCCCTACACCTTCATCGACTGCGGCTGGTGGTACCAGATCTCGTTCCCCAAACTGCCGTCCGGAAAGATCGACTACGCGGTCATGGTCGACAACCCGATCTGCGGCAAGGGAGACGTTCCGTCGGCGTTGACGGATCTGCGGGACGTGGGGCGGTATGTTGCGAAGGTCATCCGGGATGAAAGGACGTTGAACAAGATGGTGCTGGTGTATGATGAGGTGTGGACGCAGAAGGAAGTGTGGGATTTGCTGGAGAAGGTGGCGGGGGAGAAGGTGGAGCGGAAGTATGTTAGTCAGGAGGAGTTGGAAGGGCGGTTGGGGGAGTATAAGAAGGCGGCGGAGGCGGATCCGACTGATTTTATGAAGATGTTGCATGTGGTTGAGTGAGTGTCTGGTCGACTGGGTTGGTGGCATGTGCTGATTTATGTTCTTCAGGACGCAATATTTGCTCAGCTGGGGCGTTCGAGGCGACAACACGCCCGAGTATGCGAAGTATCTTGGTTGTAAGTACACAGCACCCACAACCATAACAAGCCGTTTCGCTAACTGCCGTGCCTTCCAGACATCACCTCGAAAGAACTGTACCCGGACTTCAAGCCTCTCAAGCTCGAGGACTTCGCGCGAGAGCTCGTGGCCGGCGAAGCGAAGGAGATCTATGTGGAGATGAAGGCGATGATGAAGGCGGCGTTCGAGAAGCAGCAGCAGCAGCAGTAGATATGATCTGTCGAGTGGGTTTGTTGATCTGTTTTGAGTTGGCTCTTTGTCCGCGAGGAGCCTGTGCAGGCCAGTGCTGCTGTATCTGAGTATCATAGTGGAATGATGATCTGGAGCACTCAAGGCTGCCTTTGAACCATATGAGTACTAGCCAGTCAGGCGCTCCTGCTTGCGAAATTGTAGATGAGTGTCCCATTGGTCGTAGAAATCTCGCGGAGCGCCGTCAAAACTGACTATAAGCCGGTCTCATCTCAACCACCACCATCACTTACCCCATTCTGTCTACATCATAACCTCGACCCCAACCCCTCCTCAAGCAAACCAACAATCTCATCCAACCTACACCCCGTCAGCACCTCCTCCCTCAACCCCTCATAAACAAAACCCACTTACCTCTCAACCACAACCCCCACCCTCCCATCCCCCTCCAACTCCTCCTTCCCTCGACTCCGCACCAACACCGTAAACGCCCCAGCCTCATACCCGGCTTCGATATCATCCACACTATCCCCCACCATCACCAACGGCAGCAACCTCTCCTCTGGCCTTGTCTCCGGCACCGTCGCGCTCTGAACTAGCCCCCAGGAGTGCGCGATGTGGAGGATACCAGCCGGACTCGGTTTCGGCGGGCGGAAATCCCGCGTCACGACTGGGGCGAAGGGGTTGATGTGGCCGGGTACGTGCGTTTTCAAAAGGTGTGTGACCGGGGCGTCGAAGTTGCGGGTACAGATCCCCTTCATAATCTCATGCTTATCGAGGAATTCCAGCAACGTAACAAGACCAGCCTGCGGGACCTGCTCCTCCATCGCTTTCCGCTCGATCGCCTGGATTTTGGCGAAAGCGTCGTCTTGTTCTTGCTGGGGGAGAGCGTGGATGTAGTCTAGTATATCCGATGAGGCGGGGATGGAGACGGCGGAGCGCATTTCGGAGAACATGTAGTTTTGCGGATGACAGAGGGTGCCGTCCATGTCGAAGACGATGCCTTTTAACCGCATGGCTGATGAGCCATTGGGCTTGCCGACGGGGGCGAAGGTGTGTTTGGCTCGTTTGGTGGTGGAAGACATTTTGAACGGCAGGATACGGCTTCGCTGGGCGCTCGTCGATCTAGAGTATGGCAGTAATGGTCTCAGCATCAGAGCTGTATTCGTGGTATGGAAACAAATTTAGAGTACTAAGGCGTAGGTCTCACTTGACATTCAAAGTGAAGTCGCCACTCACCACGCTAGCCAAACGCTAGCATACCTATATATTCACCAAAACCCCTCTCACGAGATCAAAAGAGTTGTGGATCATCAGAGTATGAAAGCCCGCAACATCATACTCAAAATACATAAACAGCTATCGCAATCTCATCAAAACCGACCGCTAAACGAACAACCCCACCCTCCCCAACGCCTCCACATCCCCTCCCGCCTCCTCCACCGCCTTCACAGCCGCCTGACTGAACCGCCTCCTCTTCTCCGCCGCCTCCTTCTCTCGTCGCAACTTCGTCTTCGAGCTCCCCGAAGGCGCCACGCCGCTTAGAATCTTCGTGCTGTCGTGCGCGGTGAAGTTCACGAAGCCGCCTTGTTTATCGCTCTGAGGCTGTCTTGGGGTCGCGTTGGTGGATTTGGCTCGTCGATGCCGGGATGTGCGGCGGGAAGAGGATGCGCGTTTGGAGGAGCGGGGTTCGGTGGCCGGGGTCGGGGAGGGGGAGAGGGAGCGTTGGCAGGATATGGCGCGGCGGTGGGGGTGGGAGGGGGCTTTGCTGCGGGGGTCGGATTGGAGGGAGTAGGGTCGTGATCTGGAGGAGCTGTGGGTTGTGTTTGATGTGGCTGTGGGGTTGGCGTGGAGGTTGGAGACGAGGGATGGGTCGCAGCTGATGCCGAGTCCAGCCAGCTCGAGATCAGCCGTCTCGATGGAAGGTAATACGGCGTCGCCCAGTGCCGCGAACGGATCGTGGAAGCCGAAGTTGTTTCCGAAGTTGCCTATGGATTCAGTGATAGGGCCAGTGTTCCACGATTCAGAGGTTGCTGCTTCGGAGAAGCCAAAATCAAAGGCCTGGATCTTGCTTGCTGCGAGAGACGATGTCCGCTCAGGATACAGAGGCGCTGTATCGTTCAATGGCACTGTCTGCGGTGTGTACAAGCTCTGTTGCAACGGTGGTATCGAGCTGATGTACGAGTTGTTGGCATGCGCGAGGTCGTTGAACGCCGGCGACAAGACCGGTGTGTGGATATGCGCTTGCTGAAAGTTCATTGTCAGAGGCGACATCTGATCATCGAAGGTAGGCACCGGTGGATAATGGCTCGGTGAGCCGAATGCAGCAAAGTCGTCTTCATGGTTGAATCTGGCCGAAGACGGCGGCGATAGAGGCAGTCCCTTCAGTGGAGGCACCCTCAACTCGTACTTGTCCGGGTCCGACTGCAGCTTTTCTGTCCATGCGTCTTTGAAGCCGGCTCGGTAGCGTGAGGGGTTCATCATCTTGGGGGGACTAGCACTGCATTTCCGCACAGTAGCGTTTGGGTTGGCGGAGCCAGCAACTGCAGTCTTCGTCACACCACTTGGCCTGCCACGTGAGACCGATCTGGCGGTAATGTTACGTCCCTTTCCGCTTGCGGCCGTCCTTGACACTCGACGCTGGGCGGAGAATGATTGGTCGGTGGGAGAAGGAGGCTCGATCGGTGGCGAAGGGCAGCCTCCAAGACTCAGAAAATCGAGATGTGATTTGGTTGTTCTTAGAGTTTGCTGCTTCCTTTCGCACTCAGCAGCGTTCTGTTCCAAGGCGTGCAGCGTCTTCTTCCAGAATGTGACAGGCTCTTTGGCCGTGGGCTGTCTTGCCTCGATCAGATGCTCTGGCGCTGTCGCCTCCCACGAAGGAATAGGCGAGGTAGCATCGGTACGATGGCTTTGTCCGCTGGATGCCGAGAAATTAAAGAGATTGACAGAATCATTGGAACTGCTTCGCCCAGGCTGATTGGTGTCAAAGGCGAACAGGTCGTCTGTGTCCAGGTATTGATCAAAGACATTGTCGCAGATGCTTGACCACTCTGGCTCTTTGTTCGAACGCCGGATTTGGTAGCCCGTGTGAGGCGACAGCAGGGCCATGACGTTTCGCAGGACGGTGCTTGCTGATGGTTGCTGAACGTCATGCGGGTCAATGTGCTATTTATCAGCTCAGCCGGTCAACAGGCGCTTCCTTGCTCATGGTATCAGGTCATCACTTTTCGTTGTGGTGGATGATAGAGGACGTCGTCAGCGTAGGTGCATGGGAAGATGACTTCCAACATAGTCGCCATGGTATACGACAGCTCGATGCCATTCCAGACGGTAGACCTGGTGACGCTCAATCGAGCCATGTGCGATCATCTTTGGCTTGGCGTCAGTCTTCGCAGGTATAAACCGCATTCCGCGGTGCTGTGGAAGCAGGAATGTACATGTAGTCTTCGAAACCTCTTCCCCAGCGTGCGCGCTTAACGCTTCAAAGATCAATCTCAAGGCATCTCCGATCTGTAGCCTTGCAGGTAATAAAGCCTCGCAGCTTCCGAGTCACCTCCAAACTCCTTCGCCATTTGCTGAATGGCATGATCGAGCTGATCGACGCTCTCGTACTGATTTCGACCCTGAACATCCATCGACTGGGCGAAGCTAGCCTGCGCGCTGTGTACGACTGGTCGCATTGGGTGTCCGGAACCATCTGTTGGCGCCAGAGAATTTCGAACGACCGCTTCTCCAGAATGAAATGGTTCGCTGGGCTGGTCTTCGGGTTGATAGGTGCTTGTCGGGGTCGCGGTCCAGCTGAGAGCCGGTGAAACTGGAGATTTCGACTGCGGTTGAGGTGTAGGATACGCAGCTTGAGGCTGAGACTGTTCCGCGTAGAGTACTGGAGGCTTGTAGATCCGAGTGTAGTTTGGGCAGGATATCAGATGCTTGTCGCTTTTGCAGTTGCAAACGGTACCACTTCGGCGGAAGCCCATTGCGCTGGGATCCTGCGAGCCCGCAGAGGTGCGACCAGTATCTGACTGCGCCGGAGAGGCGACCTGCATACTGTGTCGCGGTGGCTGCATGGTGTCCGATTTGGATGAACGAAAAGTGTCTGGTCGAGACAGTTGCTCTCGGCTTGATGTTGGTGAAGAGCCCACCTTCTCGATCAGCTTCCGGACGAGTTCTGCGTGCGACTTCTTTAGATTCCGCTTCACGAAGCTTGTCAGAAGAACATTGCACCGTAGCTCGTAGTCCTCGCGCAGGTAGAGACCCTCCACTGGCTTGTTCAAGCCCAGCTCTAGGGGTTCCTTCGGTTCTCCAGGCATGTTCCCGCCGACTCTCCATTTCGCGAGAATATCCACGCCACCCGGAGCGAAGACGTGAGTTTGCAAACCATCGGGCAAGTCGTGGAAGCCACCTTTGTAGGTGACTTGGCTCTTCACCGCCGTTCCTGGAATGTACTGGATTTCGTCCGTCATCTCATACCATTTCATAAAAGCGACTTCGTCCTCAGCGGCATTTGGGGGTGCAGTTGTCGGAGCATGATGGATAACCAGAGGATTAAGTGTGATCATCGAATCATGGTCCTGTAGCCAGGCGACCGCCTTCTCGCGTCTCACCGTGTCCGGCAGCGGCGTGACCTCGGTGAAGAAGGATCTTTTCAACATACTTACATCCGGAGCTGGTAGGAAGTCCAGCCATGTCTTGCTCGTCATGCGGGTGGGGGACAGGTATATATCAAAGTGCTTGAAGTAGCTGCAGGAGTCCTTGCACGCGGAGGCTGAGTGACTCTGTTGGCCTAATCGGTAACGGCGCCACCGCTTATTACCAGCCAAAGGAACAGCTTCTTAAACAGGAGATGAAGCCATACCACGCGTGTTTCAGTGTTGCACAGGCCAGGTGTGTTGCATATTCAACAGACCGCCGGCCGAAGAGGGGTTGTTGTACGAGCCATGTTGTCCAGCCAGAATAGCGACTGCAGCACGCTTTAAGGCCACTGTGCCACGTTTAATAAGGCTTAGTCAATGTTGAAGCGTGGGAGTGAGCAGTAGTCGCTGATGGCGTTCCTAAAATTGATTGACGAGCTAACCGCTGGAGGCAGGAGCCAACGGCAGTTCGGGAAGGCTGCTCTAGACCTCCTCCGCGGTGCGACTGAGACAGCCTGGTTTTATGACGACATGGCAGGAAACTTACCAGCCTTCTTCACTGCGATTCTGGACTGCAGACTCTTCGACAAAAGAGCGACTGCCCGCACACGCAGCGCGCCTTTCACAACTTCATCTCGCCTTTCCGAAGGCCTGAAACTCGGACTGCGTGACCTCGCATAAACACCTGTGTCAGCATCCAGGAACCGGCGCCATGTGGAAGCAGATCGAGCCAACACCGTCTCACCTCACCTACCTCATCCTGTCCCTATTCTTGATCTCCTACACTCTCTTCGCCAACTTCATCCGAAACCGACTGCATCTGAGTGAACCGCCTCTCGCTCTGACCTTTGGCATCATCGTAGGACCACGGGGACTAGGATGGCTCACTCCCAACATTGCTGGTGTCAATGGGCCAATGACCAAAGACCCCACGTGGATTGGAGGATGGGGCTGGGGAGATGATATTGGTATGCAGACATCTCTAATTCCTACTGTGCGTGGAGTTATCTTAAGCTAACTACGGCAAACAGTCCAAGAAACATCCCGAGTCATTGTTGGCATCCAAGTCTTCTCGGTTGGTGTTGAGTTGCCCAAGTACTATGCAAGCCGCCACTGGAAGTCTGTTGCCATGCTACTGGGACCGGTCATGACTTTCGGTTGGCTGGTTTGCGCTGGATTCGTGGTCGCTCTGTTCAAGACAGATTGGCCCACTGCACTGGTCGTAGCGGCATGCCTTACACCAACCGATCCGGTTCTGGCCTCGAGCATCCTCTCCAACAGCCAGTTCAGCGACAGAATACCCAAGCGTCTGAAGGACATGCTCTCGGCCGAGTCAGGCTGCAACGACGGCATCAGCTTTCCCTTCCTTTACGTTGGCCTTTCGATCCTGACGAAGGCGTCTGCTAGTGGCGCGCTCCAGAACTGGTTCCTCATTACCGTCCTCTGGCAATGCGTTTTCGGAACGCTCATCGGCTTCATCATTGGCACCACTTTCAATTACATCCTGAAATTCTGCACCAAGCGCCACTACATCGACGACGCTGGCATTACCGTCTTCTACCTACTCCAGGCCATCCTCTGCATGGGCGTCGGCAGCACCCTCGGCAGTGACGACTTCCTAGTCGCCTTTGGCGCGGGTTACGGATTCGCCCGTGACGGCTGGTTCAGCAACAAAACCCACGGCGTGCAACTACCCAAGATTACAGACCTGCTGCTCAACAGCGCCATGTTCGTCTATCTCGGCACCATCTTGCCTTGGTATGCTTTCCAGCCCAACGAACTCACGCCATGGATCACACCAGGCCGCCTCGTAGCCTTCTTGATCCTAGTACTCTGCTTCCGACGCCTGCCCATCGTGTTGGCGACATACAAATGGATCCCTGACATTCGCACGCTCCGCGAAGCCCTCTTCTGCGGGCACTTCGGCCCCATGGGCTTAGGCGGCATCTTCCTCGCCATGGAAGCTCGCGCCTGGCTCGAAGACGAAACGTCCACCCCAGACCCGTACCCGCCTCATTACGGCCGCCCATACACCAATCGCGAGAAAGCGGTGTATACGGTCTGGCCGCTGGTGGCTTTCATCGTGTTTGGGAGCACGCTGGTGCATGGTTTGAGCGTGTGGGTCATGAGCGCGTACAGTCATTTGAAGAGGCCGAGGCGCGAGAGGGCTTCGTTCTTTGCGGCAGAGACGGATCCGTTGAGCGGCATGGAGCATGAAGAGGGAGATGGGGGTAGTATTGGGAGTGATAGTGATGAGAGTTTGCCATAGTGGGCAAGTCAGCTCTGCGAGAAGACGGTAAAGGAGTATTTGTACTGGCTCCTGGGGGCGGCGTCATATCTTTTGAGGCATGGGAGTGCCTAAAAATTAGCCGAATCTACTTTGGTAAGCCATGCCACGACTGCTTCTCGTACCACACCTTGCTTGACATTCCAAAGTCACTGCTACGATCAGCAGGTACGCTCCCGCTGACCCCTATTCCGCGCCATTCTCAGAGATGTGGATGGTTTGTGGTATGATGTCTGGCCACAACATCGTTATGTGAAACAGGCAAGGTGAGGTGAGGTGGAAGATGAGACAGCACAGCTTTCATGGAGTCGCATTTGCGGTCTGCCTCTGTTTCTCACCCCATATCTTCCTTCTTTCGTTTCCCACTACATCCATTACTCTGGTCCCTTCGCCGTTATCTTGTCCGGAGGATTTCTCCTCGCTCTCTGTTACTTCTCTATATCACGACCACTTTCAGTATACCTTATGCTCCTGAGTCGAAGACGACTCGGCCACAATGATCTGGACTCACTATGCAGGACTTCGACGTTACTACAACATGCGCTGAATACCTCCCGAGGCTGAAGAGAGTTTTGCGTCCTTTGTCACGCTCAAAGAACTTCCTTGTATCCTTGGTCCTGTTTTCGACGCTGAAAAGACAAGGACCCTTCAGCCCACAATACCATTGTTCCTCAAGTTCACTCGATTTATACTGGCCATTGCCGGATATCTCGCTTCTGGTATATCAAAACTCAGCACCGACATACGTACGGCACTTCTCGCATCTACAGATCTTAGAAGGCCTGGAGTCCATCATCAGCATAGCCTTCCAACCTAGCAGATCAACAAACGCCATCAGCATAGCCTTCCAACCTAGCAGATCAACAAACGCCATCAGCATACCAACCATGACGGCACCTGACATCACCTTCGGCGTGGAGCTGGAGTTCATCGCTCTGTACAAGCTGGCAGGCGACGAAGAACCCTCGGGGACCCTCGTCGGCGAGACAATCTACAACCGTCTCCTCGCAGCCGGCATTCCCGCCGTAGGTTACGAGAGCCTAGATGGAGACATCAACGACACCGCCCCCTCCTACAGCCGCTGGCGGGTCGAGACGGACGACGTCGATTTGAAGCCGGACGAGCGAAAGCTGCTGCCAGAAGGGTGGTACGAGGAGCCTATCGAGCTGGTCTCGAGGAAACTCCACATCAACGACCCGAACTGCATCAACGAGATCGCAACGGTACTCCAGGCTTTAAGAAGTATCGAAGGAGTTGACTGTCGATTCGTGACTAACGTTCAAGCAGGTCTGCACGTACACATGGGCTGGAACGACGAAAAGATTCCGTTGAGGGTTGCGAAGAACGTTCTTCAGCTCTGCACGGCTTTCGAACGACAGCTCGACCAGATCCACTCGACGGATCGCATTAACAATCGCTCCTGCCGCGCTCTGTCCTTGTTCCACATGAAGCAGATCGACGGCGACGAGGATGGCAATGAAAATAGAGAATCGAAGAAGAAGGACAACTTCCTTCTTAGCAATCTCTACGACATCGAGACACTCGATTCCTACAAGGCCATCGGTAAGTTGTTCCAGTGCGACATTGAAGGTCAAGAGGCTGACGGTCACCAGAGCACAGTAAACTTCGACAACCTCTGGTGGAACTGGAAAGAAGTCGACGAGAACGCTCCCATAACCGGCACGATCGAATTCCGCCAGCACGCCGGCTCTCTCGACCTTGCCGCCATCCGGAACTGCATCGCGCTGACATCCACCATAGTCCACTACTCGGCCTCCACCCCGCCCCTCCATTTCGTGCAACTCCTCCTCAAAGGCCTAGACACGACCTTCACGCTCCGCCAACTTCTCCAGTGCCTCGGATGCCACGAGGACCTCATAACCTACTACAGCTCCCTCCCCCGCCCCCGCTCCACCTCCAACCCCCCACCCCGATGCCCGGAGATCTCAACCCTCCTCGCACACCTCGACGCTTCACACCAGAAACACAGAGACCCCACCGCCATAGCCGAGCTCATCGCCGAAAAAGTCGAAGTCTGGCAATACGGCGTCCTCCCCGAAGGCGACGTACTAATAGAGCTCGAGAACTTCGATCTACGGGCCCATCTCGTCGGCGCTTTGAAGGACACGCCGGCGTATCTGAGCAATGGGGGGCAGGCGACGGATAAGGCGGTCGATGAGGCGAGGGAGGAGGCGTTGAGGGTTTTGGCGAGGTGTTATACTGTGGATGCTTATGCGGTGGGGCGCGAGGGGACGTTGGGGGATTTGAGGGAGTGGGATGGACGGCGTTCACGGAGTTAGTTTGGGGGTTGGAGGATGGGTTGTTGGCGTTTTTGGTTGCTGTGGTAAGTACTGTTCAATCTAATGTCTTTATGTTGCCTTACGTTAGTTCCTTAGTAGCGTTGTGTACGCATCCTTATCATACATCCTTCACATCTGCTTCTCTCTATCTGAGTGTGTCATACAAGTGCATAGACCTGACTAGATTGCCAGCCGGCATTTTAATGATGAGGAGTGATTGGGTGTTATACCACAGCTAATACTACACTATTAGCACAATATACACTATACATCCCGCCCAACACCCTATGCAAAGCTGAACGCTCAAAACGCGACACCAATCCCAACCATATCATCCAGACCACTCACTCACCCTCCCCTCCTTCACCCCTAGCACCAACCGCATCCTCCTCCCTCGCCATGTGCTGCGTACTCCGAACAGGCTGCCTCAAAAACGCATCCACCAGCACCGCAGCCGCCGTGCCCACATTCATACTATCCACCCCAACATCCAACAAACCATCCCCGTCACGCCCGGGCACCGGTGCTCGCGGTCCTGGCGCAACCCCGACGAAATAATCCGCCCTCTGCGTCAGATTCTCCCGCAACCCCTCTCCTTCCGCTCCGAGCATCAGGATGACCGGATGGCGCTCCAAAGCGCTGCGAGCCGCTACGGCCCTGTGGCTCACGAAGCGCGGACCTCGTTTCGTCACGCCGCGCTCGTTGGAATTGGGAGGCGGCGCGGCGGCGGCGTAAATTTTCCATCCGGCGTTCTTGGATTCGTAGACGAAATTGCCGGGTTTAGGGAGACCGAAGATTTGCACGGCTTCGCAGGCGCCGGAGGAAGCTTTCGCTAGCGTGGCGGAGGTGAGCGGGCAGCAGGTATTGAGGCTGACGGCCACGGCGTCGACGCCGTAGAAGTAGGCGGTGCGGATGATGTTGCCGACGTTTTGGGGGTCGAGGATGCCGTCGAGCATTAGGACGAGGGGGTAGCGCCAGGTTTGGTCAGAGGTGAGGATGCGCATCGAGGAAGGGTCGCCGTTGACGGCGCGTTCTTCCGAGGGCTGCTTGCGGGTGTGGAGGGGCAGGTCGCCGGTCTTGAGGTCGGGCCAGCCAAGTCCGATGACAGGAGGGGCGGGCAAGTGGGAGGCTTCGAGGACGACGCCGTTGTGAGGACGGTCTTCGGACATGGTGTTGAGGAGGATCCGTGATGCGCTTGGGTGCGTGGGGATGGAGGCTTGGAGGGCCAGACGGCGGATCTCGGCGCTGGGGTCGCCTTCGTATGAACTGACTTTGGTGTTGAAGTGGAGGGCGTAGACCTTGCGGCGACGGGCGCGGAGGGCGGCTAGGACAGTGTTGGTGCCGTACAGGAAGGTGGAAGAGGCCGTCGTGCGAGGGACGGAGAGTGGCATCGTGTCGTCTACTCGATCCTCTTCACCGGCAGTTCTGCGGGTTGCGTTGCTGCCAGATCTGTTGGAGACACGCCGCTGAGGCTCATCGTGCTGGTTAAATTCACGATCATCCTCATGCGGTGTTTGTCTCGTGCTTGGATTGGCTTCAACCTTCCTCGCGTCTGATTTCGCTTTCGGGGCCTCATCTTCCAACAGCGCCTTTACATGAGAGCTCAACACCACTTCAATAGATGGCAGAGCGCCAACATTTTTTACCCAGACGACGCTCTTCTTCGAGCTCTTTGGTTTCTCGCTGGAACTGACAAAAAGCTGACCTAATTGACTAGCCAGAAGTCTTGCAGCTACGGCTTGTAGATTCTGTGCCGCCTGATCGTGACCACGGCCAGAGCCTACCATGTACTGGTGCGCGGACTCCTCAACTCGCCGGGCCTTCGTCTGAAGCGGCGCTATCAAACGTTTCAAGTCCTTCCTGTTGATATCCTGCTGTGTCTCAACCATCTGCAGCTCTACAACCAGCTCCTTGAGGCGCATTAACTTGCTCCCCACGTTCCGAACAAGAGGGTCCTCATCTTCGGCAGGGTCGAAGCCTCTCGTTTCTTGCTTGACGATCTTCTGTGCCTCCTTGGCTACCCCTTCTTTTCGCTTCTGAGCGACAGCCTGCAAGATATCGCGCTTGCTTTGACGGGATTTGTTGGGTCTGTAAACCTTTCCAAGGACTTTCGAATCGTCCACTTCGTCCAGAACCGTGAGATCTTCCGGGTCATCCAAAGCCTGCTTCCTCCGAGAAGCCGTTGTGTAGCGGTCCGCGGAAGGGCTACGGAGAGCCTGGTACTGTGTGACGGTATCCCTACGCACCTGAGTCCGATCCCGTCTGTCGCGCTGTCGTACAGGCGTGTTCAATGCTGCTGAGGCTCGAGGGATTCCTTTCCGTGTTTGAGCAAGAGCTCGCTCGTTGTCTCGCCTTATGTACCCGTCTGCTGCTTCTGAACGCTGAAAGGAATCTCTCCGCGTCGTAACCCGAGCGCTCTCACCATATCGTCTCGTTGGTCTGTCTGTGGGTCTGGGAGTCTGGGGGCCTTCTCTCTCTGCCCGGTCGATACCTCGCCTGGTATCTCGTACCGCATCTCTATCTGCTGCTTCTGGACGCTCATACCTGGGAAAGAAGGACCTTGCGTTCGGCGCGGATGTCGTGGCTGACCCTCTGCTGGACCTGGCGTGACTGACATTGTCGCGGCGTCTAGCTACTTGAGCCCCCAACAACTCTTTCGATGGCTCCACTCTAGTACTTCGAGATGGTCTTGACTGCCGTTCCGCTGGGCTCACTTTGCGCCTGTAAGGGGGGCTGTCACGCTGGTCGAATCTCTTAGCCCGTGGTCCTCCTCTCTTCGAGGCATCTCCTTCTGCGCGTAGCCCTCGGTTGATTGCTGATGTCGTCGAGACCCCTCGCGTCGGAGTCGTCCATCTTCGTAATGTCCACCGCAGCCATGTACGACTGTTGGGACAGGCAATGGACATTGGGTTGCTTGTCCTTTCGATATGAATGCAGGAGTAAGCTGGGAAATTGATTAAGATTTGATTAGGAGGCAGGGTTTAAGCTCCATCTTATCTGATCGAAGCTTGCGCTTCGACCAGCTCCGCGTCTTCCACATCTCGCCAACGCGACGTCAATGTATTGAGGTCGTCGATGTGACATCTGATGGCGACGTACTGTACAGACTGCCGGCAGCGATAGGCCGCCAAACGAGAACAACAATCATGCGCAATGTCCTTCCACTTCGAACCACAGGCCGACTCTTCGGACGACGAAGGACAGCTCGACCTCTCAGCATGGCAAGGTGCAGCGAAACCGGCAGTCCAGCGCCCTCCTGTGGCGCGCATGCAGGCGAATGATGAAGATATGGGAGACCAAGATATCCAGGTTGACGAAGCCACGTACGCCACTGCCTCCGGCGCTTTGCAAGAAGACAGCGACGAGCAAGAGGATGCGGCAGATGGCAATGGAGATGGGGACCGCAGCGAGGAGGAAGCCAGTCCTGTGTTGGAAATCAGCAGTGTTTCGGAGTCCAGCGATACTCGCAAGCGACAGAGAAGCGGCCAGCAGAATGGAGCCTCCTCGAGCTTCACCGCGATCAATCAACCAGTCACCCTATCCTCCGACTCGGACAGCGAAGGTGGCCAGCAATCGACGTCTATAAGTTCCAGCAAAGGCCAGCGCCAGCTAGTCCCGGTCATTTCACGTCGGCTGCCTTCGGATGCTGGCGACTTAGAGGACTATGAAGACTTCACGGCTGGCGGCGAAGTTGTACGGCGGGTCATGAAGGAGCTGAAGAACGGGCAGATGGACATCGCATACAGAGTCGAGTTTGAGGACCTTCATGTCGAAGAGGTAGGCCTTCCTGTTATGATCTTTTAATCTTCCTGGCCGGCAATGCACGCCGGATGCACTTGGCTGTGTCGCCAATGCTCCAGCGCATCACTTTAGCCCCTGTTCGACTTCACATTCCCTTCACATGTCTGGCTATTTCCTCTTTGGGACAGGTCATGAGGCCCCCCATCTGTCTTACTTAAACCCCCCCCTTCCCACCCTCTCCTTCCTTCAAACAACCACTACGACAAGCATGAAGCTTCTCAACACAGGAAAGCCAACTATACAACTCCCACCACGACCATCGCTAATAGTAACACTTCAGATACCCTTTGAAGAGCTCCTGTCATATGAGAACGGCGACGTCGCTCTAAACCTCTTCGAAAACCAATCTTCACCAGAGACCACCCCTGAGCCGGAGCCTGTCACACGAAAGCGTGGAAGATCGAGGATGTCTACTTCGCGGCCTAGCCGCAGAGTCGCAGTTCGGCCTGGCTATGTCAGCACTATTGATGCACTCCCACAGTCCGATGATGAGGTCAGCGGAGCACGCACGAGAGGCAGCAAGCGCAAGCGCGGTCAGCAGTCGCAATACATCGATGAGCCACAGAAGTCGTCTGAAGAGGAGCCATCTGAAGACTCTGACGACGAAGGTGGCTCAAGACGTCGGAGGCGACGCCGCGTTGAGCAGTCAAAGCCAAGCCGGTCTCTTCGAAGCTCAAGGCATCCAATCTACTCCAGAGAGTTGCAGGATGACGACGAAGACGACAGCGATGATGTTCAGTACCTCGATTCCGACATCGTTGGGCCGACGACGCGGCGTAGGGGCGCACCAAGGAAGTCTGTATCCGTCGAGAGTGGCATTGGCGGAGGCAGACGCAAGCGCAATCAGCCAGCCATGCGACACTCTGGCCGTTCGACCAGGCATCGAGGCGACATGGAAGAGGTCGGTGAGAACAACATCTACTGGTCTGACTCTTCCGATGAGATGACACGTGCACCACCAAAGCCCAAGGTTGTCGCCGTCCGCGAGCAGTTTAAGACGCCGCCGCGTAACGACGACTTCCGCATGAGGCACAATCAGGAGTGCGAGTCGTGCGGGAATGGAATGAATTTCTCCCCACTCATCTACTGCCAGGGTTGCACACTGGCATACCACAAGGGCTGTCTGGGAACACGAAGCACCAGAGAGCATCTCGTTACGAAACTTGAAGGAGGCGACTCTGTCCTGCAGTGTCGCAGATGTGTGGCTGTCGCTTGCAAAAAGGACCCGACGGCGCCGGACCAAGGCAAATGTGCAGATTGCCGTGAGCACGGTAACGCTTGTCTGCCGTTCCGACCTCGCAAAACGACAGCTCAGGAGCAGAAGGAGCGGGAAGAAAATGATGGAGTTGATCCAATCTACGACGTCGATGCTTCACGTATCAACAAGGCAGACAACGTGCTCTTCCGCTGTCTAAGCTGTTGGCGTGCCTTCCATTTCGAGCACTTGCCTTCTCGCTCAGATATCATGGACATGGATGGCGATGTGGACCCAGAGCAAAGACTCAGAGAGTATAGTCGGGATTGGCGATGCAAAGACTGCCTGGACATGCCCGCCAAGGTCTCAGGGATCATTGCTTGGAAGCCTCTCGACGAAGACAGCTATGACCCTGGCGTCTCAGTCGAAGCAATCGATGAAGACGAGAAGGCGTACCTTGTCAAGTGGGACGCCATGAGCTACTTCCGTGCTTGCTGGATGCCCGGAGCTTGGGTCTGGGGTGTCACTGCGGCCGCAATGAGGAAGGCTTTCATGAAGCGTGACGACAGTCAGCACCCGAAGATGCGCACCGAAGACGCGATACCCGAAGACTGCCTCCGTACCGACATTGTGCTCGACATCAAGTACACCAGCATCGTTCATATCCGCACCGAAGCTATCGACATGGCTCGCATCCGCGAGATCGACAAGGCTCTCATCAAGTACAAAGGTCTTGGCTACGAGGATGCTGTGTGGGAAGCTCCGCCGCTGCCTGACGATGGCGATCGCTGGAACGACTTCGTGATGGCATACAACGACTGGATCATGGGTCGTTACATCCGTCCACCGAAGCCTTCCACGCTGAAGTCCAGACTCGACAAAGCGCGCCACCAGGACTTCGCTAAGCTAGAGAAGAAGGCGCAGCCGGAGAAAATTGAGGGAGGCGAGCTCATGAAGTATCAGATCGAAGGGCTGAATTGGCTTTACTACAAGTGGTTCACGCAGAAGAATGCTATTCTGGCGGATGAGATGGGCTTGGGCAAGACCATCCAGATCATTTGCTTCCTTGCTACCCTTGTTGCCGAATGGAGCTGCTTCCCTTTCTTGGTCGTCGTTCCCAATTCGACTTGCCCCAACTGGCGCCGCGAGATCAAGCGATGGGCTCCGAAACTCAGGGTCGTGGCTTACTATGGCTCAGCTGCGAGCAGAGACCTGGCCAACAAGTACGAACTCTTCCCAGAAGGCAGCAAAGAGCTTCGTTGTCACATTGTGATCACCAGCTACGATGCTGCTTCTGATCCAAGCATCACCCGCTTCTTCAAGAGCGTCAACTGGCAGGGTCTCGTCGTCGATGAAGGTCAGAGACTGAAGAATGACAAGGGCCTTCTATACAGTGCTCTCAGCGCCCTGAAGATTCCATTCAAGATCTTGCTCACTGGCACGCCGCTGCAGAACAACCAGCGCGAGCTGTTCAACTTGCTGCACTTCCTGGACGATTCTCACGATGCGGCGCAGCTCGAGCAGGAGTTCGCAGACTTGGACACTGACAAGATTGTCAAGCTTCACGATATGATTCGGCCTTTCTTCCTACGACGCACCAAAGCCCAGGTTCTGACATTCCTGCCGCCCATGGCGCAGATCATCGTCCCTGTCAGCATGACCATCGTGCAGAAGAAGCTCTACCGCACCATTCTAGCCAAGAACCCGGACCTCATGAAGGCCATCTTCAGCGCGGAAGCGCCACTGAAAGGTGCCGAGAAGGCGAGTTTGAGCAACATCCTCATGCAGCTGCGCAAGTGCCTCTGCCATCCTTTCGTCTACAACAACAGCATTGAGGAGAAGAACGTGTCGCATGGGATGTCGCACCGCAATCTGGTGGACGCAAGCTCCAAGCTCAAGATCCTCGAACTGCTCCTGCCCAGGCTCAAGGAACGCGGACACCGGGTGCTCATTTTCAGCCAATTCCTGGACATGCTGGATTGCGTCGAAGACTTTCTCGATGGCATGGAACTACAGTATCAGCGTATTGACGGAAGGATCAATGCCCTGAACAAACAGAAGCGCATCGATGAGTTCAATGCGCCGGACTCGCAGTCTTTTGCTTTTCTGCTCTCGACAAGGGCTGGTGGTGTGGGCATCAATCTTGCATCTGCTGATACTGTCATCATCCTCGATCCGGACTTCAACCCTCACCAGGACATCCAGGCTCTGAGCCGCGCGCATCGCATCGGGCAGCACAAGAAAGTGTTGTGCTTCCAGCTCGTCACAAGAGCGAGTGCGGAAGAGCGCATCATGCAGATGGGCAGGAAGAAGCTTGCTCTCGATCATGTGCTCATTCAGGAAATGGACGCAGATGACGCCGATCAGAACGATCTCGTATCAATCCTTCGTCACGGTGCTTCCGAACTCTTCGAGGACAATGGTGACCAGGACATCACGTACGACGGCGCGAGCGTCGACCGTCTACTTGATCGCAGCCACATGGAGAACACACGATCCGGAGAAGACACCAGTGCAGAGACGCAGTTCTCCTATGCCAGAGTCTGGGCCAACGACCAAGGCGCACTTCAAGATGAGATGGTTGAAACCGTGAACGATGAATTACAAGCGCCGAATCCGAAAGTCTGGTCCAACATCCTCAGGGATCGTGAGCGTGTCGCGGCGGAAGAAGCTGCCGCACGTGCAGACGCCTACGGTAGAGGTCGTCGAACCCGTGGCAACGTGGACTACAACAACGAAGGCGGGCTGGACGAAGCTGGCATCGAACTCACACCGCTGAAGAATAAGAAGGTGAAGACGGGAGACGATAGCGATACTGACTTCCAGGCCGACGGTAGCGATGCGGACGACGACGATCTCGACGGTGAGCTTGACATTCCAATGGATGGGGATGCGATGGAGGGTGTGGAGGGGGTTACTAAACGTGAAACAGGTCCTAAGAAGAACGGTAAGCATGAGACTCTCATTCAGTCGACACCCAACAAGAAGGCTGCTGCCTCGACTCCGGCTGGCGTGTCCAAGAAAACTCTGGCGACTACGCCGAAGAAGGCTGCGCCGGTTGCCACGCCGAGCAAAAAGTCCAGGTCGGCGGCGAAGCTTCTGAATGAGGAGATTATCGTGATGCCTCGTGCTACTCCCAGCAAGAAGACTGCGAAATCGCCGAAGTTCATTGCCTACGCTCCAAATCCCGATGCTTCTTCTTCAACCAAACAGCCAGGCGCCGGTGTCCCTGGCAGAAAGCGTCCACAGCCGAAGGCGAAAAGTGGAAAAGCTACTGCTCCTCCGGTGAAGAAGCCTGCCGCTCCAGCTACGCCAAAGAAAGCTGCTGCGACTACCCCGGCGTTCAACACGCCCGGTTCGTCTCAGAAGCCCATTCTCCTCGATGAGAGCGGTGACGAAGACGCATTCGTCGGTGCTTCCGAGGATCCAATTCCACAAGATCCTTCTGTTCCGGCAACCCCAGCAGCAATATCTCCTTCTACTCAACAAGCATAGCAAGAACCATTCACTTACAGCACATCCCCAACACAGACCGTCCATCCTTCAAACGCGCCATCGTCGAACTACGCCCCTACATCGGCTCCAACGTCCCAAATCCTATGCCCAGCACGGACGGCGGTTTTATGCAACACCCCCAGAATGCGATTATCATCGACAACGGCGTCAACTGCGTTGCTTGCCGTTCTTACCACCCCGTTGGCAGTTGCCCACTGAAGCTTGCGGGCGTGGAAACGTGCAATCTGTGCGGGATGGCGCATTTCGGGAGCGCGAGGGTGTGTCCACATATCCAGAGCGAAACACAGGTACGCCACCCATTCACTTCCTCTGCTCCCCCATCGTTGGAGGCGTGATGCCGATGCTGATACGCGCAGGTCCGCCAAATGCTCGAAGCCCTCAAACACTCCAACGAACCCGAACATATAATCTATGCTGCAAAGAAGTATCTGAAGGGCTTGAAGGGGAGTCTGGTGCAGATCAAGAAGCAGAAGGAGGCGAGGAGTTTTGCTGCGAGGGAGGTTCAGATGGGGGCGCAGTATCAGCGGGCGAGGGGGCCGCTGTTGGGGGGAGTTGGTTGGGATTGAGGTGAGCGATAGGGGAGAGCGGGGTGGTTATAGCCTCGACACAAGTGCGAGTTGCTTTATGCTACAGCGAGAGTGCAGAGCGATGAAGTATGTCTTTTCAAATGACACACCTGCTTTCATCTCGAATGCTACGTCCCCGAAATCCAGACTCTTCAGCTTTGCACCGGGTCTCTCGTCTTTCGTCTACGCAGGAGTTTCGATACCTGCATGAGGTCTGTTTTGGCTCTGCTGACTCTAGTGAGACGCTAACGCAATGGCTTTGTCAGCCTGCAGATATCACCTAATTCGGAAGGTGGTGTAGCCCTGCGCGCATGGCTATTACTTATTGAGCCTCTTGCGTGGCGTCATGTCTCCTGCCGCTCCATGCGGAGCATACGCGGAAGCATGGTATCGCCTGCTACCGCAACTTCTGTAGGAGATATTGAGTTACGACTGGAGATGGTCAGACCGACCTCGCTTCCAGAGTCGTGACGCTGGGCCTTCAATGGCAACGATATAAGCAGCCGATGTCTATACCTTACGCAAGCATTGTTGAGAACCGAAAAGTAACATCTACTTGTTATCAGAATGCCGCCCTCTAGCTATGCATTCATCGACTGTTCGGAACCTGGCAGCATCCGTAATGCCCGGACGAAGGCTCGTATTCGCAAGCATGCCATGAAAGATATAGGCATCTCACGACGACGACCCCGAACCTGGCACGTGGAGTTGGAGCTTCGTCCGCAACCTGCAGAGGAGGCGACACGACCTGGTTCGGATGAGGGTCTTTCCGGTGCTGAGACAAGTGCCTACCATGTCTTGACTCGAAATCGACAACACCACCTTCCCCGTTCAAACAGCATGCCGATGCGATCTCTCGGCTCCGAACCGTTCGATGCTTCCCCAGTACGCATCGACTGTACTGTGAGAGGGCTCTTGCAGTACTACCTTTGGTACTCGTCGGAATTCCCGAACAACTTTACTTTCTCTCCATGCGCCTCTCGCGTCGTATCCGCTGCGATCCATGACGAGATCTTGTTAAGTTGTCTGCTAAGCTCCGCAGCATCTCGCGTGCAGTACGTCCATGGAGCTGCATTGGCACATGTGCGGAAGCAGGAGGTGTATTGCACGCACCGCGGTCTTCAACTTCTGCAGGTCTCACTGAATGGTTCGCATGTACGGGCAACGCTCCCAAGTGAACGACTAATCGCCTGTGTCCTATACTTGGGAGCCGGTGCAATCTATCGTGAGGACTTTGAGACTGCGCAGAAACATATCGACGCCGCGGTGAAGCTGACAGAGACAATCGGTGGTACAAAGTGCATCCATGACCAACTGACCTTGGTTCGACTGGTCAGTCTGGACGATACGCTTTCCTGTGCCGCGCTGAAGCCGTGCTCTCTGAGGTGCACCTATGATCCAGGACCACTGACGCATGATTGCCCGCTGGGTCAACCGCCGCACGGAGCCTTACCCGATAGCTTTGAGTTCGCAGACAAGCGGTCCATCCCAATAGCTTTGCGTGCAGCGTTCCTGGAGATCGTCGAATGCCGTCGGCATAAGAATGCTCTTGGGCAACTCAAGTCCACCGTATCTTCGGAAGCGCTTGAAGTCCGACAGTGGGTGACGATGCGCGGTTTGGCCATTCGCAACCGTCTATTGGAGTTCACGTCGACTGACACCAAGGCCAGAGTGCTGAGACTTGCATTGATCGTATGGACCCTTCTTCCGCCATGCGACCCTCGACAAACTCGAACAGCTCGAACTCTCGCTCAAAGCATGGTCACTGAGCTCTCTCGCATCAAGGACTCTTCGTGGAGAGGCCTCGAGAAGATCAGGCTGTGGTGTCTTCTTATAGGCTTCTACTCTGCTCAAGAACTGAGCGAGACACGTTCATGGTACGCCGAAGAGATCCGCAAACGGGTACGGTGCGATAGAAGCTTGATCGGACTGCGGCGCGGGACATCGCTGAACGAAGAGCTTATTGCCTTTCAGGAACGTTTTGGCTTCCGCGAACCGACGTTGAGCCATCTCACCGAGGATATTGTCAAGCATCTAAGATTTTGGGATGACTTTGAGAAGGACTGAGCACATGAAAGTCCGAAAGTGGTTGCGGCTTCTACAACCACCACGTCTCGGCTCTCCAATGACATCTGGCTCAAGGCAACAGCCTCCGAGCAACAAGTCAGTATCATGGTAGCTCGACAACCAGGAGAAATGGACGCTGTGGACGGGTGGAACTGAACGAAGTTGTTGAACGGGCTAGGTCTATTACCGGGTCCCTAATCGCACCGGAATATACTGCATTCGTGGACTTCTCATAGAGACGAACGATCAATGACACCGACGAGGCTGCTTGCACCAGGCAAACGAGTCGCCCGATGGTGAGCTACCGCTGGAATGAAGGCGATGCACGACAAATTTGGGTTTGCTTACCCATGGGTGAGGATGTTCAGACTTCTAACTTCCCGCATGCCTCCGCCTTGAGCAATGCAAAGCGGAGTCGACGAAACACATATGAACAACAATGGCTGGTCTCACTCACTGCTCTTCCAACGCTGTCTCCAACTTGCTGACCGGATCATCTTACCACAAACCCGCCTTCGTCCAACAACCACACCGCGCGAACAACCATGCCTTTCTTCCCCTGGCTCGCCGCCACAGTCTGGCCCCTCGTCCCCATCATCGCTTTCGGGATTGGCTACAATGTGGGAGTCGATGAGCATCACGCCCCTCCTCCTGGCCCTCCTAATGGCCTTCAGACTGCCGGTCCTCCAAACATGTCTCCCACAAACGCTGCTACTGGCGCTCCTGCCGGTCCCCCAAACGCATCCCCTACCAGCATGGTCACCAGCGTGACTACCAGCTCTCCTGCCGGCCCTCCAGCCGTCACTCCCACTGGCCCTCCTGCCGGCGTTTCCACAGGCGCTCCCGCAGGCCCTCCAAACGTCCTCCGCGACACCTCAGCCCAGGAGTCCCAACTCATCCTGCAAATCAACCACACCGCGCTCGCCCCACAGGAGCTCCGGCGCCTGCGAGGCCTGCAGATGAAAGTCGCCTCAGACGGCCACGAAGCTCTCTTCAGCGTACCAGGCGACTTTGAAGCCGACGGGAACATCACAGGCATCTGGGTAAGCACCGCCTACTCCTCACCCCACCGCACCGTGCTAACGAGAAAGCAGGACGCACCATCCAACGGCCTCAAGCAAGGCGGCCTCTCCTTCTTCATCCCCGGCCTCCTCACCCCCGTCCAGGGTTGGTGGGCTACCCTCCCCCAAATGACGGCCGACGAGCGTGAGGACATCAAGGAGGCGTTTGAGACCATCTACGAGACGCTCGTCTCGCAGCAGCCGCACGTGCCGGAGCCGTGGCAGTTTCCGAATGCGACGGAGAGGCTGGGATTGTTTGAGTTGATTGGGAAGGTGGTGGAGCGGTTGGTGCACGTTGAGTTTAATGGCACGCAGGCCTAAGGTGGAAGAGTAGCGTGCTGGGAAAGTGGAATGGATGGGAGATGTGGTGTGAGGTGTAGTTGATCTGCTTGATCATGGGGAGCTGTCGATAATAAAAAGTAATGCAGAGTAATTTGGCTTCGCTGCAAGCCATAGAGAAGCCTTTCCAACCGTTCCAAAGCCACCAACTCCTCGCTACAAATGCCGTGACGTCCTTCTCGTTCGTGTCCTCATATTATCATGCCAGTCGTACCCATTCCCCTCAGCCCTCCCTTCTTTGCCGGATCCCAACTCTTCTCTTCTTATCCGCACCCCTCACATCTCCCCCTCGCCTCCCGTCTCGCGCCGCTTTTCCCGCCTGGCCGCCTCCAGGCGCAAATAATCTACCACACATATTATCAGCGAACATCATCTCGAAAACCAAAATCCCACTACCGCCCTCGCTCAGCCAAACCCCGGAGGCTGCGGCGCCTTAGGAGTAATAGCCGCCACCGTCGCCGTGATCATACTCTGAATGTCCTCCATCCCCACCGTCTCGAGATCGTGCATCAGCTCCTCCTGCTGCACCTGGTTCAAGCCAGTGCCGAATTCTCCCGTGTCCATTCCCCAGTACTCTTGCTGCTGTCCAAGACCACCGCCACCACCGCCAGCTGCTTGGTCCAACGTGCCGGGGAAGGGGTAGGCGGGGTTATTCGGGTCGAAGACGGCGTAGGGGTTGTTGGGGTAAGCGTATTGTTGCATGTTATTCGAAGGGCCGGCGGGGGCGAAGTGCGGTTGTTGTGGGCCGGCGGCTGTCCAGCCGGGGATGGTGAGGTCGGGGGTGAAGGCGGGGAGGGCGTTGTATTGGATGTAGGGGTCGTAGTACTTTGGGATCTGCTGTTGCTGTTGTGGTGGCTGTTGTTGGACGGGCTGTTGCTGTTGTTGGTATCCAGACATATCTGGCACGCCGCCATGCTGAGCACCAGTATGAAAGGTGGATGAAGATGCAACCGGCGGTGTTTGTCTCGCATAGTTGGACGGACCCGCGGCAGCGTTGTACCCGTTCGAATACTGCATCTGCGGTTGCTGCTGCTCGACATTCCTCCTACTCGACTGCTGCTGCAAATACCCGAAAGGCGGCGCATGACGATCCGGCGGCGTGGCAACGGAACTACTAGCTACCGTCGCCGGACTCGTGCCTTGCGACCTGCTGAAAGGATCCTGGAAAACCGCCCCAGGGGAATTGGCGACCTCAGAAGGAGAAGCCGCTGATATCGGCACATCTCCGTCTTTGTCGTAGACCTTCATAATGGCGGCGATGAGGTTCTGATACAATTGCACCGCAGAGGCGACACCAGGCCAGCGATCAGACGCAAGCTGGATAGCGTCCATGGCGACCTCGAGATGCTTCTCCACGGCCTCTCGCTTGTGCTTCCGTCGCACCTCCTCGTAGCTCAGCGACCAGAGCATAGTATTGATCGCCATGAAAATCGACTGCGTGAAGATCCACGTCAAGTCAATTGTCTTCTTCGCAATCTGCTCCCGTTGAGTGTGGATATTGTACTCGCAAGCATCGAAGCATTTCATCGCAGCGTCCAGTGAAGGCCGAGGGACTTGCGGCGACGGACGGTACAAGAACACCACCATGGTGTTGTATCTTCCTATGAACCATACCTTGTTCAGTCCGAAGCCTTCGTCTGCTGAAGGTGCTGCGTCCCTCCATGCGCAGAGTTTGGCGTCCATTTGGATGAACCAGGCGTCCTTGTCGCTCCTGGGCTCGGGGCGTTTGCGAAGGTAGAGTTTCCGTCGGATTTCGAGCTGTAGCAACCGCATCTTGAAGAAGTGAATGGCCACCCACTTCTTCAGCACAGGTCTTTGAGCCGTAGGATCAACGCCTTCAGGTGTGATGTGTTTGTCGTCGCACGTCTCGAACCACCCAACATCGATATGATCCTGACTCGTCGCAAGCATCGCAGGTCGTCCAAGAGAGTGCGAAAGGCCAAACTCCATGACGATGATACACCAGAACAGCCGCCGCCGCATGTCAATCTCCAGATGATCCACTCGGCCATCCGCTCGACACCTCGTGATAGTCTTCTCCTCGTTGAAGCCCAGTGCCTGCGCCAGCCGGACTGCAATTCCCACTACGTAGTATATCGCCGTCCTTGTAGGTGTCAGTAGCGAGTACTCCGCCATCAGCGCGAAGCACTGCAGCGTCTTGAGATCCATCGGCTTCACCACGGGCTCCAAATGCTTCAGCGCCGCGAGATAATAGCTGTCCGCCAGCCCAGCATACTGCGTATCCATCTTCTGCAGACTGATTGCAATGACCATCCTTACCACGAATTGCTGGTAAGGCGTCGCTTGTGCTCCGAGGTTATACACCGCATCCACGTCCTTGTCCAGTGACGGCTCGTGCAGTGCTGGATACATCGGCTGCACCTTCAGCTTATACAACTGCACCAGCAGATCTGTCAACGGACGATTCGGCAAGTCCACGGCCGCAACGTCGCTGATCAGAGGATAGATCTTCGACGTAGGCTTGCCCTGCTCCTGGTGGTATATCTCCCTGATCTGCCTGGCCCGATGCTCCGGCACGATCTCTTTAATACTTCTCGAGTCCGTAAACTGCTTCGCCAGCTGCATGACCAGCCGCGTGATCGCAATCCCACTCGACGGGCCCAAGAATTTGGACTCTTTCGCTTCATGCACCCGTACTGTCGCCGCGCGCATCATAGCCTCTGGGTCTTCCGCGCTGTCCTCGTTCTCTACCCGCGCCAGCTCTTCTTCCACGTCGCGCACGCGGTGTTGGAGCCATACTACGTAGCTCCTGTTGACGTTCGCGCCTTTGTTCGAATCGTAGTACTCACAGGTCGAGTTCGTGCGCTCGCAAGGGCCGCAGCGAGGGAGGCCGGGGTCGCATCGTGTTTTCCTCTACACACACACATCAGAGACGTCCAAGAACGAAGCATAGCTGTAAGACTCACCTGCCGACATCGCGTACAGGCCGTAAGCGTATGCGCGACGTTGAACGAAGAGGACGACGAGGCCTCAGCAGAACCGCCGATGACTTTCCTCAGACCTCTATCCCGGTGACTCAAGGTGTTGACGGGCGGAGGTCGTGTCTGCGAACTACTCGGTATGGCTGCCATGACTAAGAAGTGCCTGTGCCTTCGCCTTCGCCCCCAGAAGGTCCGTGGAGGATTCCAATGGCTCGTCGATCACATGTCAATACTTGAGGTTGGTTCGTGAGGCTGGGATCATAAAGTGTTTGCTATGCTGAAGTACGGTATTCGTTCCACAAGCATCATGTCGTGACCACCTGTGCACTTCCGAGGCAAGACGTTGGACAGGAAAGTAAGTTGCAAGGAAAGAAATGTCGCACGAGATGAAAGAGGCGTTCGCAGGTGCAGAAGTGTCAGCCCTATGGATGCGACTTCCCTTTCTTCCAGAAGCTCGCCTGGCTGTGCTCACTCCTTCGACAGGCACATGATAGTCAGACACTCCACTTTGATGCGTCGATAGGGCCAGATTGATGTGCATACCCGCCTGGCTTGCATGTGACGGAGGCGCAGATATGGCCCCAGGGGCGGTGAGATGCGAAAGAGATGTGGCGTCAAGATATCACATGCCTCGGCTGAACGGTCGCAAAACGGTCGAAGAGATATGAGTACCTAGTGGTCGAAGAGTATCAGAGTCATTGGAGCCGTACGAGTACTTTGGGAAAGCATCTTTGGGAGTGAGAAGAAAAGGTCAAGCAGTACGTTTTCTAACCATATCAACAGCTGCTCAACGATGATACGCCAACGCATGATCCAAAATCCACTGAATGCCCTCCTGCCTAAACGTATCCGGCTCGGCATATGCCAGCGCCGTGGTATTCGCATCCCAGACAATATTCTGCGGCTCCTCAACACTATACTTCGGCCACGCCTCCGCCTGCGCATACCGCCCCTCAAACCCGTTTGGGTCCAGAGTAGCGATGAAAGACGCCCACGACGAACTCATCAGCTTCGCCAGTTGCTGGTAGCTCTGCGGCTTGCCTTGGAAAGGATTCACAGTCCCGTGAGCCTTGTTGTAGCCTACGCCTTGGGTGTTGTCGAAGACGAAAGCGACTTCCTGGAAGTGCGTGACTCCGACCTCGAAGTCTGATCCGGCAGGGCGAGTGTTGAAGCGGTAGCAGTACGCCGGGACGCCAGCAGCGGCCCAGGCCTGGCAGGCGCCGCGACGGTTGGCGATCATGACTACGTCGCCGAAGTAGGCGGCGCTGCGCTGGTATTGGTGTCCTTTGCCAAAGGGTTGCGTGTAGGTGTAGTTGCCCACCGTCTCGACGCCAGGGATCCAGTATTCCGGTTCATTGGGATAGACGTCTGGGAGCATTTCGGCGAAGTAGCGGGGGAGGGTGGCTTGGACTTCGTCGCTGGAGGCGAAGTCGATGAAGTCTTGGGTGCTGTTGACACCCATTGGACCGAAGGAGACGCCCTCATCTGTGTTGGCGCCGTCCATGATAGGCACCTTCACGAAGTCGCCTTGGGCTAGCTGGATGCTGCCAAACTTGGCTACGAAGTCGCCGTCGACGATCGGTTGCCAGTCTCCAGCAGAGCTGGTGTTGAAGAGGTTATTGAGTTTCTTGTAAGGCACAGAGCGAAGACAGTCGAGGGTGTCGATGGAATGCGCACATCCAGCAGCCTTCACGACATGGTCATACTTCGGCTGGAAGAAAGTGTTATCGCGGTAGCTGTTATAGGGCACGGGGTTGCCGGACTCCATAATGGCCGCGCGGAAGATATTGTCGTCTCTGCCGTTGTAGGCCATCAGATGCCAGCCGACTGAGGCAGCTCCGGCACTTTCGCCCCAGATCGTAACCTTGGAACAGTCTCCGCCGAAAGCACCAATGTTCTCATGTATCCAGTGCAGGGCTAGACGTTGGTCACGAAGGCCCATATTCGTGTTACCGCTTCCGGAGACCTCTTGAGACTGTAGGAAGCCCCAAGCAGAAAGGCGGTATGCAATAGAGACGCCGATGATGGGTCGACCAATATCGACACTGTTCTGAACAATGAAGCTCAGGTTGTACCTCTCATCGGTAGCTCCTCCCTAGAACCAGTCAGTGTCCGCTGCCACTTCCTCTTGCTGAAGTACTGACCATATACAGCCCTCCACCATGGATCCACACGCCAAGAGGTAGATCCTGGCCATCACAACCAGACGGACGAACGACGTTCAACACCAGACAGTCCTCAGAGACAGGATAGCCGATCTGATCGCCTCCATACCCAACACATTCTGGTGCATACTCCGTCGCCTGCAAAGTACTGTCGTACGTCGTGTTCAAGCTCTGCGGGTTACGGAAGCGCAGCTCATTCACCGGTGGCTGAGCGTACGGGATCCCGAGGAAATAGTCCTGATCATAGGTGTTCGAATGGACGCCAGAGATCGTTCCGTTCTTGACCGTCACGGTAGGTGCACCAGAGGATTGTCGCTTGGTCTCGGATACAGCAAGAGCAAGGGTCTCAGTAGACAGCGCTGCCAGTGTGAGGAACTTCATCATTGCTCAGTGGCTCTCGTCGAGGAAGCTGACCAGAGACGAAGTGGCCGGCGAGCGGAGTATATGTAGGTATCCATTGTCGACTCCAGCCATCGCTGCGGACTACGTCAGTCAACACCACTTCACAAGCTTCCGGCAGCGGGGAGGAGACAGGCATGATCGTCTCTGTGAGTGGCTCTTCATCCCGTCAAGCAGCGGTGCGAGATCGAAGAAGGCAGGTCGAGTGTCTTGCAGAGGGCGGGGGAGTGTGGAGTTGATGCAGGCCATGTCAAGTCCACCAATCAACAACACATCTATCTTGACACCGTGAAGACGGCTTAGTGAAGACTTTTGATTCATGCCGCCGAGGTTTTGCCATGAAGAGGATTTCTCGTGGTGTTCGGTGCCGGGTTGTTGTGACCCGACAAGCAAGCCCAGTGCCAAGGCGAGCTTCAATTCTTCCTTGGACAAGCCAAGGCTCTCGAAGACTCGTTGGGAGCTTGAGGATGCTCTCTTGCTTGGAGAACATACGAAATGGACTGCGACCGTATGATTGCTGGATGAAGCCACGGAACTCGCCTTGTTGACAGGTCTGAGATGATGACATGAGACGACCTCTAGGAAGGGCCATCTCATCACGCCCCATCACTCCAGACAGCAGCCCACGCTCGCTGTTCTGAAACCCTCGAGGGCGGGCATCTACAGCTGCTCGAGCTGATTGTTAATCATAAGATATGGAGTTGGCGGTGACCTGCGGATGGTATTCGAACCATCGTCGAAGCCATTCAAACTCTGATTTCAACCAGCTCGACAGCCTGGCGCACTCGTGTTCACGGATAGGTTTCGTTACCGCGATCCGAGAGACAGGACAACCAAGACAAACCTCCCAACCACGCCTCTGCCAAAAATTCTAACGACTGCCGGCGTCGTCGGGCTAAGAGAAAATGTTAGGTCCGGCTCGCGGGCGGCTCTGTTCGCTCAACCAGATCGGGCAGATTTTCCAGATCTACAACGTCATCTTTGGTGATGTTTTCGATGCTCGACCAATTTTTCTGACTTTGGCCTCATGGTGAGATCACAACGTCACCGATTTTGACGCGCTGTGGTGATGCGCTGCTGTCCGCGGCCATTCGGGACTTCAACATACCTTTCTGCGATTAAGTTTTGGGTAAGAGGTTGGTGTGTTGGGATGTCGTCTGTTTAAGATCTGCTTCGCCGTCCTTCTCGTGGATCAGGCACATTTTCACGCGTTTCTGTCAACAGCTCTTCCGTTCTCTCTTCATCTCGTACCAGAAATACGATGGCCGAGCTTTTTCGTGACACAGTGGCGGGACATTTACTGCGCTTCGTGACAGGAAAGAAGCTCCTTCCATTCGCAGAAGAGGCGGACCCCGACATCTGGACTCACTATATCGACGAGAAGAAATCTGGCCACCTTGCTCACCATGGCGACACCAGCCCGCCAGAAGACAGCTCGAGCTTGGACGAACTGGAGGGGGTTCGAACACGGGAGAACCAGTCCTCGAGGCGCTGGCAATCGTACAACTCAAGAGCCAGCACGCAGAACATGAACGCAGCGAGTGGTGCGAAGGTAGATCCGGAAAAAGGCAAGGATATCCATCTAGTGTCGTGGTATGGGGACAAGGACCCAGAGAACCCTCAGAACTGGAGCACCTTCAAGAAGGTCTTCGTGACCTTCGAGATCTGTCTGTTGACGATCTCGGTATACATTGGCTCAGCGATCTACTCCTCCGGCACCGAATCCGTCATGGCCACTTTCGGCGTCAGCAGAGTAGCCGCAACCCTAGGCTTGACGCTGTTCGTCGCAGGTTACGGTGTTGGGTAAGCACCAAACTACAACAACTGCCTCCTCTATCATGTACTAACACACGCTCCCAGCCCCATGCTCTGGTCCCCCATGTCCGAAATCCCCCAGGTCGGCCGCAACCCCGTCTACATACTCACCCTCGTTGTCTTCGTCGCCTTCCAGCCCGGCGTCGCGCTCGCAAAAAACTTTGGCATGATGCTCGCCTTCCGCTTCTTGACCGGTTTCTTCGGCTCTCCAGTCCTAGCGACCGGCGGCGCCTCGCTCGCGGATATTTGGTCTCCTGCCAAACGCGCGTACGCGATGTCGATCTGGGGTATTGCGGCTGTCAGCGGACCTGTCATGGGACCTGTTGTGGGAGGCTTTTGCGTTCAGTACGGTCCGATCTTCGGAGGGTTTACGGCACCGTGGACGTGGCCGATTTGGGTGTTGATGTGGTTGTCGGGGTTCTGTTTGGTCTTTCTGTTCTTTTTCGTGCGTACAGATACCTCTGGAAGTGCTTGAGTCGGTCGCTGACGTGTTGGCAGTTCCCGGAGACCTCGGCGAACAATATCCTTGTCCGACGAACAAAGCGCCTGCGCAAAATCACGGGTGACCACAAGCTGAAGTGCGAGCCGGAACTCATGTCGGAGCAGATGTCAACGAATGATATTGTCATGATGAGTTTGGTCCGGCCCTTTACTCTCAATTTCCAGGAGCCTATGGTGAGTCTTCTGCACCACCGCCGCTATATCTTCGCGCAAACTAATTACCTCCCAAGGTCTTCTTGCTCAATCTCTACATCGCCCTCATCTACGGCCTCCTCTACATCTGGTTCGAGTCTTTCGTCGCCGTCTTCGTCGGCGTCTACGGTTTCACCTTGAGCCAGGAAGGCCTATCCTTCCTCGGTATCTTCATCGGAGCCCTCATCGTCATCCCGCCGTTCTTCCTGTACCTCAGATACCATCTTGAACCGCAATTCGACGAGAACGGCGAGCTGCAGCCCGAGAAGCGGTTGCCCCCGGCTTTCGTGGGAGCTTTCTGCATCCCAATGTGAGTCTCATCCCTGCTCCTTTGACCGCGACACAGTACTGACTTGATCCCCAGCTGTCTCTTCTGGTTCGGCTGGTCCGCCCGCCCTTCCGTCCACTGGATCGTGCCCATCGTCGGCTCCGGCTGGTTCTCCATCGGCGCTTTCCTCCTCTTCAACTCCGTCCTCAACTACCTCCCCGACGCCTACCCGGAATACGCCGCCTCTGTCCTCGCGGGCAACGATCTCTTCAGGAGTTCTTTTGGTGCCGGATTCCCACTGTTCGCGAGCGCGATGTACAATGATCTGGGCATCGCGTGGGCGAGCAGTACGTTGGCGTTCTTGAGCATTGCGTTTATCCCGATTCCGTTTCTGTTGTATAAGTATGGGGCGACTTTGAGGAAGAATCATTCGAAGTTTGCGAGGAGGGATTTGTAGTATGTCGGATCAGAGTATCGGGAGCAAGAGGTGTCGGCTTTTGACCTTCAATCACGACTTATGCGATGTGAATGAGCTTTTTGTCATTTAGCTTGGAGTTTCTGAGGCATACAGATAGATTAGATGGCATAGACGTACTAATTGCTGAGTTGCTCTCATGCTCACACTACCTAAGATACTTCGAAACTCCAGCTCAAGAGCAATGACATATACCACGCTGCTGACATGCTCAAAGCCGGGTCATGAAACGTACCACACGTCCTCATTCCAGCTATATCCGCCGACTGTTCTCCATTTCCTGCCGCATATGCTCCATCCCATCCCGATACCCCGCCTCATACGCCCCGCCCATCTTCTTCGCATGGTCTATGCCTCCCGAACCGGCACCAGCACTCATCGGCATCGTCTGCTCAGCGCTCGCGCGGCCTGCATACTCCCCGGGCCGCGAATAATTCTGCGTCGAAGACGAGCCAGGCTGTTGCTGGTGTTTGCCATACTCGTAGGCCCCCACGCCTCCCGCACCCACTCCACCCGCCATCGCTGCGTCGCGTCCGTAGTGATGTCTGCTGTCCCCACCGCTTATGGAGCTGAGGTCTTGCTGCCCGCCGCTTGAAGCGTGGGGGGCGGAGTTGATGTATTCGGGACCGTATCCACGCGATCCAGACGCTATGCCGGCTTGTTGCGAGCGCGACGTTTCCGCGTCGGCGTAGGGTGCGCGACTACCGCCTGTGGTGGGGCTCATGCCGTGTTCGTGTGCGGCGGCGGCGGCGGCGCGTTGGCCTCTGCTGGAGTACGGATCGTAGGGTTGGCGCGGGGAGGAGGAAGAGGTGGTGTTGGTTGTGGTGGTGGTGCGGGGGTCGTTTGAGTATCCGGCCGGCGCTTCGCTGCGCGTGGTGGTGCTGTAGCCGCCGGGGTGGGTGGAGTGCGAGGTGGATTGGGATGGGTAGTCGGCCGTGCGGGAGCTGTGGGTGGGATAGTCGGCCGTACGAGGGTCGCGGTTGGAAGATTGGCCTGAGTAGTCGTTTCTCCGTGTGTCGGTCGGCTGCATGCCGTAGCCGTCGCGGCCTGCGGCGCTGGTCGAGCCGGATGAGTTGCTAGGGACTGCTGTGCCGGTTGGGCCTGAAGTGCTGCCGGAGACAGGGTGTTGATGAGTTGATGCATTGCCGGACGAGCTGGACTCCTTGGACTCGTATTGCTGGTTGTCCGACGACTTGCTGCCGGAGAGCTTGTCTTCGATCTTGCTGATGAGACCCATTGTGAAGAAGTGGTTGAGTAGGTATTGCAGTTGATGTGGACAGTGTGGAACCGGTTGAAGTTGCGACAAGGAAGACGTGGTATGGACTGCAGACCTACCTAGTATATAGTCACCTGCCCATCATACGTCAACGGTCAAGGCGATTGATGGTATACAAGGAAATGGCTGGGTTAGTGCGACGCTGTGCCTTGGACTGACCAAGTTGGTACGCGTAAAGCCGATTTTCTTCACGATCGACGACAAGGATTCGCATGTTGCGTCATGCGGCGGAAATTTCCTGGTCAACTCTTCCTCACGGACCACTTCCTGCATACCATTTGCATAGAACGACGCTCGTCCATTGTTCGCTACAACGTGGGTATCGTCTCAAGCTTCCACAGCCATCTCCTCTGTAACGCCCACTCCTCCCGCATCAGGCTCGTCTCCCCACAAACCTTCTATCCGGAAAGGCTGCGCCAACTGCGTTACCACCTGCACCTGTCCTTTCCCATTCGCACTGACTGCTTTCTTCTCCGAGACAGTGTCAACCGCTGGGAGCTGCAGTCTTTCCTCGTTCAGATCACTTAACACGACGAGTGCTGCAGACTGCAAGTTCGGCACTCCTCCCTTTCCCAAACGTCCGCGCTTCCTCGCGACCTCCACCAAAAAGCTCGAGGTCATGTCTGTGCCCGCCGTCATCAGAGGTGGTGTCTGATAGTGATCGAGTAGCCGTTGAATGCCGTCTGTCGTCTGCTGCATGCGGTCGAGTAATGCCGACACTGCTTTGATGGGATCTGCCAGTGCTTGCTTGGGCAGTGGATTGCGAGTCGCTTGACCTGGTGCTGGATGGGTGTTCTTGTCCTCAATGCCTCCCCACTCCTCGTCATCGTCCGCATCATCCTCATCTTCTTCGTCTTGGTCGTCAGGCCCGTATGCTTGCGCACGAGCTTGCGCAGAGGCTAGCAGTGCCGCCATAGGGTTGCTTTCGTCCCGCTCGTCCATTGCCTCGACGTCTCCGTCCTCAACATCACTCTCCATGTCAAGCAGAATGTCATCATCGTCCTCGCCCTCATCCGCTTCTGCAGCGACAGCCTTCTCCGGTATTGCCACGCCTTGCCTTTGCGCCTTCGCAATCTCCCGCTTCCTCTGCACCTCTTCCTCCTTCTTGCGCTTATTCTCCTCTACCTCGGCCAGCAACTTCGCCTTGTAGGGGAACAGATTCGGAATGCCGGGGTCCTTTTTTAACCGCGACGTCCATTGTGGATTCTTCTTCGCTTCCTTGCGCTGCTTCCTCTGCTTCGCCGTGGATGCCTTCTCGATCTTGTGCCGTAGCCGCACCGGCGTGCGCTTTGATTTGGGCTTGCCGACCTTCATTTTGATTAGGCTGAAAACTAAGGAAGAGTCGGAGGACTTGCAGCTTGACAGCGCATCGAAAAAATGGTCGAAAATGGTCGAGACTCGCATCGCCAAGATTTCACGGAAGCAAAGTTTATCCGACGCCGGGTCGCGACTTCCTTGACTTCACCTCAACTCTTCCGCTGAGAGAGTCTCTGCATCGACGCCCACCGGACCACTGCTGCGGTCGACGTCGGTCAGCATCGATGACCTCTGTGACGTTATTACTATGTCTCCCCCTTCTCCATACTGCCCGTGAAGCATGTTCCCGGCTGCAAATGGTGTTCCTCAGAGCTTCCCCCAAGCTGGCGCCTTCGGCGGACGGTGTCCCGTCGAGCAACAACATATCACCGACACCATGGGCGGCGTCCGCTGGATAAGCGCTCCAAAATCAGCCGGTCGCACTGCGCGATAATAAGCTAATGAAGAGCGGTGTGTTGGCAACAGATAAGAACTCTCTTTCTTCCTCTTTCCCTTCTCTCTTCCTTTCCTTCACCCATCAGCTCAAGCAATCTTTCTACAACCACCACTTCCAGCAAAACCCGGGTCTCAGACGACCCTGCCGGCAAGACGTTTTCCAATCTTCTCAACTCGTGAGTCTTTTCTATTACTGCTGTCTAGACGTTGTGTGTCTGTGGCTCCATCGCTCTTGGGAGTTCCGACTTTGTGGTGGTCGTCCGAGGGCAAAGCCGCACTGAACCATCAAGACATTATGAATGTCTACTAAATAAGATCTTACAGCGTCCACCACCCGTTTGCCGGACGTCGCTGTTCTCCAGCATCTACGGCGCCGGACCAACCTTTCTGTCGATAAACTCAGCTTCCATCGTCAGGAACTCGACTCAACATGGCCCCACACGCCAACGACTTCGATGGCAGTGCCACTGGCGTTAGCTTGACCAACCAAGCGATGGCACCATCCAACTCCTTCACGGTGTCTTCGCCAAACGTCGCCTACACCGATGACACCATCACCAGCAAGTACACCTACCGTACCACCGCGATCGATACCAGCAATGGCAAGGTCGTGGCTACGCCAAAGGAGACGGTGTACGACTTCAAGACCGAGCGTAAAGTCGGCAAAGTCGGCTTGATGATGGTCGGCTGGGGCGGCAACAACGGCTCTACCGTCACGGCTGGCATCATGGCCAACCGCCAGAACCTCGTCTGGGATACACGTGAGGGCCAGCGTGCTGCCAACTACTACGGATCCCTGGTCATGGCCTCGACCACCAAGCTTGGCGTCGACAGCAAATCCGGCAAGGACATCAACATCCCGCTGCACGATGCAATGCCGATGGTCCACCCCAACGACCTGGTCATTGGCGGATGGGACATCAGCTCGCTCGACATGGCGGCCTCGATGGACCGCGCTCAAGTCTTGGAGCCTACCCTCAAGCAGATGGTCAGGAAGCAGATGTCGGCTATGAAGCCACTTCCAAGCATCTACTACCCAGACTTCATCGCTGCCAACCAGGGCGAGCGTGCCGACAACACCATCGCAGGCGACAAGGCGTGCATGGACCACGTTGAACACCTTCGCAAGGATATTCGTGACTTCAAGTCCCAGAACGGCCTGGACAAGGTCATCGTGATGTGGACTGCCAACACTGAACGCTACGGCGATCTCGTGCCTGGTGTCAACGACACTGCCGACAACCTCATGAAGTCCATTGAGTCTGGGCATGCTGAGATTGCGCCCTCCACCGTCTTCGCAGTGGCTTGCATCAAGGAGGGAGCACCCTTCATCAACGGCTCGCCGCAGAACACCTTTGTTCCTGGCTGCATCGAGCTCGCTGACCAGCACGGTGCCTTCATTGGTGGCGACGATTTCAAATCTGGTCAAACCAAGATGAAGTCCGCTCTCGTCGACTTCCTCATCAATGCCGGCATCAAGCTCACCTCGATTGCAAGCTACAACCACCTCGGCAACAACGACGGCAAGAACCTCTCCAGCCAGAAGCAGTTCCGCTCAAAGGAGATCAGCAAGTCGAATGTTGTTGACGACATGGTCGCTGCCAACTCCTGCCTCTACAAGGAGGGCGAGCACCCAGACCACACCGTCGTCATCAAGTACATGCCCGCCGTTGGGGACAACAAGCGTGCCCTCGACGAATACTACGCCGAGATCTTCATGGGCGGCCACCAGACTATCTCGCTCTTCAACGTCTGCGAGGACTCGCTGCTCGCTTCGCCGCTGATCATCGATCTGGTCGTCATCGCTGAGCTCATGACCCGTATCCAGTGGCGCAACCACGGCGAGCAGGACTGGAAGAGCTTCCACAGCGTGCTGAGCGTTTTGAGCTACATGCTCAAGGCGCCCATGACGCCGCCTGGAACTCCGGTCGTCAATGCGCTCGGCAAGCAGAGGAGCGCTTTGGTCAATATTATGCGGGCTTGTGTGGGCTTGGAGCCGGAGAACGACATGACGCTTGAGCACAAGCTGTTCTAGATCATGGATTAGCCGGTGGCATCAGGGTGATAGGGTGACAATTGGGATGGAGGAGTAATTACAGGCATCTACAGTACCCTCTATAGAATTTCCTACATCTAGTCTATCATTACTTCGCAAGCAGATACTCCCTCTCATAGAGCGTTTTCATTACACCATAGACCCCACTCACAGGCCACGTATTCCAAACCAGACTCTTCGCCCACCCCGACCACGTCTCCGTCCCTCTGTACGCTCTTGCGACATCCACCCGCACCTTCTGGAACACATCAGGCAAGTACGTCGCCTTGTACTTCTCCCGTATGGCATCGTACCACCGCTTATCGTATATCCGCCAGAACTCGGCCTCGGTGTAGTAAGCTTGCGCATACAACCACTTGATCCCTCCGAACTGCTGGACTTTCTGCTCCAGCTGCCTGTTGACGTCGACGAATTTTGCGTAGTTGGTTGGACCTGGTCCCCAAACACCGACGTTGACGAAGGAGACAGTCTTATCGTCCGCATACGCTCCGTGAGCGAGATCCGGATGCATGGCAACTCCATTCCCGACTTTGAGCGGACATAGCCAGAGTGGCCAGAAATCGAAGTCGGTGCTGATGTAGTCGATGAAATCCTCTGCCGTGCTCTCAGGTAGAAGGAGGTCCTGAACAATATACTTCGAAGCGTGTCCCGAAGCATGCAAAGCCTGATACATCACACGCGTGTGCATGAAATAATCCAGCGCCCAGCGCGTGATGCGGTTGAAAGGCGTGATGAAGTAAGAAAAAGCGTACTTCCCCGTCCAGAAAGCTCCCCGGTCGTAGCGGAAGAGGTAGTCTCGGACAGGAACGTATTCTTTCACGGGATCGAGTTGCCGGCTCGCGGTGCGTTCGACGTGGATGTAGAACCAGGGGTCTTGGGCTCTGCTGAAGCGTTGCAATTTGCCAGAGGGTGGGATGGTGTCGACGAGACGGCCGGTGGCGATGACGCCGCGGTCTTGGGCGTAGAGGATGCCGTCGACGAAGTCGGTGCCGGGGACTTGAGTGGCGCCGCGCATGGTTTTGAGGGCGTCGCTCACGCTGGTGACGGGGTGGTATGTCAACTCCACGAACGGTTCGTAGTCTCTCAGCCTTAGCTCGAACAACGTCGTTACGCCCAACGTCCCCAGCGTGCCTGCCGCGCCTCGGAAGAGATCCTCACGTTCGTTCTCCGAAGCACAAACGACCTCGCCATCCGGAAGGACAATCTCGAACCAATTGACCGTAGCATCGAAAAACCCTTCCTTGAACCCCGAACTCTCCCCAGCAGTCCCGCTGAATCCTCCTCCAACAGTGATACCAGGAAATTCCATTACAACAGGGGGCAGCAGACCGTATGGCGTGAGTGCATCGACGAGCTCGTCCATAGCTACGTTGGGCTCGACGAGACATGTCTTCTTCTCCGTATCAACGCTGAGGACGTGATTGAGGCCAGAGGTGTCGATGATCCGGTTGCGGTCGAGTTTACGGTGTTGCGTGCTGTTGGTCGACCCATGGTAGAGTCGGAAGGGCGTTTGGGTGGCGTAGAAGTGCTGGACTCGAGATGATATGGCCGCTACAGCGGTGGCGTGGGCGTCCATGTGTGTTGACGGGAGAAGGCGGATGTGGTGGCTTCAAGGCTGAGGTGTTAATTACGGGTATCTGTACATTGGTCGTAAGGATAGAAATAATTGTGGAAAAGGAAAGCGCTCAAGTATGTACATAGCAAACAGACGCAGTATTTACAGGTCGTACGAAGATGGAAAGAGAGTCGTCTCAAGATTTGACTTTTGCGAGACCACGTCGTCGTTGTGGTCTGTGCCTTGAGCGACCCTCCTCATCTTCCTTCCATAATTCATCGTTCGAATATGAACATGCGTTCCCCGGCATGACGTCTAGCTTGAAACCCTCGAGGGACGTTGTAACAATTCGGCCATGTGATGGACTGTGATGGAGAGCGGGAGGCGCTATGAATCTCCTTCCTCCTCTAGATGGACCTGGCGGCTCGCTGGCGGGATGACCTTCAACCTGGAATGTAAGGTATCGTACTACCAGGTGCTTCAATACTATCAACACGATAAGGCAAGTCCTAGGATGCAGCATCTCGGAAGAATCCATCGAGCAGCACGACTAGATGCCAAATGGCCACACCGGGAGAGAATGATTCATCGCGCGAGATACAGGGGTTTGATTCCTACGGCTATGGGAAAACTACCAGAAGCAATAAGATCTCGCAACCGCTTATCAAGGAGCGTTATTGCGTGCTCGCACCACACAATCGCATCACGGAGCCAAGGGGTCTTGGACACTATTGAATACAGCTTCATGCCGAGCGGCAAAGGTCGAGGATCCGCCCCCAAGGGCGCCCACCATATCCATCTGCTCAACATCCACCCATACAGGCACGCTCCAAAGGAAGAATACGCATGAGTTGTCCAGTTGCGATGAGAGCCGAGCTATGGCGAGATGTTATCGCACGTTGGCGGTCAACTTGTGGGACCCAAGGTGAGCACGCCAACAGGACAGTGTACCTTGGCCACGTCGAGGTGTTGTTATATAGTCTGGGAGAAGGCCACAGGGACCGGGCCTGGTTTTGGTACGTAGTACTACCCTTGCTTCAACCGCAGTCCTCAGCATGGAGAGTAAGTACCCTCGAACAGATGAACTTCCCTATGGCAGTGGGAGTGAGAATGGATCGACATCAGAGCAAGGTTGGTCACCTGAAGAGGAGAGACGTGCGAAGCGAAAGTGAGTCGTGCTTCCATTCGCCACTCGAGTTTTACTGTCAACTTAGATTGGACATGATCATTATGCCTCTGCTCACCCTGGGTTTCTTCTGCCTGCGTGCGTGAACCTATAACTGTGATTCTGACTCTTCACGTACAGCAGCTGACCGTCGATCTTGATGTAGAGCTCGATCGAGGAAACATTGCCAATGCTATTACGGACGACTTTATGGAAGATGTTGGTATGTAGCTCAACAACCTTTCGCTTGAGCAATGCACCCAATTGGCTCACGTTCTCCAAGGTATTACCCAGAACCAATTCAACGTCGGCCAGCAGATGCTGTCGCTTGGGATCGTGCTCTTCGAGATCCCGTCCAATATGGTGCTATATCGCGTAGGCCCTGGAAAATGGTTAACCCTGCAGCTCTTCCTCTTCGGCCTTGTAAGCACATTCCAAGCTTTCCAGAGCAGCTATGGGTCTTCCTCGCTACCCGATTGATCTTGGGTATCACTGAGTCCGGCTTCATTCCGGGAGGGCTGTGGACACTATCTACCTGGTACGTTTACTGAATCACAATTCAAAGCACATGTCACGAGCTGAATTTGTCCAGGTACACACGGAAAGAGACTGCCAAACGAGTCATGATCTTCTACTTCGGCAACCAGTTCGGGCAGGCTTCGGCCAAGCTGCTCGCATATGGCATCCTTCACATGCGAGGAGTAGGAGGTCGTTCCGGATGGTTCTGGCTCTTCGTCCTCATGGCAACCTTCACCATCCTTTGCGGAGGCATTCTAGGTCTTTTCCTCCCGGACTCCTTCAAGAAACCTCATGGCACGTTCCTGCCTAATGTGGACATCTTCACTGAACGAGAGATCTACATCTTGAACAAGCGGGTCAAGCTCGATGACCCAGCAAAGGATAGGAAGAAGAAGCGAATCGGTTTGTCGGCATTCAAGAAGGCAGTGAGTCTTCTCCTAGGCGATGATAATTACCATCGGCAGCATGAGCTGACCAGCGACGCAGTTCAGCAACTGGAGAATGTGGATACACCTTCTCATTACATTATGCAATAATGGGTGAGTCATGTTGCTACACTCTCCTGATCAAGCTGACTTGTCCACTAAACAGACCACAACGAGGCTTCGACACATAGGCACCCTCTCTGGTTCAAGAATTCGGATTTGGGGACCTCAGCTCTAACGCTTTGGCATCCATCGGTCTGTTCATTCAGATCCCGGTCTCGTTCACGTTCTCGTACATCTCGGATCACTTCAATAGACGTGGCGAAACGGTGATTGCCGGCTTGAGCATGACCGTACTAGCCTACATCTTCAACAGAATCTTCACTGAGATCAGCAACAGAGGCCTACGCTACTTTGGCGTGGTCTGGACCCAGACGTTCGGGACGTTCAGCCATCCACTGAATATCACGTGGATGTCGCTCACTTGCACTGATTCGGAGGAGCGAGCGCTGGCGATGGCAATGTAAGGACCAATCTTCGCTGTCTGAATCAAGCCAAGCTGATCACCTGGCCACAGGGTAATCATGAGAGCCAGCTGCGCCGGCATCTACGGCGCTCAGCTCTACCGCTCCGACGACGAACCACGCTACCGTAGAGCCTTCTCAGTCTGTATCGCGGTGCTGAGGCTCGGGACGTTGCTCGCCGCTGTAAGAAAGGTCGACGAGATTCTCATCCGCCGCAGTGGCGGCAATGCAGAGGAAGAGGATCTGGGCGGTGCGGAGCGGGAGGTATATGACGAGCTCAAGCCCACGGAGCCAAGCAGTGCGCTGCCGCGACCGACGCTGGTTGATGGCAATGTCAAGCCGATCGCGGCGCAGGAGACGTAGGTGATTTCTAGAAGAAAGTTGGAGGATGAGAATGACGTTCAAGAGTGAGTGCTTTGAAGGACGGTTCATTGATTATGAGAGGATGCCGACGTCAAACGGATGGGCGCAACTGTTCTCCGAAACACGTTCAAGGTCCAAGGACTGCGCAGCGCTCTAAGAACTTCCCATGCTTTAATTCAACGGTCGAGCCACCCTCTGAGACTAGCATCCCCGGGCTACATACTGCTTCTATCATCTGATCACATGGCGAGGTTGTCAGCGGGTCTCTCAGAGACTACCGAAGGAGGCTATACCATGTGACATTGCCTGCAGTTCTTCTTCACTGACCGCTGCGCTCGCCACTTACTACTTCGGTGGCGCACTGCTGTTTACTTCGTTGTGGTGAGGAACTTGTTTGGTTTTGATTTCTGCAAGTCGTCGTGCCGTCCTCAGTTGTCTTTGTCCACTCAATTGTCGCTGTCAGTTCCTAAGTGTGCGGCTCGGCGACGTCGTCTCTCGCGACCTCCCGGGACGATGCAGTGTTTGTTGAGTTGGGGTTTGATGCCTGCTTGATGATATCGTGTCTCACAACTTCTTGTGACGGTGCAGCTATTAATGGTTCGACATCCGATTCCTGCTCAACCACATCACCTCCCAATACTTTTTTCCACATTTTGAGGAACCACACTTTGACCGCTCATTAGAAGAGCACTGTCCGTTTAGAAATCGCACTCGCTCCATCTTCATCTGACGGCACAGTGATCGTTGGGCCATGGGCCGACTCCTGCTCGACGTTGCCGCTTCTCGCGATCTCATATGACGGTGCAGTGATGGCTGGGCCAGGCGCCCAGTCTTCCCCAGTCCTGCTGCGCACTTCGGTAATCTATGGATGCTGATATATCTGTTTGATGGATACACGCTCTTCGGGAGTCCACCTCAGCACAGCCTTGAGGAGTTCTAACATGTTTTCCGCCTCTGTTCCAGGCACCTTTGCTCCGCACGGTTCCAGCATTGATGCGCAAAGTCCAGATACAGCGCCTTCTTCTTCGTCATCATAGGCACCAATGTCATCAATTGCCTCGTCGATTGGATACTCGATGGCCCAGGTGGTGCCGTCCGGCCACTCCTGCAGAGGTTTCCCAGACTCGTCAAAGTAGTCCGTCCTGAGGTCCCACAAACTCCACCAAGGTTCGGGCAAAGCACCTTTCATCTCCACCATCTGCTTAACGATCTCGTCTGGACCACCCAAGAGATTTGCGAACAAGCGTTGCCCAGCTCTGACCTCGTACAAGAGGCAGGCCAGGGACCATGCCTCTGAAGGAGGAGTATAGACCAAGTCGAGGATTGTCTCAGGCGCTCTGTAATCCGAAGGGACACCGATGTCTTTCGGTTGAGGTGGGCTGTCGAGTTCGAAAGCTTTTCCGAAATCGACAAGGAGTATGTTGTTCTCCAAGAATGCTGCATCAGGAAGGCCCGCAGGCTCGACGGCATACAGAGGACCAGAACCGCTGTGTTCCTCGCCAGAAGAGAGGCGCAAGGGCACTTTCACAGGCATCCCGAGTCTATGGTATAGTTCATCTTCCGTCCAAGCATCCATTGAATTCAGCTTCAGAAGCACGTTCGACAGAGTGAGATCTGAGAATTCAGTCAGTCAATAGGGTCCTGCAACAACCAAGCACTCCAACTCACCCCCGTGGCAGATTCGGTGCGAATGAAGGGAATCCACCGTCTGCGCGATCTGGTTGAGGATAGTCTGGGCAATGTCGGCTCGCAACCTTCGAGAACCTTGCCCATATCCACATCCTGACGGATTTTGAGCACTGTAAACATCGCGCAGACTGGGACCGGCGACTTCAGTAACGAGACAGATGTGTTCGCCATTAGGTCCATGTATGCTGAAGTGGTCAACGAGCGTCCGAATGTGTTTCTTTCCAGGATGGTTGGTTTGCAGCTCTGCGAGTCGACGGAGCATGTCCAGCTCATTCCGACGGGCCGTCTCGTCCGATCGCAGGATCTTCAAGGCAACATATCGTTCTTCTACAGCGTCGCGGGCAAGCCAGGTGGTGGAGAAGCCGCCAGCACCAAGTTTGTGTAGGACTTTGTACTTTCCGTGGAAGGTGTCTCCAAGATGCACGGGATGAAACCCCCCTGGCCGATATTTTTCGATGTCTTCGATGGTATCCGACAGGGTAGGATAGTACAGTCGTCCTGGCGGATCCATGGTGAAATTAGTCCAAATTAGTATGTGGATGCACGTGATGTGCCTGGAATTGGTATGCAAGTCCGCAGCATCGACCAGTGAAGAGGCTGCTTTATGGTACCCGCCGTGGGATAAGTTTGCTGGGGTGACTTGTGATGAAGTCATCGCGATGATTCCAGTCAGCGTGGACGCACAACAGTCCATAGGGCCAGTCGGTAGCGCTGACCAGCGGTTCGTGATAGCCATCAGTCAAGTCGCTTGCAGCGTGTGCGAGCGGACGCAAGACCCGCAATTCGGATGAGTGGAGCAGCATGCGACAAGTCTTCTCCTTTGTTGACGGTCACATTCCTTCTTGATTCTCCGCAATCAGTCCATCAGATGTCCAAGAATTTGACTCAGACCATCAGACTTTAGAGTACCGTCTCAGGCCTTCGTGCGTTGCTCATCTTGGAGACGTTGCTTTTGCATCCGCAATGTCCACAACGCCAATCTGTTGCATAGGTTGATATAAAGCAACGACAAGGGAGGTTGAACGATTCTCGAGAAGGATCGATACAGCCGTTTTATCACACCGACGTGTCCAATGGGTGCAAAGATGGTCTAATTGTCGCGCTTCGCTTTGGCAGCCTGAAGGCTAATCGCGATGTGAAGTTCTTCCTGTTCCAGCCGAATCTCTTCCTCGATGGCCTTGAGGGTTGTTGGAGTTCTCCTTCCTCCTTGACGTAGCGCTGTTTGCCAATAATCCCTTTGGAGAGTCGTTTTGATATGTGATTGATGCCGCAACTTTCATTGTTCCGCTTCCAATTCGGCTTGTAAGATCCAAAGTCGTGTCCACTGCCTCGCTGAATCATCTTTCTGGCTCTCGATGCGGGCTATCTTGTGGCGTATGATTTTCTCCATCATGCTAGGTGGTCCGCGTCACGTTTGGCTAGATTTCGGAGGTCTGGCCAGCCATGCTTGCGTAATCGAGAAGCATCGGGAGCTGTTGTTTGACCAGGACGCGCGAGTGAGAGCTGACGCTTGAGTAGCAGGAAGAATGGCCTTAGGTCGACCAGGTGTCCACGGTACCCTCGTTGTGCATAGTAGACTGGCCATGGCTTCTCACAGGGAGTAGAGACGGGAGTGGGCGATGTGAAGTGAAAGAGTGTGAGATACATACTTCGAAGTACCTACTCGCTTATGCGCTCGGACACGTGACTGTATGTAACATGAGCATGGCACCCCTAACACACGCGATGCGATCGTTCATGGTTCAGAGAATAGCACTGTATAGACAGGTTGTGTTGGAAAATAAGCTTTGATTGTCGGGCGATGATGAGAGAAAGACAAAGTGAAGTGGGTTAGAGTTATGGCTGGTGCTACACCAGCACGTGATCAGTAGACGACAGTCGCTTCAGACAACTATCAGTCTACGGAGTACCAACGTGAGGTCGTTCTGGGCACTGTCATAAGCTGCCCGTCCTTAGGACCCCAGAGTCATAGGCTACGTCGTAACATATGCAAAACATCTTTATCCTCTGCCGTTTACTATCTTCAATCGTGATCGTTGCCTCCATTGGTATGACTATGCCTTCTCTGGATGAGTCTCCTCATGAGTGATCTCCGCACCTTGCTTCTCCTTGGCCATCGCATGCTCCTCGAAGTGCTCGCGGTCGTAGTCTTCTGCGAAGCGCCTCCCGTGAAGCCCGATCTTATACCAAGGCAGATCGAACAGCCTGTCGATACTTTCCAAGCTCCGGCCAGCAGCCTCCGGCACACAAAGCCAAACCCAGACAGCGCCGATGATAGAGATGATTCCGTAAAAGTAGAAGGTCCCTTGAGGCTTCAGAGCGTTCTCGAGAAGCATACTAGGGAGCGCCTTGTTCACCGTATACTGTCCGATGAAATGCATTGCCATGGTGATCGATGAGCAGATGGCGCGAATTCTCAGTGGGAACAGCTCCGAGGAGAGCAAGTACTGTCCGCTGTTCCAGCCGAGTGCCCAGCCAACTCCAGAAATGTAAATCATGGTAATAGCCCCGGTACTCGCTTTGTTCTGTGAAGCAGATGCCTCGAAGTCGGGGTTGTTTGCAATCGGTACCACGTTCAGGAAGATGGCGATGTAAAACATTGCTATCGTTTGGAGGGTGATCCCGATGATCAGAGCTCGTTTTCGTCCAAGGCCGTCGATGAGGAACAACGCACAGATAACAGAAGAAACGAACTTGACGACTCCGAAGATGGCGGTTGATAACAGTGACTGCTCCTGGCCAACGACCCCGACAATGGCGAAAAGGTCGGGTGCGTAGACCTATAAGCAGAGCAAGAATGTCAGTCGAAGTCTCACATCAGATGCACATCACACGTGCAAGAGCTTTCATCGTTCCAGGACTTACCGTAATGGCGGACCCGCCGGACCAACAGGCCATGAGTTGAGCGAGGTTGGTCAAAAAGAGGCGGTACGAATTGCGGCGGATCAAGAAGATTTCACGCAGGATTCCCAGCTTACCCGCTCCAGCTGTGGCTTCCTTCTCCTCGTGGAAAGATATCTCGATGCCCGCGAGCTCATCGATGACAAAAGGATCGGTGGGTGGTAGTCCGCAAAGCTTCGCGAGTGTTTCGAGCGCTTGATGCCGCTTGCCTTTGGCGATGAGATGGCGGGGAGACTCAAGCGCAAACAGCGTTGCAATTAAGATAATGCTTGCAAACATCAGATGGACAGAAGTCGGAAGGAGCTGGAGGATTACGGTTAGCCATGGCGATACAGGTGTTGAAGGCATGAAGCTAACATAGTTGTACTTACCCATCTAGCTTTAGTGTCGTTCAGATGGAGCTCTGTGCCGTAGTTGGCGAAGTAAGCAATGAGAATTCCCAAGTAGACAGAGCCCGTGAAGGCGCATGTGCAAAGTCCGCGAATTTGAGCTGGTGCGATTTCCGACAAGTAGACCGGACCGACGACGACAGTCTCGCCGATGCCGATACCAGCGAGGAAGCGACCAAAGTAGACCAAAGCCATGTTGCCTGGAAACAGAAGGGCAAGGGATTAGCGAATGTCTCAGACATGACAGGGTATCAAGAGAGTCTTACCATTGTTTCCCATGAAAATTGCAATGCCGACAATCCACAGAACGCACAGCTGACGGGTAGCCCACACTCTGCCGAGATAGTCGCAGGCAAAGAAGGCCCTGGATGATCATTTAGCAAGTATTTCGGAAAGATTGCCATGATCAGAAGCTTGAGAAGCACATACAGCAGAGCCCCAGGGATACTCCCGAGCTGCACCATGGACGAGACATTGCCTTTCACATCCGCCAGCTCAGCGTCGTTCAAGTCCTCGATGCCAACCTGACGCTTGAAAGCATCTGAATTGAACACGCCAGTGATCAGACCTTCGTCAACGCCACGCGCTGCGCCCATGAGACCGAAGACAAGCACCGACAGCCATAGCTTTCGGTTGAGAGCTTCTTTTGGCAAGCCTGCAGTGCTTGTACGAAAGACGTTCAGCGCCGCGCCACCAGCCATGGCGGAGACAACGCTACGACTGTCGTATGGAGAGACGTCAACTCCGACTGAGTGTGATACACAGCCTTCGTTGCAACGACTTGTTGCGAAAGAATGATGACAGGTAGCAAGTGTGGTCGGAGTAGGATAACACAGAGCAACTGGAAGAGGAACGAGTGACCATTGACCTTTTCTAATAACTTTCCCATGTGGTGCCCAGAGTCGCGCCCAGCATCGCCCAGGAATGACTTCTCCACATGAGAGATAGATACCTTACCGAATTTGATTAGAAGCTGCGACTTCCCCGTGGAGAGTGGGTTGGAAGAGGATGTGGCAGAACATTTAGGCGCAGAGTGCCCCGGAAAGGCCAGAGTACCCAGATTGGACTCTCAAATGCCGAAACAACAGGCCAGTCGTGTATCCGATATATTCAGCTATCAGAATCGAGGTGGTGAGAAAAGACTAGATGGCCTCAGAAGTCTGTGAAAGGGATGTGGACTCCATGCAAGAGCATAACTGCCGTGCTCATAGAACTGATAGGTAGAATCATTCCCCAAAGCGCCATGAAGTACCACGCAGCGCTACGTAGCGTTGGTCCGGTCCAAAATTCGGGAGAATGGCATCCCTTTTCACGAGGGAAAACAGCCCCGTCTCCGTCCAGGCTCGACGCTTGCGGGTACGAAGACCTACTCAGTCACCATCGGCCTCCTTACAATCCACTCCACGTACCCCGCCGTCCTCCGTCCACATACAGCTTGCCTGCGTCGCCAACTGCGTGCGATTCGCGCTTGTGTACAACGTGTAGTTCTTGTAATCGATATTGTAGCACGGCTGCCTCCTCGAGCAACTCACACTCGCCTCCACATTGCTATCATCCAGATAGCCGGTGAAGTTCACGAACGCGACGTTGTTCACCAACATGTTTGATGTGCCTGCTGCGGTGCCGTTGTCGCCGCTGTCCTGAGTGATAACGCCCCCACCACCAGCGCCGAAGATCTGGAAGTTGCTGAAGAGCATGTTCCTGACGCCGCCCCAGCCGCCTGCAATCGTACGAAGAAAAGGATTAGCAAGTGTCTGAGATATGCGTAGGTGAACATACCGCCGCGGGGTTGATAGTCGCTCTCATAGTCACGATCGCCTCCGGAGACGAGCTCTCCGACCCAGGTCTTGATATATGCTCCCTGTCCTATGCTGTAGTAGGGGAGAAGGGGAAGTCAGTGATGAGTAGAGAACAGCATTATAGGCGGAGGGAAGTACGCACCTGTCCTGCGCACCGCCCTTGATGATCTTGGCATTGTCAATATGCACGTTCCCCACAGAGGCGTCCTGCAAACAAATGAGCACAAGAGTCAGTCGTCGTCTCATACTTGGCAGGGCTGTTCATGAGTATCATACTTTCAGGTACTGTCCGAGAGATCCTGTATACACGCAAGGAGAACCCGTCAGCAAATGTCTCAGACCACGAACTAGGAAGGCCGTAGAAGAGTGTTCTGCGCCTCATCGGTACGGTCGGGGGTTAGGCTCAGACCTCGTCCTCGGTCGACAACCACGAAATGTGCCCGTATGTCCGCATCCATCGGCCATGAACTTTTACTCCAACCCTCTAGTGTAAATGAGGGAGGGGGCTCTGTTCACGTAAGACTCACCAATGGCAACACCGTTCCCGCTATGGCACGTGACATCATTGACAAATATATTGTAGCTCCGTGGCTTGATCGCGACGCAGTCATCGCCGCCCTGATAGGTGAAATTGGTCAGGTAGACGTTGTAGCTGTCCATAGTGTTGAAACCGTCCGTATTTTGCACCTGGATCACCGAGTCAGCAAGTGTCTCGATGCTGTTGAAGGGTTGAAAAGGTCTTAGAGCGCCACTTGCAGCGTGATCCGCTGGTCTTGTTTTGGAGAGCCCTTTGACCGATCAGTACCTACCCAGTTGTAGCCGTGAGGGGCTTGCGGAGAGGTCGCGTTAACATAGATATTATCGAAGTATATGTTGGTAGCATTCATCATATTGATCGACCAGAGTTGGGGCTGTACGACGTAAAAGTTACGAACGTGGACGTCGCTAACGTTCCACAGGACGAAGGGCATGGGGCGGCCTGGCCTAATAACAGGTTAGTGATGTCTTGAAATGGCCGAGTCTCCAAGTTGGAGTTCAAACCGTGTCGCTCCAGTTGTCTCGTTTCCTCTTTCGTCGTAATACCACACCTCACCGTTGCCATCGATGCCGCCGGTATTGAAGCCATCGATGCGGATGTGGTCGCCTGTGAGGATGAAACTACGAAGAAGCAGAGTCAGCGAAGGTTTGTAGGTGGTAGGACATCTGCGAGGATTCTCACCCAGCGGCATGGTTTTGAAATGAAATGTGGTAGTTGTTGTTACGCCAATAATCTAGGTCTTCAGAGAACATCCATTCGCCGCGCCAGTCGATGGTCACGTCGTCGACGACCGGGTTCAGCTTAGAATTGATGTGGTAGGTTTGATCGGCTGGGAAGACGATGGTGCCACCGTTCCCGCATTGCTGGAAGGCACGGAGTATGGTAGGAGTGTCGTCGGTGGCATTGCTCGAGCCGGCGCAAACGGTACATGTTGGCCTGCCGTTAATGTCGTCCTGCGAGATGCTCTGGCCAGCGACAGCGCTGCTTAACGCCAGTGCGCCAAGGAAAGCTTGAGATCTCATTGTGAAGGGTTGATTATTTTATTCGAGTGTTCGAGAGCGCTGGACAACCGTCTGAAAGCTATATCGCATCCCTTGAAGCCCACGACGTCCGTCAAAAGGTGTCTCGCGCCCCAGGGACGCCGCGAGGCAGACACCGACCTTCCCAAATGGACGAGCGAGCTGTACCCACTGTTTGATGTCATCTTAGCTGCGCATCTCCAGGCGGAGAAACAATCGTTGGCAGACGGAGTATTCTATGTATCCCCGCAACCCCACGACGTCGGGTGTGTGGAGAGATACTTCCGGTCGCAAACCCATCAACAGCGAGCCGAAGTTGACAGCGTCTTGTCAACATGGGGACTCTGGTGTTCTGACGCATTCATCGCGCAGCTAGCGGCCATCAGACACAGAGACGGATCGCCATTCACATGGCAGCTGTCGGCATTGGTGGCGCTAGGAGCCCACAACTATGCCGAAGAAATGCAACATCTGTACAGAGGCGTGGGCCAGATTCTCTGTACGGCTGCGTCTTCTCGTTCGATCAGATCCTACCCTATCAAGAGTCCGCCAGGCGATGGTCAGCGCTCTGCACAGTTTAAACTGCCCGAACCAGGCACGCAACCACATGAAGGGCCCGATGCTTCAGGACGCACAGCGGGAGCACATCGAGTCTTTCCGGGCAGTCATTCTCGCCATCGGCGAGAAGCTGGATGTCAGGTTAAAGAATGAACCCATCCCAGTACCAGAGAAACCAGAGGGTGCTATGGGACACTGATGGCTCACGATAAGGACGGGATTCCTGGTAAGAGCAGCTAGGTTCGACGCCCTGAACAGACGGTGGTAGCGGTAGGGGTCTGAAATGCTGCATTGGGAGTCTTCGCGCGTAACATGATGATCGGAAGGGTGAGCTCTGCGTTGTACCGGTGTGCCGCGTAGACTCGTGTGTGTCGACCGCGCCTGCAATACCGGGAGAGGAGAAGGCTGCAAGAAGGAATGGAGCGGCCGCACGCGGAAAAGATGAAAGAGACTGCAAGGCCTCGGGAGTCCGTGAGTGAGGCAGCTCTTCGAGGCAGGAGCGAATTGGTCATTGTTTCGTAGATCTAGAAACGGTCGTCTCGTCAATTGCTCAGCAGCATAAAGTTCGTTGCGCTCGCGGAGAATGGTGCACTGCTCGTATTAGACGTTTGCTTGGAGATCAAATGTGACAGCTCTCCGCCAGAGGATCTGACATTGTGTAGCTGCTCGTCAGCGTCAGCTAGGTACCTGCCTCTCAAAACAACGGGACCTCGACTGACAATTGTTTTGATGATCGGCTGTCTGGCCTCGTTCCCTGTCAAGCCGTTGTTGCGCGTCCAACCACCATTCGCATCTACCATGGTGTATTCCCGCCGGTGACCTGGCCTGGACAAGGTAAATGGAGGCTCTGATCGTCAGACTGACGCTAGCCATTTGATACCGAAGGCCAGATGTGCAACTGCGAAGTGTCTCAAAGCGGAAGAACACTCGAGGCTCCAGTCATATTCCCACAAAATCGTTGTTCTTCTTCACAAATACACTCCGTCTTCCTCATCCGCACCACCCATCTCCGCCTCCAACCGCCTCCTCAGCTCCTCATCTGTCAACCTTCCGCTCGGCGCCCTCTGCGCCGCAGTTTCCCCGGAAGTACCATTCACACCAGACATCTCCCCATCCACATGTCCGTTGACTATCGTCCCGCTCTTCTCCGCATCCTCCACCTCCCCTTCTGCCCACCGCATACCACGCCCTTCAACCTCTTTCCTCAGCAAGTCAATCCTCTCATTCATTCTTCCAATCACTGCCAGATTCTCGAACATAGCTTCTCTGCAGTCCGCGTCTCCCTCGTCAGCGAAGGGCAGCATTTGCTCATTCGACGACTTTAGGTGGGCGATGCTGTTGCGAAGCTCTGCTGCTTTGGCGTGGAGTGAGTCGAGTGGGAGAGATTCGAGGGCCTCAGCGAAGCGGGCTGGGTCGATGGGTGCAGCGCCAGAAGACATCTTGTTGACTTTTCCGTTGATGTTTGAAGCTGTTCTATGATTCCGAGACCACTCGTACCGTGAAGAGGAGTTCTGAAGGTGGGAGGAGGCGGGAGGTAGAGATATATGTGATATAGACGCGGAAGTGCTCGGACCACCTCCGCAGAACTGAAGTGAGGTCGATGACATGTGACAGCCGGACTTCGTCTGGTGCTTCAACTTCTGCTGCACGTCAGTCGTCGATCAAAGATAACTTTGTATCGGGGATACTGCGATGAACAATGTCTGGACCACGATAGCATTCAGGGCGCCGTGCGTAGCCCGCCAGAGCTCGCGCAAGCCCTTATTGCAACTCTTCAATGGCTACGCCCGGCTTCATACAAGTACAAGCGTCTCGAGGAGAGCCGAACAACACGGGTCCTCGAAGCGCATCGGCTGCTCCGCCACTTGGAAGCATGGCTACACAACCAGCGCCGTCCTACGGATGCCCCGAGCCCGACCCATAGGACGAAGGAAGGATACTCTCAGCGAGGAACCAACGTCGAGCTCTGGATTACAACCGGCGCCCACGGTAGCCACTCATACCGAAGGACTGGCGGAGGATGCAGAAGCATTGACATGGCGAGATTACGACCCAGCAGGTGGCATGCCATTGCCAGACGGCGAGAAGTCGCAGGCGCAGATCAATGGCATCTTTGGCAACGAGGCGCTCGATGCTGAGACCGGGAATTATGTCTTAAGCGTTCTATACTGGCGGCGAATGTCTGGCGCACTCATCGACAGTGGGGTCAACTTTCCCAGACAAAGCGAAGTGAGCAGGGAGCAGGCACTAAGAGGGCTGGAATACGTGCGGGTTCTAGATCCAGGATTTGACGAGCAGGCTGCGGGTCAGACCTGGGCGGAAGAGGAGTCGCTACGGCTACAGCAGGAATTGCAAGAGCGGGCGATCAACCTAAAGCTATACAAGCGGGACGACGAGCCAGTAATGACCGCGGAAGACTTCGAACAGTTCAACCAAGGGACAGAGTACGGCCGCGAACGCAACCAGGACAGCGCTCTCACCGGCCTACGCGAAGCCAATAAGGCTCGTAACGAGGCTGAAGCAGCGAAGCGTATCGCAGATCAGGAGCGCTCTGAAGCAGCCGCCCTTGCTAGACATCGTGGCCCACTTCAATTATCCGGAGGTGTCCAACCTCCTACAGAAGTGGCCTTGACACCTTCTGGCGGTATCAGCATCAGCCGACCACAGACCAACGCCTGGCTAGCCCCTGTTGAGCGCAAACCATGGGTCAAATACTACGAAAACCACGCCCAGATCATCAAAGACAACATCGTGCCCCAGATGTCGGTACTCCGCCGCCTAGGCCCATCCTTCCTGGTCCTCCTCACCGTCCTCTCCGCATGCGCATACCTCAGCGCCACCTACACTCCACCGCCCAAATCAGCCCGCCTGTTCCCAGACACACCTCCCGCAATAGCCACTCTGGGCGGCCTCACAGTCCTCCTCGCCGGCTTCTTTCTCGGCGGTCGCATCCCACCGTTCTGGCGCACCTACAGCAAGTATTTCACCCTGGTACCTGCCTATCCATACGCCATCTCCCTCTTCGGCGCCACGTTTCGTCACGACACGCTCATCCACCTTCTCACCAACATCGGCTCACTATGGCTCTTCGGTCTCATCCTTCACGAAGACGTTGGCCGAGGGTCGTTCTTGGCCATTTACTTCGCCTCAGGCGCTATAGGCGGGTTCACCAGCCTGGCATACAACGTACTGAGAAAGAACTGGACGAGTTACATTTTCGGCTCATCGGGCTGCGTGCTGGGCGTGCTGTCAGCAGCGTGTGTGTTGCGGCCAAACGGCACGATTCGCATCGCTGGATATGATGTACCGATTGCTGCGTGGGTATTCTTGGGATTGTACGGGACGGGGGAGGTTGTGGCAGTGTGGCGAGGTTTGAAGACGACTATTGATCATGCCGGACATCTGGGTGGCATGGTTGGTGGGTTCGGCTCTGCGATGTGGTTATTGCTACAGGCGAGGGAGCAGCGAAAGGGTGAAGAAGAGCCTGTAATGCAGTCAATCCTGGCGGATAAAGATAATCCGGCAGAAGGTGGCAGAGAGTCGTGAGGGCAACTTAGAAGGTCGACAGACCGTGTACAGTACATCACAAGCGATACCCAATGTGTTGAAGAGTCTCCACTCGAATTGATTCAGTTGTCTGCACCTACTGCTTCAAGACTCTTGTCATGGATCGATACCCTCACGAGACTTCACACCAACTGCAGCCTAATCTTCCTCTTCCCTGTACTCTCCTCCGCCTCATCCGAAATCCTCACCTTCACCTTCTGGAACAATTCCACCTTCCTCTGCCCCTGCTCCCACTCAATCTGCAGAGCATAGTTCTCAGCATCAAACACACTCTCCGGCTCTCTCTCTCCTTCTCCACCATCCATGTCTCTCAGCCGAATCAGTCCTTCAATGCCGAAGCGCGGCACAAAAACCACAAAGCCGTTCGAGAAGATCCGCATCACGAAGCCATCTTCTTCCAGTATCCGCCCTTTGAGTGCTTGACCGACGTAGTACTCCACGGAAGTCCGCCCAGCCATTTGTGCGTTACGATGCCGTACGTTGATGTTCTTGCACACGCCCTCGAGCTTGGCTTTGCTCTGCAAACTGGCGTCTAGAGTTTCGTACTCAATGGCCGCGGCGAGCTGGCGATGAGCTTCCAGGTCTGCGTAGCGGCGGATGGGCGAGGTGAAGTGTGTGTAAATCTCGGATGCGAGGCCGTAGTGGCGGAACTCGGGAACTGATTGGGTGCCCGAAGTGAAATACTCAGCGCTCATCATGCATCTTGTGGCGACAATGCGGACGAGCGTGTTGAAGAATGGCTCCGATGGGTCGACGCAGGTGTCGAGGCTGTCCGCCAATGCCTTTGATGAGTCCGTGCGTAGTTCCATGCCCTTCTTCACTTTGAGCTGGTTGCTCAGCTCCTCGAAGTTGTTCTTTGGCGGTGCTGGATGGCGACGTAGCAGCGCTGTTTGTGGAAAGGCCTCGTAGATTTTACCGGCTACGCTGATATTGGCGAGCAGCATGAACTCTTCAACAAGCTGGTTCGTGTCTAGCGCCATCTTCGTCTTCACGTCGATTGGGTCAGACGTCTCACTCTCAGTCTCCACGCGGACTTCTGGACTGGCGAGATTGAGGGCTCCGGCTGCCATACGCTTAGCGCGTAGCTTCTTCGAGAGCATCATGAGGCATCGCATGCCGACAGTCAGCTCGTCCTTTTGGCTCTTGTCGTCAATGCGCAGCTGAGCTTGTTCGTAGCTGAAAGCCTCTCTACTGCGTATCACACTCTTCGTGAAGTCCTTCCTGACAATGTCGGCGTTCTGGTCTAGCTCCCAAATCGCGCTGAAGGCGTAGCGCTCGACGTAGGGTTTAAGCGAGCACAGATCAGTGCCAAGCAGCATCGGCAGCATGTCGATGCGCTTGTCCACCAGGTAGACCGTAGTGCCTCGCAGTGAAGCTTCCTTGTCCATGGCGTTGTTCGGCTTGACAAAGTGCGACACGTCTGCGATATGTACGCCGACCTCGAAGTTGCCGTTCGGTAGTTGTTTCGCATGCAGAGCATCATCAATATCCACGCAACCTGGTGGATCGATAGAACACACAAGCAAATCCCTCAAGTCTCTTCTCCCTTTCCAGCCTGGATCATCAGTAGAAGCAGGCACTTTCCACTCATGGCCTTCCGCCGGTAAGCAGTCCAGAACCGTCCTTGGGAAGGGTCTATACTGCACGTCCCACTCCAACAGCAACGCTTCAGTCTCGGCACCTTTCGTTTCCAGTTCACCCAAGCTACGGATGAAGTGGCCGACAGGATACCGAGAGTCGCGATCCCAGCTGTCGATGGACACAAGCACACGCTTCCCCACAAGTTCAGCAGCTTGACGAGTCCGGACTCGAATCTTCGGCACGCGCTTGTCCATTGGAATGAGGAAGACGGTCTGCTGCGCTCGGCTCTCCTTGTTTCGGGATCGAACGGAATCGCGGTCGATGTGCCCAACGTATTGTCGCCAGTTGCGCTTGATGATTCCCACTACTTTCGCCGTCGGCTGAGCTCGACCTTCGGCACCCTTGCCATGGGTCTTCCGCACCTCTTCCTGCAACGCACGGCGCTCCTGCTCTGTGACGATGGCCTCGCGCTCGTCTTCTTCGTTCTCAGCGGTCTCATTCTTGTTGACATCCTCCTCATCGATGGCCTTGCTTGAAGGAGCTTTCCATTGATCTTTCGGCAGGACCTCGATCACCACAAGATCTCCAGACACAGCTCGGTTGCTGTTGTCTCTTCCTTGAACAATAAGTGAGCGGTCGAAAGCGGGAACCTGGACACTGCCCTCCAGATAGTTGTAGGGTGAGACATTGAAAACACCTTGATGTAGGGTACCAGCTTTCACTCCGGTAAGCATGGCAGACATGGACACGTATTCGGGGTAGATCATCTGCGCTTTGGCATCGCGGGCGGCACGCCCCTCGCGGCTGGTAGCCACCATGTCCATAAGACGATTTGCATCAGGCAGCCCAGCCACGTAGTCACGGAGATTCATGGCAGGCAGCCCATCTTCCTTGCCCTTTCTCACGTTCTCTCGGTCATCAGAAAGCATGATCACAACGGGACACCGAGCACTCTTCCTAGCTCTGACAGCTTTCTCCAAGTGCTGTGCATACCACCCACAGGCTTTGCGAACGGCTCTGTCATTGCGGTCGTTGATGGTCTCTCCGGCATCTCGCCTCACATACGTCTCCAAGCGAAAGTCGTTGAAGAAGACGTAGAACCTCTTGCCCTCATTCTTCGTCAAAGCGATGAGGCGGTGGTAGAGCGGCAGAGACCGATTCTTGACTTCTTCGAGAACCGTCTGCAGCACAATCGCGTCTTGCAGTACGCCCTCGCTTTCGAACAGATCCATGGCTGAAAGGAATGCATTCGTATCCGGGACGATGTAGTGTCCCTGCGGTAGCTGTTCGGTGGCGGCTGGAGTAGCAGACAGTACCGGTGGATCTGCCTTCTTGTGAAAGCCTACGGGCGCTAGATCCAGACATGCTGTGCATAGCTGCGAAGAGCACGGGATGTCCTGTCGTAGGTAGACCTCTCGCACGATCTTCTGGACTTTGCCAGACTTGAGTGTCCGGAGGTAGGTCTTGCTGGAGAGGGTGGTGCTGGGTGATGTGGATGCGTACGACCGCTTGAGGGACGTCATGCTGTTCCCGTGCTCTGAGCAACTCCAGCGTCTTGATTGTCGATGACTACTTCACCGCTCAGTCGGCGGTATGTGTCGATGCTGAAGGCTCTGAGGTGGAAGCGCCAGTGGTTGGAATAAGACTAGGCGATCTGCAGCCGAAGCGGGCCGGGTTTCGCTCCGCACTAAAAGTCGACCGAAGTGACTTTCTGCCATCCACAATTCACCTCACCGCCCAAAGTCATACCGCCTTGTCGACCATCTCTTCAACTCAGACAAGCCACTGACCTCTTCGGTGAGCAGTTCAGTCCCCGATGGGATCCGGCCCTCATGGGTCGACGACCAAATCAGCTCGTGGTGGAATTCTTCGAGCGCGGAGAGAAACTCGGTGACAACTCGAACCGCTACCGCCACACGTGCAGGCGGTGTGGACAATGTGTTGGTGCTGAGAGCTATATCATTCGTCTTCGCCTCTAACGAGTCGCAGTTTCCAAAAGGCAGAGTAGACACTCTGCAGGCCCACGTCCTTCGCAATTGTCCGAAAATCTCCCCAGAAGACCGTGAATGGGGATTACAACAGCTCCAACAAAAACCTGAACGACCACGACCAGATAACAATCCCACCCGTGACGATTCCGACCAAAATCACGAGAGTCTTACACAACCGGAACCCCACTACCAACAGCAGTCTGCATTGGACACCCTGGCAGAGGTCTCCCGACACCATCTTGACTATTCTTCGAATCGCCAGCTTGGTCATCCTGGTCAGGATCATACAGAACATGTTCTAGACCGCGCTTCTACATCGGAGCAGCAGTTTATCGCTCAGCTACAGGAGTTCAATACGCCAACTCACCCAAGCCAAGTCGCAGATCCCAACGGCCGGACAGCAGGCCGTGATCCCACCACCGAACACCACTTTTTTGACCCACAGGAATCGGCTCCTGAGAAAAGTGCTGCGCCTGAGCTCTCTGGTCTTGCGCAGACTGCATCAGCCGCCAACCGGCAGTTGGAAGCCTCGCAGGTACAAGACTATCCACCCGAGCACGATCCCTTCGTGGATCCGGACCTTCACGGCATGGGAGGTCCAGTGCCCGCTCAATCGCTCTTCGAAGCCATCAGTGAATCAGAAGGGGTTCCATGGGTACCAGCAGAGCAATCAGCCGGGCATTATGGCTTCCAGTACCCACAGAAGCCCGTTCATAAGAAGGTACGAGGACGATTTGATGACTCAAGACGCAAAGAAGTCGCTGGCATCCGAAAAAGCGGCGCTTGTATTCGCTGCCGCATGTTGAAGAAGCAGTGCTCGGGCGAGACGCCATGCCGTACCTGCAGAAATGTAGAGACGGCACGGCTATGGAAGGGCACCTGCTTCAGAGCTAGGGTTGTTGACGAGTTCACTCTTTGGTCATTGAACTTGTTTTCTTCACGAATGATCACGGAGCTTTCAGCTACGGCTCACGGTGCCGAACACGAGCGGCTACCAGGGAGGGTCGAGGCCAGACTGCTGGCTGGCACAGACTGCTGCATGAACTTTGCTGTGAGAGCGCTTGTTGACTGTTCAAACGCCGAGGGACCAAATGACGAATCTGCTCGCGGTGGAAGGGCTTTGATGCTGGACGGTGAAGAAGCCGTACATGACAAAATCGGCGCATTCACAGCATTGCTGGCTGAGGACTTCATCGATCAAGAGAGCTCTGTTTTCGTGAAGAAAACAATGCAGGTGGCGCTTTTCATGGCACAAACGGTGGACGCCGCACAAGCAGCCAAGGCAGGCCATGTGCAAGGTCATAGTCCGAGCCGAGCCTGCTACAATCTCCAAGAGCGACTGACTCACAATGTGATCGAGCTTTGGATCCTTACTACATTGTTAACGAAGCCAGAAGATTCCTTCGAACTTCGGTACCAGCCTCAGAAGTCGCCCACGGATCAGCCTGAGCGTCCAAGCGGGACCGCGGGACAAGACGAGATCCAAAAGGATGTCCAGGATATCTGCCCAACTTCCACAAGCTTCAGGATGATTGTGGCCCAACTTCTGACGGCGATCGAGGCCCGTTGCAGCAGACTCAGCAAGATCGTCATGAACGAGCTTGAAAGACGTCTTCTCCAGCGACAGCAAGCAAATCAGTTCGCCACCTTCATCTCGTCCCTCATCCTTCTCAACTGTGTTGAGCGCATGACTGGGCTCTACAGATCTTACGACACCAGCGAGTTGGCGAAAGCGGACATGGCTCGCCACGAGACTACTGCCGGGGCCGCGAACGAAGAGGAGCCTTCAGATGCCGTTACGGATTCCACTAAATCAGACAACGGCCCTGAGCTCTCTGAGAAATCTACATCTTGGCCGCTCGACACGCCCCCATCAGCTCTCTGGCCACAAGGCCTCCGCTTCGCCGACCTCCTGACCATGCTCCTTCGCATTCGTGCTCTACCGCCCAAGACCGGCGAGACCCCTGAGGGCACGCTGGCCGTTGTTCAAGACCATCCACTTCCCGCCGGCTTCCACGGCAGGGCTCCGCGACCCGAAGCAGACGAGGAGACGAAAGTCGCAGCCGCGTGGCTGGACCCGATGCAATTGAACGTTGACGAGCTGATGAGGAAGCGATATGGCGAGGTGCCGGCCATGAGTGAGGGGGTCCAGGCGTGGGATATGAGGTTTATTGCTAAGGTGTTGCTGCCTGAGAGGACTGCATGAGTTTTGCGAGGTGGTCTAATTAAGTCCAAGGAACACCAGAGGTGGGTGGGCATCAGCGGCGTTTTGACGATGGCTATAACGATGTATTGCTCGATTAGCGTAGGCGCTGGCGGTATCTTGGAACCATATGTTATCTTCATGGGAAGGAGAAGCAGTTTCCAGTTCACGTGTCCCCTGCTCACCCAGCAGGCATACTTCAAAAACACCACTCCATCGATGAAAAGCGATGCGCATCGACCGGAATGTGAGAGGAAAAAGGCGCACAAGCACCCTGGCATTCGCAACTAAAAGCAATCTGGGGGGTATATCAACGCGTCCAAAAGCACACACAAGCACGCGCACAAGCACACTTCTAACGCGGCACTCATCCAACCAAGCATCACAACATGCAAGCATGCAACTCTTCCCTTCATGAACATTCCCCCTTTCCAATACCGCTATGCCAAAAGCAAAGTATTATGCCCTTCCTCCACTATTTCCTCCCTTCTTCTCAATTCGTCGATACCGCCTCCTCCTCCGTCGTCGTGGAACGCATGCAAAGCGCGCGATTGATGCAAGTACTGAACGTTTGCGTAAGAAAAACAAAAGCTTCAGGTGTGATGGGATGTCGTTACTGCGTGTGGTGTTACGTATATGGATGTTGATATGCCGAGAGGAGTTGCGGTTCGAAATAAGCAAGATGGTGATCCGAATCGCCTTTGAACGCCGTCCAGATGATGATTCCGTGTTATTGGCTGGAAAAGGTGGAGATGACTGAAGATATGTGCAAGAAGTGAAGGGTGCACAGATGCTCTGAAATGGCGCAGTCGTTTACTGGTACCTCTGCCAGTCCTGCGGCATGTTCCCAGCGGCTCCAGGCGTGGCCCAGCCTTGCATGCCTGGCTGTTGGCCAGCGCTAGATTGCATGCCGAATTGCTGTGGGCTTGGACTCGGCTGGTACATGCTGCGATTCATGCCAGTGAAAGCAGCAGGGTTATTCATACCCATCTGCTGATAGTTCATCTGCTGCGGCATCTGCGGCGGGCCCATAGACGACTGATGATGTTGCTGTTGGCCGTATTGAGAGATGTGGTGTGATTGTGAGAGTGGCGAGGGCTGGGGTTGGGGCGGTGGCCACATCTGGTTCTGTGGGTAGCCTCCATAGGACGGAGTCTGCCTGTGGCTTGACCCGGCGGCCATCGGAGTGCTGGGATGTATCTGACCCGGCGCGATACGGTGCATTTGCTGAACCGGCGATGGCATCGTATTTTGCTGATTGGGGTAGCCTCCGTATGTTTGAGGCATCATCTGCGATCCGTGATGCGGCATCTGGTCCTGTTGACCTCTGCTTTGGCCCATACCAGCAACAGCCTGAGGCGACTGGAGGTGTTGCGGCGCTACAGTGCCCATGTCGCCATCGCTTGGAGCTTGCGTCCTAGGCTGCTCGTGCGGCCGCTTCCAGAAATCGTCCAAGTACTTCGAACGATGAGCCCGCGTGTTGCTCAGTTGCTTGTTGAACTCTGCAGCATGCGACGCCTGGTTCAGAATGTCATTCGGGTTGCTTGACTGGAGGCGGTCATGATACGGAGGCCCGACAATGTCCTGCCGAGGTCGCATGATGTTGCCGTAGCTGTTCGGCCGGACCTCGTCGCCGGGAAGGTGAATCATTGGCAAAGGCGCAAGTGAAACTTGGCCCAGCCCAGGAGGTTGACCATCCAAGCCAGGGCCACTGCTGTAGATGATCTCGCCTTGCGGGAGAGAGAGCGTCTGGTGACTTGCCTCGGCAGCAGCAGCTTCCCTTGCTTTGGCAGCGCCTGGCCGCTTCTCGCCCGCAGCGTCCTCCTCTGTGAAGCCCTGCTTTCTGGCTTTCGCCTCCCAGTAGTCGTCCCGGACGCGCTTGCCGCCTTCGATAAGGCGACTGCCAAACTGCCGAAACATGCTGCGTGCCGTGACTATCGCAATCTGTCTCGAGCGGTAGGAGTAGGGTAGGATGTCCTGATGAATGAGGCTGTCCTTCTCTTGTTGACTGGCGATGATCTTGTACAGCGATCTATTCTTGTTGAACAGAAGATACGAGTCCCGATATCCCAGTACTCGCGCGCATTCTGTCGCCAGCATGAACATCTTCTCGCCGCGATCCGGTACTGGGAATGTTTTGCACCGGTATTTGCGCCCATCCTGTGGATGGCCATCAAGCGATACCTTTAGTTCGCCATCTGGGTCCGTCTCTCGAGGTATATACTCGTCGCCTCCTGGGCCGAGTTGATCTGTAGTGTGATCACGGACTGTGGGTAGCGCTTTGATTACTGTGGGCTTTGTGGCCGAGCCTGGGGTTGAGCGTGCTGGCGACGCTTGGCTAGGTGTAGCGTGAGGTAGTGCTTGCGTCATAATCTGTGGTGTGTGGACAGCTTGAGCTGTCGCATACAGTCCAGTGTGTGTCGATGTGGAAGAGCTGTCCTCCTGCTTCAAGGCCTTACTTCGCTTGGTACTTTGACCGTCGCCAGCTGCACCATTTGTCAGCATTATCCCAGCAGTATACACCCACACAAGTGCCGCTGGATGTGCTGCGCGACCGTTGGATGAAGTTGGGGAGAAGGTGTACGTACCAGCATCTGACTCTTGACGTCGCAATCCGTCTCCTTCTGGTGATCTGCCACGCTTGGTGCCTCGAGGATTTGGCTGTGAAAGGAGGTTCGGTGCTATCGTGGATGCTGCGATACATGACATGTTAGCATGGGCATGTCGGCGTAAAGTAGCAGGAAGGGCTGGACCACAAAGCCGTCATGGCCTTGCGCGACGCGCCCCACTGCATCTCCAACGCAATGTGAACTCACCAGAAGCATTCAGCGCCGCCGGATTGATCGTGCCCGACTCATCCATGTCAACGTGGGGTAGTGAAGGCAGCGATGAGAAACTCGGATGCGACACGGCCAGCATCACATCCCGCTACCTGGCATGCGCGCGCAATGCCTCGAAGCTGCGTCGCACAAAGGGTCCCGCTCCCAGGACGGCGGGCTCGACGAGACGCGCGCCGGTGGCGGTGAGGGCGTGGAGAACTTCGGGGCCAAAGGAGCTGCGGTATTGGAGCATGGGCAGGTTGATGGGTGATGCTTGCGCGCGACGCAGGTGGAGCAGGGCTGCCGTGTGTGTAGTAGACTGCAGCGCCGCACGATCTCCAGAATGGCAATAGACTGTCTCCGAAGACGATTAAGCTCACAGCGCCCTGTCGGGACGGTGCGCAAGAGTCGAGGTGGTGGTGGTGTGGGGACGACGATGGTGCAAACGCGCGATGCAAGGTGTGGTGTTGGTCGCCGACGGCACGGGAACGGACCTCAGTCCGCGAAGATGACGCGGGGCAAGTCTGGTAAACGACAGCGATTAGCAAGTATAACAGCCTTTCGTTCGACTAAAACGACTCGACCACATGCGACCAGGGTCAACGCTTTGAGGGTCCCCCGGGATGGATGATGGCGACGTCGGTGTTCGACAGCAGTCAATGAGGCCGTGATGTCAACGTACAGCCAAGGTCGCACATGCATTCACATTAGCCGACAGATCGCGGCAAGGGATAATCTTCCTCTTCAAGATTGCTACAGTAGTAGGCGAGTGAGTCGGGCGTCCTCGACCGGTATACAAACCGCAGTGAATTGTTCCGGAAAAGCAATACCAACGGGAGGAACTGGATGATGCTCACCTTACAAGCGCCGGAGGGTATGGTAAGGCTATGGTGAAGGCGACTGATTCCTGGCCTTGCGTGGTATTAGGTTGGTTCCCGTTGGGTATACGTGTCCAGCCAGAACGGATCACTGTTGGTCTTCCAGGCCAGGCTGATGTAAGGCACTCGGTCGGGGCGGTAGGGCAGTGGTGCAAAGGAAGGAACGCTTGCTTCGAGCGTCCTCGCCAATCGGGCCAGACGGGCGAGTCTGCGAGTGCTAGACGGTGAATCTCGCTTGATCTGGACCAGAGGACAGGTGTCTAGCCGTCATACCGGCAAAGATGGCGAGGGTTGCATGAGCGCAGGTACTGGACAGTAGACGCCGACGAATTGCGAGCTCACGACGACGGCAAACCTCTTATGATCGGTGCGGACGGGCTACGAGGATGATGTACATTTGCAGCTGAGGTGCAGCTCGCTAGGCAGCTTCTGGGGAAAGCTCGATCTCTCCAATCCATCATACCTGGCCTATCGCGGCTGGCAAGGAATCTTTGGCAATATCGCCGTATTTATTCTCTTATAGTGGCATGTGTTTGAGCCGCAGTGCTGCAGGGCATGAGGTGAAGTCCCAGTGTTCCAACAAGGAGAGGTGTGGTGCGACCACACGAGGTCTTTCACGGCACTCCTGCGGCCGCCGACGGCTCGAGGCGACTATACAAAGCGCCCTGCATCGCGTGTTGCGATGTCCTAACACGGAAATGAGGAAGATTGGGATCTGGTTATTCCTGGGAAGTGTTGCAGCGAATCGGGAGGCAATGTGCTTCGTACTGCGAGTACGTATTGCCCTCATCAGCTACGACTCCTTCTGTCTGCCTGGCATCGCATAATCTTGTCCTCCGCGAAACAGAACTGGCTGAAGCAGCCAGTCGCACAGAATGCGACCATCCGAGCGAGCTCTCGCATGGCGTGCGTTTCGAGCAGCAGCCTCCCACGCCCAGACTGCCGCAGTCTTTCGGCACGAGCAGCCTTCGCGCTCGATCTTGTGGCGTTCGACACTATCTCGCCCAGATCGAGCAGGGCGAGCTCACAATCACATGCGCTTTTGACGATTACATCCCGGCTCATCAAGGAGCGAACAGGCTGACACCGCTCAATTACATCACCACTGCCTGCTTGCGTCCGCGGTCCATGCGAATCTTTCCAACGCTGACCAGGTACTTTTGTACTGTACGAACAGCTGACTGCTGTCCGGCGGCAAGCGAGAAGCGAAGCTTGGTGGAAGAAAAGGTCTAGGATGTCGATCCTATGATCGTCCGCAGGCAGACGGCTCTGCTAGCGGCCCGTCGCAGCATGGGGGTGCACTGTCTTTTCGATCTCACGGCCAACCAATGACTCTTCTCAGACCCTCGATATTCGAAAACCGGCAGCGACAGCTATACCTCTCGATTGTATTGATCACAAGACACTCCAGCTCGGCGAAGCTGCCGATACGTATCGCTTGATATGCGTGTCATTGATTCGACCTCGAGCTAGTTCGCGCAAAGCTTTGTGGCGAATCATTGTTTGCAGGTTTGAATGGCGAGCAGATGACGCCTTGAGACATTGATGTTCAGCTGATCCGAACAAGGCGGCTGCGGGACGGAGGCGCGTCGTAAGAAAGGCTTCCTGCAGCGGCCGCGGCCGATTCGTTTGCTCAATCTCACTGGTCGAGGCCAACTCGGTGTGGCTAAATACCAGATCGTGAGCGAAGCGATCTACGCACCTACTTGCGCAAGAAACCTGCTCGCGTGGATTGAGAGTTGGAATGAAGCTGGTCTTATTAGCAGAAATCCCTGGGAGATCAGCATATCAAGACACGAAGCTGAGTGGCCCTTCTTCTCAGTCCTCCCAGCACTATCAACCCTCTCAAGGTTGGTCAACGCTCTTGATCGCCTGCTATTAACCCGGGGACGCGCAGATCCTGGAACGAACGGTTGCTCCGTGCCCGTCAAACAACATTTCGACCTTCCGTCTGGATCAATTCGGCAGTTGGCCAGACCAACGCGATGTTGTCGAATCCCAAATATTGTCCTCCTCGATGATGCGTACAACAAACAACATCGCCGCTAGATCTTGGAACGAAAGGCGACCAGAACTTGGCACATATGGCCCAGCCTGGGTGATATGTGCTCGGTTGCAACGACTTCGGCATCGGGTAGACCGAACGCACTTACGTCCGACCGAAAAGAGGAAACCTGCAGTGAGGTCCGTACATCTCGAAGGTGCTCGAGAGGCAGTGCCGAAGAAGGCGTCAAGCATAGATCATCGCCGCATGTCGTTCCTGCGTAGAACGCCCTGAGATGCTCTCGGATACACACAATACGTGACGGGTCTCCCACGTGGGTCCACGGTGCTTTTGCCGGAGTCCTGTCCGCTTCTTGAGCGCAAGGCAGGCAGAGGCAAAGGCAAGTGAGGGTAATAGAGTCCAGTTTTCAAGGCTAAGAGTCAAACAGCTTCCAGGACTGCGTTGGTGAGAGGGCGTCTCGCTGTGTTTCCTCGTCTTGATACCCTGTCCGCAAGTCACATCCTCTTTTTGAGTAACAAGTCCGTAGTCCAAAAAATAGCTTGTCGCAAGCACATTCAAATCAACAACGATTGCAAATGGGCCTGATAAAACAGCAAAAGAATATACACCTCACGCGGGACTGATACATTGTCAGAATGCTGATGTTGGAACTTCAGCGCGTGATTTTCAAGCTCACCTCGAACCTATAACGGAGTCAATATTTGATTCAAAGGCAATAGAAGTGGTGGAGTCAACTCACCCGCAACCTCCAGATTTCAATGAATAGAAGTCTGGCGCGCTACCATTGCGCCAGCAAGGCTTTTCAAATGACAACGTAGCTAATCAATATGATTGCCGTCAGAATAGTTATCGAAAACCACCGACGGGTGCTCCCGAAGCGTCGGTGTCGCCATAAGAAACATCATCATGCTTGTGCCCGAATTTTCGCCGGAACATCCTTGGCCTGACTCTCCAAAACGGCAACCTGACATCTCATATAGTCGGCGTCTTCGCGGGAACAATAGCGTGCAGTACGGAGAGGTGATAGTAAATTGGAGGTGTAAATTCAATATGTTGCAGCTAATGAGGAAGAACGTACCAGCCAGCTACCAGTGTATGGAGTATGGAGAACGCTATGCAACGCAGGCAAAGGACCACAGTAACTTCCCTCATCAGTCGCTCTCGCTGCCCGGATCGTCCAGCGCCTCGTCGACCTGCATCGCGCGAGATTCGTCCACTTCGTCTTCCGGCGAGGGATTGTCGTCATCGTCATCATCCTCATCCTCTTCAGCGTCGTCTTCTTCATCGTCAGGCTGATCGTCACCGTCTTCTTGCTGGTCCTCCTGCCCGTCATCATCCTCGTCATCCATGCTGTCCGCGTCAGGCGCCACCGCAGCACCATCGTCCCCCTTCAACTTCTTGGTAGGCCTGTCCACTTCCTCCCCATTGGCATGGCCATTGGTAGTAGCACCATTTGCTCCCGCCGTAGCCTCGCCCTCAATGGTAGTGTCGCCATCATCCTTAGGGGCAGCCGCGGCTTTCTCCTCCTTGACCTTCCGCCGATACGTGTTACGTTTGTCGCACTGCATCTCGGTGTACCCTTCATTCATTCATTTAGTTTGAGTTCGCAGTCCTTCAGCGGGGAATGGGCAACTTACTCTGCAACTCGGCTTCCAGTCTTGGTTTGAAGGATTCGAACTCACAGTCCTTCATGGCAGCTAGCACATCCTGCGGCATGATTGTCTTCTTGCCGGCATTTGCTGCGAACTCGTTCGAACTGTGGGCATGTTAGCTGATATGCTAATCCGGCGATGGCGGGTTCTGGCCCCTGGACGCTGGCAGAGGGTCACATGAGGCCAAGGGCGCAGTATTCGAAGATGGGAAACGTACTTTGAAGCGATATAGCTGACGAAGACGGTGGCACTCTTGTGTAGTGCCAGTAATGCGTCCTTCTGTATCTGTGTGTTGGCAGGTAGAACTCCTTTGGCCAGGCGTGCGATCATGGACTTGGGCAGACTGAGGTCCTGCTCTCAACATTAGATATGTTCTTCTTCGGAAGTATGGATTAGATGCGTACCTCAACACTCATGCCATCCTTTGGTGCCTTTGCTGGTGTTCCATCGCCCCCTTCCTCCGCACCGTTCGAGACCACGGAGACGTTGCTCTTTCGGGGTGGCATCGTTGCGGTTGGAGATATGGACAGATGGATTTTTAGACGCAATCAACACTGCTGCCAGAGATGAACGACACGCGGCATTGGTTGGGTAAGAAGTGGTGGAAGCAGATGTGGTAAAGTGTGTAGACGCGAAAGGCAAGGTACGCGTTTCGATGCAAGCTCTTCCGCACAAGCCACCACTTTCGAAGTCACCAACTTACATCAGTCTTCAATACACGTATATGCTAGGGAATGGCACGACCGCAAACACTAAGCCACCACAATAATCGAAAATGAAGTTCTCGGATTTGGCAGCAGAACCTTCCAAATACATTTATGCTTACAAGCACACGACTTCCTGTTCAATCTCTGATACTGGTTCTAGCCTACGTCCTGTGACAAGCCTTAGGACTCCACAGCAGAACTTCTAAGCCTTGCGGTCCATCAAGCCACGCCCGGCATATTATGTCCCCCGTCATTCACCGTTTCCCCCACGTTGAGGTCTTGAGATGGGCCGAACGGAGCACCACCTGTACCTTGTCGTGAATGGAACCAGTCCGAAAGCTCAGAGCTATTACTCGTCTTCGTGGTGAGCCTTCGGGTTCCTGCTGGCGAGCGAGAGCTGTTGTAGAGCCTCCAAGAAGGTCTTCTTCGTCATGTCAGATGCAAGAGCTGATTGCCTTGCACCTTGCTTCCTTTCATCCTCATCTCCTTGGGCCTCCCAGCCCAGGCACGCCAGAGTACCTCTCCTCGCGCTCCGTCTTGAACGTCACCTGAATCCAGAACTCCTTCCTGTCTGCATCAAACCACGTCCAGTGCTTGTCCTCGCTCCGATCCACTTCCCTTGCCTGCAGCTTGAACCCACACGTCTCGTACGGCTCCGCAGCAACCAGCAGATACTGAAAGGACTTGTCCGGTGGGTCCTCGACCTTCTGCTCGTACGCGCTCATGAAGCGTATCCTGGGCACGGTGTTGGGACTGATCTCTGGATACTGCAGATTGAACAGTAGACCCTGTTGTCGCGTGATGGGATCGAGTGTCTTCGTGATCTGATAGCCTGGTCGTCCAATCTTGACCACGTTCTTCTTCACCTGCACTGCGTTTGCACCAGTATAGCTCTCTTCGTCCTTCTTTCTCCCCAGCTGCGCCTCCTTCGCTGCTCGCCGCGCAAGATTCGTTTGATGCTTGCGACCCTGCGTATGTGCCAAATATGATCCGTCGTTCTGGTGTACCGTCAGGCAAAGCCGGCACTCGAAGCTTCCGACGTGGTTCTTGAAGAAGTACGGGTCTTTGTCGAGGTCGATGGTTTCGAGCGCGAGCTTTCGGAGGCGCTCACGGCGGTCGGCATTGGTGGCAGACTGCGAAGCGACACCTCCGCCGCCGAACTTGCTACCTGCGCGGTTCTGGTAGTCCATATGGGGTGGTGGAAGATTGGTGTGGTGTTGGTGAGAGTTGAAGGCTGCAGACCTGGATCTGAAGATCGCACGGTACAACTTACGCCACACTAACAAGCGCCACACTTTCAAAAGGCAGGCCAAAAGTCGATATCCATGTTCTCCTCTTCGACCTCATCCTGTTCTTATCGACATGAAGGACGCGGGTGATGGGCCAGCTCACCACATAGGAGAACGTCTGTCTCTTAAGAATCAGCTTTGTACGGTCCGCTACGTCGGAAAGGTAGCAGACAAGCCTGGGACATGGCTCGGCGTCGAGTGGGACGACATCGACAGGAGGAAGCATAACGGAACGCACGAAGGCGTTGAGTATTTTCGGTGTAGGCCAATTGTCCCTTGTATCTGACTGCTCATTACTGACGGCATCGAAAGGCCTGTCGAAATCACCAAAATGTGCATCATTCTTGCGACCAACTCAGACCTGGGATGCCCCGAGGACATTTCTCCAAGCGCTACGAGAGAAGTATATGCCTGATGACCACCATGCGACATCTTCTGGGACCGTATATTTCTCCGGCAAGCAGGCAGAGGAGGTTGGCTTCGACAAGTTCCAGCAGAGACAAGCCAAGCTGCAAGGCATCCATGTACTTGTCCTCAACCACATGCGCATTCAACACCAACGGATAAACCCCAGCGACAATGCTGAAATAGCACACATCTGCGCCGACATCACCGAGCTCGATCTGAGCGCGAACCTGTTTGAGAGCTACGAGGAGATCTGTGACCTATGTCTGCAGTTCCCAAAGCTGAGAACTCTCACCCTCGATGGCAACCGCTTCAGTCTGCGTGGAAATCCACTGCGATATCGTATTGAGACTATCAAGACTCTAGGCCTGTCGCGGACTCTTGCTGAGGATGCGGCCGTGAACGTCCTTCTCAATTTCGCCTTTCCAAATGTTACCACACTTTCACTCGCCGGCAATGAGTACTCCATTCCGCTTAAGCTCAGGATACCTTCCAAGGTGGAAGTGCTTGACCTCTCGGATAACACTTTCGCAGTACTCTCCGACCTAAGTTTTCTATCTGGGTCGGGCCTCCGGACCCTGCTTCTCAAGCGGAACAGTATCTCATCGTTCACAACCTTAGGTATAGACTTCAAGTTACAGGTGGAAGAGCTTGATCTTTCGTACAACGTAATCTCGACATTCGACTTCTTCAACAACATCACAGAAAGCAGCTTCCCGAACCTGCACCACCTGCGTGTCACTGGCAACCCCGTTTATCAGTCCTTGGTATCTGCGGATGGCAAGCCCCTGACATCAGAAGATGGGTACATGCTTACTGTAGCCCGCCTCCCGCAACTGCAGTGTCTCAATCACAGTAAGATCACTGAAAAAGAGCGCTTGAATGCCGAAACTTACTACCTCGGCCAAATTGCCATCGAGCTGGCCAACGCACCAGAGGGGCAGGAAGGAAAGGTCATCGCTCAGCACCCTCGGTCCCAAGAGCTTTGCGCGGAGTATGGCGAGCCTGTCATCCAACGGAAGACGAAAAAGGACGCCATCGATCCCAATACTCTCGCGGCACGATTAACGTCAGTCACCTTCCACCTCGCCGACCACTTTCTTCCAGAAGCGAGGGAGCGATCGTGGACGGCGGATGTACCGAAGTCATTTGCCATGTATGCGGTCTTTGGTCTTGTTGGAAAGCGGCTCAACCAGATGCCGCTCACTCTAAGACTGGTGCTGGAGACCAATGAGCGTGATCCTGTCGGCTTGCAGGATCGATACGGCGGCCCTGAATGGTGGGATAGCAGTGATGACGAGGCAGAGGTCAAACAAGATGACGAGTGGATGAAGAGGGAAGTCGAGTTGACCGCAGGTACGAGGGCCCTGACTACCTACGTTGAAGGCAATACGGCGATTGTGAGGGCTGAGGCGAAGTGAGAGCATGTTTGAGATACCCATCGTAAAGATTCATGATTGAAACGCGGGTCATTGCAGACTTGAGCCGCAGTCGGCCAAAGTTCTGTCCCCATTCGTCGTTACTTGTGTGCATTGTTAGTCTTTCAATTGTGCTTGTAGAGGCTATTCGGTACTACTATGAAGCCCACGTCAACGCCTAGATCCGAACTGAGAGGCGCGGAGATTTGCTTGCGTGAACCACATATTCCATCTCTCCACAGCAGCCTTCTTTCTTTATTTCCTCAAATCAACATCAACATAGCCTGTAATGAAGGTTCGAGATGCCCAGGTCTTTGACTATACGCAACCTCACTTCGATCCCACTGAGTCTGACACTCGTACAACGCTTCGAGTCTGGAAGCAATGGTGACTCCAGCGACAAAAGGGGCATTGACGACAAACTCAAAAGTCTAGCAGGCAATTTTACGAAATTGATGCAAGACAGAATTCCTGGAGGGAGCGAAAGGAAGAGGCTCAAAGCTGGAACATCTGGCGATGCCAAACCCTTCAAACAAGACGAAGTTGAGGTGGAGCTGGAGCCCTTCCGGACGAAGAAGACACAGATCTCAGCACCACTAGGACAGATCCTACGCCTCACCATCGAAGCAGAAGAAAAGGGTGAATGGCATGTCGATGTGCCCACACCTTCTGGCCGGTCTACGCCTCTCATCCCTGCTTCTTCTGAACCTGGACATGAGTTCACTGCCATCTATAACAGCAAGACGGCTGTCCTTGCACTATTCGACAGCACCTACCTCAGAAAATGGATGAACGCCTTTCCAGACGCAACGCCGCTATCTGCTCTCAGTCTGCCCGGAACCCACAACTCTCCCACTTGCCACCAAGCATTGCCGTCCGTACGATGTCAAGCTGTTTCGCCATTGAAGCAGCTGGAAAATGGCGTGCGATTCCTCGACGTCCGTGTGCAGGTGAACGATGCAGACAAGGGGGTCAATTCAGATGCTCTCGAGCTGGTCCACGCGGCGTTTCCCATATCACTCACCGCATCTGCAAAAGCGAAAAGTCTTTTCGACGACGTTTACGGCTTCTTGGACAGGAATCCAAGCGAGACCGTAATCATGTCCCTCAAGCGGGAAGGACGAGGCAGTGGTACCGACGAGATCTTCTCTGAGAGGCTACAGAAACACTACATCAACGCCAACCCACAAAGATGGCACACCCGTACCGGTATCCCTAGGCTAGGTGAGGTGCGAGGGAAGATAGTGCTCTTACGACGCTTTGGTCTCTCAGAAAAGCTGCATCGAGAAGTCCACGGCAAAGGCGGCTTTGGCATCTACGGCTCATGGGCGGACAACACTCCAAATCACCTCAACGGCGACATCCAGATTCAAGACTTCTACGAAGTCACAGATACCGAGAACATCGACAAGAAAATCCAAATCGTCTGCGAGCATTTCGAACGAGCAGGCGCTGCTGTGCATCCGATCGGTGCGCCTCACACGGCCGCAGAGGGTCCAAAGCAGCCACTCTTCATCAACTTCCTGAGTGCTTCCAATTTCTGGAAACCAGGTTGTTGGCCGGAGAAGATTGCTGCTAAGATGAATCCAGCGATCACACAGTTCTTGTGTGAGAAGCATGATATTGGCGATAAAGGGGTTGACGCACCTAATCAGAAAGCTGAAGGTGACGGAGGCTTGGGGGTTGTGGTGTGTGACTGGGTTGGTGATCATGATGACTGGGATTTGGTTAGAGCAATAGTGGGCATGAATTCGAGGCTCCTGCTGAGGCTGCAGCAGCAAGAGGATGAAGAAGACGAGGGCGATGATAGCAATAATACCAGGAGAGGTGGTAGAAGGGGCAGAGGCCGCGGGAGAGGTGGCAGAGGCCGTAGAGGTGGACGCGGAGCGCGAGGCGGTGGTTGAATGTGGTCAGACCAGCAGCTTGGTATGAAGGCATATCGAGCTCCCTCATAGAGCAGCCGTGTTCTGGGCGGCCGGCATGACTTTGTTTTCCCTATTCGTCCTCGTCTGAAGAGTACGCAGCCAGACCAAGCCCAGAAGGCGGAGGGGAGGCTGGCTTATCTGCTGCAGAACTTACGCTCTTGACCGGAGCAGCAGAAATCTTTGATCCGTCATCGTCAACAACTTCACCCGCTTTCGACCCGCCTGACGGAGTGTCAGCGGGCCTTTTCTCGTCAGCAGCAGCTGCAGCGTCTTTGGTAACAGCCTTAGGAGGCGGCTGACCAGCCTCATCCCCGGCAGGCGAAGCCACGCTCTGCTTCTCGTTCGTAGACGTCCTCCGCAACTTGACACCAGCGATGGGCCCCTCGCGACCCTTCTTCCGCTTCCTTGGACCACTCGCGGCCCACGACTCTCCAGCTTCCGCAGGGGGCCCAGCATCACCAGCCTGTTGTGCAGCCTTCTCTGCTTCTTCTTGCTGACGGCGAAACACCTCCAACTGAGTTAGAGTCTCCTTCTTCACTTCCGCCTCCTTGGCCCGCGTTGACTCCATAACAGAATCCAAGAATTCGATCTCATCCTCATCAAGAGAGCGGAACTGATTCCGCAATCGGTTTGCTTCCTCAAATGCCTCTTGTTTGGCGGCTCAAACATCTAAGTCGTCAGCTGTGTATGCCTGCGAAAAATTTCGATGCATAGCGGGCGATGTGATAGTCACCTTTGTTGCTCTGCAGCGTCTCGTAGAGCGATTTGCCGCCTTCCTGCTTCCCAGCTTCAGCCTTTTGCATCTGCTTGGCCTCCAACTCCTGCTGGGCTTTCCGCCATGCCTCGTCGCGCTCCGTTGGCGGCGCCTCGTCGGTGCCGGCAGATACGAAGCGGCTCATGGTGGCTTGAATGAGTTGTGACGGTCCAGATCTGGCAGTGTCACGTGGGAAGGATTAAGGTGAGGTCGGGTAGTGGAGGGCAGGTGCTGTTCCAGACCGAAAATTATGCTCCGCTGACGACAGTTTCACCGAGAGCTCGATTTTGCCTAATTGTAAAATGTGAATGCGATATCATTCGGAAAATATTCTCTACAGATCTTTACTTTCTCATTTGAACTTGATCTCGAAGCAACAATTGAAACCAGATCTTATCACACACCACATAACACCGTCAACATGGCAGACCAATGGACGAAGCAGACCTTCACCCTCAACACGGTACGCCCCCAGAGCCCACGGAAGCCACTCAGAAATCCTGCTGATAAGGAACACAGGGCGCGAAGATGCCGGCAGTAGGCCTAGGTACCTGGCAATCAAAGCCAAATGTAAGACACCCTTCTAACCCTGCCAGGAACTGCTCATCTAAATCGCGACCAACAGGAAGTACGCCAGGCAGTCAAGGCAGCCCTCGACGCAGGATACCGCCACATTGACACCGCTCTCGCTTACGGCAACGAGCACGAGGTCGGCCAGGGCATCAAGGACAGCGGCGTCCCCCGCGACCAGATCTGGCTTACCACGAAGCTGGATAACCCATGGCACAAGCGTGTTGAGGAGGGCATCACCTCCTCTCTGAAGTCCCTCGAGACTGATTATGTCGATTTGTACCTTATGCACTGGCCATCTTCGACCGACCCAGATGATTTGAAGAAGCACTACCCTGACTGGAACTTTGTCGACACCTGCAAGTATCCCACACTCCATTGTGAGATTTCGTGCTGACCGTGGAACAGGGCGCGAGTTGCAAAAGCTCCCGGCATCTGGACGAGTTCGCAGTGAGTATTCGCCTCGCCAGTGCCGTTTGAACTACTTGCTCACGATGCTGCAGACATCGGTGTCTCCAACTTCGCCATCAAGAACCTGGAGATCCTGCTGAAGGACGAAAGCTGCAAGACCGTCCCAGCCGTGAACCAGGTCGAGCTGCACCCCAACAACCCATCGCCGAAGCTCATCGACTACTGCAAGGAGAAGGGCATCCACGCCACCGCCTACTCGTGCCTTGGCTCGACCAACAGCCCGCTTGCAAAGGACCAGACCCTCCAGAAGATTGCAGACTCGAAGGGCAAGTCTACCGCCCAGGTGCTGCTGATGTGGGGCTTGCAGCGAGGAACGTCGGTCATCCCCAAGTCTGTCACCGAGTCGCGCATCCAGGGCAACTTCCAGCTAGATGGTATGTTCAATCGATATACGGAGAGTCGATGCAATGCTAACTTCCGCTCCAGGCTGGAGTTTGACCGACGACGAGATGAAGCAGCTCAGCTCGCTGCCAGACCGCTTCAAGGTCTGTCAAGATGGCTGGCTTCCAGTCCGTGTTTTCTTTGGCGATGACGAATAGATGGCGAGAAAGGAGTTGAGGTTCAGTCATGGCAAGCATAGAGTAGAGATTCGCCAAGCCAATAAACGTTTTCGACGACCTCGACGACCTCATCCTTCCTCTATTTTTCCTCCCACCGTCATCATGTCTTGATACACTTCACATCCCGCTGCGATCCTCGAACAGCCAACACAACGCGTTGCAAATGCAGCCAAGCAGTTCCAAAACAGCGTTAGCACTGCGCCACGGTCGGCCAAGCGGACCAAGACGCGTCAGCCTCGGAATGGTCACACGAGCTTCTCGCAATGTCCTCCGTGCATAACTCACTGTCGCAAGCTGCAACGCGTTTCCTTTGCTTCCCATCAACCATTTCCTACTTTCATTCTCGTGCGGTTAACGAAGACAAGCACTCTCTTCATCTCCTTCATTCCTCTGTCATTGGTGCGGCATTCACTCACTGGCTTGACTCTACGGACATCCGCGCGCATGGCTCTCGACAAGGTCAAGACTCTCGCGCGGAATCTGGGACTAACCACGATGTCGAAGCGCCTTGTTCTCAGCTATGTCATTGACTGGTAGGTCCTCCAGCGCATCAAGCTGCCCTCATCGCCCTCTTCCGCCGCTCGAGAAATATGCGTTCGACACGGGGCACAAAGAGCGGTTACAAGCTAATTCAGTTGCTACAGGCTGGTCATATTCCTCATCGCCGGACTGGGCGGACTCTTTAACTTCATAGAGCCCTACAAACGACCGTTTAGCCTCCTCGATCTCTCGATCAGCTTCCCGTACATTACTCCTGAGCTCGTTCCCTACGAGTACCTCATCTTCATCTGCGGAATGGCACCGGCCATCATCATCGCGCTCATCAGCCTCCTACTAGTACCCGGACCACGGCATTGCCGCTCCCTCAACCGATCTCAGATCATCCGGCTGAAGTTCTGGGAGTTCGAGAGGGGATGGGCGGGGTTTTGTTTAAGCCTTGCCATCGGTTTCTTCATTACGCAGTCCATGAAGAACGTCTTCGGAAAGCCGCGACCGAATCTACTCGAAAGGTGTCAGCCGGATCTAGACAACATAGCCTCACACAGGGTTGGTGGTTGGGGAGAAGACATAAGCGCTCGGTGGACACTGGTGAGCGCCAGCATATGCACGAACAACAACAGGCGGGTTCTCGATGACGGGTTCCGATCATTCCCGTCAGGACACTCCTCGTTCTCCTGGTCGGCGATGCTGTACTTGTCGCTATTCCTCTGCTCCAAGTTCGCCATCACAATCCCGTTTATGAGAACCAATTCGACCAACGAGGTCGCCGGTCTCCAGTCCGACGAATCCGGCCGCCTCCTCTCATCGGAAAACAACCGCCGCCCTTCTACCGACGACTCTCAAGACAAACCTTTACATTTCCGGCCGGCATCCGCACGCCGACCAACACAGGACACTACGCCCATACGAAAGCAGGCGGCGACACCACCGAATCACCTCATCATCGTGGCAGTCTTTCCACTAGGAGTCGCGATCTGGATCTGCTCAACGCGCTTCGTTGAATTCTACCACTTCGGCTTCGACATCATCAGTGGGTCTTTGATAGGGATTGCGAGCGCTTGGTTCTCGTTCCGCTGGTACCATTTGCCAATTAGATCAGGTCAAGGGTGGGCATGGGGAGCGAGGAACCCGCGAAGGGCGTTTGGCATAGGCGTGGGAACGGCAAACTACGGGGACGAAGGGATAGAGGGCTCACATAAGAGGACTGACGATATTGAGTTGAATGCTGCGCGATAGAATTGGGCAGGCAGAGATATCTGGACACGGTTGTTGGTTATTAGCGTGCATGAGCATGGGCGTTGGATAGACGGACAACGAGAGATAGGGGAAAGGAATCGTGGCATGTATGGTTTGCAGCTAATCTAGCAAATTTGGTCCCGTGATCTTGCTACAAGATTCGAAAGGGCGTCAGGCTACGTAGTAAAAGAAGTGACAGTCAGGCCTTCTCCATGACACAATCGCCTGCTATGAAGCCTCCTACTAGGCGATGCTGTTCCTGCTATCTCGGAGAACCATTCTCTCTACTTACTGCTCCTCGCCCCTTCTCCGCTAAACAACATCCTACCTAGAGGTTCTTGAGCATACTTTGCTTGCAGTCTGGGATTTCGGAGGCTGCCACTTCCGATACGTCGCCCGGTGTACGACGCTGACATTTTTAAAACCTCATCTCATACTATAAAAGCAAGAATCCCAAATACCACCGCAAGTACGCTCATATTCGTCGCACTAGCCACGTTCGTAGAGCTCGGACTGCTGCTACTACTGCCTCCAGTGGTCCCTGTGGTTGGACTGGGAACAGTGCCAGTAGCATTCGACCCAGCACTGCTCGTAGCATCACCATTATCTCGCAGGACAGCGTAGATCTCACCCGTCTCATCTGAGCTCATGAACAGCACGCCATTCGAGTCCCACGCAAGGCCGACGGGTCTGAAGCAGCCTCCGTTCGAACAGCCAGCAGTGTCTTCATTGGAAAGGATATCGACGACGGCGGTCTTGGAGGTGCTGGGTTCGGTTGGTTCGCCGTTCTCGAACTCGACTACGCTGAGTTTGTAGCCTGGTCTGCGTCAGTACTGGATAGCAGGGTGGAGACGGTCGAAGGTACTCACCAACAGCAGGATCCGAGTCCCAAGACCCGTGGAAAGTGATCCAGGCCGCAGTCCCAGCATCGTTGAACAAGATATCAAGAGGTGCCATGTGCGGATGAAACACCAGTCTTGCGTCCTGAACCTCACTCGGCGAGCACATCGAGTCGCTGTTGTTAGAGCCCAGCTTGCCGATGGCGAACTGCTGCCCGACTTCACCATTGAACTGAGGGATAGTGTCGGTGTTCCAGGCCGAGTAGCACATCGGATAGCCAAAGTTACGGCCTTGGTTCGACGATTTGGTGCCATTGAGATACCCTAGGAAATTGAGCTCTTCTCCGGGGTTCGACTGATGGATGTCGACGCCATTCCTCGTCATCTCGTCGACGCTGTTCTCAACAGAGTACAGCCCACCAGTAGTAGGCTCCTCGTCAATCCCTACATCGTTCCGCAGACCCCAGCCGAGCAGCAAGCCATCTCTGTTGAAGTCGTACTCGGAAGTCATATTGGTCATATTGAACGCCTTGATCTGGCTGTGTCCAGACCCAAGATTCTCCGCCTGAGGATCAATGTTCGAGGTGCTGCCGCGGGTGACGACGAGCATGCCTGGCACCATGCGAGAGAGCAGAAGTGTTCGCGTGGTGTGATCGCTATTCGTCATGTTCGTCACCAGCGTCTGCGGCTTCGAAGTAGTCTTTTGGTTCCCAGACGAGTAGTCCCAGCTATACACCGCCTCCGTGCTGGAGCCATAGAGTGTGCTGCCGTCCGAGGACATCTCGATGCCATGGTTGAGGTCTTCATTCGAGACGACAGTCTTCCTAGATGGAGAACTGAAGCATCCGCCACCGTCGTCCCTAATCTTCAGCGCGGTGATGCCGACGCCAGACTCGACCACGAGCAGGTTGCCGGCGTCGTCGAACTTAATGCCTCGAGGAGATTCCAGCTTGTTCGCTACCAGTCTTGCGACATAGCCTGCTGCAACCGATGGTGTTGCAGTTGTCTGCAGCGTAGACGAGCATGAGGAGGCGATATTGTTCGACTGGCACTGTACAACGCCTGCAAATGCCAACGCTGATATCGCAAGTAAGGCGTTCATGCTTGACATTTTCTCGATGGTAAACCTATTCTGATGCAGCTGCGGTCCGTGGTGAAGAGCTCAAACCAAAACAGGTCTTCGAGAATGTTTTAGACAGCAGCTTTCTTTACGCCACCTCGTACTGCACGGTGTCGCCATCGAGCGAGATGCAGGTCCGCCCAGACACAATTGGATCTGCTGCCGCTAGTCGCGTTTCATAGTGCAGCGAATGCGGGTGATGTCTGGGGACGAGAAGTGGTTGGATTGAGGCGGGATGGATGACGTGTGGAGGGAGGGAGGGAGGGAGGACGTAGAACTACGCCTAGCAAGTCGAGATTTTCGAGACAGCAAGAACACAAACTAATAGCAGGCTCGATAGTAGCTGGCAGACAACCGTAACAAGGGGATGAAGCCGCACTGTGGAACTTCGAGAGTGGTACAGGTCCCTCGCATAGATTCACATCTATCTAGCACCCTCTAACTTCCCAGACCTCCGTTGAGTGAGATCTGATCGAAGTCGCACCTATCACACCCCCATCATCACTCTCGTTGAAGACGCCTGAACGCCCTGCGATGCCGTTCAAGCCAGCTTGAAATGCCGTTGAAGACACAACTTTTTCCCAGCCCTTCCCCGTGGTATCACGCGTGTTGAATCATATCCTCGTAAATAACGCCGTCAACTATGCCCCAGCCATTCTAGTAGCGGTACATGTCGCTCTTGAAAGGACCTTCGATTGGCAGCTCCATGTAGTCGGACTGCACCTGGGTCATCTTGGTCAACTTGGCGTTGACATGGTCCAGGTGCAGCAGAGCGACCTGTTCGTCGAGGATCTTAGGCAAGACGTAGACGCCGACCGACATGCGCTTGACGGAAGCCTTGTTTTGCGACTCGTCGACGGTCTTCTGGGGTGCGGCACCCTCCTCCTCGCCCTCGATGGCGCGGGCGAACTCGATGTACTTCTTCGCGAACTCCTTGTCGCCGGCCTTGTACAGCATGATCTGTGCCAGGACCTGGTTGGTGAAGGAGCAGGACATGACGAAAGAAGAGTGGCCGGTGGCGCAGCCCAAGTTGACCAGACGGCCTTCGGCGAGCAGGATGATGTGGCGGCCGTTGGGCATGAGGAAGCGGTCGACCTGAGGCTTGATGCTGACCTTCTCCTTGGCAGTCTTCTGCAGCCACGCAACGTCGATCTCGATGTCGAAGTGGCCGATGTTGCAGACGATGGCGTCCTCACGCATCGCCTCGAAGTGCTTGCCGACAATGATGTCACGGCAGCCAGTGGTGGTGACGAAAATCTGTGCTTGTGGAGCGGCGTCCTCCATGGTGACGACCTCGTAGCCAGCCATTGCAGCCTGCAGAGCGTTGATGGGGTCGACTTCCGTGACCATCGTGCGGGCACCCATGGCGTGGAGTGCTTGTGCGCAGCCCTTGCCAACATCACCGTATCCAGCGACGACAGCAATCTTGCCAGCAATCATGACATCGGTTGCCCGCTTGATGCCGTCGACCAAGCTCTCTCTGCAGCCGTAGAGGTTGTCGAACTTGCTCTTCGTCACGGAGTCGTTGACGTTGATGGCTGGTGCGAGAAGACCGTGTCCCTTGCCCTTGTTCTTCAGCATCCTGTAGAGGTGGTGCACACCCGTGGTGGTCTCCTCAGAGATACCGTAGCAGCCCTGGAGCATCTCGGGGTACTTCTGGTGTACAAGCGCCGTGAGGTCACCGCCATCGTCGAGGATGAGGTTGAGGTTCTGTCCAGACGGGAAGGCCTTGAGCTGCTGCTCCAAGCACCAGTTGTACTCCTCCTCAGTCTCGCCCTTCCAGGCAAAGACAGGTGTGCCGCCTGCTGCAATGGCCGCCGCAGCGTGGTCTTGGGTCGAGAAGATGTTGCATGACGTCCATGTGATCTCAGCACCCATTGCCTTGAGCGTCTCGATCAGCACAGCGGTCTGGATGGCTGTGGTGATAGTATGTCAGCATGGCTCGACTACCTTGCAATGGCGGATACGCACTCATGTGAAGACATCCTGCTATCCTCGCACCCTTCAATGGCTGCTCCTGTGAGTACTTCTCCCTCGTGGCCATCAAGCCAGGCATTTCACGCTCAGCCAGCTCAATCTCCCTCCTGCCGAAGGCAGCGAGGTTGATGTCGGCCACCTTGTATGTCTTCGCTGGTTCTCCCATCTTGTCGGTTGTTGTGGTATATTTGAAGATTGTTGAGTATGTCGAGTGGACTTAATGTTGTAAAAGGATTGTTAGAGCAAGGTGTAAGAAAAAAATGCCCACCTCATCGAGACCCCACTTCAACATCTGCCGTTGCGTTCCTGGCTGGACGCAGGGCAGGGCACTTTATAACGTCATCTCTTCACGAATGGAGCAAAACTGTCCAGTCCGCGAGTATAGCAGCATTGAGAGTATTACGGTATCGTTGTACAGGAAGTGAAGGGGTGTATATTGCACACCACCCGATGTTACCTATTGTATGCCGCAAAAGCTATCACATGTCCTCTCTGTCAAAAACCCGCTATGCATATCCTCCGATCCCTCCCATCTTTGATAACCAGCTCTGGTCCAGCTCTTTTTCCTATTGCTAACAGAGGAAACGCTCAATCAAGGCCGTTACGACAGATTCCCTCATCTATCAACGACCCAAAGCCTGCCGCCCAATGCTGAGAGCGGTGTCTGGTATGCAAGGCTCTCATGCTTCCATCCAGTGCTTCCATCCAGTGAACATTATTTCTCTTCAAGAATCAACAAGCCGACCCAACTTTCTCTGTTGTACAAGTGTGCGTGTGCTCTGTCCCTACGGGAGGTTGCAGTCCTCGCGGACAAAGTATGCGGCACCGCGGCGGCTCTGGTGATGCTGAAGATAACTTTTGCTCTCAATCCTCCCAAACGCCTCGCTGAACTCCAGGGAAACTTCCGTTGTCCTGACCACGCAGTAGCATGCTCTGCACAAGAGGTGACGGTTTTGTGTGTCGACACGGTGTCTCGGCTCTTTCATTCAGCTGTCATTCGTCGAACTTCATATCCTCCATCTGTGATGCAAGCTCTTCATCCCGACCAGGAAGGTCTGTATCCATCCCATCATGATCTGTCCTTGCCTGATCTCTTCTCGACCTGCGTCTTGCGACCGTGCCCTGATCGCCAGGACTGTCAAAAATGCTCTTAAAGGCCGGTTCATCAACTTCGTCGTGTCGAGCCATGAGCTTGTGCGGTTTCGTACGGTGAGGGCTCGAATACAGCCCTTCAGTCTCACGCAAAGCGTCTTTGACCTTCCGTTTGAGGTCTTTAACATATGGCACGATGTGCCGCAGCGTGGCTGTGTCGAACGGTACCTTCTTCGCTGCCGAAGCAGGCTTCAAGCCGTGGGGCTCAGAAACACTGCGTTTTGACTGAATCGCCTCGATCACTGACTTTGCAACAGCCTCCGAATCCTTGCGCGGACGAGTGACGATGAATTCTTGAGGAGTCATAGGGCGCTGCTCGGCACCTGCTTCGGTAGCAAGGTCGCTGGTCTGCGGTGGCGTCTGATCCACCCCAAACGACTGTCCACGGGGTCGAGTGGCTTCCGCTATGCTAGGCATGGGCTCGTCGAAATCATCGTAGTCGAAGCCGGGCGAGGAGGGAGGTGATCGACGAGGCTCCAAGGTTTTCTCTTCGCTCTCCTGATCTGCAAGCTCGATCATTGCATCCACCTCTTCCCAGGCATGTGCGTACGGTCCATTCATCATATCCAACGCCACTGCCCTCACCCGCAGCTCCTTCAGCTCTTCAATGGCCATGCCCCATTCCTTCAAAAGTCGGATGTTTGACATGACGCTCTCCTGCTGCTCCCGGATGGACTTTGGCACAAACATCTCATGGCCACTGTCGATTCGCTTGTCATCTTGCAGCAGCTGCTCCGGAAGTGGCTGAAGCATCTCGTCAAAGTCGAAGTCCTCATTCCAGTCCTCGGTCACCACCTTGCTACCCACACCCCAAGTACCAAACTTGTTCGCCACAACGTTATTGCGCTTGCCTTCAACATCTGGGACCACAGGCACGCTGTGACTCCGTGCATGCATGCCACTCGGAGCGCGCCGCCCAGTAGATCTGCTGCCTCTGTTCTCTTGATCTTTCTTGCCGTGGACAGTCCTTGGTCGAGGCGGCGAGTCGTTCTGGCTCGGGCTGGGCTGAGTCTCGGACCACTCGAACAGATTTGCGCGGTCTGATGCGGCTCCATTGTGCCTGAAGGGTGTCGTATCCGCTGACTCAGATTGCTGATCAGGTAGGGCAGGGCCAAACTGAAAAGGGAATCTTGCGGCATGGCCGTTAGCTCCGTTCGTTGCCGGTGATTGGTATGGTGTGGAAACACTGCGAGGTGGCTCATCATCTGGTGCGTCCCAATCGATCTCATCGGGATCTGGCATCGTTGACATGACTGGCGGCGACGAAGTGAAGCGGTGTTGTAATCCAGAGCGTCCAGAAGGCGTAGACGTCACGCTATTATCGCGAAGTGACCGCACAGGTGTACTGGTGATGCTCTCCTCTTCTTCAATCGTGCTGTGCCTGTATCGCACAGAGTGTTCGTCAGGGTGGAAACCTCCATCGCTGAGCAGATCTTTCAGCCTTGTACTACGTCCGCTGGAAAAGTGTGGCGGCGACTCGTCGAAGATGGTCTCGATGTGAGGTCCTCGCTTCCCAGAGCTACTTCGTGTGGTTCGTGTGGGGTAGGAATCGTAGACCGCGTCGCTTTGGTAGTCGGTACTTGCATCTCCAATTGACCGGTACTCGCTGTCCGAACCTACCGTAGAGGTAATTTCAGATTGCGCTGCAGATACACGGACTGGCCTTACAGTTGCTGAGTAGGCTGTAGCTGAAGGAAGTCGTCGTTGCTCCAGTGGGGAGGAAGTCTGCTCCGGCGAGACATCGACAGCGTGAGGGACTCCATCGTTGGCGACGAAAGACTGAGGCGTGCTTGTTCCTAGGTCGAGATCGATTTCCTGCGCAGGCGACGACCCAATGCGAGTATTGTTGCTAGCAGACGAATAGATGCTGCGACGCGCCGCGGCTGGATCTGTGAGGTCTCGCCGCTTCGCAGGACGGTCAGAGTCGCCATCCTGATTGCTGCTGAACGCCCCACCCATGGCCGCCTGCGGCGCAGAGACCACTCTCGGTCTGCTTCTGCGCGCGAGTTTGCTAGCTGTCTTCGATTTGTTGAGCGAAGGTCGCCTCCAAAGCGGTTGCGGTCCAGTTGCCAAGAGGTCTCCAATCGAGAAAGAGCGTTTTGGAGTCTGCCCTTGACCGAAGTCAGAAGTTTGCTGAGGGAGCGGCGACGAACCGTAGCTGGGTGCAACTGTCAATCGCGTTACTTCTCCTTCTCCCTCTCCATCACTCAGCCCAGCATCCATTTCGATCTGCCCTTGTCGAATGCCTCTGCTTGCGGAGACCAGCACAGGTCTATACTTCCGGTCAGGATATATTCGATTGATTGGGCTCGGTATACCAGTGGAGCTCCGCCTTCGTGCAGCTGCAGCATCAGATTGGACTGTGGGCGTGAAGTAGTTGACGAGCTGAGGGTCACGTGGTGGGACAGATTTTTCGTCGATAGACATGTGATCGCTTTGGTCGCCGCCTGAGTACATCTCCTGCATGGTTACTGAGCGCTGATGACTCGTCGCTGGCCGCTTGAGTACAGGAACCGGCAGTTTTGAGCCAGATGAAGTGCGAGGCGATCCATTGGTGCTACGGAGTGAGGACGAGCGCTTCACGAGCTTGTTGGGCGCCAGCGGTGGTGGAGTGCTTCGTGCAAATATTGGTGTTGTCGAGCCTGCTTGTGAGAATGCTACAGATCCGTTTGAGTGTGAAACAGCCGCAGAGCCTGGCCGCGACACTGGCGAGCCGGAGTCGCGAGACATGGTGCTGGACAGCCGCCGCAGCCATGACTGCGGTTGAGTATCAGGAGTCCCGGCAGGTGAACTGCCGTTGTGCGTAGGTTCCAAAGGTCGGTCCATGCCCATACTGAAACTTGCCATTGGTGTCAGTGTTTTTCTCTTCTGCCCAACTTTTGCAGAAGCCGATCGGGCCTTCCCATCAGTTCTATCGCTTATCGATCGGGCCGTCTGTGGTCCCGGAGAGGACAGGCTGAAGGGTGAGGTGAGGGTTGACCGAGGGTACGCCGCGACGGCGGTCATCGCACTATGGGGGGAGGAGTCGCGGGGGGAGTCGTGGTTCGGGGTGTTTTCTTCGCGTACAACGGCGAGACCGATCGAGGCAATGCTTATGCCGGCGCCGGATGCACAGAGCTGGAAGGGCATGTCAGCACACGTCCATTGTTTCGTGCAGCGTGCAATACCTGCACGGAGGAGCACATTGGGCGTCTTGACGGGACCGAGAGAGCATACCGTGGATACTGTCCGCATAATAAGTTCCTACCAGCCGTCCACCGCCTCCCCTGAAGCCCAAGCAAGGTCATCTACCACTTGAAGAGCCGTGGTTGTCATGAGCATCGTGTGCGTGTCGTGATACCCCCGAGCTGGTGGAAGCGAGCCCTACTGCGTCTTCAGACCTCCACACATGGTTGCACCGGCAAGAGAGTAGTCAGGCACCGCCCAGCAAACCTCCCGACCAAGGCCCACGCCAGATACCGAAAACCGTTTAAAGAGGGGCTACTTGGTCAAGGTTCGCCAGCGGGAGCGGACGAGACGAGGTGTATCCCAGGGAGATGAGCTGAGGAACGACAGGCGAAGCGGCAACGACACGCTCCACCACAAAACCAAAATGACAGACACAGCACAGTTTGCACAGCATACGCTTGGGTACAGTCAAGGGCTGTGCCCTGGCAAGCCTGGCCTTTGTTAACGCCCTGCAATGCCGTGCTACGTTGCAACGCTCTCATCAATACAATTCATCATGCCGCTTCCCCCCGGCCGTTACAGCTGCCAAAAGCAACGCAGAGCAAACAAACCCTGCAGCCAGGATGCATGCTCAAAGTATACACGCGAGCTACATGGTGAGCTCCCTCAGCTCTCTTCCTTCGATCCGCCATTCCGTGGACGAACAGCGTTCGTCACTGGACAACACGAGATCGACTAGAGCCTTGTGCATAACAAGATACCCCTGTGTACCCGCGGGGCGGCCAGGAATGACCATACATTTTCCTGTGGCTGTTAACGATCAAGGATCTTAAATAGCCGCCTTCAGGCCCCTCCTCTCGTCTCTGCTCTGCTCGAGGCATATCGCACCGACAATCTTCGATGGAATCGATCGTTTTTGGCGCCCATTGCAGAAGGAGAGAACGCACTGCGGGACCTACGAAAGATCGTCCAACCTTAAACCACTGTTCGTTACCGGATTCCTGGCCAGCCAAGCTGTGGCTCCTGCATGTCCGTCATCCGCGCGCCGTCGCTTGATCCTCACTGCTCCACCCATCGTGTGGCATAGTCGGCGGAGACGCTGGAGCTGGACAATGGCTTCTGCTGTCACTCATGTTGTCGTTCCCAGAGGACGAGTGCATCGTGCAGCTGTCGACGTCGTGGCCGGCGATGCAAGGGAGAATTTGCGTGCCACCGAGACCGCATCCATCGGTTACGCAATAAAGCAAAATTGGTGTTATCGTCCGGGGACCCTTGCTTAGGATCTGCCTCCACATTGCTAGCAGCTAGATCTATTTCGGATCTTGCACTCACCGACGAGACGTTACGCCTGGGAAAATGAGGATGACTGGGTCTCCTACGGAGATACGGCCGGTGAGACTCAAGATGGAAATAGTCGGCACGCGGTGGGCAGAATGGGCCTGGATAGGACGTGTTTCGGCGCTGCCACGAGGGGAAGCTTGCGAATACGCGAGCCGTGGAGGAAGCGGAGATCTGAAACACTTTTATTTGGAGCGGGCCAGGCGCGTGGTCGCCCAGACGCGAGGTAGTGAAAAAGTCGTGGTGAATGCGAGTATCACGTGATACTTTAGCATACTGTATGTACTTTTGCTCTCGCATTAACAAGTGATGTCTATTGGATATGATATGCGCATCGCATCTCCACAGTAGTCGTGTATGCTGGAGATCGAACGTTATGGAGCCCCTCTTCAGCCGGACATCTCCACCATCTTACTGCTTGCTGCGGCTGGCCTGAGAAAAGCGAGCCTTCTCCAGCCTGTGATTCGTCGACGTGCTTGGACGACATGAATAATTCCTCATCTTCAGCACTCTCACGCTGTCCTATCGCCGCGCATACTCTTCACCACTCTCCTCACCATCTCAGTCCAGTCTGGCCGTCTGACGGACCACTTACGCACGGCAACTCAGTTCGGGCAGTTGCTCGGCGAATTTGAGCACTTCTCGCCATTTCCGCAACGGGTGGCGTTTCCTCCAGGACTGGCCCCAGTACATACATCGGCACCATCAACCCGACGCAGCTGACGAGTCCAGCTAACGGGGCCCTGAGCAACGATGCAGGCTGAAATTCGAGCCCAGCTTCCCAACGCGGATGAGGTGATTGTGGATTACGCCGCAGGATATCTGAACCATGCCGCACAGCAGTTCAGCAGTGAAGGCGACCCGTTAGCCGATGCGGCTTCGGTCATAGTACAGCTGCTCCTTTCAGCATCAGGAGATCTGTCCAGCGAGAATGAAGTCACGGTACAGAATCTCGTGGAGAAGTTCATCTCCAAGCTGAACGATGAGCGAGGCGTAGATGGCGAGCGAAGGCAGCAGGCTCCGTCTGCGAAGAAGCTGGACCAGACCATCCAGGTAGGCTCGCAACGGAATGTCTCGACTACGCTGGGTCTTGCCGGAGCCTCTGTGGATTTGGAGGCAGCAAACTCTCGCAAGGTGGAATCCCGCGTCGACAAGAAGAAGCTTGAGAAGGCTGAAAGAAAGCTTCGAGCCAAGCAAGACAAGAAAGTCTTCAAGACTGTAGAGTATGAGGCGTCACGACTGCTGGACCAGACAGATGAGCAGCAGTCGTACGAGGAGTTCTTCATGGCTGTGAACCCTCTGCAACTTGGAGCAGACGCACAGTCGAAGAGTAAAGACATCAAGGTCGATGGCATTGATATCTCCATCGGCGGCAAGCGGATCTTGTCAGACACCAACCTCACTTTAGCATATGGCCGGAGGTATGGCTTAGTCGGTCAGAACGGTATCGGTAAATCGACACTTCTAAGAGCCCTCAGTCGGCGAGAGGTGGCGATTCCTACTCACATCTCGATTCTTCACGTCGAGCAAGAGATCACTGGTGATGACACGCCGGCTCTGCAAGCAGTGCTCGACGCCGATGTGTGGCGGAAGCATCTGCTCAAGGAACAAGAAAAGATTACCAAAGAGCTTGCCGACCTCGAAAAGGAGCGCTCCACCATGGCAGACACATCAGCAGATGCGGCCAGGCTTGACAAGCAGCGGGAGGGTCTCGACATCACACTCAGCGACATTCAGAACAAACTCGCCGAGATGGACTCCGACAAGGCAGAGTCGAGAGCAGCCTCCATTCTGGCTGGTCTTGGTTTCTCACATGAGCGACAGCAGTTCGCCACCAAAACGTTCTCTGGTGGGTGGCGTATGCGTCTCGCTCTGGCGAGAGCACTGTTCTGTGAGCCTGACTTGCTGCTTCTTGACGAACCGTCGAACATGTTGGACGTGCCTTCGATTACCTTCCTTTCGGACTACCTCCAGACATACCCAAGCACCGTCCTTGTCGTCTCTCACGACAGAGCCTTCCTCAACGAAGTGGCGACAGACATCATGCATCAGCACTCTGAGCGCCTGGACTACTATAAGGGAGCCAACTTCGATTCGTTCTACGCCACCAAAGAGGAACGACGAAAGACCGCCAAGCGAGAGTACGAGAATCAGATGGTGCAACGAGCTCATCTACAGACATTTATCGACAAGTTCCGGTACAACGCTGCCAAATCTTCGGAAGCTCAGTCGAGAATCAAGAAGCTGGAGAAGATGCCCGTACTCGAGGCACCAGAAAGCGAATACGTCGTGCACTTCAAGTTCCCAGAAGTCGAAAAACTGTCGCCTCCTATCATCCAGATGACTAATGTCAGCTTCGGCTACACACCAGACAAGCCTCTCCTGAAGCACGTCGATCTGGATGTGCAGCTCGACTCTCGCATCGGCATCATTGGTCCCAACGGTGCCGGCAAAACCACAGCACTGAAGCTGCTTATTGCATCACTATCGCCTACGCAAGGTCTGATTTCAGCAAACCCACGGCTACGCATCGGCTTCTTCGCGCAACACCACATCGACGCACTGGACATGAACGCCAGCGCCGTCAGCTTCATGGCGGCTAAGTACCCCGGGAAGTCAGACGAAGAGTACCGCAGGCATCTCGGCGCATTCGGCATCACGGGCATGACAGGTCTGCAGAAGATGGCTTTGCTTTCAGGAGGTCAGAAGTCTCGTGTCGCCTTCGCCTGTCTTGGTCTCACCAACCCACACATTCTCGTGCTCGACGAGCCGTCCAATCACTTGGATATCGAGGCTATGGATGCGCTGAGTATTGCTCTGAACCAGTTCGAAGGCGGTGTCGTCATGGTCAGCCACGACGTTACGATGTTGGAGAAGGTTTGTAAGAGTTTGTGGATTTGCGATCAGGGGACCGTTGAGCACTTTGATGGGACCGTGAAGGAGTATAAGAAGAGGATCAGTGCGCAGGCGGGCCAGAGTGGTGTTGCTATTCAGCATTAGACAGATCTATGTATATTGAAGGAGGGAGCGTCTCCCAACAGAAGGACCATTACGAACCCATCGACTTCTCCATGTGCCTTTCGCTAGGATGCCGCTCAAGTGAATATGAAAGCGGTCCTCACGTGGTCCTCCACCATATTTGACTTCGGTCATGATGACATCAAGCGTCTTGAATCCAGTACCTGCATCGAACAAACACACGAGCATTTTCTTACAACATCACCCAACAACACCTCTACATTAAACACTCCAAACAACGACACAGAACAACACAACACATCCTATCTACGATGCCTCGTCAAGTCGCACCACCGCCCTCGGGAGAGTTCCAGGTCGTTCTGACCAAGCCCTTCAATGGTATGACCGATCGATGCTCGTTCCAACGCCTTCACAAGCTAACAATGCCAAAGGCGACCCAGAGCACATGATTGAAGTGATCGGAGAGCTGAACCGTCCAGCCTCGGTGCGCTCGTCACAGTACACCGGCAACTCCAAGTCCTCCGAGAAGACCGGCGACATGCCAAAGTACGTTCTCTTCCACTAAACATCTATACGTGCAGTGGATCCTGACCATGGCCAATTACAGGGACGACGTACAAGAGCTCATGGACCTCATCTCCACCCTCCGCGGCTTCCCAAGCCACCCTTCGAAAGACGTGTACGGGAGGGACACCAGGGTCGACTTCAACACCTTTGATCTTCAGTGGAGCAGTCAGTATACCCCAGCACACATGCAGTGGGATATAGTCTGGGATTCTTGCTGACGGTGTGCATACAGACCAGGACGACGACCCAACCGGCAACGAGGTCTCTGAGATTGCGCCTGAGCAGAAGGATGATTTCAACAGGATCGCGGACAGCATAGAGGCGTTGGCGAGGACGTTTGCGAAGAAGGACTCGCAGGTCTAGGATATGACCATGGGAGTGCAAAGGCAATGAGTGCACACGGCAGCTATGGCTGAGGATTGCATTCGACTGGCCATGAAGGCTGGCAGCAAGCTGGTACTACAACCAACGTAGATACGACTTCAATCAGAACGTTGCCTATTAAGAGCTCGTTCGTTATCTCAACGCGTTTTGTTCGACGACGTAACGTAACGCATGCTTGGAATGGGTGCCATTGATCAGAATTCGTGTTGCTAACACCGCAGATATGTGAATCATCTATCCAAGTCGCGCTCCGTCCAATGTCGAAACGACGAAGCAATCATCTCATTTGACCTCTGGCGTGTGTTCCAGCTTCTCATGCTCCAACTCCTTCTTCTCAGCAACCCGCATCGGGCTGTCACCCTCGCTCTCCTCATCTGCAGGGCCCAAGTTCTCAATACCAACTTTCGTCGTGGAGAACTTGTCAGCCGGGATACGGTATGCCGGGACGAAGTTGACCGCCAAAGTGTAAGTCCAGGCGAGGATGAAGAAGCACATTGGCACGACCATGGCGAGCTGGGTGCTGCGCGCGTCTGCTACGGCTCCCAGAATTGGTGGCCTAAGTGATGAGAGGTTAGCGATTTGCCGGAGCATCTTGGACCAGCTCAACTTACACAACAGCTCCACCACAGACACCACCAACGATGAATCCAGATCCGCGCTTCGAGTATTTCCCAAGCCCACGCATACCCAATGCAACGATCGTTGGGAAAATGATCGACTCAAAGAACAACGTCAGGTACAGCATAGCCATGCCAGTGTTGCCGCTCTGTGTAATGCTGGGTGCAATAAACACAATGCAAAGCGTCATGTACAGCAAAAAGACGTATCGAGGCCGGACAAACTTCATCAAACCCACACCGACGAAGCGACCGAGAGCAAAACCGCCTTGTGCTCCAGCCAGGAAGCGTGCTGCCAGGGGGCTGTCGGTGTTGGCGCGGGTTTCGGTAACGTAGTTGATGAAGTAGCCCGCGATGGCTACTTGGGCTCCGGTGTAGCAGAATTGCGCGAAGGTGGCGTGGAAGAGACGGTATTGTTTCCAGAAGGGCTCGATGGCGGTGTTGGCATGGGTTTCTTCTGCTTGGAAGGCCATGTCGGCGTCTGTGATTTCAGGGATGGGGGAGCTGTTGAAAGTCGGTTAGTTAGTTGCGTGAGCTTGAGAGTACTCGTCCAATGCGAAGACATACAACAAGAAGGTGATGGCGAGCAAGATGCAAAAGCAAGCAATGGCCAGATAGATCCATTGCACGTTGCGCAGCGCCTGATCAGACTCGCCGATGTCGACGAAGATGACGTATGACCCCATTACAGGAGCTACGACTGTTCCGATCCCGTTGAATGCTTGGGAGAGATTGATACGCATCTCAGAGTACTTCGGAGGCCCGCAGACGGTAATGTAAGGGTTTGCCGCAGTCTCCAGCGATCCAAGGCCATTGCCAATGATGAAGATGGCAGCGCAGAAGCCGCCGAAGCTGTGGTGGAGGAGGCAAGGCCAGGCGATGAGGGCACCAAGAGCGTATAGACTCAGTCCCCAGATGAATACCAGCTTGTATCCAAAGTGGCGGAGAATCCAGTTAGCATGTCCCAGACTCGCCAGAGGATAGGCTCCAAAGTAAGCTGCTTGTAGTCCAGCTGACCTTGCCTTGTCGATTCCGAGCGCCTCCTGGAAGTGCTTGTTCAGCGTGTCGAGGAGGCCGTAGGAAAAGCCCTGTAGACTGAAGTCAGCATAGGAGAAATGCGTCCGACAGATTCGCCGCGTACCCAAAGGAAGAACAGGATAGTGACCAAGCACAATGGATAGAGCGAGGCGCGAAGACTGAGCTCCGCAGCTTTCGTCCGTTGATCATCGCGGTGCCGCAGCCCATACTTCTGCATGAAACCCATCGTGGCGCCGTGGTGTAGATGGACCGGGAAGAGTGTGACAACAGATGATAGACAGGAAGGTGAGATTTGGGGTAGGGAAAAGCTTTAAGCGATTGACTCCGTCCGCCTTATGATGCACCGTTGTTAGCCTACCAGGTCATGCCAGTCGCCACGGACCCCCACACATGGTGGCCGCACGTTGTCAAGGTTGTTCATACGGGGAGCGACGGTCTTCGAGCGGCCTCGGTATCAATGCCGTCGTGGCCAATCTTCGTGTCGTAATGATCAGACCCCTACCTTCCCAAGCGTATATCGCGGGGTAGAAACACGGAGCAGTAGGCTGATCGAGCATGGTTTCTTGGCCTCCACGTCTTGGTGGCTTCGTAGTTCGGTACAATGACGCCCGAGACTGCATGTCCGAAGCGAGGCCGGCAGCAGACCCATCGACGACGACAACTCGACAAGGTTCTCCATGGTATTCATGGCCGGCAAATTTCTGGAGCCTGCGGGTCTATGAGCATTGGTTTCCTGGTTGTTCAAGGGGGAACAGGCGGTATATGAGCGAAGACAGTGAGCGTTGACGTCGAGATTGAGTGTATTTGGGCGAGTCATGAAGCCTGTCGCTTGTGCATTGCTTGAACTGCTTGCGACGACGAGGTTGGATGATGTTGGGAGAAGAGTAACAAAGCAGCCAACACCTTGGTGCTTGATAGAACTGGCGTGGGCGTCTATGTGTGAGAGTACCATGAGCATCGTGATACTCCCCGATATGCTTGAAGCACGCTTTCAGGCATTGCGTTTATGTCGAACTGTTCCAGGGCTGTGATCTCCTGAAAGTCGAAGAGCGGGTCGGCACTGTAAAAGGCTTCAGCAAACAGTGTGTTCTTCTATACCAGCGGCTGGGTTCTTTGACGCCTTCTCCACACCCGGGCACCCCAACGTGAAGCTTGAGAACCAACCCTATACCATCAAACGCACTCGCTACCCCATCAACCCAGTCCCATCCCATCCCATCCCATGCCCTCGTCCCCTCCCCTCCTCAACCCAACCTCCTCCTACTCCCCGCCCCTCTACCCCCCTCAATCTCCATTCCCTCCACCGCCTCCTGCACCAACCCCCTCAACTCCCTCTGTCCCTCACTCCCTTCGAAATCCTGCCGTGCCGCCAATTCCTCAATCCGTCTCCGAAAAGCCGGGTCCGGCTCACCTCCTGCGTCGTTCTCGTGCATGGTGCCTAGATTGACCTGAATCCCATTCGGCAATGGGGGAGGCGGGTGCACATCCTCACTATCGCCGTCTGTCGCAGCATCGCCTTGGGCGGCTGGGCCAGTAGAGTCGGCTGGGTGAAGTGAGTTAAGGTACGCAGCAACATCCGGCGCTTCATCCTCATCCGCCAATTTCTCCGCCGCGGTCAATCCGTCGTCGTTCTTCGCGGTAGCGTCCACGCCCAGCTCGAGAAGTTCTTTCGCCACTTCCACGGTCTCGGCGTTGAAGAGACAAGTCTCGCCGTCTTCGTCTTTGAGGTTGATGTCCAAATTGAACTCCCGGACTAGAGCTTTCAGCTGGTCGACGTGGTTGTATGAGGTTGCTGCGTGGAGCAGTGAGTAGCCATGTCCGTCCTGTTTTGATGCGAGACCGGGATGGGTGCGGAGGTGTGAGAGGACTGTGGAGGGGGAGTCGGGGACGAGATTGAGGAGATGGTCTATTGTGGGTGGTTGGGCCATTTTGATGTTGGGGGGTTGTGGGAGGAGGATGAGGCTGTGTATCGAGAGGTTTTGTTGGAAGTGAGGTTGTGAAGTTGCCCGCAAACAGGAAGGCTTTTGCAATTGCCAATCTTGACTTCACTTTCTGTTCGACCCATCATGTTTTCGAGAAAAAGGTCATCATGGGCATTCGTCTGCTCATCAACAAGGCCTTCAGAGCAAGCGTCGAGGTTTGAAACAAAAGAGCTTGAGGATCGGAACCACAGGATAAAAGTCATGTGTCTAATAAGAACCCACCACGAACGCCAGAGTCATGTGCCTCGAGCATGCTATCTACCCATATTCGTCAAAGCCGTTAGAGTCGTAAGCATGCCGCACACAATTCATGCCGTTCCATCAACATCCGCCCCTCCCCCATCCCGCCTCCCTCTTCCTCTCCAAGCCTTCCAAAGGCCATCCAGAAAAATCTACTCATGCCGTCGTGAAATGTGTTGATGATAAAACAAACGCCATACTGAAAGAAACGGGCAGTGCAAGTATAGTCGATGCTGGGGGTATCGTGCAAAAGAAGTGATGCAGGCCTCATCGATGCGGCGTGCCGAAGGGATCCTACTCGCCCAGGTCGTGTGCAAGACGATGGCCTTTGCCGTGGTGATAGTGGTTTTCGTGATGCCGCTGAGCGCCTTGCTGCGAGTTCCGCCGCTAGAAGAAGTCCGAAGGATCCGAGACGTGGTGTTCGTGCGCACGGTCATGGCTGCCGTTGAGATCGTCGTTGGGCTCATGATGTCGATGATGGTGGTGGTGTCGATTCGGCGACTCCTAGTACCTGTCTCGCCCACCGCCATCTCTCGATGCATAAGGATTGCCGCTTTGATCGGCTTCAGGTGCTTGTTGACGGCGTCCGCTCTGGCTGCCGTAGCCGGGTTGGTAGCCAGGTTGGTAGCCTTGCTGGTAGCCCTGCTGCGGCATGTTGTACATAGGCATCATGCCGCCCTGCTGCATCATCTGATATTGCGGGTTTTGCATGGCTTGGATCATGCGATCTTGCCTCTCCCTTTCTTCTTGCTTGTTGCGCTGCTCCTGCTTCTTGCGCTTCATCCGCTTCCGCTTTTCGATTTCGTGTATTTCGTTTCTGTACATATCAGTCAGCCACGGTCTAAGAATGATCAGTAGGGACACTCATACCTGTGCTCGTTCATTTCCTTCCACTCGGAGAAAGCACCCTTGATACCCAATGCAGCGATACCGACAGCGGCCGCATCTTGCACCCAAGCCTTGGTCTGCTTCTTCCGAGCCTCCTCAGGTGTCATTGTACCCTCCGCCACCATCTTGTGTCGACTCTCGTGAGCCTCCATGCTCGAGTAGACACCGTGGGCGGCGTGAATGGTAGCAATAGTAGCCAGACCCGCCGTCAACAGCTCTTTCCCACGCATCTTCTTCCGCTTCGCTTCAATCTCAGTAGTACTACTGCTGTTGTCCGCATTTTCATCGTAAGCATTCTTGTTGTTGCCTTCGCCACCTCCGGAAGCGGCCAGGGCACCGGCGCCTGCCCCAGCACCAGCACCCGCACCCACAAGGGCGCCATTGTTGCCATTAGTATCGCGAGACCCGAGATCGCGATCGCGACCTCGCTCGCTCCCGCCTTGACTCCGGGTAGCTTCCATATCTGAACGTGGTGAGCGACGCTTGTCACGACGGCGATTGCGCGAGGGAACGTACGAATCTGCGGATGAGTCTCTGGAGCGTGAGTCGTCTCTCTTACGTGATTTGGAGCGCACCCGGTCGTAGATTGCTTTGCCCGCAGCCGCCAGTGCGCCACCTGCTGCAAGGCCCTTCAAAGCGCCGGCGCCTCCACCGTTTTCTTCTTCACCCTGACGTCCGCGAGACTGCGAGCGACCCCTGAACTTGTCGATGATGCTACGACTGCGAGAGCGAGGAGGAGGCCGACTACCGGAAGAGATGCTAGAATCGCGACCACGTGACCTTGATCTACCTGGAGCGCCGTTGGCGAGTCGATTGGTAGCCAGACCGCCGAGCACAGCTTCTGCGAGATGACGCTTGGTCTTTTCGTTGGGATTGCGGTCGAGCAAGCCATCGATTCCACCAGCACTGATGGCGGCTGTGGCGATGCGCTTGCCTTTGTCGCCAGTCCATGGCCCAGGCTCCTTGCGAGAAGTGAAAGCAGTGATTGCGCCAGCAACAAGAGCTGCCTGCGCCGCCTGAGCCCACTTCTTCTCGTTGCCGCCGCGCGAACGACTGCGGGAAGAGCTTGAGCTGGAAGAGTAGCGCTTGCGAGATGCAGCACGCGAGCGCGAACGACCAGATCTGACACTGCGAGAACGAGAGTCGGACCTGTCGCGGTCTTTGTCTTTCTTGCCGGTGAGTGCTCCTGCAATGCCGCCCAAGCCTAGACCGCCCAAAACTTCTTCGACGCCGGACTTGCGACGCTCAGGGCGGCGGGAACTGCGTCCACTGCGGGCGCTGCGAGGTGGAGAGCGAGAGCTGGAGTATTCTGAGTCATAGTCTCTGTCCCGACGACGTCTTCGATCACGACCACCGCCGCGTCCAGCTGCATAGCCGCCTGCGGCACCAGCACCAGCGGCGCCATAGTCTGTGTAGCGGTCGTCATCGTCGTAGTCGCGTCTTCTTCCTGCTGCGCTTCGAGCTCGCCTGGGCGGACCGTAATCGTCATAGTTGTCCCTGTAGCTCGTCGAGCGACCGTACCCACGATCGCGGCCACCTGGAGGTGGGAAGTCGCGCGGGATGTCTTCAATGCTGTCTTCGCGCCCGCGGTATACCAGATCACGTGGCGGCGGTCCCTTTCCTCGCTCAATGTAGGTCTCCTCTCTCACGAAATCAGGCTCGTCGCGGCCTCGAGGGCGGGTTTGGACGTTGCGGTAGCGGCGGGGCTCATCGTCGTCGTAGTACGACATTGCGACGGCACTCACTCGGCGAGTGGGGTCGGGAGTGGGGTGGTGGAGTGGAGCAGAATGGACGGACGAGGTGTGCTATTCGAATAGACTGGGTGTAGTAGGTTGTCGACGCCGACGGGGTTGGTGTATTGTGGTGTTTCCGGTCAGGTGTCGGGTGTGAAGAAGGTGGTGGTGGGGCGAAGTGGGCACCTTCCGGAGCGTCGCGCGCCTGAAAAGCTTGTGATGGGCTCCGGTGAAAGTCTGATGGGACAGGCGAGTGCGAACAGTGGTTGATCGCCGGTTGGTGTTCTCGGGTGTGACCTCAGGTTGATGGGTGGTTGATGGCATGCAAAGAAAAGAAGAAGAGTCGAGTGTGCAGTGCTGGCTGTGCTGGCGTCTCCAGCCCACCTTCACCACGCTAATGACGCAAAGCTTGTGTTGCGTGCGGCCCAACGCGATCAAGAAAGTCTTTCCCCCGAGGTTTCAGGAGGCAGCATGTGCTACGGTGGCTGGGAGGCAGCACCCTACTCCAGCGGAGATCTTGAAGGGCTTGGGAACAAGATACCAAGTGGTGAGGTAGACCCGGAGCGGTGGAAGGCTGGAAGGCTGCGGAGACTAGGGACGCCACGAGTGCCGCAAAGCCAATTCCTTTGATATTCTCCGATAACTCTCTTCATGTGATAGAAAAGTGTAGGTGAGAGCGGACATTCGAGACTAGACTTGTGGGACGCCATATAAACCACCGAAAGCAAGATGGCCGCTTCCGACAGCTGGCCAAAACACTCCACAGAACCATATTCAGACGACTCAACACTCGATACCGTGGACATCTGGCTTCCCCGTGCATCATCATCGGAAGACTCAAATCGACTCTGGGTAATATACATCCACGGCGGAGCATGGCGAGACCCAGCAATCTCAGCTACTTCCTTCACTCCGACTCTCGACAAGCTATCGAAATCAGGAGTGGCCGACCAGATAGCAGGATACGCGTCCATCAATTACAGGCTGTCTCCATATCCATCTCATCCAACTGATCCTTCGGACCCTTCAGACCCGGCGAGGAACGCCACACACCCAGACCACATCAACGACGTATTAGCAGCGATCCTGTCTCTTCAGGAGAAACACCACTTCGAGGATCGATATGTGCTCGTTGGCCATTCGTGCGGAGCCACATTGGCCATGCAGGCTGCGATGAAGCGGTACTGGGGATCGCAATACGAGTCTACGTTTGCGCTGGAACTGAATGTGGTGCCTCCTAAAGCCATCCTCGGGGTGGAAGGAATCTACGATATGCCGGCCTTCGTTCGCAATCATGAGGACCAGCCCATCTACAAAGACTTTGTCCACAACGCTTTTGGACCGTCTGGATGGGACGCTGCAAGTCCCACAAATGGTGACTACGAAGAGAGTTGGCCAGATGGTGAGCTGGTCGTCCTCGCACATTCAGCGGATGATTCTCTGGTCGAACCAGAGCAGGCTTCCTCGATGAAAGATGTTCTCGAAGCTCAGGACTGGAACAGATCAGAGCGACGACAAGTCAAGACGTTCGAGGTACATGGTGAACATGATGAGGTGTGGCAGACGGAAGAGGTCGCGAGAGCTATTGACTGGACTCTTCAGCAGCTGCAGCCGTAATTTGATTGTCGTCTATGCTGTCGGTATACTGCTAGAGGAGTCTTCGGGGGCACTGGTACGATCTGCCATGGCGATGCAGCCCATGTCGGTGCCGTAAGAATATGAAGGTGAAGTGTTCAGCAGGTCCACTTCGATCATACAAAATGTCTCGCTGGCCACTACAGGCGAGGCCGAGCTGAAGGTCACCAGCTTCGGTCCCGAAGTAGAATCACTAGCACAGTCAGCAGTCAGCAGCTACCTTCTCCGACCCCATGCGGTCGGTCGTCGGCTTGCGGGGCTGTCCAGAGTTCCAGACTTTTGGTGGACGATGGGAAACGCATGGGGTTCTCAAGAGCGAGAAGGGAATGAACGCGAATAGCGATGGTACTCCGTTCTGATACATTTATTTATGTAGCTTACCAAAGCCTGAACAAAGGTGCGGAAAGTGAGCGTCTTCTCAAGCTGAACAGAAAATATATCAACACCAGTTGCCTGTAAGCATTTCACACCTCTGCATTGTCCACTGTATTATCCAAACAGAAAGATTCAATCGATTGACCCTAGTAATCCCAATAACATCAACCTACCTCCATCATGTCCACCCCCGTCGTCCTCCCCCCATCCAAACTCGCCCACATCGTCTTCAAAACCAACCAAATGGACCGCATGAAGCAATTCTACTGCAACTTCCTCGGCGGCCGCGTCGTGCACGCCAACGACTTCATCGCCTTCATCACCTACGACGACGAACACCACCGGATCGCGCTGGTGCAGTTTCCGAACACGACGGACAAGGAGCATAATAGTTGTGGTCTGCTGCATGTGGCGTTTACGTTTGACTCGTTGAAGGATTTGTGTATGGCGTATAGGCAAAGGAAGGCGTTGGGAATTCGGCCGGGGTGGTGTGTTGTGAGTAGACTTCTTCAATTGACAAAGGGGATGTTGTAGCTGCTGATGGGGGTGTGGTAGAATCACGGACCTACCACGAGCATGTAGGACCACCTCTGCAACTTCTCGCAACCCAACCGCATCGCTAACCTTCACACGCGCTCACAGGTACTACCAAGACCCCGACGGCAACCAGATCGAGGCCCAAGTCGACAACTACGACAACCCGGACGACGCGACGGCTTTCATGGACTCGGAGATGTTCGCGAGGAACGCCTTTGGCGCGGACTTTGACCCAGAAGAGCTTTGCGCTGCTCTTGATCGAGGCGAGAGCGAGGCGGAGTTGAAGGTGTTGAAGGATGTTGGGCCGAGGGGTCTTGAGGAGGGGCCGAAGATTGAGGCCATGATGAGGACGGCGACTGTGGGGGTGTAGTGGATTGGGTGTCAAGCTGGGAGGGGAGTGGGTCTCTTGTTGATCGCGATCGATGATGTTTGAGTCGAGTGTGTATGATTAAGTGTAGTAAAATTTGCGTGTATACGGTTTCCTAGGTGTCCGATGTCCTTGCAGGATGACGATGCCATCTAACATCGTTGCCGTGATAATCACGCACCGTCCGGTCTCTCTGCCGACTCCAAGGATGTTTGTCTAAGAGCAGAAGCTCATGTTCATGTGAGCATGCCCTTACCTTTGTATAGCCCGCCGATCAGCTGCACGCGCAGTTGGCTGTGAACACGCAAGCTCCCTCGTCAGTGCGGTGAACGTGGCTTCCGAAGGCTCGTACTGATGTAAAGACGCCTCTGCGAACTTCAGACTTACTTCAACGACCGCACTGGTAGAGGTATGAGATCGCGGAGGAGCACCGATGTCTTTAAGCAACCAACATCTTCAACACCGCTCGTTCGTCCAGCTGCGCACAACTCTGGCTGATATCAGCAATGCAGTCGGTACCAGCTGCGTTGCCCAAGCTGCAGCCGGAAGGGAAAGGAGGCAGTAGACTGATGGGAACGTGATACTGTAGAATGTAAGAAACCAGGTGCCCTCGGGGAGGAAGAGCGTTGGCGGCCGGACCAGCTTGGCCAAGCGTGGGAAAGTGAACTCGAGGACACCTCATTCTTCGCTCTCCCACCACCACCACCACCACCAAGCCATACATGTGCTGCGACCGAGACATCAGCTTGCAGACGCTTCACCGTCTGCCTCGACGACCTCGAGGTTGTCAGGCAGAGTTCCCGCGCATCAGCATATCAGTGGGAAGAGATGGAGGTCTTGGCTTGAGCTCAACCTCACTTCGTGCCTGGCCGTCTCTACAACTGACTTGTAGCTGCCGGGAGGTGCTCTTGGTCATCTGCAAGAAGCGTTCCCTGCGAAAGGATCTGGTCGCTCATCTTCTGAGGGGTCTGAGCGCTCTGCCAGACCATCCGTTGTCAAGAGCACGCGCTTGAACGAGGGGATGCGCCAGCATAGTCACGAGCCCACCCCCGTCTTCGATCGATGCTTCGGCATCTGCCACAGCAGTAGGTGCGCCTGGATTAGGACACGAGGTCGAGGCCACCCAAGTAAAAGATGCCCTAAAGGCCACATACGAACAACAGGCGCAACTGGAGAGAGTGCTCACAGAAGGACACTTGCCCATGTGCTCGCCTGTCGGCGTCCATCGTGGTCTTACGTCTTAAGACTTTTTGAGAGCTGGCGCGGTATCAAAATCATGCGCTGTCTAATGGTCGAGACGAGTGATTGCTGCGATCGGGTGCAACGGCAGGACAATGCATTGGGTGTCCCGCGGCGCCTTAATGTTGCAACCGAAACAGTGACACTCGACGTCCGCCACTCGCAACCAAAGACAGCAGGCCATCCAGATCACAGTCCTACGAGTGTAGCCTCTGTACCCGTGGCGTGCTGACGGACGCCCACGGAGACCAGATGGAAGCACTGTATACGCTCCCCGGCCAACCAGGACACGATCGGACCAAGGACAGCTGGTCATCTGCACTTCGTGTCGTTGCCGCGCACACGTGGACCTTCTTTGGCTTGTCGCGGAGCCCCTCTGACTGGCCATGATCTCGAGATCGCACCACGGGACCTCACTGTCCGGGGTGAGCGCTCGTCCCAAAACCGCCATTGCTGTCACACATTGGTTGCTGCTGCCCTTGTATCTGCTTTGCCCTTTGTCACATCGCAGCAGGCTGATACCCAGGCGTGTCTCCGCAATAGATGGACGCTTGGGTAGGTATGCTGAGACCGTCCAGGCTCGTTCTCGGGTCCATTGAGGCCAGGTGGACTGCGCCTGCACACTCGATTGCAGCTACTGCGGGTCAAGACCGGCCACGCCATTGCCTATGGCGATCGGAGAAGGGTAGGTCATCATTGCTGTCACCCTCCGCAGCCTGGCCTCTTGTGCTGCCATGCTGTTTCGCCCACTATGGCCATGATCGTGGTCGATGAAGGTAGGTCTTCTCTTACAGGCGTTTGGTGCCCCGCTGGCTATTGGCATTTGCTTGCTGGAACGCGAAAGGAGATGGCATTGCTGCAGTGAGAAAAGGTAAGGTAGCAAACCTACCGAGCAGTGTCGAACATTGGGCTAAGTGAGAATAGCAGGTATTGCCAGTAGCTGTGTGCAATGGCTAGGCTCTCTGCTCCCCCCTGAGCCATTGCTCTTCCACTTTGGGGCTGGAGCCTTTGCTGTGTCTTGGTGACCACGAGACATTCATTTTCAACTGGCTCGAGGTGGTGTATCACACCTTCCTCGCCAGCACAACCAGCCGGTCGCACCTTCCTCACCACGACTACCTGGCGCCTCTGCCGGACTCCGAGCTAGATTGCCAAGGTTATCTCGCGCTTGGACTTGAGCTTTTGAGGCACAACAATTTCCTCGCCCCCCTCCCCACCTCCTCTTCCTCACCGCTACGCACTTGTCTTCACAGCACTGTCAGACATACATTGTCCAGAACACAGCACACCTAACCTCCACCATGGACCAAGCGGCCATGGTAGCCAGGCTCAAGGAGATGGGGGCTGGGATGATGAGAACCAACAAAGCACACAGCCCTGTCACCCCACCTATGGGTTTGGCGGCGCCAGCTAGGACGTGGAACACCAACTCTGTGCCGGCTACGAGGTCATCTGCAGCATCGCCAGCCAACAACAACGAAAACGTCAAGCCTGCTGCGTCACCTGCGCCTTCTGCCGCCTCCCTAGCTACGACAAGCACTCACACTGACAAGGCGTTCGGTGAGACACGTGGAGCTTCACTGAACGGCTCTGCTATGACCAGCCCATCACTCACGCGCTCCTCACTTGCTGGCACGGCAGTCGCTGGCAACACCAACACCAACACTGCATTTGGAAGTGCTTGGCCGACCTTCACTCCTCAACAGATGGCAGTAAGTGAAGGCACGTGTCACGAAAGACAAAGCTAATGCGTCTTAGGCAGCGCGTGACTTCCAGTCGACGGCTACTCCATCTGGAAGCAAGTCACGTCCAGGCCGTGCTCAGCCTCCGCCCCGTCCTACCTCTGCTGCCAGCACTTCCGCCCTTCGCGCCCCCATCGGCCCCACAGCTGCTCGTGGCAACGGCTTCACAGCTTCCAATACCACAGGACTCCACGAGCCAACCACTTACTCTCAGACAGGCTCATTCCAAGCTCCTGCCGCATCCCCACGTGTTGCTCCGTCCACTAGCTTTGGGTCCGGTGAGCGTGAGCGCCGTCCTTACGGCAGCACTTCAGATCGTCACGCTCAAGCCTCTGAGACTACTGCGTCAGGAAGCTCACTCCTGCACGGTCGTCCACGAGTAGCACCACCGAGCTCAGCAGTTTCTTCCTGGTCGAACTTCGCAGCCAACCCGATCGAGCCCAAGCCGCAATCAGCTGCCTCAGCCGCCCCGCAGTCGGAGACCACGAGAGTCGCTACAGCGAAGGCAGCAGAGCCGAAAGAGGATCCCGCGATCAAGGAGACCACAGAAGCGTTCAAGGGCCTAAGCATGAAGCACAAGGAGGATCGCACGGACTCTTTAGCCAACGGTGACAAGGCCAGAACTACCCGCCAGGTCGCAGGCATCAACAACATCTTGAGCGATCGCGCGAAGGACGCTATGTCGAACGGCAAGGCAGCTGGTCGTATCAGTACGCCACTGGCCGGGGCAAGCAACGGCAACGCTGTGGCTTCACACTCTGGCTCTACACAAGCCGTCGAAGTCAAGAAGAACGAGTTCAAGGTCCCTGCCACCGACACTTCTTCGCCGCCCACCTCCAAGAAGCCGTCCATCCCCACCCAGCTCGAAGCGCTCGCGGCCACCAGACCCTCATCCGCTCGACCACCGCCCACCACAAACGATGTCGATGCTGCCATCTCCGCGCATGCTGCCACAGTCTCTCAGACTCAGCACGTTCAGGCCAAAGGTGCCGAGCCCCAGCAGCACGCTGCAACCCAGCCCAAGGAGTCTGAGCCGGCCGCCTACCATGCTACCACGAACGGCGAGACGGTGAAGAGGAAGGGAAAGGCTCCCGTGTACACCCAGAACACCCCGACCTTCACCACCAACGGAGCCGGCACATACCCTCACGTCACCACCTCCAACGGTGACAGCATCCATCGTCACATGAGTCCAGAGCAAGTCGAGCAGGTTGCGGCTCCGTACAAGCTTGAGATCGCAGGGCTGGAGAGGAAGATAATCGCGCTCGAGCACAAGACTGAGATGTTGCGGCTCGACGCAGGCAAGGTGCAGGGGGATCTGCTCTGGGTTCAGGGGAAGCTCGACACGCTCATCGCAGGAGAGACGAACCGCATGACGATGGGAACTGACAACCCCAACTTCCTGGTCAATGTCGACACTCGTGAGTTTTGCCCCCCTCTTTTCCTTTCGACTGCAAGCTAACCATCCTCTGCAAGCCCACGGGCCCAAGCAGATTCAGGTCAGCAAGACCATGAATGTGTACGATCTCATCCGTCGCATCTGCGCTCATTGCAGACTTCTTCCCGCCCTCTTGTCGGACTGCCGCATCTCGGTCAACGGTGTGCAGGTCGGTCACATCGCGTTGTTGGGGGAAGTTGGGCTGGTGGATCAGACTGCGGACGTCAAGTTCACCTACGGCTCGTAGAGTGTTAAAGCTCTACGACGGAGGCTGGGACATGGTTACATGGAACGGTCTTTGGAGGGTGTGACGGGACACATGAGAGACGAGAGATGACTGCATGCATGCATGGATGTTCTTGAGGAGCATTCGATTTCGACCTTGAGTCTGGAGGACAAATGGGTGCAGTGCTGGTGTATTGCACTCTACTATGTACTTTAGCTCTTGCGTTGTCATGCGCTGATAGTTGAGGCAATGACGTCTTCACTACACCTCCTTTTCACTCGTTTCGTTCTGTGTGCTGTTGATGTTCGTAAGGTATCCTGCTGAAAGCTTGTGAAGACGGGAAAGACCGCCAGCAGCGTCAAAGCTTCCACTTCAAGATCGCCTCCAGAGTCGACTTCCACTCCATCTAGTACCACAACCTTCTCCACCTCCGTGAGCGCACCACTCTTTACGATGCCACCGACTCCAGCTGCGCTCGAAACCACCATGTCCGCCCTCACCCACACCACCCGCGCCCCATCTCGACGAGCCCTCGCCGCCCTCCAAAAGTCTCGCTACCCACTCGTTCAGAGCACCCAACAAGCCGCCTTCTCCTCCACCCCCCAACATGCCCTCCCCTCGCCCTCAGAGAGCATGTTCCGCTCCTCCTCCACCGTCGGCGGCCCACCCAACACCTACTTCCAACGCTCCTCCCTCCCCGCCAACACCATCGTCAAATTCGTCCCCCAGCAAACCGCCTGGATCGTGGAACGCATGGGCCGCTTCTCCCGCGTGCTGGAACCCGGCCTCGCCATCCTCGTTCCCGTCATCGACCGCATCGCCTACGTCAAGAGCTTAAAAGAAAACGCCATGGAGATCCCCTCCCAAAGCGCCATCACAGCCGACAACGTGACGTTGGAACTCGACGGCGTCCTCTACACGCGCGTCTTCGACCCTTACAAAGCAAGTTATGGAGTGGAAGACGCAGACTACGCCATCTCGCAGCTCGCGCAGACGACCATGCGCAGCGAGATCGGCCAACTGACGCTCGACCACGTGCTGAAAGAGCGTCAAGCGCTCAACACGAACATCACCCAGGCGATCAACGAGGCCTCCGCGGACTGGGGGATTAGGTGCTTGCGGTACGAGATACGTGATATCCATGCGCCCGGGCCAGTGGTGGAGGCGATGCACAGGCAGGTTACGGCTGAGCGCAGCAAGCGCGCGGAGATTCTCGATTCGGAGGGGCAGAGGCAGAGCGCGATCAATATTGCTGAGGGGCGGAAACAGAGCGTTGTGCTGGCGTCTGAGGCCGTGAGAGCGGAGAAGATCAATAGTGCGTCTGGTGAAGCGGAGGCGATACTGCTGAAAGCGACAGCGACGGCGAACGGGATCGATGCTGTCGCGAGAGCGATCGAGGAGGGCAAGCAGAGCGCGCAGGGCGCTGTCTCCCTCTCAGTGGCGGAGAAGTACGTGGATGCGTTCGGGAAGCTGGCGAAGGAGGGCACGAGCGTGGTGGTGCCGGGGAACGTGGGGGATATCGGGAGCATGATCGCGACGGCGATGAGTGTGTATGGGAACGTCAGCAAGAGCCAGGCGCAGAGTATGGCGCAGAAGGCGGTGACGGGGGGTGAAGGGGTTGAGGGCGAGAGCGGGAGTGAGAGGCAGCAGCAGAGTCGGGAACAGATGCAGGCACAGCTGAGTGCGGGTGATGAGGCGATTGAGGGGAACATGACTGAGGCGGCGGCGAGGCGGAAGCGGGATATGGCGCAGAGTATGCTGGAGAGTTTTGATCGGACGCAGCAGAGGCATTGAACCGTCGGATGAAGGACTTCCTTTTGTTAATGGGGTGTAGCTGTAAGGCGCTGCGGCGTATGAGATGGAACCTGATATGGAAAAGCATTCAGCGAGGGCATAGCATGGAGGAACAGGCTATTATGGCATTCAGCTCATCCTTTCGCCGCGATTCACGGCTGGGTGTATATGTATATGATAACATGCAGTACTTTCTCTGCTTTCAGCATCTTCTACAGCGTACATTTCTCCATCATGCCACATATACTGTACAACTCTTCCTCATCTCAACCCTCCGACCAAGCCTCACCTCACTGCTCCCCCTCCTTCCCCCCCTTCTCCTCCTCCTCCATCATCCCCCTCCTCCCCTCAACAGTAACATACAAACTCCTCCCCGCCGCCTCCAACGTCCCCGTCACCCCCGCCCCAACACCGGACAGCATCGCGACCAACTGCCCCCTCAACCCCTCCAACCCCCCTTCAATCCCACCCACCCATCTCGTCCCCTCCTGATCAAATACCTTCCCCTCCACGCGCGCAGCGAGCAGCAGGAGTTTCTGCAGCCCATTCTGCACCGCCGGCTCGTGATACGAGGGGTTCGCTTTCCGGCGCGGGGCGGGGAAGTTGGGCGGGGAAGGGGAGAGGATGGAGAGCGCGGCTTTGAGGTGTTGGGGCGTGACGGTGGGGAAAGTGAGGAGGGCGAGGGGGCCGGAGAGGAGGGGTTCGAGGCCGTGTTTCGAACGGCGGGAGGATTTCTTTGCCGTGAGGGCGGCGTGGGCGGAGAGGCCGTGGGTGAAAGATGGGTCTGTCGTTTGTGCTGTTGATGTTATGATGGGCTCGGAGGTTGGTGTGCTGGGGTCGGTGGGGTGGATGGGGGTGTGGGGTTTGGAGGAGGAAGAGAAGTCCGGGTTCCAGAACTCGACTACGCGGAGGGCGGAGGCGAAGATGCCGGTCTGGATGACTTGCAGCTTGATCCCGTCTGCGGCGAGGAGGTCGTGTTTATCTTGTGCAGCGAGATCGGCGTCGACCTTGCGCAGGGCGGTGGCGAGTTCGCGGCGCAGGGCCATCCATTCGGTGGACTTGAGGTTGTTGTGTTGGAAGATGAGCATGAGCGGGGCGGAGCGGAGGAGCGATTGGTACTGTCGGTGCAGCTGGGTTTTGCGGAACTCGGGGGGTTTGTGGGAGGGCGGTTGGTTGCGTGGGTAGCGCTGGATGGGAGGTGTGCTGCTCGTCGTCTGCTCGAGGGGTGGTGCGGGTGTGGTGGCTGTTGCGAGCGAGGCATGGCGGCACGCGAGGCAGATGTAGCCCGTGGATGGTGTTACTAATGGTGTGAGACTGCTTGTCTGGAGCCGTATCCGTGGAGGCATGATGGGGATCGTACAATGGCGATGTGCAATGGTAAGGTAGAAGATGTCGTCGTTGGCTTCGAGACATTGAAGTCCTCAAGCTTCGACCCCGAAGATTCGCCGCACATCGACTTCCCCAAGCCGATATGACTCTGATCCACAGGAAATCATACTTTCAATGTCGCCATAAAGATAAACTATAGAAACGGCCTTCTCCTGTTGCCCCGACCAACACCAACCTTCCCATCCCCAAGAATGGAATCGAACAACAAAGGCAAAGTCTCCATCTCCGCCCTCCTCAAACGCCTCTCCACCCGCGAATCCACCGCCAGCGTCAAAGCCGAAGAAGTCGCCGCCGCCCTGGCCCTCGTCTTCAACGACGCCGTCTCGCCCGTCCAATTCGCCCTGCTTCTCTGGGCCCTGCATGTCCAGGAAGGCGACACGGACGCCAAAGTCCTCAGCCAATGTGCCAAGGTGATGCGGGAGGCGGCGGCGCAGGTGGATGAGGTGGAGTTGATTGAGGTGGTGAGGCGGAGGGGGAGGGGGGAGGGGAGGTATGGGGGTGGATTGGTATGGTATGCCCTCGTCATCTAATTGATTGTTTCGTTGACGGATGACTAACGATATGTTGTGTTGATGTAGTGCGACATCGTAGGCACCGGCGGCGACGGCCACGACACCTTCAACGTCTCGACCACCTCTTCCATCATCGCCTCTGCTCTGCTCATGATGGCCAAGCACGGCAACAACAGTTCAACATCCCTATCCGGTTCCGCGGATCTACTACAACATGCGCCTAAACCGCCTGTAATCGCTGCGACGAACCACGAGACGCTTCCGCATATCTACGAGATGACGAACTACGCTTTCCTCTATGCTCGCGAGTGGCATCCGGGGATGAAGTACGCTGCGGCTGTGAGGAAGGAGGTGCCTGTGAGGACGATCTTTAATTTGCTCGGACCCCTAGCAAACCCCGTGCATGATACTGGATTAGTCGAATGCCGGATCCTAGGCGTTGCGCGAAAGGACATCGGCATGAACTTCGCCGAGGCCTTGTTATTAGGCGGCGCGAAGAAAGCCATGGTCGTGTGTGGCGATGAGAACCTGGACGAGATCTCCTGCGCTGGCGTGACACACTGCTGGTACATCCATACGGACGATGACGAGGGTGCAAAGCCGACGATCACGAAACTCAAGATCTCACCTGAGGATTTTGGCCTACCCACACACTCGCTCGATGATGTGCACGGCGGCAAAGGACCAGGAGAGAACGCGGAGATTCTGATGCGGATATTGAGGAATGAGCTACCGCGCGATCATCCGGTGTTGTGCTTTGTGCTGCTGAATGTTGCAGCGTTGCTTACGGTGGCGGGGATCTGTGAGGCTGACACAAGTAGTATGGGAGCTGGAGATGATGGGCAGGTGATCAAGGAGAGAGGGCCTGGTGGATTGAGGTGGAAGGAAGGACTGAGGAGGGCAAGGTGGTGTGTAGAGAGCGGAGCGGCGTTGAAGCAATGGGAGGCGTTTGTTGAGGTGACGAATGCGGTTGCTCGGTCGTGAAGGATTGATTCTATAGATGAGAGGCGTGGTGACGATACCCTTACTTGGGCGATACTCCACTGGAAGCGGACATGAGCTCAGACGACTGCCGCTGTCGACCTCTCCCCGAACCAAATATGAATTGGTGCTGTCAAGTGTGAAATACATCAGTCGACTTTTTCAGAACGTCAGCGGTATACTCCAGCGTCAAGCGAACCACGGTCAATGGACGATGTTATCACCGTCTGTATATCTGCCGCGCAAGAGGTCGTGTCCAATAGCGCCTGGCATCACCCAGTGTGATGAGAGTATTGACTACCTCGACTGCTCACTGGTTGGTTCGAGGCCGCGGCCTATTACGCGCTTGGCTGCTGCTCAATGGCTTCCACAACAACGGGTATTCCAAAGCTCCTTCGCCGTTTGAAGATCCAAGCAATAGCATAGACGAATTGGGAAGTAAGGAAGTCGATGCGCACACACCTTACCGTCCTCCTCATCGTCCTCACACTATGGACGTGCAAGTGCGATCGGGTAGACGTCGGAGAAGGTTGAATCGTATGCAAACCACTTTTTAAGCTCACAGCTCCCGAGTGTTTCAGAGTGGGTTCGGCAAGGGAAGGGCTACTTTTCCGTGACCGGCATAGCGGCCGTTGGAATTGAGATTCGCTGGGTGTCTGAATGTTCGCTGACGGCGCTTGCATACAGTTGATGATGCGAGATGGAAGATGTACGCTGAGCGTAATGACTTGCACGGGCGCCTGTCCGAACGATGTTGCTGAGATGGTGATGTGGTGGGAGGAAGAGGGCGCAGGCTGGGCCTCCTCGTCTAGCCCGAGTGGACGTCGCAGGTTGGCAGGGGTGTGCTGTGCTGCTGCTGCAGGTACGAGAGCTTCGAGAGAGTCGCCCTATTGGGAAGTAAGTGAAGATGAGTGGCGAGGTGGGTGTTGAAGTTTTGAACTCGTATACAGGCGGGCTGAGGTGATACATAGGGTATGTCTGTTGTTGGGTCGTGGCGAAGAAGACGAGCAGGACGAAAATAAATCAAACATCGGCAGAGGAACTCCACAGCTTCTGTTCTCGTGTGAGGTCGTGGTGGCCCAAGCGTGCAGCGTCCCCTTGCCCTAGCCCTCCCCTGCTTCTCTCCCGCGAGAGACGCACCCTCACGCAGTCCTCTCTGCACCACCACTATCCTCGGTGTCACCACGTCGCCCTCTGTCGCTCGCTCGCTGGTCCAGCCCACACTCGCTTTCCACCCTCCCACTCCCTCTCCGCCCGCTGGCACTGGCCCCTCGTTGTCGCGACAGTCCGAGTCAATCGCGCCGCGTTTCACTCCCCCGTTACTCAACCTGATACGCCGCCCGGGTGTCGCCACGAGACACTTCCTGTCCAAGGACTCACTGCGACTCCTGCACCTTCTCTTCACTTCTTGAACGTGTGTGAGAACCTTGAAGACTTGTCTGGACTACTGTTGCTCGTTTCTTTTCGCCGCTGTTGGACCATTTGGAAATTGACATTGGATTTGACATTGGATTCTTGGGATGGCTGTACGACAGCATTAAGGAGGTGGACAAAGCCGAAGAGAAGGCGCGCTCGTGCTGCTGCCTTTCACGTGGGAAGAAGGCGCAACGACAGCGTGGCTGCCACTGCCTGAAGACCTCATCACATCTCATTCTGCGATCTAGCGAACCATACTCTACTTCAACTTCACCGACGACTTCGAACACGACGACACGAATATCATTTTGACCACACTTCCGGCGCTGAGCCCGCCGACTCGGCGCCCGTCAACACATGTCCGCCCCCATACCCCCGAGCGACTTGGAGGGTCACTGCTCGGCCATTCACGATGACACGCTTTACGTCCTCTCCCCCGACAGCTTCCTGTCACTGCCGTTGAAGGAGAAGGCGAAATGGTCCAAGAGGCCGATGGGAGTCTCCGTCACAGGACCGGCCTGCGTGCAGGCGGGTGAAGGAGAGGATGCCGCGCTGTATGTGGTGGGCGGCAAGACCAGCAAGTCTGGCTACAGCGGGATGCAGAGATACAACTTCGCGCAGCAATCGTGGGAGACGCTGCCGGTGAACGTGGGCGTGTTGGCCGGACGAACCGATCACAGCGCAGCGTACATCGCGGACACCCAGCAGATCATGGTCTATGCCGGATCGCAACCGAACGCCTACTCGTATCTTTCTTCGCAGACTTTCCTGGTATCGACACAGCAACCCTACGATATTCTAGCATTCACTTCTTCAGCGCCTCCTGGAAATCTGCCTTTGCTGCAGTCGTGGGATAGTGGGCACGCGGTCATGCTTGGTGGTTCTGATTTTAACACTGAGATCTACACTTTTGGACCCGATGACGGCTGGCAAGCCTTACCTACCAATCTCACTGAACCACTAGATCCCAGCGCCCGCGCCACCCTGATTGATGGTAGCGATGGGAGCAAGGTTCTGGAGGTCTACGATATGAGCAAGACACCGAACAGTGTCACGCAGCTAGTCCTGTTGGACGCTGGTGGACAGCCGGCCTACACCGGGCAGACGATCGGATCAGGGTCCTCGTCAAGGAAACGGAAACGGGACCTTACTCTGGACAACTGGCCGGCGTACAACGACAACAATGCTCCTACTGTCAAGAGGACGGACTGTGCCGTGGCGCAAGGATCTGACGGCATGGCTGTCATATCTGGTGGAAGCAGCGAAGCACCGGTCGCGATTTTCAACCAGGATAAGAACTCTTGGGTGGATGTCGACAAGTTCTTCGACTCGAAACAGAACCAACAACCGTTACAGCCGACAAAGTCGAGCGGGTCCGGTTCAACACCATCATCGTCGACATCATCTTTTCCCTCTTCCAGCACGACAGCAGCAGCAGGATCTTCGAGCGGGGAGTCAGCACATGACCGCATGCTGAGGACATTGGGGATAACACTTGGAGTGCTGTGCGGCATCGCCGCAATCTTCATCCTTGTACTTCTATTTTTGCGATGGCGGAAAATGAAGAAGAGGAAGCAGGAAGGCTATCTGGACGAGAAGAACGAGGAGGACAGGCGGATGAGCTTTGCGGACCGGGGAGCATCCTTCATGAAGGAAGCAGGTGGCTCGATTAATGGCCTTGCACCTCCGAGTAAGACGTGGGAGAATTCGCAAGGCGGATCGCACAGTTCGTTGGCCATCATCACTGGAAAATTCGGCAATAAGCGGAACACCAGCCATGAACCTAAGCCGAGCTACGACAGCACTGCTCCAATGTTCCGAGACAAGAACATGGGTCGCGGAAACAACGACCAGGTGGAAATGATCAATCTGGACGAGAAGAGGATTGAGAGGAAACCGATTCCTCAGCCTGGACCACCACCACCTCCGCCTCCAGCGCCGTACGGTCCTAACCTGACTGCTGCGGATGCCAACAGGATGTCGACGGACTCAGGTAGAGGGAACCGAAGCTCAGGCTGGTCCAAATACTTCGCTACCAGCCAGCCGACAGGTCCTAACGGGATCTCTCATCTGCCTTCTGCTTACGCTCAGACTAACAAGTTGAGCGATGCTTCCATGTACTCGACGGATCGGCACATCTCCCAGCCTTCACACATACCCTCCTCAGCACTTGTGCCACCGCTCGACATCGACTTTAGTAAGACCGTGGACGGCCAGCGGTTATCTCACGTCACCTCCGGCTCACCCGCCTTCAACGACTCACGAGAAGACCTCGCGCGAGGCGGCAACCACCTCGCGCCGCAAGGCCAGCAAGGCCTGATCGTAGACCCGTACAGCCGACGCTCCGCCTCCGACACGATATCGTCCTATAACAGATCGACGATGAGCACCACCACGTCTGAGTACTACAACGACTCCAACCCCACCCCCTGGACCCCCACGAGCACGTCGTTTAAGGACCACCTCGTCTCCCGGCCGCCCAGCAGCAACTACCCTCCCTCCGAACCGCGCGTGCCTTCTCGCGGAAAGAACGGCGGCGGCTTCTTCCCCGGCTCCGGCACCTCATACCGCCCGTCCGCCCGCTCGAAGATGGGCTCGAACGCCGCCCCGAGCGGGGATTGGGCATCTCTCCCGGCTGCGCCAACCTTCCCACGACCGGCAGAGGACCGCGATAGCACGGTCACGGTCTTCCCCAAGGGCGTCCCGAGTGCGTATTACGCCGGGCGCGACAGGGAGAGCGAGCAGGCGAAGCCGGTGAATTCAGATCTGGGGTGGTTGAACTTGGGGCTGGGACAGAGTCCGCAGCCGGGCCGGATATGAGCTGCACGCAGCATACACGGCTTTCGCTTCTCCTACAATCTGTGAATTTACCACAACAAACTTTTTCGACATTCAGCCCGCTGAGCGAGCGGGCGCTGGCATGATCCAGCATTCTCCTTGACGGACCCAACTTTGGACATTGAGACGTCCGTCCACAGTCGACACGCACGACAACCACACCACAACACAGTCCTTTGGCGAAAGAAGATCTTTTCCCGCTTGTTTGTATAGCAGACCTCTCTTGATTCCTGAAACGACGTATGGGAAGCGAAAGGGGAGGATGAAAAAAGAGATATCCCTTGTTTGTCTGTTGGCGTTTTCTTGGTTTGCTTTGGATGCTGAGGCGTGGGGGGGGGGGGGGTTTGTGTGGGCCTAACCTGGGGGGGGGGGGGGGGGGGGTTTGTGGGGGGGGGGGGGGGGCCCGGGGGGGGGGGGGGGGGGGGGGGGCCGGATGTTGTCGCGGAAGCGCGAGGTGACACCCATTTGGATCAGAG